AACAAGGTAGCCTTTTCTGAGGGCCACTATGCCGTCCCGCATAACGTTCTGCACGAGGGCACGCTGGCCAGGTAAAATGCATGAATTTCAAAAAGTGACGCGCTTCTGTTTATTTCCGGCTGGCCTTTTGGGCCACCCAGATCGGGCTTTTCCAAGCGGGAGAAGGGTTCCAGTTTGCGACCTCAGAGAGGTCGAAAACCGTGCCCGTGTGACACACCTCCACAGGCTTGATAATTGTTTTTTCTTCGCCCAATCCCGGTGGTATGGGCCTGCGGAAAATTTTGCGAACCCCTTTTGAGCGGCAATTTTCAAGCGGCTTTTGCTTTTTCACAAAAAAGTGACATTTTCAATTACCAAGCGGCTTCCTAGGACTGGAGAAAATCGGTAAATTTTGTCGGCCGCTTGTATGCTGCGAAAAATTGCATTTTTTCAACGCTTTTTTTCAATTTTCAAGCGGCTGGAGCTGCCCGGAGGTGACGCGTTTTCCGCTAGAAAACCCTTCACACCATCGGCCCTAGCCGAAAACGCCGCGCTCTTTTTTCAGATTCAGACCGGGCGGAGCTGCAAAAGTGCTCTTTTTTACCCTTTTCCCACTTGATAATTGCTGTTTTGGCTGCTTTCGATGAAATTCCCAGAAATTCTGCCCGATTCGCTTTCTGAAGGCAAAACACACTTGATAATGCCCGATTTTTCCACCGATTGCATACCCCCGAGTTCCTCCCATATGGTAACGGCAAAGCCTTCGCGCTGCAGCCTTCGCGAGCGCTTGCGCACGCTTTGGTTACCAGATGACTAGGATCTTATTGACGACGCGGCAGTGACTTACTGTACGGAATCAGAAGTTAGTACGATTTGCCTTTGAGTCCATGTTGATCACGCGAACATATTCTTTCTTTCCATTCATCACACGCGAACATATTCTTTCTTTCTTTCTTTCTTTCTGTTCGTGCCAGGGCTTGGCGTCAAAGGTTCAAGGCCCTAAAAAATCCTCTTGGTCCACATTTCAGATTTTTCTCTTGATCATCGAACATATTCACATCACCGACATTGATTACAGTTGCGAAATATTGCTTCAAATTCTTTACAACGTGCGCCAACGCGGAACAACGTGCGCATCATCCTCTTCGCTTGTTTTTGTCGAAGCGACAGCTCTCGGAGTGCCAGCGCACAGCCGGACAAAAACAATAGCTATAGCAGGTTGTCTTTCTTTCCCTACAACATAGTGCTCAACTGCCTCGAAGATAATCCGTTCAAGTCATCCGCATTTCTGCCTTCACTGGTTTCAACCGTTCGACCGTATCAGCGTAGACCTGCCTCCGGTCAATGTTTCTGGGTAGTATCAGTTCGTTGTAAATAACTTCGGGCGTCCTGGGCTCCGCCCCCGCGTACCAGTGCCGACCGGATTCCAGCAGGTAATTGGTTGTGTCGATGCCGTTGTAGTCCCGCGGCTGCACGGAATTCCAGACCACCTGCTGGTCACTCGCGTTCACCGGGCCCCCGAAGGGGTGCGAGGCGTCCGCAAGTAACAAGCTGCCCATCGGTCCGCCCTTACCGTTCTGGTTCCAGGGATGGTTGATGGAAAAAGCGGGGTCTCGCGTCCGGAAAGCCTGGTTCCACATCCCGACCTGGTCGTACTCCGGAATCAACGCCGCCGCCGACTTTCTCGCCTCCTTTCCGCTACTTATGAGAAAACTCGTTCCTCTCGCTGCATGGTGTTGCGTTCGGCGAGGACACCCGCCGGGGTTTCTACTTCGGGGTGCTGGTCCCGGTAAGGACGCTGATTTTGCAGAAAAAACGAATTGGTCGTCATTCGGAGACAACCAGCTTGTCAGAAGCTGTGATATGTGGCCCATGCTTGAAAGTTGAAACTACGCTTACTTTCGGCAACCCTTTATCGCGAGGAATCCGCGTCCAAGGAAGTAATAGCTGCAGGAGCAGGTGTGAATAAAGCACCTTTTCTTAATCTTCTAGCCCTGTTCACACAAAAATCCTGGTTACAGGCCTAGTGTGGTCGTCCGCACGGCGCGTTGCGATTACTACGTAAACCTTTTTCGAATTCGCAGCCAAACGGCACTAGTGAATGAAAGCAAGGTACTGCGTAAAAAGCGATGTCGATTGTACGTCAGCGACGACTTAACAATGCAGTTGCGACAACGACAAGTAGCGGAGCGAAGGAGCAGTCAAACGAAAGGCGAAAACTTCGACTTTCGAAATTCTTCGACGACGGCACAAAAAAATCGAAGAAGAGCGAAACATACAAGAACGATGATGAATGCATAGAAATAACTACGACCTGCCACATTTATAGCTGCGGAACACCCAACGCCTCTCCCTCTACGTGCCGCCCGTGTCGCGGTCAGTGCGTACTGTTGAAACTCTCATCTGCGCTTCGTTTCCTTCCGCGAACTCAGTCACTTGTTCATTTGAGGCGTCGCTGTTTAGATAGAGGGAAAAACATTCATTCAGAGCGGTTTTTTGTGATATAGAGATTACAGATTCATTTTGGTGGAAATGAAGGAAAATAACAAACCCCAGAAGAACTGTAGGCACAACAGCCAGGAAGAACTAAAACATCCGCTGCGGCATTCATCGCTTTCGAGAACGACAAGTGCTTTAATTCAAGTATGGAGAATCGGAGGGTCATCGTCGCCTTCCAAAAGCGCGAAGACCCCTCTGCGCAGTCACTCCTCTGGGCCGTACCATACTGCGTAGAGCGCAAACCCCAGAAACACGAACCCACTGCCCAGCGTGACTTGTCGCTCCGAGATGTGCTTTGCGAGCATTTTTCCCCCCGCTATTGCAACGGAGGTGCAGACCGCGTGGCCGAGTATCTGATGAAAATTAGATTCTTCCAATTAGCAGCACACCCAGACAACAATAGACGTAGTTCTTTTGGGTGAAAGACATCGAGCAGGTGCAAAATCTGTTTCAACAAAAACAAGTAGACTTCCAGGACAACAAATTCAGTACCGCTCCAACGACGATGCCCCCGAAGTCGCGAGCCGCGCCCATGGCGACGGTTGATACTTGCGATTTGTCACCCCACTCCGCTAGAAAAGTCATCGCGAATATTGCACCCACTACTTGCAAGACGCTTTTTTTCTGTGTTGAGATTTGCAGATCAATTCAACAACAACACTAGTAAAGCATCGCAAACCCGACAAGTAGAAGGAAAGAGCGTCGGTCCTTGAAACGATCTTTGCTCGCAGAACACAAACCAAGATACGCCAAACCAACTAGTATTTCTTACCTGCTTGAGTGTCTTGTCCTCCTTAAGTTCCTTTTCGGTCTCTGCCAATTCCTCCGAAACTCCCACACCCTCGCCCTTCGCATACATGTCCAAGGCATCCTTTATGGCGCTCCCGCCAAAAAAAACGAAGAGTAGTATCGCGCCCCAGTGTGATAGTGTTGGAGAAAGTAGGGTAGGTACCAGAAGCCCGATGGCAGCTGTCGTGGAGTGTAATGGCGTTCTTTTGATCTTCCGGATGAATGTACGTAGCATTCGGATGAATGGCCGTGACTTTCGTCGAAATAGAGCAAAAAACTTTAGCACCAGGCAGCACGTAGCATCTAGAAATTTCAGATAGTACATACGGAAACGAAACGACTCGAAATCGTACAAATTACACAACCTGTACCTGATAGTATCGTCATAGTAGCAAGCGCTCCCCAGCAGCCTGCGAACACGTGTATGGCCTTCTTTGATATTGACAGAATTGCGGCGATAAAAAACGTGCGATCGCCGATTTCCGTTGCCCCAACCATTACTAATGAATGCAGAAACGCGCTCCAGAAGTGCCCTTCATGGGGCTCCGCAAACACGTGTGGTTCCACTGTACCGCCCATTGTTTCTGAATGCTATGTGAGAAAGAACTTATTTCACTTGTATGTTGCGTATGGTGCCGCGCACTTGTTATTTAAAAAAATTCACTTTTTTCCGAATTTTTATTTTTTCAGCAGGCCTTACATAATCCGAGGGGTAATCGAGTTTAAACTTTTTGCAAATTCAGAGCTGCTACAACCTACTATATTTGGGCTGATGCTGACGCGCGTGTCCCAGACTGCGGAGCGAAATTCAATTTTTTTTCGAAACTATGAAACAGAAACACTCGCCAATGAAAATTTGTTCGTGAGAGCTACTAATGTGTCGCCTAGTAGTTCTTTGTACTTTAGAGCTACTACCATATACAAGCCAGGGTCACAACTTTTGACGCCAACTTTCTGTGAGTCTTTCTGTTTGCCCATATTGTGCCGCTGAATTTTTATTTTTCGAAAAATACCTGTTCGCGAAGAATCAAGAGGGACAGACACACAATCGAGGAACGCAACGCAACGGCAAAAATCAAAAATGAAAAGCGCTTTGACATGTTTGATCCATGCACGTTCGACCGTCAAGTTTCATGTTTATCTCGTGGTCAATCAAGAAATTCATCAAATTTGATTTGAACACGATCCACGACCTCGCCTGAAATCTACAAGACCAATCACTCACTAAGAAGCTGGTTGCAGTGAGTGGCGGGACAAGGACTCGCAATAAATTGCGTTCGAAACACTTGAGACGTCATCTGTTTCGAGTCACTTTATGATTCATACATTTTCAGTTCGGTGGAACCATAAAGTTTAGCATCCATTTGTTCTTTCCGGTGGTTGCAGGATGAAGTTCATTTTCACGGCGAAACAATAAAGAACTTCCATTCTTTTCAAAATCAAATTCCAGCACCAGGTACTAGACAAGATGATCCACCAGAAAACTAGAGACCCGCTTCCCTGAGGGACCTTGGGTTCATATGTTCGACTTCGTCCTCGTCGGTGCTGTCGTCGCCGTGCTGCAAGTGCTCTTCTGGCCCCAGCGTCCCGTGGTCCCGGCTGCGTTTTTCGTCGTCAATGTTTTCCAACACCTTGCGGCGATAGTAGGCCAGAAAGATGAGGAAGGCCATGATGCAGAGAATGGCCAAAACCAAGCACGTCCAATTATCCACAGAAAAAAACCCATCCACATCCATTTTTTGCATGACAAACACGTGATAATCACGTGTTTGTCATGCAAAAAATGGATGTGGATGGGTTTTTTTCTGTGGATACCAATCCACGATCTCCTCCATTAGGCTCACTTTGTGCAGTTTCAGCCGCGTCTCCCCGGGTCGCAGCCCCAGTCGCTTCTCGAGTTCCGACCCCGGCCGCTTTCTCCAGTCCACGGTCCACGTTATGAGAGTGCACAACTACGCCTTCCTGCTTTGAAGGACATGGACAGCAAGACAAGCAAGGGCAGAAATTTTTGAAATGTGGTTTTCTCTATCATGGAATGAGAAATCTACGTGTGAATTTTTGAGGTGTTTTCAATTTGTCACGCTGACCGTCTTTCAAGCCAATGTGTAGCTGTGGACCTCGACCCGGGCTGTCGGTGATGGTGTTCGTGTTGGAAATGACATTCGCATTTTGCATTACATTCAAAACTGGTCGCGAGTGGTGCATTCTCATACACTCTTCTTCCGTGCCATTTGTACGGTTCCTGCGAGGTGGACCAAGAGGTGTCTGCCGGGGAGGCACGCCGGGGGCAGAGTCATCGTTTTCCCCGGCACTGTCCCACGGTTTTACGATCTCCTCGTCACCCTTTCCTTTTCCTTTTCCGATGATGGGATGATCGGGACCTCCATAACCGTCACAGCACGACGACGAGGACGACACACTACCGGTGGGCGCAGATGAATTCTCGGAATCTCCTGGTTCTGCTTTTGGATTTGACTCCCGTGGTTTTTCGTGATACAACGGACGGAAATAACCTCTTTCTGCTGCTCCTCCTTCCTTATTACCTGCTTCCAGCGGATGATTTTGTTCACTAGACGAGGTACTCATCATGATGTTTTCGACGGCGTTGGAAATGGCGGCTCCTTGGTCGGCTTGTTTTTCGGTCGTTGAGTTATCCGTAGAAGTACTTCTAGAGCCTGTTGCTCGCCCGCTTGTACTACTGGCACCACTCTGTGGTGCCTCCTCCAGCACAGCTTTTGCCTGTTGTAGCTGCTTCGGCCTTCTCGGCTCTTCCTCCTGTGCAGTCTGGTGCAGTGCATCTCCTGCGCCTTCTGGCTCATGCGCATGCTCCATCTCCTCGAGGAAAACACGACCTGTTCGCTGCTTGCGTTGGGTAGATCTCTCTATCGGGCCTCTTGCGGACGCGCCTCCAGAAATTTTGTCCACGTCGGCTGTAGAATCCACGACGAACGCGACCGGGGATTCTTCAGTTGCCGCAACATCTTTGGAGGGAAGATGAGCGCTGGTTCCAACGGTTTCGAAAGCTGGTAACTGCCGTATCGCTGCTACATTTAACGCTTCAGTGTTGTCTCCCGGCTGATCTTCATGTGCGTCTGTACTCGTAGTGCCTCCGGGTTCCACTTTGGAGATCATTCGTGGTATGTTTACCTCTTGGGAATTCCCCGCTGCTGCTACCACAAGCGCGTACAGGATGGGCCTTGCAACGAGAAGCGACTGTTGAGGCGGTGCCATCATGATGGAGACGCGCCCGTGCCTTCTTCTGCTGCTGGTACGAGCGCACTTGTTTTTCTTTCGCAAGTCTGCCTACAATATCGGCGCTTTGCCTAAATGACGCAAAATTACACTCATGTACTTATCCTATCGCCCCTCCGTGTCTTGTTCCGTCTCGTCTCAATGTCTTATCGATTTTTCTTCCTCTTCGCAAAGTTGTTTCATTGATCTGCACGACGACTGACAAGAGAAGTACGAGGCACAAAACGACGAGCGTCAGCAATGCCAAAATGGCCACGACGAAGGAGCGAATATTTCTGTGCGATCTCTCAACTGCTGCGCTCGCGGTCACGACTCTTGTTCTCTGCGTGTCCATGCGACATTTCGAAATCACGCATAAACGAAACAACAGCTTGAATTCATTTACAGTTCCACGATGCAGGTGCACCACGACATAGTACTAGAACACAGTTACTAGCTACACCACACGAGCTGGTCGTCACATCGATCAGCTGCTCGTGTTGATGAATGAATACGGTAGCGCGAGAGAGCGTGTCTTCGTCGATACAGTCATGGGCTAAGCGTCAAAAAGAGCAAGCACAAACGAACCTATGCTGTAAAAGCACAAGTAGATCACATTCACAAATCCTCGCGATACAAGAGGCGATCAGCGCGTTCCTCCCTTTTCCGCTGCCGTGCCTGTGTGTACTCCAGTGCCCGTTCCGCTTTCTTCGCTTTGTTATTTCCGACCACAACGATATCCTCCTGCTTCTGCAATCGATGCATGCTAGTAAACAACTTCACGACACCCCGCGTCGCCAGACTCCTCAGGCTTCGCTCGAAAGTCTGTTGTGTGGTTTGAAGTTGATCTTGATGCAGGTTGTTATTTTCAAGACGAATTATCAACGCGCTGCACGTTCGCATCGCCTCACGAAGGAACCATTTACATTTAGTTTGACATGCATAACATAGTAGTACTTAGCTACATTCATCTTCTCGTATACATATTCGAAGAATCACAAATTCTTGTACCTGATCCTTGACAACGTCTGGCTTGGTGTGTATGCCCCTCGCCTCCAGACTTTCGTTCGCTTTCAGCTGTCTCGCCAGTCGCTTTTCTTGATTCTTTTTTACCGCTTCTGCCTCGACTTTCTTCTCGATCTCGGCGAGGGGTCGGGCGGACTTCTTTGTTTTCTTCTTCGTCTTGGCCTCGTCAATCAAACGATTTGCCTCAGCCTCCGCATTCTTGTTGGCTCCCGCGGTTTCGTCAGCATCGGTTTCGCCCAGCACAAGCGGTTTCTTTTTCTCGGCACTTTCGTCTTTTGCAAAGATGCGCTGAAACGCTGTCGCAAGACCTTTCAAGCCGCCACCCGCCGGCTGTGCGGCGTTCTGCTTCTTTCGTGAAGAACCGGCGGGGCTCTCATCGTCGTCAGAAGACTCTGAATCGTCATCGCCGAGCGACTCTACTTCACTGTCGGTAATACTAATATCTTCCCGCTCCTGGTCGGCCATAGCGACGTCGTCACCCGCCCGTTCCTCCTCGTCATCTTCCGTTGCATTTATTTTGCCGCTTGGTGTTCGTGACTCTTCCTTGACTGTTGTATAATCAGCGTTTTCACTACTTTTCTCTCCAGGAGCTGCTGCTGCCATATCAGCCACGGACTTCGTCGCGGTCGTCTTTCGCTTCTTTGTCGCTGGCGGTCCCATGGTTGTGTGCCTCCTAGTAGGTTGTCAGGGTCAATAAAATCTGTTCAACTCTAACGAGACTGCCGATGAAAGAATTCCACGCAACAAACCAGAAACTAGATTTATTCCAACGCAATAGCAATTAGGGTCGCTTAAGTAGTAGAAAATCGCTCCTCAATTTCCACTGAGCTGTTCTTGATGTCCTTGATGTGACGAGGGACACTAAACGATTCGGCGGCCATAGGCATAGCACTCAGAGAAGATCACAGCATGATTTTTCCTTTGTGATCCTGCATCTTCCGATCCTCGAGAGCATTGACTCAACCATCGACACGGATCGATTATTTCATAATTATCTTTGCAAGATCAGGAAATGCAAGTATTGATCATGTCGCAGACAACTCCAAGAATTTTGGATCTACTTTAATTTCTGTAGCTAGGGTGATCCGAAAGGACCTTCATCTTTTTCGTCTATTTTTGGTTGGCAAATTCAGCAACAAAACCCGCCAGCGCTTTGTCTATGTTTGACGATACTAACATCTGTTGTTGAACAAGGCACACTATTTTTGAAGGGTTGAAAAGTCGCAGTGACGGTGAGGAGGTCTAGTCCCTGAAGTTCAGATTTTTCTTTTTCCATGCGAGGCAAGAATAAAAACGTGATACGACTTTTTCTTTGTCTCGGTCTTCATTTGTGAAACAAACAAAAACAATGCAAAAACTTCTTTGATATCTTTGATGATAAGTAAGTGCGTCTTCGTAAATTTTGGGCCAAATGCTAAATAGGCCCGCAGAAATGCGGAGTTGTTCGTTGTAAAGCAAAAAAAAAGATAAAACGTAAGAATACACCTCCGCTTTCTTACGCGGTCGTGCTCGCTTCGATCCAAGATAGATATGGGGTAATGCTAGGTGATGATAGCACGTCGGGGAAATAGGAAGAAAGTCGATACTGATATTGTACTTAATTACTCCGTCAGTGGATGCATACTCATACATAGAATAGATGCAACAACAATGAGATTTTCGGGTTTTTTGAATACCAATACACTTTCCTCGGTTGGTTTTTTCGGAACGTCTTCTCTTGCCGTCACGACAAAATGCTCATCTAAGATAGAAGTTGCTCGTTCACGACTTTTCTCCTGTTCGCTGTGTAGTAGTTCCGGGGGTTTTTCTCCTCTTCACTTGTGTTCCTGATCCGGGTTGATTTGGCGGGGCGCTTTCGGCTGGCGTTTCCGGCGGTTCCGCTTGGGTTGCGCGTAGGGCCCCGCCGCGAAGTCCTTCTTTTGCAGGGCAGCGGCCTTGTCGGTCGTGGCAGCATCGGTGTCACGGAACGTCGGCCTCGTTGAAACGTAGCGCTCCTCCCCCGATTTTTTCTCCTCCACCTTCTCGAGCAGCGCGACCGGCTCAGGGTTGTTGGTCTGTTCCGCGCCTTCGGCCGCCTTGGCGTTGTGCTGCTGGTCTTGTTCGATAAACGGGTGCTCGATCACACCTGCTCCCTCCTCGGCTTTGTGATGACAGTGCGGCCCCGTGCAGGCTCCTTTGCGGAACTCCTCCACCTCCTTGCGCAAGGGGAGGCCATCCTCATCCACGTCCCAGTGCTTCTTCTCCTGCTGCAGCTCCTTCTCGATGGCGGCATCCGAGGCGGATCCTTGGGATGAATGTGTGGACCAGATGGGAATCACGCGTCGCAAGTCGATCTGGTCCCACAAGTCCCCGCGCACGCCCAGGGGGTCCACGCGGAACAGCACACAACTGACGAACACCAGCAAAAAGAACACGATGCAGAAGTGCAGGAAGTGGGCGCAGAAGTCGCAACATCCGACCCCTTTTTGCGCTAACATCCGCGCCTCCGCCCTCCACCACTTCACGATGCGGCTCTTCGTGGAGTTGTGGAGATGAAGATGACCGTGGGTAGAAGTTGTGCTGTGTTCTACCTCGGTTTGGCTCCGTTCGTCACTGGAGTGTTTGAAGGCACTCGGCCGGTCAAACATTTCCGATTCGTCGTCCGCTTGATTGCCGGCCCCTGGCTTGGCCACCCGGCTGGGCACGTTCAGGTCCGATTCCGTGCCGCTCGAACTGGCCCCGCTGGTATCATGATGCTCCCCGTTTAGCGCGGCATCCCACTCCTCCAGGGTAATGCCGGAATTCATTATCGTGCGAAACTTCCGCATGATGTTGATGTTTGAATTTGATATTCGAGACGAATTTGCGCTAGTTATTGGATGAAGCGCTTCTAGGAGGAAAAACTTGCGAAAAGAAACTGGTTGAATGCGACTCAGAAGATCAGTCTTCTTGTAGATGAAAAACGAAGCTGGCGGGGATGCGTACAACGTAAAAACCACGAGCAGACGAAGCTAATTCAGGGGGGGGCGAAAAACGGCTTAAATAATTCTTGGCTCTACTTCTCCTATTAGACCTGGCTGTGGAAAGGCAAAGTCAATGACAGAGCTTGTTCGGAGAACGAGGACGAGCTTTTTGACTTTGAGATGTTACCTTCTGAGCGCCTATCTGCCCAGAAAGGTAGACTCGAAACTGAAGCCACGCACTCGCAACTCCAACCTCGGTCGTAAAATAGTGTGTTTGCATTTCGCGTCGGATATAACCATTTTTCAGCAGACAACAGAACTGAGAGACTTGGGGACCCTTGGTAAAACTATAAGAGGTTGGAGATCGTTGTGTATTTCGAAAAAACTAGAAAACTTTTTTTACTATAAAACTTGGGAATCGCTGTACTGGATTAAAACTTGGAGCTTAGTTTATTGGTAAAGTTCCAGATTTTTGCAGATATTTTCCTTAAAATCTTAACCTTCATTCGCACGGAATGTCCACCATAGCATGGGGACAAGGCGCGCTGTTTGGACTAACAAAGATACAGAAAAATGAGCCACAGCATCGGCGTTTGGTGTGCTGTTTTTGAGTAAAAGTTCTGTCGTCGAAAAATAGAGTCGCAAACCCGCCGACCTGAGTACGCGTCTTTTACATCGCCGCCCATACAAAAACGTCGGAATTTCCGATTTAGCTCGGCGGAACTAGGACAGCAAATAGAACTCCCTCAAAAGCTTGAAGCACGTAAATACTGCAAAGAGAGCATGGTCGGTCGCTGGAGCTGGCTTGCTCTACTATATTTGTCGGTAGCAACTACGATTTTCACGATAAGCAGCACGAAAGAACGCACGACTTCGGGCACGAAATGCACTGCAACAGTCTCGTGACTGAGACCGACGTCGAATGACAAAAATAGCCGTTACGACTCCAAAATAAGCACCGAAACAACCAGACGAGCTATCTTGCTCGTCTTAGGTAACTTTTGACCGATGCCATTTTTCTGTTGGTTTCTCAGTACGTCGCATACAACAAGCCGAGTCTGTGAAACCAAGCTGGTCAAGTTAGTAGTAAGCATAGTAGGGACCGTAACCGAGGGAGTCGAGATTCAGATTGTGGACGAAACGCAGCAAAAACTAAGGTCGTAGAGGCATTCACTCAAAAGTAAAACAGTCCTCCTCCTCATTCAAGGCAAAAATGGGCCGCCTCCCGAGGCCGTTGAAGCGCTGTACTTGATTCTCAAAGTTTCTGATAACATTGGTTCGTTCTTTTGGGTTTCTTTCTTTTGTTACACATTTGGGTAAAAAAGTCCAGCGAATAAAACTGCGCGGGAAAGGTTGTAGATGAAAGTTCTAGAGGTGTGGGCAAACAAGCTGGGTGCATCTTCCAAAAAGATTTTCTATTGCAAAAACTCAAAAGCGTGCTATCAAAAGCAGTCAATGCTGCGTTTGTCATGCGATGACGATGTCGTTGTTGATGAGCATGAGTACCGCAACTGCGACGGCGGAAAATTTTACATGATCGTGTCTACCTGCTACTAGTTCCGCGTCTTTATGATGTCGGAGCAGACTGCTATCGAATGTACCGCCAGGGTACAGAAGGACTAGCTGGTCGTGAGGATCGATGACGCTACTGCTCTGATGTAAGTATGCGTATGATGAGCTACTATCTTACACACACACACACAAGAAGTGATAAACAAGCAGCGAAGTTTTTTACGCAACCGGTGCGGTTCGGCCGAGAAAGAAGCGGAAGAGTTTCTCCAGGAAATTTACCGCCATGTACTGCATAGTGCGATTACGCACTCGTGACACTACTTCGTCCAGAAACGCCACGGTGCGGTCCGATACCTCGCCAGGCATCAAATACGCTAGCCGGTACGCGTGGCTGGCCTCCATGCTGCGGCCGTGCTTCAGGTACTCGCGCCCGAGGATGGTGAACGCCCAACCACTGAGTAACACGCCCGTGAAAAAGCTGCCACTGTAGTTCACCACCGGAAGGAACCGGGCTTCGATGGCTGGGAACAAGGACAACGCGAAACCCAGCATCAGTGCACGTGACCTGTTTTGTTGACAAAATGTGAATCTTTATTATTTGGCCTTACACTTACATCACTGTCTCATTTGATAGAAATTTGTTTTTCAGTTGCTTTCACTCCCTGGTCCCTTGTTCGCTCTCTCTGCCAGAGAGAAACAAATCGATAACGGACAGAAACGCACCAAAAGGATCATGTGGGAAAACTTCAATACCTAGCCGCCGCGATCCCGCAGCACACGATTGCCGGTGGCGAGATCTTTTCTAAAAATTCCGCGAGCGTCAAATTTGTTATGTGCGTGCCACTTATGATAGCCACGCCATTGAGCAGCAAGCACAGACTATTGGCCATGATCCGCTCCGCGCCGACGAGTTTCAGCAGGACTTCGCGTTTCCTCAAAACCTCAGCGACGTGATGCTGGCACCAGGCAGACAGGGCGGCGAGCATCAATATGCGCGATTTGGTCAGGAACTCCCAGATTATGAACGTTTCCGCCTCTTCCTGCGTGCTATGGTAGAATCGATGGCTACTGTTGGTACTTCCTGAACTATGTGGCGCATTATTCTCGTCTTGACCCATAATATCCATGTCTGCTATCGCGTCCTCCAATAGAGTTCCATCCGCATGGTATATGGGACCACCACCGTTGTGCCTTTCGTGATCGCTACGTTGCCTGTGGTGGTCTCCTGTAGCTGCAGAGGTGCTCAACGAGAAGAGATTCCAGAATGATGACGAACCTTGTCCAGAATCTTCGGCGTCCTTCTGCTGTTGCTGGTCCAGCACATCATGTAGTTGATGATGTATCCCATCTCTGAGTCTGACGTCTTCTACTCCATACAGAAATCCACCGGCGCCTTGCTCACCAGCTCCGTTCGCCGCTTCGTGCATTAGTTCCTGGCCAGCCCCCAGAAGTTCCCGGTTCGCAAACCCGAATTCCGCGGCAAGCGCCGGATCGACCGAGGTCGGATCCAACCGCTGTCGGACGACCACGCGGCCCAGCATGAGTCCCTTCTGCCCCGCTCCGAGGAACAGGAACCCGCCTAGATACTCCATCCAGACGATGGAGTAGACCGCAAAGACACAGCCGCACCCGATCAAAAAGAGCCGGCGCAGTACTAAAATTCCGTTCACGAGTTTTTTCAAACTGCGGTGGGAATCCAGCACGACACGGCCGCTGGCGTCCCGCTCCTGAAACAGGCTTAAATTCCACTTCTGCAGGAATTTTTCGACCGGGTGGAGGTTGGCGAAATTCAACTTTTTCAGCAGCAAATGCAGAAAGTTCGCGCACCCAAGCAGAAACACCGAAAATTCCTCGAAGGTCGTGTTCTGCAAGTGGAGCGCGAACGGCATCACCATCTGCATCGAGCTGAAAGCGGAGAACATCGGCAGTAAAGCGTGTGTGCCGAAAACGCCGATGGTGAGATACCACCCAGGAATGGTCTTGAACCACCACGTTATTTCGTCCAGCCGACGGTAGCCGTAGTAGGCAGCGCTCGACACCTATCAATGGATTTGTACGACATTGTCACTGTGCTCTATGAAGATATTTGCAACGAGTACTTCCCGTAGCACACGAGGCGCTCCAGAAATCAAACATGGGAATAAACGCTATTTGATTATATGGTTGTGGTTTCAGCTCCACCTAGGATATGATATTTATACATTTGTCATTTGACAAAGATGAAAATCAGAATCATGAATAAGCTGCAAACTATACCACCGCGACGACGGGCAGGATGAGGTACCAGCTGGAGCAGAAAAGCAAGTCCAGTAACGCGCAGACCTGGTTCGCGACACAGCCGATCAGCAAAAGGGGGACGTAGACGTGGTTCACACTGTTCAGCATTTTGGGTCGGAAGTACTGCCGCGCCGTTGCCGTTGGCGTGCACCCGACGTGGACGAAGCCCGACTCGTCCTCGATGCGGTTCTGCGACGCGGGGGTGTACAAATTGTACATCAACGTGGCGAGCTCCACCACGTCCGCACACAAGCGCAAGCCTGTCGCCCGCTCGACCGCGTTCTTGATGATCGCCTTCGCGACCTTCCCCGCAGTGTCGGTAAGCAACACAGAAGTAGAATCCGCGGGGGTGGCCATCTGGTCGGGAGAGCCTTGGGGGACGAGGCAGCAGAGAATCTCGTGTTGTACGCGTGGCGTGTTCAGGTCGTGCCCGTACAGCGCCGCGATGATTGCGATGCCGCGCAGCTCCGCCCAGGTATTCTTGATCAGAATCGTGGGGCAGCCGAGGAAGGGGACCATGTCGAGGAAGAAGTCAACTAAAAGTCTGGACGTGTTCCGCGTCTCGCTGCCAGCGATGATCTGCCGGACGCAAATCTCGGTCCGATCCAAATCCCCGCCAGCGTTGTTGTTCAACACGTTACCTGCAACGCCTCCGTTTGCCGCCATTGGGGTCGCCGCCATCAGCTGCTCGGCCCGGGTTTGCGCGGACGGAATGCCGATGGACTGCAGCCCGTGGATCGCGGGGGACAGAAGGGAGAGAATCACCTTTTCCACGGCGTGCTCGAGCCCAATCTTCTGCGGCGCCTCGCCGTTGCTGCCCTCGAAGCCCTCCACGTCGGAAAACTCGACCACCTGCATGTCGGTTGGAATTACGTCTTTACCCGGCGTGCTTTTTCGCCGCTTTGGTCCGCGTTCTTGGGTGGACGAGCTAGTTGTACCTGGCTCCGCTGAATTTTCGTCCTCTGCTTCCTCCTCCTCGCCCGTCGTAGTTCCGGCGTCGGCTTCGGTTCCGGATGCTGAGGTTGTGGAGTTTCGTTTCCGCCGCTGGCCCCGCAACCGTAGTCCCCCGGCGACGTCTGGGCCATCTCCATCTGGTGACGCGGTTCGACCTGCAGTTTGCTCTCCAGTTGGTGAAAGTGCCGTCTCGTCGATGGGGACGGGCTTCTCATGCTCGGTGTCACTGTTGGAGAGGACGAGAATCTTGTTTTTCAGGCTCGGACTGGATGTTGCGCCAGCGGTAGTAGTACTTGTCTTCCCTTTCGATGTTTTTTCCACCTCCTCCTCCTCCGGGCGCTCGTCTTCGGGGTCAACGAGAGAAGAGGCTCCAGATTGCTGCTGGACCTTCTCCGGCTCGGACTGCGGGGTGGTAGTTCTTTTTTTCACGACGTTTAAGCTTGTGTCCTCTCCGGATGATGAACTTGAGGCGAGGCCGAACTGCTCGCCGTCTGCTGAAGCAGAGTCTCTCCGATCTTCGTCTTCCATAAGACCCAGTCCGCCGGCCGGGTTCTTTCGCGGCTCCGCGTCACCCTCCTCAGAAAACAGGTCGTCATCATCTCCTTCGCGAATAATTCTCCTTGACTTCTTATTCGCCGCAGTAGAACCCGCGTTATTCGCGTTGCTCAAATCCAGGCTCCCGGTGTCAACAAGGTCTGACAATTTCGCCGCGCGCCCGAGGCGCGGAATTTCCGCCTTGCCGCCGTGAAGATCAACAAAGCCGTCGACGTGCGACACAGTCTGCAACAGTGGACCGCACACGGGCAGCTCATCGCGGGATGCGATCCTTTTTTGATCATCCATGGTGCGTTTGCGTATTTCGTGGTTGCACCGAATTTGGGAGGTTCGCGATTTTGCGCTCGGTCACCTGATCACGTCTCCGCTGCTGCATGCACGCATTCCTCTCGTCCCCAGTGCGTCACCAACATCCGAGAACGTTTTTCTGGCTCAACAGGAATCCATGATCTGATTCAACGCCGAATGGAAGTAGCAACACCATAGAGAAATAAAGAAGCTTGGCCGCCTCGGTCTTAGCGGTATTCTCAAAAGTTGTCTTACATCAACAAAAATGGTATAGGTTAGTACTTGAAAGAACTGCGAAATATCCGTGCGAGAAAGCAGCGAGTGAACGCATTTAAAACTGTATCGTAGCGCGTGCGAAGAAGCAGAAGGGAGGACGACGTACTTAAAATAAAAAATAAGCCAAAAGCAAAACTCAAAGCATATCAGATACAGGGGAAGTAGAGACACACCAAAAAAAAAGGGTACGCATCTAGAAAGAGTGTGGAGGAGGTGCTGCGGTTGACATACATATTCTTGTCAAAAACTTCATCATGGCCGCATTCTGGCTCAGTTCATTGTCACCAGAAACCTGCCGTGTGTTGTGTTTGTTATACCGATTCACCATGAAGGAAAAGGATATTCTCAAGAGTTAACGAGATATTCACTCCACTGGCTAACACGTTCCGTCTCGTACACTCAAACGTCACGAAAACTCGAAACGCGAACTAAAATCGATGAATACCGAGTACGTATAAATACAGAATGCTCTTTTCTCTCTTGTTGACACAGGGCCCAAAACATTATGTGAGACCGAGAGTACTGTGCTTCATATCTTGCTCAGGCCGCGGCCTTGGAACATCCTCAATGCAGCGCTCCTTTTCTCTTCTATACATCTAGAAAGAGGAGGAGGAGGAGTTCTTGTAGGAGACGATATTTGTTTTGAAGTTGAACGTCATCATGCACGATGAGCAAATTCTTGTTAGAAACAAACTTAATCATACACGTGTAACAAGTTCAAAAAATCCGCGAAGCGAGGTCGTGGACCACAGCCCAGTGGGAGTGTAAGCCATTTGCCGGTTTCAACATTTCTCAAAACTGAAGAAGATCGTGTAGTTGTTCGTGCTGTTGAGATGAGAGAAACCGTGCAAACTGGGCAGCAGGCCGCGAACCTCAAATGTAGCTTTCGTTTTTTTTGTCTTTTTTCTGCTTTCTGGCAATAAATAACCTACTTCAGCGTTTACTTCTAGACGAATCCATGCAAGAACGTGGTACAGAAGCTCCAAGTGGTACAGACGATGAAGATCCTCGACGAGCTACTAGTAATATGAATTTCTCCGTACTGAAAACTACAAAACGCACTTCTGAAGTAGATGTGACTAACTTTCTAAATTTGAATACTTATCGCGATGTTATTGCTGTGCGAAAGTATGACATCGAGGGCAACTACTAGATTTCCGCTAGGGAAACAAGTGTTGCCCGCGACGAGCTTGGTACTACAACCACGCTAGTTGTTGTAAAAAACGCGTAGGGTAGTTGTAGAATGCTTGAGCGTGCCTACTACGTTGTCATATGTGGCTGCCTAATGGTGCCCTAGTATAATTTAGTAGACGATCTTGCCGCATTTTATTTCACGGTCCTGAATAAAATTGTGCTCGTGCAGCTGTTCTTGAGAAAGAAACGGTGCATCAAACTGGCCAGGCCACGTCGAGCAAAGGCAGGACGATAAAGCAGCTATTCCTAAATTCTTGATCATACAACTTAGCAAAAATTAAAATTGCAAAAAACAAAAACGATAGAACGATGAAAAGTAATATACAGATAACGAGCAGAAAAAACTTCGTATGCGTCGAGCTCGAGGCTCTGTATGAATTACTTAACATCCAGATCCACGTCGACCAGTCTCGGCTCCACCTGCCGCACGACCCCCGTCGTGGTCGTCGTCGTGTGTGCTTGTAGTACAACTAGGACCTAAGCTTCAACCTACTTAACGTAGCTTTTAATGCAGACTTGCAGGCTCGGGTCATTGTGGTTCGGGTTTCCCACAAGGTCAGCAGGTTGATCTTCCTCAGGCAGTCTTACAAGACCTAGGTCGCGCCAATCTTTCACGAAGCGGTGCAGCTCGAGATTTACGTGATTGCGAGACGGTGTTGTACTTCTAGTCCTCGTTAAACAGGACGAGCGTCTACTCTGCCGGTCCACAATCTCCTGCAAGGGTTTGTTTCCTCGCTTACTGACGCTGCTAGTCACCCCGGGTTCGGCGGTGCCGGAAGAGGTGATCGTATCCCCATCGAGATGAATCGCCCTACTACGGAAGGCGCAGGTCGAGGACGAGGAGGCCTCAGGGTTTCTACCTTTCGTCGCCAGTTCCCGCACAAAGAGGATTTGCAGTGGCTGAACCTCCTGCGCGTCGTCGAAATGCCGCGGAGCGGTCATTGTCCACGCCAGTTCTTGCTCGTGCGGAATATAAGACCGAAAAGGACTTCCAATTGCACTCCCCCCTCGCGCGACTTCCAGTTCCGGAGCCCGCCGAAGGACCGTGGAGGGTTGTGCAGTACTACTGCTGGCACCTCCAGCCGCATGATGTTGAGGCACGACCGCGGCCCCCGGCTTTGTGTCACGAGGCCTAATAACAAAATCCGCAAACACATCGGTCCGGTAACGCAGCGTGGCATGGACTTTATTTTGGCTTGCCAATGCGGAGTCTCGGGTCGGAAATGTTGCGCACGGACAGGTGAAACCCATCAGATTTCGCTGAACCTGGTCGTGTGAGAATGATGAGCGAGTCGCCTCGCAAAAATTGGTGAAGACCACGAGGGCGACCAGTGTAGTTTCCTGAACTGTGGGCCGAGGTCGGCTCCGGACCCAGAACCTCATATGCTGCCCAGCGCCATTTGCTGGATGGAGGTGTGGCTCTCGGTTCTTTGCTCAACTCCTCGAGCGCTTCGATGGCGTCGGGATTGGTGAATTTATATTGCTCAGCACGACCACCTCCTGCACCGAATGATCCACTCGCAGCAGGCGGCCGGTCTGAACCCGAGACGTGCGCGGCGGCCGCCCCCCTGGCCGTCGACGCGCGCACATCGTCTTCGTTGTCGAGAAGAATTTGTCCTGTCGCATCACCGCGTGCGGCCTGAAGATGAAGCTCGATCGGCCCAGCGGGATGCGTGACCGTGAAAACAGGTTTGTTATGAACCATCTTCCTCGAGACTCGGTATTGGTAGAAAGAAGGCGAAATGCTTTCACTACCCGGGTAAGTGTCTCCCCTGCCAACACTATCAAAAGGAAAAATTCCCGCTCCCCAGATCAAAAAGGAAGCCACAGAATATTTGCGATGCTGATTTGTGCATGTTTTCCAACGAATATCCGTAGGCCAGCCGTCGGGGGTCACCCGACACGTCGGGGGTCCCTCATCAATGCTGATTTGTGACCACAAATCGTGTCTATCTTGCAAGAAGGCAACTCCACAGGCTCCGCCGCATTATAAGGGCGGTCTGTGATGCTGTTGTGCCTACATAATGCTAGGCGCCTACGTCAAGAAAGCCTCGCTTCCCAGGGTTGAACTATGGCTGCAGTCCTCTACCGCAAGACAAGTCTGATTTGCGTACGCAAATCCAGCATCACAAATTTTCGTTTCGATATGGGAGGGGGGATTTTTCCATTTGATAAACAATTTGTTGCTCTTTCAGGGTCCAGGTCCAGGTCGTCTGTCCGGGAGCAGCAGGGTGGTCCTCTTTTAGCCTCTCGGCTCCAGGAACCCACCCGGAAACCAGAAGCTGGGACAACAGGGTTGGAAGCTTTTCTGTGTCGGGTCTCCAGCCCCCCGCGTCGTTGCACCGCGCCAAGACATTTTTCTCCGACAAACAGAGAATTTCCACGAAGTCTCCCACGCCGTCCCAATTCTTGTCGACCCGCGGGTACTCTGGATCGTACATTGTCTCCGCAATTCTCCTCGGAACTGGCGCATAAATGTCGAATAAGAAGAAACGCTTCGGGTCCTTATCAGCTATCTTGTCCGCGCTCATAGTCGAATAATTTTCTGGGCTTTCCCCGGGTACGGCCGTATTCGGGCCCAAAAGGTTGCCCCTAGCGACCCAGCTTGTTTGCGGCGGTTGCAACGGGGTCTGGTTTTTGAACTTTCTACGCTTGGTGGCTTTATCGAAAGTCCAAACGCGCTTGATAGCGGCGAAACTGAGCAGGTTTTTCGTTAGCCCTTTTTCCGCGACCCAGTAGTCCGCCTGCCCGTCGTCGCCGAAAAACACCCGGCTGGTTTGATACAGTTCCGGGAGAATTTGCAACGCCTGGCTGAGCACGTCGAACTTGCGGTTTCCCGCAAGCGTGCAGGCGGCCTGAGGGTTATAGGCCTGGTACGCTGCTTGATTCGTCCTGCGGATGCCAGTTTCCCCGAAGGTTGCGCCGAACAAAGCACCGGCCCGGTCGGCCCCCGGAAGGATCATCAACGGACCGCGCCCGAAGCTTTCTCTCTTGCCAACCGACTCTCCCCGGGGTATGCGCACGTGGTACGCCACTGCAGGGAAGTGCGACCTCGTCACCATGACCTTCTCGCGAACCTTTCCGACTCGACTTGCCGCACTCTGGCGCCCGTTCCCCAGTCCCGAAGTGAGCCGGCCCGGTCGCGCCGTTAGCAGGCCGGGGTACCACGGTAAGCGCTTTTCCTTGTTGTACACAGAAACAAAAGTAGAAGCGCCGTCTCTACTAACACGACCACCAGCGCTGTTGTTCTCTTCAACTCGCACAACCTCGACATTCCGGGGGTCAACGTCCGCGAAGGTATACTTGCCCCGGCTACTACCATTCCCCGGTAGATACAAAGCGCGCATGGCCGTTTCGATGTTCAGAAACTTCAGCAGCAGGGGGAAGTTGAGGTAAACACGGTGCGTGTGGTTCTCTATTTCGTTGGCGGACAAAGTCTTTTCCGACTCTTTCGTGAGACTCTGATCAGTGCCGGGGACGCCGCCGGTCTTCGCGTGACTGCATACGAGCGTGTCGTCCACGTCGGCCCAAAAAGCGAACTCGGGCAAAAAAGGTTGGAAGCTGTGCTGCGGCACCTGCCGGTCTTGATCACGCTGCCGCTTGGACCGCTGGCGGAGATCCTTGAACAGGTTCTGAAAGTCCACAACAATAGGAAAACGATAAGAAGGCTCAACATGTTTCACATCAAATATGGCCGCACGGAGGTCCAGTCGTTTCGAGGTGATGCTGGACGACGATCCACTATCACCGTAGCCCCCCAAGACCGGGTCTGCCATCAAGGCGTTGCGGAGAAGCCAACTGCACCTCAAATGCGTTCCGTCCGCAAAATATTGCCGGGGGCGCAGCACGCTGAGAAGGTGTTGTAAAGGTTTCAACTTGTTGTCCGTTTTCCCACTGCTGCTGTATTGGACAGACAGGTATGCTTCCAATTCAGTTGCGTAACCCCAATCATCTCTTGCTTCTCCACGTAGTTGTGACCCGCCAACGGCACACCATTCCCCGAACCGCTCCTTCCAGCCCGGCGGAAAGCGGTTGAGCACCTGTTCGAACGTTGGGCCCGCTTCACGAGATGCTGACGAAGCCGCCCCAACGGTCATTCCCAACGCAACAAGTCCGCCGGCCGTTGTTGTACCACCACCAAGGCCCAGCCCCAGGAGCTGTTGGGACACGAAGAAGATCTTCAAACCTCGCATCTTCAACATCGTAAAATATTAGAGCGGTCTGTTGATAGATTTTCTCGAAAGCAATTCAATAAAAGCCCCCAATCAACCACTAGCGCACGATATGAGAAGATGTTCACCGACCGCAGCGAGCTAGAGGGCATTCACCACCCGAAGGTAAAAATTTCAAAATCGGCAAAAACTTTGCAGACTATGACTAGTAGATGAGCGAGGAGGAAACAATAAACAAAAACGTGAAAAATAGTGACGGTAGTAAGTAGGTTTTCGTTTTCGTGTTGTAAATGTGCAAAAATCAAAACTTTTTTTAAATACGAACCACAAAAAATGATGCTGTTGTATACAGTTGCGCATGCACAAAAACTCGCTTTATGTTACTGTGTTACTCAAAACTGTTCTTACGAAAATATACTTATCTTTTAAGAAGTATATTTCGCTGCTGTAAGAAGCTTCAAAAATGGATATTGGGTCATGTCTCAACTGTTGTTCACGAAATACGCCTCATTTCGATCTGGAGTCATAGTTTTTGAACACCGATTTCTGCTAAATACGGAGCGTTTGAATTTCAGCACATCTGAACAGTAGATCCGATTTATGCCAAATCCGGAGCGTTTGAATTTCAGCACACCATAGGCATTTGCAGATCTTCAGCAGAACACGCTCCAACGAGTACGCAGATAAAAATGAGTAAATCTGTATCCGATACAGCGATCGATTCCTATATTTGCAGCGTTTCTTTTCGTGTGAAGATCTATACAACTCTCTAGTTCGTTGAGAGTTTCCTCTCCGTGACCGAAAACTCTTGATCCCGGTGGAAAATGTAAACAAACCGAATAAATTTTTTTCACCGAAAAAGAACAAGAAGATTGCATTCGCGCATAACCTTACACCCAGACACGGGGACCGTGAAAGCGCACTGCACACGCGAGGTGAGTCGGTAAACATTCCCCACGGGTCCAATGCACGGCCCCGCGACGCTCAATCTGCCTGCGAGAACGACCCAATAAGCGGAATCATGTTTGCGAGCAGTAACAGACCGCGAAGCTACCTTCGAATTTCGGCATCAACTATACATCTAGAAAGAAGAATCGAATACCTTATCTACACAGGAAAACTTTGGGTTTGGCTTGAGCTCGGGCGGGAAAAATGATCTTCAGGCGCAAAGGTAATCAATTCAATTCACTGTCAACTTCAGTACATGAGGTAGAAGAAGGGGGAGGCAAAGGCACGTAGAATTAGTATTAGCTAGGTAGTCGCAGTACTAGAGCTAGTACGTAGTGCTTATGAAAAAAAAAAATTAAACAGGTCTTTCCCTCTTCCGGACATCAACAAAGTTCTCTTACTCTTGGAAACTAGTAAGTGGTCGCTTTGTTTACACATCTTCTCCATCACTACTGCGCAGGAGCGGGTACGGGTTTGTTGAAACAGCAGTTGACGACTATCATGCCGATGATACTCAGTCCGACGAACGCGATAACCGACCACAGGATCCAAAAGTTGCAGCACCCGCACTGCATCGCCCCGCAGGCGGTACCTTCCTCGTCGGTTGTACTTGTGTCAGAGGACGCTGCGCCACCGCCTCCCGTAACGCCGCTCGACTGCATGATTGTATTCGTATTTGCACCTGCTGCAGTAGGAGTAGCACCACCTCCCGCTACCACGCTGGCCGACTGCATTGCGCCATTCCCGGTCCCGGTTAGCGGCGCTTGCTTCAATTCTCGATTTTTGGCGGCTCTCAAGGACCTGTGTGATGAAACAGTAGTTTGAGTGGACCAGAGGTAAGCAACGAGCGATTTCACCTCGATCAGCAACAGAGGAGAGTCGGTCAGTAGAGCAAAGAAGTTTAGAAGAGCATGTTTGTAGTGAAGAGTGGGAAAAGAATCAGCTAGAGATGTTACCTTGTGGCGGCTGCGCCATTGGACAAGGCTTCTAACGCCCTATGCTCTTTCGCCGAGGCTGCTGCGCCTGCCGCAATGGTATTCCGATCAATAGCAGCGACCAACTGGATTGTGCCCAAGCAGAACATAATCAGGACCAATCGATGGCTCCATCGAGCCAATGGATACCGAAAATTGTCCATTTGTGAAAATTCACGTTCGTTGCGGAGTTGTAAAATGAAAATCAAATTGTAAGCAAGTCACATATCTTCAGGGGAAAAAACGTGACCTTGTAGGACGGTTCGAAATGCACGCGGGTCTGCGTCTGGTGCTGGTCTGTCTACAAAGTGCATGAAATAAACCAGTAAGTAAGTACAATCTGCTTGTTTGTCTGTTAAATTTTCGCTTTCGGAAATAAATGCACGGTGCAGGTGCACATGACCACGAAAACACGACAATAAACAAGTCAAGCCAGCCAAATGTGCGAGAAGATGTGAGAATACAACTACACGAATGAGGACGAGGACGACGGAAAGGACGAAATAAGATATGTGTTCTTCTATCTATCAGAGGGAAGAATCAGCGGTACTACGACAGGGAACGAGGACCAGGAACGAAGACGATGAACGACAACGAAGAGGAAGACGAATCACATGCATATCAAAAATCAACTGCCAATCACATATATCAACAATGACAGAAGCACGACGACCAACAGAGGAGTTTGAAAGTGCCGCGTCTGTGCACCCTTGAAAGCCGCATTGAATGTGGTTTGACTCGCAAAGCTCCACGGTTGTCCTGACCGTCAGCGAGCACGACCACAAGCATACGCGATTGCATTTACACTTTCCATTTGCGGAACGTGAGTCCTCGTCCGTTTGAAACTCGTCTACATCTTTGTTTCGCAGCAAAAGTTGTCAATTTCCATAGTTTCAGTGCCGATCTGTAGGCACTCACACTCTTCTTGTTAATTAAGTAGAATTTGAATTACTGGAGGTAAAAGATTACTTCTTGTTCTGTCATCTGCATCGCCGGTCACGTTCTCCAAAAAGTATCAAATCGTGAAAATATTCATAGAATCTTTTATGGGATGTGCACACCATGCAACCAATGTTCAAAAAGTCCATGAATGCCCCGACAACATCCAAAGAGTCGTACAAAGTCAGTCTACTTTGATTTCCGCCCTCTGACCGCGCAGCCGCCCACTAGTTTGACAAGAGTAACGTCACCGTGGAACGCAAGCAAGGGCACAAGGGAAGGTCTTCCTTTCATCGAAGTTGAAGTGATGATCTCGATGATCTTTAGTACATTACAAGATAGCAGGACGTCGATGAGAACTTGATTTGGCCCACACACATTCCTCGTAGGATTCCGTCGAAGAAGTTCCTTGGGAATCGTTCGGCCGTCTCCTCTTGCCGAAAGAATTATCGTCAATAGCCGCACCGGATTGAGACTCCGAGCGCCGTTTCTACATGTCGATGTCGTCCGCATCGCATTTCTGTTACATCGAGATATCTTCATGCTCCACGCTGGAGTCATGATAATCTTTCTCTCGCCGATCACAGCAAGTCATTTTCGTTGAAATTACCGAGACTATCCGAGGCCTTCTCGATCGGAACAAAACACAAGACGAGCTGGCGGCAGACGGGGCAGTTCGTGTTGTTGTTATCGACGAAGTAAGATTCGTAGCAGCTGCGGCAGATCTCGTGCCAACAGTCAAAAAACCGCATCTCGTTCTCATTATCGTAGCAAATTTGGCACGTGGTCTCCAGTGTTTCTTCCGTTATCGTTGACACGCGCGGCTGTGGAACGATCTGCTGGTGGTGCTCGCAAAGCCTGTTGTTCGACGTAGAGGATATTATTTTGCTTTGGTTCTTTTCCTCGGCAAGCCTGTTCTTACTCTTATCGCTTCTACTATTTCCCGCGGCAGGGTTCATCATTTTTGCAACACTACTGCTCGACGCTGAGGATGTTGAAGGCGTCGACTTCTTTCCATTTCCCTTATGAACAGCACTGGCCGCTGCTCCAGCGAGAGAGGACACGCTAGCCGTAGCCTGATATGCACTGTTCTTCTTCAACGAACTCGCATAGCTCACCGCCGGGGGTGGACTCTTAATCGGCCTTGCTTTATTCACGTTATTTGCTTGTTGTTCGCTCACAGAAGAGGAAGCGTCGTTATGATCCATCGGTGGGGAAACGGTAGCGGAAACTACCTCTGAGGGACTTGCCGTGGTGCTCTTCGGCGGTGCGAGAGCCGGCGACTCCCGGAGCACGGCCGAATTTCCCTCACCGTCCTGCCTATCCTTGAAAAAGGGGAGAAAGTCGTCAGCGACATTGCCTCTAGTCGGAATCTTCGACTTGGCGCCTCTAAAATTCGCAGAAAAAGATGCTTCTGCTGCATTTGAGATTTTCGTCTTTGACGCCGCCCTTTCTGAGGGATGGAACGCACTCATCGGAGGGTTATTTGCAGAGGACGCTGTCTTTGATTTCACCGCTTGCTTGTTCAACATCTCCGCCGCTGAAGAAGCTGAAGACATCGCTCCAGATATTGTCCCTTTGGAAGATGATGCCGCTACGGCAGCGGCGTTAATATTCTGATTTCTGCTGTTATTGTGAACTACCGAAGAGGATGACGAGGACGAAGAAGCACTCTGCGGTCGGCTCGACATCGATGCAGCAGCTCCAGGCGGGGCGGTTTTCAGGGTGGCCGGAGCCGCTCGTACTTTTAAGCCCAAACTTTCCCCGCGCTTCACTTTCACGGGCTTTGGCTTCACGTCCGTGACCTCCACCGGGGTCTCTTCTTCCTCAGACGGTGACTCGTAGTCGGATTCCATCGGTGCGCGGCGATTTTTGTACTCCCGCGCGCGGTCGTTTGCACCGCGGGAGAGAACCTTCGGGATCATCATCGATCGCTGCTGCTGTCCGCCGGCGGCGGAGGTTGCTGCGGAGGCCGCGCCCCCTCCCTTGGCTACTCCAGCGCCCGCTGATGTCTTTTCACGTGCACTGCTGGCGGTTGACTTCGAGGAGCTGACCGCCACCTCGTATTGGTCCTGTTCTGGGGCCACCGAGGACGTGAAGGGGATGTGCTGTGGAGAGCCGGCACTGTCATTCTTGTTCAATTCTTGCTGGCTTTGGAAAAACCGCTCCGTGTGAGAGGTGGAGGTGGTTTGTTTCGAAGAGGACGTATTTGTATTCACCTTGTTGTACGACGCGGTCGTTGTATTGGAGTTGTCGTTTGCGTGGTTGCTTCCAGAAGTTCGCGCAGCTTGCTGGTGGTACGACGAACTAGTTCCTGCCCCCCCGCCCTTGCTCTGGCTCCCACCCTTGGTGTTAATAGTGGTGTTTGAAGATGATCCGTAGGAGTTTGAGTTGTTGTTTTGGTAGTAATATCGAAAGGAAAAATCACCCCTCCCCATATCGAAAACGAAATTTGTGATGCTGTATTTGAGGTCACAAATCGACTTGTCATGCTAGAAGGCCAAGAGCCGCAGTCGTGGCCTCGTTTGCAGGCAATTTGTCATGCTATTTCCCGCGCTCAGCTGCCTCCTATCATGCTGAAGATGCAAGGCTTGACCACGGCACCCAGCACTACAGTCCGTATCTTTTCCCGTGTAGCATGACAAAGCTGATTTGTGACAACAAATCTGCATCACAGATTTCCGTTTTGATATGGGGAGGGGGGATTTTTCCTTTTGATAAGTAACTGCCTCTAGCATGATTCGGCATCCAGTTGTTGCCAGTGTTGTTCATCCCGGATGTTGTGCTGGCCTTTCCGGTAGTATTATTTCCCTGTTGGTGGCGCCCGAAAGAGCCCAATTGATTGTTACTGTACGCCGCATAGGGATTCGAGAACGAGCCGTCTGCGGCCCAGTGGTGTCCTCCATGGTAATTCTGCCCGCCTTGGTGGTACGACCCCGAACGGTGGTGAAAATTGCTTCCGTAGTAGCCGGCAGCGCTGTTCGCGTTTGTTCCTGAGCTACCGTACGAACCGTACCATGACTGCTGATTATGGGACCCCGCATTGTTCCCCGCCGATGCACCAGGGTTGTACGAGCTTGCCGACGCGCGCATCGAAGTATTATTCCCGCTAGAGGTGGAACCCTGCTGGTGTTGGCTGTACCGTCCAGTCGTGCTCCCCGCCCCGTTATTTCCAGCAGACGTAGTTGTACTCGCAGAACCTCCGTACTGCCCCGCTGCGCCATTCGTGGCCTGATCCGCCGCTGCCGCTCCATAGTACATCTCATACTCAGTTGCTCCTTGCGTCGTCGTTGTTCCACCCTGTGCGACCTGTTGCTGCTCCTGCATGGGGTCATAGGGGTCTAGCATCATCGGCTGGCTAAAGTCCAGCATCTCCGCCGAGTTGTCATACCCGCTCGGGTCCGTCGCGAACCCGAACTGGTCCGTCTCAGCAGTAGTCTGTCCCCCGCCGTGGTGAAGTTGTTGCATTTGGTCCTGCTCTTGCTGTTGTGCAGCGACCGCGGCTGGTACGAACTCCTTGATGTCGTCAAAGGAAAGCGCTTTTTCGCGGGTGATTCCTTCGAGCGAAGTCGTCGTGGTGCTCTTCTTGCTGATGTTCTGCTGCGCCAGTTCGTCCAACTTACTGTTGACCTGGTCTTTCTGGTCCGTGCCCCGGCCGTGCCCCGACCGCCAGTTGTCCTCCACGTCGCACTGGCGCGGCTTCTTGGACCACGGCGGAGCCACGTCCCGCGGCTTCTCGTTCACGAACTTGTCGTTCATTTGCTTGGTCCATTCCACCGCCTCTGTACTAAGAGACTTCCCGAGCATCGACGCGTCCGTCCCCGGACTCGCCGCGCATGAGTTGTAGTACGCGTTATTGTTCGACGTCGCACTATTTGCTCCGTCGATGTTGTTCATGATTTGCGCACTCGCGGCAGTGGCCGTGTTCACGTTGAAGTGTTGATACGTTGCGGTTGACAACTGTTCTTGTAGGCTAGACTCCCGACGGGACGAATTGATGCCAGCAGCAAGTTGCTGCTCCTGCTGCTGGTACTGGCTGTACATAATTTTCTGCTGGTTTTTCTCCATTTCCATTTCCAGTGCTTTCTTCAAGGACATCGCCCGCTCCAATTTTTCCGTTTTGTCTTTCTCCTCCTGCTCCTTGAGCAACCGGTCAGATTTGTTCTTCTCTTCTTCCTCCCGTTTGATTAATTCGAAGATGGAAAGCTGGTCTGGGAGATATTTGTCCGTTTCTATCCAGTACGGCTCGGGCAACAGCTCCGGATCCCGTTGCAGTGGTTTTTTTGCGGGCGTCGGTTGCTGCACTTTCTGCGGTTCTCCCGTCAGCAGGGAGTTCAACAGACTACCGGAGGTTTTGGCCTTCTCGTCCTCCTTTTGCTCCTTCTATCAAGTGTAAAAATGTCTGGGTCTGGAAGAATGGAACTTGTCAAGCTAAATCTCAATGATGCAAAATTCTGTGTTGCGCAAGTGCCAAAAGCTGTCCGCTTTTGACCAAGTTGAGAGGGAGATTCTCATGCAGGAAAGGCATGATAGAGACCTCAAAGAATCTGTCATGCTGGGTCTCGCATTGCAGACCTCATGGGTCATGGAAAACCTGCATCACAAATCTTGCATTCTTCCAGACCCAGACATTTTTACATTTGATACCTTCGCGGGAGCGACAAAAGAAGAAAACCCGGTCGGGATAAATGGGTTGAAGTTGATCGTACTGGATAATTTTTCTTTCTGCTGGTCTCTGCTCTCCTTGAGTTCCTTGTGTCTTTCCTGGACGGTCTTCATGTTTATCAAATGCAAAAATGTCTGGGTCTGGAAGAATGCAAGTTTGTCATGCTCGCCTGGCATGACTCTTAAATCTGTCACGCGCGTTACCCAAGAGCTCCGTTTTTCTGTGATGCAGAAGCGCAGTTTGTCATGCAGAACAGGCAACACCTAGGAGCTCAGAAACTTGTCATGCTGAGCCAGCATTTGTAGCCTCATCATGAGACGCCACCCAGCATCACAAGTTTCCAGACCCAGACACTTTTACTTTTGATAATATTTTTGATTTTCTGATAGATGTCCCGCGACTTCTGCGCCATTTTCAAAACCCCAGTGTGGACCCCCCCGGCCGCGCTCTGGCTCGGCGGCTCTAGTTGGATCCTGGGCGGCCTAGAATTTTTTCCCATGGACCCCGAGTCCATCACCGGGGCCCGCATGGACGGTGGCTCGCCAACGGCGATCTCCTCGCCATCGGAGTCAACCTCGATCTGAAATCCGCAGTCGAACAGTTCCTGCTTGGCCGTGGCGGAGTACTGCTTTTTCTCGACCGGCACGTCAAGAAACACGTTTGGCGCGCACAGCGGCGGGCTGGTGCCGGTACAGGGGGTGAACAGGAAGGGTACGGTTGGGGCGTGCGCGAGCACCGCTTCGTTCTGGCCCGTCTCCTTGGTGAGTGCCAGCGGGTGCGCCATCTGCTTGCTCAACCGCCGCCAGCTCTCGTCCTGCTTTTGGAGCGTCTGCTCCAATTCGTTGGCGTAGACCGATTGCCGCGCTTTCAACTGCTGGATCTCGGTGAACAGCCGCAAGGCGGAATCGAGGACCGTGTCCTTTTGCTCTTCCTGCTCCACACCGCTGAGGACGGTGGTGGCGCAAACATCCTCGGTCGGCAGCACCTCGGACAGCGCCACGGCCTCGATCACTTTCAGCTTCACGCCGTCTATGCTGTCGCAAACCTACAGGTTAGATTAATAGGGCGAAAGATGTACATCTATCATCAAAAGGAGAATCAGAATGACGTGTCAAACGACGAAAAATCATGACAAAAAAAGCTCTACTAGGCATCCTTGTGCACTAACTAAATTGTACCTGCTTGGTCCTCGCCCGCGCCTGGCACCACTTCGGCGCCGTGGACTGCATGCGGGCGATGACTCTCCCGTAGTGGCTGACTCCTTTCTGGTACTTTTCCTTCTTTTCCTTGCAGGTGGATTCCAGCACTTTCTCTTGTTTCTCCTTCAGTTTAAAGTGCGCCGTGTACTCCTGTTCGGTCTCTTCCCGCGACAAATTTTCCTCCTCGCCGCACTTCTGCTCCAGCTCTTTTGCCCGTCCGTACTGCTGCAGCAAACACCGCTCCCCCTCGATGAGCCGCTGGAAGCACTCGCACAGCTTTTCCAGACACGTATCGGAAATGAACAACCGCGGATCGAAGTCGGGATGCTGGTAGAGCCGGGTCTTCCCAACGTTTGGATACTTCGCCGGACGGCGCGCCACGTCGCCCCGAATCAGCTCGAAGTAGCGGCTATCAAATGTAAAAGTGTCTGGGTCTGGAAGAATTCATGTTTGTCATGCTTGTCTGGCATGACCCTTAAATCTGTCATGCACGTTACCCAAGAGCTCCGCTTTTCTGTGATGCGGAAGCGCAGTTTGTCATGCAGAATAGGCAACACCTAGGAGCTCAGAAACTTGTCATGCTGAGCCAGCATCTTTAGCCTCATCATGAGACGCCACCCAGCATCACAAGTTTCCAGACCCAGACATTTTTACATTTGGTAGCGGTCCAAGAAGCCGCGCAAAGTTCGCGCAACCTTCCCGGCCTTGTTGTCGTACGCTTCGAACGCGTAGGTCTTCCGCAGATGCTCATATCAAATGTAAAAATGTCTGGGTCTGGAACTTGTCATGCTGTTTTTGGATTCGAAAAAAAATTAGTATTGCATGTCCAGCAAGGGGGGTCCAGTTTGTGCTGCGCAGACAGCGCATTTCTCATGCGGAAGGTGCATCAGGAAGCCCTGTAAAAGTCTCTGATGCTAGCTCATGTATTACAGGCACCATGGGCGATGAGAAATATGCATGACAAACTTTGCAATCTTCCAGACCCAGACATATTTGCAATCCATAGCTCGAGGTCAATCACGATCCCGGCGTCCTTCAACACTTCCGGATCGCACAGACACAGCTTCGTGTACACGTCGCCACCGAAGAGTTCTGCGAAATCTTGTTGCGCGATTTTCGACTTCAGAATCCTTGCGCTCTTCGGTCTTGCATTCTTGACGCTAGTACTAGTATCAGCAGCTACTGCACTAGATGAGTGGTCTTGATCGTCTTTAATATTTTTCCCCGCAGTACATATTTTTTCCTCCTCTTTCGCGAGTTTCAGAATCAAGGCGTCAATTTTTTCCGCGTTTCCCGTGTGCACGTGCCGGAACGCGTAGTATCCTGAGTAAAAACGTACCCACACCAGAGTCAGGATGGGGATTTTGCAACACAAACCTAGGAGTTTTGGGTGTCACGCATGACAAGTTTCAGTCCGAAAGGTAGTGCAAGTTAGCAAGGAAAGCCGCATCACAAATCGACCTTCTGATCCTGTTTACAGCATTACAAGTTCCCAAACACGATTGAAAATGCCTGTCATGGGGTTGCGCATCACAAATGTTCCTGTCATGGCAAATCTGCATGACAACTCTGGGGTGGGGACGTTTTTACACCGGATACGTAGAGCTGCATCTTCATGTGCTGCACCTCGATTTTCAACAAATACTGGGCGAACAGGTCAAACATGCGCCAGACAAACCCCATTTCCTGGAGCTCCTCGAACTTTTTCAGCTGCGCGAGCCGGTGGCTCCACGCGCGGTGGCTGCGTTCGGTCAGCAGAAGCTGTTGGCACTTGTTGTCGACGCTGTTGATGCGCATCAGCATCTCCTTGCTTTTGTCCTTTCGCAGCGACTGCAAGTGCAGGTCGTCGAAGTGCTGCGCGACGGCATTGAGTTTCTGCCCCGGCGCGATTTCCATCAAGTCGCCCTCGTGGCGAAGCAGCCACTTCAACAACTTCGGAATGTTCGGCACCTTCACCCACCGGCCCTGGTAGGCAGACGTGTACCCGCGGCTGGTCACAATCCAGTCCTGTTTGCTCGCCGCAGCGACGGCAATCATCGTGTCCCAATCGATCCCCTCATTGTAAATCACCATCATACCTGTAATGACGACGGCAGGTAGGAAGGAACCCTTTTCAGCGCCCACGCATAGGTAGCACATCGACATCCAACAAAAGATCATCAAAAACAATAACAAAATGAAGAATACTGTACACTTGTATAAACTTCTATTTAGTCAACACTCGCCAGCACAATGGTCCTAGTTACCCATCCGCTCCGCCAGCTCCCACCCGAGCAGTTCCAGCGCCCTGAAGGGCGCAAACCCGCGCGCCCAGGCGGTGTTGTACCCGAAGGTTTCCGCGGAAATGTGCTGCAATCGCTGCCAAAACAGTTCGGTGCTGGTCTTCGCGATGGTCTTGAAATCTTCGTCCGACTGCATCACCGATAAAAGCTTGTCGGTCCACATCTTCATCAGCAGACCCTGGCACGTTTCCAGCTCGTCAGCCTTGTATTTTTTACCGTCCACCGTCGCCCGCGTGAAATCCTGGCGGAGGTTGAGAAAATTCTGTTTCTTTTCTCCGTCCAATCCGCGCTCGAATTCCCGGGCAAGCTGGTCCCGGGACTTGTATTCCGGCTCCTGCGGGTCGTCGCGATAGCAATCCCCGAACATGTTTTGGGGGTGCACGGTGGCCCGGAAGGCGAGTTTGGACTGTGCTTCTCTCGACTGCTTCTCGATCATTTTCCTGAGCACATCGGCCTTGCTTTTCGCTTTTGCTTGCTTCTTCGCGGCTGTGGCTTGTTCTGTGTTGGATGTACAACTCGAAGAACTCGGGCGACTGGCTGTAATCATGCTCTCCGACGCGTCCGACCGGCGTTCTTCCAGGGGCAGAGTTAAGTTATTCTCTAGCTTCTGGGGCTGCAAGGGCGTGCTGCTCTGGCTGCTCGCTTGCGGATGTTGGGTTGATGTTCCTTGCGGGGAGGCGAGACTCCCACTGCTAGCCGCGGCTACGCGGTTTTGTGCCGCTGTGTGCTTCGTGCTCGCACTCGCCGTGGAACTGCCCCACACGTTGGCGCTGGAGGTAGTAGTTGCACTGGTGGTGGCCCGACCGGTGGGCGCTTCGGGGGACATGTCTGGCCGCGATGCGGAGGTTTGCGGCGTGCCCTCTCGGGTCAGCTGCGGATACTTCTCGCGAACGGAGGCCGGGAACATGAAGCCACCATTCATCGGAGGTTTCAGCGGGAGGTTGTGCAGCTTGTACAAATCCTTCATGAAAAACTGGAACCCGAGCCGGTAACACTGCCCTTCGTAGCCGATCTGATAAGGAGCGGTGTTGCCGTTACTTCTAAGTACTTCTAATTTTCTTTGAACTACCGTAAAATGAAAGACGAAAAGCATTCGGTGGAAAAGCTGCTGCAAACATGCTTGCATCAGTAAGAAGCAGTACCTTGGCAACCGGTGGTGCTTTTCGTTTTCTGTCTTCCAGCTCGCGCTGATTCAGGTTCATGTAGCACAGATGTATTTTTGACTTTCGGTACCAGTTCATGTTGATTTTCCCCTCTCCGTTTCCGATGTCCAAAATCCTCTTCGGATTGTTTTCGTCGAACCACTCATTCGTGCAACAGCACCGCGGCGCACACCGGCTCTGCTTCTCCCGAATTTCGCACAACACGTCGTCGCCCGCCTGGCGCACCTCGCGGAGCGCAGTCAGAAATTTGGAGGACTGCCTCCCGCGCGGGTCCAATCGGTGCCCCATGCGCGCACAGCTGACAAAGGCGGTTTGCGCACTCTCCCCCCGCGTCTCTTGCCAGTGCTCAATGATGTTGCTCTCCAATCGCATCCAGCACGGCCGGGCTTGGGACCCGGTTTCTGTTCAGTTTTCTCGTGACTAATGATCGACAATTAGCGTCAGCAAAAATCAATCGATGTAAAAAGCACCTCTCTGCTGTCGAAACTCTTTCAAATTATGCGATGAACTTCTGAAAGTTTTCAGTTATTACCCTGCAGCGTCTGATAGCCGTGATCCGTCAGTGGGTAGCGGTCCTTATCGCGGCTGTATTTCCATTTGTACCACTTCTGGAACTCGGGGAAGATCAGCGGAAAATGCGGATTACTGGAGGCCGCGACCACCAGCGCAACGGCTCCGAGTTTCGGAATGTAATTGTGCGAGGCGTGAAACTGGGAAACAAGATCAAGAGGTAGTTTAAATGAATAGTATCGGAGGCCAGCTTGGTCATCTTGTACCACTATGAACAATCAGAAACGGGAGCGCCCAGCGAAATGTTAGACACCAAAATGTGGTACTTAGTATTACCTCGTGTATCGGCGCCTTGAGCATGTACCCCGCCATCGCCAGCGCCCCGAGCTCCCCCACGTTGTTGCGAAAAAACCGGAGGTTCCGCACGAGCACATTAGCAGCGACGAAGAAGTCGGCCAGGTGGCACATGCCCACATCCCCGATATCGTTGTCGGCGACAAGGAAATCCTCGAAGTAGATAAGCTTTGTGTAATCACCCGTGAAGAGCACATAGTCGTCCGGATTCCCCGCAATGTACTTCACTCGCTGCTCGGAAACCAGCGTCTCAGGTGTGCGCGAGTCTGTTTGTGGTTTCACTTTCACTAGTACCCAGTCCTCGGTGCAAGGATAAAGGCAATGCTAGACAACTCGCACAGGCACAGATGCACCCATTTACTAGCGATAGACGCCGGCACACCACCACGTGCTGAACATGAAACTGAGGAAAGTACTGGCACTGACTTATTCACGAAGGAAAAGAGCTATACTGATCACAGGTGTCGGATAGCAGCGTTCCGTCTTTGCGAAAAAGTAAGACTTCTTCCGCAGATCCTCGAATTCGGAGAAGGTCCGGGGATACCGCTTCGCCACGCGGAGCTTGCGCACAAAAATGTACTTCAAAATGTATTCCAAGGAATCGTTGTTGATTCGAATTTTCTCCCGGTATTTCGGGTTTGCGTTGAAGTTCCACGCGCCAAATCTGTGATGGTGCAGGAATTCGTCTTGTAAGCTTTCTTTTTGTTTAAGGTCGACCTTCTTCTTCTCACTCCAAGTAGAAGACACTAGTAAGTGAGTCTAAGTGTACATGATCGATAATATGGGTCTGGGTCGGTACCCAGCACTCACGATCCAAACCAACAGTGTTGAAATACTTACTTGTACCTATCTTGCCAACACCATTGCTCGATTTCTGAGTTGAGCTTCGTGTTCTCAAAGTCGTCATCCGGAAGATCTTCCCAATTCGGGAAAGTGTGCGTAAACGTTTTCACCATTGTCGCGTACTTTTCGTTTCCTTTCCCGTGCTGCTCTTTGCGTCGGTCTCCTTGCTTCAAAAAATCTTAGGCAAAAATCCGGGGAAGTAGGGTGTTTCTTCAACGGCCCATTCCCGATTTATGGAACGAAATGGCAACTGATGAGTATCAGGCAAAATTCCGCATGGTAAAGAATACTCGCAAAATTTCAAATTTAATTCAAGAAACCGAACCAGAGGCGAAAGCGAAAGGGGTGGCTCATGACAGTGAGCAAAACTGCAGGCTACTCTTTGAAAGAGGCGGGAAAACACGTAGATATTTTTCGTAAATACCGAGAATTCTGCTGCTCCTGCAAACGTCACTGCATACTGCAGACACAACACGGTTTCTGCTACAGACGTAAGAAATAAGAATAACCCGAGATTTTCCTCTTTCAGTTACTCCCTTGGATAATTCCATAGTTTTGAACCAAATCAGTAAATATTGAAACGCAAATGATGAAAATCAAAATTACAGTTTGATTCTAGTTGGAGATCTTCGCAGCGCATGCTTTCAAAATCAAACACATTCGAACCAATATTGACAGCGCGCTAGCGGGCAAAGGATCTACTTAAATACGACGCAAGGCTGTAGTTCTACTGGCAACGTAATGAGTGCGAAGTAGCGCAAGCACAGTTGAACACTATGCTCGGCTTGCTGCTTCGCGACGTTCATTTGCGACTAGAAGAATCCGGATTTTTCGAGAAAAACGAAAAGGCCAAAGCAAAATCTGAAGTTCCGTTAGCCGAGCCACTCAAACGGTCGTCTATTCGCCGGGTTGCAATCACAAGCTGACAAAGGAATGCTGTTCTTTTTTCATTTTTCTCGAGCATCTTGATTTGCTTCTCGTCGTTCTTGAAAAATCGGCAAAATATATCCAGCGCAGCTTCAACCGCCGAGAGCGCTTCAGGCTCTTCGACCTGCGGACGAGAAATCTTCGAAGTTGTGGTCTACTTTTTTCCGAAAACGATGGAAACAAATCAATAAAGAGCCCATAAACAACGTACTACAACACGCAAAGACGCTGATCTAAACAAACCGCTGGATGAAAAGCACACGACTACCTTCCACACGCATCGGAGAGGATATTTACTTAGCACCACGAGAAAATCAAGGTCAGCAACAGCAACGTTGGCAGGGTATTACGCAGGCGTAACTCATAGCTAAAGCTAATCATAAGGCGCACGCTCAGAAAATAGTCATAAAACTTTCTGAACACGCACGCGTAAGATTCCTCTCGCAGATGAGCGACGAGATCAGGGAGTGAAGGAAGTGCACGAAAAAAAATGCAGGTTCGAAATAGAGTGGTTCAAACACGAAGCAACAGAAAATTACCTAAATGCAAGAAGCGCAAAATACGAACCTCAAAGGGTGAAACGGAAAATATTCGAAAAGATGAAATCTACAGTGCTATGATACACGACAAGAGAAATCCTTGTGAAATATTAAAATTTAGTTTGCATTTCGGCAAAAAATAACAGAGACATCGAAACCAAGCAGAAGCAATCAAAACCTCACGTCATTCTTGTCGAAATCTACGGTACTCATTCAGTCAAATAAGTAGCCGTCACTGCCAGAAAAACATACCTCATCAAGTGGAGCATAGATATTTATCGACGACTATACAATTTTTCTACGAAAATATTTTCAGGCTGTTCGCAGACGGCAACACTGGAAGAGTTGATTGATGTCATTGTCAAAAGCATAAATCATGGTACAGTAACGTAGAAAAAGCAGAAGAGAAAAATTTGAAAATCAATTGCAAGTCGCATTTACATACTTGATTCAAATGAGATGTGAAACTTCGCAGCTACCAATGGCCTCCTGTGCCATTTGCATTTGACGCGGTAGCAGCTCGATGTGTGAATTGAGTCCTAGTAACTTTTGAATTGAATTGCTGAAAAGCGGCACGCTTTGCCTTTTCATGCAGACGATTCAGGACAAGAAAGAGGGTGATACATACATCCATGTGTTGAAATGAAACAAGCACTCAACAGCCCCACCAGCTGTACAGATATCCTACTACTGGTGCTGCTGCTCTTCGACGTGGTTGTAGAAACATTCATCCAACACCGGAAAAAGCTCATTTTCGACCAGCTGGGACTCTTTTTTCGACAACTTGAGCCTGTCCAGCGCCCGATTCACCATTTCGTCGTAGGAGCACGTCTTATTGCCCCCAAACAACCCCGCGACGCACAAGCGACACACGAAGCGCCACCACACGCCTCGCAGTCCCGGCGAGGAGGTTTTCTGGACTTCTGTGACCAGAATTTTCCGGAGAAACACCGCAAGCAGCTCCACGGCGAGGGACTCGTTCTTCGGGATTAACCTGCGGTACATCGCGTAGAAGCACTGCGCGAGACTCGGCAACGACTCCTCCGCTCGCCGCACGCCACCCGCCATCGCGTCCTTGGCCACCCGCTCGAAGGCCGAGTTCAGCGACTGCTCGAGCTCACACAGGTTGTCGTAGCCCCTGGAACTGAGAAGCTCCGATCGCGGAGATAGCGTGGGGGATTTATTGCTCTTCGAAGAAGTTTTTTTTGCATTTTTACTTGGAGAAGCTTTGGTGCTCGGAGACGAGCTACTGGAAGGAGACGCATTGTTGATCCCATTTGTCAAGAAATCCGGATCCGACGCCACTTCGACTTTTCGATCAATCAGCACAGTCATCTGCCACACCGAGGTCGTCGCAAGCAGACTATCTGTCGTCGCTGCCGTGGACCCGACAGAGCTCGGCTTTGAGCCGGCGTTTCCTGAACTGCTGTCCTTCTTCGCGCTACTTGGACGCTGCTGTTTCTGGGAAGATGCACCACCACCGGTTGTCTTCGACTTGCTGTCACCATCCGCGGCGTGGTTAACTTCTTTTAACGTCGTTGCCTTCTCCAGTTTCGATTTGGCTTTCTTCTGGTTCACCCATTGCGACGCCCGGAGATCCACGACATCCTGCAGCAAGCAGCGGATCCGGGCGGGGACAGCTTTGTCGGTCGACAACTGCGCCACCACCTGCAACACCTCGTCAAAGTGGGTCCAGTGTGGCCAAGATTGGTTGTCAAGCATCGGACCAATGGATTCCACGAACGCGACCAAGGTTTCCAGATTTGCAGTCGCGGTGTTTTTTTCCGCGGCAGTCTTCGCGGCTTTATTAGTACTATTAGCCTCTCCTCCTTCCTGCTCCGCCGGCAGAATTTTCCGGCCGTTTTCGATCAAGTCTTGGCAGATGCAGATCGCGATCCTGCTGGCAATCATCTTCGCACGGATTAATTCTCCGACGAACTTGATGTTTCCCAGCATCTTCGTCTTGTACTTCAGCTCCGCTTCGTACAGTTCCTCGTGTTTCAACCCCTCAAATTCCAACTCCGGCGACAAATACTCCTCAAACGACGCCTGGCACTGGTTCAACAGGGTCCGTTTTAACGTCCCCTGCTCCGGCATGTTCTTCGCGCACAGCCAGTTGTGAATTCGCTGGCACAATTATCCTGATTAAAAACATCCCCACACCAGAGTCAAGATGGGGACTTTGCAACACAAACCTAGGAGTTTTGGGAGTCACGCATGACAAGGTTCAGTCCGTAAGGTAGTGCAAGTTAGCAAGCAAAGCCGCATCACAAATCGATTTGCTGATCCTGTTTACAGCATTACAAGTTCCCAAACACGATTGGAAATGCCTGTCATGGGGTTGCGCATCACAAATGTTCCTGTCATGGCAAATCTGCATGACAACTGTGGTGTGGGGACGTTTTTACTCAGGATAACAATTGCGTGTACAGTTGCACGAAGTGGTGCTGCGTCGTTGCGATCTGGAAAACCATCGCGATCAGTTTCGGAATGCCGACGGAGACATCTTCGTGCGTTTCGAGGAGTTCTAGGAGATTTGTGGTAACCGATTCGAATTTTTCAAACGTAATTTTGTTCAGCAAGCCTTGGATTTTCCGCTCTCATATCAAATGTAAAAATGTCTGGGTCTGGAAGAATGCAACTTGTCATGCTAAATCTGAAGCATGCAAAAATCTGTGTTGCATGATTGCCAAAAGTCGTCCAGTTTTGCCCAAGTCGGGAGGGAGTTTCTCATGCAGGATAGGCATGAGAGAGATTACGCAGAATCTGTCATCCATGCTAGGTCCTGCATTCCAGGCTTCATGGGTCATGGAAAAGCTGCATGACAAACCGCGCATTCTTCCAGACCCAGACATTTTTACATTTGATATCCCAACAGGCGACGCTGTCGCTCGCGTAGTGCGATCCCTGCGTTTTCATCCAGCTGTTGCTGCTGGCTTTCATCAATTTCTGGATCTCCTGTTTCTTTGTCGCGGACGAAACGGGTTTGCTGCCCGACAACTTGCTCCCGGTACCTTGTTCACCCCGGGAACTACGCCAGGCGCCGCTGCCCGAAGCGTTGCCACGCTTCTCGTTGTCGAGATCTTCGTAAAGCTTTGTGGTCCAGGGGCGAACATTCGGCTGCGGCTTCTTGTTGAAGACAGGCTGAAACTGCAGCATCTCCGTACGCTGAAAATTTGGAATTTCCTTTGCAGCTTTGTCTGATAGTACTAACTTGGTCATCCATGGTGCAACTGGAGCAGCACTAGCTCGGGGATGGAAACGGAATCATGATCATCGGTAGATGATGACGAAGGAAAGCTCAGACTGAATGAAACTTTTACGTGGACAAAACTTAAACTTTTATACCGTGTATGTTCTGAACTTGAGTGCCACTTCACTAAACACCGGCTGTTGCTTCGGTAGTTTTTCTGGTGTGCTTTGCACCGATTGCGAAGATAGCGACTTTGCGGGCGTAGACAAGCGCTCTGAATCGGACCGGCTGATCGATCGGCTAATCATTCCGCTCTCGTCCAAACTACTACTCTTGGCCGGCGTAAACTGCTCGGACCCGCTAGTAGCCAGGAGTGGTGAATCGAGCAAAAGGTCGGGCGTTTCAGCCTGAATACGAATAGGATCAGGATGTTGAGCATATTTATATTATTTGAAACTCTTCTTCATGAAAAAGGACAACATGATCCATTGAGGCCTTCACAAACCAAACTAAGAATACCCGGAGCGATGAACCCGTTTCTTCCGAATCTGAGGAAGAGAGTGTCAAATCGTCTACCCGCGGATTCATCAACTTTTCCTCCACCGTGGCAAGCTCTGTTTAACGTTTTGATGTTGTTGACATGCGGCCATTGCCAATGCAGAAAGCTATGTACTTCTACTCGTGCGTTTTATGATCTCAAATCAAAAACATTAACATTCACTTTCCTTACCTGTAGCCACTTCTGTCAAGTAATCCCCGACTTTTGGGTTGTCCAGTTCGAAATACTCGAGAAACGCAATCCGAAACTGCTTGATTTCGGAAAAAATGTCCGGCTGCCACCGTAGCACACGCTCCTTCACTAAAGCGGCCAAGGTCCGCTTCACCAAGTCAGCTCGGCGATAGTCGTCAGCGCCCAGGCAGAGCAGGTGTTGCGTCTGTGATTTTGATAAAGCAGAGATAGAGTTCAGGACGAGACATCTTCATGTTATCATGTCAATGCACTTTTCAGCTGCCAGCGCGAATGCAGGCATACGATCCACAGCCAAGAGTGATCATAGGTCCAGCATATCACTACAAAAAAGATGACCGTACGATATCCTGTGCGGAATTGCATCTGAGACCCAGATAGTCTTCCACCAACAACCGGCTGTCGCCATCGTCCGCAAAATACTCGCAGAGCTGCCGAATCTCAACACGATCCGCAGCGGCGAGCGTGCCCTCGCGGCACAAAACAATGTCCCAGTTCGCGGCGGATTTTTCTTCTTCGCCAGCTGTTTCTTCCTCGGCTTCAGAGATTTTTTCGATGGAAGTCGTTTCCTCCGAGTCCGCCTCGACTAGTCGTTCAACACTGGTGCTAGTGGCTTCCATATCTTTGCAGCTCTCGTCGTCTGCAGCGTCCTCCGCACTGTTAATTTCCTCAGTTCTTTCACTTTGAATTTCTTCATCGTCGTTTTGTACTGGATTGTCTTCCTTGTCCTCCAAACTTGTTTCGGAAGGCGGTGCTTCATCCTTCTCAGCAGCGGAAGGCGTGTGAAAGGGAGCATACCCATCGTCCGAAGAATCGGTATCAGAATAGGCATCCAGGTTGAAGGGTAAAGCAACGTCCTTCAAATAACCTGCCAAGTGCGGAAACAGGCCTCCCTGACCGTCGGCAGGTGCATCTTCTTGGTTCCCCAGGAGACCACCGTCCATGGGGGCCTCAGAAAGTTGCGCCGCAGGTGCGTAAATGTCGCCCTGCTGGATGAAACTTTGGTCATCCACCGGGCTGGCTAACAACGAGGAAACGTTCGCGGAGAATTGGTCGGCCGTGAGGCTCGGCACCTGAAAAAATGAAAATGTTGTTCATCAATTTTCGTTGCCACCGGCAGCGACTCAAATTTGCGTGTGAAATACTAACTCAAAGTGGATTTAACAGAAGCAAAACAAACTCAAACCTCTGGCAGCGCTGGCGTCGCAACCGAAGACGGCGGAACCACGAGGGAAACATCCAACGAGCAGTCTAAGAGACTGGTGCACTGCGGCGTCGTCAAATCGGAAATTCCGGTCTGGTCCATCGTGTTCAGCAACGCAGAGGAACCTTCCAACGTGCTCGCGGTGGCGCTGCTGGCCTCCAACGGGTTGTAGGTGTAGCCACCGTGGTTGTTGTACAAGTGTCCACTTGTATTGCCAGTATTGGATGAACCTAACACAGCCACGTCGTCCGGGCCCGGCGGTCCCGAAGCGAAATTGCCATCAGCAACCGAAGATCCGAGGTCAGAACTTCCTAGCCCCGCACCCGTTAATTCAACATGACCGTCGTCGGCGACTGCACCGCACGGTCCTCCGTTGGTGTTGTTCTTCGAAGGCTTCACCGGTGTCTGCAGCAACACACTGGTGGTTGTGCAATCCACTGGCACTGTGGTGTTCGCAGTTTCGTTTTCTTCGTCGGAATTGTCCTCTTCGCAAGAGTCGCCGTCCGAACTGGATGAACCGAAAAATCGCTGGATGTCATCATCCGTCGCAATCGGGCCCTGGTAACTCGCCTCTTTCGGGACGAAAGCAGCCGCCTCCGGGTTAAACGGAAACGCCTTCTGCGGCGTCTGCGCACGCCCGATGATGAGGTCTGCCAACGAGGTGACATTCTGCTGCCGATCGATCCGCCCGCCGTTCATCAGCATGTCGATCTTGTCCGGCGTTTTACTGGTTGACGCCGTAGGAACAACTCCTTCGGAAGTCGCAAGATCTTCGCCGTCCGCGAACGGCATCGTCGCTGGCTCCGCGAAGGGTGTGGAAACCAACACCGGGACGGTGTTATTTCGCACCATTTCTGGCGACTGAAGCTGGGGGGTCTTTGCCCGCACCTCTTCGCGCGGGCTGAAGGTAAACTGGTGGCCTGGTGGAAATGGACTGCCGCTGAGCGGATTGTCAAGTAGGTTTCCCATGTCCAAAGGCTGGACCAGGTCCAAGAACGAGGCCCCCTCCCGGAACTCCAGCAAGGAGGAGGTTGCATCCAACAACATCGCTGTCCTGGGGTCGGACGCGGTCGTCGGGGGTGAAGAAAGAGTTGAATTTGTGTTCGTGCTGTCCAACAACATGTCATTCGTACCGGAAATGGTTGTGGATGGCACAAGGCTGCAGAGATCTGGACTCGCAAAGGCATTGCCGACGGTTGTTCCTGGAACAAGGTCGGGATTATCAGTGGCAGTTGCAATATGGTCTTCGGCAACTGGAAATTGATCTATTTGATCGGAAGCAGAGTCGAGTTTTTCTGTCGAATTTTCCTCCAAAACCAGCTTCCACCGTCCCTGGATGATGTCAGGGAGCACTTGGGATGAGGATGAGCCGTCTTCTGCTGCATCAACCTCGTCACCCGAGTCGTGCAAGTCCTCCTCATGTTCGTGAAACTCATATTGTTTGCGATTGAACTTTCCGCCCTTGCATTCTTTGGAGGCCGCCTTGCTGTAGTCCTTCGCGCTTGTGCCAAAATCATCACGCCTCGTCCACCATCCCTCCGATTTACTCTTCATCGCTCCACCCTTCGAGGATTTTTTTTCCTCACTGGGAGAGTGGGGCTCACCGCTCCACGCTTCGTGTTTGCCATGCGTGTAACGTCTGTAATTGTCCTTCTGGTTGTAGTAGCTGTGATAATTATCATAGTAGAAATCTTTGTGCCCGACTGCTTTCCCGCCATGATCCTTCTTCCAGGACCCCTTTGCTCGTGCTTTCCACATGGAAGAGGAAGCTGAATCGTTCTTGCTTGATGAATAGTGCGACTTCTTGTTTTTTGTGCCTCCCTTCATCTCTTTTTCAGCAGGAGAAGCGGTTCCTTCCTGGAGACCTTCGCCACTGGAAGCGGCAGCGGATGAGGACGAGGCGGATTGTTGCACAACTTCACCGTCTTCGGGAATGGTCGCCAGCGTCTTTTTCATTCGGTTGTTTTGCGTTGCTTTCGACTTGGATTCCGCCCGCAAGACGAAACTGTCCTTTACACGGGCCCACGCACTGCCTTCATTCTTTGAGGTGGATGAGTCTGCGGTGCTGGCGCCCTGGAATGTTTTTAACAATTCACTCTCAGTAGATTCCATTTGAACAGCCAAGAGCAAGAGCAAGAGCTTGAGCTAGAGCTGTTTTCCATTTGCATGAAAGTAGAGAGGTTGCAAGCATGCCAAGCGCGGCAGCATGGGCTCCTGCCGCATTCATCAAAAGCAGCCAACTACCAGGTCCAGGCAATGATAAACTAACAAATTGCCTACCGCCGGAGCCGTTCGGATGGAGCTTTTCCTGCTAGAAACAGGTGAAGACTTTTTGTCGTCGGCATCTCCGAGATCCTTGGATGCCGTTCCTTTTGCCAGCTTTCTTGATGTCCACTGGTGTTCTTTGCCACCCTTGTATTTCCCGTGGGCATACTGCGGTCCTGCCTTCCCTTCCCCTGAATCAACTTGCAGCTGCGACGAAGCATGGTGGCCCTTTTTGCTGTACGCTCCCCCGCGCTTTTTTCCGTAACCCTTCCTCTTATCAGAATCCCCATGCTCAGCTCTATTGTTGGCGTCGCGAGATGGGTCTTCGACTTGCTCAACGTCCGTCTTCGTGTTGGGCATCTCCGTCTCCTCAGACTCGCTTACCTTCTTCCAAACGCCTTGCTTTGATTTCATCTCTGTAAGAAAAAAACGACGACGATTCCAAAACTGAAAAGCCGCGGATCAGTCGTACGCTCCGGAACCAAAAGCACAGACAGCTACAGCACCGATGGCTTTTACTGATGCTCACCGTGTATGTCGGATAGCAATCTCATCCAACATCATTGCGTGACGACGGTTTCAGCGTTTGATCTGCTACTTGACGACGTTCCTTCATGCGGTAAAGAGTTTATTTAAGTTTCTATACATAGCAAAAGCAAACACATCAATCATACGAGTACACACAACAGCTTCCTCAAATGTTGTGCTGCGCCAAGATTCCTGCAACGACTGTATGCCACACTCAGGAGCCACTGACTCCGGCAGAAGCAGAACACGGACCTGGACCTCGCCTGCCAATAAGGCGGGCACGAGAAGGATTCTCGTCGAACGAGCCAAGAGTCTGTTGGCCAACATGGCTACAGAGAGAAATGAGCGCGCCAGACCTCATGATCAGCGCGGCCCATAGTAGAGTACTCACATCTTCATATCATTGCCAACGCCCACGGGGCTAACAACTAGCGCATGGCGGCCAACAAAGGTAGCGAACTACAGCGCCACTGCAGGCGCCACAGATAGAACACCCGCGCGCCGGAGCAGGTGCTGGCAGGACACGCCGCGCCATCAAGAGCAAGATCCTAGGGCAGCGCGGTCATTTTTCAAATAGCCTGCGCAAAGCACGAGGCAGTGCACAGGCAGGCTGCCAAACGCGGGGGCCGGCCGGCCAGACGGCGCGAACATGCAGGCCCGAGGCACCAGGCGCGGGCCCGGGCGAATTTGCGCCGTATTTGCGGCGCTGACGTCGCGCGCGGGCCCGCTTGCGCCGCCGGCCGGCGCGTCGCACTAACGGAGAGTCGCTGTCTGGTCGTCTTTGTATTCCTGAGCGGTCATCCCACGCGCCGTCGTGAAAAGCGAAATTCTCGCTGAAGCAGCTTTTCTACCAGAGCAGCAACTTCGCCGGGAGTTGGGGCGCCGGAGGCGGCGCACCGTGGCTGCGGCCTTAGCGGGCGGGCCCCGGCGGCCCATATCCGCAACCCCCCGGGGTGCGGAGCGGCCGGCAGCCGGCGGGGCGCGGCGCGGGGTGGCTGCGTGGGACAAGAAAGGACGCGCGGCCCGGCCCCCCTTGCTTCGCCCTCCTTGGAGAAACCGGCCGCCACCCCGAACCACACCGCGGCGCCATCCCCTTTCCGCAGAGACAGCTGCGCGCCGTAATGCCACTCCTTGCCGGAGGCGGCCCCGCGCCCGGACTGCTTCCCGAGGGCCCCCGGGGCCCGGCCGGTCGCGAGGCGGCGCGGCAGCAAGCTGCCCCGCTACGTACAGGGCGCAGGCGCGGGGGGCGGGGCCCAGCGGGCAAAGGCCCCCCATGATAACACGCCGGGCGGGGCGCGCCCCCCTTGCTGGTGGGGTGGCACATCGCGCGCGCGACGTACTGCGCCCTCCCGCGGCCCGAAGCCCGGCTGCGGTGTCTGCATGGACAGGCCGCTGCTTCCCCGGCGCCAGGGCCCCCGCGGCGCCCCCGCACCGGCGTCGCGGATGACCTAGGCAGGCGCCGGCCGGGCAAGTGCGCCAGGCTGTTGCCCGCCCGCGCGCGCACAGGTGCGCGCGAAGGCCTCCAACTATTTCAACACAGGGGCCCCCGGGTTCGCGCGGATGTGGCGGCGTCCACGGAAGCTCCTGGGCGCGTGGGGGTAGCGCAAAAACTTGGCCGCTTCGCATTGGCCCTCCCCCGGATTTCCGTACCCAAAGCAGCCAACAGCACCACAGGCGCCAGCCGAACAGGTCGGCGAGTTCCACCAAAGCCCCGACCGGCGCCGGCGGTTTGCGCGGGCGGGTAAGCAGCGGCGACCTGCCTTCTTCTCACGCGCGGGGCTGCCCCGGGCCGAGTAAGTTGCCTGCCCCCGGGCGGCGGTTCCCCCGCCCCCGAGAGTGCGCTGCTGCTGCCTGCGCGGCTCATGTCGGCCGTCCGCGATTTGTCGCCGCCGCATCCTGGCCGTAGCGTGGCAGCCCACCCACAACGCAAAACAGCCGGCAGAGCTACAACACCCAACCGCCGCCCTGGCTCTTGCATTTGCAGCGCACTGCCAGCGCGAACTGCTACAGATTTTGGGCATCGATCACGCGGGTGCTGCTCTAGAGTGTATGCCGCGGCACTCGGCTCCCCAGTCACGCTGTCAGCGTAAGGAACACTCTTTAATATCTTCGGCCTCGTGAGTGGATCGAGGCATCAACAAAGAGACAATGGCCATGCTTCAACCACTGATTCCGTTCCAGCTTCGAGGCTTTTGGAGCTTGCACCCGTCGCGCTTTCAAATTCGGTTTGTATTTCAGTTTTTTTTTTTTCAGTTTCATCTTCACAATTCTTGCGTCATAGACAAAGCGACTCCGAGTCTAAATCTAAATCGCGTCAAACGCCTGTAATGTTCTTCACACACTTGCACTTAGCCGCGCAACTTCGGGACCTCATCTCGGTGCTACCGCTACGGACGACATTCATCGAGAAGCACCCGGATACTATTTCGTGGGCTTTTCTTTCCCTAAAATCATCCCGCCACCAATTGATTTCCAAATTCCTGCGCAAACGTCGCGAGAAGCGATGAAAACTGGCGGATCTCTCCCGTCCTCACCCAATCGACCAGCTTTTTCAATTTTCCGACCTCGTCCTCAACCTTCGCAGACCCCCCTCGCTTTTCCGACCAGCTCCAGTACAAATCTTCTGCCAAATTTGTCCAGGCGCGAAGCTCGAGCATCTCAAACCGCGACAGCAGCTTTGCATCCGCATCATCCGCAACCGCAAACGCCGCACCGTAGTCAGTCAAAACCGCGTGGGCCACCGAATCCGAAGAGTTCTTTTCCATTACCCTTTTGCAGATTATGTTATGGGCGTACATATCCCCGTGGAATAAGTTCCGCGTTCGCAAAAACGCCCCGGCTTTCGCAATGTCGCGGCAAATTGAAACAATGTCGCGGGTACTACTCACCGCAAACAGACTCGCGGACTCAAACACGTCCCGGGTAATCGACGCCATACTGGGCGTCTGGCCGAGAGGGATGTAGTTTTCCAGTAAAGAAGTGACCACGCCGATCACGTGCTTCCCGCTGCTGTCCGCGACTAGCCCGAGTGGTTGGATCGTGGTTTCGCAGAGCTCGGTCGCCGAGCCGATTCTGCGCAGAATGTTCAGCTCATGCCTGCTGTCGCCATCAGTCGTCACTCCAGCTTTGAAAATCTTCACTGCGACAACCTGATCCGAGGTCCGCAGCTTGGACTGCAGCACTACGCCAGAAGCGCCGCCGCCAAGCACTTTTGCTTCTGAATCATGGGAGTCAGCACTATCAGTGTAGACGTAGATGTCTCTGTCCGGCAAGTACTTCAAGCAAAGATCTTTCTCGAGATCTAGGAGCGGGAGAGCCTTTTTGGCTCCATTTTCCAGACTCGCTGAAGATGCCGTGACAGTGGTTCCAGAAACTTGCTGCGTAACATCACAGCCTTGCCCCTCGACCAACCACGGCAGCGGATTCCCGCTGAAAGCAGTCCAAGCGAGCTTCGGGCAATCGTCAAAAAATGCCGATGGAAGCTCCCTAATCTGATTGTCGGAAAGCCGAACCAGTTCCAGAGCTGGAGGAAAGCTAGGCGGTAACGCTTTCAAGCGATTCCCGGTCAACAGTAGCTTCCGCACGCTCCGAAAAGTCTTGCCAAATTCTGACGGCAAAGCTTCAATGCGATTATTTGTCAGTGTCAGCCAGGTGAGGTTGTACAGGACAGGACTCGGCTGTACTAGAGACGCTGCTGGTACTAGTTGCAGCGCTCTCAATCCGCAGTGCCGCATTGCTAGCATGTAGAGACTGGGCACAGAGCTCACCAGCTCGAAAGGAAAATCTTCCACTTGGTCCAGCGCTGCAGCAAAGAGAATTCGCAACCCTTCCCAGGTCTTCAAAGCGTTCAAATCCTTAATCTCTGGATTCCTCCCCACATCCAGGACCTGCACCGATGTGTCTGGTGGTAGTGTCGCTAAATCATTGAGGTTCTTCGCCTGCAAGTCCAGCTTTTTCATCCCCTGAAAAGTTGTACACGTGTAGGCCGTCATTTTGGCTTGTGAAGTTTTATCGCCCGCTTCGACGGTGGGCGGGAACGACGAGGGAACGGAACCAGTAGCACTGGACACGACAGTCATCGTGCTGGGTTACTTAATACGATGATTTCGGAGCAAAGCCTGATCGTGGTCCTGTTGTCTTCTTGGAAGCTGCAGAACTTCAACTTCTAGCCTTCTATCTCATTACGGTCACGGATGTTTTTGATCCGTAGCTTGAGGATGACGATCGAGGTGGCATTCACCTTTCTTGATCTGCTTTGAGATCTGAAAAGCAGAGGTTGTGTGAGAACCACGAAGCGAAACGAACACAGCGAATGAAAATTGCAAGAACTACTGCTTCAAGGCACACGCACAGGTAGCACATTCTCCTTCTCGATTGTTCATGCAGGGCTGAAACGAAAAAAAAGTTCAAAAAGCAGACTCGCATTTCTACTCCTCGAAAATGCCGCCAGCCGATAGAGGCCGAGATTATCCGCAAATCTTGCTCGATCTTCAGCTGAAACCTTCGCAGTTCGTCTGACGCCTGTGCATGGCATGGCTTCAAGAAACATAAAAGTGAAAATGAATTCAATGTCAATGGAAACTGAAAGAATACAGAAGTGTCAAGAAACATCAAAAACCCATTCATCTAGTCATTTTCACGGGAACAACCACCCAAACAAAGACGACGAGCTGGAGCTGCTTCCACCAACACCTCGCTCAGCGCGCGAGGACGAGGACGGTGATCTCATTTCCAAAATCGCCAGGTCGCCCGTATCGTTGAAAAAATGCGCTGCCGGAGGAGCGAAGTTGTACTTGTCGATTTTGTTTGGAGACCGAGGCGGTGTGCCGGCAGACCCAGCCGAAAGTTTGTTCCCGGCTGAGTTTCTGCCGCTCTGGCCTGTTGCCACTACAGCTGCCTTGTTGTGGAAAGTCGTGCGCGAATAGTACTGACTGGACTGTGAAGACTGTAAGTTTTGCAACGCCTGAGCGAACAACTGGTCTTCGGTGGTCTGAAGGGCGTTTAATATTCCCGTCCCACCTGCTGACCCATCCTCCACATGTTGGTAGCCGCTTCTGTCAGAAACTTCCACTGGCACAATGGGAATCACGCTGTTTATTTCGTCCTCCTCGCTTTCGATTACCACCATCCCATCTGCGAACGGAGAAACCGAGGTGTACAGGTAATTGTGGATGAACGCGTCAAGCTCATCTTGCGCCGCCTCATCAGCATCATCCATCCCCATCTTTGTAGCGAACGCTCGCTTGCAACGCAACAATTGCGTATCGGCGTCATCGGGCGAACGCGAGGAGCCCGATCTATTCGCAGAGGAGGGATGATTATGTAGCAACAGCCTCGTGCTGCCGTTTTGATCAGGCTGAGTAGTGGTCTGTGGGGTCCTCATGGTGGGAAAGAGAAAACTCCTGTAACTCAACCGCCGGTTGGATGCCGCGTGTGTCCTAGCAAGCTGCTGGTTGTTCATTTTGTTCCCACGACCAGAGGCTGCACAAGGTCCCAGTAACACATTGTTCATTTTATTCTGGGAAACTTGCAAATCGCTCATCAGTGCGGCCGAATTCTTTTTTGTATGGGCTGTCGCGTTGGCCTGCAGCTTCTGCCCTCGGGTCGTGCTACTGTTGTTCATTGTGCTTTTACTTGGCGCTGTTAACCTAATTGCGGATTGTTCTGCCTGGCGTGCTTCACCTGTTTCGCGCTCGTGCCTACCGTTTATTTCTTGGTTCATGCTGGCCAAATCCCCAGCCGAGGAGGACGTGGTCGATGCGCGTTCCTGGAAGAAGAAGAAGAACATGTTTTTCCTCCGCGACGGCGAGCTGTGCCCGTTGTTGGAAGCTGTTGCTACCGTCTCCCCGCCTGCTGCCCCGCTCCGCGAGGTTTGCACTTTTCTCGGACCTGCTCCATTCTCCTCGTCACTCGTTCGCTCTTGCTCCGACCGCATACCACGCGTCGCGATTCTTTCCGCGATGGGCAGCTCGTGTTCGGAAGCATCATCCGGCGATTCCTTTCCCAGCGCGAGTTGGTGAAACAGCACACGCAAGGGCTGCTCTTCCTCCCATTCTTCGGCAACAATCGCAGCGTCCTCATCTCCGGAAAGGCAAAAAACGAAATCGTCTTCCGCATTTAAGACGCTGAGATCTCTTTCGCCCCGCTGCTGCACACGACTTATTTCCGAAATAACTTCCATTTTTAGCTAGTCATTCGAAAACCAAAACGTAAAGTGAAAGTAGAAGTGTTGCAGTTCTTGACGCACCGTGGAGCTTTACAAATTAATGCGGTTCACCGTACGGCGCATGTGTAGAGTTGTATGTGTAACCAAATTATGCAATCAGATTTACAGAATGGTTTGGATTTTCAGAGATTTAAGTTTTTTTTCAAAAAACGTGGTGTCGTGTGGTGGATGCCGAGATAAATGCGTTGAAATCGTCTGAGGAAAGCAAACAAGCCTGGATGAATTTATTCGGACGTTAAAATTTTCCTCAGAAAAAACGCCGCGAAAAGTCTGACGATAATGAGGCACGACCACGACAATAAATCTGGACGGAGACGAGACAGCACGAGACGTGTTTGCACGAATGAAGTTTTCTCTTTCCTTGCTTTCTTCACAGCATGGAGGCATGACCAGTACGAGTCCAACGATTGATGACCGAGAGACGAATATTACACCCAGCAACGTTTGCATGAAGATCTCTACGGAGATGTTCAGGTCGAGATACGACAACGTTTCAAACTGAACGGCCTGCTCTACAAGAAAAAGGTACGTTTCCATAAACAGGCGCGCCACTCCAATAAACTATATATTAAGTAAGTAAGTAAGTAAGTAGTACTTCGACGCGATGTCATGGCCAGCGATCGGATGCAACAAAGAAGTACCGGGCAGCACAACTTTTTTGCGCAGCCTGATTGCGGAAACGCGCCGGCATTCCCAAGCTTGGATCTATTTTGAGCAGTCTACAACAGAAGCACTAATAAAACCCTTTCTCGACGGTGTGGCAGATGCCATAAAGAAAAAAAAACGCCTCTGCACAGGTCTTTTGATTTGGCCATCTGCGTGCATTGCCAAGTTTGGGCCTACTTGTTACAGGCGCCATTCGTAACAAAGAAAACCCCACCCCCACGGCATGGCCGATAATCAGACGCAACAAAATCCCGGGCAACGCAACTTTTTTTCGCAACCTGATTGCGGAAACGCGGCTGCATTGCCGAGCTTGGGTCTATTTTGGGCAGTCTACAAGATAAGCACCAAAACCCTTTGTCGACGCTATGGCGAATGCCAGAAAGAAAAAAAATTGTCTCTGTGCAGCTTTTTTGATTTGGCCCTCTGCGGAGCCACGAGGGCATTGCCGAGTTTGGGTCTATTTTGCGCAGTCTACAAGATAAGCACCAAAACCCTTTCTCGACGCTATGGCGAATGCCAGAAAGAAAAAAAATTGTCTCTGTGCAGCTTTTTTGATTTGGCCCTCTGCGGAGCCACGAGGGCATTGCCGAGTTTGGGTCTATTTTGAGCAGTCTACAAGATAAGCACCAAAACCCTTTCTCGACGCTATGGCGAATGCCAGAAAGAAAAAAAATTGTCTCTGTGCAGCTTTTTTGATTTGGCCCTCTGCGGAGCCACGAGGGCATTGCCGAGTTTGGGTCTATTTTGAGCAGTCTACAAGATAAGCACCAAAACCCTTTCTCGACGCTATGGCGAATGCCAGAAAGAAAAAAAATTGTCTCTGTGCAGCTTTTTTGATTTGGCCCTCTGCGGAGCCACGAGGGCATTGCCGAGTTTGGGTCTATTTTGAGCAGTCTACAAGATAAGCACCAAAACCCTTTCTCGACGCTATGGCGAATGCCAGAAAGAAAAAAAATTGTCTCTGTGCAGCTTTTTTGATTTGGCCCTCTGCGGAGCCACGAGGGCATTGCCGAGTTTGGGTCTATTTTGAGCAGTCTACAAGATAAGCACCAAAACCCTTTCTCGACGCTATGGCGAATGCCAGAAAGAAAAAAAATTGTCTCTGTGCAGCTTTTTTGATTTGGCCCTCTGCGGAGCCACGAGGGCATTGCCGAGTTTGGGTCTATTTTGAGCAGTCTACAAGATAAGCACCAAAACCCTTTCTCGACGCTATGGCGAATGCCAGAAAGAAAAAAAATTGTCTCTGTGCAGCTTTTTTGATTTGGCCCTCTGCGGAGCCACGAGGGCATTGCCGAGTTTGGGTCTATTTTGAGCAGTCTACAAGATAAGCACCAAAACCCTTTCTCGACGCTATGGCGAATGCCAGAAAGAAAAAAAATTGTCTCTGTGCAGCTTTTTTGATTTGGCCCTCTGCGGAGCCACGAGGGCATTGCCGAGTTTGGGTCTATTTTGAGCAGTCTACAAGATAAGCACCAAAACCCTTTCTCGACGCTATGGCGAATGCCAGAAAGAAAAAAAATTGTCTCTACCTTCATAAGATGGATCCGCTGCTACGAAAAAGCTGGCTGGCTCTGATGACCTTCAACGCGATTTGTGGTGTCGTTTTTCTACTTTTTACTGAACTGAATCAACGTGTATGGAAATCATTCAGGTTTCATTTTTTTGCGTGGTAGATTTTCAACATCTCTGTCGGCATCATGCACATCCTGCTCGACCGCAGGCGCAGAAAATTCGTCAGGATTATACAAGGTGGCTGTATCTTTCGCCAAGAGGGTACTCCGTTCCCTCTCTTCCGCAGTGCGCTTCCCTGCGCCAGTGAACAAAATTTTGTTTTTTTCCGAAAGGTCACTCGTCGCCAGCGTGCTCGCAAAACTGATCATCCCCATCAGCAGGGGTTCCAACGATTTCGCATCGGTCGTGAGCCGATGCTGCAATTCTTTTGTATCCAGCTCGAGCTCCACTTCGCTGGTTTCTTTCCGCTTGCCGCCCTTGCCGCCGCCAAACTGCTTCACTTCGGTCATGTCCAGAGAGCCAATGAAGCCGCCGGAGCCGAGCCAATAGCTGTGCCTGTGAGCATGTTTGATGAAAATGTCTTCGCTTCCATCTATACTGTCAGGGTGAATTGTAATTTCCTGCGACGAAGCAAGATTCTAGGAGGTGCTGGGCCACCAGTTTTCTACTCAACGAACTTGAGAAACACTGTATAAAATCTTCGTAGAGATGTTTACTAGTACCTTCGCTTCTTTCGCGTTACAATCGGCTTCGGCTGCGTTTCCAGGTACTTGTCGAACGCGGGTCGCTCGGAGTCGAGGTTTTTTTCCCTGCTGATGGATATCCGCAGGTCGAATTCCCCCCCGGTGATCACGTCGATGTCGATAATGCGGCTTTTTTCTTCCAACCTCAGTGCCTGTTTCAAATCGATACTCTGATCAGGCTGCCCAATTGTATCCTTTCGCAGAGACAAGGCCTGCCCATCTTCGCCCTCGTCAGCGTTACCATCTTGTTTCCAGCCTTCTATTTTCAGCTCTGGCACGCTACCCATGTGGTCGCGCCCATCGTCCGTAAACTTGGACAGTGTACGAACGGCGCGAATTCTGCGTCCATCCTTATTCTTTCCTTTCTTCCCTTTGCCTTCCTGCTTTCCGCCACCCTTAGTACTGTTGTCCTGACGCGGACCAGCATCACTGGGCATGAAATAGGTTCTGTCCTCTTGGCTGATGACCCATTTGTGGGGCAGAAACGGTGTCGCCGTCGCTATGCGCTTCGCGAGTTCCGCGGCGGAAGGAGTTGTTGAAACAGCAAGACTACTACTGCTGCTTGACGAGGAGGAAGAAAAAGCTGCCTGCTGCGGCTCCTGCGCAGCGTCGGCGCCTCCACGTGGTGCTGTACCTTTGTTCTCACCGGCAGGAGCTACTTCCTCAGGTTGTGATTCCAGCGCTTGCAATTTGAGTTGCTCCCGCTGTGCTTCCAAACTAGTCTCCGCACTGATTTGGATGCTGCGGTAGGCGTTCACGTCGATATCCGGATCGAAGCGGTACCGGACCCAGTCCTGGCTATATCCGCCCATGATGCGATACTTGTAGTCACTCTCCTTGTGAACTACTCCACGGTCCGCTTTCAGACTGGCCCGCGCTTTTTCCACCTGTTCTCTAGAGTAGTCGTCGTTGCCAGCGATTCTGCCCAGTCGCGCTTCGACTTCGAGAGCGGAGGCGTCTTTGTCCAGCAGCAGCATGGGATTTCCATATTCCGGCAACTTTTTCACCTCTGCGAATACCCTCTCCGCCAGCTGCTGCTTGGAGGAAAAGGTTGCCACGTCGGCAGCTGCCATGGGAATTGTTCGCGTGGATGATGTTTGTCGTCGCTCACTGCTTAAAAGTCGTATTTTTCTAGCACTAGCTGAACTATAAAAACCCGATGATGTTGCTGTACAGAAGATCAGAAACTGAAACGCGATCCGAAGCCTCATGTGCCTGGTGAATCGTGACGCAAACATGAGTTGATGACTTTCTGACCTTGTAGTTCGTGTGCGTTCTACTTGAGAAACAAGTGCACCTTCAATGAATAATCCCAGCAACTTTGCTAAAGTAGAAATTCGCAATTTTGTCCAGCAACTTTGCTAAAGAAATGTTGTACCCACAGCAATTGGTTATGATTTCGATCCGTCTGTTTGATAAATGCATGGGCCTCATTTTTGAACGTCAACAGAAGAACCGAAGAAGGGAAAGAGCGGATCGTCATTCCTAGAAAGGACCATTTCGCTTGAACATTAATCAGTTTCAGTCCTTCGTGTATTTTCTATGCGGATCTGCTTCCAACAGCACTCGACATTGTACAGTAGGAACAGCATAGCATACTTTCAGTCATCTGCATCTTAACACCAATGGAATAAGGGCAGCCTTCTGAAAATAGACCTGTGCGGCACAGATGAAAAAGCCGTGGGTCATGATGAAAGGATGAATGCAATGCGTCGACGAGATGAAATCTTCGTATGTAATGTATGTATGAGCGGTCAACGTGACCGATGCATGGTTCACCAGGGTAGGCGTCGTAGGTCCTGGTTTCTCAACATACGTGTCTTTTCGAGAGCAACACCTTGCGCGCCTGCAAGGTCGATACTGCTGAAAATAACCATTCTACTTCATGGAAGTTCTTGTTCTGCTTTGTTTTCTCTCCCAGCAATGTGCGGCAAACGAACCAACGCTGCGGCCCTCCACAGATGCATTTACTCCTCCGCCTGTTCGACCGTTGCAGACGTGTCGGACGGTGTCGTAGAGTTCTTCCTGCGGGTCGTTTCCGAAGTGCTGGCAGTCGTCCCCGGTAGCTCCGTGAAAGCCGGCTCGTCTTCCGGCACGGCGGAAGCGCGGGAAGCCGGCTTCTTCTTTTCCTCGACGACTTCCGTGATTGTAGAAACCACGTCTTCCGCCTGGCTCTTGTCGAACTTCGATTCCTTGACCGTCTCCTTCGGTTTAATCGCCCACTTTTGTGCGAAGGCAAACACGTGATCCCGCACCGCGTTGTGCTTCGTGACTTCGAACAGCAAATCGATCAGTAGCAGTCCCCCGCGGAACTCCGGGTGGTACAACCAGACGAAGAAGAGCGTTTGCAGTTCGAAGACGAAGGGAAGGTAGATGCTCAAGAGATCGAAAGTCGGTTTCACCATGATGTACAGGACGAAGTAGACCAGCCAGCAAGCGAGCGAAGTCTTCTGGTCGGCCTGCCACAAGACCGGTAATTTCGATCCACGGAGAAGGTTTATCGCAGCGAGCACCGGCATCACGGTAACCAACGCGAAGGAGACCGGCTGGGCGAGCGGCAAAACCGTCCACGGAGCATCTTCGCCGTCGTAGAGTAAAGACAACATTATTGCTAAAAGTGCAGCTCTGTGGGGGGACGAGGGGTAGTACAACCGTCAAAACTTGCCTACACAATGTTGAGACAGGAGTTTCAAACAAGAGGGACGATCGTCTAACTTTCAATGAGAAATGTGCCCGAGGTGGTGAACAAAAAAAACAGTCGCCGGTGTCGTGTGTAAACAAACTTACTACACAAAAAAAATGTACGTCTAAGGCTGTAGATAGTATTTTTTCACCCATGATGATGAGTCAAGCTTAAGCCGCGAAGGTAGAGGCACAGCAAAGAAAAATTTTTGGATCTCGGAAAGACAATCGTGGGATCGACCGTTGTGGTTCAATTTGAGCCATTTTGGTTGTCACAGAGTCAGATCGGGGAAACCCATTTTATGAATGGCTCGCACGAAGCAAGCTGTGCATGTTATGTGATTATTCGTCAACTGCAATGCCAAGATACGATTCTTAATCTTACTGCGCAGAGTGCATTGATCCGCTTAATTTTCACTTGTGCGATGCTCGTCATGATTCCATTGCGTATTGGCGTGAAACTGGTCTGTTCCCATTTGGGAAAAAACAGGTGCGTACTGATACTGTAGAAAAAACCGGACTGTGTTGTAATTTAGTTGTAGATTCTGTGCAAGTGAAACATCTCGTATTGGTAACATCATTCTGCATTAATTTCGCTTTTCGAACTACTTTAGATGGTTGTGTCCTTCGAAAAATCTCGAATGAGAGGTACAGGTCGTAGTGGTGGTTCTTTATTTGTTGAGGTAGTAAAATCTGGATCTGCAAGCAAAACCAGATTAAAAGTGCTCTACACGGAAGCACCAGATCCCCTTCTTTGCGTCGTAAGAGAGAAACTGCGCGCCCTTGACTTCCGTCATTCGGCGGACCTTGGACTCGTAGCGACGCGCAATCTGCGGCGTGACCTCCTCGGTGCCAGGTGGGCGGCAGTTCAGCAAAGTGACGTAAGCGGGCTTGTTCAACTCCGTCCCAATTTCCGGTTTTTCATCTGATAAGGTAATTATGGCATTGTTCGGCTTCCGATTGACATTTTTGCGATTCAGTCAAAACAAACCGAGCGTTCTAAACTGAATGAATCTATCATCGCAAAAGCGATAAAGAATGTTTGTAGGTTTCTACCTGCTGCACAAGCCGGATAAACTACGATTTCCCCTGGTAGCAGCTGCAGTTTCGAAGCCAGCGTTTTTCGGTCTGGGATGTTGCTCAAATCGGTTTTCCCCTCGAACAGCACCGAACCGACGGAGGGCTTGGCAATGACCAAGTCCTGAACCTGGCTGCGATCGTAGCCGGGCTTGAAGATGTCGGGCATGATCTCCAACTCGTCTGCTTCCTGGTGGTCCTCGGATTCCTGCTCCTCGTTGGAAGAGGAAGACACCGCTGGCGCTTCGGTCTCTTTCGAGTATAACGTTGCCGGTGGTCCTTGTTGAATCTTTTCTGTCGTGTACTTCTCAAGATTAATATCGTCGCCACTTGCATTTGGCTGCGTGGTCTTCGAGCTTGCCTTTGGCGACATCTTTATTTCCGCCATGGGTCTCTGTTTTCTGCTGGAGATCGGTGGTGCTATCGGCGCAACTTTCTTTTCGACAGCGGCTAGTAGTTGTGCAGGTGAGGGCTGCATAGAACTGGAGATGTCGGAAGTTGGTGACTCCTTGCTCTTCGCTAGCTCTTGCTTTTTTCGCTGCAGGATCACACCAGCGAGAATGCGATCGAAAGTATGGTCGCCAAGAAGACGAGGGTTGCCGATCTGTTTATGGTGAAACAAGAAAAGTCGCTTCAACAAGTCCACACGCTAAAGCTAATCCTGCATATTGCTGAAGATCTATACTGAAAACAGAAGCAACCGAGCTACGCACATCGCTGAAGAAGTACCTCAGTCACATGATCCTCTCCGTCCTCTGGTGGAGGTAGAGGACAAATCGGATCCGTCTTGTCCACGTGCGCCCGGGCGTAGTCGAGGAGACGCAACAGTGCTGGGGGTAACTCCTGCAGGGTTTGCACACTCGACAATTGGTGCTTCTTCAAAAACCACCGTGCCTTCTTTCCCACCTCGGGCTCCACCACCATGTCCGTGGCATGTGCCCGGGCGTGGACGTCGCCGACGTTGCTGAAGCAACGCCGGATCTGGATCCAGCTTGTGCCCGGCGCGAGGAACTCGGGCTTGCCAAGTGCAACCGCTGCGAAAAGCGCGCAGACTTTCTGGGCGGTGCCGTTCGGGTGCGCGTAGGATTTGACTTCGTGTAGAATTTCCTTGGACACCGTCGGGATGATCTTCTGCGGCTTCTTTGCTGCTTTGGCCATTCGGTTAGGAGGCTGGAACGACGGCGCACCGAATGACGATATCGGGGTCGAGAGCTGAGTTGTTTTCACACTGATTTCGCTTTGTATTTCACGAGAATTTCAACCAAACTCCTCGTGCAAAAGACACTCCCTGCACTCTCGGTGAACGCGGAACGCTTGGCATGCGACCTTAATGAATACCTTAATGCTCCCTCCCGCACCGCTTCCGGTGCCCCTACGAAGAAAACTGCTGCTCAACTCGTCCAGGTGGTCCCCTGAAGTGCTCCGCAGTCGTGGCGTTTCGGCTCGCGATCCAGGCCGCACTGAACGCAGTAGGCGATCAATGTTAAGCCCCTCGGAAAGAATCCGATCGTTGTCCGGAGGCTTTTGGATTGCTACCTCTTGAAAGGATTCTTCTGCTTCTTCAACCACAGCTCCTTGAAGGGCGATGCGCTTCTCGTTCCTGTTTTTTGAGACAACTCTGCCTAACATTTCATCCACTCCCAAACAAATACAGATTTGGCATTGCGATCTCGTGGGTGCTAATCGCTTTCTTTTCTTTGCATCAAGCATTGTTTCGCAGCAAAAAAACTTACCGCGTGCTTCGTCCCTGCTTCTCCAAAACAGGTGGCTTCAGTGGCGAATACTGCGATAACGCGGGAGTCGAACGCACAGACTCAACATCGTCTACCCGGCTACTACTGATCTCAACATCGTTGGAAGCCGCGTCCAGCTGTCTTTGCTCGTCGATCGCCGTCGAACCTAGAGGTCCGCGCAGTGGCACCTCCTGCGCGAAGACACCAGCTTCCTCGTGCGCCCCACCTTCCACTGGCCTTCTTATGGGAACAGTCGCTGGCGGGACAGCCATTGGTCGCGCAACCGCGGCAGTGCCTTTTTGCTGGACAGCGGCCTGATGATCAGCGATGGAGTCGGCAGGAGCTGCAGCCTCCATTACCGACACACCGCTATCTGGCGCCGTAGCTGACAATGAGGACGAAGACGCGGACGCGGAGCCAGAAGCTAGCGCCCGTTTCTTCGGACTCCGGAGCGAAACTGGGGGTACGCTACGAAGATCTTCGACTTTGCTTGAGGACGGGAATAAGTGGGAGAACTGATTCGTTTGCACAAGCGGCTCTACCTTGAAAACATCGCTGCTCGGTTGGTGCGCCAAATCGTGTTCCACTTCTGCGGGCAGGGCAACATTCCGGCTCTGCAGTTTCGGATGTGCTGGCCCTGCTGCGATTGGAACCGCCGCCTGGTTTGACTGCGGTGTTTCGTCAGCCGATCGTCCAGATTCTGATTGAAATTGTTTATCCCCAGCACCTCCCCGCGGCTCTTCAAAGCTCGCCGCAGCGGCTGGCGTTTCGTCTTGTCCACTTGTGCCTCCTCCCCCGGAATGCGTAGCTAGCAACACGTCTTCCTCCCGAAAAGACCCCGTCTCCTGCTCCTCCAGTGAAGCCTCTGTGGTATTTGGCCGAAAAATCGTCCCTGCTGCCCGCCGAGTCTTCGGCACAGCCGCCTTCCGTGGCTTGCCGAACGCGCTCTCGCGACTACTGTGCAGATCTTCACGCGAAGAGGAGGACGACGCGGAGGAGCTTGACCCTTGTCCGCCTGCTCGCCGGAAGACCGGCGGCAACGCCGGCTTTCGGGTTTCCCGGGGCGTGGACAGCCGTGAGTCTGTCGCGCTCGCTGCGGCCTCCTGCTCGACCAGTGCGCGCTTCAGCGGGTACGGGTTCGATGCCTTCGCTTCCTTCTGCGCCGAAGTTGTCAAACTGTACTGCGGTTCTAGGTCTAGTTCGCACTCCACTTTGGTTTCGCTGAAGGAAACCCGTTTGCTTCCGCGGCCTACACTGCCCCGTCGCTTTTGCGCGGAAGATGCTGCGGATGTTGCCGTGACCGGTGTAGACGGCGGTAGCGCTGCTGCTGCACCGGCGGACGAGAAAAATCCAGAGGGAGCCGACGTCGAAAACCCTGGCACGATCTCGTCTTCCTCTTCGTCGTCGTCGTTACCCAGCAAAAGTCCGTGCAGTGATACAATCCTCATTTCCCTTTTCCGCTGATTCTTCAACGACGCGGAACCTTTTTCGCGAAAGCTCTGGTAGTCGCGGAAGCTGACCTCTTCAGAGTGCGAATGGTCCGCGGCAACGGACACCGACGGCTGTGAGGCGGATGGGTGCAAATGCAGTGTGCCCTGTGATCTTCGCAGCGCCGGCGCGGTGTCCTGCAACGGTGTAGCCGTGTGCTTTCGTACTTCTACTTCCTCCGGTGGTGAAGCTGCTGTGCGGTTGGCCGCGAGCAAGGGAACAACAGGGCTGTTCGCAGATTGCGTTGTGTTGATGACTCGGGGCGTGTTTCCCGCACTTTTCGTGGCGCGGACGACTTCACTCGAGCAAGGCTGCTCGAATTGCTGTAGTAAAGCTTGCGGCACTGGATGTTGTTCCTCAAATACCTGGTTTGCACCAAAGCTTGACGACGTCCACCGAATCTGCTCCGGCCTTGAGCCGGTGGGTTCCTGCTCCGCGACTGCCGTACTACCACCTCTCGGTTGTAGGAACTGGTGTTGCGAAGACACCACACTGGTAGTACTGCCAACGAGAGGCACCATCGGGTGCACCGGGCTCGACGTGCACGCTGAACTTGCGTGCTGATAGTTTTGTGCACCAACTCCCGGCAGCGGCGATGCGCCAATCTGACTGCTGGCACAGCTGCTGCGCGCTGCCGAGGAGGGAACGCCTTGGTGCAGCATGTAACCACTCGGGGACGCAACCGGGCTCGCGCCGATGGTCGCTACCCCACCGCCGTTGAAACGGAAAAGCCCTGGTGGAGGTTGCACCATCCCACGATCTGCAAAACCGGTGGTGTAAAGGCTTGCGCGCGCAGCGGCGGTGCCAGAGGTAGATGCTGCGCTTGCTGTACAGCCCGTAGTTGCTACACCCGGTATTCCTAGTATCCTCGTCGGCGTGGGCACGTGGCTCATGGGCACCCGCGCGGAAAACACCGACGGGTAGGCTGTTGAGCTGGCGTTCGTCCGTGCGGACAGCGGGGTTCGAATCGGCACGGACATCGACCCGTTCGGGTAGGTCGACGCGTATTGCATGCCTCCGCCAGGTGACGAGCGTACGCTCGAAGATGCTTGCTTGTCTTGCTGGGCGAAAAGCCGCTTGTACACGCTGTTTTCGGGACTGTAGTTCCGCGTCTGCACAGTAGGTGCGACGAACGGCGGCGTCGACCCGAGAATCATCTTGTCGGGGGCCTGTGTGCTCTTTTTCTATTGTCCATACTTTCTGGAGCAGAGACTGTTCTTCGAAACTCGCTCGTCCAGCACCCTCCTGCAAGAAGTCAATCGATACTCACTCCCGAATTTATTTCCCTCAAAAGCACACAGAGTTGTATTCCAGCCTGTTTTGTGCGTCACGACTACTCATGCGCTGGCCAGTTCCCTTTCTACGGTGCTGAGGGCCGCACGCAATTTCTTTATGGCCACCTGTCATGCTGTTCACTGCCCCTGCATCCGAACAACGGAGCCGCCGGATCACCTTCATTCTACTGCTGAAGCAGCAACCTTGCCATCCTATCTGCAAAATTGTCCCGGGCAGTTTCTTAGCACCGCCAAAATCGTCATCTTGGTGTGAAGTAGAAATCATTCCGCACCTCCATCGAGATTATCATGCCAAGATCACCCCGCACCCTTTCACTTTTTTGGAAAAAATATAGAGCGCCGTGATCTTGCCAAAGGAGTCAACAATGAACCGTGAAACATGGTTTATTTCCGTGTCTGATTTATTTGCGAAAGGAAGAAAAAGATAAGTTCGAGAAGTATTTTGGATAGACATAGAAGTCAATTGAGGAAAGATCATCGTCAAAGCTTGCTGTTCATTAGGTGTAAAAGCTAACTCCAGCCAGTGGTAATCGACTGCGATGAAGTATCTTAGGTACAACCACGTAGTAAGTTGTACGGCCACTTCCTAGTAGTTCTAGAAGTGCTCAAATCCCTCGAAGAGATCTTGCGGAATCTCGACGTCATCTTCGTCACCGACGACGGAATCTGGATAGGTCTGGTAATGCTGTGTGTCCGCAACGCCGTCCAACGGGGGTCGGTAAGGCGAAGGTACCTAGGCGTGATGCAGGGTTGATTTTTTGAAAATACCTACTGTCTTTTCATTTTCAGAAGTTTCTCGCAGCATCTTGACTGCTCAGCACCATGCAGGCCATTGGTGTAGGTCGAAAACGCTGAAAACAGTACCTCTTTCCTCAAGAAGTAGTCCCAGGGCGTTTCGAAGAAGTAATTCTGCGCCTTTAACTCCGCCGCGCCCTCTTTTGCACCTAAGCGCTGGTCGGCGTTGCAGACAAGGAGTCCAAGAATGACTTCCTCTTCAAACTGGAGCAATCCAGCTTCTTCGCCCCACAGGTTTACTTCGGTGTCCAGGATCTTCCTGTAGAGCTCCATCAGGTTGTCCGGGCAGTTGAAGGGCGTTACCTGATGAAAATTTTTCTTTCACTGTCATGAACATGTACATGAAAAAATCAAGGCGAGTGCAAGCTTCTTTGATAGCTTGAAAGCTATCTGGTGAGCCAGGAACTGATTATCAACCATAATGTAGGGTCGTTGTTGTACAAGGGAAGAGGAAGTAACGCTGCTATTGTTCTATTTCTAAAGAAAAACAAATACCCCGACGAGCATTTCGTAGAGAAAGATCCCGAGTGACCACCAGTCCACGCGAACGTCGTGTCCAATGTTCAGCAGGATTTCTGGCGCGAGGTACTCTGGTGTGCCGCAGAGTGTGTGGGTTTTCTCCGAGCACTGCTTTGCGAACCCGAAGTCCACAACACGGAGGTATCCTTGCTGTGATAGTGGTGAAGAGGCAGGCTTGAATGTCGTAAATGCGTTTGTTGATACATAGTCACTCAAGTTCGAACGAGGAATTCATTGTGAGTACGCATCAAAAAATGATGTCTTCCATCGTTCTAGTACCGCGTCGATAAGGAAATTCTCCGCTTTGGTGTCCCGGTACGCAATCTCGTAGCGGTGCATGAACTCAAACGTGAGAACCAGCTGGCAGGCGTAGAAATATGCCATCTCGTGTGAAAATCGGCCCATATGGTGCAGCACCGTAAAAATTTCTCCGCCCGGAACGTACTCCAGAAGCATGTAAAGCGCTTTTTCGTCCTGATACGCTCGGTACAGCGTCACGATAAACGGATGCGTTCGGAGTAAAGCAAGCACATCGCGCTCGCTTATTGTATGTTCCTGATCATGAGTTATCGGTATGAGAATGAAATGGAATTTTTACGCACAGCCCAGGAAATCGAAAAGTGGCTTGATGCGAAATTGGCAGTCTCCAGTGTAATTATGCTGCGATGAATTGAACTTTCAAGCAACACCCACTACCTCCTGCTTGAGCAGCACAATATCGCGTTTTCGCAGCGTTTTCAGCGCAAACGGCAGGTAATGCGCTCCGTCTTCCGCACTGTAACCAGTCAACGGTGCGATTACCGAAGGATTAAACTTCTCCTTCTTTCGAGATGAGCTTGAGCTGCTATTGCCTACTTCGAACGAGCCGCCTTCGCCGTCGAACTTCCCCTTCAGCAAGGCCAAGCGTATCCTGGAAAAGCTTCCCGTGCCTAAGGTGACACCAATGTCAAAATCCTTCTGCACATCGTTTGCCTGGTCTACAGCAGCCTCAAGAAACTGCTCACGCTCGCGATGCTCCGCGGAGATTAGCGATTCCTAAAAAGTTTTGTTAGATGAAAAGCATTCATACGTCGAGAAACACGAGAACGCGCGGATGTTGTCAAATCAAAATCCATTGAGATTGATTAACACAGTTTCTTTTATTACCACGTTCGCTGCGCTCCCATCGTCTGATCGCGTCGACAAGGGATTTTGCACTGCAGATTCTTGGTCGAGAAATTCTCGTTTCTTCGCTGCAAACAGCTCTTCCTCGTCTATCGGGTGCTGACCCGGCAGAATTTCATCTCGTCGACACACCCCGCCGACGGCGGAAGGCGCCCCCACCCCGCTGCCCACCGGGGATCGGAGATTTCCGCCGTGGCTTGATCCTGGGGACGCCATCGTTGGCTTTCTATCTGGCGGCGCGGACAGCACTTTGTAAAACGCCATGCCACTTTCATGATCCGCCGGAGCAGCGTTATTTGCTCGTGCCGAGGCTTCTTCTTCCGACGACGACGGGGCATTACGCTCCTTGCTCGAAGAACTGGAGCAACTCCCGCCGGCGCAACAGCTGCCAAGCCCGCCTTCCGTGGAGGCGATGGTTTGCTTCGAGGAGGAGGCCGAGCTGTTGGGAAGTTTCAGTGGCGGCACCGCAAGCTTCATCTGGTCCATGCCAGAGAGCGCGTCGCCCGCCGCGGAGGTTATTATCTCCGATGACGCGGTCGAGCCACCGCATATCCTTTGGATCACTCCGTTGAGGCAAGACATCTTGTTTCATACGAAGAGACGCACCCGTCTGATTGGAAGGAGCTGCAAGAGCGCAAAAGCTCCGATGGATTCCGATTGTGCAGTGAAGAATTTCTCGGTGGAGCTCCGCGGCCCCGTTATTTCACTAGTACCACACTACCTATCGATGATCGACATGAAACGGCTCCTTAGAGGTCTCAAAATGGAGATCCGCCACACGCAAGGCTAAGGTAGTGCGCACGTCCTCACTCTTTGACTTCTTTCCGGGAAGTGATAAGTACCTTGAAGAAGCAAATAGAAGCAAGGACAACACGGGCGCACGCAGAACACAAAAATGATATGACCCCGGCCCTTAGAAGTGCTCTTCAATTTTGTGTTTTCCTTTTATGCATGCTTGTCAACCGTAAGTGCTTCCTTTCTAATGTTTTTCAATGCTTTATTTTCAACTGCCATTTTTCCCTTTACTTTCCTTTTGCAGAAAAGAATGAAAACGCCACAGGGTTTCTTTTTTTTTTTTTCCGAATGACATGAAGAGCAATCGGTGCAACTGCACCGATGACATGATGGAACGGAAAAAACCAAAATCTGATAGATGAGAATATCTTCTCCTCATATGTGACTTCTGAAATTCTTTTCCCGTCGAAAAAATTCGTCAGTAAATCATGTATAAAAAGTTGAAGTGCCAGCATGCATTTTGTTTGGCTATTCCTTTTGCAGGTGATAATTCCTTTTGCAGGTGATATGGAAGTCAATGGAAGGATATCCACCCAGATGAAGGCGGAGGTCAACTTCGCAACTCACTTTCCTAGAATTTTCAACCGTGGTAAAATGACATAGAATTGTGAAAGTCTTGACGATAATGGAATTGGAGACATTGGCGTTGGTGAAACTTATCTTCACAACGTGACAACGTGGTAGTCTTCAAAGTGCCCCACTGTATCAGCGTTGTCACTTCTCCGCTAACGCCTTTGCCGGTCAGTATCGTCACGAAAGGATTCCCCGCCGAGAATCCTAACTCATAGACGGCGACTCACCTGACTCGACTTGGCATGTCTTTGTCACAATCAAATCCTGCACAGTCGGAAGACTTGTGATCGTTCCTATCCAGGTGTTTAGTGATTCAATGACTTGGATCTCGCAAGATGTGGTGAAACGGTGCGTTCCGTTGCTCTAGAACCTAAACTGCTCCATGTTATTTTTAAACCTTTTCCAAATCCAACTGTTTATGTAGAGGTGAAACGAAAAAATGCTGTATTGTTCTCATTGCATAATCTAATTCCTTCCTGTCCTTTATCTTCTTCCCTAGTCATAATTGGTATTCGATGCCCATAGTAGTGGAAACTTGAAAAATTCGAGATGAAACAAAAGACAAACGCAAATGAAATTCAACTCATCCTCCTCGATCGCACAAAATCAGTATTCAGCGCCGTCCCTGCAGCCGCCGTTGCTTGCGCAGCTTGTTCCGGTTGGTTTTGAATTTCGACAACCGGGAGGCTTTCGCCGGATTGCTCGGCGTGGCAATCGCATCCACGCCCCGCTCCTCCCAGTACTCGAGCTGCCGCCGTTTTTCCGCCTCCTCAACGGACAAACTGCCAGCTTTCGAACAGTAGTCGACACTATCGATTTTCACACACTTCTGCTTACTCTCCCCACTCTCTTCCATCAACCGCCGGCGGTCTTCGATGGCCAGCCGCCGCTGCCGGCGCTCGCGCAGCCGCCCGGCGGCGTATCCTGAGTAAAAACGTACCCACACCAGAGTTGTAATGCAAATCTGCATGCTGAAAATGTTTCTCATGCGGAGCTCCATGAGAAGCATTTTCTAGTCGTGTTTTGCAATTTGTCATGCTCCAATCAGCATGGTATGCTAGATCTGTGATGCTGCTGAGCTAGCTCAAACAGCACTATACTACGAATCCAAATTTGTCATGCAAAACAGCCAAAACTTGTGGATTTGTCTAGCCGATTCCCCATCTTGACTCTGGTGTGGGTACGTTTTTACTCAGGATACGGCGACCTTCTTGTTCATGATCCCGGTTTTCTCGGCCACGGGGACCATCTCGTTGAACAGTTTGCACTCCACGTCGGGCCGGCACGTTTCCGCCCCGGACCCGTACGCGAAGGCCTCCGCAAAGACCGGCTTCGCGGGTCGGGCGGCACAAGACAACTGGTAGCTGGTCTCCTCCCAAGCCTTCAGCGTCATGCAGAACTCCTTGCAGTTGTCGGTCATGTTGGCCACCTGCGCCACCGCCTCGGACACCTGCGAGGTCGCGTTGCAGAAAGTGTCGAGCTTCGGCTTCAGAACGCGGCTCATGGCGTCCGCCGGGCTGACTTCCCCCGCCTCCATCATGCCGTGCAGCATCATCAGCGGTTGTTCGGGCAGGTTCTCCCGGATCGCCTGCAGTGCGCACCGGGCAAGACGCGACCCGGCCGCGTCCGCCGGCTCCGGGTCATACGGGTACTGGAACTTCGGGTCGATTTCGAAGAGCAAAGCCATGCGCATCTGCTCCGCGACGTACCCTCCGAGATAGTTCCCCGTCACCGGGTCCATACCGTCCTCGGCTGGCATGGTCTCCACCAAGAAGTCCAGCACGTTCCGGCAGTTCGCGACGAAGTCGGCCTTCGCGGTCGCGCAGTAGAACGACCCGCCAAGCTGGGCGCCACACGTCCCCGGAGCGGAGGGCACTTGGCCCGGGCACTGGAGAATGTTTTTCACTTCCCGCTGTCCTCTTTTCGTCCAGCCGCAGCCGAGTGAGTTGCCGCAATCGTCGTACCGGCAGTCGGTCTTCACCCCCCAGCCGCTAGTTCCTTCGTACACATGGTCGCAGATACCGTGAAGCGCGGTCGTCTCACTTGCCGACAACGGTTTCCGCTGCCCACTCTTCCACATCAGTTCCGCAAACCCGGTATTCGGGTAATCCGGGTCGCCGATGCGCTGCAAAAGCTGCGACATCGCTTCGAGCATGGGCGCCGATTCCTTGTTCGTGCCGCCGACGGCCATGCCCCGGAGCTCGCGCTTCTTGTTCTCGCACTTGTTGTGCGGCATGGACCAGTCGTTGTTGAAGGTTTCCGCGTAGGTGACCGGGTCCCAACTGGTCGCGATCCAACGGAGGTTCGCGCAACCCAGTTGCTCGTCCCACAGACTGTGGCACCCGCCCGACTGCATCATGGCCATGGACCCGGCCATCGGGCGGCAGCTGCCCGGCTCCTCCGCGTACTGGATCTCCTGGACGGACCGCATCAGCTGCACCTTCTCCGTCTGGTTCAACCCGAGATTCAGCAATGTCTGCATGTAGTGCGGCTTCGCGCGGGCCTCGAAGTAGATGTCCAGCTTCTTCCGCTCGAAGGAAGTGATCATCTTCTCGACCGCAGCGACGAAGGTGGAGTCCATCGTGTCTTCCAACCCGACCAGCATCGCCGCGACGTCCGCGGGGGAATCGAGCTGGTCCGTTTCATTCGGGGTCATCATGTTGTACATGCTGTCGGGGGGCATGTTGCTCGGGAGGTCTTCCGTCGGGCTCTGTCCGGTGAGCGCAGCGGCAGGCGTTTGCATCTTGTCGTACATCATCGCTTCCGGACCCATCGCGAAGGAGGATAACCGACGGCTCGCATCCTCCTCCCACTCCTGCGGGAGCTTCAGCAACTTTCGTACGTACGTCGGGATGGAAGTAGTAGGCCCACTCTTCTGCTTCAGCATTCGCCTCACCCTCCGCTGCAACCCCGAATGCGCTTCGGTGTAGGCCTTCGTGTCAATCACTTTGTGGATCAGGTCCGCGACCTCCATCGCCTTCGACTGCACCCACTTCCGGTGCTCGCAGATCGCGCCGAAGTCCTTCTGGACAGAATAATACCCGGAGTACTCGTCGTAGCACTGCTCGACGAAGTTGCTCGTGCCGTGCTGCCAGCAGTCGTAATTCGGAGGGATAAAGCTTGGGACGTGGAGATCCCCCTCGTACGCCAGTTGGGCGTCGAACACCCCCATCACAGTGTCGTTCATAGCGGCTGCGGGCTCGGCGTGGCGCGCGGCCTCCATCTCGTGCAGACCGGCCTCCATCGTTTCCGCCGTCATGGCCAAGTCGAAGTCCGTGTCAGCGGGGTATAAAGACGCTAAAGTCGCGTTCGTCCCTGTGTACACCAGTTTCTCGATGCTCATCTGCACCGCGTCGTCCCACATGTAGTCGAATCGGTAGTCCCAGCCCAGTAACCAGTGCGGGGTCGCAGTTTGCGTGGTCGACGTCGTGAAGGTCGTCGACAGCGCGTCCTGGGAGAGCGGAGCGGAAGTACTTTGGAACAAGGCGGGCTGAAACCCGAAGTCAACGTGCACCGGCGCGCCGGTGGTCGGCGGGGGCGGGGTGGTCGCACTCGGATCCGCGGTCGAAGGGGGCAGGGTCGCTTTCGAGTCGCCGAAGTACATGTTCATCACCGCATTCTTCTCGTTCGGGCCCATGGTGGAGGGAAAGTCCATCTGGTAGCTGTTCATCCCCGGGGCCATAGAACTTGGCGACAAAGAAGGTTGCATCGCGGAATTCGGGTCGTATTGCATGTCGTAGGGGCTGGGACTGGAACCCACAGCACTCATATCGTGATCTAACCGACGGTTTCTCAGCATCTTCGCCAACTTGCTGTCACCTGCAAGCAACTTTCTCGTGCTGGATTTCTGCTTCGACTTCTCCTTCTGCGCCAGCGCACGGGCGCGGCTGCGCTGCCGAAACCCGTAGTCGCTCATCGGCACGAACCCGGCGGCGGCGGAGTTCGCGTACGGATCCGTAGACGCCATGGCCGTGTACTCCATCATGGGATCTTCGTGCCACTCCGTCATCAGATGGCCCGCCGGGTCGTGCATGGCGATGGTGACCTGGGCCGCGATGTTCGCAGCAAGAGAGGCGGCTTCTTGTTTTTCCTTGTTTCCGGCGCCGAACTCGTGGAACGCGGCCTCGCGGTCAGCTGGCATACTAGACCCCGGACCATCGTACCCCATGGTCATCTGTAACTGGGATTCTCCGCTGATCGGCATGCAACCCGTGGTAGATTCCCCCGCTGGGAGCATTGAACCCCCGGCAAGGCCACCGACGGTAACGGACAATTTCCGCTTCGCTTCTTCAGACAGCGGCGTGTCGAATAACACACGACGCTGATCCCGCAGCTTGCCGACGTGCGCCGCGTGGAACAAGTCTTTCCCCTCCATCTGGTTCTCCAGCAACTTGCGCTGCTTGGAATTGCCTTTCGTTTTCTTGTGCAGCACCTGCAAATTGCGCCGGAAACCGGGGGTAATGGCCATCTCGCTGCCAGAGTAGTCGTTCGGCATGGGCACGCACTGTTCCTCGTGCGGAATCGGGACATCCCAGTGGATCTCACCGCGGAGGGGGGCAAGACTGGCTTGCAACGCGTCTTCCGTGATGCGATCAACGACACCGCGTTCCATCTCTACCATCGCACGCCATTCCTCCTCACACTTCTCGTGCACATCGTCGTGGGCGGACGTCAAATCGTGGGCCATGCAGCGGTGCATGACGTCGTCGTGCGTGATTTCCGCGGTGGCCGGCACCATCGAAGCCGTGTCCGGCTTGTGCTCCGGTCGCATCAGCCCCAGCACGGTTTCCATCGACCGGGCGATCTCGTACGTCGGCTTGGTTTCCCGCGGGGGAGCCATCGTGGTCGAGGCCGTCATCGCGGTTGGAACGGTGGCGGATTGCCGGTTCTGCAGCGCGGTGGACAGGGTGGCGTTCATCCGCAAAGCGTCCTCGCGCATCCGGGTTTCGGTGGTGTTTGTGGCGTAGCTGCGGACGACGGCGGCCGCGGTCTCGAACTCGTACAGGTAGTTCTCCACCTCCCTTCTCTCCTGCTCGCGACGCTGGCGGACGTTCTCCCGTGCCTCGGGGTGGGAGTCCGCGAGCATGGTGCGCACGGTGGACAGGGTGTCGTTCATCACGTCGATCATGTTATTCCCTGAAAATTAACCATCTCCATCCACTTTTTGCATGACAAACGCATGATTTTATGTATGTTTTGCATGACAAATTGGATGGGGATGGGTAATTTTCAGGGAATACATGTGCCGCATCTCCTCCAACTCCGTGTCTGGGACGCCGGTTGCGAAGAGCGCGGCCGCGTTGGGGCACGCGCCACCCGTCGGGTCGACCGGGATGTAATTGCCGGCCGGATCGGTGAGAAGACTTCCGAGCTTCATACCAGTTTGCGCATCGACACCACCGTCGAGGTTCGAAGAGTTCCGCAAGTAGTGGCCGACCGCAGATGCTTTGCTCGGGCGGGCCGCGAACATCGCGCCGGACAGGCGCCGGCTGTGCTCTTCGGGCGGGAAGAAGTCTTTTAGCGCGTTTTGCTCCTCTTCCAGAGCGCGCTCGAGAAAGGAGTCCATGGTTGGGAAAGAAGAACTACTGTCGTCCTTCCCTTCCAACTTCCGCCGCTCCTCCGTCGCGAGCTGCCGGGCGCGGACGAGCAAGCGCCGGCGGCGCCGGAACTGCATGCGCTGGCAGATCGAGTCGCCGGCGGACGCGCCTTTCGCAAATACGTGCTCGGAAGCGCGCTTCGCCTCGGTTTCCCGGTGGCTGTGGTCCATCCGCTCCTGGTGCTCGCGCTTCTCGATGTCCAGCATCGGGGCGCGCTCCGCGCGAATCGCTTGCGCCTCGGTTCCGGGCAGGTACAGAGCGTCCTTCGGAACGGTCGCCGCACCGCGCGACTGCTCGAAGAAGGCGTGCTCCATGCAGTCTGCGGTGACGCAGCCGGATCCGCCGTGCATCAACTGCGAGCACATGTAATCCCCGGCCGCCATGCTCTCGCCCATCGGCATGCCGGGCTCGTGACCCGGCTCGACTTGCGCGACTGCGAGCATCATCTCAGTACGGGACACCGTCGCGGACATTGGGATGTCGCTGTTCGGACTCATCTTCTGCATCATGATGTCCTTCACCTTGTCCAGCAGCTCGCAGACCTCCACCGCCACGCCCGGCGGCCGCTGGGACTTCATGCAGTCCTCGTAGTACGATTTGATCTCGCCGAACGTCAAACTCGGGCTGGTCGGGTCCCGACTCGCGTACCGCTTGATCTGGTCGAACACGTCCCCGCCCTTGTCCTCCGCCTTCGCGATCATGGGCATGATGTCCCCGGACGCGATCCCGAACGTGATCGCCTCCGCCAGGCTGTGCCCGCCGTACTTCTCTGCCGTTACAGCCGCGTGCGCACGGTCTTGGACGCCTGGGGAGGTCGACAACCGGGTCTGGAGATGATGCAAGTGGGCCAGCAACCGCGGCTCCCGAACCTCCATCTCATTGAAGTGGCCTGGCTCTGAAAACGCGAGTTGCAGCTGGTGCAGCATCTGGTCGGCGATTGTTGGAAAACCACCACACGCGGTTTCCGGGCATTTTTCCGGACAGTAACAAACCTCGGTGAAGTGTTCGTACGCAAAGTTTTCGAGCTCCATCATCAGGTCCGGGCCGAACGGGTTCGGCGCTTCGTGGCACACCTCATGCAGGACTTCGCCGGTGGTGTGGCGTCCACTCATCTCCTCTTCGTGCTCCTTGATCGCGAAGTCCGGCATCACCATGCCCTCGAAGCACGCGTACCCCTCCGGGGTGTTCTGCATGAAGTTCGTCGCGCCTTCCGGCATGTTGGCCATGGACGCAGCGTAGGATGTGTCTGCGTACCCGTTGTCCGTTGGGCAGTGGACGGTACCCGCGTGGTGATCGTCCACCAAACTCGGGTGGTAGCCCATCACATCCGGCTCCCAGGGCATCGCGTTCATGCACTCGGTGACGGGGGCGTGGGTGGCCGAGTTTGCTTCGTAGGTGACGCAGATCTCCGTGTTGAAAGGGTCCGCGCTGGTGTTCATGGGCACGTGCGGACGCGGGTGCGAGTCCATGTAAAAGATGGGTTTGAACGTGCCGTCGCTGCCGTCGAACATCTGCTGGTCCATCACACTGTGGATCGTGACCGGGGTGGTTCGATTCCCCGCGAGCGGCGAAGCCAGCGGCATCGGGGTGGTGGCATCCGTGGAGAGCGGAACCGGCTTTGGGGAGCTGGTTTGAGCTTGCCAGGCGGTCGCTAAACCGTGAACGTAGGACGGTGGCGGCGAAGCTGGAGCACCCGTGGCAGCTGGGGAAGGCATTGCGACAACGCCGGCTGGAACCTGTTGCAAGTTGCGTTTGGATCATACATTAACGGCAATGCAAAAGCATTTGCATTGTTCGCTTGGGCAAAACAAAAATGGCATGAACACACAATGGCCACAAACAGCAAAGTATTTGGCAATACCGGCGTTCCCAAGTTGTAGTATCCGAGCGGAGTCGAGTGCACACCGCCCTGCAGCTGTCGACGCAGCACCCGACGCTTGCTCTCGTGAAACTTATCCACGACGTCCAACTGCCTGAATCGGTCGCCGGTGCGGCCCGTCAGCTTCCGAATGCTCTTGTGGCGGTTTCCGAAGCCCTTGTGGAAGGTGTGCTCGAACTTCTCCAACTTGTCCGCGTCGCCCGCCTTCAGCATGCGGCGCATCAGCGACCCGCGGTGCGCCGTCTTCATCTGCGCCGCGTGGTGCAACTTCTTCACGTCGAACTTGGTCAACCGCCGGAAGTTCCCGCCGCTCAACCGCGCCTGCCGCAGGTTCCGTCGGCGCCGGTGCCGGCGCTGCACGCGCGCGCGGCGGGAATCGTGGCCGCCCTCCGGTTTGGTGCCGCCGCGCTCCTCCCACGCCTGCATGATTTCGTCCATGCACATGCGCTTGTTGTGCAGACACTCGCAACGCATCTCCGCCTGGTAGTCACAGGTGTTCACCAGCACGTCCGTACCCGAAGTGGGGTCCAACGCCAGAAAGTGGCACCCGCACTCCCGCATGCAACCAGGACCCATCTTGTCAGCCTCCAGGTTGAACGCCAGCGTGTGGTCGTGATTCAAATCGAAGTTCTGCGTCGCCGGGTCCATGGGGAGTGCGCGCTCCTCCGGGGGCAGGCGCTTGCAGCTGGGCAGTTCGTGCATCATGCGCCCGATGAAACCGACAAAGGTGACCGGCGCTGGCGGCTCCGGGTCCATGCGGGGCATCGGCTCGCCGCCGGAAGTAACATCCCGGTCGGGATTCTGCATTTGGGCCGGGTTCACGTGCTCGGTGACGCAAATCCCGGTGTGGCAACAGAGATACTCCGTGTCCGGAAGGTTCGGGGACGCACAGATGCTTTGGCTCAGTACCGGCCACAAACGGCGTCCCGTGCCGTCGTACATCGCTTCCGCGGTATCGACGACGTCGCCCTCTTCCAATCGCCGGCGCCTCTGCCGCGCGAGCTCAGTCGCTTGCTCCCGACGCAGCTGCTTCGCGTAGGACACGGGCTTCGTCTTGTGCGCAAAGAAGTCGATGCTGGGGTTCTGGTTCGCGGTCAGAGACCGTCCCTTCGGACGTTCGTTCACATGCTGTTGCTGCAGGCGACGCGGTTTGCTGGCCAAAAGCAAATTCTCCGTATCCGTTTCGCGCAGAGACCGCCGCGGACTCGCACCAGCCTGTGCAGCGGTGGGGAACTGTGAGTCCGGAATGCCGGCGGCGGCGCCGGGTTGCAAAGGCGGAACGGCTCCGGCGCAAGTGTATGGATCCAACACGTCACCCGCAGCGGGCGCAACACCACCAGCGGCCATCATGTGGCCACGTGTCGGGGGATCTGAAATTCAATTTATTGTTTTTTGCAAAATAATTCGCGCCAATTGTAAAAACATTGTGTGTTCGTCCGCATCCACAATGACAGCCACATGCAATGAAAAATAACAGCAGCTTCTTCGAACGGAAGCGAAATAAAACCATTTGCAATACTTGGAGCTCCCGGCGGCATCACCGGATCAGCAGCAAGGGTCATCGGGCGGTCAGTAGGGTACGTCGTAACCGGAGTTTGGTACACACCGGTCGACGCGTCCACAGTGGCTCCCATGCACACCGGCACATTGATGGCCATGGCCTGCATGTCCTGAAACTGCGCAGCGCACCAGTGCGGGTTCCCCTCCAAACGCTCGGCGTGGTTCAACACCGCGTCCCGCAAGTGGTCCGGCGTGCCCCCGATCCCCGGCGCCGTGGCCATGGCACACGGCGTGCACGCGACCGGCTCCATTCCCGGCATGTGCGTCGCGTGGTGCGCATCGTCCCCCGCCTCCAACAGCTCGCGGCGCTCGGACGGCGTCAAGTCCAGCTGCTTCAACAATCGGTGCATCGACCGGGTCTGCGCCGCCTCCAGCTCCTTGTTTTCTCGGCGGCAATGCTCGTGCAGTCTCTCGACTTCCCGCTCGTCCATGGGACGCGCCGCGGCCATGCGCGCCACCTCTTCCGCGTCTAACACCCGCACTTCATCCGGATCGTGGCGAGCCACGTCGTGCAACCGGCGGTGAAAGCTGTCCACTTTGTCGAGCAGAGCACGGCGGTTACTAGTACCAAGCTCACCTTCCTCTTCAGCCAACGCCCGCATGCGGCGGCGCTCGCCGATCTCGACCAAAGCGCGGCGTTGGGAGCTGAGTCTGCGCATCCCGGGCACGACTTGGCCGAGGGTTTCACCTTCCGTGTCGTAGCGGCTGAAGTCCTGCGACTCGGGCATCACACCCTCCTCCCGCCGCATCTCGTGCGACTGGTCATCGTGCATGAACTGCATCAAGTAGCCGTGCACGCCCATGGCAATCTCGAAGGGCTTTTCCGATTCCGCAAGCAGCTTCAAGATCATCTGTTTGGGAAGCGCAACCCGCTCATTCTGCATTTGGTTGACAGCCCAATTTTTCAGCCCCGCAACGTCATCGGCCATCAAAAAGTTCATCACGTTGTCCCCGATCTGATCGAGCGAAACCAAATTTCTCTTCCCAGCGTGTGTCAGCGTCATCAGCTCGCGCATCTGTCGCGAGGTCGGCTTCACGCCGTACTCCTTCGAATACACGTGCAGGTTGTTAGAAACGATGTGGCTTTCGTCGTCCAGCAAGTACCGCAAAGCCCGATCCTGCTCGTCGTCCTCCGCGACCAGGCGGCGCCCGGTCTTCTCCAAAACAGCGTAGTTATCCTGAGCAGCTGCGTCCGAAATTTCCCCCAAGCGTCGGTTGACGCGCTGCAGCCTGCGGTGAGTCTCCTCCGCGTCGTCAGTTTCCGGGTTGAATTCGAGCAAGATACGCCGGCGACGCAACTTTTCGCTCGCTTTCAGCCGCCGCGACAAGATCCAGCTCTCGTACTGCGCAGAGCCGAGCAACTTCCGCCGCTGCTCGCGCAATTTCCGCTCCTGCTTCACGATCTTCGCTTCCAACTTGCGGGCGCGGGGGACGTTCACAAGCTTCTCGAAGACGTGAAAGTGTAACGGGTCCGAATCGCTTTCCTTTACCAATGCAGACTCCTCCAACACCAAGTTTCCGAACCGATCACGCGTCCGCCGGCCGAACGCGAGCGTCGCGCGGAGTAACCGCGCAACGGAGGACGCGCTAGCCCCCGCCTGGCCGTAGCGCTGCAAGAGTTCCCCCAGATTCATGTTCGCCTCTTTGGCTGACAAGCCCGAGCGCTCGTCCATGAACGGACTCTCGAAATCCCGGATCCAGCACATCACCTCCGCAACGGGCTCTTCCAAGCTCTTCTCGCGCATGTAGTAGGCCTTGCAGGTCGGGAGTCCCACGCCGGTGTTCTCCACCCGGGATTTCATCTGCACGTCCCCGGCCGCCTGCATCTCGGCCATCTTGTCAAACGGCGTCGGCACCCGGCCGGCGTTCTTGCACTCCTCGTTCGTTAAAACGCCGTCAGACCCAGCCGCGCGGGCGCAGAACGCGCGCTTGTCCGCCATGTCCTTCAGCTTCATCAAGTCACGCTCGTATCAAGTGCAAAAATGTCTGGGTCTGGAAGGATACAACCTGTGATGCTAATACTAATTTTGGAATCTACATAAAATCTGTATTGCATGAACAGCAAAAGAGGTGTCATTTGCGCTACGCGGAGAGGGCGTCTCTCATGCGGTATTAGCATCAGAAAGCTCTCGCAAAATCTCTGACGCTAGTGCATGCATCACAGACCTCATGGGGTATGCAAAATCTGCATGACAAACTCCTGCATTCTTCCAGACCCAGACACTTTTGCAATGCATAGCTCGGAGCCGCAGTCGATACCGTCCCCCACGTCCGGCGTCACGAACATGGGGCACACGTCGCTTTCCGGGCGATTCCCGGCAATGTCCATGCGGTTGCGAGCTTCCGGATCCATCGACGCCTTTTCGTGGATCGCCTCGTACTCGCGGGCCGTGACGCGACCGTCACCGTCCTTGTCCAAACCGCGCGTCATGGCGGGGGCGGACTCACAGAGCGCGTCGTTACCTCGTCGTTTATTTTGACATCAACAGCGAAATTCAAAATCCAAAAGATCAAAAAGGGCAACAAAGCAAAAAGTTGTGACATCTGACTAATCTTGTTCGTTGCCAGGGCCTTCTCTGAATTTCTGAAAAAAGAAACCAAGAAACCTTCGCACAACGCCTCCGCCAATTTGTCCGCTTCGATCGAGGATCCGCAGTGGATGTTCGAAACCATGCAAACCCGGGCCGCGATCTCCTGCAGACGCCGCGGGTCGCCGGCAGTCCACCACTGCGGCTTTTCGTACAGCACCCGCGTCTTCCCCGTGTTTTCCTCCAATAACTGCCTCCGCCGAAAAGTCCCCGCGAGCAATTCCGCCTCCATCAGGCGCCGCTGCGTCGTCAGACCGTTTTCCATGGCGTTCGAAACGTAGGTCTGCACCGCACTGGACTGCATCATCATCGCACCGGCCGCGTCGGCGAATTCCGGCGCCGCCTGGCCCTGGCCCCGCTTGATCTCCATCTCGTCCACGAGCGTGTCGTTGTTTTTGTCCCACTCGCTAAACACCTGCGCGACCGTCTTGCCCTGCGGCTTGCTGGGCAGCATGTTGTAGAAGGCGACAAAAGTCGTGGCGTTGCACCGCCCGGAAGGGCAGTACGACTGGAGTTCCGGAACTGCGCCCATCGCGACGGGGAACGGCTTCTGCGCCTCGCACTGGACAACGAGCGTCGGCATGGTTGGCACGCAGGCAGCTTTCATCGGCATGCTGCTGTTGAACAGCGGTGTTGGGACCGTACAAGACGGGTTGGCCACCATCCCCGCGCCGGGCGGAGGGCAGCCGTTGTGCGCCAGAAACGTTTCGGTCACGATGTCCCGCATTCCGGAAAAACCGTCCACGAACTCCATGCGCTTCTCCGGGTACTGAAAGCACGGGTCCGTGAAATTCGCTTTGGGTTGTGGGGGCGCCACCAGGCGCAATTTCGGGCCTCCGCCCTCCTGCGAAAACTCGCGCACCGCACCCTCGGTCACCGAGTACTTGTCGGAGACGGTAGCGGCCCCAAAGTTGAACACCTTCTGTCCCATAGAGGTGGGGACCGTCAAAGTCTGCAGCCGTCCGGCGGATTTCGGGTTGATCGTGACCAGAACCTGGATCACCTCCCCGAGCCCCTTCAACGTGTTTGTGCACATCGCGGTGCCCATGGTCACCCCGTCGTCCTGCAGCGTCCCGGGTTCGGACTTCATCATGCTGTCGTCATTGTTGTCTTCCGCGTGCAGTAAACGCTTCCCGTACACCGCCTGCTCTTCCAGCAACGCGAGTTGCCGCCGGCCGCTGTGGTCCGCACTCGCGGGTTTGTAGTCCTTCGCCGCCTCCGCCGCCGCGTACCCCATCGCGAAGTTCATTAGGGCCATGATCACGATGATCACCCCCAGTGCGACTAAGGCGATCTTCATGTACCGGTTTTCCTTTTCCACCTTATAACCTGCTCAGGTGTTACAATCTCAAACGTTACAATAGAATCTGGAATTTGTGTTGCATGAAGAGCATGAGGAACGTGCAGAGTGTTGCGCTTTCCGCAATACAAATTTCGGCAGATTCTAGTGCGGTTTGGCACTCCAGAACTTGTCATGCGCAAACCTATGCGAGTTGGGTAGATCATGCACTTCTTGCATCACAGAATCCAGATTCTATTGTAACGTTTGAGATTGTAACGTCTGAGCGGGTCATACACCTTCTCGCAGGCCGCCGCCGCGGCCGCGAGCTCGGTGACGGAAACTTGCCCGTTGCCGTCCACGTCCCACTTCTCCATGACCTTTTTCACCTGGTCCGGAAAGTCGTTGTAGCAGATTTCCGCGGAGTTCGTCTCTTTCGCGTTCTTCATGCGCACCATGGCGTCGACCCAGTGGGTCACTTCGTCCTTGTGCAACTCCCCGTCGCCGTCCTTGTCCATGCGCGCCAAGCCCTCAGTCAGCCACTCCGGGAGGTTCTCATCCCGCATCATCTGCACGTTGATGGTGTTTGCATCTTCCCCCGTCCACATCTCCAGCGTCTTCTTCGGACTACCCGCTGCCCCGGGGGTGGTTTCCAGCGAGGTCGGCATCATCTTCTTAGCCCCGCCGGAATTTTTTCTCATCTGCAGCGACATCCTGGTGTTCGCGCGGTTGTCCGCAATGACGCCCTCAGAGGTGGTTTCGGCGTTCCCGTCTTCTCCGGCCGAGGAGGGTGGGGCGTCCGTGTCCGGGTTCACTTGAAGGTCAATCGCAGCGGTGTCTGCTGGTTTAGACTCTGTGAACATACCAAACATCAGTAGCTACTTCTCCTGTGAAGAGGACCGTGTGTGATTCTATCTAAAAACTTTATGCAAATTTCGATTTCCTGTGTGAAGTATGTTCTCTTCGTCGATGGCCACACTTATAGAGCGATGTGTAGGCCACGATAATAGTGAAAACTCTGAGTAGAAGCGACCCGTGTAGATGAAAAAATGTACATGTGAATCTCTACGTCTGCACTTGGATTGTGTTCCTTGTGCTGTTCTTATGTCGTTTTATGTCTTTTTAGAAATTAAAATGGCTTATCCCAGAACCGGACGCCGCGGGTTGGTAGCAACACCGCAACGACTTATAAAATCTGGATTGTGCTGTCGTGGTTGAAACCCCCGGAAAAAACCACCGCCGCGACCTACTACTTTTATTAGTGAAGAAAGTAGGTGTAGAAATGTGACTGTGGCGCGCTTTCCGAATAGTTAACTGCCTGCGCTAGTTTGTCAGGTGCTGAATGTTACATATTTTATTCCTTGCCATGAAATGCTGGTGGACTTACAGTCTACCAAAGGCATTCATTCTCGTTTTTGAAGCAAAAAAACGAAGAAAACTACTGAAAAAAACTACCGAACAGGAGACCGACATCATGCGACAAGATGGACAAAACGGAGCTCGTGGAATACCACCACAGTGACTCAGACGCATCTTATTTGCAACTTTGAAAAACAAAAAAAAACGAAACCAAGAAACACCGAATGGCAGAATCAGTGATGACACCTGAGAGAGTCTGGTCGTGGTCTCTGACAAACTAAATGGGAGAGGGAGCATAGATACATTTATTAGAAAAAACGATGACCGACGAAGCGACTCTCCTTTTGATGGCAAGCAGCCAGACTTTTGTTGGTGTTCTGTCTCTTCGACTCGAACAAACCTATGTTTCTTGTGCAAGACAGCCCAGGCGTTCCTCATCTTACTTAACTTAACTGCACTCTCCTTTACATCCGACTGAAACGCATGATCGTGATATCCACTTGTTCGTGTTCCATCTACAGATTACATTCCGCTTGCGAAAAAGTTTGAATGTGGCCATAGAACGTAATCTAGGCAAAATGGGTATGCAAAGACTTGGTCTGTGAGAATGGACTGGCATTCAACATCCGTTGCGGATGAAGCGTCCGCTGAATGCAGCATTCTATGAACTTTCTTGTGCGTGTCCACATTTTTCGGATCAACAGAAACTACTGACATCGCTGCCTTATTCTTATTCTGCTCTAGAATCGTCCACACAACCCGACGCACGTCCTTTTCCAGGCTCGAAGAAGCGAGTCGTTGCTTTCTATCCATATCTTCGGTAGATGGTGCAGCTGCGGCGGTGCCACTCTCTCGAGAAACTACGTACTGAAGTAGAAGAACAAGCTCCGATTTGCCCACCGCACGGCTCCAGTTGATCCGAATAGAAAGAAGCTGGCAGTAGCGGTTGAAAACGCGAGCGTTAAACTTGGTAACATTAGCTTTCCCACTGCATGATGCTCCTTCTACTTGGCCTTCGCCTTGGGCAGCCGCGGGTATTGACATTAACAACTTGAGCACACCGCGATGAAAACGGAAGTGTGCTGGATGTAGCAACGGCACCGACAACGCTCCCCGGATCAAATGACCTAAATCGGAAGAAGAAATCATGGCAGCGATGCTTGCCTCCCCACGGCGTGGTGGCGGTAGTGGAGGAGCGCCTCGATGTATCATTGACGCTATTTTTCTTTGACTTTCAGATAGCTCCGCCAGCTCCGCAGTTTGTCGCACGATACACGCTTCCGCAACACCGCAAACTTGGGAAACAAGGTTGCGCTGTAACAGTAGCTCGGCATGTACTACTGCCTTCCACGATGCGCAAAGTTCGAGAAAACATGCCACTCGCTCGTGAGAAAAGAATTCCGCATCATCCCGAATTAAGTCCAATGCCTTTCGCAGGATCGACAAGGTCTCAGCGCCGTGGACACGCTGCAGGAAGATTCCGTCAACAACACCGAGCCGCCACGCCGCAAGCAGACAATCACCGAAGCATTTTGAAAGTGTCCCTGGGTCCGGTATTTGCCTCCTCGTAGCTTCATCAATGTTTTCCTCTTCTCCGGGCGCAACACGACACGCAGACCGCTGCTTGCCAATTCCCGTCGCATCTCTGATTTTGCGAAGTCTGTCGTCCTCAGTCTGCTCATATATGACCCTGTAGTTCCGCGAAAAGAACTCTGCCCAAACCCTGCGACTGTCGTCGGCCGGATCCCTCTGCAAGTAGCTCTGCTTGTCTGCGATCAAATTCAGAAGCTCGCCCAAACTGACGAACGACTTGCACTCCAATACACGTGCAGCAGATTCCAGCTCCGGCCACCGCGCTCGCTGGTCCAAAAGCTCCCGGAGACGAACGCCCCCTGCTGAACTACAGCTACCGGCGCTGCTGCTTACGCGCTGCAGCCATCTCATGGCTATTTGGGAACGGGGGAGGCGTGCCTCTTGTTGCGCGACTTGACGACGATAAGACGGTTGCCAGTCTGGCTAGCAACGCGACGCAAACCTGTCGCACACTGGCTGCTAGAGATGCACGGCTTCATGATAGATCGCGCTTGTTGACAGGAGAGAGCTTCACGAGGAATGCAACCCACCTCTCTACCTTACGGTAAAACAAAGGCAGAAAAAGTGAACACGCATCCAGTCAGCACACAGGCCGGATAAAATGTTTTGCCCCGCTTCCATCGGCTGCGCTAGACGGAATGGATGCATCACTCGGCCCAGACATGAGTATGTTGATTGCTGGCCAATACGAAAAGCGTTAGACTTTCACCAGCAGCTGCCGAAATCTTTTTACGACATCGCGTCGGCTGCAACAGCTTGCGAAATACACTGCCGCGCAAGCACATTGACTGCCACAGCCCGGACCTGGTAGCCCAAGCAAACAGCAACACACATGGGGCAAAGCAGGCAAGGCGGCCAAGGGTGCGGCGCCTGCGCAACAAAAAGAATAAAGCGCACGCACGCCGGCCGGCCACCGGGGCAACGCGCCGAGTTGGGATAAAAAAAAAGCCCCCGGCAAGCCGGCCCTCACTCCGCTCCCGCGAAGGCGGCCGGCTGCCCCTCGGCCTGAAGCAAGGCAGCAAGCGCAGGGGCCTGGCGGCCGAACCGCCGGCCCCGCGCGCCAGGGGGGGCGGGGCGGCTCAATAGGGGCCGACGAGGCCACTCCTGGGCGGCAAATGGCCGCGGGCGGGGCGGAAAGAGGACGGCGGCGCTGCCGAGCTAGGGAGAGCCGGGCGATTGGGCCTTTCTTTCTGGCAAGACTGTGCGCCGGCGCCGCTAGGGGCTTGGCCCGGGAAATTGTAGCAGAATGTTCTCTGGCGCCCCCCCCCGCCGCCCAAGGGCGCGGGGGGGCGAACCAAGCAAGAGGCGCGCGGCGGGCCCTGCGAGGAAGGGCGCAGGCCCCGCAAACCGCGGGGGCGCCGGGCCCAAGGGCCCCAAATGCTGCGGCGGGCGCGCCCGAATCCCCTCGCCAAAATAGAACGGCAGGACGCCGCGCGAGCGGCGACGAGCTGAAGCAAGCCGGCCCGCTTGCGCCGGCACAATCAACCCACCAAGAGAAGGGCCACGGGGCCGCTGCGGGAATACCATTGGCACCACACATTTCGGGGCCGCCGGGGAAGATCGCCGGGCCGCGCAGCTGGCCACCAAGAGGCTGCGGGCGGCCCAGCTAGTTCCTCCGTTGCCGGCTACAGCTGACGCGCGGACGCTTCGCCCCTCCATGTCGCCGATGCGCACACACGCAGGCCACTTCAATGGCTACGGGGAGAAATACCGCCCGGCGCCTTGCGGATGGCCCGCGCAATGAATCACGCAGCGCCCTCGCCCTCGGTCACCGACCTGCGCGGCCACTCTCCGGCCAAAAAAGGCCAGGCGCATGCGCGCACTCCACCAACATGCCCGCCCGTCGCCACTGCAAAGCCGGCCCAATGGCACCGACGTCGCTCGTTTCTGCATCGTCGTCGGCCACCTCCTCAATGGGGTCGAACACCGCGGCGGGCTTGTTTTCCTTTTTTTCCCTCGAGGGGCAACAAGACTATGGCAGTAAGTTCACGCCTATGATATGGACCTTCACGTCAGGTTAAATCTAATTGCCATCGCCTTGCTTTTCAGGGCCGCCTTCTAGTGAACACATTTGATAGTGATGCTTGCGCTTTCAGAGACTTAGTAGCTCTCTCGATTCGCACGCAAAATTTCTAATGGGATTTTCCACGGTAGCTTGCTTTGTATTTTCTTCATCAAAATTGGGTTTCGGGATTGGATTCTTATATGTCGCTTCAATGCCAGCTCCTTTACGTGGTCAACAAGAGTGGAAGTCAAGGAGTTGCAACCCCTGAACTTTTCTTGCCGTGTTTCAGTGAAGAGACACTTAGATCAACACGATGCAGATGTAGACAGCTGCTACTACTTTCTGCACGACCTCAGAGCACGGCACTGATCAATATTGCAGTAAATGGCAGTCAGCTCGTCGCATGTGCGACAGGAAGCAACATCGCGCTCGTGACATAGGCGTAACTCTACTTTATTCTCGATTAATGCATGTGTAAGGCACGATATCAAAGAAAGAAATGAAAATTGTTTAAAGGTTAGCAGATATTCTCAAGGAGTCAAGAAATTTAGCGGGCAAAAGTACAACAGAAAGCGCATCCTGGCGCTGGCACTCCAAGGAAGTATATCTTTTGCAGAAAAAATGTGCACCTTTTTATGCCGAAATACTTTGAAAAACTATCCCACTACTGGCTGCAAAACCGGTCTGATATTGGTTTGCAAAACTTTCTGAATTGACACCAAATGCCTTAGACGCATCTCCTTGCCACAAGTGTATTTCAAAAAGAAAAAACAACGCATTGCAAAATACCTTGTAAATCAAAAGGGAAAATAAAGGGAAATCAAATATCCAATTTAGCCGAATTCGTCGGCAGAACTTCGACCACTAAATCTTCATTGCGGTGGCCGACCTAGGATTCTTTCCTAATAAAAGGCTTTTTTCAGTCCACGGTGGGCGGTAGCGGCGTAATCGAGAACGACGTAATCTAGGTCGCCTTTTAGCTTCTCCAGCGCAGTGAACAACTGCCCCACGTCGCCATCTGCCCGGAAGTGGAAGCAGCCCTGCAAAAAAGCATCTGCCGGATCCTTCGCGTCCTCGGAAGTAAGCGCGCCGCTTTGTTTGTAATTACTCTGGCCAGGAGTTCCTTCCGCGGCAACATCAGCTCCGTCGTTTGAAGACTTCCGTCCCGGCTTCGAAAGATTCGCTTGCAGGAAGTCATTGATTTCTGTCATGATCTGTCCGGCCACCAACTGTCGCACCCAGTTCTCCAACTGTTCTTCGTTTTCCTGAAAGTTCTTTTGGGACACAGCGCTGCACTCCGCGATCACGTCGTCTTCCCGAGAAAATCCATTATCACAACTGTGACGCAGCGCAACGCGCCACGCGCTTGCCGACATCGTATTCTTCGTAGTCCCGAGCGCCTTTTGCTCGACCGTCATTTTCCAACTCCACTTCTTGAAAAGGTAAAGCAGCACCGGGTGCCTTGCTAAGGAGAGTTCCACGCTGGTGCCCTGTGGTCCTTTTTTGCCCGGTGTTCTGTGTTGAAAATTGCTGTTATTTTGTTGTAGAAGCGCGTCACATTCTTCCGTCCGAGAAGAACTCCGAGCCTTCTCTGTACAAAAATCATCTTCTGTGCCATCGAAATTCATAAGCCCGCTCCTTCCCCGCATGCCGGATGTCTTCGCCGTAGCCCGGACATTCGTGAAACCGCCCCTCTCGCAGCTGCTTCCGAAGAAACCCTTGCTCGCCGAGATCATTTTATTCCCGGAAGTTTTTTCTTCTTCGGCGAAAGGAGCAAAAACGCCAGAAATGCAGTCGACGTGGACGATTTCTGGGCGGATGGTGACGGAGACGCGGTACGATGGCACCATGTTCAAATAGGCCGGCGTTCCCAGGTGCGTCCACCTCCCACCATCCTGAATCGCCACTTGGCTGCACAAAAGCTCCGCCTCCTCGAGCAGATGCGTGGTGAGGAAAACGAACTTCGACTTCGGGAGGTTGTTGTCGCTACTGTAGTCCACCTTGGTCCCAGCTGGCTGATCGGATCGCCGTCGCACCAGTGCCTGCTGTTGGTTCATCAAATAGTTGTTGTCCTGGTTTTCATCTTTTGCAAACAACCCACTGCCGTTCGCAGAGATGAATTCCTCCAGAAAGGCCCACATCTCGCGCCTGCCCACCGGGTCGATGCTCGTCGTTGGCTCGTCGAGGAGGAGAATCTGCGGATCGTCCAGAAGCGAGACACACACCATCACCTTTCGCTGCGCTCCACCGGAGAGCTCTGAGGGAAAATAATTCCGGTACTTTTCCAGCTTCAGCTTTCGCAGCAAAAATCGAATCTCTTCGTCGGCCGACTTCTGCCCCGGGCTGTTGTTCTGCCAAGTGTCCATACAGTTGCTCGCGACGTTATTTTTCGCGGTTCCTGTTGTACTACTACGCTCAGATGAACTACTTCTCCACTTCGTGGAACTTCTTTTCTGGTTCGCGCGCTTCAAACTCTGGAAGAGCGCGAGATTCTCGTAGACCGTCAAGTCTGGATACAGCACCGAGTTCCGTTGCGGGCAATACCCCGTCAAGCGTCGGATCTTTTTCAAATCCCGATCCTTGGTCGCGTCCAGGCCGAGCATGTGAATCTGTCCCGCGGAAACCGCCTCGCCCCCGAGGATCATCTTCAATAATGACGACTTCCCACTGCCGTTCTTGCCTAACAGCCCGAAAACAGTTCCTTGCTGGGTGGAGTTCGCATTTGATCCGGGCCCAACACCACTCATACTACCTCGGTCGAGCCCGAGATTGCACCGCTCATCCACCGTGAGGCCGTCGTCCTCGAGAAAGCTTTGAACACTGTTGCTTGCCGCAGCAGGCTCCGCTTCGGCGCTCCACGTGACACCTTTGACGGCGTGGACCAGCCACTCCTCCGTGGCGGTTCCGCGATAAATCTTGTGGACGCCATTGAGGCAAAGAAACTGTCGGGACAGGAAAGACGGAGCAGTTGGCTCCTGCGCGGACGGGCACATGGCATTGACTTCGTTGCTTGCAATCTTCTTTTTTCCATTCCCCCCGGCCGGACCACACCTCCCCCCTCGTGCCAACTGTGCGTCAATTGAAGGAACTCCTGCAAGAACGGCGGTGTTGTTTACTTCTTCGTTATTTTCCACAAATTCGTGGCGCTTCTGGTTTGCGAGGGCCGCCTTCTCTCGGCGATCGCGCTCGAGAGCGCGATTGACTCTTTGCTGTTCCTTCACAACTAGGACGTCGACCTCGGGGTCAACGCGGTTCCGCGACAAGGCTTCCTTGACCGCTATCTTCCGTAGGTACTTCGTCATCACGCACCGCTCCACCTCGGCTAGCGCCCTTCTCCTCCGCAGACAGCAGCAACAGCAGGCCCCCAGGGTGCTCAGCAGGCGCAGCGCGAACTCCTCGGTCCAACACGCGGAAAGGCAAGAGCGCAGAAAACCTTTCGGTCTCGTGTCCTGCTTCATGCGCGAATAGCTGCTCGCTCCTGGAAAAGTTGTGGCTGCCGTTCCTTGATTCGCTCTACTGTGCCCTGATCGAGGCTTCGAAACGCGCGCACCCGAGTGCAACAGCTCATCGTGATCGTCATGGTCGCTGCCGATGTTCTCATCTTGATGCTCCAGCCCGTTTTTAGCGAAGTCAGTGGAGCCTTTTCTCGACGCACCCTTGCTGTTGCTTTTTGTCTTCTTCGTACCACCTTCCTTTGCCTTTCCATCATTCAAATCCACACTCCCGTACAGAAACGCGCGCAAAAAACGCGTTTCCCGTGCGGGTGCGCTCAACCGTTGGTTGTCTCGGCCGCATTTCTGGATCAGCAATCGATTTTGTTCCCGCAACAGCTGCCAGATGGTCACAATCAGGATCACCAGGGTGAAGAACAGGAAGTCAAACGAACCCAGGAAAAACCGCAGCAGCGCAGGCTTGTACAGAAGAACCTTGTCCAGCAGCGTTGGCTTTTCATCTCCTGCCGAAGTCAGTTGCGTAGTCTCTGTACCTGAAGAGCCTTTATTTCCTCTCTTTCCGCTTCCCGTCGAGGTTACCGTGACGGACCTTTTCAGCATCTGCTCCTCCTCTCGCATCAGGGCGCCCTCGTCTACTGCAGCCATACCGGCGACGCGAATCTCCGGTAGCAGCGAGAACGGCGAACCCTCCTCGATTCGCCGTGCCTCGGCGAGAGCCGCAGCAGATCCTCTTTTGCTTTCTCGGTCCGACAGAGTTCTTGCGCTTCGGTTCCTCGACCGAAGCCCCCGCGGAAGAGTTGTTGCACTGACGCTTGTTCCAGTTTCTTGTTCACTCGCTCCGGCAGTGCTAGTGGCCTGCTCCCCAACAGTAGACACAGCGCCACCATCCGGATGTTGACCGGAATCTGCAGTCGTGCTCGCAACTTGCAGCCTCTGTGGGTCCTTGAACACCGGAGGTGGCGAAATGAGGTCGGAACTCACCAAGTAGCTCAGATCGATCATCGCCGTGAGCAAAGCCTTGTTTTCCACGTGGAGAATGTCCTTCAGCATGATCTTGTCGTACAACAGCCCGTGTGCCGCCTGACGCTGCATGGGAGACCGAAGCTGGGCTTTCGCCGCGAGGTCGAGGCTCTTCTTCATCTCGTCGGCGGCTTTGCGCTCTTCAACTGCTTGTCTGGCCGCTTCCGCTCGTGCTTGCGCACTGTCACGGTTTCGCGGGGCTTCGTCACCGTTTCCAGATGTTGGGAGAAAGCCGGGCTGATTTCGGGAATTTTGGTGGGCACGCGTGAAAGCAGCAACAACAAAAGACGAAAACATCAAAACAAAGTACTAGGCGAGTCTATACACTTCTTGAAAACATGAACAATGTGGCTTAAAAATACCGACGTAGAGCCCGTTGTTCCCGCTCCTGCCGGCCAGTCGGGCTGATCGCCGCCGTCCGCATCCCCTGTGGAGCTTGCCGCTCGCCCACGCCCCAGTACCCAATCCAGCAGAAACCGGGGCAAGGACCTGATCCAGAAAGACTTCACCGCCCGCCAACAGGACCACAGAAATCCCTCCATCGACACCGCACTTGCACCGTGGTCGTGCTGAAAAATGACCGAGGAGAGCAAATACGCATCCCGGTCCACCTGGAGCAAGTCCCGCAGCCGCTCCGGCTCCTTCTCCTGCTCCGGCAACGGGGTCGCGTCCATCAACTTCAGCCGATTTCGTGCCCAGTTGGAGAAGTCTTCCTCGAACCTCTGCCGAAACTGTTTGGGGCGGTACCGCACGAGCACCTGGCGCTTGAAGTCCTCCCAGTGGAACTGCTTCACATCGAAATCAAACCAATTCCAGGCTGCGGCCCACAGCTTCTTCCCTTTGTCCTTCCCGTACTTCTTGCACATCTCCTCCTTCGTGAAAAAGTTTCCGTTCGGCCCCCGGCGCCGCAGCGCCGCCTCCCACACCTTGGGCCAGTCCTGCCGGTAGTGCGCCATGAACTCCTCTTTCGACTCCAAAGGCGAGATCTTGATCACCTGTCGGGCGTCCAGAGCAACCGGCCGGCTCTTACCGATTTTGCGGAACTTCACGCGGAGTTTGGTCGATTTGTCCGCGTTCGTCGGCCGCACCCAGTACTGGAAATCTAGTTCCCGCACCGGGTCCGTTTCCCCGTAGTCCAACCGGTTCAACTCCACGGTGCCCTTCTCCGTCCGGACGGTGACGTCTTCGGCGAGCAACACGCCGTTTTGGTTCCCTAAATAGGGCGAAATACGGGTCGTCTTGTCGTTCACGAAGGGGAGTTTGTTCCACGCCTCCTGGGCTTCCTCCTGTTCAAACCGTAAATGCGCGGTCAGGTGCTCAATGAACTCCTCGTGGGTTAACAGTTGACGTCTCCGGTCCGCGATGTTCGGGAACCGCGGGTGTTGCACGTCCAACGGCTTCCGCTCCGTGTCGGTTTGCAACTGCATCTGCCGGATTTCCGCTTGATTCAGCGTGTTCAGGTAGAACCGCATGCCGCACCCAAACGCCAGCTCGTAGATCTGCTCCGAAGTCTTCTGCTGCACGCTGAACGCCCGCGCCCCTTGCTGCCCGTCCCACACGGAGGGCTCGGGGTAAAGCCAGCTCTTCGTCCACTCGAAGGCGTAGGTCAGCATCACCTGGGCTTGCAGCCAGCGGAGCGTCACGTGGTCGCGGAAGGTTGGCTCGCTGCGTTGCCTTGCTGTAGTTCCTGGACTAGCACCGGAAACGGCATCCAAAAGCGCTGCAGTTTGGGGCACCTGGCCATCGGAGCTGCCGGTTGTGCCGGGGGTGTCACGACCTCTGCGAATCCCACGGATGTCTGGTGCAGTTGTTCCTGCAGGTCGTGTTGGGCTTGTCATTCCTGCCAGCGCATTTCCACCGCTCCGCGCACGTCCCGTGCGGATCGACGTTGTTCCGGCGCTATCTCCGGCCCCTGCCGCATCGGGGCTACTATTACTTTCCTGCTGCTGCCCACCGGGAGTCGTTTCTCGGATGGGCGACAACGCACCATAGGACGACAACCCGAACCAGTTCTGCATGTACCGCGAGAAATTGAACCCGGCGTTGCCCGCCCGTGCCGTCGAATCTGTTGCGCCAGCATGATCCCGCCGCGTTTGGCGGCCTGCAACACCCCCTTCGTCGCCGCTGTTTTCCGCACTGTCTACGGCGCTCCCGTCGAGCTCGTCCGTGCTCTCACTCAAAAACTGCGGGTTTTCCTCCCCTTGCGCCGCCTGGAGAATGTCGAACGCGCGGTTGGCTTCGTCGATCCACTCCTCAGCGGTGGCGTTATCCAAATCGTCGTTCTCTCCGTCCTCGTCGTCTCCGAACACAAACGCGTTCCGCCGCGCAAAGCTGTCACTGTTACCAGTCGGTGTCGCCTGCCGCAATCCGGCCGCGAACCGATTGTGGTTTCGGTCGTCCGCACGCTGCGCCCTCGCCCGCGCCAGTGCCCACTCGTACAGCAGCTTGCGCTGCGTGCTCGCGTCGTGCCGCCACAGCATGGAGAGTTGCTCCGCGCGCACACCCATCTCCGTCGCCAGCTGCTCGATCTGGCCCGGGTGCATGTCTTCGAAATTGCGGGTCGACTGCTCGCGCAAAATCTGCTCCTGCTCGACGACGACGTTGTCCATCAGGTAATTCGCGACCTTCCGCTGCGCCTTCTCGATCTGCCGGTCCTGTCGTCGTTTTTGGATCTCCCGCGCGACGTGGCGCTCGCGCGCTTGCGCCGCCGGGGTGCTGGGGCCGCTCGGCTGCAGCACGACGTTGTGCACGAAAATGGTCACGAACAGATGGGCCAGAGACGCAATGGGGACGAACGCGTAGAACACCCCGCACGCCACCCGCGCAGCCAACTGCTTCAGATACGCCACGCCCCAAAACCCGTCCTCTCGGACGGTCCTCTCCAGGGCGATTTCCGGGGGCTCCGGCTCCGCAAGCATCATGGCGGATTTTTCCTCCTCGGGAGTGAGTTTCACGACGCGCTCCCGCTGGTGGTCCATCTCGACGTACTCGTCCAGCAAATCGTCGTGCGAGAAGAACTCCTGCGGCATTCCGTCGTCGTGCACGATCCAGTTTGTCGCGGTGACGTCCGTGTAAAATCCCCCCTCGTCATCCCACAGCAGATCAGGCCGGGACGTGGGTGTCGCAGGCATGTCCTCCGAGAACTGGTTCCTCACACTCGGCGGTCGCTGCGGCGTCCCACTTGCACTACTTGTTCCACCCGGCGTGTCCGGGCCCCCGCCTCCGCGCGTGATCAGAGTGCTTGTCCCTGCCGCAGTTCTGGTGAGACTCCGTGTCGGGGCCGCAGGAGTGGCCCTTCCAGATGTTGTCCCCTTGTTGAGAATTGCCTCCGGTCGGCTCACACCAATTTTCAGACGCACGCTGCGCCTCTGCTCCTCGGATTGGTACTGCACGTGGACGGATTTCATGAACGCCTGGTAATACTCCTCCCGCGTTTTGAAATCGCCTCCGTAGAAGGTCGCCTCGCCCATCACCCCCAACGCGTAAATCAAATCCCCCTTGCGTAAGCGTCGCGGATCCGGTATCGACTCCCCCTCGTATAGGGAGAGCGGATTGCTGTTCATCGAGGAATTATTACCCGTCGGTCTCATGGGCTGCTGCCGAATCTCCAATTCACTTCCATCCGCGGCGAGCATCACATCGGGAACGACCGCTGTCGTGTCACCTCCACCTCCAGCGGCTGCAACTCTGTGTCCTTGCTGCAATTGCTGCTGGCGCTCCCGACGGAGTTCCTCGCGGCTCACGTGCCAGAGGTTTTTCGTCACGCGCACATACTGCTGCTGAAAGTCGAGCGCTTGGCGATTTTTCAGTAAAGTCAAATCCTGGAGTGGAATGCTGAGCTCCTTCATCGTGTCCTGTGTCTTCGGCAAGGGCTGCATTGCCTCAACAAACTCGGTGCGCTTGAGTTCGCGGGTTACAGCCAGAGCGGACTTTGGGTCTAGCGTGTTGAAAAACGGCACAATGCCTTGGACGGAAAGAAACACCGAGCAGGTCCCAATCACAACAATCACCAGGAGGGCAAAAAGCGACATGTCATAGGCGTACTGCGCTTTCGAGTTGGTGTGTTTCGTGTTCTCCTGCTCAAAGTCGTCGTTGTGTTCCCCTGCAGATATTTCGCTTGCTTGTAAAGCTGTTGATGAATCGCTGCACAAAGCTTGTTCGTTTTCCAATTCATTTGCCGTTCCAAAGGCCACGGAAGAAGTAGTCTTCCCTCGTTTGTTCTTCCCGCCATTCAATAGTTTCCTGTTTTGCCACCACGCACTGCAGCGTTTCAGACACTCCTGCGGCCACCACGTCCCGTCGCGGACCGCCCGCCGCTCCTGCGCCAGAGCCTCCTGGCGGACAGGCGCTCGATAGAAGGTCACGGTGAGGAGCAGAAGCCAGAGGTAAATGGAAACGAAAAACACGTTGTTATCCTTCAGATCGAAAAAGCAACTCTGCCGCAAGAGTTGTAGAAAGGGCAAACAGTCCGCGATACCGCCGGCGAGCAGAAATTTGAAAACGAAAAACAAGCAGAGAAAAACGACAATCGCGTCGGCTAGAAAGTGCGAGGCCCAGTAAGCCTTACCGCTGATGCCGTTCATGAACAGAAACTCCTTCACGCCGCGCCCATGCTCCAGTTTCACGTTGCGGATCAAAGCCGTCGGGATTTTCAGCAAAACCAAAACAAAAATCAGAAACTGGCTGCACAGGTCCACCCCGAGTAAAAAAGCGCCGCGCAATTGGTCGTTGGTCAACACCGGAAAGTACACTTTTTTCTTCAGACCCGACTGCATTATCGAGTCGGATAACGCCAGTCCCCGCCTGTTCCCGCCGAGCCCGAACGAGGCCGCCAACGGCGAGGCTCCGTGCCGGTTGCGGAGGTGGTAGGGAGGAGAATTGCTGTGCTTACCCCCGTAGCCCTGGGATGGACCGTTGAAGGACGAATCCAGGTCGATGGCAAAGGGGGACACTTTTTGATTCAACAATTGGTGCGCGTTGCCAAACATGTCGAACCCGACGTCACTCCAGCCGCCGAAGCGATGGAGGAAAAAAAAGGTCGCCAGGCCGAACAAAAGCACCGCCGCAGCGTCGTGATGCAACACGAACGCCGTCGCCCGCCGCTTCCGCCGATCCTTCCCGAACACGGGGACAAAGAAACTGGAGAAGACCGTCCAAGCGAGCAACAACCAGCCGTAGAGCAACCGGGCGTAAAACTTCAAGCAGCCACAGACGCTCGGACCTGCCTTCCGGGTATTTTTTCCAGCATCGTAGCTGTGGCTCTTCGCAAGCGCATGTTCCGCGCTCACCGGTTTAGAGAAACGAAAAATGTTGGCGTCGCGCTGCATCCGCGACAGCGTGAACAGGGCAAAAAACTGCAGGAAGAAACGGCGCATAGCTGAGAACCATTCTTTCTCTGCTTTCGACAATTTCAACCACCCGCTGCGTTTTAATCGGTCGAGTAAAGGAATTAGCGGTCTATTTGCCTCAGCCGGGAGTTCCAATGCCCCTTGCGAAGAAGATGTAAGTCCTGGATCCAGTCCTGGCTCGCCAGAAGGAAGTGGCTGCTGGTGTTTCAAGGCACTTTTCCTACCCGTGGTTCTAGGAGTCTTCATCGCAGCGCCCGCGACTTCCTGCAGTTTACTCGCATCTTCCAGTGCTAGTTCCTCCGTGGATGGCCCGTTTGACTTCGACAGGTCGATGTCAACCAGGTTATGCGCATTCTCCAGTGCAGCAGCTGTCTTTGGCACGGGCGAGATAGAAGAGGACGAATTGCCGTCGGGCGAAAGGCGGTTGGACTCAGACGTTCTACCGGTGTGCCTCTGTTTAGAGGCAAAAGAGCCGACTAGATCATCATCCAGCCGATGGTCCACGAGATCATGCGAACTTGCCACCATGGCATCGTAGTCGAATTCTGCTTCGAACGCGTCGCCAAAGCCGAAGCTTACCACATCATCTCGCTGCTCGAACCCCAGCAGGCGGAACTCTGACCGCGCGTAGGTCAGTTCCGCACCCGAAGCGACTTTGAGAAAAATCTCTTCGAGGTTCGAGGTGTTCAACGCAAAAGAATGAATCACCGGCACGGCAGAGACGAAGACTTTGCGGCTGCGCATATTGTGGTGGTCTCCGCTGGATTTTTTGTTGCCCTTTTGCTGTCCTGTGTTGACCTCCTCGTCGACCAACAGGTCCAGGTTCACAAGGTTCACGCTTTCCAATGCCCCTGCAAATCTCTTCACCTCGTTCAACACCTCCGCCAGAATTTTGCCGTCCTTGACAAGCGGAAATTTCACGCAACAGCGGTTGCCCTGCGTTTCGCTGCGGATGTAGGTGCTCCACCAAGGCTGTTCCTCCTTTGCAGCAGCACTGGGAGTTGCATAACCTCCTCCACCAGCGGTGCTTTTTGCTAAACAAACCTCTGTGGCACTTGCGTTCGTCCTGGACGCTGCCGCATTCTCCTGCAAGACGTCCTCTCGAATCCATTGCTGCCAGAAGTCGCGGATTTCCTTGTCGCTTTGCTCTTTCGCGGGCTGATGTTTCTGCTGATTGGAAGAAGAATGGTTTCCGCTTCCAAGCACGGCACCAATGCGGTTTGCTACCAGCCGCTCCAGTTCTTTGGCAACTTTCTGCGTGATCAGTCCCCGCCTCTCGCCAATGCTGTTTAATTGCCGCTTCACGTGCTCTACTGGAGCATTCAATACGTCCTCGGTAGAATCCAGTACATCATCACCTCTCGCTTTATTCATCGCACTCGTCCTCTTGTACCGCACGGGGACCCGCATCACCGATCGGCCGAGCGCTGCCAGATGCTGCTGCTGGGATGATTTTCGGTCCTTGTCGAAACCGTCCTTATTTCCATCTCCGCTCGTACCGACGTCCTGTCCAGTAATCTTTTCCATGTGGTCGACCGCACCGAAGCCGATGTACTCCTGCAACAGAATGCGGGCGTCGTCAGACAATTGGTCCACATCCGTAGCTTCCTCGAGCACGCGCACCTCGTCTTCTCCGCCCGGCGTACTCTGCATCCTACTGGCGTAGGAACTCTCGTCGCAGCTGCTGTTTTTCTTCTCCAAACGGCGGAGGTTGGCCGCAGTTAGTTTGCTTTTATTCGAACTGCTATTGTTGTTCGGGCTGCTGGGGCTGTTCGTCGTGCCAGTCGTTCTGCCATTATCCCCTGCCGCGACGAGACCCGTCGCACGACTACACTCGTCGTCGATATCCGAAACGTGCATATCGTCCTCCTGGTTCAAAATGTTGTCACTGCTTTCTTGCGTTTGTTGCTTACGCAGCCTGTTGCTGTTTCTCCTGCCATCCTGATCGCACAGAGGTCGCTCATGATCTACTTGATCACGCTGCTTGTTAATACAATTCTTTTTTCCAGGAGATGCCCGGACCGCTAATTGCTGCATCCTCCACAGCAGTCGTTTCTCGCGCAGCTGGACCTCCAGAACAAAACCGGTGCCGAAAATCGTTTTCAAGTACTCCACGCTGCCCCAGGTTTTCACTACCCCGTCCTTCAAGATCGCAACCTTGTCTGCGACCACCTCAGCTTCCTCCATCAAGTGTGTGGTGAAAAGGATTACTCTGCCAACCTTTCTTTTCCTCAGAAACTTCTGGAAAGTGCGGCGATTTTGCGGATCCATCCCCGCAGTGGGCTCGTCCAGAATGACGAGCTTCGCATCGCCGAGAAAAGCCGAGGCGCAGCAGATCACGCGGCGCCATCCCCCGGACAACTCGCTGCAGCGCTTCTTCGCAACATGCGCGGGCACCTCCAAGTCGCGCAGGAGCGCGTCCGTCTCTGCCTGGACGGCGGCTTCCAGATACTCTGCGAAGGTCGGGACGTAGGCGGCTAGTTGCTGCTGGTGCTTCTCAGACAGCACGCTGTCAAGCAGCGGACCACCTTCCTCGGTCATAAGCAGACTTGTCGCACTAGAAGCTCCATCGTCATAGCGCAGCTCGCTAATCCCGACCGGCTTCTCGATGTAGTTTTTATCCTTGCTACTCATCAACATGTCTTGCGCCGACAGGGAGTCGTCGACTTTGGTGGACCCTGAGGACTTTTTCAGCAGCGCCGGATTCAACGGGGAAGTCTCGCGATTCGGCAGTTTGTTCGTGAGTCCACTGGAAACATTTCCGGTCCTGGAGCGAAATGTGAACTTTTCGAAAGCCCTTACCGACGCGGAACCCGCACTCAACCTGCCGGCGCGCATTTTCTCCCACTCTTCGTAGAGAAACTCCACAGAGCGAAGCTTGGCAATGAAAGTCAGTTGCTCCCGCACGGTGAGCTCGGAGAACAGATTGTCCGTTTGCTCACAGTACGTCGTGCTCGCGGAGGGACTGGCTTTCGAACTGCTTTTGCTCCCGTCGGTGAAGGAACTACTTCCCACTTTCCGAAAAAAATCCGCAGCCGGGAGGTCGAAATCCGACTGCGTGAGACATTCGCTATCTCGTGCTTGCTTCACCGATGGGGAAATGTTGCCCCGCTGGCCACGAGAAGTACTAGAGGTGCCGCTCTTTTTATTCTTGGAATGATTCATCTCCGTCATGTAGTTCCGTGTTGCACCTATTGTACTTGGCGAGGCTAGTACACCGTTTCCTGTGCTCTTGTTTTGACCGGCATAAGTAGTTGAACAAAGCTTCCCACCGCCATGCTCCGCCTTACGAAAAACCGGTTTGCCGAACACGTGCAGCTTCTTGCACGCCGACGGCTTGAGAACTCCCGCGAGGCAGTTCATGGTTGTGGTTTTTCCCGCGCCGTTCTCGCCGAGCAGACCAGTGATTTCGTTTTCGAACAATGTCAAGTCCAGATTTTTCAAAACCGCCGGCCCGGTGTCGAACTGTACATCCAGGCCGACGATTTCCACGCACCGCTGCTTCTCCCACAACTGCTTCTCCCTCGCGTCCCAGGGCTGGAACAGCAATTCGCTCTGCTGGCCCCCCGTGTGCCCATCGGTCGAAATCCGGCCCCGGTTGGCGGCTGGCCGCAAGTACTCCTCAAACAAGCCATCGTTTGTTTCGGCAAACATGACTGAAGTTGTGTTGTAGTCCAACCCCGAGCAGGGGGCACTCGATTTATTTCTCTCCACACCAACACCCACCTTGTTGTTTCTGTTGCTGGTACCACCGCGGTGTAGCCCCGGATTGCTTGCAGATGCATCGTAGTTCTCTACTGCATGGCCATTTGCTGTCAACATCTTATTCCCGTTCGCGCTCTTCTGCGCCTCTTTCTTTTTCCAGAAGCACGAACAGCACAGAGTCTTACAGGCCGTGACCTTCCCGGCCAGATCGACACCCTGCAGCAGCTCCGCCCAGATCATCAGTACGGAAAGGAAGCAAAGCGCAATGAGTTGCCACGAGAAGAGCACGAGGAGTGACTGGACATGAAAAGTGAAATCGTTTAGCGGCAACCGGATGTGCTTGTTCACTTTCATCAAATTTTCCGCGATCGCCACATTCCGCTCTTCCTCCTGCTGCTCAACGTCCCCGGCCGTGCTGTCACGAGAAGACAAAACACCCGCCTTGCTCCTGCTCCCCCCAGTACCAAAATCCGTACCGGCACTATCCGCGCCTGTGTCCAACCGATTCACCAAGTCCCGGAGGAAGGAGAAGTACCGTGCCGTCTCATAGGTGTATTCGAGTCTGTTATTGGTGCTAAGCTGGGTCAAAATCCGGTAGAACAGAAAATGCGGCGCGATGACAGCGGAAAACGCCTTTTGGAGCCATGGGAATAGAAAATAACTGTTGGAGTCGTCAAGTAACAAAACTGGCTCCGACTCCGCATCAATTGGCTCATCTAAATCGTGATGGTCCGCGTTGGATATAATCAATCCACCACCATCGAGATTTCCGCGCCGGGTTGCGATCGGCAGCTGCATGCTCGGAACGAACCCGGCACTACTAGCGATCTCTTCTCGTCCACGGCGGTCCACACTTTCTGAAGACATACTCCGATTAGCTCTCCGCCTTTGTTGGTGCTGCTGCTGCAACCCCCGGGCGGTCCGCAGTCCGTTCGCCTGCTCTCTTTTTTCCCGCTCCGCCGCGGCAAGGTCCTCCCGTTCCATCGGAGACAAGCTTGTGTAGTGCGACCGCGAGAGAACCCGGCTGCCGTCATCGGACTCGAGCTCCCAGATGTTCAGCTTTCGGTTGAACTGGATCCAGGGAGCCACTTCTGGACGGCGCGTAAAAATGCGCACGTAGGCGGTCTGCGTGTCGATCGGGTCCAAGTCCGCCCGCACATAGTTGACTTCCGCAAGTTGCTGCATTTCCCTGACCTTTTTCCGTTCCTTCTCGGCCTGCCGTCGCAACGCCGCCTCGTCCTCGTCGGTGAGAAGTTGCAGGGGTGAACCGAGACTTGCTTTCGTCGAGTCGTCGTCATGCGGCTGGTTGTTTGCCCCGGCGCCCCCAATGGAGCCCGTGCTGCTCCGCAGCCAGGTGTACACGGAGCTCTGTGACTGCTCTAGACTGTTCGCGTTGGTCGTGGAGGCCGCTAGATGTTCCTTCCACACGCCGGACCCGCCTAGCAGTTCCTTCTCGAGGAATCGCGAATGTTCGTAGAGGAAGAGAAGAAGCATCAGCAGGTAGAACAGCATTTTCCGGCCGTAACTCTCGGGCTCCGCGACCCCGCCATCTGCCGCATCCATGTCCTGCATCTTACTGGTCTCGGCGTCAAATCCAGCACGAAACGTCGCGGGCGGTAGGCGCGCTTGCTGCGGTTGGTTTTGATGTAGTGCGGCTTGCTGGTGCGCCACCGGCCCGGACACCGCACGCACGACCAGATCGTCGCCCGAGGAACTGTCCTCCTTGTGGTCATTTGTCACGTTGGCCGCCAGGTCGTACCAGGAAAGCGCGCCGGTTGTACTGTTGTTGCTCCCAGAATTTTTATCTCTTTTGTCACACCAGGGACAACACGAGCCGAACCAGGTCAGCGACTTCGTGTCTAGCTTACCGCTTTTGCTTCGTGTTCTGTTCCGGGTATTCAAAGTGTTCGCGAGCTGGTCCTGGGCCCCCGCGTTAGTGTTTTCGCCGGTATTCTTGGAGATGACACCTGGTGCGGATCCATCATTGCGATCTTCAATCTGCAATGAACGCGGTGCAGTAGTTCCGGAGCCAGCATTCCGATCGGTTTCCTTTTTTCGCTTGCAACAGGAACAGCAGAAGATGGAGGACAGGGTCGAGGCAAAAGCCAGCATGCTCGGCAGCGCGTAGACAAACAATAGTGTGCCAACCACGCAAATGGTCCAGACATAAACCAGTCCCGCCGCAAATGCAACGGCTCCATTAGTGGATATTCGCAATGCGCACTGCAAAAAGTACAGTAGCTTCTGCCCGAAAGAACTTTCTTTCCCGTCGGGCTCTTCGCCGTTCTGCCTCGGGAGTTCGCTTTGCGCCTGCAGCAAATTGCTGCCGTCAACATGCTCGCCTGGTGGTCGTGTCCGCCCTAGTTCTACCTGCGAAGTAGACGGGTTTGCAGGACCAGTCGCAGCGGAGGTTTCATCAGCACCGCGATTTTCTCCCGCGCTTGTAGTTTCCTTTGCCGCATCTATTTTGTTCCGAATATTGCTTTGCAACTGTGTCAACCCAAACTCATACGTCCGATCGCGGCGGACCGGCTCACGGGAAGACGCTCCGCACGCTGCTGGGGACAGGCGGAAGTAGTCCCATATTTGCCAGAATTTTCGCTGCGGGAAATCCAGCAATGCCAGCTCCTGCTCGCGCAAAAATGGTCGCACATCCAGGCTCTGGGATTGCGGCAGCACACCGAAGGACAGAGCGCCGGGGGCCAGGCGCAACGCGTCCAGCTCCGACACGCCTACCTCTATTCGTGACATCAAGTGCGCCGACTCCTTCAAGTGCTGGGCCGGCATCTCGCGCGGCATGCGCCAAAACTTCTCGCCCGGGGCGAGGTTTCCCTCGCCCGGGTGATGGTACCCGCCACTACTGCTCCCGGAAGTAGATAATTGGCACGTACAAACCGCTTGGTAGACATTGATGAGCACGACAATGACCGAACAGCCGTATGAAATGCAAAAGTGTCTGGGTCTGGATCTGGAAGAGTCGTGCTGTTTTTGCATGAGACAGAAGGGCTGGCATGGAAGCTCTAACGTCACAGGTTTCGAGAAGCTTCCGCAATGCCGAATCCGCATGACAGCTCCCCCATTTTGGTGACAGAAAGTGCAAGTGGGCAGCTTTTGCTACCTATGCATGAGAGATTTTCCATTTTCTGTGTTCCGAAATGCGCATCGCAAGTTTGCAATCATCCAGACCCAGACGCTTTTGCATTAGATAAGCCGATCCCGAAGACAACCGCCCCGAGAAACGGGAAGGACATCAGCCAATGCACGGCATACAGAAACCGCACCAGCAAACCCCGACTGCGGTACTTACTCCGGACCCGGCTGCTCCGCGTCAATTGCGCCACCAGAAACGCCTTTTGCCCCTGCTGCTGCTCACCGTACACCAGACCCCCGACCATCTCCGCGTAGTACAGAGCGCTCAGAGTGAGTAGCAGCTCGAACCAGTGTCGGCCTAGAAACGGAAAGAGCACGTGGAACAACGCATCCTTCACGTACTCCAGCATGTTGACGTTCGCAAACAACCGCGTGGATAATACCCGTTTCTCCAGAGCCGCCAGTTTCTCGAACGAGGTCAGCGGAGGGTGCTGCGGGTCGTGCAGAGACCCGGTCGACGAGGACCCGCCGTTACCGTGAGAAGCGTGCCCGTACAGACTGCGGCTGATCGACTGCTCATTGGAAGCCGCGTTCCCGACCAGCCAAACGGGAAGGTACTCATTCAGCTGCAGCGCGACGCTGAAGAAAGACGCGTGCTGAAAGTTTGCCTTAGAGTATTGCTTCTCCGAAGCTGACGCGGAGGAACCACCTGCATCTGGACGCTGCTGATCACGTTGCGCTTCATTCCGATACTCGAGGAACAAGTGCCCCGCCGTGTCCCGCTCGGCAAAAGGAAATGTTTGTCGGAGATCCGTCCAGACCTGAAAGAGGCCTAGGTCGTCATCTTTCTCCTGCGCATGCTCGACTCCCGATTTGGGGGACGCCTCGAAATCGCCAGAGCGGTGCGTTTCTGGATTTTTCAGAGTGCAGTAATGTTTGAAGCACTCTCGGTCGTACGAATGCAGAAGAACTGGCAAAGAAGAAGTCACAGATGAAATAAAGCAAAAGAAATCGCGACGCACTAATGTTCAGCATATCTTTCCAAGGGAACAAACCAAAAGAGAACGACAAACCGCACCATGCGTAGTACCAAACGGATCGAGCTTTGGCTTTCCACCAAGCGGTGCAGGCAGGTCTCGCAGAACGTCGCGTGAGAACAGGTGGTCGATGCATCGGACACCAAACAGAAACGCAACCAGCACGCCGAGCAGGAGAAAGGGAACAGATACTCGACGAATGAACGAGTCATCAAACAGAGTTTTGAAGTTTTTCCAAAGCAAAACCTCCAACACCGCAACCTTCCCACCTTGCAAAACGCACGAAGGCGTCGTTCGGGACCTCATTTCGTAGCCCGAGAGATGAACGGGGAAGAAATCAGTCTAGGAAGAGTGTGAAGGAGTTCTCAGCCGTGCGTCAGACTCCATTCGGCACAATGGTGCTGTCGTATTTCGAGAACGGAAGTTCTGCTTCCGCCCACATAGAGGATGAGGAATGTTGACGAGTTGGCTCAGAATATTCCTCATGGTCGACTATGCACGACCATCGCAATCTGGAGGAAAGTCTCCCGCAAGGGAATCAAGTTCAACAAAAAGAATAGCGAAGGGACAGATCGACAACCCGTAGCAAGAGACGAGAGGACCGAAAATATCGATGTTGTTTGACCATGACGCCATCGAGGTGCAGATGCGCCGAGGATTTGAAGCACGGAGGCACTTGAGCATCACACTGACGCCATGCAGAGCTACCACATCCACCCATGGAAAGAAGCCCGATGTCACAAAAGACGCTCCGGCGGCGCCCTGTTCTCGTCTAGAAGGCATTCGTAATTCAATTCATTCTTCGCAAAAATACATTACCAAGCAGAGTTTTTGCAGTCGTCACGAAATGGTGGGCACAAGTTCGACTTCAATCTGAAAAGTATTCCGCAAGCAGAATGCATTCAAGAAAGGCAAATCTACACTGTGCTTTGCGTTTCGGCAACTGGTGAAAAGTCAACGGTACTTACAACGGCGAAGCCGCACTTACAGTGATGAAGTAGCAATTGTTTCATTCAAACAGGAGGTAGCAGGAAAGTGACATCATGTTCATTGTGAAATCAAAAGGTAAAATTCTCGTACCTAGCGGAGCAAAAATCGGTTGTATACAGTAGGTAAGGAGTTGCTAGTGGCACAAGTACCTCAATGAAAACCAAAATACCACGAATGGCAATACAGGTGTATCATCACCAAAAAGTTCTAGACATCATCCAGAGATCACGCTCGCATCGCCCCGCTGCATCAACCGTCAAGTAACTGCTCGTCCACATGTTCTCGGTCACGGAATCTGGTTCAAAAACCCTCTGCATCAAGTGCACCACGCGACTCGGCGCGAATCACATGCCGGAGAGAGAACTCGGCACCTGGTGGAATTTTATTTTTCGCGAATCATTTAACCACGTACGCAATGATGTGTGCTAGTGTCACAGACAGACGAAGACAACGGCATTCCGATTCCTACTCCTTCTCCTCGTCACAGAGAATATATTTTGCAATGTAAAATCGTCACAGAGAATATACACAAATCGTCGATCACCTAGAATCACAACGGGAAAGCACCTGCGCAGTCTTTAGAGCGGACGACCATCGGGTAGACATCGTGGGGCAGCAACTCGCGTGACTTCTTCGTCAACCCCAGGAGGTTCACATCGACTGTTGTGACCGTGACGCCCACCCGCTTACTTCTTCTTCATAGAAGAAGCCTTCATGACCTGTGATTTCAAAAAGACACAGCTTTTTTGACAATACTTGCGCATCAAACATGCCAAGAGCAAAACCAAACACATCCTGCAACAATAACATTGCCACTGAGTAGACATGCTTGGATCATCATGTCGGAAGATTCAATGTACTTTGTAATTTTCCGTCACAAGTAGTAGACAGGAGTTATATCGTACTGATGGACCGTCTTCAAAAAAGGAAAATGTTTTGCGACTTACCGTCTTCTTCATGCTGGACTTCTTCATGACGGGGGCGGCCTTCTTCATGGAGGACATCTTCTTCATGGAGCTGGCCATTTTCTTCATGGAGCTCTTCATGGCCTTTTTCATGCTCGACTTTTTCATGCTGGATTTCTTCATGCTCGACTTCATAGCCGGAGCAGCTGGGGCAGCGGGAGCGGCGTCCATCTTGATGCTTTGTTTTGTCGTGAGAGCGACAAAAACGTGTTTGCTTCGAGAGAAAACTCGAAAGAAAAGTTGATGTGCTGCAAAGTTGTAGCGCAGACTTGTAGACTGTTCTTGCGAAGTTGGAGTAAACCGTTGTAAGTTGTTTCACTTGTTTTCGAGTGTCGCGGCAGTTACCTCTTAGGAAAAAAATCCAAAAGCCACTGAGCAAAAAGAATCAAAAACGCAGCAGCAAAAATCACGCTCGAGTCAGATCTTTGACACAGAAAGGAGCGGATGAAAAACCAAGAACGCAGAGATAATTATATGCACCACCTAGATCCAAAAAGAAAAGACCTGCTTTGGCGTGAGTCAACATAGCGCACAACTACTGATCCGCAGAGGCGAAAATGCTATACTTAAAGCGTTGATCTTGTTCCTCTGTGGCACTACTGCCATGACGCCGTAAGCACTGTCGCAGCAGTCAGTCGCCGCCACAGTGTGTACGACTCTTACGGTCGCCCGCTTCGCGGGAACAAACCGCATGCCTCCACGAACAAGCACGCGTGAAGTCCAGGAAATGGTCACCCTTTGAGTTGCACTGTTATCCTCAAGTTGATTTGTACGTGTAGCTGTAGGCTTAAATGGAGAAGAGGGCATGAAGTTCCGCACATGTTTTGAATGAAGTGTCGCACAGCAGGGGAAAGCAGCAAGACCGCGTCGCCTTCGGAAAAATACCAGTGTAAGGCATTTTGTGACGAGGCACACAGCTTCTTTGACTAATGCCACTGTAGAGCCGTTTCGGTCGGCAACTTTACCCTCATTCCTTCTTGCTGATATCATACATACATCCGACGGGCATATTACGTAGAGTGCTTCATCGTCTGTGAAGGTCTGGTTTTATCCGCGTGTGCCAAATAGACTGATTATACTGTACAGTGTGTTGAGTGATTGTCGCTAGTCTATGTCGATATGATTCTTGTTGCTGTTCATCAAATCTGTGCTACCTCTCTTGTACTTCATTTTTCATCGCACCAAAACCGTCATTGTCTTCCTCGGCTATTCCTTCCAGGAGGGCCGGATTGTCGCTAGTTAGTTCTTCCTTTTGGTCTCGCAGAATGATGTCGTCTCCCGTAAAGTAACTCTCGGGCGTTTCCACAGCGGGTAGAATAGTGTCGTTCACGAGCTGCTTTTTCTGCCGCTTTTGTCGTTTCTCTTCGGCTTTTTGCCTCGCTTTCTGTCGCTCTTGACGTTTTCGCAACTCCCGGATGAGTACGATAGTGAGTACAATTGCGACGAGGAGAAGCACCCCGGTGAGGACGCAGCAGATCATCAGCCGGGTAATCATGCCATCTGATGATCCAGTAGGCTGCGCGTCTGGATCCAGTGCCTCCGCTGGACCCTGAAGCACGATGTCTATGCCGCCGACGCTGAAGTAGCTCTGCTTCAACTTCTCGTATCCCCCTATCTTCTCGATGACCAGCTTGCGCAGATCCGGACCTGATAATGGTAATGCATGGATGTGCAATTGATTCAATTTCACAGTATTCACAAGACAAAAAATAAATAGTCTCGCGTATTAACTCGATCCTCCAACGACGAGCCTCACAGTGAAGATTGCGGCCCTCGACGTCACATGAATGTTCGTGATGAGAGATCCTAAGTGGACAATCAATTATTCGGGTTCGTTCGCGGGCTCAACGGCAGTCCAATACAAACAAAGAAGCCAATTTCTAGTACCGAAAAATGGAGGCGCCAATGGCTGTGTCGTCTTTCCATCTGCACTCGCTTCGTCGAGGATTCGGTCCTCGGGATTGATTCTTGTTTTCGTGTCCAGCAGCATGTGCAGAATCTCGTGGTTGACCGCAGTCTTGTCCACGTCGTCAAACTGCGCGTCCGGAAACTTCACCGCCAATTCCCCAACCAGTTGCGACGCCGTGTTCGGGGTGATGGCCGTTCCCGTGTAGACGGCATTGGGAAACTGGAAAAAGCGCGCACCGATATTCGTCCCGAGCTGGCGCCCACTGGCGAAGGCCGGGAGCTCCTCGCGCCAGAGCGGCCGCGAAGTTGTCCAGCGCGCGAGCGCCTGGATCTTCTCGTCGCGCGTCAGCCGGGTTGCCAGCTCGTAGGGCACGACGAACGGCTTTACTGCCACACGTACATCGCCATCTATCGGCACTCCCCGATCGTGGCTGCGGACCCAACCGACCAAGCGGGAGAGCCCCGCCCCGAGGACCCGCCAGAAAAGCATTTCTTCCTCGACGTCAAACACAGCGATGGGTACGTTTGTGCCCGTTGCAGCAGGCAAGGTAATGCATTTCTGCAAGACTGTGAGTACATCCCGCAGATCGCGCGCATCGGCGCGGTTTTCACGGCGCAAATTCTGGTCGTCCGGCGGCGGCAGAAGCCCGGTTCGGACCAAAGCCGCGTCGTTCAGGGTCAAAATTCGCACGCGGAGGTCCTTCTCGCGCTGCCTCCGCTGCGCGTCGCTCATGGCGTACAAGGCGATTGCGAACTCGTTCCAAACTTCCAACGCGAGGACCGAGCGGAGAAATTCCGTCGAACTCCCGTTTCCGCCACTGAAGACCCAAAAAGGGGCCTTCTGTACCTCGTTCCGAACCTCACTGGCTTCCAGACTGAAGCTTTGCGCGTCGTGCTGTCCGGTCGCCGTGAAGGCCGCGCGCTTCTCCATCTGGCGCACCAAATGCACCGCCTGTAGGTAGGCCCAGTGTTTCGTCAGTGACAGGCTCTCTGCGGTGTGGAGGAGCTTCCCGCCTTCCGTGCGCAGGATCGTGTCCGCCTCAAGTGAAGGGTCCTTCGCCGCGTTCCATTCCCGCACCTCCGCTTCAGTTGGGCACTCGCGCAAAGCCGGCCCAGTTTGTTGCTGTTGCATGTTCATGTGTCCTCGGGCTTGGTTGATAGATTGCGGTTGGCTGTCGCTGTCACCAGGGGTAGCAGCCCCATCCTCCTCGCTGTCGGGGTCAGGAGAAATTGGTGGAGGACTGCCCGCGGGGGACAGCAACGTAGGTGAACCACGGTTGCTGGAGGTGGCGGTCGCTACTGGTTGTTGTGCACCGGCATGCACGTGGAGGGGTGTTGGCGGGGACGCACGCATTCTGTAAGGTGAGAGTGCGCCTTGCGGTGGACTGGACGGGGCACCTCCCACCGGGTGTGAAATTTCCGGAACTGTTCCTCCCGCCGGAGGCAACGGCGCATTTTCCCGAGGCGCAGTCTCCGGCCCTGCTGGCCGCAGTCCACTTCCCATCGATGCTTCGTGTCCTGCACGTGGAGCCTCTCCATACGTGTGGGCAGCAGGATAATTTGGAGTTTCAGGGTTCGCCACAAAACGCGAAGGGGAGGAACTGAGCGTTGGGTCCGGAGTATTCGACTCGGATCTAGCGCCCGCATTTGCCGCGCCGGCTACAGGTGTTGTCAAGGTCTGAGTCCCGTGAATCACTTGTTCGTAGTCTGGTGAGGCACCGATCGTGCTGGCCCTGTTGTACGCCGACGGGAGCTCACGAATAGTTGTTTCCTGTGTCACTTCTCCGTGTTGCGATCTGATCACGCGCTCACTCATAGGGGCAGCGCCTTCTCCACCCGTGGATTGTGCTATACCTGCGGCTGCGGCCCGTGCCGGATATTGCGCGATCGCCTCGGGGGCGAATAACCCGCCTGGGGGGCAAACCACCCGAGGGGCGACGCCGATGAGACCACTGGAAGAAACCGCGCCACCGGAAGATGCCGCGCCACCAGAAGAAACCGCAACACCGGAGGGGACTGGAGACACCGAAGAGGACCTGGCAGATCCGGCAACGACGACCTCCGTAGGTAGTTCTGCCGTTACCGTTCCAACCGGAGCAGCAGCGCCCGCGGTTCCTTCGTAAATAATTGTCCTTTCTTCTATGTCTCCATCTTCTCCCCCACTGCTGCTGTCACCGTCTTGTCTGCTCAGTAACCGTGGTGGAGAACTCAACATGACACTCCGACTTTCCGACTCAGGTAGGGCACCACCTGGCGATGGAGATTCCGATGCCAGGTACTCAGGTCCTGTGTATAATGCAACCGGCTCTTCTCTCCCTTCTCTTCGGCCGGTGTCGCTGTTGTCGGCTCCTCCACTCGGAGACCCTCTATCTTCGTCGTCCTCTTCGCCCTCGTCATCTCCGTCCTGCGGCATTGCGTCGTCGGTGTAAAATCTTTCTTCCCCGCTACTGTCGCTGCCGTCGGCTCCTCTGCTCGGAGACGTCGCATAGCGACGTCGTGGCGGTGTACGAGCCCATCGGCGTTCACCTGCAGATAAGGCTACATCATCTGGGCTTCTGCCCAGCTGAGCTTCGTGGTGTCTGCGCCGCTGAGCTTCGTGGTGTCTGCGAGCTTCGTGGTAGTCTGGAGCAGTAGACGCAACCTGTGGTGTCTGCGCAGCATTGCGGCCGGCTGGATGCGCCAGTTCATTAGGAGCAGAAACTGCTTCCGCCCTGTGACGAATTTCTTGCTGGTGGCCGGGAGCCAGTGTGCGAGCCGCCATGGCTAGGTGTTTAGGCTGAGGTGGTTCTAGCAAACTACTGGTACGTTGCGTCAAGCCAGAGCCATTGCTTCCCGGAGAATCTTCTGCCGCCGGCTGCGGCACGGGCTCCCCACTGCTCCCTGCAGGTATTCGCTGGCTTGGAGCCGCTGTTGAAGGTGGTCCCATCGCACTTCTGTCACGTTGCGTCGAGCCTGAGCTTGCGGAAGAATTATTGGTTCCCGAAGAACCCTCTGCCGCCGACTGCGCTGTTCCTCCCACAGCGACAGACGGAGGCTCCTGCTCTTGCTCCGAGCGCACCTCCGTGTGCCCCCTTTGCGACACACTGCTGTCACCGGCTCCGTCTTCTCCATCAATACTGCTGTCACCGGCTTCTCCGCTCAGAAACCGTGATGGAGAATTCAACATTACACCCGGACTTTCCGATTCAGGTAAGGCACCACCTGGCGATGGAGATTCCGATGCAAGGTACTCAGTTCCTGTGTGGGGCTGTAACTCGCCATCAATATAGTAACCAGGTTGAAGCAAACCACGTTGCGTCGAGCCTGAGCTTGCGGAAGAGGAATTGCTTCCCGGATAATCTTCTGCAGCCGACTGCGCTACTCCTCCCACACTGATAGACGGAGGCTCTTGCTCTCGCTCCGAGCGCAATTCCGCAGCAAACTGAGCCGCGGCGTGCCCCTGTGGCGACACAAACGCATCCTCACTTCCTGCAGCCAAGGGGCCTTCATTTTGACTTTCTGTATCAAAGGGGACCATAATTCCACCTGCTGCGCCACTCCCGCTGGCGGGAGCCGCTGCGGCACTGGCTCGACGGCCTCGGCGAGCCGCGGCTCGGTGGCTCGGTCGCAACGGCGGTGCCGGTGGCTCGGTGGTTCCCGTAATCGGTGGAGCGGCCACATTCGTCGCAAAGGAACCTTCCGTAACAGCCCGGGGCTCGCCGTGCAGGCGTTGAAATGACGGAGGCGTCTCAGGTGCTGGCGCATCCGCATACGCATTCCAATTTCTGTATGGATTTCTGTATGGCGATGCACGGTATGCAGAGGTCTCGGACCCGGCGACGGTTGTCAAGGGATCAACTGCGTGTGTTGGTGTGATCGGATCAGCCTCTCGCCGTGGCTGCCCTAACCCCGAGTCATCCCACTCTGCTGGCCAGCCACTCATCTCCGCTGCGCCATCCCGATGGACCAAAGAGTCGTCAGATGAAGCGCGAGTTGGTGCCGTCAGCGGAACCGATTCCTGAGACGAAGAGAGGCGCCCCGCTTGCGGGGAACTCGTTTGTGGTACGGCTCGCGACGAATTAATGTCACCGTCCCCACCACTGTATCCCGAAAAGGGGGGTTGATGTTGTTCCCCCGGGGCATAGAATCCCGAAGTTGCGGTGGCGGACGCAGAGGACCCCCCAGGAAATTGCTGATTTGACTGAGGGCTAGCTGGGGTCGCGTACGCGCTGCTCTGCACGTAGTTGTTCTGTGCGGGAGGTGAAGATGGAACGGCTCCCTCGGCGTCCCCGCCGCTGCTAGTTTGCTGGTAGCCCGCCGAAACACCACCTGCCGGATCTCTACTACCGGAATGGGTTTGCCCTTGCTGCGAAGCGGAGATCATATAAGGGGCTCCGGGATGCGGTGCTACTGTTGGTGTTGGAGCGGCATCTGCACCCCCGGCGTCCCCACCGCTGCTATTTTGCTGCTGGTAGCCCCCTGCCGAAACACCTCCTGCAGGGTCTCTACCGGGATTGGTCATGGTTTGCCTTTGCGGTGAAGCCGAGAAATAAGGACCTCCAGGTTGCGGTGCTGCAGAAGCTGCTGGTGCTGGAGCGACATAGTTATTATCTCCTCCCCCATAAAAATTACCAGTGTGGGGGGGCGGCGCAATGCTTTGACTTTGCCCAACTAAAGCCGCCGCTTGATCGTCGTCTCCTTGCGGAGGTGCAGCTGCCTGAGTCACAGGAGCTGGTCCCTCCCGCTGCGGGGCCACGGGCGGTCGCTGGAGCACGGCGTCGAGATTGTGGCCCCACACCTCGTCGTGGCCGTTGGCAACATCCCTCGCCGTGCTGGGCGGCGAGTACTGAAGATGTTCCTCGTAGTACTTCACCTCCTCCTCGACCACGTGGGTCATCACCTGCTCGATAGCTTCCGCACGCGCGTTCATGTCCACCGGTTGCATGGTCAAGAAGCTGAGCAGCATGGTTACTGGATCAAGAGCACTTGATGCGTCGTCCCCATTTGAAGATGTTCCGGATGTTGAAAAGTGGTGGACCATTCCCTTGAACAAATCGAACAGTTGTCGAATCTCCGGCTGCCGCAAAACTGTCATGAATTCCCCCACGGCGTAGTGTCGCTCCGGTCTTTTATTTTTATAGGAACTGCTCGCCTGCTGGTTACTCTGCTGATAGAGCTTGTTCCTCCGGCCGCCGTTGTTCCGTGGGGGCGCCCCTTTCTGCTTGCTCCGGTGCGCGGCGGGAAGGAGCCCTTCGTCCGCGAGATACTCCATCAGACGCTCCACAACGTCCTCTATCTCCCCGCCCTGCTTGATTTCCTCAACAATGAGTTTGCAGAACTGGCTTAAAGTTTTTTGGCTCGTCATGCTGCTTGGCAATGCGGGAAGCGGCGACGAGGGCGGAGAGCGGTGGGAAGGGGGAAGCCGAGGTGCCTGTCCGGGCGACGTGTTGGGGAAATTGCTATCCAAGAACTCGAGAATCTTTTGCTGCCCGGCAAGAAGCAACTCTTTCGGGGTGCGATGATGTGATGCTGGCAGCGCGCTAGGGTCGTTGGAGGCACTGGGACCCCCTCCCGCGAGGTATTGCAGACTCGTCGCTCCGGCCGGGACCAGTCCATTACCACTGGGACGATTGGCAGAGGATCCAGTAGGAGGAATGTTGGTAGCAGCTGCGGCATTTCTTGCAACAACGATGTTGGGGCCAGTACCCCTATTTCCGGTGCTGGCTGCGTTCAGCGAAGCTGCGTGCATCGGCTCCTCACCTTGGCTCGGGGTCAGCAGCGCGGATCCGGGTGTCGGAAATCTAGTTGAAGTAGAAGTAGAAGGAACATCATGGGCAGGGATGGTTGCAGCTGTAGTGCTCAGGCGAAATATTATCGCCGGCAGCAACAGCCGCAAGAGGAACAGATGGCTGCTTGTAATTCGCCGAAGAGGACTTCTGTTGGTTTTTCGACCACGATAACATTGGTGGCCAGACGAACATTCTGCAGCTCCCTCCGTGATGGTCCTTCCTTTGAATATTAGCTGAGAAATTTTCGTGCAGGCTGGCGCTCGTCGTTCTACTACTGGTAGAAACGCTGTTGTTTTCGAAAGCTTATGTCCGGCGTACATTTCGTGTTCTGGCTACTTCGACGACTTCGTCCGAGTGCATGAGGCAGCAGCTGTCCGCGATGCTTGTCTCCATGCAGCTCGACACGCGAAGCCCGTAGTGACCTACTGCTAGAAGTAGGCAAAGATCTTATAAACCAGGTTAGGTCGTACAGTCGTCATTTCAAGGTTGCAATACGAGGCTACTTTAAACCAAAACAAAGAACTTTAAACCAAAACAAGGATAGTATCAAAACGTACAAAATTATTACTTAACTATATGCTCGTCAGATGAGCGGTTCACAGATACAAAAAAAAAAAAATCGTAAAACAATACTACTACGTAGCAGAACATAGGCATAGCATACCCTACAAGCCACTGAAATTGAATTCAAGGAGCGAATACTCAACATCGATAACGAACCAATGCTCGGTAAGCCGTTCGGTTCGGTTGTCGGATCATTCCTTTATTTCAGTTTCTTTCTGGCTTCTCGCATCAAGGTTTAAAGAATTTTCGTAGCTGCAGGGGACACTCGTTTCCAACCGAAACAGGAAACCGATTCCGAACCGATGTGAAGAAACCAAAGTCAAAGGGAAGTCCGATCTGATTTCGGAACTTTTTATTTTCTTCCACCCAGGATCAACATTCATCAAGTGGAAGGGCTTTGATCCTAGTTGTCGGATACGACTTTTTTTCTTCTATTTGCAGCTCCGGTTTCGACGGAACCACAGTGGTGCAACTCACAAAGCCGATCTGTAAAGTACTGATTTGCACTTGACGCACACCACGATCAGTGGCTCTTACTTTATTTAGATCTTTTGGTGCAATTATGTTCTGGTGTTCAAATTTGGGAACGGAGAATATTTTTCGCGATCTTTGCGTGGGCTACTCCATGCAACGAATATTCGTATCTTCGATTTATTTTTTCCTTCGATCTGAAAACAGCTGCGGCGCTCGTGAGTGTTATTAGACGCTGCACCTGTTTTACTTCGAGCACCGAGGAATATGTTTTCATTTTCATTTTCTCACCAGTTGGGGGACCGAAAATAAAAGCAAGACCGATGATTGAACACACAAGCAAATGATTTGTTGCCTTCGCAAAAGATTATAGCAACTCGCAGTTTACAGCGGTGTCAGACAGAATGGCGTAGAACTGAATATACGTCAGAGAGGAGAAAACATATCTTGGTCTACTTTATCGCTTTATTACTCTTCTGGGACCAGCGCTTGACAGAGGTGGTGGTCTGGGGAGACCGTGGGACATCTGTGTGTGATCGCAACAGCAGCGTAAGAATGCAACATATGAAATGTGTTCTGCTTCTGGTAGAAGCTCGGCGGCGCGGTGCAACACGATTTTCTGCTTACCGTGGTATCTATTTGCTTCAAACAACGACAAGACGCATGCTGTGCGACTAATATATGAGGCGTGACCGTGCTCGTTATTTGCTGTTGTTACTATTTTGGACCAGGCACGCAATGCTCCGATTGAAAAGCAAGGCAGCTGTGCCTCAACCTCCGAGAGTCTGCTGCGATACAGAAGTGCGGGACGAAGTATACTGGATGACGTTTTGCAGCTGCATACTAACTAACAGTCTCCGAGATACTTTTTTCGTTTTGGGCATGATCGCAGTCGCAGCGAAACTCCGGAGTACATACTGAGTGGCGCGTAGTATTATGATAAAATTTATTTTCCTCGAGCAACGGTCGCGGCTAGGTCAAGCGGACGAAATTAATAATGTCATCAATTCTAAGAATAGAAATGGTACGATATTAATTTTCGATGGATAAAGTAGCTAGTCGGCGGGGATGGAGAGAAAAATATAGCATGTTTAGTGTAACAAATCAAGAAAAAGAAAAAATGCGAAACCTATCGAAAAACACGAATGAACGCAATAAGACACAAAGACCTCCTAGAATTGTCGCGACCGAAGCCGCGAAATTCCTTGTTCCTGGCTGTAAACATAAAATAAAAAAACTCGTTTGAAAAAATCGTGTAAAGTAAACTCGTAGATAAAAAAAAATTGGATGAAAAAATAGTTCGTGTAATGTAAAGAATTCAAAGCTAAAAAACGCTTGAGAGCTACTGTTTTTGTTATTGTTTATATTTGTGATTACAAAGAAATTGAAGACGCTACGTAAATGATTTATGCATGATGATTTGAATCCATGTTGTATGAGAAATTTGCAATAATATTAGAAAGCAAAAAAAAAGGCACACGGACGGCACCCCCTTTCTTTAGTATGCCCCGTGAGCTCAAAACATGGCATCGAGCGCGCGCAGTTTCGCTTGTTTTCTGTGATCCACCGTGGCGAGCGGTACTGAAGCAGACGCGTGGCTTACTATTACTTCTGCATCGTCCTGTCGTGCGGAGGGGGGCGATAGAAACTTGATCTGCGGCGCAGCTGCTGCAATGCCGGACGCTGTCCTCCTTCTCGGTTCTCCTGTCGCTCTCGAAGTTCGTGTGAAGGGAAGCAACGGCACTCGTGTCAGCATAGACGTGAAAAAGGTCCCAAAAAGCGAGGAAGACTTCTTCGACGGCATAGCTGCGAGATTAGAGGACCGACCGGAAGACAAAGGGGAGCCCGATGGAGTAGACCACTCGTCGTTCACAAATACGGCTCCTGGGTGCATTGCACTAGTCGTATTCGTCTTCTTCACCGGGCTACTGCCGTTAGACGTGGAAAATTTTGCGGGGCTGCGATCCTTGCTCTTCCGAGACAAGTCCACGAGCGACATGCGATCCTTCGCGCGCTGCTGCCGCAGCAACTCTTTACGTTCTCGCTCCTCAAAAATGCTCGAGAAGTCTAGTCGCAGCTTCGTTCTGAAGTCTAGTCTCGTCACGAGGGAAGGTACAACTACCGGTGCTGATGCAGTTTTCGTCTTGGCTGCGGAAAGGACAGTCTTCTGGTCGACAAGTGCTGGCAAAGGCGTAGCTGACACCCCCGCTGACGCTTTTACCGCGCCGACCTCCTGCTGTTGTTGCTGCGAGGACACTATCACCTCCGCGACCGATCTGCGTCCGCGCGCACGCGAGCTCGATTGCGGTCGCTTGGAGCTGACGGTAGTCACGGTCGCTTCGCTGGCCTGGTCCACATCGGTGCTCGCCGCCGCGCTGTCTGCCGTGGTTCTTCTGGTGGTCGTGAAAGAAGACGCGTCTGGCTCGGTGGGGGAAGGCACACTGCCGGGGAGCAGGTGTCGCTCTAGACGCTGCTGCTGCTGCTGCAACGCTTTTTGGTCTACGGCCTCCGTTTCTATTGCTCTGGACCTGAAGGACGCTGTCCGAACACTTTGGTCTTGTTGCGCTCGAGGTCTCTCGCCGCGGGGAGCGTAGAGAACGCGCTCAGAGGACGCCCCAGAAACGACGGAAACAGCATCCGTCTCGTCGATCACGCCGCCCGTTTCCATCATTCGCTGCACATACACGTCGTCATGTATTGCCGGAGTTATCAGCTGATTTCGTTGCGCAGCCTGTGAAATTTTCAAAATAAAAGGTTGATTTTTGGTTTTCAAAAGAACTACTAGTACACATCTTTTATTTTTTTTTCGTTGCAGCAAAAGGAATCATAAATCAGTAGTGATCGATATTGTCGCGTTCGACAATCTATGAGAATCGGACAGCCTCAAAGACCGAATCCGAAGCAATAACAAGAGTAGGAAACAAGAAAAAAACTTTGAATTTGATCAACTCGCAATCACGATGTCAATTATGCAAAATCGCTCCTACGAAATACCGATCCTGGACGGTTCCTTGCCGATGCAGAGTTTCGGGCGGTCGTGCTCTCGGAGGTGGTAGAATTGCGAGCGGATGCTTGCCTGTTTGAAGCGTCCCGCAACGTCGGGTTTAGCACCCGGCCCTTCGTCGCTAGTCTCTTCTGCATTTCGAGTTGGTGGTGGATCACTTCTTTTCGGCTTGCGATGGTTCGGACGTTTGGCTCTGAACTGCCGGAGGACGCTCCTTTCACTGGTGAGGGAATGTTCTCTCCTGGTTTTCGGGCCAACAATTCCGGGTCGATCCTATTTGCCGTGGCAACACTGGCCTTCGCCAGTCTGGCGTGTTCGGTGCGCTTTCCCGGAGACGAGAAAAAACCCGCTGCAAGGGACACCAAATCCCTACTCACCGCGTAGTTCTCACCAGACGGAGAGGACGCATTGTGGCTACCCTCCTGTAGTCTAGCCGGAGTGGTTGCCGTTGCGTTGCTACCGTTATACTGTCCTTGTACAGCAGCTTCCTCGCACTCCTCAACCGGAAATAGCTGTACTTCTTCAACTTCCTCCTCTTCGTCAGAATCGTTATCATCCCCACTGTAGAACAGAAAGCCGGGCCTTTGTGGACGAGCCTTGGATGAAGAATCCGGGGAAGTCCTTACATCCTCGATCTCCAATGGTTGCATGCTACTATGCTCGCCCTCGACGGGCTTGCTTGGTTCCTCTTCTTGTTCATCCGTCGCAGGAGGCGACTGGTGCTCTGCACTGCTGGAGGCTGCTGCACCAGCCTCGGCGCTAATTGTAGTGGTCGTGGCTCCGTTGTTCCCCGCGGCCCCGTTTGAACTTCTCATTTTCGCCAGAAACGGATTGTCGCTCTTGTCCTTGTTGGTCTGGAGTATGGATACCACCGCGCCCTCGGGGCTCTGCGGTTCGCCGTTCTCCTCGGAGATAAATTGCCCCCGGGTCATCGCGCGCTTCAGGTGCTTGTGAAAGTTGGGCTCCCCCGGCTCCAGGACGCTCTGTTCCACCATGCTGATATCGCGCATCAGGTAGCTTCTTTCCTCCTCATCTTCAACACCGTAGAACATCACAACGCGGATGCAGTGCTGCACCACCGATAAGAACGTCAGCTCGCCATGCACATCCCCGCGAAGATGCAAGAATGCCTTTTCTCTTTCTGTCAGCTTGTTCGGGTCTGTAGAAAAAAGTTTGGGAATAATTTTGGAGGAACGAAGCGAGGGTTTTGAAGAGTGTACAGAAAGGTGAAGCTAGCTTGGGCGAGCCACGAGTTGTTCGCTGCAGCGCTTAAAGAACCATCACCTCCTTCCCTTGTTGCATAAAGCATCTTGTTCCCTCAGATTCATCATTGTTCCAGAACAAAAAAAAACCTGAACATCTTGGTTGCGCGTGTCCTACTCAAGGAACCGCGGCGCTGTGTTCATGATCTCAGCTAGTAAGTACATCAACTACCCACCCATCTAAAAAAAAATTCTATCTTCTATATAGGTGTTGTACCTTCCCCCGGCTCCTTTCCCTCGACTAGTGTGCGGCACTCGGTGACAAAGTCGGGCACTTTATGCAGTGATATTTTGAGCCGGAAGTTGGGGTCGTACTTTTTCCAGAGGTCAATCGCCTGATTGACGATTTCCTCCTCCGTTTTCTGCGTGGAGTCTTCGTAGCCCTCCAAAATGACCGCAACAACTAGGTTGAAAACCACGAAGGTTATCACCATGGTGTAGCTCACCCAGTACAAGTGCGACATGGCCTTGTTCCCGCACCCGATAGGGTGCTCAATCAAGCACCGCTCGTTGACCATGTCGTACGCCGCTTTATTGGGCAAACCGAAGTCCGCCACGCACGGGGCCCCGTCGAATTTTCCGAACGCGAACGCGCCCCGGCCCAGGTCGTGCATGATCTCGTTCCACGCTTCGCCAGTCATCGCGCGGACCAACGTCATAATCGACCGGTAGAACGAGCGAAAATTCCCGCGTTCGTCGTGCGTCGCAGCGAACTGGACCTTTCCGAACAGCTGTATGCCCATTACGGCGAAAAGAAACAGCAGTAAGAAGCAGATGCAGGCCACGTTCAAAAGTTTCGGGATCGACAACAGAAACGCCGTGAAGATCTTGTTCAACCCTTTCGCGAACTGCAGCAACCGCAGCAGGCGCGCCACGCGGAACATACGCATGATGGAGAGCAGGGGCCCGAGCTGGATGTCCAACGCGAACTCCAGGACCACCCCGACAATCGTCGATAACACCAGCATGAAGTCGAACACGTTCCAATAGTCGGAAAAGTAGTACAACCGGTGTGCGAAGAGTTTCATGATAGCTTCAATCACGAAGACCGCGGAGAACACGTAATTCAGCGCGAAGAGCGTGGAGTCGTACGTGTCCCAGTCGAAGCCCTTCCCCGCAGGGTCGTCGGGGAACACACTCATGGCCATGACGAGCGCGTTCAGCACGATGCAGGTCATGATGAACCCCTCAAACCGGTCGTCGTTGACCAGGAAGAACATCTGCCGGCGGCGGAGGCTGTAGGTGTCCAGGTGCTTCAACGACAAGAAGATCTTCCGCGTGTGCAGCATCTTCTGCGTGTTGATCCACTTCTGCTGTGCGGGCGTGATCAGCAGCGACATGGCGGGGTGTTGCTGCGCCTTCTTCATCTCGGCGAAGGAATCGACAATGACACCCACACAGAGGTTCAAAATCAGGAAGCACCCGACCAGCATGAAGAGAACGAAAAACAAAGTCCACACCTCCGCGTAATCGCGTAACGGCTGCCGGTCAATCCCGCGGGCGTCCACCGCGGAAAGCATGACGTCGACCCAGCCCTCGGTGGTGCTGATTTCTAGCAGCGTGACCACCGCGTCCCCTATGTTGTCGAAATTTTGGCTGATGCGCGGCATCCACTTGTAGGCCTGCTCGCCCGTGCTCGCGCCCTGTTCGACGCAGAGTGCCGCGTCCTGCGTCATGGCCTGGCAATTGTCCTCGCAGGCGCACGCGGATTTGCATTCGGTGCGGCAGGCCACGCAGGCCGCGCTGCCCGTGTTGTCTTTGCAGCTGTCGCTGCACTGGCCGAGCAAGTCGTCCTCGCAGAAATCGATGCACTGCTGCGAAATCTCCTTCTCGCTGCAGTACCGCGCCTTGCAACTGCTGCACGACATCAGATTGTACTCCAGGGCCGCCTGCCACGCGGGCGGCACCCCCGCGGCGAACTCGGGCTGCCGGACCGGCGCCGCCGCAGTGGACGTGGCGGCCGGGAAGTTGCAGCGATTTGGGAGATCGGACACCCGCACCCCGTTGTCGTCGAACCGTGTCACGCGTTTCAGTGCGGGGTACGATGCGCAAACGCCCGCGCCCGTCTCCTCGAGCGGACAGTACGCTAAGCAGATCGGCACGTCCGGCGCCGGCCGCTGGTACGCCTGCTGTCCGGCGGCGCAACTCGCGCCCGTCTGCTTGATTAACCGCTTGCCCTGGGAGCAGTTTTCGGCCGCGGTGCAATCGTATTCGCACATCGCTGTGGTGGGCGTGGTCAGGTTGATTTCCATCTGTCGCCTCAGCGTGTAGACGTCCAACCCGCTGCACTCGTTGAAGGCGCCTTTCAGGTAGTTGATCGCGATCAGACCGATGATCAGGAAGAAGAGCATCATCAGCATCGCCAGCGTCCGCAGCTGCGGCAGGGACGCGAAGATCGTGTTCACCACGAGCTTCAGATTTGGGTTGCGCGAGATCACGCGCAGGGGGCGGAACGCGCGGAGGATGCGCAGGGTTTTGAAGAAGGACACGTCGGTATCGGAATCTTCGTCCATGGTGAGGCTGACAAAGTAGAACGCCATGTCAATTAAGGACACCGTGACGACGACGCCGTCCAGCACATTCCAGCCGCTGCGCCAGTAGGTCCGCCAGCCCATGGCCACATGCTTGATGGCCATCTCCGTGGTGAAGATCACCGTGAAGATGATGTTCATCACGGTGAGCGCGACCGCGCCGGGGTGCTGCGGGTAGATCAGCGGGTCGTCGAAGGCCATACCCATGCTGGACAGCACGATCATCACCAGAATGAACTGGTCGAACCGCTTGTGCTCGCAGATGGCGACGCAGATGGGGACCAACCAATGATCGTCCTTCTGCACCATCCGCGTCTCCTTCGCCTCCAGCACCACGGAGCCTCTGCGCAGCATCCCGAACTTCTTCTTGTTCTCCTCTGATGGGGCGGAACCGGATGAATCTACCACAGCGGAGGTCTCAGCACCGCCTTCAACATCTCCGGGAGCGGGGGCTTCTGCGTCTTGCTCTGCTTTATTATCCGCGTCATCTGCCCCCTTTGCCGGGTCCTCTCCACCAAGGTTCGCGAGCTCGAGGCCGGCGCCGGTCGTCGTCTCGCCCCCAGCACCACTGGGAGTCGTTTTGCTCGCGTACTTCTGCGCTTGTTCCTGGCGCTGCTTCTTCATGTTCGCTTTCAGCTTCTTCAGGTCCGCCCGCTTCATGTAACTTTCGATCAACCCGCCGTCCGAGCGCTTGGAATTGTGGAAGTCGATGCGGCGGATGGTTTCTTCATCCACCACACCACCCTCGACCTCTTCCACAAACTCGTTTTCCTGGTTCAAGTCCCGCAAAAACTGCTCCCAGTTGATGCGGTCCTCGGGGGACACGCCGTCCTTGGCGTCCTGTTCTTCGCGCTTCTGCTCCTCCTCCGCGCGGACCGCCTCGGCGGCGTCTTGGAAGTTCGCCATCAGGATGGCCAAGAACAGGTTGAAGATGATGCACATACCCAGGACTACCATGGCGAAGTGGAACATGAAATACGCAAACCTGATTGTATGCGTATAATTTTTGCACGTCGTAGTTAGACAGAGTTTTTGTGTACTAGATCTAGATGCAGATGGTACAACTCAATGACTCGAAGGAACTCATGAATCAACTGACATGCAATATGGAATAAATGAATCGACACCAAAAAAAAAGTTCTCTTTTCCAAAAAACACTGAATGAAAATCTTACCCCGCGCCGCGCATGCCGTCGTACATGAGGGCATTCCAGTTTTCGCCCGTTAGTCCTTGAAACACGGTGACCACGGACCACAGAAAGGAATCAAAGTTGCTCCGCCGCACACAAGAATGATCCCAGTCGCTGGTCCCGCCCGGGCAGGCCTGGTCTTCCGGCACCGGCTCATCCGTATTGGGGTCGAACTTGAGCTTGTTCGCGAACATGATGCTGCCCATCAGCGCGAACACGAAGATCATCAGACAGAGCAAAAGCGTGAAGTGGCCCATGGACAGCACCGTCTGCACGACTGCTTGCAACAGCTTCCGGAAGTTCTCGTTTTTCTTCGCGAGCTTGATGATACGGAGCAGCCGCAGCGATTTCAGCGCGCCGCCGCCGCCGTCGGAGAACAGTTCCGCGACGGAGAAGACGACGATGATACCGTCCAGTGCGTGCCAGAATTCCTTCACGTACGCAATCGGGCCGATGGCCGCGAGGACGATCACCATCTCGATCAGGAAGATGATGGTGAACACGGTGTTCATGCTGTCCAGCACGTTGGACAGTGGCGGCTTGATCGGCGGGTGCGCGTCCATCATCATGATGATGATGTTCAAAATGATGCACGCCATCACGAAATTCTGGAAAAAGCCCGTCGACGCGAAGTCAAATGCCGCTTTCACCTTGTATTCGTCCTCGTACACAAGAAGGGCGCTGCTCTTCGCGCGTTGGAACTGGCCCGGTCGGGGACTGTCGCTCTCCTCATCCTCGTCGTCGTCCTCGTTTTCCGCGCCGGCGGAACTCGTGGCGTCAGCCGCGTGCGCGCCCTCCGCGTTATTTTCGGCGTCGTTTGCCGCAGGGGCTTCTTGGCTAACATCGACCAGGGCTCCCGGTTCTTGTTGCGCACCGGTCACTTCAGATGCCGGGACCATTTCCACGATGGCGCTAGACCCCACGTCTGGCAGCTCCTTCGAGGCGCCGTCGTTTTCGCCGGCTTGTTTTGCCGCTATGTCGGACGAGCTGGAATTCTCTTCCTCCCCCTCTATCGGCGCGGGCTCCTCTTCGTCCATCAAACCCTGCTCGAACTTCTTCGACAACTCCTGAAAAGCGTCCCAGACCACCGCCAGGGCCACGTTCAGCAGGAAGAAACTACCAATCACCACGAGAAAGCAGAAGTAGATGAACGCAAAGTCGTTCGAGTGGGCGTCCTGTTAGGGCGAGAGGGGTCGAGTGTTTGATTTGCATTTGAGGTACTGATCACAAATGAGCAGAAACACGTAAAAACTTCTTGCAAAAAATGCATTCTTGAAAAAACCTACCCCGCACGAAAAATCTAGAAAAAATTGAAACAAAAAAAAATCCCTTTCCATTTTTACCTGTGACATGTACATGATGTCGGTCCAGCCCTCCATGGTGATGCACTGGAAGATGACGATGACGGCGTTCAAGATGTTGTTAAAATTCGTGATGCCATACCCGTAATTCGGGTCGTTTTTCTTGCTGTACAAGCCCCCGGCGTTGATCAACTTGGAGTTTTCGCACCACTCCCCGAACTTCGCGGCGGCCTTGTTGTCGTCGCCGAACACATGGACTTGGTTGTCGACCGCGGAGGTGACTTGCGTCGGGAAGGACGGCCGGAAGTCCTTCTCCAGGTCGAAAATGCTGTTCGAGCCGCATATGTCGTCCCCGAAGTAGGCGTGCTGGATCAGGTCCTGGCACATGTAGCGGCCGCCGCAGGGCCGCCCAACGACCGCCCCGTCGTCGTCCAGCGCGAGCGGCCACTCCCAGCGGCCGTGCTCCCCGGGCAGGATGGCGCAGCCAGGTTTCGACGTGGTCACCCACTGGACGTCGGGCCGCGTGCGGCACCGGCGTTCGTAGATGCCCTGCCACAAGTTCAGACCCAAAACGCCGAAGATGAACAACTGGAAAATCGTCATGCTCAGCACCGACCCGAGCTTGGGGATGCTCTGCAGCACCGTGTTCACAAGGACTTTCATCTCCGGCATGGTGGTCAGTGCCCGCAGCGGGCGCAGCACCCGGAAGACCCGGAGCATGGTGATGGTGCTGTTCACCGTTAAATTCTCGAGGAACCACCAGGCCACGCCGGTCACGACCACGATGAAATCGAGCCAGTTCCAGGAGTCGGATAAGTAGGTCTTCTTGCCCCAGAAAAACCCGTAGGCCACCATCTTCATCAGCATTTCCACCACGAAAATCGCCAAAAAGACCGGGTCCATGGTGTCGGACACGTTGTTGACCCAGTGCTTGTCGCGGCCGCACCCGAACGCGGGCGGGGTGGTCTGGCACTTGGGGTCCGACATGGGCTTGTTGTAGACCGCGCGGTGGTGGTAGGCGGCCAGACAGAAGCTGTTCAGCAGGATCAGCATCAAAATGAAGCCGTCGAAGAGCTGGGTCTCCACGATCTTCAGGCACCGCTGGCGGAAGGAGTTCTCCAGGGGGAACAGCCCGAGCGCGTTCGGCTCCAGGTCCAGGCCGTACCGCGGCCGCCGGGTGGTGATCCGCCGGACGTACCGCCCCACGCGCCGCATGCACTTGCCGCAGGGCCCCCGGTCGGTGAGCGTCCGCGTGGCGCTGCGACTACGGGCGAAGTTGCTGGCGGCATTCTTCGACGACGCCACCACCTCTTCGTCGCTATCGTCGTCGCCGCTGCGCCGGCTGCGCGCCGCCGTCACCGCCAATCGCACCATCGAGCGCTACTTCAAGCGATTCGTCGAAGGTTGTAGTTCGTTGTTGTGAAGACCGGTTCGAGGTTATTCGCCTTCAGGAATTGAAACGTCGTGCGGAATTTGCGGATTTGGATAAAAACACGGCGAGCAACAGTGACTACTTTGAATTATTATTTAAATTTCAAAACTGATAGATTACTGTACTTTAGAATTAGATCAAAATTACTTGGTGTCAAAAGAGGTTGCGCTTTGATCATGCGAGAGACCGTTTATTTTTCGTAAGTTCGGTGTAAAAAATAAAGCGGAGTGATAGTGTCGCGTTTTTTCTGCAAGAGCCACTGACGCCTCTTCGCGCCACTTTATGCAATTGAAGAAGTACGAGTATTTATTCAGCGTCATGGTGCACGTTTTTACTCGGAGGGGAAAAATACAATTGGGAAAAAGGGGTGCAAAAATGCTCACGTTCTTGAGAAGTAGGAGTTCACGGGGGAAATCCTCCTGGAAATGAAGTGGTTGGAAAAAGGAAATCACACAGAATATAATTGCTGTGCGAGAAAATAAGAGGGTGAAGCAGTACGATAGCAGTTCTACCAACATTCTCGTCGCCGCGAGAATACCGAGGCTGATTGATTCTGTTGCACGATAAGATAATGATTTGAGTACCAAGATGTTGAACGAGTGCAGCCATGGACGAAAAGAATCGTAGTAGTAGTTGTACCGACATCACATTTCCGTACCTGTTCTCTTTCTTGCGTCAGTTCATCAGACACATGCACGTACTGACCGACGCAGAGCGTATCTAGTGTTGTCGTCGTTCTATATTATTTCGCAAAGAAATCTTGTACGAAAAGGAATGCGCATGGAGGGCAAGCGCTGCACCATGACTGGTACGTATGTAATTGCTCTAATAGAATCAACGACCGAAATGAGCTCCTTCTTGTACTGCAAGCCAAAGTGAGCGTCGCATACATACCACTGGTAAGTCGTTGCAACTGTCAGTGCGCTAGGGCTTGGACCGATTCTGGCAATTTCGTGGCGTTTTTCGCTGCCTCGAAGAAGGCATTTGAAACAACGCAGTCGCAAGAGCTTGGCATCAGGCACGACACAGACCGATCATCATTTTCGTGCCAACACACGAAAAGAGAATTTTTTGAGATACTGTATGTAATGCTAGCATCAAAATAATGTACTTTTTTATCATGGTCATCGGCTGTGAAATCTTCTCGTCCATCATGTGAGCTAAATGCTATTGATTCTTGATGCATGGTTAAGCCGTTGTGAGCTAGACATGGCGCTGTTGACAAAAGTGAAATCATCATCATCATATTTGTGCGTGTCCGGGATAAACATTATCTTTTCTCATTCTAATGAGTGGACGGGCACCCAGTACTGCTGTGTGCGGAGTGACAGGAGAGTCACTCACTCTGCGTGCCAAGTGTTATCTTGGCCTTTGTAGAAGGAGACCCCGCAGACATACACTATTTCTCTTCCTGTGTTTTCGCAAAAATCCGTGTTGTCTGCTTCAAACACCACCTGGTCGCTTTCTTCTAGACGCCAAACCTCCCGTCTTTGGCCGGGTAAACGCACCCAGCTCTTGCCGCTGATCGTTTGAATTAGTTCCGCTCGCCCCCTTTCCGCTTCTTGCTGTTGCTGTATTCTCTTGCGCTGCTCCTCGCGCATTTTCTCGGTCTTCTCGGTTGCTGTCCTTGTTTGCTTGGGCCTGTTTCTTCTGCTCGTGTCCACTTTTCTTTTTTGCCGCATTGCTTCCTTCACTGCCGCTGCGTCTGGCGGCTGCTGCGCCATCTGTGCGGCATCGAAGCCAAAGTGCTGCAGGTCTTGCTCCACCAGCCTGCCCCATGGTGTTTTCGCCTTTATTTCGTTTGCTATCCACCACCCTGAGGCTTCTGTTGTGTCGCGGAATGCATGGGCAACCCATGCTACCCGCTTCTCCTGTAGCATCGTCTCTATATCGAGTATGCCTGCTCTTTTGCATAACTCGATGCGGCTGGTGTATTCTGCTTCCTCGTCTACCGGCCCCCCCTCTGCGTTCTGCTCCTCCTGCCTTTCCTGCTGCCGCTGCCACTCCCTTCGCTCCCCCGTCACTGTTTTCAGTGTCTGCATCTGGAAGTTACGCAAGACCTTGAGGTCGTGCTCGTGCGGGACCCAACACTCACTATTGTACAGCGCTACCGAGCTGCACAACGAGGTGTATAGTTCCGCCTTCAGCTCCCGCGGGAGCCCTTTATCTGCCCAGATTTTTCGGAGTTGCTGCGTCGTTGCTGACAAAAGTGAAAAGGCATATGCAACTAACATCGAGCACCGATATTTTTACTAATTAGTTCACCGTCCTGTAAACGATGTCAATGTCCTGTTTTCTTTTTTCACTACGAGCCAAAATATTTTGTGCAACATGGATGAGAGGAAAGAAAATGGTGGCTGCTCGTTTGAATGTCAACTTTTTTTCTTTCAACTACTTCTTACTCTTGGAAAGTTGGTTTTTCTTTTGCGGTAGGCGAAAAAAACGGTACGTTAAATGATGTGATGTGTATGTAATGTACTTTGCATAACAGATTTGATGAAAACGAATATTCGGATCGATTACCATTGATTGATGGATGGCTTGCAAAATAGTGTGAGGAGTGATTTAACATAAAAGTAGAAAAAACTAGTATACTCAGAAAATCAAGCTAGGCGCGGAGAAGTGCCGGTCGCTTGATGTTGCCAACAAACAACCAAGACTTCTCCAACTACTGTAAAAAGCAAAAGGCAAAAGACTTTCGTAAACGGAATATCATCATCTCCATGCACGGCCGGAATTAGGTAAAACTGATGAGCCGAGGCCGACGAGGAAATCTTATTTCAAGGTGTTGTACGGAATTTTCAGAAGTGCAAATCCTCCATGCACGTGATCAAGGCGGTAGTTTCGTCGACATCAGCGATGCCTTTTTCTCCACTCTGGTCGTTCACCTCCCTCCCCAATGTGTTTTTCACTGTGTACGACCCGTCGGTTGGTCCACCACCCGGATGAAAAGTGAGTTTCTCCGCACCCTTCCAATGCTTGCACCAATTGTGATCAGTTCCGGTGGGAGCCAAGATGGAACAAACAGCAATATCAAAATGAAAAACGATTTGTGAGTGTAACTCTTTTGATGCAATCATAGAATGAAGAGTGGCTCACCAAACCAGCAGAAACTTGTGACGCGCCGAGATGAAAAAGAATGGGAAAAAACACTCGATGGTGTCGGTGGGTTATGATCTCTGGCATGACAAGTAATGCTGGTTTGTCGACCAATCTTCTCCTAGTAAACGAAGTACAGATTTACACTCAAACAGCAGGTGCTTCGCTTCGATACGCAATCCCAAGATCGAACTCGCATTGCGCACGATGGTGGTGGTGGTGGTGGTGATGGTGGTGCTGCTCGACCGGTCCTCCGCCTGCTTCGGACGCCCACAAGGTCTGGAACGCCCTTTCGACGTAGTCCGCGAAAATACCGTTGTCCATCATAATGCTGGGGTACTTATGATGAATAGCCCAAACGTCGATGATCACATGGGGATGAATTGTCTGCGAGCCGGAGGTGTGCGGGGGCCATGTGCTGGGATCATAATCGAGGAACATGAGGGGCATCACAGGCTGCAACAGTTCCCGCGTGGCGGCCATGGTAACAAGTGCTTTGGGCATCCAGCGCCCGTCACTGTGATAGCTGGGCATGAAACGGACCCCCGGTCCGATTTTCTGCCGCCCATTAAAGGAACCAAACGAGTGCTACTATGCAGTGCAAATCTTTTCGATCGAACATTCAGGAAGACGCAGAAAATGCAGGTGTATCTACACGGCGAAGATTCGGCGCAAAGATTTCATTCTTTCACTGGTGAGGCAAAAGCAGTAACAGCATGTGCTTTTTACTGCTTCAAAAGCATGCCTGCGAGAAACCGCAACAGTAGTTCGTATCGGAGATGCGCCACATAAGTGGAATACCAAAATTTTGCATTTTCCGTGCCCCTGACATGTTCTTGCATTTTGATTTACGGTTGGTAAATGAGCAGCCTGCAGGACGACATCTGTTCCAGCGGGAATCATGTGATCGATTTTCATTTTCGTTTCAAGGCTTTCCGCGAGCAGAATCTATCACCCAGGAAAACGCTACCCAATCATTACTTATATTCGTACATGCATAAAAGAAATTGTGCGAAGACAAGAAACAGAAAATCTGGCGTGGGCGACTCCACAGAGTGAGACCTCCAACCCCATCTCAGCAATAGAGAAATAAAGTTCTGTTAGGTCATATATGCACTCTGAACGTCAATTGCCATTCTTGCATTGGTATTTTCTTTAGCACAAGATGCAAATGTTGTCCGCCTGTGTAGAGTTTTCTTTTCTGGGATAAGTTCTGAGACGAGCCGAGCACATTGGGCCCCTGCTTCGCAGGAGCATCTCCACGATCCCACTGGTGTGCGTGACCATTTCCGCCTGTCTCAAGCTCGTGCTTGCACATTGCCCAGTAAAGGGGAAAGAGGTCCTTTTCCAAAACTGTTCCGCTAGTTTCTTGGGGGACTTGTAAAGGGTTCAGCTGCAGGTGGTTGGCTAGCTTTTCCGTGCCTGGAGACTCATTGCCAGACTTTGTCACACTGCTCACGGCGAAGGTAACACGGTACACCTCGATAGCCTATGCACGACAAAAAGTCTATCCAGTGCACCTTCCTCGCAATTAAGCTGTTTCTCAACGATTCTTGGAGCAATTCTTGACAAGGAAAAGCAGCTCCGGCGACTCTTGCTCTTGGGAGCTAGCACGTATGTAAAGTCGATGCAACGTTGAAATACAAGCAAGAGCAACAGCTGTACCCAAGGCAGGAAATAAAAAAGACCATCATAGATATAAAATTCACCCGCAGCTAAGATCCAAAACGCTAAATGGAAACTATGCTGAGATGAGAGCTTGGATATGCATCAAGATCTGCGAAGACAAAAAATGTTGTAAGTACACTGTCACACTATTTCGTCTTATTGGATATTGTTCCTTCTTTATCAGGATTGTTTTCGTTACAGTTCTCGTACAAGCCACCGTAGCCACTGTAGCCCGACAGTTTGTCACGGCAGGTGTTTTCCAGATCGTAAAGCTCCCGGCCGTATTTTTGCGCTTGTTCGTCGATATTCGGAGTTCCAGCCGCCCAGTTCTGGAGCCACGTCTTGAACTCGTGCCCCTCTGCGTGTCCCAACGCACATTGAACCCACGCGCTGACACCACTCCTGCGTGCATTCGTGTCCATTTTTTCAACGAAAACATCTGGAACCGAACAAGACTGTAGTACGTACAGCTTGTTGTACTCACCGTGGTGGCCGCCGTTGTTTAATGGGCGGTGAGCACCCGCAAGAGTTCGGTCGTGTGGACCCATTCCAACTATGGTTGTGTGTTCAACGTCGGTGTGTTGAACAGATTGCGTCGCTGTGCCAGTTTTCATCTGCAGCTTCTTCGTCCTGGTCCGCTGTGTGAAGGCCTCCTTCTTTTCCGGTCGCGAAGCCATTGGCTTCCGCCCTGCCGTTGTGGTGCTCCGCTCTTTCAAGACGGCAGCGCGTTCCTTTGGTTGCATGAATTTCTTCGACGAAGCAACTGAGTGCTCCGTGTCGGTGGCAGCGCGCTGCTGCGAATCAGTGTCGTCCCCGTCGTCCCTCACAGAGAGGGTAGGTCTTTTCCTCTTGCTGGGGACTTCTGTGAAAGAAGAGGACTGCTCGGTGGGTCCGGGAGCAGCTCCAGCTCCCTGAAAGTTTCTAGCTTGAACATCACCATGTCCAGAATCGTATTCTGCGGCCGCCTTAACGTCCTCCGGAAATTGTAGCAGACTTTCCAGCTGTCTCTGTGCCTGACGACTTTTGCTGTACATGTCCTCTGTCCGAGGAGGCGTGGACTGAGTGAGGGAATCCAGCAGCAATAGACTTCCAACATGCACAGTGACGTCAGGCATCTGGTCCCAGTCTTGGTTGATCAAGTGTGGCATGACGTGGTGCAGAATGTGATCCCCCTGTCCGCGGAATTCCGCTGAGGCCATCATCCGAAGCGTCGTGTCGGAAGACGGTCTCGCGGGTAATTGCATTCCTTGTTCGGACTGTAGCAGCTGCATGGCGCTTCCATCGTAAATCTGCGGCTCCGGGAGGTTGTCCGAGAAAAGAAACCTGAGGTTCAAACCACCAGACGGCTCATCTTGCACAGGTAAAGTGTAACGAGTCCTCAGACTTTCCCACTTGCCACCTTCCTGCACCAGTTGTTCGAGTAGAATATCCTGCTTCTGCTTGTCCGGGTTCAGCTATTCAGTGCAAATATTTGAGGGGCACCTAAATGTCTTTTCGTAGTCGCAGCTGCTACCTGCTACTCCCAATACATATTGCAACGAGAAAGCTTTCGGTCTCGCTGCGCTTTATCTACGAATCAATACCGCATATATAATTTTCCGCTGCTTCATTTTCGTATACTCATCCAAATCCATGACAAGAAAAGCAAAACTCCCATCGTGGCTATGTAAAATGCACACCCTTCCTTTTGTTGCATTAAGATGAGGATCCAATACAGCCTGGAGAGTAGACTAGAGTTTTGCGGCGCTTCTCTTAACTCAAGAACATAGCCCCTGCCTATGCTGAGACCATGACCCCCACATATTTGCCCTGCATATCGGCGTTCGAGATTTGTAAAGAGCTAATTTTAGATGTCGGTAGGTGTAGGACATGTAGGTCTTGACCTGAGCCGGCATACCCGCTCCATTTTGTCAAAGCGAAAAAAAAAGCACATGATACCACAAAGCGCACCTTTGCAGCAGCGCAGGCTACCTACGAAGTTGGCACTTTGTTTTCTTTATGTTCGTATTTTGGTTTCTTCGGAAGCACTTGCCTGCTCCAAGCCGTGCTTCTCGATTACAACAAGTATAAACAAGAGCGTCCGATTTCACAGCCCTACTTTCGCATTCATGCACGTGGGCGTTGTGAACGAAGCCCACTCTCTTAAAAAAACTAACAGGCTACTCACGAAGCAGTGCGGCCGACTGGAGTGCTCCTTTTGATGCTTTTGTGCTAGCTGCAACTTTGTGGCCGTGCTTCTTGGCATTTTACAACCTCGTAAAGACATGATGCTGCTGGTCTCCTCCATCAACTCATTCAGGTTTAGGTAAATGCCATACACGTGTTTAGACATGTACCTGAGTTGGGTTTTTCTTTAGGGTGCCTGATAGATAAGATATCCTTGACGTCGTCGATCCGGAAGATATTTTGCCGATATAGTCCTACAACTGACTAGGTAGGAAAAAAAGAGCTCACATTCTGCACGGTCAAGGGCAGGAAAATACGACGAATGCAGCGACAATGTGATCACCGCGAAGTTACGCTAGCTACAAAACCCGCGCGTGTATAGTATGTACCGGGTGTTCACTTTTACCAGTGTCGCCGCTGCTCGCTAATTCAGCCATAAATTTCCTACCCTTTGCCCCCTCCTCAAAATATATCTTGCGATTATTTCGTGACATTCATGAACTACCTTGCCATAAAGCCCCCACGGATGATCGCGGAGTAAACGTTGTTTTGCAGGAGCTCGGTCAGGGAGTTGAGCTGGAACCATTTCAACTGAAAATCGAGCGACATCGGCTGCAAACCCAGCAACGCCTCCATCCCCTCCTCTTCCATGATGGCGGCGCTGGAATCAGTGATGAAGTCGAACCGCAGGCGCCCCAGCTGGAGACACACGTACTCGAAAAATGCGACCCAGCTTGCGCGTGTATACATCTCATCTACTGCAGTCTCAAAAGTGATCGGCTTCGGCGGATTTCCGCCCCCGACGTAGCGATTCCCGTTCTTATCAACCTGGACTGCAAGACCCCTGTTGCGAGGAAAATGAAAATGATGTTTCATACATGAAGGACAAGAACTACAAGAAGCATACGGCTCATCAATCACCAACAGGTCAGGCTTGCTGGAAGACGGCTCGGTACCACTATACTGGGCACGTTTTTCTACTGGTAAATTTACTGGTGAATGTGCACAGCATCGCTCCACATCTTCGCTATTTCTTTGCCATAATAATGATCGCCCAGAAGCGAAGGCTGTCGTGGGCATCGCAACATGATCACGGACGATGGAAGCATGATTCATATATTTACTGGACCAAAGCATAGGCGAGAAGGTCTACTGCGACACAGCGACAGCGGTCGCCTCCAATATGATAATCTAGCTCTATCAGCGCCACACTATGCGCCGTGCGTATTGCAGCAGGACCAGGAGCAGCAGCCGAAAGGCGGGATAAAACCACTGTGCTGCAGTGAAAGTGGCACAGCATGGTTAGCCGAAAGCGAAACAAGTCACCAACCATCAGTAACTTGCTCATTGTGTACTAACTAAAACATCAGAACTACACAAAAAACAGTAAGGACTTACCAAGGATCTTTTAGGGTGCATTTCTGCTTGTCTGCATCTGCAAAAGCAAAACCTTGAAGAGAATTCTTCGGCTGTCGCGCTGCGTACGCCTGTTCACCCATCCGCCGAGCCGCTTCCGGCTCACACCCGAACTCCTTGAGCAACAATTCTGGAAACTGCAATGGATTTTTTAATTTTCTTATCCCACACGGTGTACTTAAGTAATGGATTTTAGTTCTCGTAGTAAACAAGAGAATTTACTTTCTTATATATCCTCCATGCAACTGCAGAGGATTGTTTGAGATAATTCACTGATCCCGTATGACACACTGATTGCGAAGAAGCCCCTGCGAACCTCGTATGCACTATAGAAGCAGGACAACTACATCTATTTCTTCATCAAGACGATAGACCCGATACTTGCAGGGTGACGTCGCGCAAGCCACGGAGGATATTTAGTTTCAGAAGCGTAAATCCAGAGATCCCGAACTCCATGTACAAATTAATACAACTCCTGCGTATGGAGAAACAAGACACCGTAGTTTATCTGCCTCCGTCAGTTTTAGTTCGCAGCTACAACATGCAAAAAAAAGGTACCTGAGGCGTGCGGGGTTTGTCTTCCGCTTCCGGGAGTGGCAGGTATCATATTGGAAACAGTCCCGTCTCTCGGATTCTTTAGAAGTCTTTGCCATGCAATTGCAATAGCTTTCGTGGCATAAATATTATTCATGCCATGAGAGAAAAAAATATTTCATTAAATGAAATATTTTTTTCTCTCATGCACGAAAGGAACGGAGCTCGTTGCTGCTAATCACATAGAGCGAACTCGTCTGTATTCATCACGCTTTGCAGAGTTGCCACTGTCGTGTACTTGGACTTGCTTTCATACGGACAACACCGTTTATCAACATATTAGCATTTCTACATTTCTAAATGAAGAAAGAACGGACGCGAGGAGAAAGTACACAAACCCTCTCGAACAAATATGGATAGAGTAATGCAAACTTCAATTTTTTCCCCGGGTAAGTGGACTGTTTTTTGTTTGATAGAAGGTGATAATGGATCATGTCCCGCAAGGTCTGAAGCAAATTCTCAAAGTTCGACAGCAGGCCGAGGCGCGCGACTTGGTGAAACACTGCTTGCCCGTACTCCTCGAGCGCGTCCTGGTTGGTCATCCCCGTGGTCTTGGGGAACATGTCCAGCCATTCAAAACGCTCCAAACGCGGCACTTGGTCCGGAAAGTGAGGCTGCGCCCACTGCGGATCCTTCCGGAGGTAGAGAACCTCCAGCGTGACGCCATGCCGCATCTCCTCATCCTCGGGCCGCAGAAAGGGCAGCAGAGTGGGAGACGTCAGGTCTCTACTTCCGAGCAAGTAGCTGTAGGCAGGCTCGCTGCTCCCACGCACACGAGGTTGCTGCGGCTCCCACCTCCCATCCTCGAGGTGGGCAACCTGGTTCACCGAAATTGTCGAGTCCGCCGTCGCTCTGCAAACAGAGTTCATCGTCATCTGATTGCTGCTATGGATTGCAAACAAGTCTTGGTCTGGAAGGTCGGTGCTGCAACCTATGGTGCTAATTCTGGAACCCTGGAACCTAATTCTGGACAGCACAAGCACTCGTGTAGCATGAGCAGCCATAGTTCCTCATTTGTTCGCATGCAAGAACCGAATCTCTCATGCGGAATAGGCATTGAGTTTGAGTTGGAGAGGCCTTCGCATAAACTATGCTTTTGCGTGCGTAGCAGGCCCTCTCTCCTCTGTCGCGGTCCACAAGATGCATGACAAACTCGCGCTCTTCCAGACACACACAGATTTGCGATTCATAGCTGCCCGGAACCTGGACCTGCACCTGTTGGTCTTCACAGGGCCACTCGAGAAAGTAGCAGCTGCCGTCGCCGCTAAGCCCATTCGGCACACAGAACATCGTGGTCAGCACTTTATTCCCATGCTGCGTCAACCGCAGCGTTAGTGGCTGCAACGCCTTCGTGTACATTGTCATCGTCTCGTCGTAGACCTTCGCGAACAGGGTCGCTGGGTAATCGGCAAAATATCGGTCGTTCTTGTACCCGTTTAGGGTTTGAGTTCGCAGCTGATAGGCGGCAGCGGGGCGCAACCAGAGGGTGCCGATGGCACTATCCTACCGAAAAGTAGAACACCCATACCGTATCAGACGACACTTTTGACGCAGTTTATTTAAATACCATGACTGATGGCGCTCGGCATGAAAAGGGGGGCAGTCCTCAACATACGAGCAATTGACATTATTAATAGATCCAAATTAGGGGAGGGGACCCCAATACCCAATGGCAGTGAGAACAGTTTTTTTGTGTAAAAAGCGGCTTGCTTTTACTGTGGTGGTCTGTTCAGCAATACAAATCTTCTTGGTACCTCTCTGATCCCTTTTCCGCATGATCACAGTCTCTATATCTCTGCATGGCAGATAATGTTCGTCCTTCTTGCGGATCAGCACCACAAACTTTTGTGTGCTGCCAGAAAAGCAGCAGCGCTAAGTATGTATTTTGATTTTCGTCCAGTGTGGGTGTCCTTATTTTCTGCAGGATAGGGACGGCAGGCCTCACCTTGCGAATAGTCGTTGACGTACCAGCCCCGCAGCCGCAGAGAGCACTCCGCTGGCGCGAGCGGCTCATCCAGGCCATCCGTGTTTTGCGAGACCGGGTTCCCGCTGGCATCCATCTTGCGATACAGATTCAGCGGGGCACTCACGTGAACTCGCACAAGCGAAGGCATCGAATAGCCTTTCGAGTATTCATTCTTTTCACGGAGGATCCTATCCAAGTCCCAGGGCTGCATTTCGGCTTGGAATGCGGGCCCGGAAAAGGCTGCCCACCCGTCTTGCCACTGCCACGTTTGCACCAGGTTGGCGTATTCCTTGTAGCTCTCCCACGGCTCGTGCGTGTAGTAGTCATTCAGAAACGGTGCGGGGTCGGTGGTCTGCTGGGACGTGAAGCTGCTGCCCACGTGCAAATAGGACCCGGGCGGCACCATAAGGTAGCCTTGCGCTGCCGTTTGTTGGTTCGCATCGAATGCCATCAGCCCGCTCGCGGAGGTCCCCGCGGCGGCCCCCGCCACCGCCCGGCCGGAGCCCGTTCCGGTCGTAATCGAATCCTCGACGCAGCCGACGCACCGCTTCTGCACCCAGGACTCCGGCGGATCCTCGGTGTGTGGCGGCCGCATGGCAAACACGCGCGCCTTGTACCGCGCAAAGGCGGCAGAAGAGGCCGAGGTCGGCGAGAACGGCTTGTCGTTCTCCTCCTCAAGAAAAGCCCCCCCCGAGCTCCTGCTACTTGTGCGGTTATTTGCTGTTCCGTCAAGTAAACTGGGGAGCCCGGTCATTTCAACGTCCTCCTGCTCGTCCTCGCGAATGCCGGGGCGGTCGCTGTGGTAGTGCGATGTGGAGTACGCATCGGCGTTGTGCACACGAAGGCTCACCCCCAAAATCAGGCGGAGGCCAGCACCGACCATCAACACCTTCCGCAAGGGGGACGGAAATCTGTTGAAAGTAAGTCGCGTCGTCATCTTCGAGAGTTTACTTATTTTCAAGGTCGTCGGTACTGCCAGGAATTCAGCTACGCGCAACCGCTGTTCTACTTCGGTAGGCGACCGACGGGAGTGTTAAATTCACTTGTCACTTGGCGTACTTAGTTCTCCTCCGCACGTAGAGACGCATGGATGATCGCTCCTCCATGTGATTGTGGTATTGTTCCATTTTCGTGCACACGCTGGCAAGTTGTAAGTTTGGGAACTAATGTTTAAAGTTATGGGGTAATGAAGATATCGAAAAAACTAAAAGTTGTTTTCAAACTTTATTTACACTGAAAAAGTACTTCAAAGGTCGAAAGCGGGGAAGCAAACTTTTACTTTTGCTGTTGTGCGGGTCGGAAGGAAAAAAAAAATAGACATCCGAACGGGAAGAAGAGCGGCACTTTGAATCATGCTCGATGGGCTTTATGAACGATGAGGCGAGTGCCACGATTTTGCACGAATCAATAACAGTAAAGCGGTCGCACGGGCCTGTGTTGAACGACAAAAGCTATCATCTTCTTCATGCAAAAGGCAATTCAATGTGCCGTGGACTTCCAATCATCTGACGCACGTACGAAGCATTGCAACGTCCACCGAAGAGCGACAGCTAGTGCTGTGCGAGTGATGAAATCTGTTCGAATAAATCCAAATTTGTCAACCGACTTAACAGTAACGAGGCGCTAAACAGAGTTGCAAACTTCGACAGTATTTTCAGGACCGAGGAGCATCACAACTGCGGAGCCACGGAAATACCGACAGCTGGGTTGGATCAAAACCGAAATTACGATAAAAGTACTTAGCTAACTTTCGAAAAAATATGGAGCGTTAGGAGGAACATTGTTAAAGTTAATGCGTAGGTCTTCTGCACACCGAAATTTCCTCGAGGGAATTAGAAGCAACGCGCAATTGCATCAATCGGGCTGCATCAGCTAGTCTTATCCTGCAGCCTGAGAAAGTTCTTGCATGCTCCTTTTTCAGTATACACAAACAGGCAGAGACAGTTCGGCTGAGGAAAAAGAGACGGGACGGTAGCGACGGTTTTACCGGCTGCTTGGAGTGACGACGAGGACCCTCTACGTACTAGATTCTGAATCTGGTCTAGAACTAGAAAACATGCACAAACATTCTCCTCATCCTCTTGAGTCCCTGCACTAGCCAAAACAGATCGAGCTCCCGCCGCCAGGCGGCTTTCGAATGACGACAGGCTGCTCTGGAGGGGCCGACGCGACCTGCACGGAGGCATTAGTGTCTACCAAGTTCTTCATCGCATAGCTACCGCCTATTTTTCCGGTCGGAGACCGTCCACGCTTCGCTCGCTCACGCAATACGGAGGACCTCGCGGTGCTTCTTGTGGTCGCTTGATCAGATACAACGGAAGCTACCGGACCTTGTTTCCGGCCGCTGGAAGCCTGCGCCGGGGCAGAAGATGGGTCATTGTACATTGCGAATCCCGGGGGCCTTTGATCCCTGGTGGAGGTTCTGGTGCTTTGCCTCCGGGCCCCCGCAGGCGCCGCCGATAGCGGCGGCTGCGGGGCACTAATGGTACTAGTTGCGCTGTCGTTGACACTGCCTCGTAAGTCCACTGCTGCTCGTGCGCCTCTACCAGCGGAGGTCGTAGCTACTTTGTTCACAGTGGGCGTCCCGCCTGGTTGTAGCGCACTTGACGGCGTAGAATTCGTGTCAGCGACGGCGTTGGGTCCACGAGAGTACAACGGGGCGTGGTTTTCCTTACTGGCGGAAGTGCCCGTCGCGAATCCGTTTGCCACGCCGGGCTCCCGCAAGCCCGTTAAGTTCAATGGCTTCACAACATTGCTCGCCGACGCCTGTAGCTCGGCTGCACCGCCGCGGTGCGAGGCCATGCGTGCCGTGCTTTTTTCTGCTCCACTTCGCGACGACAGAACGTTATTGTCTGCGTATGCTGATACCTCAGGAGCATGATGTTGGCGAGCACTTGTTTCACGACCACCTTGCATCATATTGATTCCGGTGTCTTGTGGCACCATGGTAGAAGTTCTCGTCGAAGATCGCACACTTCTTTCCGGTTCCGGCGCGCGTACCGACATCGCAGCGGGCGTGTTTGGTTCTGCGCCAGCGGGGGACCTGCGCGTGCTCATCATCTTCCCCGAGAGATTCTGCTCCCGATGGGGCAACGTGTCGGCGTTCATTCGCAGCTGCCCGGCTTGCTCCGCTGCAGGCAAAGACGCAATCTGCTCGGCGGAGGGTTTGCAAGGTGGTGCAGCAGGTTTCTCGGCTCGCTGTGGTGCTATGCCGACCGGCAGGTCTGCCGATGTCTTTGCCGCAGTGTTGAATGCCCCGACGCCCTTCCCCGGACGGGTTTTACCGCTAGCCGCACCCAGGCCGTCCAGGTCGCCCACGCGCGGTGTCCCAGTGATGGGGTTGAAAATCTTGGGCGGCGCGATTCCAAACTCCTTCTCGTGGGTCCGCGCAGAAGTCGACCAAGAGAGATCCATGGACGAGTCGCCACCTACTTTTTCAAATGGATTATTTCACCAGTATTGCGTTTACACCCTCATGATTGAAGCATTCAGATAAATTCAACATGCATGGTGATCGGGACCCCATGCTTGTCACCCTCGTAAGAAACAAACGCTCTTCACATTTGACGAGGCCTATGCGACAAACTGGAACTACAGCCAGACTGCAATACGCAAACGGGTCGTTCTCACAGAATGATACATCCGGAGCGACTAGTGGAAGAGAAAGTCGATACCGGTTGGCTTGAGGACTTTCACGTCGGTCCGGTTGCGGTCCCGGGCCGGTTTGATCTTACCCTTGTCTTCAAGCTTGAAGCTTGGGGGCTTGATCGGCTGCGGCGGCTCCTTCGCACGAGATTCATTCCAGCACTTCTCGATCTCCACGAGCTTATGCTCACTGTCAGCCGATTCGGTCGCGCCCTGAGAGAAAAAATGAGTACAACTAACAAGGGTAAGTCGTTTTCAGAAAAAGCAATTGCCTAGTGCATATGTTGATGTTCTGTACTATGGGTTGCACCCATTACTCGATTTCAAAATGGCTCCAATGAATTCCAGTGACCGGGGATATGATCAAAGTTCGCGAAGTTACTCATCGGATCCGCGAAATTGCTACTGCGTCAAGGAAATGTACGTTGTGAAGCTGCAGAAAAGCACGCCGCTTCTTCTCCCAGATTTCTGCCCGTTTGGACGCCATTTTTCAATTTTACGTCGTGAAATTTTGAACCACGTTGGTCTTTCGGGAACGACCGGAATTCGCCTTACAGCAGCTGAAACAGTCTGCTTTCATTTTCACCCCAATCAGCATCAGGTCATGCGCTCTACAACTCAAGAACCGTGTTTGTGCAGTGTGCGTGCTCCAAGGGTCTCTACATCTCTCAGACGGTAGTGTTGATCGGAACTCTCAGTCCCGTTCATCGCCCGCCATGCACCCAGATGAGACAGGAATGAACAAGCTGCCGCTATGCCAGGAACATGCAATAGACGCAATTGCGTCAAATCTGTAAAAAGCCATCCTCAAAATTTGCTAATCTCAAAAGCTGGTGGCGCTTGGCGGTTTTGTCGGTGTCGCTGTGGTGCGTGGTGTTCATTTGCGCAAAGTATTCAGAGGACCAAAGTAATTGTGTGTCGTTGCAGCCAGAAGCCACTTCGGGTTCTTGTGTAGATGCCACCTCACATCCTGCTGCAGCTACGTGATTCATTTTTTTGGAGTTAGTTTAGTTTCCGAGACTAAAAGAAATTATGTCAGCCGCGGCCGCCATGGTAAGATTGAGTTGCTGTAGGCGGTGGCGGTGGGCATAACGACATAAGATTTTCGAAAATACTGTAAAAGCGGAGTCTGTTTATATTTTATTTCTCGGGCAGATTGTTCTTCTAAATCAACAAGAGAGCTGCCGGCACATTCAGGCTCGGAGAGACCGCCGGAAAATACTGGTCGCTGGCAGTTTTCTCTACTTGCGGTTGCGGTCACACCCAGCAAGTAGAAGAACCTCGCACCTATCATCTATGAATTTACACCCTTCCGAAGAATAAAACAGCCATAGACGCAGGTGCCGGCGCAACTACGACAAATGGCGATAAAAAGTTCTTTATTCGCTTCTGTGCACAGGTCTCTCGTCTTCTGAAGTGCACTTGGCTGTAACAAAAAAAATATCAAATCGCTTTGTTTTGGGAGTACTGCGGACAAGTACTGTACGAAGAGACTGTTAGAGAATCAGCAGTAAACATCAAGTGGAGTGATTCCATATCCGTAGTGTATCAATCTTGTGGAACTATTCTGAAAAAATCGTAAACGAGATAAAACAAAACCCCTCACTCGGTCGTGTCGCGCACGATGCGTAAAGCCAGGTCGGATAAAAAGGAACAACTATCTCGAAGACAATAAACTTGGAAAGCGTGAGCAAGCTAAAAATCGTCCTCTTGCGAAGGAATAAAGACGGCATAAATGTTTTGAAAAACTTGAACTTTTTTCCATAATTTTCTTTTTCAGGGAGCTCTGAGTCTGACATAGATAACGTGCTGACGCATTCCACAACCGATTTCAGCTGTGGATACGTCTGCGAAAGAGTGATGCGCTAGAAGAAGCAGGTGACAAAAAATCTCTATTGGTGGAGACCGTAACTAACCCAGTAGCACGCGAGAGGCGAGCAGAGATGAAAGTTGTATGCTTAGTGGGCAATAATTTCGTTTGATTTGATTCCTCGCTAATAATAGAGGCAGTAAGATAAAGCCAGTTTCTGGCTGCCGAGCAACCGGTTTTCGGTGATCAGTTTCTCGAGTAATACGAAAAATACGACCTAGAATCATATATCCTGAATCGTCTTTCAAATTTTGTTTTCATCGCAATCTTTGTGTTTGAAAAAATTTAGATGCCGATACAGTGAGACATCATTTGATGGTAGATTTTTACTATGCTTATTAACCATGTCTAAAGATGGGAATACCGGAACAAGGTCGCGTCCCAGTAATCATTTTCGTTGACTTTGCGCTAGAAGAATGATGCCCGACGTGCTGAGTACAACTCACTTCTATGCCTAGTCCCCAAAAAATCAGAAACAGCAGATGAACGTTCTCCGAACTAGCTTGTGTCACGCAGGCCGAGATTCTGCCACAGTGTGTGCAGCCACCGCAGCGTCGTGTTATCGTTCCGGAGCATTTCGAGGAGACTCGTGGGTGGTGCCCGCAGAGTGTCCGGAAGGGTTTCGCGCAGCGCCTCGCGCGCCTGCGGGTGGTCGGAAAGCCGGAGGTAGCACCGGACGACGTGCTTAAGCAGCCGAATCGCGGGGTCGCGCACGAGGGCCTGCACCATCTGGCGTAGCACAGTAAACACGTGAAAACACCGCTCCGGCTTCTGGCCAATGAACGCGAGTCCGCGCTCATCCAGAAGAAGCTTTTGCAGAATAAAAGTGGCCACCGTCTGCGAAAGGGCGGTGCCGGTTTCCATGATGCGCAGGCACAGCGGAATGATTTCCGTCTTCTGCAGAAGGAAGGCCAGCACGTCGGGGTCATCCCCCTTCACCAGTGCGCCCAGCACCCCCAGCGAGGTCAGCCGCAGGTACTCGTAGGGCCGCGCCTTGGTTTCGGTGTTCAAAAACGGAAAGAGCAGAAGCGGCAGCTCCGCCCTCAGAATCAAAGGCCGTGTCTCCATATGACTCGCCATGCACTGCAGCAACGCCAGCGCATTGCACACACGATTCGAACTTTGCGCGGTCAGGGTTGGAGGCTTCGGAACTCTACGTGTTTTCGCCTTTCTTTGCTCTTTTATTTTGCCACCCTCTGTTGTAGTTGTTGCAGCTGGGGCTTCTACCGCCGCGGCCGCATTGCCCGGCCTCGGAGGTCGCTGGTGCGTGGCTACCGCCCTTGTCCCGGAAGCGCTCGGTAACTGTTTTTCTGAGTGCGCCGGCTGCGGCTCCTCGTCGTGCTTATTAAGTTTCATCCAGGAAGTCAGTGTGTGACCTTGTTCCAAGGAGGTGCTCATTTGTGCACTCGCCGTTGTTCCCGTGGTCGCAGAAACAAAGGAAGTACAACTCGGTGTTTTGGTAGTGCTCTTGCTTCCCGCTATGACCGAAGCGAAAGAGGCCGTGGCTAGTACTTGTTCATCTCCAGCAGCGGGGCCACCAGCAGAGCCGCGCGCCCGGTCTTCGCCTACGGTGCCGGATGGTTGTACTGTCGCGGCTTTCATCATCTTTGAGGAATCTGGAATGCGCGCGCCGAGCGATGCACCGGCCCCGGGTGGACCCGCGCAGGAATTCTTGTTTGCGGCTCCTGGTGAGTAGGCGGAGGCCGCTGTAGAAAAGCCGAGAAAGGGATACACAGAAATGATTTCCTGACACAGCACGGCCACCGTGCCGAAACTGTGCCACAGCAGCGGCGCGAGGTCAAACAGAGTCTCGCGCCGCCGACTCAGCTCAAACAGAGCAGCCTCGCGCTTTCCATGGTCACGCAAGTCCAAAATGAATTGGTACACGCTGTCATCGACCTTGGGCGGCGGAGCACGACCAGTGTGGAACGCAGCTGATGTGTCTTCATTTCCAGAGCCCTTGTCAGCACTGCTACTAGTTGTACAACTACCCGTGCTAGCACTACTTTCTGGGGCTGGCACAGTTCCTGTTGCTGTTACCGTGGCGCTCGTGACAGAACGGGCACCGAAACTGCTGGACTTCTGGTGCCCGTGCTGCTCTTGCTGCGTGGTCCCGCTCGTGGGTTGTCTGGTATCATTCGCTGTTGTTCCCTCCGAATTATAGAAAGATGAGCTGCGCGGGCCGTGAGCAGCCGATGCAGTGGGACCGGAGTAGTAGCCGGTAGCGCCGCTAGGGAGCGCTGCAGTAGTCGGGGCGGCAAGAACTTTTTGAGGATTATACGACGAAACGCTCCTGTTTGTCGTGTAGTCGTAGTACCGAGCCTGCTGTTGGTGTTCCTGTTGCTGCGCTTCTGCTACTGTCATACCAGTATGACCTCTTTTGCAAGGCGGATACTCCTGCGCTAAACTCTCAGAACATTCGTTGGAACTCACTGGTCTAGGCACGGGAGGTTTACTGCTGCTTGCAGATTCGCCTGCCCACTCCGCCTGAGATGACATCTGCGTTGTGTGGCTCTGTTGGTTCTGCTGTTGCTGCTGCGCACAAGCAGTGTGCTGTCCTGTGGACTTTGTTTCGCCGGTGTCATAAGAGGAATTCTGCTGGTGCACACTTTGATTTTCCTGCCCACCTCCACCGTACGCCCCAAGCGCAGATCCCTGGCGGGAATCACGATGCCTCTGCTGCCCCGTTTTGTTGAAGTGGTGATAGGTTCCGCGATCGGCAGAAGGAATGTGCCTCTTTTGCGCGGAGGTCTTGGCACCACCTCCTCTAGCAGAAGCAGACGAAGCTGAAAATACACGGCCTTGGCCGCTGCCTCCGCGGCTGCCGCTAGCTCGTGATTTACTCGCCGTCGAAGCGCCGCCTGTAGAAGTACTAGGAGGCTGCACTGGATAAAAGTGCTCGCCCCGATAAACGTAAGGCACCGGCCCAGCAGCTGGATGCTCCACCGCGGTTTGAAAAGTATCCGGGCGACTGCCTCGCACAGATTTTTCCTCGCTACCCGCTGGTACACCGTCCCCTTGACCTCCAGAGCCGGCTAGCGTAGCGGACCTGTCTTCATGTGCGAAGTTTCCGGGATGTCGCGCATGCGCGGAAACCCGATGAAAATGTTGTGCTGAAAGATGGGCGTCTTGACTGCCGTGCTCCTCCTGTGCACCAGTCGCGATCGTGAAGGAAGGCGCTTGATGCGCTTTTTGCTGTAGCTGGGCCTGTGTACTATGTTGTACGTCGTGTCCTGTGTTTCTCGCAATTGACGCCATGTTCCTGTCAGCCATCGTTGGCGGCGGACCCCACGCATGCCCGTGCTGTCTCTTGTCGTCCTGAAATTTTTGCTCCGGCAGGTGCGATGTGTGCGACTGCAATTGCGAATCAGCGTGAGCGTCAGCACTGCACCCCGTATGAAGATGTTGGGTATATTGCTTACTCTCGCTGTGCCAAGGAATGGACTGCGCGTTCAGCGCCGCAGCGTGCTGCACTCTTGTGTCTGCGCCTGTAGTTACACCACTGTGGCTGTTCGCTCCTTGCACGGCATTGTCCCTAGAGTTCCTGTCGTGCACAACCGGCAGCTCGCCACTGGATGCAGTAGCACATACGTCTGCAGTTCCAGTTGGCTTCGAAGATATACTTGTTCCGTAGTTGGTGAAGCCCTGCTGCTGCTGTGCAATTTCTGTCTCCGGACAGCGCGCTTGATGTTGTGTGTCCGCATTGTAGTTCTGCGTGGAAGAAGATGCAGTGTAGCAGGAGTTCGCGGTTTGGTACTGGTACTGTGCGTAGTAACTTTCCGACGGGTGGTGGTGCTGATACTCTGCTGCATGGTTCGTGTGCGCATCTCTTGTGACTGTATGCTGTGCCTGCTGCATTTCATGCTCGTTACTCGTCGTCTCCGAAGGCATTGCAGGTCGAGAACTGAATTGCTGCCGGTGTGCCGCAGTTCCACCGGTGACAGTAGAACCCGGTTGCTGATAGTACGAGCCGTATTGTGCAGCTACCCGGGCGTGTGTCGCTCCAGCCTCTCTGCTTTCCGCCGAACAATACGGAGCTGAGCCTGAGGCATATTGCTGGCTCTGCTGCTGCAATGGAGGTTCTTCTACAGAAATCGCACCAGCACTACCGTAAAAATGCCCGCATGGCGTGCTCAGTCTAGTACCTGAACTATTGTCCCCTGGCTGCGGAGGTGCAGCAACCGAAGAAGTGCAAGAAGCCGCAGACGCGGTCCCGGAGTGTGGTGGCGGATAAGTGTGCTGTGAGGATCCCGCAGCGCGGTGGTGCAATGCTGGACCAGCACCTGTGTGGTCTGAGGAAAACGAAGGATCGTAGGCACCTCCAGCTCTCGACGGCCGCTGTTCTTGGGCGTGGTGCGAAAAAGAAGATGCAGAACCGAGACCGCGACCGTCTGTGGTTGCAACAACTGCGCTCCCGGTGCTGTGGCCGTAGTAGTTCTGCGTCGATGAACTACTGCTACCAACGGTATCCATAACACCGTGGTGCTGCCTGTAAAACTCGTGGCCATGGTGCGTCGCGGAAGGCGACGCCATCGATGTTGTGGCTGCCCCGCCCTGCGGGTGGAGGCCGTGTGTAGTTGTATATGCTGTACTTGCTGGGACTCCTGGTAGCTGGTGCGAGGACTCCGATTGGTTTCCTACACTGTATGGCTGGGCGGTAGTTCCAGATGCTGCCACGTGGTCCTGGCCATATTGATTTTGAATTTGATGCTGCGGGTATGCATAATTCGCCGGATGTTGTGTGCCCGAACTAGTGCTCGGCGTTTGGTTGCAAGAGGAACTCCCGCTGCTGGTGGCGCATGAGTTCATTCCAGGAGGGTAGGAGAAGCCCGGGGCCGGCGCCTTTGGTGTGTAAGAGCTACTGGTCGTTGTGGTGGTTGTGTTGGTGGTCACGGACGCGTTGTAAAAACTACTGCACGCTGCTGGGGGGGCAGGGGTACCCCCGCAAGGGGGTGCGTAGGGTTGTACCGGATGTTGTGGACGAGTCGGCTGCACGGGTTGCGGGTGCTGGCTTGCTGTCGATGAATAATCATACCCACTCGTATTGTTGAAACTAGAAATAGTTCCGCTGGTGTTATTCACGGAAGTATTGTTCGCGGTGGCCGGAGGTGCGACATACTTTGATGGCATCAAAGGCCCCAGAGCCGGAGGCAGCCCCGGCGGAAAGGGCGGCGCATAATTCTGTTGGGTACTACAACTCGCCGCAGTGGTAGCGTTGCGCTGGGACGTAGTCGTGGAGGTGCCGCTGTTTTTACACGATGAGGCGGAAGATGTCGTTTGCTGCCGCTGCTGGTTGTAATTGGCGTTGCTGTGCTTCGGGTATTCATAATTTTGGCTCTGTCCGGCTGCGCCGCCTGCCTGTTGCGAGTAGTGGTAGAAATGCTGGCCGCCCTGGTTTTGCTGTTGGGATCGCCTCGGCGCGGTTTGCTGTGGCTGCTTCCTCGCAGCCTGATGATGATGAACGTGGGCGCCCATCTTGGACGAGGGGGAAGATCGGACCGTGACACCGGCTGCAGCAGCTGTAGATAGTACTAGTAGACGATGAAAATTAAATAAAGACAATCGATAAAACTTCACGTTGCAAAAACAGATCAAAGGAGGCAAAAGCCAAGGCGCAAGTTGACGGAACGCAACGTGACGCGTACGGAAAATACTTACGACATGATCGCGTCTCATTTTTGCTGCAAACATACATTGAAAAGCACGAGTATACCCTGTTCCGGTGTTTTCTGTCCATTGAAGAGCCGGAGCTGCTCACGAAGCCCCGCGGCCGCTTCGGCTTCGAGTTGTGCGTGATCCATGCTGTTCGTTCGGATACGATGACAAGACCAGAACGGCTGTTGTACTAACTCGTGACAAATCGCCAACCAGAGGCGTACGAGAGTGCTGGCTGTGGCGCCCGGGTGCGTTCAGACAGAACTCCTGTTGAGCCGCCAACATATAGTACTTCCGTTGAGTATTCAGAAAGGAACAGGGGTTTGCTCTTCCGAGTAGTCGATGTGGACCTTTTTGTGACCGCCAAGTCCGAGCTTCCGTCCACGTCGGTCGTCCTCCACCTCGTGGGATCCGATCACAGCTGAAATAGCGAGGGAATAGAAGTCAAGAAAGGACACACACTTCTTGTGTAAGTAGCCCGCCAACCTGCAATCTGGATGGCAGCAGGAGTGGTGTGACGAAGGAAAAACGCGTAATTTATCTTCGCACGTGCTCGGTCTGTATTGCACCTCACGGCATAATTTGAGGTCCGATGATCAGTCAATGCGATAGAAGATGCGAATGTCTGTACGCCTTCACCATACGGACGTGCAGAGAAAGCCCCTACCTTGTATCAACATCACTGATCAATTTTCATTACTCGTACATCACTAGGGCTAGGTGGCGGGTTGCCGTCTCAGAAAATTAAGAACAGGAAACGACAATCAAGTTCAAGGAAGGATGTCGGGTCTTTAAACTTTGAAAAAAGACTTTTCTCCTTTGATATCACGTGATATCACGTGATATCAAAGAAGAAAAGGAGAAAAGTCGATTGTGCTGTTGATATCACAGCACGCGTGATATGTAGAAAAATGCAAAAACAGAAGGAATTGATGCAAAAACAGAAGGAATCGATGCTAAGACAGAAGGAATTGATGCTAAAACAGAAGGATTTGATGCTAAAGCAGAAGGATTTGATGCTAAAGCAGAAGGATGTGAAGCAAAAACAGAAGGACTTGCACCAGGAGCTGCTCGCTCTGGTATCAATCCAGCGGACTTTTCTCCTTTGCAAGGAGAAAAATCCGGACTTTTCTCCTTTGATCCATATCAAAGGAGAAAAGTCGTCTGATCCATATCAAAGGAGAAAAGTCCGACATCGCGGACCCTCTGATCCATATCAAAGGAGAAACCCCGATACTTATCACAGACCCTATCCCACCCAAACCTTAGCCACCGAGCTCGTCTCCGCTCTGTTTCGCAGTGAAGATCAGAAGGAGCTTGCCTCCACTACGTGTTAACGCGGAGATCAGCGGCCGGCTCCTAAGGAAGAGATTTCCTATAAAGAAACGCGGAAAGCCCAGGGGCGAGCGATTTCCTAAAAGAAATCATGCGGAAAACCCGGACGAAGCGATTTCCCAAAGGAAATCATGCGGAAAGCCCAGGAGAAGGGATGTCCCAAAGAAAATCACGCGGAAAGCCCAGGAGAAGGGATTTCCCAAAAGAAATCACGTGGAAAGCCCAGGAAAGGGGATTGCCCAAAGGAAATCATGTGGAAAGCCCAGGAGAAGGGATTTCGCAAAGGAAGTCATGCGAAAAACCCAGGAGAAGGGAATTCCCAAAGGGAATCACGCGGAAAGCCCAGAAGAAGGGATGTCCCCTTCTGAAGGAAATCTCGAGAAGCCCCGACTGCCTAAGTAAGATGTTTGGAAAAGGGGGCTTCTTATAGAGAAAACGAGGGGCGAATGCGTTCAGGGCACAAAAAAACGGTCTCCGGGAACAGGACCACTGCTACGGGGCCTCTCCCTACGCTACACTCACCGACCCCCCGCTACATTCGGAGGCAAAAATCGACCTCAAGACCCGCACCTTTCATGGGCAAGACGCGCCCAGGGTAGCCAGAATGCCCTATGCTAAACACTGCGCGACGGGAAAAACGCCCAGCGTCCTGCACCAAGCCATTCTCTGCGCGAGACCAAAAACACCTCCACAGCCAGCCTGGGACTTATGTTGGCACCGCGTGAGCTGTTCCCAGGGTATCCTTAGCCAGAATACACTATGCTAAACACAGCACTGCGGGAAAAATAAAAGAAAGTAAGGAACGGCGAAAAAAAAGCGCAACACCAAGGACTCGCGGCACGCCGCCAACACCCACCACCCACCCTAGGGCAACGCACGGTCCCTCCCTCGGGTAGCCGGCCCCCCATGTGTCACACACGCGCTGCAACCCGGCAAAGGCCCCACAACGAAATCAGCAGCGCCCACACGATCTAGGGCAGCAAGCAAGAACGAACGAAAAACTTGTGGCCTTCGCCGGCCACGCAAGCGGGCGGACGAAATTCGCACGCGCGCGCGGCAGCGCGCGAAGAATTTTTTTTTTCTGGTACAGGGAACAAGGCCGCGGGTCCGGATAAAATTCCGGGCCACATGCGCATCGTCTTTGCTTTCGCCGTGCCGCGCAAGCAGAGTCAGCACCGCCTCGCGCACGCCATGCTGCCCCATCTCCGCCGAGCAGCAAATCAGAGCAGGCCCCCCCGCACGCAGAGAAAATAAACGCACGGGGGAAATTGCGCCAGCTCGGTGCGCTTCCGCGTGCGCGGTGTGCGAAAGAGATCTTTCAGACCCTCCCCCGCTCCCCAAGGAGACGAGGCTAGGCTGCGTGCCTGGTACGCGCGAAAAATACCAGGCGCCCTCCAACCACACAAGCACGGACATCAAAGGCCGCTTGCGCAAAGCGGATTCTGCACGGGCTTGCCCCCCAAAGAAGGGGCCCCAGGCTGTGTCTGTGTGCGTTGCGCGCGACAACTTTTTTGTCGTCCCCTGCAGCAAGGAGGCCCCCGCGTGAGCAAAAAACGGGCCAAGAGAAACAAAGAGGGGACGGGCAGCCAGCGCGCGCAGCGCGCGAGAAAAATTTTAGGCTTTCCACATGAATGGGAGGGGCCGGGGGGGCCGCGGGCGCGTGCGTCGCACGGAGAAGAAGCAAGTTGCCCCACAAGGAAGGCGCCCGAATCGTGCCAAATGCGGAGAGTTGAGTTTGTCGAACCCCTTTCGCCCATTTCGAAACCCACACGACCTACGGTTCGGCTGCAAGAAATTTTCTCCGCGCGCGCAGCGCGCGCCGAGATTTTTTTTTCGGCCCTCCCTGGGTTCCGCTTTTTGCGGGCACCGGATCTGGCTTTGCGCCTTTCTTACCTCAACGAGGCATCGCCGCCCGCGTCGGTGCAAAAGCGCAAAACCAAACACAACGCAAAACCCACCACCGAGCCTATCTTCATTCCGAGCAAGGCTTCCGATAGCCAGCCCCTTGACTTCGGGATGCGGGACCGGGAGCAACGGCAGCCAGAATCCGCCATCCGCCCCCTTCTCGGAAGTGAGAAGGGGGCCGATGAGTCGCGCAGATTCTTGGTGTATCCGGCGGCCTGAAAAGTATCGTCGCAAGAAATCGACGAAACGCGCACCCGTGCGCCATTGCTTTCATACCTGGTTGGAAGCCCTTGCACAGGTGCGGGGGCGCAAAAACTACCCCAATTGATTCGCGCGCCCCCAACATAATCATACTGCCAGTCCGACTAACAAGTGCGGAGGTTGGAGCACGCTACAGAAAGTCTGAACGCTAGGGGCGAAATTTGTCCCGGTGTCTTTCTCCGCTGCCACTCCTCACGACAAAGAGCGGGACCAGTCCCCACGCCGCGCGAGCTGTTGCACGCTCGGACTTTTTTCCTTTGGCTGGACTTTTTTCCTTTGGCTGGACTTTTCTCCTTGGCAGGACTTTTCTCCTTAGCAGCTTTGACTTTTCTCCTTGCGTGATAATTTATTTTTTTTTTCTGGACCCCTATATAGGAGAGATAGGTTTTAATAAAATATCATTTTTTTGTACCTATGTCCTTTTATTTTACCTAGTACTGCTACTTCTTCTCGTTGTTCAGAGTGCTTTTCTTGCTGTCACACACAGTAAATTGAAGCTGCCATCAATGCTACGGTTTGATTGATCTGATGTTGCGCTCGAGAGGACACATTGAAACCATGCACGACAGAGAGCTTTACTCAATAGTACCAAACAACACCACGCGGAATGTGACGATGCAAAAACCGAACAAAATGGCGCCGAAGGCCAAATAGCTGCTGGATTCGCAACGTGTACGTGCACGTGGCGGGAAAAAATAAACACTAACGAAATCAATTTACAAAAAAAAGTTCTATCGACTGTTGCATAGTTGCCTTCGATGCGCATCGAAAAGCGCTTGCAGTAGAAGAGTAGCGTGCCTTGATGCGTCTTGAAGGCTGCAAAGTGGCCACCGTCCTTTGCAGTACCAGAGCGATCGTAAAATTGCGTGATATTATCGAAAAAGAGCTCGACGTCAAAAAAAAGTTCGCCTATCAAATCATGCTTGTCGATCATGTCAGCAATCAGAGAAGTAACACGCATCTTTATATGCAATATTTATCTTACAACTAGAGTACTCCGCAGCACGCCTACACCTCCTCCTTCGAAATTTTCGTACACTGCTGCTTTTCTGTTCTTGGAGAAGAACGGTAGTGATGGTTTCACGTTCCCAGACGAAAAAACTAAGAAATTGATTACACTATACACAAATGTGCAGGAGAGATAAGCTCGTCGTGCCAAATTGCAAAAACTACTTGCGTATGAACTTCGGGGCGATTCTCGCAGGACGCTCAGTTTGTTACATCTGAATGTACCGCACCGGCGAGGCGGACCGACGACACCCTCGCATCTTTGTCCTTCCCATAAAGACAAGTACTTCGTTCGCCGAAATCATGGCTCTAGAATTCTCAGGAGCTAAGCATCGAGAGACAGTGACCAAGCTCTCGCTTCAACACTGCAAGGTCTTGTGCGGTGCATTTTGCACTGCGCAGCACGGCACGGAACAAAGCTTGACGCTCCAAAGCCGAATCCAACTGCAGAGCCAATTGTAGGTTCTCCAATGCGTCTTCTAACTTGCCACCAAGGACAAGTTCCGGCACGTCCTCCTCTGTTGACCACTCTACTTCGCTGTTACTCAACAAACGCTGAACTGGTGCACTGTTTCCGCAGTGAAGTGGTGCGCCAGGGTTCTCGTCCCCGCCTTGCTTTTTTTTCCTGCGATTTTTACTGCTCAAGAGCGATTGTGGGACCCAGGTCGGACCAAGCCGCTTTTGCAGCCAGCGGGCGAGGCGCGACCGGCCCGTTTCCGTGCACAGAAAGCCCGAAATCATGTGCGCGGACCCCCAAGCATAAAACCTGGCGAAGTCCACTTCTTTTTCCTCCTTGGCGTTGCGATTTTTGCCTTCGCAACCCTCGCGGTCGCACTTCTTTTTATGGTCTTGGACATTTCGACAGACAGCAGTAGTAGAGACGGAATGCACCGAAGCAGGATCCAAGATGCTCCACATCGAATGCTCGGAAAGCATAGTGCAACTACTACTGTCCTCGTACACAAACACAGGCTCGAGTTTCCAGGTTGCTTTTTTCGCAGGAGCGGCTGAGCTGTGCGAAGTAGCTGCCTCTTCTTGTTCTAATCGCGGGAACAACCCGCAACACACGCTTTGCTCGTAGTGTTCCCAAGAACTGTCCCGATTATCCAGCGGGAGGTAATTATATGCTGGAGTTGCAAGTAGGAGGTTGTCGTCTTCCTCCGCATCATCTTCAACGGAGTCTTCGTCCGCATTAGTTCCCAGCGCCTCATCTGGCCTACCCGTCCCTGTCCTTTCTCCAGCTTTAAGACTCAGTTGCTGCCACCGCTCTGCTGTCGCAGCTGTCAAAGCCCGTATCTTCAATCTACTACCTTGATGCCGCAAGCGATCTTGCCGCGAGGCTACGGACGCTCCGGACAGGAACGGAAGGCAAACACAGGTCTGTAACAACAGCTGTGCGGACGACGATTGGGAGGTCGTGTGATGTTCATCTCGGTGATGTTCCTCCTTCTGCTCGTCAACATTTTCGCCATATAAATTCAGCATGCTGCTACTGCTGCTTTCCTTCGTCTTGGTACTGCTCTTTCCGCTAGCGAACCCTGCGGCTTCCGCTTTGTTTAGCGAGCCCCTTGTGTGGTCCGGATGATCCGCCGGAGGGGTGGTTCTGATAATCCAAGTCGGCGTCGCTTTATGCAGCATGGGCCGCAGCTGCAGGATGCAGTTCGCATAGGAGACGACGCACAGAACGAGCAACGCGACGCGGACAGTGCAGAGGTCGCTGGTGTTCCACACGTCGCGGACAGACGTGCGCGCCGAAGAGAAAAGCGGCACGGTTGTTTTCTTGGCAAGAAGTCGGGAACGGCGCACTCGCAGCGTGCTGTTCTTGTGGCTTGTTACAGCCTCCTGCTCTGCGATTGGGAAGATCAACGGCGACAAAGCAGATTCGCCCGGCATCACGGTGTTTGAACTACTGCTAGAAGTGGGAGAACGGTTGCCGATTTCGGTGTTGCTTGTGAGTTCTGTGGTCGCCTTGTGTTTCAAATTTTCTCGGGAGTCTCCATGATCTTCACGTGCTTTCTGGAGTTCTTTCTCGATTTCTTCCAGAAAATTCTCGATGTCTGCGTCACTGGCCTCGAGTGGAATGCGTCCCGTCGAAGGGTTTACGGAATGAAGAAGTGGAGATGTTGACGTTGAGTCGCGGGAGTTTGTTGCAGGGGTCCGACGCACCCTTCTCGTCGGAAGTGCCATCTCATCATCGCTATCTGCGAGCAAATAGCCGGGCCAGCCGCAGCTGCTCGAGCTTTTCCGCACGCCTTTTTGCATCTGCTCCTCGCAAACGAAAGACGGCAAAGACGCCTGTTTTTGTTCTCTGCCTTCGCCCCGCTCGTGTACAGAAGGATAGGGTTGATTCTGGAGCACAGGTGAGGAGATTGGAGGGAAATATTCGCTCTTTTCGCCATCAGGATCTGCTGCCAAGAACTCATCGAAACCAAAGGTTCGCTTCTCATCGGATAAAAAAGCCGGTGTGTCGACCGCTTGCAGTCGACTTTTATTTCGTCGGTCAAATTCCCGACAAATTTGGCTGGCTTTGCCTTGTGCCAGAAGTGTGTCACCTTTCGGCGTTCCGGTTTTCTGCCCTTCGCTTTCTCCAGCAGCAGTTATTCGAGCTGCTGTTGCGGGAACGCCTGCGAGCCCGACAAAAACGGCCAGGCAGAGGAAGTCGCATGGTCGACAGAAGAGGACTCTACCCATTGCGGTCCTCCAATAATTCCTGTTGCGAGGAACAACTGGATTGATGCAATGCGTTGAGAAGCTTTATGGTTATTTCCGTAACTCTAACTTACTTACTGCCGTTTAATACCGTGGGAGGCTTCGAAGATGTAAACAGTACGACGCAAAAGGTGTGAGCGGCAGTGTATGTGAAAAATGTCGTTGAACTGAAAAATGATGTGTGCTGCTGAAGGCAATGAAAAAAACGCACCGCATCGCTGCGAGGCAAAATGACAAAGAAGGCGAGCAGCACTTCAAAAAAACAAAGAGGCAAAACACTCTTCAATGTTGCAGTGAGCTGCCAGCCATGACCCGATCAATCATAAGTGAAGGATCGAGTTTGGGAGCCAGCTGATCTCTTTCTCTTCTTGCTTGTGAATCACACAAGCAGCACCAATGCAATCCGACACTGACTGAAGATCAGGAGGGTAAACAGATGGTCACGATCAACGTCATGATACGCATCGAGAAGTAGAGCGAATCTAACGAGCACAAATGCGTTTGAACATCTTCACCCGTCCAAGAAGCCCTGCCTTTGTACAGACCATTTTGGCTTTTCTTCTTCAGTGCCCAAACTAGTTTTCTTCAGTGCTCAAAACAACTTGCTTCAGTCCGTGCGACTCCTCCCTTCGTGATTTTTTTTTGTACAGTATCTTCACATCCATCTGTTTAGTTTCTGCCTATTACTTGCCTTGGGGGGTAGTACACGTAAGTACATTTGTTCATTTTTCTTTTGATAAGAGTAGGTAGATCGACACATCATGGTTCTCTCTTGGTTGTCTGTTCGTTCATTTGATACCTTAGACAGGTTCGTTTTATTTGTTGGCGTAGTAGATTCAATACTTTCTTCATAGGACACTAACGCTATACCTAGCATCTCAAGACGAGAGGAAAGAATATAGCAACGAGTATCGATAGGCGTTCCGCGTCAAGAGTTCTCAAGTCGTTGAATCTCTGGTCGCTGCTGTTGATTCGTAGCATACCGTATCAGCGAAAGGCGGTGTCAGAAGTGTAAGGAAACTCGAAACATTTAAATCAAGAAGCTCTGTTCGTCACAGGTTTTGTAAAATGGCGTGCCTCACCATCGCCATTCATTCGGACAGAAATCATACATTGGACGCAAGACCAACCCCAAGCGCCCCCGCCCTCACTCAATAACTACAGTTCTTGTTTCTGCGAAGAAGTAGCCCCCTCTTTGCCGTGTCCATCCCTGCGAAACTGGTAAAACTTGGTGGGGTCCTTTTCCTGCTGCAAGCCGGTTCGCATCCACTGCGTCACGGTGGTCTTCACGCCCTCCAGTACCGGGCACGCAGCATGCCTCGTGTTGCGTCCCGGGTCCGGGTTGTACTTGAAGAACATGACACTGCCCTTCTTCTTCGGCGTGAATTTCAGGTGGTCGTTCACAAACACGGTCGCCCCGCCCCGTTTCGGGATGTCGCAGTACAACAGCGCGGTGGTGACGCGACGGATGGGGGCCAGCTGGAAAGGGCGGTTGTCTGCATCGGTCTTGTTCGTCACATCGTTGCAGTGCTCCTCGTCGCAGTGCGGCTTGTACTCGTAGCCGACGGGGTTATGGCGTTCTCAACTGTTACATTCTGAACTGCTGCATGAGTTTGTCATGGTGCAAAATTGCAATACATTCTCTACAGGATCAAGCTGCTTCGCCTGGCAGGTTCTCGACGCACTAGATTGGTAGCATGAAAATCAAAGTCTGCGCCAAACTTGTAAAGCAAAAGGCGCAATCTTCCGCCTTGCACAGCACTTTTATTGCCATTCTTGCATTACAAAGAAATCTATGTAGCAGCTAAGAATGCAACGTTTGAGAACTCCGTAGGGGTAGTTGAGGTACTGCAACGGCTCCTGGCCCGGGGACCACAGGTCGCCCTGCCCGGTCAGCCTCCGCGCGGCCTCGAACAAACGCTCGCGCACTATCAGAAGGAAAAATCCCCCCACCCCATATCAAGACGAGACTTCTGATTCTCGATTTGGGTACACAAATCAGCCCTGTCTTGCAGTGAGGCACTACAGGGGGCAAAGCCTCAGCCTGCGTAGGGGTGTTTTGTTGTAGGCACTTAGCATGATAGAGGCCCGCCATGTTCATGTACGTGAAACAGCATTACAAATCGCCTCCATAAGGCGGCGAATTCTTTGCATTTGCCTTCTTGCAAGAGAGGCAGGATTTGTGGTCACAAATAAGCATCACAAATTTTTAGGAACATACATTTTCAATATGGGGAGGGGGGATTTTTCCGCACGGTACGCACGGAGACGAAGGTCGCGTCCGTGGGATGGCTTTGGTACGACGTGTATCAAGTGTAAAAATGTCTGGGTCTGGAAGGATGTAACTTGTGATGCGCATTTCAGAACACACAAAATTCTCTGATGCATAGGCAGCAAAAGCTGCTCACTTTCTGTCACCAAAGTGGGGGATTTGTCATGCGGATTCGGCATTGCGGAAGCTTCTCGAAACCTGTGATGCTAGAGCTTCCATGCAAGACCTTCCGTGTCATGCAGAAACAGCAGGACTCTTCCAGACCCAGACATTTTTACATTTGATAAAGTGTAGTTCCTGTTTTCTTTAGTACTACTGTTGCTCAAACCCGACCCCTGCATCAGGCAGTGTGATTGTTCTTTCATAGAGGCGCCGAGGCACATCTGACTCGCCAAAGTCCGCCGGCTTTTGTCCAGGGTGTGCCTCGTCGCGCCGGTACCCTTCATCACCACCGCTGGCTTCAGGGGACCGCCGATCAACGCGTGCTCCCGCAGCGTCTGGCACTCTGCCTCGCTCACCAAGTCCTCCACAACAACCACGGACGCGGGGCCCTCGCGAAGGACGCGCACAGTCAGCTCACCCTGTTTCATGTTGGACTTGGCCCACAGAGTCGCAAGGTCGTCCTCGGCGGCGGGCTGGCTCTGCTCCGGATAGACGCGGTCGAACCACGCCGATTCTCCGCTCAACTTCAGGGAAAAGCTCCGCACGAACTCGGAGTCGGGGGTTTGCGTGCACAGGTGAAAATAGGGGTTCAGCGCCCACATTTGGAACCACCAACGCCAGGAGAACCGCGGGGGCATGATGTAGTTCGGCCGCCCCGGAATCGTCGCACTTTTTACTAAACACCGGTTAAACACGTTCGGCTGCATCTCGCCCCGCGCGAGAGCCTTTCTCGAATGGAACAATCGGTGCTCCGCCCACAACAGGTCGCGCGGGCTTGCTTCGCGAGCCAAAACGAAAGAACTATTTTTGGGAAGAGATGCAGTTTGAATTTCTTCCGTCTTGTTCTCAACGGTCGCATCGTCTGCTGCTTCGTCCCCGGAGGTCGAGGTTGTGTTGATCACAGAGGATGTATTTACTTCGTTCTATCCAAGCAAAAAAAGTGTGTGTTACAGTTACACAAATATAGCAGACTCAGCAACACAGATTTGGTCTGCAGGGTAATGCAGAGATCCGAAGGGAAGACATGCATGAAACGAGATTCCTACGCTTTTGGGGCATAGGAGAGAGGTCGCCTTTCTTGCTTGCCTCGCATCAACTACACAATGTGTAAAAACTGTGACAGCTCTTTTTTCTCTGCATACCGTCACTTGGTCGTCCAGCCGAGTCACCGGGACGGAGATGTTGGACCTGCGTAACGCTTCCGACGCCCGCATCGTGCAGTTGCCTCGTAAAGCGGAGTCCGCCAGGTGGACCTTCACGTCGTCGGCGTCGTAGGTGTGAAATTCCCGGGCGGTCTCGAAGATGACCACCAGCAACATTTCGCCCGGGTACACAAACGACAGCGGTTTCAACTCGAAGGGCAGTTCTTTGGCAAGCCTGGGACTCAGCAACGGCCTCAACACCATCTCTTTCCCGGCGTACCCCGCCGCCGACGCCGAAAAGCGGAGCATTATCCTGAGTAAAAACGTCCCCACGCCAGAATTGTAATGCAGATTTGCAAAGACAGGAAGACTTGTAATGCGCATCCCCATGAGAGCCATTTCCAATCATGTTTTGGAATTTGTGATGCTGTGAACAGGATGAGCAGATGAATCTGTGACGCGGCTGCACTTGCTAACCTGCACTACACTGCGGAGTGCAACTTGTCATGCGTGACTCCCAAAACTCGTAGGTTTGTGTTGCAAAATCCCCATCCTGACTCTGGTGTAGGGACGTTTTTACTCAGGATAAGCATCCCGATTCGTTCACTGCGGTGCATGGAAGAAGCTTTCGTAAAATTCGTCTCTGCCGGGACAACGTACTTCAATAACCCGTCTTTCAGGCCCAGTTCGAAGGGCACCGGACTCAAGTTCCACACAACCAGGTCGTCGCTCGGGGCGCCGTCGGACGTTCCCTCGCCTGGCTCCATGTTGAAAAAGTCCGTCGACCGGTTCGCGGAAAACCGCCAGCCCAGATGGCGCACGATTTCCTGTAGCCGGTGCTCGGGCACCGCGTCCATCCACGATGGCAATGCGAAAGGAACATCTTGATTTGCTGCTTCTGCCTCGTCCAGCTTCTGCTTCCACAGCGGTATGGGGATTTCGTCCTTCATCACCGCTGAGATCAAAGATTTTGTATTTTTCCCCAGCGCTGGTACGGGAATAATTTCGTCCTTCTTCGCTGGGGAGGGTATGACTGATTCCCCGTTGCTTTCGTTTGCTCCCCCGTTTCTTGCTGTTTTTGCCCACGCAGATAAAAAATCGCTTGACGGTGGAGGTCTGGCCGTCTTGTTCTCGGTGGAAATGAAATCATCACTCTTACCGGTTCCATTTCCTGCGCCTGCCCCAGTTGGTGAGGACCCCGAGTTCTTGTTTGATGTTGACGATCGCCTTTGTACTTCGCCATCTTCTGCTTGTTGTGCTTCTTCGTCGTGGTCCTCGCATTTCTTTTCCGCTTCTGCTGCAGTTTGGTTTTTCTTGGAGCTGTTCTGGAGTTCCTTCCTGAGGATGTTCATCACGTGCGAAATAGAGTTTTTCTTGCCGGCGTTAACAGATGGGTAAATGTATGGCGGATTAATTTCATTCTTATCCTGCTCTACTTCATCACTTCCGGCCTCGTCCTTCGCAGAAGTTTCGTTTCCCGGGGCGAAATCGTGGACCGAGGTCAGACGTGCGTGTGTCATGTACACGTCGCGAGACATGTCGGCGAGCGTCATGACCCGTGCGACGCCGTTTTCCAGGATTTCGAGAAGAAAATGGCTGCTGTTGCGCCGCGAAAAGGGAAACATCTGCAACAAATTTTCCTGTTGTTCTTGACCCGGCGTTGACGCAGGAGGTGTCATTGGTTCGAGAACGGTTCCTGTCGCCAGTGGAAAAGGAGAAGGTCTTGTCGCATTTAGTACCTGCGACAGGATCGTCCCTTGCCCTTCTTCTTTTTCTGAGACAGGATCTCCACTTTCACTCGTCGATGAATAAAGTGCTCCTGCAGCAGAAGAATTGATTTGCGTTGTGTCGTTCTGGACGATGCTTCTCATTCGCGCGTTTTCTTTTCCAGTGCGTTCTTTCGGCACCAGCAAACGCATAACCTCGTTCGGCTTAATCTGCTGCGTCTCGCGAAAAATCGCACTTCTCCCAACGGCAGCCGGAATCACGCGTGTTTCCCAGGTCCAAGAAGACTTCTCGGCAGTCTTCTTCTGCTTCTCATTTTCCTCTGCCTTCTTCTCAACAACCGAGGTCCTCGACGGCGTGGGAACTAAGCGCTGGATTGCGACGCTGGTAGGTGATTTGTTGACCACCCACATCGGCAAAGTTTCTTGCTTCGGAGTTGTTGGGAGACGCTTTTTCAATTCTTCCAGCAGGCGCCTCTGCATGTCCATGTTCCTTTGCGGGGGCATCGGCGAGGAGACCGACTCTTCCATCTTTCCCGGAGGACTTGGGTCGCTGCTCGCGGCACCAGACGTCTCGGCAACGGCTGAGGCTGTGCCTGGCAGTAAAGCTGCCAGCAGCAACACATATGAACGCGGACGCATGGTCGCTTCGAATCGACAATTTGTGATTCTGCTCGTTCGGGTAACTTCGACGGTAAATGCGACTATCGGAGATGTCGTACTATTAGCATTAGCAGGTTTTTCCGATTCTCTGTCTCAAAACGTAAGACGACTATAATGGATTGCTCTAATTTTCGTGTGAGAACAGCAGAGAAACAACGAAGAAGTGCAAAACAAATGAAGTCGAAAAATTGATGGCGACAAAGTGGCGGCGAAGAACGAAACTGTAGTCACTCAATCTACTAAATACCGTCTTGCGATGCGAAACGATTAAGATACGGGCAAGAAACGAGGCGTCGATTCTCGATTACAGAGCCGTAACATTGCTCAGGAAAATAATGTGCGTACGTAGGCGATTTTTTTCCCGTTGCACCACGACGATTGCGCCGACGAAAACAATGACAATTTTGATTCAGCCACTTGGTACACTACCTAATATGGTGGAACACGACCTGTGAAAGATGTCGCCACGTTGAGGAGCCCTATGCTCCTTGTCCTTGATGTCTTTCTTTGTTTTTCTTTTCATAATTATTGTTCTGTGTCGCTTAAGGGACTTGTCGCTTGATTTGGTTCGCTACTGCTGGAACGCTTCCAGCAAATCTGTTCGTTTCCGCGAAAGAAGCACGGCGATTCTTGATAATCGTATGTGTTACTGTACTTTTGCGCGTCGGCAGGGAGAGGGTCAGGGAAATTGAGTGTCGTCACTCATGAGTACAAAGGTTACCAACAGTGAAAGTGGGACGACCACTTCGCATCCCCACAAAAATTTTCGACACACTACACTAGAATGGTTCAATTCCTGTCGCCTCCTCCACGTGCTTCCGCAAGGTGTTGAGCGGAATCTGTATCCTGTCTGCGATCGCGGTTTGCAGCGGTAGGGACAGAAACAAAAACAGGTTCAGCAGCGCGCCGTCCTCCAAATTCTTCCGGTAGTGGCCTTGGAAGTAAGCCGGGCATCGCTTCAGAAACGGGTTACAACCGGCGGAAAAGGGAAGTTTTTGGACCAACACGGAGCATAACGTGTTGAGAATGCGAAACTTCGAGTCGGTGAGGCTGTAGAGCGCCGTCATGCTCCCATCGTGCCCGCCGAAAAACACGCCGCCAAACCGCCGGCCGCGCACCGTCTTCTCCAGTCGCTCGATCGCCCGACAGGTGGTCCCGAGGTAAAAACTGGCGCTGGTCCTGAGAACGCGATCGCCCTCCTTGCCGTCCACCAAATTGGGAAAGTACTGGAAGAGGTGAAGGTTGCCAGCCAGGTCAGCCGCGACCAAGCCGAGCGTGCTCTGGTCCAGGATGAAGTTGGTCGCAAGCACCGGGACCTGGCTCCCGTTATTCTCTCCGCCGAGCTGTCGTTCCTTGTTAATCAGGGAAACAATGCTGTTGCCCGAGCAAGCAGACCGAGCCAACCTGCAGTTTTTGGTGGAGAGTTATTTGCTTTTGCTTTCCACGAACGCATAGTGAACAAACCTAATCTTCAGCTTCGTTCGGCGGGGGGATCAGAAATAGGCCCAGCAGGGCGTATCCTTCAATATGACACAGCCAGTGGGAAAAAAGCACTTCAAGATGAATGATACAAATCTTTTATACCTCTCGAGCTTCCGCACCGGTTTCATACCGGCGCCGGGCTCCTCAAACCAGCGCAGCAAGTCGACTCCGTTGTGCAGATCACCGAGAAGGATGTACTTGTTCTTCACAATGGTCAGGCTTGTGATGCAGAACCCGCTATCGTGGAAAGCGACCAATTGCAGCGAGCCCGCATCTCGGTCCCACCTAATCAAATCGTTTAATTTTTTGATGACAAAACAACCCTGCATGAAGACAATTCGTAAGGAGGCACAGTCTTCCTGCACCACCAACATGCCAAAACGTCGACCTAGTCAACAAGGACAGTACTAACACGTACCTATGTAAGCAGAATCGGTGCCCGCAGGAGTACGCCAGCAAGTCCTTTCCGCATGGCTGCATGCAGAGAATGGGTCCCTTTACGCGTTTGGAAAAGATCGGCTCTGAACTTTCCGCAGCGGCTAGCTTTATACTCACATCGGCCGACGGGGAGCCATCACCGGTCGCTTCGCCTTGCTCTCCCTGATTGAAGGTTTTTGATCACGATGTAGGTTTGGAGATTGAGTTCGAAATTGATATTACTTTTCCTTTTGCATTTGCTTTTTCTTTCTGAAGTCGTCGCGCATTCCTTTTTGTTTTTGCTTGGAGAACCAAAAAGCACCTCCTTACCTTTGCTTTCCCGGTGCCTCTATTTGGATCTTTGGCCCGGAAGAGCAGCACGCGGCCACGACAAATCGCGTCCTCCCCCAGGTTGATCGACGTGCCGACGCAGAGCACGCTTTCGTTGCTTCCGAGCCCGGAAAACTGACACCAATCCATGCAGACGACGGCTTCGTTGTCCGCTAAGGCGTAGGAAAAATTCAGCGGCAGAATACTGGGATTCGTCAGCTCCGAGGGGTCTTGGACAAAGCAGACCTGGGAAATGTTTTTGTGTGCATCAAGAATTTTCAACAAACATTCGATCATCATGAAAACACTTGTAACTGCTCGCAGGAGCACGCCAGCGACTGCAAAGACAGTTCCTTTAATACCTGCACCTCATACCGCTGGACGCGTCGGGACACAGAGCGCTTCTCTTCTTTCACGACAGTCGTTGTGACGACCTGCGATTCTTCCTCGTCGTCCTCCTCTGGCTCCTCCTTGACCTCCGGCTGTTGCTCCGTCGTGGCCGCCGCCGCTTCTCCTGCCGCACCCTCGACCGGTAGTTCGGGTTCGATCTCTGGCAGCGCGGCGTTTAGCGTGGCGTCCTCTTCGACCAAGTGGTGGACGCTGTCTAACGCGCGTTGTTCGATAATCGTTTCCGTGGTCGCGATGGCGCACAACCGGGAGACCGGGTCGACCTTGGTCAGAACCGGGGTCTTCTCCAGCGTGAACATCGTTCGTAGCACCGGCGCGTAGAGATCGACGTGTCCGCTTAACGTGTGAATCTCGCCTTCATACACGTCCATGGAGGAGAATTCCCCCTCACCGAAGGAAAAGTCCCCGCCGTCCACGGGAGCTTTCGGAACTTTCACCTGCTTTTTCGCCAGACCAAACAGGCAGAGTTGCGCGGGCTGGTCTGCTTTGGAGGCGGCTTTGCTGTTCTCTCGGTTGTTCCCTGCGGTGTCACCGGCTATCGCATCACTGTCCTCTTCGTTCATTTCCTCTTCCTCGTCGTCAATGAAAAGTGCGGAACTGTGGAACGGCTGGACATTTAGCAGCTCCTTCCTTCCTGGGTGGAGATACGTCCGATTTCCCTCCGAGAAGATAAACAGCGGTCCGTTCTGCCGTGTGCACCACCGATCGACACAAACGCCGTTGCCCACGCCGATGGGAAAGATTCGGAGCCGGGGCTTGTGCGTTTTTCGCACTTGGTACGTAAACCTGATATTTTTTCATGTAGACACGATATCGTGGTCTCATCATCTGAATACGCATGCTCGTCCAGCAAGAGCCTATGATGTTGTGTCATATTAACTTCTGCTGCTCAACATTTTAGCTCTAAGTGCCCAGAGCGAAAACTGAAGTGCTTCGCACGACTTAAGTAGCCTGAGTGCAACATCGCAAGAACTACGTGCTCGGCGCAACTTAGCTATCCCAGTCTCAGTTGCGCGCACGAGGTGAGCTCAGTTGCGCACGACTTTGTGTGTTCGAGGTGGTGGTGGCCCTGGTCGCACCATATAATCGGTCTTTACAAAACTGTCGTGAGCACTAGATAAAGAAGAGCAAAAACTGTACTTGTGCGTGACTAGTCGGAAGTTGTAGGGAAACGCTTCGGTTTGGTCCGGGGTGTTCCGAAAAGCGCGGTACACCAAGACTGGACGGCCCTCTTGCAACAACACCAGGGTCGGCCCCGCGTCGCCGGTCGCGAGGCTCATGTCGACCAATGCGACGGCAAGCATTTCAGGCGTCGCGTACTCGGTGTCCGCAAAGTCATTCCCATCCGTCGCGGGGGTGGCCACGCACCGCGCCCGATCCTTTTTGGAACTTACCGCGCTCGTGGTCCCCGAGAGGATGGATCGGAGCAGGCAAACGCCCTGATCGATGTTCGGAACCGAAAAGACCTCGAGGAGTTCGGCCTGGTTTTTCGGCGTATTCATCAGCTGAAAAATCTTCAAAAACCGTTTCCGCTTCGGTCCCCGCTGCTGGTGTTGTTCCTGTTCGGTCGCAGTGCTCACTTTCTCCGTGACGGCGACCAAGAAATCGTCGTTGTAAAAGTTCGCTGTCAAGATGTCTCCGTGCTCCGCAGCGTCGTAGGTGAGATTGTGAATCACGCCGCCCCGGGACACCGGGTCAAAATCCAGTTCCAGCAAGTGCATCCTTTTCGTACCGTGCTCCAAAACGACCAAATGCTTTCCACTGCCGCTCGCAAACACCTGCGCGTCCGCGAACCTGCGGCTTGCGTCCTCCGGATTCAATATTGCGGCGTTTTCGTACTCCGGATCCGTACCAAACACGTCACTGGCCGGCATGGAAACCAAAGGCTCCAGCGCGACCGGGTCTACGACGAACAAGTCGCCGCTCTGCAGCATCACCCAGTACGCCCCGTATTTGAGAATCCCGCCGCAAAACAGCAGCTGCTTCTCGCAGAGGAAGGAGTTGGGTAACTCGCGGATGGTCACGGTTCCGCCCTCTTCCTGGGCGGCCACGTCCAAGACCAAGTTCTTCGTTGATTCTGTCGACACAACAAGGTACTTCGTCTCTTTTGTTGAGAAGGAGGTTTTATTGTTTTGCTCAGTAGCAGAATCACCATTCTTTGGTGTCGCGTGGTCCTTCTTTCTCCTTTTCGTCGCTGGTTGCTGGTGCGCCGCCGGATGTTGAGCAGAAAAGCTGGAATCAACATTTTGCTCCACAAAAAGTGGTAGCGTCCAGCTATCGGACAACACATCAGGCGGAAGTTGAAACGACACCCGGGCCTCGGTTGGCACCTCGGCGTGGACGCAGTTCAAGTGGCTGTGCTGTTCCCCAAATCCGGTCACCGCGACGAAGCCAGGCGTCCAATTTGCCCCGGTGCCCCGCTGGTCGTTCAAGTTGACCCCGATCGTACTGACCGACCGTAACCGGCCGAGGTTCCTGGTATCCGTTTTGCGCATCTTGAACACAAACGCATCCGTGGTGCGTTTCTTTTTCTTCTTTGCCACGACCTGCTTCTGGCTCTGCTCCTTCTCCATGTCGGTTGCCAGATCTTTCAACATCCGCAGATGCTGCTGTGGGTCCCAGGCATCCGGCTGATCCACGTAATCGCGGTTGTCGACCTTCGTCAGATATTCCAGCTCCTCCTCCGGCTTCAGCTGCAGACCGGTAGGCTTGCTGTTCATCGGCAGTAACTCGTCAGGATCCACCTCCGCACTGCTCGTACTCACGTTCGGCTCCATCTCGACCAAGATCTGCGACCCGGAAGCGCTACTGGTCAGGTGTAAAAATTTCCCGCCGAAAAAGCACAAGGAGTCGAGCGCGTGGCCAAGCAGCGGGTCGGAGGCGGGGCCGAAAATCGTGATTTGTCGCCACACAAAGGTGCAGACCGAGGACGCGGAGAGGTGGTGTCGCTGTTTGTTCAGCAGTTTCGGCTGGGGGGACTGCTGCGGGCTGGGCATGCGCGGGGTGCGCTGCTGCAGGCTGGACATGGTTTGCTCCACGATGTCGCAGATGTAGAGCGCGCCATCTTGCAGCGTGGGGTGGGTCAACAGGACGAAGCTGTCGTGCTCCGGCACTTGGGCGACGGAACAGTCCGTCATGTCGAGGTTCAGGGCGCAGTTCTCCTCGACCACGTTGTACGGGAAGAGGTCTGGGTCGTCCACGAGCAGCCCGTTCTGGTGCGTGATTTGCGCGGCCACGTGGTCCTCGTCCAGCTTGTAGTTGCCCGCGAAGGCGAGCGCGTAGGAGGACAGGATGCAGACGCCGGACGGGAGCGGGAGGAGTCTGCTCGCGTTGAAAAAAAAACCGGCGCCCTTGGACAGAATCGCGAGCTCTTCCGTTCGGAGAAACAGCGAGACGACGAAGAGAACGGTGGAATTCCGACACTTTGCCATGTCCATGGCGGTGCCGGGCCCCGTGCGCCCCACGACCGCGAAACAGGGCCTTGTCAAACCCTGGCTGGGGAGGAAACAGACGTCGTCCGCTGTGTAGACGCGCAAACTTTTGCTGAAGTTCAACACAAACGCCTTCTCCTGGAAAAACGGCTGGCAGTCGAAGTATTCCGCTTCGTGGAGGTTTTGCTGCTCCTCCGCCTTTCCTTTGCCCTTGTTCGGGTCCGGCTTCGAGGGGGGAGCGCTCGCGACGAGCCGGCTCCTTCCTGTGAAGAAAGGTGGAGTGAGTAGAACTAGAAGTGGGAGTAGGTGCATAAACTGTATAAGTTCTCTGATGGAATAGCTGCAAGATCATGTCTCATCAGAAGATGCTTTACTCTAGAGATGTCGATATCCAGACAGAGAACGAATGATTTACGCATAAACATCAAACTTGAAATTCTACCTCCACCTAAGTTTGTCTATCAAAAGAACTGGAAGCTGCACCACGACAAATTATCACTTACCCCGCTTTCCCCTGCCTTTACTTGTTTGGCCGAACTTCGTAGGTTATCAAATGCAAATATGTCTGGGTCTGGAAGATCTTGAGGTGTGTCATGCTTGTCTGGCATGACCAAAAAGTTTGTGATGCGTGTCCAAGAAGAGACCCTTTTGCCTGTCATGCAAAAATGCAGTTTGTCATGCAAAAAACGCACCACAAAGAAGCGCAGATATTTCACATGCTTGCCTGTGCATTACAGAGCATTCACTATTCCCAACGCAGCATTACAAGTTTCCAGACCCAGACATTTTTGCGTTTGATATAGGTACGGGCACCGGGTCCTCGCTGATGTTGACAGCCAGTAGGGCGTCATCGAAAATTGTGAACACCACGCAATGCACCGAGTCCACCTGCACCATAAGACACCTCTCGTTCGGGTCTACGTGCACCTTTAAGCACAAAGCATCCCGCCGCAAGCTCGGTAACCCGCGGCTCAGGTGCAGAATGTGGGTGGACAACGTGCGGAAGGAGCTGAATTCCGGGGCAAATTGCAGCACCGAAAACCTCACATCCGTTGACGCCGACGCGGTGCGAAAAAACAGCACGAGGAGGTTCTCGTCGCCGAATTGGGAGTGTTTAAACGCGGTACTCGCGTACGCCGGGCGGTCGAACAGGGTAAGACTGGCATGCAATTATGGAAGCGTCAGGATCGAAATCGTCAAAATCGAAAAACTTGTGATGCATAAAATGTAGAGCACTGAAGGCCTGTATTGGGGAGCAGGCATATGAGGCCGATTGTAAGCCTGCTTAGGGGTATGCAATGTGCTGCCAGAGTAGCATGACAGGAGCAGTCTTCTTCCCCCAAACAGATTGACAAGCTGGATTTTGGTGCTCCCGAAATTTGTCATGCGCCACTTGAAAACTGAGGCTCCAACTGACAGCGATTTTGTGCATCACAAGTTTTTCGATTTTGTCAATTTCGATTCTGACACTCCCATAGCAATCTGGTGGAGGTTGTTGTAGACGAGGACAATTCGACATCGTCTTTATTGGCAGTGGAGGAGGAACTACTGCTGCTGGAGGTAGTACTTCTTTGGTTCGGCAGCGTTACCACCTCAATCAACTCCACGACGGTCCCGCGAATGACGATACTGCGGTCACTCCCGAAGGGGAGGCAGTAGTCGACACATCCCGGGTCGCTCAGCTGTTGCAGTACGCCACACGACATTTTGGATAAGCTTCAGGCTCAGGTTGCTAAAAATGGATTGCGATTGTTAACTACGAAAAATCCTGGCTTTCAGTTTCAACTTCAAAGGAATAGTGCCAGTGGTGAATAAACCGTAGAACCTTCTTGCCGTGGTCCTCGCTTTAAAATAAACCGGAGGCGTCAATACCATAGTGTATACTTCTTCTACGTGCTAGGTCCGAATCTTGTTTAACAAAGCTGTACTCTTGACTTGTACTTCGTAAAACTTTTGATAGTGATGAAGTTCCGATACTTCCTGTACTAGCGTTCAGGAACTTACTACACTGCGCGTCGCCGTCGCCTGCTTCAAAAAAAGAAGGTGTATTCCTCAAAAAGACAAACAGGTCTTGGAAAACGTCGGAACGCGAGACAAAGATCGGTAAAGTCTGATCGAAATCGGGATCATTAACCTTCAGTAGAAAACGGATCTGCGAGGCACTCGCTGCAGCAATCATGATCTCCGTCTGTAGCATGGCACCATCTTTGCCCGACGGCAGCGCTTAAATGATCTGCGCGCTACTAGCAAATGCAGTCCTAGAAAGAAACTTGTTGCAGCTCGCGCAACATCGTAAAACTAATATGATGAATAAGGCTTGCAAGTTGCTGTCAGTGACTTTGCCATTGCTTCAAAGCAACACGCCCACATTTTTATTTACAACTGATGAGTGCCTTCGGCCCAAAAGCAGGCGCGGGCCCCTCTATTTATACACAGTGTTCGCATCAACACACTCGTTCTCGATCAACAATCGCGTGGGCTACCCGGATGCGCCCCAACCAAAATCTAGAAGTAGAGACCTGCGCTCACTTCCGTGTATCTCCAAAGGCATCAAGCCTTGCATGCAGCCAGTAGTATCAGGCTTTTTGTCCAGTTGGGTAAATGCATTGACTTCGAACGAGAAACTTGCTCCCAGCCAGCAGGGCAAGCCGTATCCTGCTGGCTAGCCGTATCCTGCTGGCTAGATGCATTCTCGTGTATTCGCGAAGTCGAGCCCGAAACTTGCATCCCGTCCCCGTGTATTCGTGAGGCCAAAACTTGCATCCAGCCAGGGGAATAAGGGTCATCCTGCTGGCTAGATGCAAGAACCCTCAGTGTTTTCAAACTAGAACCCTGCATCCAGCCAGCAGGGTAAGCGGGATCCCGCTGGCTACATGCATTCCCGTGTATTCGCGAGGCCAAAACTTGCATCCAGCCAGGGGAATAAAGGCTTATCCTGCTGGCTAGATGCAACCCCAAGCATTTTCACACTAGGAACCTGCATCCAGCCAGCAGGGTAAGCCGCATCCTGCTCGCTAGATGCATTCCCGTGTATTCGCGAGGCCAAAACTTGCATCCAGCCAGGGGGATAAGCCTTATCCTGCTGGCTAGATGCAACCCAGATGCATGCAGCAATCATGATCTCCGTCAGTAGCATAGCAACGGCAAAGACTTTTTCCAAAAAACTTTTTTTTTTTGCTACATATGACTTCACGGCACTTTATAGGCATGCCAGCAGGTATGCGCAGAGTAGAATAGCAGAAAAGCTTCGGCACGGGTTAGGTGATAGGTTGCTGGTCCGAAGGCTGAAGAGCAGCCGTTCCGGCTGCAGACGCGGCCATGGGTTCGGTCTTTAACGCTTTGGCCTCAAGGTAAGTAGCACGCAATGCCCCCGCCGCGGCTTTGGGGTATCGAAATAGGACTCAGGATACGCCATCGCAACTATGGCGGGCTCGCTCAGGAGCGGCAGTTTCAAAAGAGCACGGCTACGAGACGTGGCCCGCCCTAGCTGTCGCGGTGCCCTACGAAAGAGAAAGAGAGGAGGCTCACGCCTTTGCTGTCTTTGATTCTATTCCCGGCCGCATTGTGGTGCTTTCCTTCGTGGCCGAATCCGAGTTATCATTTTCAAGGACGCAGCTCGCCAAAAATAGCAAACTTGCGGGAACGAAAAGGGGGGCCGGCCCCCCCCCTTGCGGGGGGGGGTTTGGGGGACCCCCCTTCGTGGAGATGCTAAGGGGGAGTAGCTTTCTGAGAAGGCCCAAAAGGAGGGGGGGTTTGGGGGACCCCTCGGGGGGCCCCAAAGAGGATTTCGGCTTGCGGCTCCACGAGGAGTTCTGTTACTTTCCTGGAAAAACCGCCGAGAGCGAAGAACCGCCTCCCGCGACCCAGCTCCCCAAGAGATTTGCGGCCGCGGCATCAATGTCGTCGGCAGTGCCGCGCACGGCTTGGAATTTTTCGAAAGCCGTGCGTGCCGTCTGTTTCGCCTGTTGGGGCGTGGGCCCTCCACTGGCTTCAACGCTGCAGAAATCATGATCTCCGTCAGTAGCATGGCACCATCTACTCTACGTCGCGTAATAAGCGGCCCTCAAATAAGGTCAGAGGTCACGAGGCAACATTTGACGCCCGGACGCTTGACGACAGAGCCTGACGCGCGTGACGTCGTATGGGCTAAGCACTAATCGAACCGAAACCATGCCGCGCGGAGCAAAAACAATTTGCCAGGCAGACTAGCCTCTGCCCGCACTGTAAAGACCCTTGCACGCTAACCCCAATGCCGGCGACACAAAAGCAACGGGGGGCTATCTGCCCTCTGCGTTTCTAAAAAGGGAGCTAGCGCGGTTCTTTCGCAAAAATTCCGAGGGCCTAACCGCCCTTTGCATTTTGTAAAGGAGATCTAGCCCGGTTCTGGGGCAAATATTTGGGGTAGCTAACCTCCCTTTGCATTTCAAAAAGGGAGGTTCGCCCGGTCCCTGGGCAAAAATTTCGAGTAGCTAACCTCCCTTTGCATTTCAAAAAGGAAGGCCAGCCCGGTCCCTGGGCAAAAATTTCGGGTAGCTAACCTTCCTTTGCATTTCAAAAAGGGGAGTTAGCCCTTGAGCAAAAATTTCAAAGGGCTAACCGCCCTTTTCATTTTCAAAAGGGCGGTTAGGAAAAATGAATTGGCGGTTTTTTGCTAGCCGCCCTTTTCAAAATGAAAAGGGCGGTTAGGGAAAAAAAGCGCGCGGCCACGCACTCAGTTCTTGCGCCTGGGCTGTGCAGTTGCCGCAGACGCGCTACGCCGATGATTAAGCGTATGCATCTTGTTACGCAGAAGCAACTTGCGCTGTTTGCTCTACGGAAATAAAGGGCGCACGCCTGTCGCACAAGGACGAGCAACAGACGCAGCGCACAAAGGTTCCGACTCGTTTTTCTTTTCTATTCCTCGTCGTCAGCTGCAGAAATCATGATCTCCGTCAGTAGCATGGCACCATCTACTATGCAGCGTATCTTCTCTTTGTTAACTCTGGCCGTGCCATCGTGTAATTGGATGTCGAACTGGATTCAAACTGAATTCAAAATGCAGCAACTTTCAAAAAAACAGAATTGGAAGAGGATGCCGAGACGCATCGGCTACGGCCTATCTTGCCACATCCAGAAGCACAGGGGCCGCGCCTCATTGCACAAGCAACTCCGAACCTACGCCCCCTCATTGTGGCCAAAGAGGCCACCCCGAGCACCCCGGCAAAGAAGTCCGGCGGCCGCGCGATATTCTGCACAGACTGAGAAAGCATAGCTCCGTATGGCTTGCTGGAGGCACAGGCGGCTCAAGAGGATAGAAAGCAAAAGCGTACTAGAACTGCAACGCCCTTAAAGACCTGCTCCGACTCCCATCCGCCAAGGACAAAGACGTCGAATGGGCGGATCCCTCGCGGCATTGGCTCCACACTCTTAGCGCCCGTATGCCTCACGGCCAAAGCCTTGAAATCTGAGCAGAGCCACTTGATTATGAGAGACGCCGGCCCCCGCCATCGGCGCTCCTCCATGAGGAATGCCTGCAACTGCGCGCGCCATAAGGGCCGGCGCGCGGGTGGCAAACATTCCAACAACATCAAAGCAAGGCCGCACGAAAAGGACCGGCAACACCTGTGGCAACCCCTCAACCCAACCAACCTACCGGCTGCAGTGCGTCCAGCAAAAAACACAGGTCACTACACCAACGACAATCCTCCAATACGGAATGATCAAAAGGAGCACTAAATGCTGGCCAGATAGTGGCGCGCGCGGCAGCGCGCGCCCAAAAATTCATACCCTTGCCCACAGTCTCCGATCGCAAGGCGGGCTCCCGGATTGCCCCTCCCAAACCGATCCAACTAATTTCGAATTGGATCCGATTTCCATCATTTTTTCATCCGAACCCATTTTCTTATTAGGAAAACGGAATTCGGATGGGATTCGGATGCAATTCGGATTCCGTTCGAAATTGGTGGAGCTGCTCCACGAAGCAACGGATTTGGTTTGAAATTGGAGAAGGGCGGATTTGGCAGCAATCATGATCTCCGTCAGTAGCATGGCACCATCTATGCAGCGTATCTTCTCTTTGCCCGACGGCAGCTTACATGATCTGCGCGCTACTAGCAAAAGCAAATGCAGTCCTAGAAAGAAACTTTTGTTGCTGCTCGCGCAACATCGTAGAACTAATATGATGAATAGGGCTTGGTGCAAGCTAATGTGAGTCACTTTGCTTCAAAGCAACACGCCCACATTTTTTACAATAGTCGCCCCAACTGATAAGTATGATAATCGTTCGCGATCGTCGTGCGAGGGTGAGCTAGACTAGATGCTGCCCGAAAATATCCCATGAATGATCGCACGGGTCCTAAGAACAGGAATAAAACACCTCGATATTACGGCTCAAACTTTTCTTGTTTGTCGCCGTTTGCCATTTTTTTGGGCGGCGCCGAAAGGAAAAGGAGGCGGGGATAAAGGCAGCTATGAACCACGACACTGCATGATCCTTCGTTGCGAAAAGATTGCAGTAGCTTCTCCGCCAAAGACATTTTTTTTGCTTTGCTTTGAGCAAATTCATAATTTGCTTGTTAACTCCACCCGTGTTTTGCTACTTCGTTTCCCCTCCATACTCGAACGACTCTCCGTCGAGCACGACGTACTTAAAAATTCCAGTAAACAGAACTGTGAAAATCAAGAGTGAAGTTTTAAATCCGCGGCCTGCACTCTTGTTTTCGGGACTGAGGCCCGCAGAAAAATATTGCACAGCAGGGCACGAAAATCCAAAGAATAGAACAAGCATGCCCCGACCACTGTAGCCTGAGCAGGCCGCGGCGTTTTGACATGTTTATATGCCAAGCGACCACAGCAAGGCGAGAAACGTTACTCCGACACGAGCTTTGGAGCTGTACAGTGTCGACGAGGCGGCGGCGCTCTTGTTTTCTGCAGTGGCCGCTGCGCTCCCAGAGGTGACCTTCGCTTCGGTCGTGACCGCGGCCGTGGTTGTCGTAGTAGAGGTGGTAGACGTAGCCAGAAACGTCAGCTGATCCGAAGTCAGCGATACGTTGTAAACTGCTATTTGCGCAATGTCGCCTTCCATAAAAAGCTCGCACCGGTTGTCAGTGGCAGGGTCGAGACACGCAACCGCGGAATGCTCCGTGGGGCAACAAGTCCCGGTGGCTCCGAAATCCCTGTTGCAGACCTTGGGCAACGCGCCGACAGTGAAGGCGCCATCGTCGCCGACTGGCGTGTTCGGAGCTTCGCTGCCGGTTATTTGCTGTGTACCGTTCACGTACACCGTGTTCCTGCCCGAACTGGGACTGTCATCGTAGCTGAAGGCAAACTGGTGCCAGACGTTCTCGGTTTCGGCTTTGACCTCCATTCCTGGATAAACGCAGGCGCGGGCCCCTCTATTTATACACTGTGTTCACATCAACACACTCGCTCTCGATCAACAATCGCGTGGGCTACACTAGCTGCTTCCCGGAGTAGATTGATTAAGTTCAAGCTCAGTAAAAATCCTACAGTGAACTGCCTTCATATTTCGGCGGCCTTTGTCTCACATTGTTTACCAAATCTTCAAAACGATTAAGAAGTACTTTTACTCAGTCCAACTGAGAGGACTCCTCTACTTCTAGCTTGAGGTTGCGTATTGAGCACGACTGACGAGTGAACCTAAGCCCTGCAGCACAACCACAAGCGTCATTAATTAAAGTACTCGTCGTGAGCAGCAGCTTTTGCTTTATTTATAGTCTGGCTGATATTGTCGTATACTGGATCCCCAAAAAAATGTGTTGACAACAGGCTCTGCGTAATTTCCTGAAATGAGTGAATCGTGAAACAAATGTTTCTGTGCCTCGGACAGCACATGCCATTGCTTGCTGGTGCGTATGTAAATTTTATGACCTTGCTGTGTCCGAGTTCTTACTTTTATTTGATTGACGCTGAAAAAAAATCTATGCAATCGTGGTCCTGCTCCTCTGCAGCTCGGAGAAGAGATCCTTGGCGTAAAAGTGCCTCGTGTCCGGGGAGAACCTGTGCCGTGTGAGCAAGAGAATGTTCCGCAGTATCAACTGCAAATATGTCTGGGTGGCCTGGAATTAGAATTTTTCCAAGCTCTACAAAGTATGTCTGCAGTGCGTGGCTTAGCATCAGAAGTTGTTCTGCAGCCCCTTGGTACTGCCTCTTCTACGTGAAAAATCTGACTTCAGGAGAATGGCCAGAAATACTTACGCATCTTTTGCAAGTCAGGCAAGACAGATTTTTGTGTGAGATCCCGCAACACGCATCGGGACAACGCGCTCTTTGCTGAAAGAACCCTGACATATTTTTTGCAATGCATACGCAGGCACTTCTATCCAAGAAAAAAGTCATGTAGGTGTCTTCGGGAAACAGCATGCATGCCGAAATGGTTCAGCATGGCAGAAAAATCCTGTCATCCACAGCCAGTACGTGGAAACACGTATAAAAAGAGGACACTCGGGCCGGCTGCGGCCAGCATGACAAGTGATAATTGCGTTACATATTTACGGCGCATTACAGACTTTACTTTCACAGTTTTTTCTTGCATAACTTCTTGCAGTTGCGCGCCTTCAACCGCGAGCACTCCGGGCAGTATCGAATGCGAATATATCTGGTCTGGAAGGATGCAGTTTGTCGTGGTAAATTTGGATCGTGCAAAAATGTGTGATGCGTGATCGCCGAAGCTTGTCAACTCTTGAACAAGTTTACAGGCAGTTTTTCACACAGGAGAAGCATGATAGAGGGCTCACGGAATCTGTCTTGCTAGGTCCTGTACACCTGACGTCGCGCTCGCGCGTCATGGAAAATCTGCTGCATGATAAGTCTTGCAATTATCTTTCAGACCGAAACATATTTGCGGTTGATATCCAGGCGGGCCACGCAATACCTCGGTCGAAGCAGTGGGCGTGCGCTACGTAGACCACAGTCGTGACTACGGTGGGAATTCCAATATGCATTGCAAGGGCCTGGAAGATAGAATGCAAACTTAACTACTTCTGATGCGGATTCTCACAGGAGGGGAAATAAAAAGTAAATCTGTGTTTTGTACACAGTTAGCAAAAGATGGGCGATCTTTGTCTTCTGATGCAGACTAGACATGCTCTGCAGAATTTGTCATGCTCTCGGCGCTTTGCAGACCTTCGCGCAAACGCAAAAACTGCATGGCAAGTGTCTAGCTTCCTGCCAGACCCAAACGTTTTTGAGTTTGATATCCAAATGCGTACAGCAATCGGCGCCACCTTTGTCGCGTTTGGTCGTCTCCGTACTTTTGAAGCACGTGGGGATCTCCGAAAGCCACCCGGAAGGCCTGCACCAAAAACTCGATACTCATCACGAAAACCAGAAAAATGTCCTCCGATTGCAAGTTGCTCTCGCGACGAATCATCCGCATCAATCGTGCCAAGGTCATCACGCAGGCCCGGACACGTCCGTCTGCGCTGGGACTCAGATCTGTTTGAATATGTTACATCAAGCGAAGCCTTTGGTGGAAACATTGGTTCATCCGCGATACTAGAGTATAACTGTACGCACGAAAAGCGGGAGGTAGTAAAGTAAAAGCACGAAGTGCGCATTTCGGAAATGCGAGCGTGCGAGAGAGAAAAGAAGAACTCGAAAACATTTAGGTTCGAGCCTAGTCCTGCCCAAGGACAACTACGAAGACACAAATTTATGAAAATGAACGGGAAGTGAAACGAAAGTAAACACAAGTCTTCTGTACGGAAAGGGTTCGGCTTCGTGGAAAACGCGATGCCGACTGCGGAGCACCACAAGGGCCAGGAGGTGATATGAAACATATTCCACTCCGTTATGAAGTGTTTGCTTGGAAAAGGCGTCCGAAGATATGGCTGCACCCACTCAGGTACCCCCGGCTTTCGACTGTCGTGGGATGAGAAAGAAGAAGTACCACTTTTTGAAAATGATCCAGCAACCTCGTGCAACTCTTCCCGTCGGAGCCCCGCCCGCAAGAGTATCAAAGTGAAAAAAGCCCCCACCCCCTATCGAAACGGAAGATCCGCGAATTTGTGATGCTGTATTTAAGGCGTGAGGCGTAACATGATCGCACTCGGAGGAGGTGGAACAGTCAGCAGCCCGAACTCATCGGTTTTGCCAGGTCCACAACACCCTGGGGGTGAAATACGGGGGTGGCTCCGCGTGGCAGCGATCTAGGATGCTGTATTTGAGTACACAAATCGACTTGTATTGCTAGAAGGCCAAGAGACGAAGCTGCGGCCTAACTTGCAGGTAATCCGTCATGGTGTTTCCCGCTTCGAGTTGCCTCCTGTCATCCTGGAGCTGCAAGGCTTTCCCACGCTACACAGAACTACAGTCCGCATCTTTTGCCCTCTAGCATCACAAAGCTGACTTGTGGCCACAAATCTGCATCACAGATTTCCGTTTTGATATGGGGAGGGGGCATTTTTCATTGTAATAACGAGCGGCATACTCCTACTGCGTTTGACATAGGGGACGGCATTGCCGTGGAGTAAGGTGGAAGAGAGCTTGTCCTTCATCTGTTCCAAAGCCGAACCTCCGGGCTTCCTCCCCCGCGGAGTACCGATGCCGCCGGGCTCGCCCCGAATCGCGTTCGCGGCAGCGGCTTTTTTTTGTTCCTGCTTGTTTTCGACATCTTCGTCCTGCGGCGAAGATTTTTTTCGCAGGCTGAGGAGGGACCCAGTCTCCGCGGGTTTCAGCTGCAAAGACGAAGATGCTATGAATGCATTTTCGTCCTGGAGGAGGGCCGGAAGGTCATACTCCATCATCGGCATGGAGGTTGTCGCAGAAAAATCGACACTCGCCGTCCCATATGGATTGCAAATATGTCTAGGTCTGGAAGGTTGGAACTTGTAATGCTAGCTTTTCATACCTAGGAAATCTGTATTGCACAACCACCAAAAGGCGCAGCCTCTTTTGTACATGCAAACACGCAGTCTCTCATGCGGATTGCCTATGAGAAAGCGTGCTGGAAAGTTGTCATGTTTTCATCTTGCATATTTTAGCATCGCAAGTTTCCAGACCCAGACATTTTTACAATTCATATCCCAAGTAGCGCACTGTCGTCGAGCGCTTCCGGAATCATGGCGGCGGAACCACTTCGATCCGGATCTGGCACGACCTTGCTGTAGTTGTTTGCCGTAGTTGCACTATTACCCACCCCGAACCATCGCTGCAGGAACGACCCGCGCTTCTTCTTACTGCTGGCTGTTGCTGGGCCAGGAGGATTCGAGGCGGTTGTACTCGTGCTCGAAGTAGCAGAAGGCGTGAAAAGAAGGGTTGCTGAAGTATTTGCGACCGGCATTTTTGACGCACTCCCTTGATCGTCCCCAGAAGTAGTCATTCCCGGCACCTCTGCGGACTGCTGGTCCGCAGCTGCACGTCGCGCATCTCCTCCTGCCACAGAAACGATTGGTTTATCTTTCACAGCAGGCAGCAACCTCGCCCCCGCGACCTTTGCCTTAGCCGCCGAGGCCGCGTTGCGCCACGCTTCCTTCGCGGCCGCGATTTTGGTATCCGAGGCGCGGATAAAAAACCGGTCCCAAGTCGCCTCCTCCAAACCCCCATCCGACGCACAGACGATGTACCGGCGGCACAAGAACCATTTCTGGTTCCAGTCCTCCACAAGCTGCTCAATACGAACGCCTTTCCGCTCCCGGACGTCACAGGCGGAACCCGCAAGCATGTTGCTATCGCAGTGGACCAAGAAATGCTCGCAGTGCAACACCAAACTATCGTTCTCGACCACGCGCTGCAGGGAGCACTGAGATATCGTTAAGTTTGGATTACGTATTTTTCGTTAATATCAGGTTGGCGATGAATATGACAAGCATCGACTGCCACCCAGCTGTAGTTGCGAAGCGATGATAAGGATCCGACAGCAACAACAGCGGCACGAAAGAAGAACAGTGAGCGATGTCGAAGATGTCGAAATGTGCATAAATATATATCATGAAAATCGCCTAAGTACTCGCTTATCCTTGCTCCACTTGGACCAGAAAAGCGTCCGCCCGCTGGTGCTGCTGTAAGCTGTGAGCCGACATGAACTGCAAACATGTTGTATCGGTCAACAAGAGGACTGAGCTTTTTCTTCTGTCCCGCGCGTTTTGCATGACCTATCATGTCTGTCCCTGTGGTGTAAGTATGCCTTATGCTGCTCGTGCAGTAGAGAACCGAAATGCAGCACCACAAGTTCCATCCTTCCAGACCACCCAGACAACATATTTGCAATGCATAGCCGGCGGTCGTGCATGCACACTCGCAGATCATCCAGGGTGATGGCTTGTTGATCGACAAAGGAGCTCTCGAGCACCATGGCCTTGGCATGGAAGCTCACTTTGCAAGTTTCGACTCCGCTGCTATTCTTCTTGAGCAACTTTTTATTCACGAGCGGCAGTAGCTGTCGCACCCGCGGCAAGCCCCGGTTGCTATACTCGACCCAAGTTCCGGCGAAGTCTGGGAGGTTCGGCGCCGGTGGCAAATTCCGGTGGCTGTGTGGCAGTTCCATGAGAAACCGCACGCTCTCCAACGAACGCCGCAAGGCCGCCGTGGTATTGTATCGCTCGGGGTTCTATGCATTGCCGATTGATATGTCTAGATCTGGAGGAAGGATGCAGCTTGCCGTGCAAAGTCTCGATGGCAGAAGCATCGCGACTCTGTGTTCCATGAACCACAACACTGCCCACTTCTTGCTTGGAATCAAGTACTAGCAGTAATAGGAACCATTTAACTCCTGGTGGCGGGTTGGCGTTAGAACAGCTCTACGTACTGGTCTCTGCCGATCTTACCGCTAACCCTCGGCGGATAACTTGATCCACTTTCTACAGGTACAACAGCTCCACGACAGCAGAAAAGTCGCTGCTCCTGCTTCTTTATTGCGCGAGAGGCGTCTACATCTTCGGGAAGGCCTCGGCAAAAAATCTGTGATGCTTTTGCTTTTCTGTGTATTCTAGACCATATGTGTGGTCCTGGTCCGCACGATGCATGCATCATAACAAACTCTTGCACTCTTCCAGCCCCCGACATATTTGCACTGGATATGTTCCATTCATCCCTCTCCGTGGGCACCCAAGGCGGCATATTTGCCAAGTTGGAAGGTCGCAATCCCGCCGACCCAAAAACGTCCAGTGTTGGAGTTTCGGGACCTCCGGCAGACCCCGGCGAAGTTGGGACTGCACTCGCATCTTTAGGCAATACTTTCGCTTGAGTAGATTGCGCGGAACGCCCTCCTGCATTCGACACACCGCCTGGCCCTGCGGCGCCACCCTGCACTGCGCTCCCCGTTGCTTCGTCCTCCGACGTGGTATTAGAGACTTCAGATTCGTTTGACCGCGAATGAGGTGTGCCCACCGCACTGTCACTGCTGTGGGTTTGACTACTTTCATCGAAATGACCGCGAGTATGGAAACTCGGTGAGCCAATTTTCGTCTTCTTTTGTGCCGCATATTGCACAGAAAAATTCCCCCGCCCCCGTGAAAAGGTCGTGTACTGCCACTGCTACAAGACAAAGCTGATTTGTGTACGGAATAAATCGTGCATCTTCACAGATTTCCATTGGAAAATGGGGATGTTGGGGGATTTTTCATCTTGGTACCGCAGAAAGAGACCACTTACGCCACGATCGTCGAAAGAAGGAGAACGTGTTTCGACGCGGACCCTCTCTCTGCTGTCTGTTCTTCCTTCGTCCCGGCGGCGACTGTATCGTAAAGAAAAATCTCCCCTCCCCATAGTGAAATCGCATCCGTCTGAAAATTTGTGATGCACATTTGTGACCTCAAATCTTGTTTGTCTTGCAAGAAGGCAAGTCCAGAGAGCCCCCTGCATTTTGCAGGCGGTTTGTGATGCTGTTGGGCTTAGAGCATACACGTTTGTCATGCTAGGCGCCTACGTCAAAACCTCTCGACCGAGGCTTGACATATGCCTGCAGTCCTCTACTGCAAGACAAATCTGATTTGTGTACTCAAATACAGCATCACAAATTTCGTTTTCGATATGGGGCGGGGGGATTTTTCCTTCTGATAGACTGGGCGCGGATCTCTTTTATCAGGGCGAGACCATCGACCAAGGATTTCCGAGCTTCCTTGTCGCGCAGTGCAGGCACCAGAGTTTGACGGGCGTGCAGGCGGAGCGCCTCGCTGTCGATTTCCTTGCGCATTTCAATCTTCACCGTGGAAGACGCCGCGCGGCCCCTGGAAGACGAGGTACCAAAAGGGCGAGACCCCTCGACACTATCGTGCAAAGTGTCCGAGCAGGCGAGTTTCGAATAGTCCGGTGTCGGGGTCGCCTCGTCGAGCCTCGCATCCGCAGCGCGACGGTACAGCCGGTAAGCCTGAGCCCCCGCTTCTTGTCCAGTTGAAATAAATGCCCCAACACCAGAAGACCGAACAACAGATTGCAATTGGGTTGCAGTAGACTTTATCTATTTCTATACCGAAAAAGAAGAAGAAAATGCTTGTATTGCATGAAGGAGGGCGACGCATTTTGTTTCAGCCAACTGCGCGGCTGATAGACAAGGCTTATACTGTGGCGCTGCGCAATACAGACTTTCGCTACTGAGCCTTGGACATTTGTCATGCTAATACATGCAGGAAGCTAAATGTTGCAATCGGTAATTTAGCAATACCAACGCTGCCACATAATTCTGGGGTGGGGGCACTTATCAATACGATACTTTTGGTCCGTCCACCACCTGGACCCACCGGCACAGCAGTGGCGACCCATTTTGTTCCAACGCCGCGTCCTCGTCGTCCAAAGGCATCAAAAAGTGAACGATATTGAGCGTGCGCCCGTTAAAGGCCGCGAGGCCGCGAAAGAAAGAGCACTTCCGGTCTATCCTAAGGAAAAATCCCCGCTCCCCATATCGAAACAGCACGCATCACAATAAAATTTGCAATGTCGATCTGTCGACACACATCGTCTCTGTCTTGCAAGAACGCATTACACACACCCCACTGGCCCAGTTGCATTTTGCCGGCAGTATGGTACGTGTAGTTGCTTTTGGGCGGCCTACAGTGTGAACATTTGTCACACTAGGCGCGCACGTCGCTAGAGCATCTGTCGCCGGCTTGGTAGAATATGCCTGCAGTCCTCTACTGCAAGACAAACTTGATCTGTGTGTACGCAGATTCAGCATTAGGAGATTCGTTTTAAAAAAATGGTTTTTTTTTGATACGGTCTCGTGTCCAGTATCCCCACCCGGACATCCGTCCCGGGCTGCACCGCGTATGCTGCCACTCCCAGTTGTTGCGGTTCACGAAGACACTGCTGGACGACTGCGGGCGGCCGTCGCGCGACTGGTTCCAAGACTCCATGGAGAGACAGTCGTATGCAAGAAAAAAACTGTGTAAGTAAGTGGAGATTTGTGTTGCAGAACATGCAACAGAGTCACGCCTGTCATGCCAGACAGCCATGAAGTCCTCTTTTCATGTGTGTTTTCCCTTACAAGCCACGCATCACCACAGGTTTTCTCTGTCATGTAGAGCAAATTTGTGATGCTTTTTTTTTTTTATATAGCGGCAGTTTGTTCTGGGAACTGGAACTGGAACTGGAGGCGCCCCCCGAGCGGAATACTTCTGGTGGTAGACGTGGCTCAAGGATTTGCGGCTTCGCGCCGCGACAACCAAATGGGGGTCTCTTCCCCCCCCTCCGCTTTTGGCTACCAAATATAGCCGCCGCGGCGGAGGTAGTGAGGTCGGTGGCGCTTTCTTGCCCCCACCTTGGCCGCGGGCCGGAACGGCGCCTGCTTTTTATGGGCCCTCCGTGCCGCCGTGGGTAAGGTTATGCCGCACGGTATGGCGGCCGGTTGAAAAACATAGCAGATTTTTGGCAAATTTCCGGAATTCCCTTAAGAAAGCTAGCCCCGACGCTATGGGCCCGATTCTGGCGCCACGGAGGGCGCCCAAAAACCAAAGAAAAATCGGGCCCATAGCATGCGGCTTGGCTTCGCGCGTCCGGCGCGCTTTTTCTTTTTTGCGTTTTTATTTTTCGCGCCGGCGCTTTTTGCAAAGCTTCTCCCGCTTAGAAACGGGCGAAAAGGCGGCCGCTTTCGCGGCCGCCCAAAATGCTCCGAAATCGCGGCCGTGTCATGGGGTTTCGCTGTTCTGATTTTGGGCGCGCTTTTTTCGCACGCCCTTTTGGGCGCCCCAAATCGCCAGAAACCAAGGCGGTGGGCGCCTCAAAAGGGCGCCCCTTTTGCCGGCGCCCCTGCGTCGTTTTATCAAGCGGCGACCGATAGTTTCCGCAGGCGATTCGTTGATAACAAAGCCAAACAGGCTTGCACGCTGCGAGCTTTTTCAGGCAAAAAAACTCTCTATAGGCTTCAAAACTGCCGGCCGTTTTTGGCGGTTCCTGTCAAGAAAGCTGCCAGGTTAGAACCGTTCGGTGACCTCACTACATACAACTAACCTTACGATGAATCTCATTCCTAGTTTTCATTTTGACCTTAATGCTGCCGCGGTGCTCACGTCGACCGATATGCAAACAGGTGCCGAGGCCTGTTTGCATGCAATCTAGTGAAGGTTTGTTGGGCGTTCCCGTCTGCCTTACCACGTCGCCCGGGCTTGCAGGGGTTGGGATTTTCCTGCCGGATGTTCATGGACATCTACGGGGCTAGTCATGATCCCGCTCCCTGTTGCGACCTGCTGTTTATTTGGTTGACAAAATCCGAGCAATGCAAGGCCTGTCGAAAAAAAAAAGAGAAAAGCCACGGTAGCTGAGCGCGGGGACACTCTGAGAATATGACTGAAGGGAAAGCCATTAGACTACGAGGGAAAATATGTAAAGCGCCAGATGATGAGAAAAGCGAAAAACTTACGTAGGGGCTCGCTAGCTAGTAAGGGTGAGAAGGGCTATCAATCGCAAGCAAAGCGACCTAGAGAGAAAACGCTTAAGATTCGACAGAAGCCAAAAGGATCAAAGATGGGAACAAAGTGAAAAAACAACAGAGAATCAGCGGCGCAGGCTAGGGAAAAAAAATGCTTAGCGGCCTCTCAGGAACAAGAAGAAAAACGTAACCAAAAAACCAGAAGAGATTCTTTCACTTAGGGGAAAAAAAAGAGGATAGGACTCAGCAAAAAACACGCTCAGCATGCTATTGGAAAAAAAAGAAGAACACTGAAATGCAAATTTGTGGTTTGTCATGCAAAAATGTTTTTTGAAGAACACTGAAATGCAAAAAAGAAGAACACTGAAATGCAAATTTGTGATGCTGTTTCTCAAAGAAAGTTACACTTACACACTATTTTTCCTGGATAAGTCGCCGTGCTGCGTCACAATCAGCGTCTCGCCGACCCGCTTGAACCACTTCATCATCTGCATCACAATGGCCGGCACGCCGAACGAGCGGAGGAAACAGTACATGTTGGTGTTCCCCACGTTCACCCAGGTTCCCTGCATGTCCGGCAGGTCTTCCGATCGCGACTTGGACAACAGGTGGTGCGGCACGCCCACCAGTTCAGGCTTCCCTCGGTCATACAGCCCGACACGCAGCTATGACGGTAGATAACTCCCCCTCGCCCTCATTCGGGTGGAGTGCGCAGCGAGAGAAGCTCAGGATCAGTATCAGATGCAGCTTTTGCATAACAAATTTCATTTGAGGGCAAATTTTATTCATTGCTCTTTCGGGAAGTGCCGCGAGGTGTATTTGCTATTCGGTACTTGTTTGGCATGACAACTGAGGGGGAGTTGTGCACTCTGATAACAATTTGGCGTGCAGCGGCGAGAAGCGCTCCGCGTTGTTAGCGGAGAGCATCTGCTCCTCTTCGGCGGAAAGTGGCACTTCGGGATTTTCAAACGCATCCCACATCCACGGGAGATTTTTTGGAATTTTCCCCGGATCTAATCGGACTTCTCTGGTCTCAACTGCAAACATGTCTGGGTCTGGCAAGATATCGACTCTATCGCGCAGGAACCTCGTCGTGTGAGTCACCTACAGTAAAAGCCGGTATGCACGGCATACTAGCATCACATATTTATCTCTAAAAGCCCCTCAATTATGCCTATTCCACATGATAGGAAAATCACTGTTCGCGTGGCAACACAGGCGCAGCTCTTGCTGCTCCCCGCAAGAAAGATTTTTGTGTGCCAGCTGAAGACTTAGACTACAGAGACCATGATCACAAGCTTGCGTCCTCCTCCTCCCGGAAATTCAGACATATTTGCAAGGGATACATGGGCAGCTTCAGCTTGTCCCGCAGAACCACGAGGTCCGCTCGGCCAATCATGTCGCGAGTGCTGGGGATGGCGCCGTTCTTCGAGCTGTCGTCGATCGACAACAAGTCGCGCAAGGTCGGTATGTTCGCATTCCACCGCGATGTTTCTTCCGATGTGCCGCTATTCGCGGTAATCTGCCGGGTCGCCGCGCCACGGGTACCTCCATCGGAGGGTGTCGCGAAAGAGTTTTTTCTGGGGAGCGCTGCAACATTACTGTCCTGGTCGCTTTTCACTGCAACAACTTCGCCCTGTTTTTCTTTCGCGAGGACACCATTTTGTTCCTGTGTCGAGGTCGGTAGCTCTTTTTTCGACTCAGTTCGGGTGCTAGTGGACCCGGCGTGAGTCGCTTTAATACTGGGCAGCTGCGCAGTACTAGGTACAACTTCGTCCACCTGCTCGTTTGAAGCAGCTGGGATTTTCTCTTCGTCATTACTGCCGCCAGATTCCAGTTTCGGAGTTTTTGTACCGACGTCCGTGGTAGGCTTTTGGTTTCCTTTCTTCTGTTCATCTTTGTTGGCACTATTTTGCACGTGGTCCCACGTGTATTTGCGCGGCGGGTCGAGAAGAAAAGCGTCAAACAGCAAAGCCATGGTCTCACCGCAACTGCAACACATCAGCAGGCTGTTATGGATTGCAAATATGTCTGGGTCTGGAAGGTTGGAACTTGTAATGCTAGCTCTACATTCGTGAGAAATCTGTATTGCATAACCAACAAATAGAGCCGCAGCCTTTTCGTTACATACAAGATCGCAGCTTCTCATGCGGAATGCCTATGGGAAAGCGTTCTGGGAAGTTGTCATGCTGGGCTGCATTCGGGAAGTGTTTCCATCATGCACATTTTAGCATCGCAAAATTTCAGACCCAGACACATTTGCATTTGGTAGTCGTGGTAGCTGAACGAATCGCGGAAACCTGTTTTCTTCGCCAACTCCTGTACAAATTAATTTGTTTCGCGAAAAAATTTTATCATCCAGTATGCATCAATAGACATCGTCCTGCATCGCAAGGTAGCCAATTTGACTCATAGCACAAACCCAAAACCTCTTTCATCGGAAGATACATTGAGTTCGCAAAAAAGCACCCGCCTGAGTGTACCGCTCGCAGCCCAGCAGTTTCGCTCTCCCCACAGATTGCAAATTGCGGAAAGGAGTGTCGTCTCCTCTTCGTGATAAAACCATCTGGCTTGATAGACGCCGAACGAGACTTCGAGCTCTCTTTCCGACGATGCGAACATCCGGCAATGTTCAATGGTGCCTCCGAAAGAGGCTCCTCGGAAGACGCCGTTGGGGGCTCCATCGTCATAGCGCTGGTATCATGTGTGGTCCTGATTAATAGAACAGAGTGCCACGACTTCTTCACGACAGGATCAACACCTCTTCAAGGGTCAAATCCCTTGGCCCCTCGACCTGCCCACATCGGGGACGACAAATCGATAATCTTAATCTCGGCTAAGTTTGTCTGATGTGATTCCAAACGCAGTGGACAAAGATGAAGCTAAGCCCTCATTGGCGCTTGTGGCATACTTTCATTGATAAAAAACTGAGCCGTCGAGGGCACGGCCGGTGTCGTGCAGCAGATCGCCGTCGCAAGGGAATCAATGTTGCCAAAGACAATCATTGGCAACACCCGAACAGCTAGTACCGAATCCGAATCAATTCGAAGAACAGATAGAGCCGTAAAGTAGACAAGCTTATGCTATGAATGATCACCGACATAGTCATAGACCGACTCAAAAAAACAAATAGTAAAACAGCTACATCTTCTCGCGAGACAAAAAAAACCAGCAAACCAGACCGAATTGAAAAGGTCTCAACGTAAACATTACAGAACCTTTTCGACTCCGCAACAAACAAACCGGAAGCTAAAAGTGAGCGCCGCACTCACGACTCCTTCATCTGATGAGGGTATGCAATAGTGCCGGTTTATTTGTGATGAACGCAATGTATTCCCTTCCATTCTTCCACTTCAACATTCCGCTCGAATCATAACGAGCAGTAGACGATGAACATGAAACGCACTTTATTGTCGAAACAATAAATCAGGATGATTCTGCTAGTGGATTTTCTGGTTCTCCTGTTGGACTTTCCACGCCCACATCTGCTTGCTGATCGGACATTCCTTGCATGTTTGCCAGCGGCTGTTCGCCGTCCCCCGGGCCCGCTTCGCCTTCCGGCCGGCCGCCCAGCTCCGCCTCCGTTTCCTCGTCCTCCTCCTCCTTGTGCTCTTGTACCGGCGTTTTTGTCCCAGCTTCCTCTTCTGCCTCAGTTTTCTGAAACGCCATCTCCTCCTCGTTGTCTTCCTTCGCTCTATCGCCCGCATCGGGCTCGTGGTTGTTGTGTTCCGCATTTTTTTCTCCCTCCGCCTCGAGGTCCTCCTCCTTTTGTTCCGCCGATTCGAGTTCCTTTGGCGGAACTTCGCCATTTGCTTCCATCTCCTCAAGCTTCTTCTCGCGCTCCATTTCCGCAACCCGCTCCTTCACGGACTTGCCGCCAGTTTCCTTGTCCCCGACACTGTGCTCCTCGACGTGCTCCCCGCCTATCGATTTCTGCACCTCGTCCTGCCCCACGTACTCCGCCTCCCCGCGTGGAACTTTGGTTTCGTGCTGCCCCGCGGATTTCTCTGCGGTCTCAGGATCAACGTACGGGCCGTCCTCGTCGGAGCCGGAGGAAAACAACCCGGAGAAGCTCGTGCTGGCGACGCGTTTTGCAGCAGATGAAATGCGGACACTGGGTAAAATTTTTGCAGGTGCAGCCGCTGCGTTGTGGGGGAACAATCCGAACCGCGGGAACTGGTCTAGGACCTGCTTCAGATCTTCCAGAGCATCGGTAGAAAGAACACGTAAATGACTAAGAGCTCCCATTTTTCTGGAATTCAATGTGTACCCAAAATAAGCCAACAGATAGAAACCTGAACAACAGATGGAGCCGAACCTTCGCCAATAGTTAGATAGAAAGATGGTGATTGAGTGTTTGGAAACGATAAACGATTTAGTACTACTCCTTGTCCAAATCTTTTCCAAGCATTTTCACGGCAAAACGCATGTGCAAGCAACCGAGCGACTGGCGAAAAACGACCTTGCTTGGTAGCGGCGAAGACGACTCGAGACGAAGGATGTGTACGAGTGGAAAAGGAAACCTGGGTGTTCCCCCAATGCTTGAAGGCAGAAGTTTTATTGCGAAGAAACAACGATACATCCCTGGAGAAACAAAATTGAGCAAGGCAACGATGTTCTCAGACTTGGAACAAAATGCAAACCGGGAGTCCCGGCGGCAGCAGTAGGAAATACATAGTGAGCACGCAAACCTCTCAAGGCGAGAGACGCATCAAACCTCTCAGGCGCAAAGAGGTTGGATTTTGAACGGCAATACTTCATCTTCATCTTTGCGAAATGAGGTTCCAAGTACCGCTCTTGCATTATCATCGCGGCCTTCAAGCAATCCTGATTGTACTTAAGCGTCAAACAATGCTTATTGCCGAAAAGCAGTTTCGTTTGTTAGTGAATTCAAGGTGATATCATCTTTTCATGTTCTCACAGTTGTGAGTCGTTGGAATATAAAAACAGACACATTTTTTGCCACTGCGCTTGCCCCTGCCGATTCCAACCTCGCCTCCAGCACTGGTTTTACTCAATTGTGATAAGTACGCGGCCTCGGTTTACGAAGCCTCCGCTCTGCGTGGATGCTTTGACTTCTTTTCGACCGCAGGCAATTGTGAATGTCACATCACAAGCGAGGTTCAAGATTTCATAGAGGAGCAGACTCTTCTCCGCTGGCCGCGACGCAAGAGAAAATTGAAAATTCAGCTTCCAAAGCTGATTCCAGCGAATGGATTGGGATTAAGATTATCACCTTGCTCCCCACTCCTGGCTGCGGCACCCTCCGAATTTTCTCGCGCACGTTTCGCCTTGACACCTGCAGAGTCGTCGATACCAAGCCACGTTGTCGATGATGAAGTTCGCCGCATAAAGTTAAAGATCAACTTCGCGGAAAACGCACTCAAGTCAAAACATTGGAGATCTTTATTTGTCGGCTAGCTACATATTTGATCTTGAAGGATGGTTGGATGACCTCTTCGGTCCACATTTTCCAAAATTCTACATAGGTGCGAATTTTCTCCCCAACAGAACTGGAACTGCTGCTGCTTAATACGTAAGCTATACTTACTCCTATCGGAGTTTATCACTAGCAAGAAAGGTTGCGAAATCTTTCGGATCCATGTGCATTAGCAGCTGGTAGGACTGCTGCTCGTCCGAGGGTCGTGCAGACGGTTGTTCTAGTTCGTCGGGCTTTTCGGCTGACGAAACTACAGCTTCAAGGACCACTTCTTCCTCAGTTGCAGCAGCAGTAGAGCCGCTGTGCTTTTCGATCTTCAAAAAACCAGTAAAGTCTGCACCTGCAGGCACAATGCCGTTTGAGCTGCTGATCGCGGCACCGCTTGCTTCTGCCTCGTCAGCTGCGTCGTCGCGCGCTCGCTTCTTCCGCCCTGCCGGTGCGGCGACGGGCGCCGCCTTCGGAGTCGAGGCGCCGTTGGTAGTTGTGGTCTCTTTCACTTCCAGCGGCGGGGTGTCGCCGTCAAGATTCTGCCCAAATCGCTCCGTTGCCGTCGCGCCGCCAAATGCGTTCTTGCCATTGCCTGTCGTTTCATTTTGAAACGCGAAAATGAAAGACGTCTTTGAGTCTCCACCAAAAAAAGTCCGCAAAATTCAACAACAAACTGTGAGAGCACCAGCAGAGCATAGGCTGAGCACGCATCTTTGCAACTATGAACCAAAAAGTGAGTACCGAAAATGCTTTTCGTCCCTGTCGAAGCGAACACGTCGTTGAAAGAGCCAGTGTCTTGGCTCAACGGCCCACCGAAAAGGCTGTTCCCTGCCGCTGCACCGCCGCCGAAAATGGAGCCTGTCGTCGTTTTCCGGTCCTGGGAAGAACTTCGCCCCGTTTTTTTGCTCGAGGAGGCCCTTGCGTTCTTCTTTGAGGCGGAGAAAAGCGGCTTGCTTTCGTCTAACACGTTCGTGCTGGGTGCCCGCCCGAAGATGCTGGTTTCCGGCTTGGGTGCGAAAATCCCTTGGTTGGTGGAGGAAGCCTCGAAAATGCTGCGTCGCTTGGTCGGGCGCTCGCCGTCTTGCTTTATCGCGGACGCTTCCAGCTGGTTCAGCTTCTCCGCTTTTGGGTCGGCATTGCCAAAGATACTGGTGATTTTGTCCTTGTCCGCGCCGATTCCGCCCGAAAGGGTTCCGAAAATCGAGTTCTCCGCGGGTTTGGCCTTCGGCGTGGAACCGCCAAAAATGTTAGAACTAGTGGAGGTCGCAGTGGTGGTAGTTGTCGTGGTCCCGAAAATGGATGTCGTTTTATTGTTTGCATCCGAACTGGGAGGTGCTGGTGCAGCGGGGGCCACTACTCCGAAGATGTTGGTGGTACTAGTAGAACTACCTTTGATGTCACCACCTAGTAGCCCGCCTCCGAAAATTGATCCCGTCGACGACGCAGGTGGCGCAGCACCTCCGAAAATCCCGGTCCCCGCTGGTGCGGGTTTTGTTTCAGCAGGAGCGCCTGCTGTACTCTCTTTCTTCTCGCCTTCTGCTGCTCCCGCAGCGGGCGCCTTGGTACTATCCGCGGCCTCTCCTCCTGCAGATTTTGACTCTGCGCTGCCAAAAGTGGGCGACGCCTTTGCGGGCTGTTCCGAGGACTTCACCGGGTTTCCGAAAATGCTCGTCGAGGTGGACGCTGTCGCAGCGTTCCCGAAAATGCTGGTTGAGGCTATGACTTGCTCAAGCGTTACAATCTCAAATCGGTTACCATAGAATCTGGAATTTGTGTTGCATGATGAGCATGACAGACTCGCACAAAAGCGTTCCACCTTTTGCAATACAAATTTCGCCAGATTGTAGTGATGTTTGGGGTTCCGGAACTTGTCATGCGCAGTCCTAGGAGAGTTGGCTAGATCATGCACTCTTGCATCACAGATTTCCATATTCTATGGTAACCGATTTGAGATTGTAACACCTGAGCGGGTTATAGAGGCGCTGCCACCCGCGGGTGCGGCGCTTCCGAACAAACTGCCACCTGCCGGCAAATGTAAAAATGTAAAAATGTCTGGGTCTGGAAGAATGCAACTTGTGATGCTGTGTTTCGATGTCTAAAAAATTTGTGTTGCATGAGCAGCAAACAGAGTCTAATTTTTGCTACGCGGAGAAGGCATTTGTCATGCGGAATGGGCATCAAAAATCCCTCAACAAACCTGTGATGCTGGAGCATGCATTACAGGCATCGTGGGTCATGACAAATATGCATGACAAATCTTGCATTCTTCCAGACCCAGACATTTTTACGGTTGATACGCTGCCACCCGCTGGTGCGGCGCTTCTAGAGCTTTAACACGCGTTAGCATGAGACGTGGTGAATCTCTAGTGAATTTTGCGTGACAAATTGCAGATGAGTCCGCCGGGACATTGTCCCTCTTGGCCCTGTTCTGGGAAGTGGGTTCTGCACAGACACCGCAAAAGTCAAGGCTTATGCGGCGGGCAGCTTCTAGACATGGCCTGGGTGCCGTTCTTTGGCCATGTCTATTCGTCTCCCTGAGCTCGCACAAGAGTACTGCAGCAGCCGCGGCAAAGACGCCAAAAAGCAAGTGCTGCGAAGCAAATGCAATTAGGCAAGAAGGCGCGGAGGCAAGGGTAAAGGACCAGGCCGAGAGCTTTGACGCGTCTATCCGGCAGGCGCGTGAACTCTCCCCCTCCCGACCTTTTCGGCAGAATATAGCCGGGCTGAGGGCAGCAGAGGGCGCTTGTCTTTCCCCCTCGGCCCCACTTCCCAGGGCCTATTTGCTGACTTCCTTGAGCACTTTTCTGCGCTAAAGTTTGCTTATCACGGTCGAAAAGGCGGGCCCGGTGAATTTTGGGGTGAATTTTGAAAAAACCGTGGGCGAATTTTGGCCCGAGGTGCCTATTCAAAATTCGCTAACGCACGAGAAACTTCGGGTTTTGGGGCTTCAAAAAAGTGTCGCCAAAACAAAAAGCCCCAAAATTCACCAAGGGAATTCCTGCCCTGGGGGCCACGTCGAAACGGCCTCGCTCCGGAGGCAAAAACACGCCTGGGGAGTTGTGAGCAGAGCACAGCAGGTGCAGCAAGCTAGCGTCCGCGGCCGAATCGTGCCTCCCCTTCCACCCGAGGCTGCTCCCAGATATCCAAGTCCAAGCCGAGCCAACCACAACTCGTGAGAGCATACATGTTGAACTAGTGCTCCTGTGTTCACCCGTCGCCCTCCCTTTCGACAATTCCGGAGAGGAACTTCTCAGGCAGACGCGCAGAAGAGTAAGAGCCACCCGATCCACCTTCTCTGGTCGCTAAATACGCGCTACACAGCCCGTTGAGGCTCGCCCCCGCAAGACCACTTCTTTCGGTCCTGCAAGCGCCACCACGCGACGAACAGCCCTTCACGCTATGTGGGATGCTTGGGCTCGTGTGTCTAATACCTAGCGCACTTCTCTTTTAAGTACTTAAATGCAAGTCATGCAATACAAATTCACTGCAAATTCACCCTTCTGTACGCTAACGACCGTCCAAGGCATAGCCGCTGGTGCGGCGCTTCCGAACAAACTGCCACCTGCCGGCTGCTGAACACCCGTATTGAGAGGAAAAATCCCCCCTCCCCATATCGAAAAGGTATGTTTCCGAAAATTTGTCTTGCTGATTTGAGCCTTAGTTCCCCATGATATCCGCAGGCCAACTTTTTTTTTTGCTCGCTCCCCCCTCCTCGCAGGCTAGAATTTGTGTGGTCCCAGAACATGCAACGTGTCCTCCGTGCCACCCGTGCCACCCGGGCCAACGTCAGGGGTCCCTCACCCCCAACACGCCGAACTTCCTCCTTCCACTCGCAGCGTCGGAGGGGTCGCACGTAGCCCTGGAGGTGATAAACGAGGGTGGCGCCTGTATATGCAGTAAAATACTGCACAGGAAATGAGGAAGTCAGAAAGGAACACAAATGTTCTGGGATGACTGTTTAGGAACATCCCAACAACCTCCGCCAACCACTGCCCTCGAATACACAAGAGAAAGCCGAAGCTAACTCAACTCCGGATACCCTTCCCGAAGCTGACCTGAACCGCCCTTCTCCACAGGTCAGCGACGAGGCAATGCCCTGAGGGGACCGTTAGGAACCTCCCCAAACAATCGTCATGTCGTTTCGCCGAAGCGAAACAGTCTTGCTGATTTGAGGCCCCAAATCAAGTCTGTCTTGCAAGAAGACAACGCCGCAGGCTCTGCCGCACTATGCAGGCGGTTTGTCATGCTGTTGGGCCTACAGCATAGACGTTTCTCATGCTAAGCGCCTAGGCCAAAAGCTCTCTACTCAGGCTTGGCAGGAGCCTGCAGTCCTCGCCAGCAAGACAGATCTGATTTGGGTACGCAAATCCAGCATCAGAAACTTCGTTTTGATATGGGGAGGGGGGATTTTTCCTTTTGATAACCCGCTGGTGCGGCGCTTCCGAACAAACTGCCACCTGCCGGCGCGGCGCCAAGGCCTCCGAATAAGCCGCCACCGGGAGGCGCAGACCCGAAAATAGAGTTTGTCGACGCGGCGGGCGCACTGTTCGGGGGGGTGGGGTTTCCGAAAATGCTCGCGTTCGCCGGCGTGTTGAAGTTAATACTCGTTCCTGCCGGGGTGATGGCGGAGATCTTGCTGGTAGAGGGGATGCTGGACTTGTCGCCAGCGGGGGCAGATGCGCCGTCCGCGTCTGTTGTAGGAAGATTATTTTTCAGATTGCAAATGTGTGTGTGGCGGTCATATGATATGAATATGTCCCGTTTCGGTATCATCTAAATTGGTACAAATGGTTGTATATTTTTCATAAAACTTCCAGCAAAAAGCCTAGTACTCTCTTCGCCGTCTCCTTCCTTGAACTCGTCCGTATCCGGTATGGTTTCATTCTGGTACCATATGATTTCCACTTTGCCGTCTTTGCCCGTCCGCTCGGAAGGCAATTCGTAGCGCTTGCAAATTTTTCGGTACAAGAGAAGCTCACTGCCCTTGTTCTTCTCGAGCAGCTCATCGATGTTGCCGATCTTCTTTGGGTTCTTCTTGTAGTAGACGGCTGCGATGTTTGCCTTGAAGAAATCAGTCTGCGACCCCTTCTGCACCACCGCCGCTCCTGCACTGTCAGCGGAATTTTTGTTTACTGCTTCTTGATCTTGCTTCTTTTCCGGTGACTTTTCGTCCTCAGCTTTGTTGACATTTTCTTCCTGCTCCGGCTCTTCTTCCGCTACCGGCTCGATCTTGCTTTTCATCGCCTGCTGCTCCACCTTCTTGGCTTGCAACATATCTTTCAGGATGTTGCTGCAGTCGTCGGGCTCTTCGGGCACCGGGTCGAGGGGCGCGAAAGACGTGTTGCCGAAACTGGGCGCTTCTAACCCCCCACCGCCCAAGAGTGCGGAAAAATCGAGCGCCGGTTTGTTCTCACTCTCGGCCTGCTTCGGCGCGCCGGACTTGCTTGCGTTATTCCGTTCCTCAACCTTCGCACCAAAAAGGCTGGTCGAAGAACTCCCAGCCTCTGCACCCACAGCTACGCCAAAGGTGTTTGCAGCACCTGCTTTCGGAGACTTGTCACTGCTCACTGGTGGCGCGCCGAAAATGGACGATGTCGCGGCGCTACTAGTTTCCGCAGCGGCTGCCGCACCACCTCCAAAGATACTACTACTTCCCGCACTGCCCCCCGGCGCTGCACCTCCGAAGACTGGAGTTTTGTTTTCAAGCCCAGTTGTAAAAGTGCCTGCAGGAGCGCCAAAAGACGGAGTTTCCACCGAGCCAAAGACGTTAGAAGTTGCGGTCGCTGCGGGGGGACGGAGGGGACTGGGGAGCTTGGGGCTGCTGGGCCGGGATGCGACCCGCGCCGTCGGGGAGTGGCGCTGCGGGGAAAACGACCGCGTGTTGTCTTCCTGCTCTGCGGCTTCCTTCGACTTTGAGGTGGCGAGCTTGGTATCAGCATAACTGCCGTGTCGACCTCGGACCTGCGTTATTTCCAGTGAAAAGAAATAGGTACAAAAAGTCATCATGTCCGAAAAATCTGCGACAGATAAAAGTAGAAACGACGGAATATTAAATGACTCACCGTTAGCGTTACCTACCAATCAGTTGTGTATCAATTCTTGTAACATACTCACCTGTGTCCTCGCGGCGTTACTCGAACCGGCCACGTTTGGCGTGTTGGTACTAAATTGTTCTTTCTCCTCAAACCGCTCGTCCTTGACCATGCCCGTTTGCAGCTGGAGGTAGAAACTTGGCTGCACGTTGAACTTCTGGCACAGCTTCACATACAGCATTGCCTCCTCCCCTTGATAGGCTTCCAACAGCGTGAACGCGTGCTCTTTCGACCCCGAATAGTCGTGACAAATGCGTGTCACCAGGGCCTTGTACAGCCCCTGCTTCAGGGCCGGGTTATCGTCATCCTCGCTAGAGGCAGCGGCCGGTTTCGGCTGTGCAGATTGATGGTCGACGCTAAGTTTGCTTCTCTTCTGCTGCTTCTCGATTCTGCGGTCGTCGTCTGCAAATTGATTTATTTTTGATACAGACGATAGTTTGTGCATAATTCTCAAAGATGAAAACGCAGGCTCAACAGCTTCTATTTTGGTGCACGAGCAAGTTCTCGAATATCAAAAGCAATGTCATTACAGATGTTGGCGCCGCTGAGGAATCCTTCCAGCGCGTCTGGGTTCATGCCAAACGTCTTGGGTTCCGAGACTATTGGCTGTCGCTGTACGCCCGAGAATCGATGAATGTCTGGCGCACCTGTGGTAAAAGAAGATTCGTCATTTATTTTTCTATCAAGGAAAACAATATGAAACTTCTTTTGCCGCGCACACTACAATCTCTTGACAACATGACTGGTGAACGAGGCCGAAATAAACAGGATGAAGTGTAAAATGCGAAGCGTACTTGGAGCTGGACTGTGTGGCCCTCCGCGCAGTTGGTGGTCCCAAGCCTGAGCGCCGAAATTCCGCGGTTCCGACATGGGCACCCTCGGCTCAAAGTTTTCCGCACGACCGACCGCCGACTGCTTGCTCGCTGATACCGCGAACGGCTGTTGCTGCGCTCTCGATTGCTGATTTTGTTGGTCCATATCATGATCTCGGAGAAGCGGCTGCGGACTATCCTGTGGCTGCGGGCGCAGCTGCTGCTCCTTGTCGTCCAGAACTGGTGTTGCCATCATTCCATTTTGCGACTGCTCAGGTCCTCGTCCACCTCTAGGGTGGTCGGGTCGGTGCTGCCGCTGCGCCATCGTTGCCCCCTGCGGTGGCTGGTCGCGTGGCATGTGCCTTGCATTGGGATTAAAATTGAAGTGACCCGAGGACTGCCCCGGGACACGATAGAAGTCGTTGCGGGGACTCGGATTGCCTTGCGGCATCTGCGCCAACCCACCAGAGTATCTGTTTTGTGATTGTGATGTTCCGTCACGGCTATTACAGGCTTCATTCAACATTCTACTCCTACTTAAAGCATACTTGCCCGCGAACGCAACGAGCAACTCTAGTAGCACTTACTAGCACACAGATTCTTATACAAAAAGTAAAAATCAAACTGCATTCGGTACGGCTGCTGTGCTTGGTTTGGATTCACTGCGTCATTGGAAATGGTGTTCCCGCCCGTCAATCCGCCGCCGATAACACCGACGAGCGTTTTGATCCCCGACACTGCCGCATCTTTGAATTTTCCGAACATCCCCGACACGCGTCGGGGCGGGCCCCCAGGCGGGGCCATTGGCTGCCGGTCGTACGGCCCCGCACGCGGATTCTGCTGGTGCGCAAACTGCATGTGCCCTGGCAATGCCTGCTGGTGCTGCTGGGCAAATGATCCGCCCGGGTGCTGCGGCGGGTGATGAAGACCCGCGTTCATTCCACGTCCAAAGTGCATTCCCGGTCCTGCTTGTTCTGGCGGCATGTGCATCCCGAATTGTGGCTGCATATTCCCATTACCCTGATTTCCAAACCCAAGCCCGCCTTGCTGGTTGAATGCGAAGGCCTGCTGCTGGACGTAAGGGTCGGCGCGGGAATTCGAAGAGCCGCCAAATAAGGGTGACGCTGGGGGTGCGGCAAAGCTGGGCCCTCTGCTTGGTGGCCGTTGGTTCGCACCTCCGTGCATGTGGTCCACGTTGCGGAAGTTCTGGTGGCCTGAGAACGACGACATGCGCTGGCGGGCACTCGCGTTGCTCATACCGCGCTCACGCTGAAACTCCGGACCGTAGTGATTCATCTCGCCCGAGTTGTCGTCGATTATGTTTCAAAGGCGAATTTTATAGTAAGAGTAACTAGAGCTACTAGATCGACAAAGACTAGCGTGAAACGAAAATCCAAATAGAGCTCTTGTTGCAAAAAAAGTGTCGCTCCTGTCGCCTGTTATCATTTCACAAATAACCTGGTGTCAAAAAGTGATCTGGCTCGTCGACGTGTGCCTTCGTTTTAGCAAAAGCGTTGAGCAGATTGAAAATTTGCGGACGCCTGGCCTCTTGCAATTCCATCAGTCTTTGTCTGTGATCTGAACGAAGCGTCTCAAGTGAAACTTTTTGCGATCGCCAAGCAACTACAGTTGCTGCTAGTAGAAGAGATCCTCGACAAAAAGAAGATCGCGTCACAAATGTTCGATGGCAATTTGGTCCATGCGGCAGGAAAGAAACCAATTTGATGTGGCTCGATAGTTTTCGCTGCAGTAAAGATCTCTGCAAATCGCATGGTGGCAATGTGGTTTTTAGAACACGCTTAATTGTTTTTCCCTTTAGTATTGATGTTTCAGAAAGCGTCGGGGCTTCAGAGTCTTCGTTTTCAAGTATGAAGATGTGTGCTTGCGCATGAGAAAAATGAGGGTAGTACTTACACAATTGCATTCGATATGAAAATGCGCAATTCAGGCAGTCACAGTTTCTGAAAATTTGTCGCGTTTCGTTCTTTTTTTTTTTCGTAGCCCGCTCTTTTGGTCTAACTATCTCGCTTTCATCACTCCGCATCCGGCCCGTCCGTGCAGAGAGGAGGCAATTCAGACTCGCTCTCGCTGCCAAGCTGGTCCCAGAGTCTGTCTTTGTCGCTTTGCAACGACGCTTGCGTCGCCGGGGCACCCGCTGCCTGCGGTCCCTCTTCAGGCGTCGCAGGACGGTTTTGTTCCGCCCCCGTAGATGTTGACACGACGGCAGAAGACGACGCAACCCGCTCATCAACCGCCGGAGCATCTTGCATCTCGACATCTTCTTGCTCCACGACATCCGCCTGTGCAGCTACTTCCGGCGCTTGTTCCTTCTCCTTCTCTGCCTCAGCCCGCCTGTCCTGTTCCGCCTTGCGCTCGGCCGCGCGGCGCTGCGCAGCAATGGCCAAAGCTTCCTCCTCCGTGATGATCCGTGAGGAGGAGCCGGAGCTGCCCCGGGATCCAACGAAAGAATTTTTACCGGGAGAATTTCGCTTCGGAGCCAAGTCCACTTGGGATACCCGGGGACGCGCTTCCTGTTCCTGCCTCTCCTTCCGCAAGCGTTCTTCTTTTATCCGTCGCTCTTCCGCCATCTCGGCCTGCACTTGCGCTTCGATTTTTTTCAAAACGCTCCCCTCAGCGCTGTGCTCCGTCTCGTCGAGCACGATCGGCGCGGTGCTTGTTGTTGTCGATTTTTGCTGTACTACAACATTCGGATGACTTGTTACATCCGGTTCTTGATGCGCCTCCTCCTTTTCCGGACTCAGCTCCTGAGTCAGGGCAACGGGCTGCTGCTGCTCTCCCTCCAGAATCTGTGTTCGTGCTGGACTCGCAGGACTCCTAGGTGGTTGTTGATTGGAAGCGCTCATCTCTTCGGGTTGTGCGTCCTGAGACAACAACACCGGGGTGGAACCACCCTCTGCCACTGGGGAAGATGAAACTCCTTCTGCAAAGACGGGCGTCGCACCACTGGGAACTCGTTCTGCAAGACTGGGCGTGGAAGCCTGGCGCTGCTGCTCGATATCCGGAGAGCCGCCGCTTCTTGCGCTCTTCTTTTCGCTTTGGCTGTCTCTCTTGTGTTGAATTTCCGCGAAGATGCCAACATCTCCATTCTTCTGTCCAGCGCCCGGAGTGACTGGAGACAATCGGCTAGCGCTCGAGTTTTCTTCCGGGATTGGGGAAAGAGCTCCATTTTCTTCACTTCGCGCAAAATTCACAGATGACGACATCTGCTCTTCCACGGCACCAGCAGTCGTCGGTACAACGTTCTTCGCGACGTCTGCGGACCGTTCCGCGCCCGCTTGCTCGAGCGGCGGCTGCTCGGGTGCAAAGTAAACACCGTCCTGCTGCTTCGCTTCGTCTGCCGCACAGACCGCAACTGGGGACTTCACTTTCTTGTCGCTAGAACTACTTGCTGACTTTGCCGAACAGGGCGATGCCGCATCGCCTTGTTTGCTACTGTCCGCAGCAGAACCGAGAGAAATATCACCCTCTTCGCCACTTTCCTCCGCGGCCTCAGCGTCGATTTGATCTCGCTCCGCGGGCTCGATGTTTGCCTGTTCTGAAGGTTGCTGCACGTCGTGCTCGGCTAACTGATTCTCCTCCTCCTCCGCATCATCGTCCACTTCCATCGCGACCGCGCCCCCTTCTACTTCGTCTCGCACCGCGGTGCGGACTTCTCTTTGGTCCTGACCCTCCCGCATGGATGCGCCGCTCGCTCTTCTATCATGATCGGTGCCGGTACCTACGTCCTTCACATTTAGAACAACCTCGCGTCTGGTTTGTTCCACAACCGCTTCATATTCCTCGTAAGTGCTACCTTCCGTCTCAACCACGGCGTCCTTTTGCTCGACCGCTTCGGTGCCAACGCACGTCTCCTTCCGCTCCACGTTTCCGTAGCCTACGCCGATATTGCGGGTTTCGCGCTGTAAGGTTTCGATACATTTGTCCTTCTTCTCCACACAGAACACTTCGGCCTGCACACTGACGTCGGCGGAGCTGGAGGATCCCACCTGCACAGCAACGTTGCTGGACGAGCTCGATTGTTTCACATTCGTTTGGGTGCTTGAGTTCGCGACAGCCCTTGCAGTGGGGTTCTTCTTGGTGTTGATCTGAGCCGCTTCTTTTTCCTGTTCCTCTATGGAGGATTCCTCGGCAGCCTCCTCAGTCTCCTCTTCATCAGACGAACGCTCATTAGCCTCACGCAGTCCCTCCAGCAGCGCCGGGAGATACGAGGCTTCCGCAGTCTGTGTTGCGTTTCAGAAACAAATTGTCACAGGGAGTAGACCAAGAAAAGCTGGACTTTGAGCTATGCACATAAATTTGCAGAAAGTGAAAGCTTACAACTTAGATTGTAAACTTAATATACAAAGTTGAGTATAGTACCTGCTCCAACTCATGCACCGCCTTGGATCCTCGCGCGAAGCTCCTCGCGAGTTTTGCCCGCAGCGATACCGCCTTGCGCCGTACCAGTACCGACGAGTGCTGACAAGCGCAAAAGTCCAACACCCCAAGAAGACACTGCAGCAAGTGGCTCGCGTGGCGCAGACCGGTCTCAAAAAACTCGAAAGCAGTCAAAGTGACGGATTCGTCCAAGTCGGGGTTTGCAAACACGATCTGCAACAGCTGCACGTGCACTTTCGCCAAAATGGCCTTGTCCAGCATGGGAAACACCCAGGATTCTTGCAGAGTATTAAAGAAGCGTAGGACTGCGACCACTGCAAATTCTGGAACGAGGCCTGTGTGTAGGATTTTTTTTATCAAATTCAAACTGAGCGCACGAGGTTCCCCTACAACTTGCCATGCAAACAGGCGACCACACGTAGGAACAGGGCCTTTGTGTTAATGCATAGAGAAGTAAAAGCACTACGTACCTTCCATCATCCCCTCCACTTGTCGATGTACGAGGGCGGCACACCTCTTCAAAATCCGCTTATCAAGAAATAAACTCGGGTGCTCCTGCAGCAACAGCTCCAGCAGCTCCGGGATCGCCGCGGAAGGCAATTCCACATCCGCGTCCACAATCGGTTGCAGAACCTGCTGCGCAACGAAGTCCTGTCCCTGCTTGCCCAAGCGGGTGACCAGCACGCGGATCAAATTGGTCACCAGAGTCTCGGTTTCACGTTCCGCCGAAATTTTCTGTGAAGATGTCTCGACAACATTTTTATCCGGCGCACAAGAACTCTCCAACACCTTCGGCAAAGCCAGTTGCACCAGCAGCAAAGCGGGATCGATTACCAGCTGTGTCGCCGTGCAACAGGAGAATAAATCAGTGAGTAGTTGCAGCGAGGATTGCAAAGCGCTTGGGTTGAAGGAGTGCTGCTTCATTTTTGCTCCGTCGTGGACGTTATTTCCATCATTTGACGACGAGAGAGCGCGAGATGCATCTTCTTCCTCGGGAGAACGATCTACAGTCGCCTGCCACGCGAGCGTCTCGACGAGGGCTTTTTTCACAGCGAACTGAAGCAAGTTATTCGTTACCACCACGTCCGGGAACCGGAGTATCGCACAGAGCGCCGCCCGACAAGTTGCCTGCACGCGGGCGTCAGAAAAAGTGCTGTAACTCAACTCGACCAATACTCGCTGCAGATGGTCGACGCCACTCTGCTGGTGGTGTTGGTGCTCCTTCGTAAGAAACAGTCCGCACTTCTCCGAGGAGAACAGCAACAATCCCGCGGTGGCGATTTGGTACTGCAAAACGGGCTGCACGTGGGGGATCAGCGAGAGGAACAGCTGTAAATCGACACCACTTTCGCAGTTGGCTAACACTTCTCGCTGCTTGTCTTGCGACAGTTGTTCCAGTACTGCACTCCGCTTTTGCTTTTTCACCTGCGGCACAGCGTCTTCCCCGAGCAGTTTTGTCAGTAACGCAGTGTCCGCATCTTTTTCCCCAGTAAACTCCGTGACGACAACCCTTTGCACCGCCGTCAGGGACTTGTTGACGCAGCGGCTGATGGCGCGGCGGTCTGTGTGCGTGGTGTTGTGCTGGGAAAACAGCAAGCGGAACGCGAGCCCAATGGCCGCGGCGGTGAGAACCTGGCTGCGGTGTACGTGGCTGAGGCAAAAGAGACACGCGTCGAAGGCGAGGCCGACATCCTCCGAGGCGAGAGCACCTTGGTCGACCAATTCGGATAACCGCAGTACGGTCGGGAGCGTATCACGCTCACCGGGATTGTCCTGCTTCAGGGCGGCGAGCATATTGCTTGGCAATTTCTGCTGCGGTTTGCTCGAAGTAGTTCTCATTGATGTCGCATTATCGCCCGCGGCGGCCCCTACTTGTGGTCCAGCTGCGACCTTTGCCGCATTCGCTTTGTTGGCCGCCTTTTCGAGCTGCCGCTGCTTTTTCGACTTCACCATTGTGTTCGTAAAGAATTCTTAGGCAACAAGAAACGTGCTAAAAAAACTGTTCTCCGAGGGAGAAATTCTGTGTCGCTTTTCTTCGATTTTTGGATTCCTACAAACAACTTTCACCAGGCCGACTAATAGTATGCTTCTACTTGAGTCTTCTCTCTTCCTGTCGCTGTATTGAAAAACAAATGGTTGATCGAAATACGCACACCAAGACCAGAATAGGAAAGGATCCCTTTCGTATGAATGAGATCTGTCGATCGTGGCACTTCTGCTTCTATCTAAAGAACAACACGGATCGATTTTGAACGCAATTTTCTATATGTGATCTTGTGTGATCCTTAAACAAAAAAAAATTTTGCATCGAGATCTCAAACTTCGGCTCTACGTGCTACCTCTTGGAATTTAAGGTAACCGGTTTCTATTCGAAAGCATGCTTCAAAACTAAAAGCACTCGACCTGATTTACTTCTTTTGCAAAATAAACACCTGATCACGATCACGAATGAAAGCTTTTCATCAAAAGTGATTTCTTTTAACATACATCTACCATTCCTTGCAGAACTGGTAGTAAGTTCTACTAGTTTATTCAGTCCTTCATGGAGCAAAAAAATGCAGATCTTACTTCGGTCTGTACTCATCGGGAAACAATTGCGCAAGCTCCGTCGCTTCCTGAGCCATCTCCTCCTGCGTCCGTACTCGCCTGTTGTCCTCCGAAAAAGTGTCGTCCATCACTTTTGCCCTTTCTATCTCTTCATGCACCTGGTCCGGCTTTTCGAAATCGGCGGCTTCTCTGGGTAGAATGTGCACGTGAACGTGCGGAACCGACTGCCCGGCGGCCGGCCCGTCCTGCTGCGCGATGTTCAAGCCGCTGGCCTGGAAGTGCGGCTCGAGCACTGAGCTGATTTTGTGCACCGACTGGTAAAGATCAGTGACCTCGTCGGTACTCAGTTCTTTGAACCGGGCGGCTATTCTTTTGGGGATCACGAGCACGTGGCCGGGGACAATGGGCTTCAGATTCACAAGTCCGTAGGACAAACTGGACTCGAAAAAAATGCTCGACTTCCGCACGGCATGGGGGCCAAAATGAATCATGATTTGTTCTTGTGCTTGTGCGGCAGGGACGCTGTAGCAGCTAGAGAATTTTTGATAAAACACAAAAAAAGTCCAAATTTCGTACAGAAAATACCTTCGAAGCAAAACGAACCGTCTGAACTGCAATGAAAAGCACCAAAACAGCAATCCCCGTAGTATCATTTTGCCAACGTCAAAGTTGAACGTATGGATGTACTGGAAAGCGAAGGAAGCTCTCTGCTTGTCGTGCGTCTTCTTCGGACAAAGAGCGATTGATCTTCTGTCCTTCCATAATAAACATTGAATTAGGACTCGTTTTAGCATTCTAGATTTCTGTCTCTCTTTCGTTTCAACAGCTTTTTGTACATCGTTTCCGTGCCGAACGTGATATTGTCAGTGGGTGCAATATTTCTGAAATTCTCAAATCTCTACCGATCGACGAAAATCGTTTTTCATTCCGGTGGAAGTACTCCATGATCCTTTTGTGAAAAGCCCGCCAAATTCGAAGGCGCTGCACCATCGCCACTCTCCTGTTCTGACTGCAGTGCCGCGTCCCTTTCCGGTGGTTGAAACAGTGATCGGCTGGTTCCCGCGAACGCACCTGCTACAGATGAACTTTTAGCAAAGAAGTTCGAAGGGAGCGAGCCCCCAGCGCTTGTTTGTGGAACACTTTTCGCGACCGCACTGCTGCTGCTGCTCGAGGAGGACGAAGCTGATTGACCAGCAAAGGCAGCAGTTCCAAGACCAACCGCGTTTCCGGCACTAAACAAGCGGCTGCTACTGCTGCTGCTGCTGCTCGACTGCTGCTTAGACAGCAAATTTGACCTTGAAGATTGCGCGCCGGACTGCACCTTTTGTCCCAGTTCCGTACCGAGGCTCGACTTCATGTCGTCGACTGGTGCCTCTACGTCACCGCCCCCGATGCCGCTTCTGTTCCCAGCAAGATTATTTTCACCCGTTTCAACCTGACTTGCCTCCTCCGCGCCGTCCGCGAATTTCTTGGGCCCGTCCTGTCCTTCTGCCTCTTTCAGTTTTTGCAACTTGCGTTGCTTCTGATACGCTCGCTGCTTTTCATTCTTCTGTTTTCGTTTCTCGTCCTCTTGCTGTCGCTGAACCTCTTCTCGCTGTAAGCGCTGCGTACGCTGGAACATCCTCCGCCGCAGCAAAGCGATGGAGACCATTTTTTTCGTCGTTTCCCTCTTCTTTTTCCTCGCGGCCGCGGCTATGCTCGGCTGCAGAAACGCCGGCAAACCCGGTATCTTCTTCTCCTTCGGCTGCGGCAAGCAGCACACGCGTACCATTTTGCCGTGTCAGTGAGGTTGTGGCTTAGAAGGCTCTGAGAGAATGGGTAAGAAAAGGGCCCGAGCTCTAACACATACGGTGAGAGACCTGGGGTAGTGACAGGGATGCTGCATCTACTTTCTCTTCATCCAAAACCTGTATGAACTACGAAGTAGGGAAGCACAAAGGATGCACTTACAGCACTCCAATTTTTAACAGTAACTACAAACCCCACTCGGTAACATCGTCTGGGTCTGTCGCTGAAACTGCGACCTCTCTGCGCAACCATTACGTCTGCCTTTCTGCCAATTCTATTGTGCATAGATATGGTCGAACACTTGAAGTTTCAGTTTCTTGTGAAAAATCGTGAAAATCTCATTCTGCCTTCAGCCACGATAGAAGGAGACTTCCGAGGGTCTTTACCCGTTCATCGAGGGGTGTTCGCATAATGCTGTGATGGAGAGTTCCTACGAATGAGATACTTGTGCTTTCTGTTATGTCTGTGATGATATAATTGTTCTGCCAGTGGGCTACTTTTTACACGTCATCTGCGTCACGGTGTGGCTTATTTACTCTTCCATCAGTTTGTGATACCAATTCACAGCGTTCAAAAATTTCTCGGTGGCCTTTTCCATTTCCACTTTGGCGTCTGCCATCCGGCGCCGCGCATCCTGTCGGATCATACCCAGCGTGGGTTTCTCTTTCTGCTTCCTGACGCTTGGCGTGTTGGTTCTTTCAACAGAATGGTTATTTTCACTTGTCGTAGAAGTACTCTTCAAATTGTTCGCCGGCGCCTGCTTATCTCCCTGTTCTTGATGCAAAAATGCACTTTCCGGTGGTCCTCTCTGAGGTCCGATAAAAGTTCCGGATGAAGTATCTTGTTCGACGTGTAGCACGGGCAGAACCGTCGGATCTAGCAGCGCATCTTCTTGTCCACATCTTCCAATCGGAGCGGAAGATGCCGTCGTTATTTCAGGCGCACTGTCGTTCTCTACCAACGATTCCGCACAAAATTCTTGCACAGGCTCCTCCTCGTTGTGGTGCATGCTCAGCGACCGATTCAGGTGTAAAAATTCTTCTTCCGTCGGGGCCTCTACCCACTCCCGTGGCGGGTTGGTCACCGAACCGCCGTACTCGAGTAAGAAATCCCACAGCGGAAACGCCATCGGCGGGTCCGTGGCCAAGTCAACCCGGTGCTCCTGCTCGTCGGAGCGCACATCCGGTACGTGAATGATAGGGACGGAGTAATCTTCATCGCAATCTTGCTTTTTCTTGTATGTTGAATTCTGCTTCGCGTTCTTGTTCTTGTTCTTGGAGTTGTTGGCCTTCTTGTTCGAGGGGTTTTTGGTACGTTTCCCGGATGAAGCGACGGAGTCACTACCATTTTGCAGCCTTTGTGCTGCACCTGCGCTAGAACTTTCTGTGGTACCACTGGCCCCGGAAACAGGGACGGCTTCGAACACCAGATCGTCCACATCCACTCGCTTCGCTCCGAGCCACTGCTTTGGCGGATCTTCCATACTACCGCCGTACTCGACAACAAAGTCCTTGAGACAATAAGCGTAGCCGTCCGTCGGGTCCTCTCGATATTCGACGTCTTCTGCACGAACGTGCTTGTCGTTCTGCTCCGCCTCCAAGCTCACTTTCTTGGCAAACTCGTCAGCAAGACCGGTTGCATGGTCGGTTTCTTGGCTGTCGCTGTTCGAATCAGAAGCTCCTTGTGCTGGTGGTGCAACAGGAGCTCTTCCTTTGTCGTCGCTAGAAGTAGTGCAAGTCGCTGGTGTCGCGGTCGTTTCCTTCTTGTTCAAGTATCCAGTCCACAAATCAACAATCATGTTCGCGATTTTCATGTTGCTTTCCTCCAACGCTGTCGCCTTCGCTCGCTTAATTTTTTCTACTTCCGCATTGTTCATCCCGCGAGATGAAACGTTCTTCTTTCTCCCAGCCTGCTGTGGGCACCGAGGTCGCTGCGAGGAAGAATTATTTGCCGCTTGCTGCATCTCAGTCGCTTCCACAGCACTATCCGGTACTGCACGGAGTATTGCACCCGGTGGCAGGTCCTCGAAAGTGACCAGCTCCGCGTCCTTGAAACGAGGATCCAGGATGAAATCCTCATACGCGATGGTCTCGTCGACTTCGAGCATTTTTGTCTTCTTTTTTGCTGTAAGGAGATGAAAGCGAAGTGGCGAATCCAGCTAACAAAGACAAAATAATGAGAATGGCACCACACTGGTTTTACGTGACTGTCGGAAAAGAGATTTATTTCTACATTTCTTCACTACTTCTCACACCAGTCTGCTCTAAATTTTTACAGCACAGCGCATGATTGAAGTATGCAACCTTTTCGAGCCTCGACGAGAATACGGAGACAAACGTAGGAAGTGGTGATCTTCGGTTTCTTTGACTTGAATTTGCGGAACCAAAGTTTCAGAGCAGCATTTCTGAACGAATCAATTTCGATTTTCTTTCCGATCTTGATCCTGCAAACCCGTGCTGGACTGCTTAGTGACGGCGCGTGCTGGTTTCTCGTTTGCAACTATTGTCGCCTTCTCCAGTATCTCCGATTCGATCGACGCGACAACAGCCCCCTGGAGTCATTATTTTCTGAGGATTCCAGTAGCCAGAATGCGAGCCTACTTACTACGAAGTAAACAGAAAGGACTAGGTCAGTAGTAATTGCGACAATTAAATCGTCGTGGTGACATCCACACACTATAAACAAACACCTCGAATAAAAATCTTTCCGCGCTCAGAAGCCTCGGTAACAAGGAAAAGCGGGCCTCGGCAAAAGTCTTCATCGAAATGAAATCCATAGCCACAAGCCTACAAAGAGTTGTCCTCATCGCGGTAAGAACCAGAAGGATCTGATGTCCGTAGCACATTTTGGCCCTGTGAGGAAAAGTGGGTTGAAAGATGGATGACGTGAAAAATAAACCCGCGGGAAAGTGAAAAATGCCATGCGGGAAGTGCGACCATTTCAGACCTGGACGTTGATCTGCTGCAGAAATTTCCGCGCAACCAATTGTGATCGACGTCGTTCTTCTGATTCGTGAAGGCTCCGAGTGCCTGCAGTTGGATCTGCGAGTGGTTGCCACCCTTTGTGAACTGTAGTTTGCCTGATCGTCCTGTCGGAACTTGAAAACGCTCAGCTGGTTTTGTCCACTGTATCAGAGATCTTGGTGGTTTGAAGTTTGTTCTCACGCAAGCCTTGCAGCAAGTCGAAAGTAGCAAGTATTCAAGGTGCTCATCACTAGTGGACAAAACGCTCCTGCAAGCTGGCAACAGAAATTGTAGAGCGTTGTTGGATCGATTTCTGTGCGTGCTTTCACGTTCGGGTCAAATTTGATTTTGTGTTGTCTGGGACTTGCAGTAAGTAGTTTCCTCATCTTTCTCGTCTTGGTTCTCAGGTCATCTTTCAGTTTCAAGATCATTCAAATATTCTGCAAGAGCTTTCAATTACTTTTCCATCCTACAAATGCACCTTTTTCCCCGCCGCCCGACGAGGCTGCGGCTGCCACCGGGCGGGCACTCACTGGCGCCGGCCGCGCACTCACGTTCCCCAAAGCACGGAGCTCGTTGCTGGGCTTCCACGACGAAGAATTGCGGTTTGGGAGTGGCTTGTTTCTTGTTGCCGCACCTCCAGTGGTATCGTTTCGCACGACCGGTCGACGATCCTGGTCGATGTGCTGCGTCATGTTGATTTGCTCCAAAAACTGCCCTGCGTCCGTGTCCCGGACCTGCGGCTGCCGTGTGTTGCTAGTCGCATGTAATTGCCCGCGGGCCTGACTCCTCGCTGGAGGAAGGGCCGCCATCGCGCCGCCCCCGCCTAGAGCAGTTGTAGTTCTGTTAAGTTTTGACCACAAGAGAGACAAGTAAAAACGACAAATCGATGGATTTTCGTGAACGAAAGAAAAACTCGATACCAATGTTCGTTCAGGAATGGCAGTACGTCCACGTCATCACATCAACAAGCTGCAGACAAATACGCGTATAATCCGCCTGTCATGCTCACCTCGAGAGTCTTCCACCGCATATCTTCCTGGTGTTTCATTTGTTCCGCGCCGCCCACCCAGTGCTGGTCTCGCATTTCTGCTTCTATCCTGCACAGCAGACGGCGCGTCATCGCTGTATCCCAGCGGGTAATGCCGCCCAGAAGCGCCTCCTCGCCCGAGAGCTTTTGGGAACTCCAAGTCCCGCCAGCCGGTTGCGAGATCGCGCGCATTTGCGAAATTCCGGTCGTAGAGCTCGCTCAACTTGCGGTCCTCAAATTCGTCGAAGGAGAGACCGTCCATTTTCGCAGACAGTCGGAGTGTGTGCAACGTTTTCGGCAAGCGGCTAAAACTTACACGAAAGTTGCTGCATACTTTGTAAGACACACACTCATCTCTCTCGGCAATCCGCCGCAGCCGTTACGCCAACAGTCACGCCGAAATTGATTTGCGGCCCTCACTCCAAGAGAACACACATCTCGAGATAGCCCCGCCGGAATCTTCTATTCCGCAGCACAATTTCCCTGGCAGACGCACCCGAAAGCATCGCCTGACAAGTGATCCGAATGACAGGGCCTATACCGCAGGAGCGCGGCCGCGGGCTCGGCGGCCGCAAATGAAAAGAAACAGGCGCGCGCGGTCGTGCGGCACCATCACCAGAGACCGCGACGCCGCCAACTAGCAATCGCCAGTTGGCGCGGGCCGCCCGAAAAATTACAGGAACGGCGCCCCCAATTGGCCACGCGCCGGGGCAGCCTAAACTCCCTCCCGGAGGCCGCGCGATGTCCCCCAACAGTTGCGTGCCCGCATCGCGACACGGCACCAGGCCGCCGCCGGCGATGCTTCACGCGCGCGCGCCGGCTCGTGCGCATGCTGCCAGTCCCGGCGCCGTGAAAATGGCAGCCGGCCCAACCGCTCCGCGGCGGCTGCCCGTTTTTTTGAATCAAGGAGGCCCCAAGGGTGCCCGGGCGCGGTGTCGTGGACTTGCATTCTGCTTCCTGGCCGTTGTCGCGGGGGATTGTCCTGGCAGGGCGGGCCGAGGCGCGGGCGCAGTCGTTTAAGTTTTCCACGATGAGCCGGCTCCCCGGACGGCGGACAGCAACCCGCTGGAGTTTGACGGCCGCGGCCGCCGGGGAAAAGGTCCGGCGCACGGCAGGGCGCGCAATGTGCGCGCGCTCATGGCTTGGCACTTGGGGCTCGTGAGGAAGCTTCGCGGGTGCCGGCGCTCCTCCCCGCCGCGTGTCCTTTATATATCACCATCGGCGTCGCGAGGTTCTTCTCGTTCGTTTCCCTTCAGTCACGTCACACGCCTCGCCTTTTCGGGGCCACTGAGCTTCGCCGCGGCGGCAGGCTTCCGCAAAGGTACGGGCACGAAATTGATGCGCCTGCTGTGCAGCCGCGCCGTGCCACATGGACGTCCGTGCGGAAATGTTGCAGGCGACCGCGCGCGCCGACGAGGCCGCATCTTTGTAGCAACGCCGAAGCTTTATCGTCATACGCGCGCGCATATACTTTTCTACGAAACGCATCAGACTGCGGAAGCAATATCTTCTGGAGAAAACGCAATACGCCATCTCACTGCGTCAAACAGACGCTTCTCGCTCCAAAAGTAAAATCCCACGTCTCACCAAGAAAACATCACAATTTATTATGCGGCTCGTCTCGGTTCACCCTTTACCTTCCCCTCGTAACGCAAACGGAACAACGTGTTGATTTTTCCGGGACTGTAATATGGAATGCTAGGCAGCGCCGCGCTTGACGCACATCCCCGTTTTCACATTTCATTCATCGCTTTCTCGTGTTTTCTTTGAACTCACAGCTTCTGGCATATCACTACCGGGACATCTGTTTTTCAGCATCCGACAGCCACCAAACAATCGCACTCAACATCGAAACAGAAGTTATCAAAATCAGACGCCAGGAAAATTTCCTTGCCTTTATGCGTCGTCACAACAAATGAGTACGGCCTTCCCCAAAGCGAGGCCCAACTTCACCTCCTTGTTCCAACGTCGAAAATGCTTACTCCCTTCACAAAAGTAACGCAGTTTTGCACGTGCGCGTGGGTTCTTGGATTTGGGTATCCGTAGGCTGCATTCTTGCACAACACCGCACCGCTTTCGGCATTAACAATGTCGTACCAAATCTGCTCCCCCCGGGCTCAGCGCCATCGCTTTCCGGATGGCTTAAAGTTCTTCCGCACGCAATCAGCAACCGGGAAGTATCTCCTCCCAGATGCGAATCGAGTACGCTTAGAGTCCGCTAAAACGCAGTTGCTTGCGGTGACGCGGTAGTGCGCGTTGTCTGCGGCCGGTCCGGCCTCAGCATCGTCCTGCGGCAGGGGACAGGAGTCGCTGAGCATTGGGTCCACCTCGTGTGTGTCCTTGCGGGAGATCCACTCTTTGATAGTGGCATTTTGCTCGGCTGCGCCGCTGACGTGGTTTCCGCTCGACAGAGGTCTCATGATAATTTCCAAGCGGATCGAATTCGTTTCTTTTTCATCTATCATGAAAATCTTAATCTTCTGTGATTCGCCGACGCATATATAAACGAGAATGACTGAAAAATGAACAAGTAGAAGGTCTTAAGTCAATGCGACATCAAGATAGCTTGGAGTTTTCGGGTTGATACTTCTGTAAACTAGGAAAAACACTGGGGACAGGTGACATCGAGGGGGAATGGGAGTCTGGCTCTGCGTCATGCATTCACCTCGGTGAGACACTGCGAATAGCTTTCGACAAGATCTTCATGTCGACCGAATCAAACTTGCTGGTGTAGCGCGAACTTGACACACGTTCAAAAGTACATAAAAAAGTCGGACCGAACTGCTGCACCGATGGCTTTTTGGCGATACCACCTTTTCATCAAGACCCAACGGAACCAGAACTACGCCATTGTGTCCCCATGATTGCCAATGCAGGCCATTCCGGTCGTAATATGGCCTTCAACCCAAAACGACCAGGACGCGTTTTTGTTTTTCTTCGCATGCAATCTACTGCAACGCACAGACAGTATACTCAAATCAAAGGAATCATCAAAGAGTCGCACGATGCAACACGTGTTCATCGAAAACAACTGTCACGGCAGCTTCCTGCTCTTCCTCTATCCTCAGCCTTCCAGTGCTTCCAGCCGTCGCTCGCTGTTGGGAATGTAGGCCTTGACGCCCCCCTGCACGACGTAGAGCGGTTTGTTTCCCTTCCCGGTCGTGACCAGGTACTCCTTCGAGATTTCGACCGGCGGTGCCTGCACCTTCTTGGGCCGCGCCATCCAGATCATCCTTTTCTCGTCGAAGTACTGCTCTTTCTTCTGCTCCTCGCTGAAGCGCAGCCCCGTGTCCTGGTGGATCTCGTGAATTTGCGCCAGGGCCGCGGTCTCCGAATCGAGGGAAGGAACTGGGTCTAGCCGCGCGAGCGGGTAGTCGGCTCTGTGAAAGGTTTTTTTGGTTAGGTGGAAATTAAGCGGAAAACGATTCTCGTGTGGTCGTTGTTCGACGTCCTATCTAGTAGCAGGGAACAACTACGGCGACGACATACTTTATTAAGTGACAGCCTTCACAACAAACAGTACAACACTTCGAAAGAGCTATGTCTACATGAAAAAAGTACATTGGTTTTTTCCCGTCTGTTTGCTCCCTCGCCCATTTATCCGGCGTGTATCCCACGTCCCCGTATTTGAACTGGCAGTCTTCCTTGTCGAACCACATCGCCGTCAATTGCGGCTCAATTTTCACGCGCGAGTCGGCTATGATGTGGATGATCTCGTCCTTTTCGCCTGTGGTCAGACCGGATAATGCCAACACGTACTCTACTGTCCCTTCCTCTGGCGCTAAGCTCGATTTTCCGTTCTTTTTGTTGTACACCCGTTCGTTCTCCTCCGGAATCCCGATGGAGTGGATCGGGGTTTTGTCGGGAAACAGGGCTGAGGTCAAAGATCGTGTCAACGATTTCCCGGTTGACTTTGCGTCTTTCCCCACCTCCTTCGAAACGTCAAGCGTACTGGCGCTGGCCTCCAGCAGCGATTGCGAGGCCATGCGGCGAAATTTGTGCGCTTGCTCCTGCACAGTCTCTTCGTCCTCGCCGAACCGTTTTTTCTCACCAGTGAAGAAATCGCGGCCGGCTAAAACCCATTTTTTCCGCAAGCCCTTGTTCATGATCGACCGCAATTTCACGGACTGCGTCTCGTCGCGCGGCCGCAAATAGCTGCTGTATTTTTCCATCAGTCGCAGCTTCGCGTCCGCGACTTTCTGGTACTTCTTCAAACTGCGCTGCGGGTCGTACCGGCGCTCCCCGACGGCGACTAGCACCGTGTTCTCGTGCTCCTCGACGACACGACCGCGCACCCACCGGCCGTACCGGGGAACTCCGTCAACTACGTGCTTCTGCACCTTTTTTCCGCTCTGGCTGTAGTAAACCTTGCGCTTCCGCTTCTTCTTTTCCGCAGGTTCTGGTTCACCTTCTTGCGGCGCTTCTCCTGTAGTTTCTGGCTGGTGCCCCGCTGCTGCTGGCGGCTCACCACCCGCGACGGTTCCGTCCGGTAGCGGAACGCCAGGCGGCTGCTGCCCATCTGCTCGCGGTACTGCAGCCTGCGATTGCGGCGAACTTCCTTGTTGCGTCTGCGTCTCCGATACCGTGCCCTCCTTCCTTTCTGCGCTGGATTCTGGCGATTTGTCGCTCGCCAAGACGGGCGGTTCCGAGGCCGCGGCCGCACTGGCGACCGCGGATTCGGGTGCCGGGGAAGAGGCTGGCAGCGAAGCGGTGTTCTCTCTGGTTGCAGCGGCACCCTCCCCTGCTGGGGGTGCAGGGACTGCAGAGCCTTCAGCTAGAGCTGCACCTCCCTCCTGTTGTACACCACCTGCTGCCGCGCCATCCACCTGTTGCCCCTCTTGTTGCCCGTTGATAGAAGCGATGTTGACCGGTGGGACCACAACCGGCGGCGCTCCGGCGGCCCCGCCTTCTCCCTGCGTTATCTGCTCTCCCGGGGCCGCAGGAACAACAGCAACTCCGTCTTGGAGCACATTAGCGTTCGCACCACCAGGAGCGACAGGCTCCTCGTCCGTCTCTGTTTCGTACTCGGTGACGTATCCGTCCGGCGCGTCGTCCTCCGGAATGCACTTGAAAATACGGACCGGGTCGCCCACACCATAGTCCGTGTACGCTTGGCTCAAGTCGTCCATCCGCTGCTGAAACAGCTCCACTTCGGTCGGCGGGACGGGCGGCGGGTCGGGGATACCCGGCACGCCCATCCTCTTCGCGTACTTGGGTGGTAAAACTTTCTTCCAAAATTTTTGCAGCGGCGTCAGCGGGGGTGGCGGAGGGGTTTCTTCGGTCTCCACCGTCTCCACCTCCGCGGCCTGCTCCTCCTGGAACGCCTGCTCCTCCGCCTCCGCGGCGGCCTCGAGGCGCGCGAGCAACCCGCCCCCCGATCCGGAGTCGGACGTTGTACCAGCGTTTTCGTCCTCCTCGTCGTCATCGCCCAAGGCAGAGTTGGTGCCGCTTTTGAGCGCCGACCCCTCCTCCGGATCCTCCGGCTCGGCGGGGTCTTGGTCCTTGTCGTTCTCTTCACTCATTCGCGAGGGAAAACTTTATCAAATACAACTGAAAATCAATCTGTTCATCAGGCACCGATAGGTAGTTTGGATGTGGAATACGTACAGGAAAATCTTCTGGTGAAGGTGTTTTCTTTCAATGCGTACTAGTAGGGAAGCGAAAACGAAATAAAGCAGAAAAAGCAAATCAGGCGATTGCGTATGGGAATAATCTCTTTGCCGAATGTAGGAGACGAGGGTAGCTTCTGTACAACACCGATTCGTTTGGGGTAGAACGTCGAGAAATATTTCTGGGCCTGTGAGTAAAAGTTTGTTACATCGTGGTGGCGGAATAATTTTCTTTACAGTGGTTCTTCCACGGTAGGTAGGAACGAACATTCGATGCACGAATACGATTTGGAATGCCAAAGCACAAGAGTGTACGACCGAAGTTTTTGTACGATAGAAGAGATTCGTTTTTGGCTGCTGGACCAGTACGATAATCTGACTTTTCCAACAAAACGTTTAGAACACCTGTGCTGAAACAGCCCCAGCAGCCGGAGCTATTCTGCAGCCTGTGCACACGCTTTTTCATTTTCTGTGCGCAAGGTGCACTGTCCAAGAATTACGCGTATCCTACCAGGAGAAAGTACATTCACGGTTCAGGGTCTTTTTCTAGTTCGCATTCGCGCGACAAGCCTCTAGTCCGGGCCCAGAGTCACGTTGATAATGCCTTGTATTAGCAGTAAACCGCACTGAGTTGTTTGCGGCTGCTTACCGCGCAATCCCTGAGAACGCGCAATCCCTCTGAGATCGGTAGTAATTTGTAGTGACGGTGGTGCCGCTTGCTGTTCCCCAAAGCTCCCTTCGTGCGGCACCTCCCATCGCTTCACGTAGTGCGCTTTCTGCCGCCTCGGTCGGTAGCCCCTGCGCCTGCCACCGGATTAGGCCTTTGCTGTCAATCAGAAAAAAGCTGGGCAGCTCCCGGTGGTCAGATACGTTGCCGAGGAGGGCTTCGAGCTCCCGGGTCCACCGACCTTTGTAAACGTATGCGTCGTGCGCTTCCAGCGTCTTTTTCTGGCTGGTGTCCGTCGCTGGTGTAGTCCCAAGGCGCTTGCGCAAGAAAACCTTTGTCACACCACCGGCGAGCCGGCGCCCCAGCCACGAATCCGACAAGTGCAACGACACGAAAGATATCTTCTTTTTTGACGACTTCATCCCAGTATCTGCGATTTGGTTTTGTCCAAACTTCTGCTCACCAACTCGTGCACCTGCTGTTGCCGCATATGCTCCTCCTTGCGGTTCCAAGATTCGCGCACAGACGCGACGCCAGGGCTCGGCCCCCGTGGTGACCCCCGCCAGCGCACCCCCTCCGGAGTACACGGCTAGAAAGACCGGGCACGTCGACCCGTGCAGGCGACTACTCAAATAGATGGAGCTGCAGGTTCGTTTTTGGTTTGGGTCCGGAGGCAAGACGGGATCCACCAGAAGGTTCGGAAACTTGACCGCCACCGCTTCTGGTAAAAGACCCCGGCGCGGGTAGCCAAATGCTCCAGTGTGATTTGGTGATACACGAGGAACCAGCTCGACATACGGTTCCCGGGCCACGATTGCAGTGCGGTTGTACAGCTCCAGGCCCCCGGCCGTAGACCTTAACTCGCAACTTACATTTCTTGTGTCTGTCAACTGTGCAGGGAAAGAACCTGACCTGACTAGCGCCAAGGGAGATGAAGTCGCTGATGCTACCGTAAGTTCGTTACCGTTGGTTTGGTACATCGTTGAGGAGGAAGACGATACAGTACTCGGCACCAACGGCTGCAAAAAATTTTCGTAGAGTCGCATCAGAAGGGTCTTGTGAGGCGCATCCGCCGCTAGGCCTTCCAATGTGGATGGTCTACTGAGGGACTCCCGGACACGCGGTTCGCAATTTTGGGAGCGGAGTGCTGCTGCGTAGCCGGGCACCTGACCGTCTAAGAAGTTCGCAGCACGCTGCAGGCGGCAACTGCGACGCAGGCGGAACATTTTGCTGCGTTTGCTTTATTGACACTAGCTACACTACATAATGCTGAATAAATATGACTCGTCATCCATGAAAAGACATAAATTTTGTAGGAGTCGTTGTCATCGGTATCCGTGCCGACAGTGACAGCATTTGTAAACCAAAGCAATAAGCGATCGGCAACGACGCATTCTTGGCCGTCCGCCCCCGCCCACCGAACACCGGACGGCTTTCAGAGCCCGAAAAAGCAGAGCCGATATAGTGCGCGCACAGATTGGCCTGACAATGGCAACTGGGCAAGCGCGTAAACTCGAGATGGTTCCGCCCGTCGGTATGGGCAATGGGCGGGCCGATTAGCGCAACGGACCGCACAGCGGGCAGGGCCCTACGCAGTTTTCTTCCACGAACGCGAGGGCGAGCGGCGCCGTCCTACACCGCGCGGGCCCGCACACTGGCGAAAGCACGGCACCCCGGCAACCCGCGTGCCCGGGGGCCGAGCGCAATCCAAAATTGCGAACAGCCGAAGCGCAGGCGCGCCGGCCGTCGGAAATTGGGCAGGGCGCGGCAAGCCGGCGCCGCGCCCTGCGGCGGCCCGAACCCCAGCAACCCGAACGAAGGGCGCCGCGCCAAGATCGGGCCGGCAGGTGGTGGCCATACTGCTATCGGTGCTGTTGCTAGAAGTAGATGGCGAAGATGTCTCTGCTTATATCATTTCGAGCTCTCGCGTAGCTTCAATGGAGAAACGGCTGGCGCGAGGTGGTCTGGAACCGGTCCGCTTAGCCTCCTCCTTGGCTTCCCGGATACGCTGCGCCTCCCGGGCGTATTCTTCTTGGCACTGCACCGGGATGCTGTGCACAAACCCAGTATGACCGGGCAGCATTCAAGGCGTGCCGTAGACCGCCGAGCCAGCCCGCGGGCCTCTCGCCTAGAGTTCTCAGCTGCCCTTCCCAGTCGGAGGGAGCTTGCTGCGCCACTTGGTGCATCGTCTCACACTGAGCGCGGATTCCCATCCGGAGTTCAACACCACGAGGCAGATGCCTGCGGCCGGCGGAGAGAGGCGTGAAGCGGCGCTCCAGGATATCTGCCAGAAGTTGAATCAGGTAGGCCGCGGCCGCTGTTTCCCCACCATCCGCGCCGATGGTTGTGACATGCAGGCCGCCAAGGGTGTCGCTTTCGGGTAAAAATTCCTGCAAATGAGCCACCGCCGCCCGAGCCTGCTTGAAGGCCTTGCTCACTCCCGGAAGCCTGTCCCCGCGCTCGTCGAACTTGCGGACTCTGGTCGGCAGATTCACACTGCCACGCCCGTTGGTGAGCAATTGGAGAACCAATACTATCCAGCTGCTCGAGTGGTCGAGCATAGCTCTGCGCCTTTGAGTGCATTCGCATTCTTCGGCGAGTCTTCGCCGGGGCCGACGGGCACAGTCTTGCCACTAACCTCGCTGCACCGCTTCAACGCCCGCGCGATCGCGTTCGACACGTACGGCACGAACCCCGCGCCGGCAAAACACGCCAAGCGGGGGCAGCAGGCGCGGCCGAACCGGCCGGAGCCGGGGCCGCGGCCCTTCTCGCATACCCGCAGCTGCCCCGATGGGCATGCGCCACGGAGCCGCCGGCGTAGGGCGCCCGTGGCGCCGTAGGCCCGCGCGGCGCTTCAAGCCGCGCGCGCCACCTTCTGCCGCCGCCTTTTTTTTCAGTTCGGGGGGCCGCCTGACGCGGTTCGCCAGCGTGCGCGCGCGGTCCGAAACCAAGCCCGGACCGCACCGGGGCAAGGGCCCGAACGGGCGACGCACTTTTTGGGAGAACTGGGGCCCCGCCTTCGACTCGCTGTTTCGGCGGGCGCCATTGCCACGCCCGCGCCCCGGCGGAGTGCCCCCCCTTTCCTTTTGCACACCCGGCGGCAAGCGGTCACGGCGCGGCAGGCTTTCCGCCATCAAGCTGGCGAACTTATTCGCGCACGCCGTCAAGATCGGAAGCATCTTGCGAAGCCTTTCCGTGGTCAGCGCGCCGTTGGCCACTGTGGCGGCTTTGGCGTGGCCCGTTTGGGCCCGCTGCCTTGCTCGCGGCTGCGGCTGTCGCGCCTTCGCCCCCGGTCGCGTTGCCGGCTTTCGCCGCGGCCCCGGGCCTCCGGGGAAGCTTATGGGCCCCGACCAGAGGCAAAGCAGCGAGATAGATCGGCGCGAACCCCCCCGGGCGCATCCCCGGGCTTGGTGGCTTCCCGCTTAAGGGGCGCGGCAATCGCGCCGCGGAACGGCAGCGCTACGGCACCTCGGGCCCACGTGGCTCGCCAAAAGTGCCCCGAGGTGGCTCGCCCCCTAGGCACCAACGTCCTGGCTGCTCTCGAGGTCTTTGCTCGTAATCTCTGGCGTCTCCGCGATTCGCTCGCCGCCGCACCGCCGGCGCGCCCGCCGCACCCCAGAAAGTGCCCGCGCCAGCCTTCTGGATCTTATCCAAAGGCCCCATGCGTCTAAGAGGACTCGTATTATGAAGCGCGAAAGCCGCCCGCTTCAAACCAAAGACGAAAAACCTTGGCTAAAGAACACTGTGCTCCTGAACGGCAGCGCAATTCCGCGACGGCAATCGCATGCGCAATGCCACGACAGCACAACTCCCATCTCAAGTTTCCGACTTCCATACACATCCGTTTCCGAACTGGTACTCTTTGCCATTCATCACGCAAGGGCGCCGCATAGCGGATCTGTTTATCTGACGCAGTGCCTTACAATGACCGTTATTTCCTTATCCTTCGTGGTTAACCGTGAAAATTATAAGTAGGTAAGCCAGTGCCGGAGTAAGTCTCACAGGCACGCTTCGTTGACCGAGAAAGTAAATGAGCGCGACGTGTGTACAAGTGTAGGAGTACATTGTAGCAGCGTTCATAGGCGGGTTCAGATTTCTACAGGTTTGGGGTTCGGATTACGAATATGCCGCATCGTCGCCCCGCCCGCCTGCGGCATGAACGGCGTGTGCTTACCATATGCCTTGGGCAGACCGTAGGCGCCTTCGGGAATGTACGCATTGACGCGGGGCTCTGCCGTGGTTCGAGTAACATTCGAATGCAAGATCACCTCCTCCTGCATGCGGGCCTGTAGGGTGCGTCATTTGAAAACGCATCGGAACTTGCAGAGTATGGACTTCGCACTTTAGCAAAAACACTTCGTCAGTCATATTCGACCACAGCTTCCGGTGCCCAACAAACAAATTACGCGGCACGAAATATTCAAATCACACAACATACCTTCGCCCGCTCCTGATCGGCCGCCCTTTGCGCCTCGAGCTGCACCAACTTCTGCAGCTCCTCTTCTGCGGTAGCAGTTGGTGGTTGGTTTTCCCGCAGACGGGCGCGCGCTTCGGCAGCAGCATCCCGGAGTAGGTTGGCTTCCTCGGACAGTTTCATACTCGTGGCCTGGTACATACTCAATTCGGAGACCGTAGCCATCATCTGTCGCGTAACTTCCTTCATCTTTGCCTGGAAAGCGTTCACCCGTTGCGACATCTTCAGCGTGGCCTGGCGCCCGTCAATGGCCTGCACCCGAAGCTTCTCGCTCAATGCGGTCACCTGTACGTTATTTTTTGCGAAAACAAATTCGCACATGATGGAAGCATTCCAGATTTAAAACCCGAAACCCTAATCGATACCGAAAAAAAATGAATGCACGAAGCGAACAAGTACCTCTTCCACGATGAGCTCCTTTTCAAGAAGCTGTTCCTCCTTCGCATTTAGTCTCTCTTCCAGCCACTGTCTTTTTGCCATGAGTGTGTCTTTGTCTGGATCGGTGACCTGGCCCTCGCCAAGGAACCTCCACTTGCGTACCTGAAGATTCCAGAGTCGTCTTGTAGTTGTCTTGTTCCCCTTCCCAGACAGTGAAGTAAGTACTTAGATCTCTTGGGCAAAATAAGTAAGTAGAAGCTCTGTGGCCATTTGCATTTTTTCACAGAAGGAGCTCTAGACCACACCTTGCTGCTCGGGTTTTCCAACTCCGCAGACAGCGCGTCGGACTGTCGCTTCACGCCGCGCAGCTGGTCCTTTAATATCAGAACCTTCTCCGTATACTGGGCGGTGTCTTGTATACTTCGGTTCATGGAGACCTGTCGTGATATTGAGTCTCGTTAGATTTACCACATTAAGATCATCATCATATTTCATGTCCATTCTTAGTGCACGCTCGCGGCTATGATATTTCAAACCACAATCTGAACGGGCCACAATTGCAATACTTCTGATCATTCCCTCCGAATAAAACTACAACTGAACCTCCCTTCTATACCATCCTCCTGTTAAGCGCCGCGAGGTCGATGCGGCAAGACCGGAGATTTTCCATTTTTTGCTGAATGGCCATCTCGCCTTTCTTCAGAAGCAGCTCCTGCACGTTCGACTTCTCCCATAGAATACACAGCTCGTCATTCCTGTCGATGAGCTGGATCCCGGTCTGGTTCCGCTGGCACACGGCGTCCTCGAACTTCTGTTTGGCCACGGTGATTTCTATGGAAGTGTCAGAATCGAAATTGACAAAATCGAAAAATTTCTGATGCATAAAATGTAGGGCACTGGAGGCCTGTATTGGGTAGCAGGCAAGTGAGACCGATTGGGAGCCTGTTTCGGGGTATACAATGTGCTGCCAGAGGAGCATGACAGGAGGAGCCTTCTTTGCCCAAACAGCATGACAGACTGGATTTGGGTGCTCCCGAAATTTGTCATGCGCCAGTTGGAAACTGAGGCTCCAACTGACATCGATTTTGTGCATCGCAAATTTTTCGACTTTGTCAATTTTGATTCTGACACTTCCATAATTTCCCGCTCCAATGTGTTGATCAACGCGTTCAGCTGGTCGATTTCCAGCACGTAGAGCTCCACGTTTTCGTTCGCCTGGTTTATCTTGTGCAGGATCCGAGTGAGCTCCAGCCGGTACGCGTCGCGCACCGCGCGCTGCTTCTTCGTCTGTTGCTGCGTTTCCGTGATGGTCTTGTCTTTCCCCGCGGATTCCAGTCTTAAAATCTCGATCTCGTTGCCCAGAACCTTGAAGCGCTCGCGCATCTCCGACAATTTTTGACTCGCGGCCTGGATCAGCGCGACGTACTTGTTGCGCTCGTTTTTCACCACTTCATACGCGGCGCAGAACTCCTTTTGCCGCTCCGTCACCTCGGCCAGCTTCTTTCGGAGGTCGAACTCCTCTAGTTGCTTCATCTGCACATTGTCCCACACCTCCTTGCTCAGCACCGTCGCGTTTTGCAGATCGCGGACCAGCTTCCCGTGCGCCTGCTCCACAAACCGCAGGTGCTTGCCCCAGTCGCTGTTTTGCCGCTTCAGGTTGGCGAGGTCCTGGCGGAGATCCTGCAGGCCTTGGTGCAGCGAGCTCAACTCCTCCTTCTTCTCCTTTTCGACGCTCTCCTGCTTCAGAAACGCGCCGATGAAAACGTCGACCTCGTTCTGAATCTCGTCTATAACCCGCTCAGCTGTTACAATCTCAAACGTTACAATAAAATATGGAAATCTGTGATGCAAAAGATGGTGCATGACCTAACCTACTCCCACAGCATTGCGCATGACAAGTTCTGGAGTCCCAAACCGCACTGGAATCTGGCGAAATTTGTATTGCAGAAAGTGGAACGCTGCGCGGGTCTGTCATGCTCATCATGCAATACAAAATCCAGATTCTATTGTAACGTTTGAGATTGTAACGTTTGAGCGGGTCATATCGTCCAGAAGCAGAATCTGCTTCTTGTTGTCCTCGGCTGCAGTGTTTTATTTACGAACGTTGCTAAAGATGATGGACTAGAAAAGTTGTTGCAGTGAATGAAATGGAAAAGAAACTCGCTCAGTACTTTCGGGTGGAAAGGAAATCACAAACCTACAAGTGAGAAAACAAGTACAACTCTTTGCTATACACACTAAGTATCGTATAAGTACTTTTCAACTGTATCTCTTCGTCTAATTCTTTTTTCCTCGCAATCAAGGGCGGGATTTGGTGACGCAGCTCTTTCACCGCCATTTCTTTCCTCCTGTAGTCGCGCTTTTGCCTTTCGAGCTGCTGCTCCTTCTTCGTTTTTTCATCCAACCCGTGTCTGATATCCTCGGAAACGATCCGCGTTTCCATGTCGATGCCAACTTTCTTGGCCAGCAGATCGGCGGAGGTGTTCCTCAGACGCTCGAGCTTTCGCTGAATTTCGCTGTATTCATCATTAACGGACACAACGGAGTCCTTCATGAGCTGAACGCGGAGCGTGGCCTTGCTTCGCTGGTCCTCTACTTTTTTTCGCTTCTTGATCAACTCTTCCGTGCGCGCGTCGGTCTTCTTCAAATCTTCTTGCACCTGATTAAGTCGGTTATTTTCGCTGTTTCGCCAGATTTATATTGCTTCGCGACTCCCCAGCGCAGCGTGAGCGTTCTTGATCGATGAAAGAATAGCATTAGCACAACATACACATAGGCATTGATTTCCGTGCTAGATTTACAAAAATCTATCCCAGTACAATGTCGTCCGCGGCTTTCATGCTCTTCAAGACCGTTTCGAACTTTTCGACTTGCTTCTTCACTCGCCCTGGCTCGTTTTTTATCTTGTTTAGCTCCCGCTCGTGCTGCTCCATGTTTATTACATGCGTGGTCTCCAGGTCGTCCCGAAGCTGCGCTACACGCTCGAGGTCGCTGTGGTTTATTTTTCGGAAAAAATGTAATGTCAACAGATGAAACGTACTGTACTTTAAACTTTTTCCCTTCAAGTTTTGTCAGCGCACAACCAAAAACGCCAGAAGGACTGATTATATGCAAGCAACAACTAGTATAAGTACGCGTCTTTCTGTGCTTCTTTCTCCTTTTTGGTTATGTTGAGTTGGGCGATTTCTTCTTTTTGTAGGTGGAGAGTTGATTCCATGTTTTCCACGAGTGGTCGGAACGCGGCTTGTTCCGCCGCCTTTTTCGCGGCAATTTGCTCGACGAGCTCGCGGTGCTGTGCCTCCAGTTCCTGTGCCTTAAGATCGTACGTCGCTTCGTCATCAAGTGCTGCTTCGAGCTGTTTGTCGAGCTCGCGTATTTTCACCCGTCGCGCATTCACCTGGTTCTGGTTGTCTTCCGCTTCTAGCAAGGCTTTTTCCATTTTTATCTTCTCCGCTGTTTTGTTTTTCATATTCCACCAATGGCATAAAGGGTGTGAACCCGTCATGCAGATCGATCTTGCACTCCATCAGAAACATGCAAAAAAAGTTATTTCCAAGTATCCAAATACTCCTTGTGCTTCTGTCGCACAGCGCGAGCACGTAAATTCTCAAAAATATATACCCATGAGTTTCGTGTTGAGTTCTTTCGCGGTCGACAGAAACTTCTTCTCGTTTTCGTAGATCTGCAGCACGCATTCGTGCTGCCTGCCGTATCGATCCTTGAGGATCTCCATCTGCTGCATGGGAATCTCACCATCCCGGGCAAGTTCGTCTAACACGTGAAACGCCACGGAGTTTTTTAGGCTCGTCTCGCCACCCTCGTCGGTTTCTTCCGGGTTCTCCTCGGAGTTCTCCTCAGCCTCCGACATCGTCGTCGCCTAGGTGTGTTGGCTGCAACTAATGCTGCAAAATGATCAATGCAACTCCAGAACGGAGTTGTAGTTGTACCTGACCGCTGCTTCACTATCTGGAAGGGTGCTCTGTCCGTGAAGTTGTCACCGACTACGAACACGAAATACAGCCCTTGCGCAATCAGACCCTACGCGTCCAGTGTGGTATGAGGCGTGCGAAGGACACACGGAACGGAGAGAATCGCCACGCACCGGCAAGCAACGATGACCCGATGCCGTGCTCCGGTGGCTCGTCGGCGCTTCCTGCTGATGCCTTCTTGGCGCCAAAATTTACGAAACCCAATTATGTAGTGCCGTAACCTGCAAAGCAGGACGATCAGATATATTTTCAAACCGTGTTGTCGTAAATGACTTCTTCTTCACTCAAAAAAACACTCTCCCCCGCAGCAAACTCAAAACATGCTTTTGCGCTGTTCTCTCACACGGCGAAGTTTGCGCCCTCCACTTCCCTTGCACGAGACGCTCGACAGTTCGAATCGCTCATCATCTTGCACATTTGGTTCCCGTCGTGTGCCATCCCGTACTGAAGAAGATTAGAACAAAGTTAGCGACCACGTAGAAGTGGCGCACTTTTGACACGAGGACTGGTGCAGAGCTTCGCTCACAGCAGTGTTTCTTGTTATTTACTTCCCTGTGTTGCGTTAAAAACTAAATCGTCTGACCTCATGTCTTCTTTGGTTTCACGCGGTGGGTAAATTCCTTCTGGGGACTCAGCACCCGCAGGCAGTTTAACGCCCCGCACGGCCACAACCGGACCGCCACGTGAGTGGCCCGCCGGGCGGAAAACCCCTCAAAAGTCATGGTCGAGCCGGCGAAGGACTTCGCGTATCGCTTTTCGCAGAGTCGCTCAAAGTGGCCCGCCTGCAGCAGCCGCGCGCCCTGTCCCTCGTTTCCCGCGTCGGAAGCCGCCTGGGACAGCATGAGACCGCGTTCCAGCATCTGTTTCTCCTTCATTTTCCCGTCCTCCCCCTCCGTCCAATCCGTCGCAAACACCTCGACAAACTCCGCCATATCATGAAAACTGTGGGAGAAGTCCAGCTCAACGCGTGAAATCGTCACGGGCTGCACCGTGTCGGTGGCGTTATTCCGGTCCCGCGCCAGCACCACAACCAACACCGAGCCCTGCCCGACCGCCTGGTTCCTTTGGCGCGGGAACAGGATCCCGCGCTCATGCGTGAAGGGGCATTTCGGGTAAGAGACAAGGGGTAAATATCGGGCCGGGACGTTGTCGGACAAGAGCGCTGTTGAGGATTCCTGCATGACCGGCTTCCCGATCTCTTGCCGGGCGAAGTCTGGAAACAGCACCAGTGCACCCAAATCGGAGGACGCGACATTCACCAAAATGTCGGCAACTTGCTCCGGTGGTCGCTTGTTCATCTGGGCCAGTGTATTTGCTGTCAAAAGCTGCTGGTTCAAGACGAACGTTCGTCTTTTCCGGAACGCGTTGGCCGAATCGGTGATGTCGACGGCCGGCTCCTCGTCCTCCTGTTCGAGTTGTTCCACTTTCAATCGATCCTTCAGCAACCTGACGTCTTGCGCACTACTATATGGGGACGCCTCAGCCTCCGTGTAGGCAGTCGCTTTCGGGTTCTGCAGAAACGCCTTCCACGCAGGGACATCCGCAACGCCAGCGGTATTTCGCCAATCGGAGTTTTTAGTACCGTTTTTATCCGCTAAAACTATCTCAACCAAATCCTTTTCTGCAAACAGTGCGATCCGCGCAACGCCGCCGTCCGGAAACATGCGCAACTCGAACTTCGTGCGGTTACTGCCTTCGTGACAGTCCTGCTTCGCGATGTTGTAGAGAATTTTGCCGTTAATCCGCATCCAGTGCTGCGCGTTCGCAACCGGCTCTAGGGCGCGAGGGAGCAAGTCCACGTATTCTTTCTTCTTATGGTCAAAAACGCAGAGGAACACCCGCTCGGGCAAGTCTCCACTTTTTACAAATCCCGTCGAGAGGAAGAACATCCACGACGCGGTGTCGGCCGTGCTCGCGTTCCACAGAGTGTCTTTCCCTTCCACGTCGAACCTGACATAGTCAAACTTCGCCGGGTTGTGTCGGCGCGTGCACCAGGAATCGTAGTCGACGCTTGGAAAGAAGGGAGAAAACAAGTTTTCCACTTTTCCCAGCGTCCCTACGTCAGTGGCGTCGGCGATGATTAAGTCAGACGCTGGGTTGGTGAAAATCTCTCCACCTGTGGTCCTACTGCGCTCGTCCTGCTGCTGTGATGAAGAGGCGTGCATCATAATTAACTGGTTCCTGGGCCCGCGGTCGTGTTTGCTTCGCTCGTCGCGAAGAAAGTCCTTTGCCTTCATCGGACAAACTTCCTTACTGATCAGCTTGCCAAAGAACCGCTGCTGAAATTTCTTCTGAAAAGTAAACACTTCTTCCCGCACCGCGGCCCCCATCGCGTCTAGATCGGTGGAGAACTTCTCCTTTTTCGTTTCTTCACTTCCTTCTTTTGTCTTTCCCTCGCTCTCTACTGCAATTGCCGCTGTTGTATTGCCAGAAGTTGCAGCACTGTGGTCTTCCACGGCGGCTGCTTGCTCTTTCTGCTTCCGGCCCGCGAAGCCGAACTTGGAGCTGAAGACGGAGGTTGCGCAGGCCACCCAGTGCTCTTCTTCAACGATCGTTGCCGCCACGTCGACCAGACAGGATAACCGCGCGCCCGCGTTGCAGCAGATCACACAGCCGCGACCGGAATCGGGTCCTTGGATGCAGAGGAGAAACAGGCCGCAGTGACCCTCGTTGGAAAAGTGCTGCATCACGAACTTTGCGTTGTCCACCCGATCGAAGCCCCGCGCCAGCAGCACCGCCCCACTGGTCGCGCCGTCGATCCCGGCCTGGCGCATGGCCTCGGAAGTTTCCTGGAAGTGGAGCTTGTCCCACAGCATTCGCGCGCCCTCGTGCGAAATTGCCGCAGATTTTTCATCAACGATACTGTTCCCGAACCCGTTGCACATGTTCGCCAGCAACCGACTAAACGCGAGTGGCGTCGCAATCGCGCCACCCGCAAGCTCCGGGTACTGCAGCATCAACCGTTTCGCGGTGCTCGGTTTACTCGGGTCGTAATCTACCGGATGCCCCAACGCCGCGTAGGGCTCGATCGCGTCGCTCTCGTCGTCGTTTTCGTCCGCGACCCCCGGGCCGGTGGGAACCTCGTCGCTCATCCGGGCCTTGTTGACCCGGAAGCCCAGTTCGCGCACGTTGTTGCGCGGTTCCGCGAGCCAGGGCCGCAGAATGTCGTACATCGATGTTTTGTCCGGGGAGTGGAAGAGTTCCAGCAAGTATTGCAGGACCAGTGCGCCCGCCGGCGTCGGCTCGTACGCTTCCCGCGGTTCCCGGGCGACTGCTAGCTTGTCGTACCCGAGTTCCTCCGGTGCCTTTCCCCTCATGATGTCCAATACAGACGGTTTGTCGTCCTTGAGACCGCGGCCGACGAGCGGGCCGGCGCTGAGCACCGCGTGGCCCGTCAAGTCGCGGAGCCGCACTTGGTCCCCCGCCCCGGTCGCGCCCGCCAGGTCGGGCAGCACGTACGGTGCCCGCATCGCTCGCAGGATGTCGTTCACCGGCGTGTTCGCAAATAACTCAAACAGGGACCGCGGAGGCGGCGGGGGCGGCTCCTCCTCCTCCTCGCTCTCGTCCAGCGGCTTTTCCTTGATTTCGTAAAACAGGCTCTCCAGCTGCTCCGCCACCTTCTCCGGGAGCTCTCTCCGGTCCAGGGAGAGTTGCTTTTCCACGAAGAAGGCCGCGGCAAGAAGCTGCGAGAAACTGCCGAGTGAGAACAGCGTGTCCGCCCGCATGTGCTTCCGCGCGCTGTGGTACAAAAACCCGGATTTCCCGGCCACCACGGGCCGCTCGGGGAAGGAAACTTTTGGCAACGTCGGGATGAAATTGCTCGTGGTCACGTAGTGCCTTCTAAACGGTTCAGCTTTGTCCGCGAAGCTTTGAAACGCGACCTGATCCGGTATACTTGCGGACGCGGCGGCCGAGCGCGGAGGCGCCTTCCGACGCACCATCATCCCCACATCGAGCGGACTCGCGTCCAGCGCGGCGTCCAGCGGCCGCAGCAGACTGACGCTGATCCCCGGCACGCCGTGGTTGCGGACGCACCCGTCCACGGCGCGCTGCAGCCGCAGCCACCGGAAGGGCAGGTTCGTCAGGAGCCGCTGCAGCCGCTCGTGCAACGCAGTCTGCAGCAGGCCGCGCACGCGGGTCTGCAGCTCCGGCTTCAGCCCCCCGATGCCCCGGAGCTCGTGCCGCGTCTGCTCGTCAAACACATTCTCCTCGTCGAAGGGGAAGCCGCGGCGCAGCACGTCGAACGTGATGCCCTCGTCGACTACGAGAAAGCGCGAGAAGTCCAAGCAGTCGTGCTCCGAGCGAAACGACCCTCTGCCGCCCTCAAACACCATGGCCTCCGCGTACTCCGCGCACAGGTAGACGTTTTCCATGTACCACACCTGCTCCGCGAGGGGGTTCGCAACCGAGGTCCAGTAGTGCCCCGGCCACGCCTTCGCGACCAGGTCCCACGGGTCCGCGAACGTGTCCGCGTTCTCGAAGAGCGCGTCGTAGAGGAAAATGGTCAAGTACTCCTGCACGGAGTTCCGGCACACCTTGTCGCACACCAGCTGCACTAGCAACTGCAGCACCACGCGGTACCAAGGCTTGGTCCGGGAGGTGAATCGCAGCACGGTCGCGTGGTCAATCAAGTCCGGCAGCGGCGTCCCCTCGTCCTCCGTGCCCGCCGGCGGGTCGTAGGGGGTGATGAGACTCACGCGGTCCAAGTTTCGGTACTCCTCGAACAGCATCTGCAGGAAGGTGTTCCGCGGTAGACGGCCGTGGTGCACCTCCAGCCACAGTTCCATGCGGGCCTTTTCCAAGCTCGCCAGGTCGTAGTACCGCAGCACCGCAATCGGGTCGCTGTTCACCTGGGCCCACACCGGCCGCACGAACTCCGGAAACCAGAGCGTGGTGAAGTCCCGGAAACAGGTGTAGTAGCACAGGTACTGCAGCGCCTCGCGGATGCTTTTCCGCACCTCTTTCTCCACGTACCGCAGCTGGGTCTTCGCCTTCCGCGGGTCCTTGCTCTCCACCTGCAGATTCTCGTCCAGAAACAAAACTTCGCGGGTGACCTCGTTGCTGCCGATGCCGTCGCGCTCGACCGGCCCCGTGATGCCCTGCACCTCGGCGCCCTGCTCCTCGTCCGTTTCGGCGTCCTCGTCCTCGCCCATCTGCGCGAAGAACATGATTTTCTTCAAGTGCCGCCGCACCACGTCCAACCGCCCGTCCCACAAAAAGGGGTTTCGCGACCGCGCCGTCACGCTCTTCAGCAGCGCGTAGCACACCTCCAGCGCCTCCTGCTTGGCCTCCGTGAATTCCGTGGGGTCGTCCAGCCACTTCGTCCGGGCCTGCCAGTATCGCGAGTACACATCCCAGACGCACAGCCCCGGGCGGACGTAGTCTTGCGCGTAGCAGCAGAACCCGTCCAGCCCCGCCTGGACGTGGGCCACCACCTCGCGGACCAGTTCCAGCATCACCACGACGTCCGATGCGATGCGCTCCTCCGACTGCGCGTCCAGGTAGGGGTTGAACAGCTCGGGCCCTCCGGGGGCAACGCTCTTCATTTTGCCCGCCAGCGTTTGCGACACGGCAAACCCGCAGAGCGCGAAGTGGGTGCCCGTGGCAACCAGGTCCTCGCCGACCATCGAGCGCAGCCACACGCGCTGCATCTGCAGCCCCTGGCGGAGCCGCTTCTCGTCCGTGCGGCGCAGCACCCGAAACAGCGGGTCGCGCCGCTGGGACCGGGCCAGCGCCGCGAAAAACTGGTCGGTGGAACCCAGCCCGACGCTGACCACCACGTCGCTGTCGGCTGTGGTTGTGTTGTTTCCGCGTCCGAGCAGGTCTGCGACGGCCGGCACCGCGTCCAGCAAAAATCGCGGGTGCTCGCAGGTGACAGCCAACTTGACTTTCGGAACAGCTTTCTTCACCGCCACCGCCTTTGACGCCAGCCCGCGCAGCTTGCCAAGGCCCCCAACTTGCGGCTTGTTTGCAGCAGAGGCTCTATTCCCAGTTCCGCTTGTCCCGGTCGGCAGTAGCGCCAACGCACTGTCGATCAGGTTGCGGACGTACAGGGCTTCTTCGCGCGAGTGCAAGTTGCCCACCTCGAAGGTCAGCTCCGCGAGGTCCTTGTTGTGGTAAAGGAGCAGGCAAACGCAGTACAAGTGCAGCGGCAGTGGGTCGCGCCCGTCCACCAGATGCCACCAGTCCGCCAGCTCGAGATCGGGCAGCCGCGTTCGCAGCGCCGCTTTCTTCCGCTGATCACCTCGCAAATTCGGCGTGGTCCCGTGCAGACAGTAATGCAAACCCTGGAGGCACTTGGCTACCGCCGTCACGTCGCCGACGCAGGCGTCGACGTTGGCGCAAAACTTCGGCAACAGCGCGGATTTCGTGATCACTTTGCTCACCTCCGTGACCTCCTTGTCCTTGCCCGCGTGGGCCGTCGCGAGGCCGTACTCCGGCTCGGCCTCCAGCGGGCCGGCCGCACCCCGGAAGCTCACAAAAACACGGTCGCGGTTCACCTTCCGCCGCGCCATGTCGCGGATGCTGGCTTTCTGGGCCCGGTCCTCGATGGCGTCGAGGTTGCGCTCCTGCATACCCTTCACCGCATTTCGGCCCGCCCCCGCGAAAATGTTCGTAGCACTGGTTTTATTCGCGGCTGCTGCTCCCAGCATCACGGACTTGGTTTGTGTGAAGGCGGGATCTCCACCGTCCTTGTCCACAAGTCCCAGGTACTGTCGCTTGAAACTCGCGACTTCGTCTGCCACCTCGGGGTAAACCGCTTGAAAAATCTTCGCCCTTTCGGAAAGCGCGGTCTCCAGACGCGCATCTTCCCGCTCCAAGCACGCCGGCGCGCGCCGCGGCCGCGGCGGCTTGTCGTACGCATCGTCCCAACACGTTTCGTAGGCGTCGCTTTCGTAGTCCCGCGACTGGTTGCGGGCGACGCAGAGTTGCGTGCGCGCATCTAACTGCTCCGCAACCACCTCGCGCTGCAGCAGCAGCAACGACAGGGCGCCAGCGTTGGCCAAGTAAACTCTGCGGACGTACGCAAGTACCTCCTCCTTCTCCCACCGGTTCAGCTCCTTATTGGAGCTGATCTTCTTGTGAATTTTCCAATTTGTCCCGACCTCTTCGTACTCCCCCCGCGCCAGAGCCGCCTCGAGCACCCTGGGCGCTAGCTGCCGCTGATAACTCGTCACGTCGTCCATCGTTCGTGTGTTGTGTCGCTGCAACGCTTTGGAGAGGGAGCAGTGCAGGCAGCACAGGTCGACGTGACGCGAGCAACATTAGCAAGAACGAATCAACATAATCCGTCTGGCTTCTCTGCTTTTGTCATCCGATAGAATCGCGAGGAAATGAGTTGATGCTTTTCATGCTAGCATATCTGTTATCTTTAAGTTGAAATCAAGTCGGGGGCATTTCTTCATGCTGGCGAGCAGCTGGTACAACCTTGTGTAGTACCGAGCAAGTAACTACGCACATGATACAGAATAGGTCCACGCTTCTGGTTGAGAGGAGGTTAATATCAAATCTTCACAACTGAGGTCATTCCCCTGTTCACTTCCATCTGATGTAAAATCTGTGCAGCTGCTGCAAAACCAGAGACTAGCGCGAAGAGCGACGACGTAAAACGAAGGAGGACGAATAACGCGATTTCTGAACGATATAAAATGAGTACACGCCACGAGGCTCTTGACAGCAGTAGCACGATTTTTCAATATTTCAGCCCGCTAGGCGCAATGAATTTATGTGGACGACGAGAAGGCACGCAACAAAGAAACACAAGGAAACGAACGAAAAAATGATCCGGAAATCTCACACAACCAAGGCGAAGCAAAGGCCCCCGTTCATGTGACAGTTCTATTTTCCCGCACCAACATGCTTCGACAATGATGCAAAAGCTTGACCATTTCATGCCTGCGATTCCTCGTCGCATCGAGGAGAACACTGAATCCAATAACATGCTGAAGAACACGACTGACTTTTTCTAAACCACATGTATGTCAGTGTGGCGCTCAATCACTTAAAGTCATTCTCATCTCGTTCCTTAGCAACATTCTGGAGGTTGTACTTACCCCTAAATGGTTGTTCTCATACCGTCTCCCAGTACTTTCGCTGAGGAGGACTTTTGAGATGCAAATTATATTCGTTTGCGTATAGATATGTTTTTCGTGGTGGAACCCGGAAAACGCGGAGCCTTGATCTCCAGAGTCCGTGCTTTCTTCCTCGCCAGCAGGTCGGACTGAGCTTCTGCTTGGCGTGGACCTGACAAAAAGCATGGTGGTAGCGTTGCCAAAACGAGGTATAAACTAGTTTACTTTTCATGACTAAAAGTTTTTCCCTTGTTGCTATAGGTTAAAAACTTTTTCATGCCTCAAATCAAAATCAAACCAAATGGCTTTCAAGTTGCCTAGTGCAACTCGAGACTCTACCCAGGGCTAGAAAGGAAGTCCCATAGAGAGTCACGGCAAGACAGTCATCGCTAGGGTCTTAGGGGCAGAATTCTTGGATATCTGTGCTACACCCCGACCGAAGCCTATATCTCTCTGCGAGTCAACAACGAACTCTCACAGCAATCAACAACGAGCATTCTACAGTAGTTCAAAACTTTTTGTGCGGGGCGACAAACTAAAACAAGCCTAAAAAAAGGTTCTTGTCTCTGCTTCTCGCTATGAGGCTGTCAAATAAACATAAATCGGCTAAAGAATTTTGTTGGTGCTATCGTAATAAATTCTCAATTATGCGTGTTCTGACGACGATGCTGTTGTCTATAAAAAAACTGCTTCTTCGCTTACAGCTCGCCGACTATTAGACTGATCACAAACCACGGACAACAATCAAGGCCTCGTTGGTCGTACAACTACTTCCCGGTGGCAATAACATGTACGAAATTTACATATCCACCTGATAGTACCCAAGTTTCCTTCTTTTTATTCATCTCGTCTTTTTCAATTATCCACGGCGGCCGGCGTCCGAAAAGCAGCAAAGGGAGTGCGCTATCAACTGCAAACCAATCTATCTGTGTCTGGAAAATTGCAAAATTGTGTGTAGTGTTGTCATGCTAAGCACCTCGGAAGGGAGCTGAGCATTTGCCAATGCACGCACACCACCTCGGCGCTTGGAAAATGTCGCCAGACTCAGCTACCCTGCCGACTCATTACCGGTTTGTTGAGAGGCGAAATTCAAATTAACCTCACACAGGTTGGCTAATTTGTTTCTCATGCAAAAACACGATTTGCTCTCGTGTTAGAATTGCAACTTGGATATTGCTCAAAGCTGCTCAGGCGAACTAAAAGTCCTTATTTCATGATGACCCTATTAGCAACGCAAGTCTAGTACTCTCGCACTTTTCCAGACTCAGAGATATCATTGCAGTCGATACGAAGTCATCGAAGTCCGTGTTAGAGCCAACGCGGAATTGACCCAGAGACTCACTCCTGTCGCTCTGGCTCTTCCCTTCTCCAAGTAACCGACTCGGAGCAAGCATCTCCTCCATCGTAGCATGGTGGAGCTGGTCCACCGTCGTCCACGCCTCTGCGTGATCACTCCCTCCCAGAACATGTGCCCGAGTCGCTCCTTCTTTGATTGGCAAATACACCGTCGTTGCGTCACGAGAGCCCTCTCCCATCCCCGTCCCGATTAGCACTGCTTTTGGTCCGTCCGGCAGTAGCGTGGCTTGGACCAGGCCTAGTTCGGCGTTGAAGCGCCGGTCAAGGCGGTCCTGTCTTAACATTTCTCGGGCTTTCTCCATGGAAATATTTCCGTCCTCGACAAAGTCTTCGATTGTGAATTCAGGATCTCCCATGTTTCTCCACTTAGGGACATCCCCTTCTGCTGGGTCCTCATCATCCATTATGTGACACAGAAAAAAACGCGCGCATCATTGTTGTATATGCACTAAAACATAAATATTTGTTCTGTCGAAAGTCAGTACGTATCATGGAGCCCAAACCATGCCGCTTTGTTGAGATATGCAACTTGGAGGTGCGTCTCCCTCTCCTTGTAGTAGAGTAGTTGTAGTCTGTTCTTGCATTACAAGAGATGCGATAGGGTGCCTTACTTTTTTCTCTGAGATACAGGAAATGGAGTTTCATGGCAGGGGTCGCTAGACTCCACCGTCGATTGGCGCTAGCAAGATCTTGGTCAGTCAGCCATTTTCTCGTGAAGTCGTACACCGACTCCATTGACCCCCCGGCCACCAGCCGAATAAACTCTTGCACTTTTGCGTACGGAAAACGCAGCGTAGTTTTGTAATGGAGCTCCAATAAAGATCGCTCGGAAAGCTGCTGGCTTATACCTGCACCCACCTCGACGGCGTTCCTGCCGCCCATTTTGCGCCACAGCAACTTGAAAAACCGCTGCTCAACGGCCGCGCAGTGTCGCCTTTCTGGGCTGCCTTCGTCCGGGCCTCCAAAAGCTTCGCAAACACGGTCTAGGATGCGCGTCTGCAGCGTTTCGACGATAAAGGCCCATTCGTTCGCGGCAGTCGCATCGATAATGGCGTCTGTTCGAAACGCTATCAGGTTTACGACGCCACATGGGTAGATGAACTGATCCTCTCCTTGCTTAAGCTTCGGCTCCGAGTCGTCGAATCGCTTTCCAAAGTACCTTTTGATAAGCGCTTGAATCAGGCCTTTGTACAGTGCTTCATGGTCTTGAATCAGCGCAACAACGGGCAAAGGACCAGACTGGCCCTGCGGCGGAAAGTAAAAGCGAAACTTCGTATCAAAGCGAAAAGTGCCCGACCTTCAGAACAACAAAATAATTGTCGTGCAAAGTTCCGACTACGACCCAAACACACAATCCCCTTCGTCGTGCAAAATATAAATTTCTACATGGAAAACTCTGCAACTACAAAAAAGAAACTTTTTGTGAAATCCGACGCGTTTTGTTTCAGAATCTATTCGAGTTTTCCAGCTCTAATCAATGGCATGACGTACACTGTGCTTGTGCGCACCACAGTTTCTCGCTATCATCGATTTAAAATTGGTGCTGCTGACCAAGAGTTTTCTGCAGAGAAACTTTGCTTTAGAAACATTCCCCCTTTCTTCTGGAAAGGCGCTTTTCTTCTTGATACTTCGCATGGGTGCGCAGAGCGAGGCCAACTGCGCGACTTACGGACTTCTCGGGGACTACGTCGCTGCTACTTGGCAGCTTCTGCAAAAACTCGTTATGGACGAGCGCTTCCACTGCGGTCGCGAGTGTGCCTCTGCCATTCGGGACCATTTCTTTTTGAAGCCGGAGCACAAACTGCCCAATACTGTAGGGCCCTCGGGCTTCTGTCTGCAGGCGTGCGAGATACCGCGACTCTGCCCCGGTTCCGTCATCAGAGGCGGCATTTCCACGACCCAGAAAATGCTCAGGAAGGTCAGTCCCACTGCAGGTGTCCGGCGTCAATGCACAAAGTAGCGTCCATGGGGTTGTCCAAATTTCCGCACCGTCTCCTTTGAAGAATAACGGTAACTCGTCCGCCGACTTGGATTTGCCAAGCACCTTGTCATACACAGATGGCCACACAGTGAGTTTTTCTTTGAGCCCTAGTTGTTGCGGCGTGGGCGGGCTTCGCAAGATACGCAGCGACTCCAAACACGTGAGGCTTTCCTCAACCTTCTCCGCTAGCCCTTCGGCGGAGAGCTCGCGTTCCGGTTGCACAACGTCCAACTTTTCCGGAGTAAATTCAAGCTGGAGGCAAGCGGGGGCGCGATAGGCAGTCTTCATCAGACGAAAGTCGGTCTTCATAAACCTTGCCGCCAGCTCGGTGTGTGCCATAGTGTTGGCGAATTGGTTGCTGTGAACGGTGACTGAAGGGAACTCTGCTCCACCCATGCCCTGCTCCAGCAATACCGGCCTCTGCGTCTGGGCTACTTTCTTCAGGTCAGCACGATCGTCCGGGCCCAAAAAGGATTCTTCGAGCGCATCGCCGTACGTCAGGTCCACTTGCGTTGGCAGCTGGAGTGCGGCTGGAACGCCATCTCGATCCGGAACGAAAGCACGACCAAACTCATGCAGAAACGAGCGCAGCAAGTTCAGCATGTGTGTTCGTGCGGCCTGCACAGCCGGCAGTGCGTCCTGCCTCAACTGTCGCAAAAATCGCGCTACCACCACTAGCATCACACGTCGACGGTGTAGGTCTTCCCAAAAAACGCCAAACCGCCTCAGATTTCTGTATCCCACAGGAAAGAAAAAGGATAGTCATAGTGTCAGCGTATAATGCAAAAATAGTTTACCAATTCTCTAAGTACTTTTACACACCCTGTGGGCTCGCCCTTTTCTATTTTTTATATTTTTGCACTAGGAAAAAGATATGCCAGCGTCTTCCTGTGTGATATCCTGCTAAGAGTACTGAGGCGTGCCTGCACTTCGTTCTTCGCGTCGATGAGCTGCGAGGCAACTGGAATCCGTGCGAGCTCCGTCATACCATGTTGCGTCTTCAGCGCGGGTCGAATGAGGCGGTTGAAAAGATCGACGATCTGGCTATTCACCGCACTTGCTCCCGTACTTCTTGAGGCCGGCTTCTTCTTCTTCGAGGATGCGCCGCGAGCATTTATTATTTGTACGGGTCGCGTGGAGACCACCTCAGTGACTTTCTCCGCACTGAAACCGTTCAAGAATTCCGCTCTGCGGTCGAGGGCAGCAGAAATCGTGTGTCGAAGTCTGTTGTACTCGCCGCGCTTCTTGTTGGATGCGCTAAAGTTGACGACGAAGTACTCCGCTCCCCTGATTGCATCCCGCACCGCAACTTCTAGCTGCGCCAGCCCACGCATCCGGGCAACTAGTTTGGCGATCAGGGATTTTGAACTTACTAGAGTCGCGGACGGCGGCCCAGCTGCTGCCGGCGTGGAATCGGGCGCGGATGCAGTAATAAAAGCGATAGTTTTATTCTTCTTTGACAGCTTCTTGTTTTTAAAGTTCTCTTCAAAGCGGCTAAGCTCCTCTAGAACCTCGCCGAGCGTCCGCAGCTTTGTACCTATCAGCTTCGGCCCCTGAAGAAAGCCAGGGCCAGCCACGCAGTTTGTGAGCGTTTCATCGTCGATTGCGGTCCACTTCCCGAATGCCAGGCCGCCGGTGTCGGAAGATACCCCGCCCATCGTGGCGGAAGGACTCGTCGCTCTGCGCTCTCGAGAGGAGGCGGGAACCCGCCCCCCTGTGTGGCGGGAGGACCCCCCACCGCCCCGCCGAGCGGCTGCGCCCGGTGCTCGATCCCGCGACCGTGTGGTTTGCGGCGTTTCCGCAGCTCCCGTGGGGCTCTGACTTCGTGCAGACGATGAACTTCTGCTTCGGCTTCGCCGTCGCGCGTTACGGGTGGTGGTGCGACGCGCCTCGTCCGTCACCGAATGCAGCAGGTCCTCGAGCGCCTTAGCAACAAGGGGCTCGAGGCTGCGCGACACTTCCGAGTCGGAGACGTCTGCGCCCTGAAGTTCCGCGCCGTCGGAATCCGACTCCTCGGAGGCCGGCGCCGCCGCCTCGTCTTGTTGCCGCGCCGCCACCTCCGATTCCTCGTCCGGCCCTCGCACGTCCTTCCCCACGCGATCCGCTTCGCGAGCGGCGCCGCGCCCCAGGCTTCGCGAACGGCTTCGCGAACGGCTTCGCGAACGGCGCCGCGCCCCCGTGGCTGCAATCTTCCCCGCTGCCGCGTCCCAGGCTGCTTTCAGCTGCTTCATTTGGTGGGCGGCAATTCGTAGCGCGTAGTAGACCTCGGGGTTGACTGTGGCCCAGGCAGCAGGGTCTTCGTTCTGATTTCTCTCCACCAAGTCCCGCAGCACTTCGCCGCAGTTCGAGTAAAAGATCTCGGTCGGGGCTGCGGACAGCCGCGCGCCTCGAACTCTCTTAAGCAGCCTACCAGAAGACGCAGCGCACGAGGTTTGGTCCGGTTCCACAGAAACGCGCACCTCCTCTTCCTCCTCTGCGGACTCGACGATCGTGCGCACGAAAGCGACTGAACTTGCGGGCCCGGGCTCCTGAAGCAGAAAGCCCGATGCCAACTGGTCGGCGAGCCAATTTCCAAACATGAACGGGCCTTGCAACAGAGTCAGAGGAAGAGTGTCACCTGTCAGTCTTGCTGCCGAAGTATCTCTGTTCCATGACGACGCACTGCGCACGTGTACCGCCCGAATTCTGGGAATAAATTCAAATGCGGACAACTCTTCTTCGATACCTTGCATGAGCTGAATGTCTTCATGGCTTAAAATGGATCCCAGCAACCCAGATTGCGCGCGGTCCGAATGATCTGTGCCCACGCTCCCGTTCTGGTACGCTTGCCAGGCTTGCAAAAAGTAAAGAGAATCTGTGTAGAGAACGAGCTCGTGAAGCGTTACGACTCCCAAGTTGGCACGAACCGCGCGCAGACCTGCTAGCACCGCTTCGCCCTCTGCCACTGCAGTTAGCACGGAGTGCTTCTTCCCTTCTTGTGTGGCCGTCGCGTCCGCAAGTAGGTGTGTCGCAGAAGCAAGCAAGCTGGAGGGCTCCGCCTGCATCACCACGGGCAGCTCGGCAGAGTATGCGTTTCCTTTCCAGGCCACCAGCCCCAGCTGCCCCTCGTATACTTGCCCGGTGCCTACTTTCAGCACATTTCGCTTATCGCGAACGCTCGCATCGGTGAAGAGATGCACCACGAGCTCGGGCACGCCTTCCGGGATTGCGTAGCTCTGGGCGGTTGCGGACCCAGTCGGAGCGGACGAGAGCTGCGCCTCTGCTTTGTAAACACGGGTATCTCGCTGCAGGCCGGGTAGAAAAAACTCCACGCTGGACGGCGTGCCCCAGGCTTCACTGACAGCTGCGAAAAAGATCGCACAAAACAACATCGGACGGTAAGGTGGTACCAACAAAATCATTTGTCGTGACAGTAAGCCGTCACAAGCGGTAAACAGGAAAGGCGGTCAAGCAATTTTGCAGCGACTAGTTAGGTGTATAAGACACGAAGTAAGAAATAGCGATGATTGGTAGAATATTACCGGCGTTGAGCCTTTGACTTTTGTTGTGATGTCCGATAGCAGGTAAAAGCGATGTTTTCCAATTAATATATCGGGGAAGATAGAGTAAGACGAACGGAGACGAGACTTTCAGAAATCGAAATAGATGAAAGAAATGCGCAAAACTAGAAACACTTGTAGCTTAGGGTTAGGATCGAGCTTTGATAAAACTTTAGAACATTGATTTATTACTGAACTTTTAACGTTGATGCGTTTATTTCGTGCAGCACCTTATTGCCCGAAAGAAACAAAAGCCTGCAAGTGGAGTGGTAAAAAACCGACATTTAAACAATTTTGCACTGAAAGTGTTGGCTATGTGCTCACTTTGCGCATGTAATAACTACCGATAGTAGAGTTCTACTCTTGGTGATTGGTTTTACGACGACAGAGAAGATTTGCGATCTTGCAATGATGATCATTTTCATTTATTACTATTCATGATCCGAGCGCCCGTCTGCGTGATGCCTTCATTTTCTCTGTTTGCAACCTACGGTGAGCGCTTGATGTTGCAGATCGCGTTTTCAAATCAGCGCAGCCTTACGAAGCACAAAAACGGGCTGACATCTTCGGAGATACCTACTTGGATTTTCACATTTCCTTGCATATAGCGCTCTGGATCATTTCGCTTGTTGAGCTTTCTTTTTCTGAACAGGTTTGAGTTGAGACCACAGATACTAAGTAAAACGCTCACCATATTGTCGATAAAACAACAGGTCGGGCGTATCAGGTCGCGGTAACATCATCGCCAGCAAGTCGTGTCTTTATCCTCTACTGCCAACTTCGTTGAGGTGTAGAGTGGGATTGTTATTTCCATTTCGCGTCTACAGTTTTTTCTCTTCTTTATTCCCAAAAATTATTCGAGTTTTCTGGTGCATTTATTCGGAATAATATCCCAAAACGCCCAAATCTGCCTGCAGCCGGACGTGGTTCAGGTGCGTGCCAAAGCTGAACAAGTTTCCGCCCCCGCCGACCAGGTGCAACTTCCCTCCATCCAAGCTCGCGGAGTGGTGCATGCAGAGAAAGTTACAGTCGGGTTGAAGCTTGGTAGAATTCTGGCTTTTTTCATCGATCTGCAAGGTGATGATGTCCGTGATTTCGCACTGTTCGAAAGAAAAAAAGAACAGGGGAATTTCAGCACTGCTGTTCTCGCTCTTTGACACCAAGCAGTCGCCCACAATCAGTGCGCCAGAGGAGGTCCTCCTCCCTGATTTATCATTATCTGGCGGGATGCCGTCCGCTTGGCTGCTCTCCCGCGACGGCGCATTTCGCCTCTCGCAGGGTAGGACAGGACAGCCGTAAATCCCGGCAAGGACCGAGGGCGGGGGTACCATCGTCCCGGCGTCATTGCAAAGCTGTTCACGCGCAGCCGTCATCAAGGAATCGCTCAAGATTTGCACCGGGCTAAAAGAGGCTGAACTAGAGCTTGTGACGTCTTGTTCTATCCTTTCCATATCCATTCCCAGTGCCTCATCCGGAATAAACAACACTTCACCGAGCCAGTTTTCCGCTCCGTCCAGGCCACCAAACAGGTACGCCCCTCCGTTTGGGCCCCAGCAGCAGGAGAGACTGTGCCGCGCGGTCGGAAGCGTGAACGGAAGCTTCCGCCATTGGATGAAAGTGTTCGTCGTTGTTCCCAGTTCTCCTGTGTTTTCCTCCTCCTTTTCGTTGGAGGATCTTGCCGTGTCGGAAGATACAGCTACTACCCCGGGTCGATTTTCGATTCTCCCACGCCAGATCTCGTTTGATGCCGCCCCGTGCTCGCCCCTGCCACCGAACACAAAAACTTCGTGCCGAGTCGAAGAAGACAGATTATCTTGTTCGCAACTGCCCCTCCGCCGAACCAGCGTGGCGTGGCGATAGATACCTGGTGGACCCTCGGCCTCGGTGGCAAAGCGGGGCTCATTTTCCGCCGCGGTGGGCGGGGGATCCTCGAGAGCACAAGGCTGTAGTAGAGCCGCATCGTCACTGCAGGCAACAAAGTTGTTTTTCCCGTCGTCGGTTTCGTGGATGCTGAGAAGTTGTTGCGCCATGACTCTCCTTGACGTTTTCGTTGTTCCCTGGTGCTGAAGCGACGGCTTCCACGGACTAGTGCGGCCTCCAAGTACTAGCACTTTATTCGAGGACGTTGCAGAGCCCGCCGGAGATGCGAAGTCGTCTAGCACCACCGCGCTCGCTCCCATGGGGCAGGCCATCGCTGCCGCACCCGGCGCCGGATTTTTATGAGAGGGAGCAGCACTCCCGCCACTGTGCAAAACACTAACCGTCGTGTCCTGGTGGGGAAATAACACACCTGCGCTACTAGTAGTGCAACCACTATGATCCTCCGCCACACACACCATTGCCACACTGTTCAGTCGCTGGTGATTACCCGCTGCAGTCTTGCCGAAACCGCCATGCAAGCAGAAAGCTTTCCTCTGCCGATCGAACCACACCGCGGAGCCGTACCGCGCTCCCAAGGAGCAGGGGAACGCGCGTCCGCTCGCACGGGAGACCGAGATGGAGGACAAGGACTGCTCGGCTTGTACATCTCGCAATCGTTTCCAACACGTCGGTTTCGTTTCTACTTCGTTGCTAGGACCACTAGCTGCTGCTGTTCCTTGGTTCAGCATGATTCTCGCGAGCGCAGACCGGTCGTTCCCGCCGGCAATGAGCACGTAGTGCTGGAGCTTTGCGTGCCACTCTTCAAATTCGTCGAAGGGTTCGATTGTTTTCCACCGTTCCAGCACGTCTCTATTTTCCGCGTCGTACAGAAACTCCAGCAGCGTTCGGCAACCGGCGAATTGCAGCCCTTGGTGCAGAAAGCGCTCGGCCTGGGCCACCGGGGTCGGGTACCGGTGGTAGGCAAACAGCGGGCTTCCTCGCTTGCGGAAGTGCGCGTCCATCACGAGCCCAAAATTCGTGTGCGGCAGCACCTGCTCGTAGGACAGAACCGTGTGGGGCGCGGAGCTCTCCGCGAAGATCTTGCCTACGGTGCGCACGACCGCGTCGGCCTCGTCGGTCGGCAAGTAGCACAGCACCACCTCGGCGAGCACCAATGTCGGCCGGTTTGCGGCGGCGAACGGCGCCAACCGCCTGCGCACCTCCTGCCGATCGGTGAGGTCGCAGCCAAGCAGTAGTTGGGCGCAGGGGCGGGGGCCTGCTTTTGGGGGGGATGGAGGGTCATGATCCGCGCTTGTTCTTGCGTTATCGTGCTCTGGAGGCGGAAACGCGTGGGCGTTCCGAGCCATAATCTCTTTTTTGCGCGTGAGGAGGTCCGGAAAATCCAGCTCAACGAACGCACCAATCCGAGTTCGGTCGTAGTTCTTTGGGAAGGTTGTTATATCTGCCTCGGTGCTGGTGCTGTCTGTGTTTCGGTGGTGCAACCGCCAGTACAGTGTGTCGAACCCTGCCCCGAGAACGATGATCTGCGTTGCCGTGTTATCCTGTGTAAAAACATCCCCACCCCAGAGTTGTCATGCTAAAGGAATTGCAGCACACTTTGCCCCCCCCTCTGCCCCAGGCCGCAGATGGCTTGACACGCAGGGGGGGTAGGTCAGGCGGACACCGAAGTGCCATCACCATCATCTCCCGGCCGCTAACCAACTTTTCGCAACCTGCCATACTCCTCACTTATTCGCAATTTTTTTCCGGCTCCGCCGTCCCTGCAGGCTAGTATGTACGTGCGCCCGAGACATATAACACGTCCTCAAGTGCAACAGCACCCAAGGCGGTTTTCCTGACGCATGCAAAACAGTGCTCAGTCGGAAAACCTGGGATCACGCATAAACTACCTGGAGATTCGCAACCAACCATACTTGTCTCACAACCAGCCTTACTTTTCGCGCCAACACTTAGTCCTTTTGCCAACAGTTTCACGCCCACATCCAACCCCAGAGTTGTCATGCAGATCTGCATGCGCAGGAGCATTTGTAATGCGCATCCCCATGAGAGGCATTTCCCAGCGTATTTTGGAACTTGTAATGCTGTAAACAGGGTCGGGAGATGGATTTGCTATGCGGCTTCCCTTGCTAAACTGCATTACACTACAGCCTGCAACTTGTCATGCGTGGCTCCCAAAACTTCGAGGTTTGTGTTGCAGAATCCCCAGCTTGACTCTGGGGTGGGGACGTTTTTACAAATGATACGTGTCCGGGTAAAAGTCGATAAACCTGCGCACCGTGCGCTCCACAAGCTCGTACCGGATCGCGTAGCCTCGGTGGATCAGCGGTGCCCGCCGTTTGATGCTTTGTGCGCCAGTCAGGTTGGGTGCCTTCGGGACGGACGACGCGGTGGCTTGTTTGCCCTTCGGTACGACGAGCGCTTTTTGTTCCGCGCCGGGGGCCACCAGGTCGTGGCTTGAGGTTCCAGTAGGCGTTTCGGTTCTATTCTTCGTGGTCGGAGACGAGGATGCAGCTCCAGCTGCCGGGCACTGGCGACGCGCTACTCCCGCCGAGCGCTTGTCTTCGGTGCGCGGGCTGCTGCCGCTTGAAGGTTCCCACGAATCCAGGCCTCCTTCCTTGTTTTGCTCTTTTCTTGACCCTTCCTCCGCTTCGGCATCTTTGTCCGTAATATCGGGCCTCGGTTTATTTGCGCTACTACGTTTGTGCTGCGTACTGCGTTTGCTGCCTCTTTGCGTCCCGCGATTCTCCGGAGTAGACACGACACCGGGGGGTGAGGCCGCCTTCGCCGGCCGCGTTGCTGCCCCTACTTCCTCGAACGCGAAGTACTCAACCCAGGGATCTTTGAAATACCCGAAGCGCACGGTGGAGGCCTTGGACACGATGGAGCTGTCGTTTGTTAGCTGAACACACATGGCATCTTGCGTGCCGCCAGCGGCCGCCGAAGTGGTTGACGCCATGCTTTGTTTTCTTCGATTCTGTATCGCGAGGAAAAGTAGAAAGAAGAAAGTGAAGCGCTATATGTCTTGTTCGGGGTCTACAACTGCTACAGTAATTATCCTCACGCGAGCCTGGGGACAAGTAGGATGGAAGTTCTCAGTTCTTGTCGCGGACAATCGCGTTTCGCATCGACAAATCAAGGCATTGCAAACATTGCTGGAGATGATCGTGTGCTGCCTTTCAATCAATTTTGATCGGAAAATGCCGACGATCCTGCGCCGGGATCATTTCTTTTGCTTTGCGTCCTCCGGTCGTTGGTACTGGAGCTCGATGGCGTTTTTCAAGGAGGTGATATGTGTTCTTTTCTTCGCAGCGGAACGATAACGGGCAGTATAGATCAAATGAGGAAGATGAACAAACTCGATGATGGACCTTATCAGTTCATTGGAGATGCATCAGCAATGCGAGTCTCTAAAGAATTGCAAGCCTCTGTCTTAGGGCAGATCTTCCGGCGGGGCCGAATGCGAAGCATTTCTGAATAGCGCAGGGATCATTCACGAATCGAGATCGCCGAAAAGAGGGGGGGCGCTTTGGATCTAAGAACGCGCGCAGACTGCGGGATCAATGAGAACAAGGGCGCAGGCCAGGGCGGCGCAGGCCAGGGCGGCGCAGGCCAGGGCGGCGAAGGCCAGGGCGGCGCAGGCCAGGGCGGCGCAGGCCAGGGCGGGGGTGCGGCGCAGGTCCAGGCGGCGCAGGCCCGGGCGGCGGAGGCCTGGGCGCAGGCTGGCCAGAGTCGCCGAATCTCGGGCGCTGGCCGACCAGAGTCGCAAAATCTTGGGCGTTGGTTGGCCGAAGTCGCAAAATCTCGGGCGTTAGCCGGTCAAAGTCGCAAAATCCCGGGCGTTGGCCAGCCAAAATTGCAACATCTTGGGCGTTGGCCGGCCAAAATTGCAAAATCTTCGGCGTTGGCCAACCAAAGTCCCAAAATCTTCGGTGTTGGGCAGTCAAAATCACAAAATCTTGGGCGTTACTCAGCCAAAATTACAAAATGTTTGCAAAATTCCGGCAAGATTTGCAAAATCCCGGGCGTTGGCCTGCCAAAATTGCAAAAACTCCGATAGTGGCCAGCCAAAATTGCAAAATCTTGGGCGTTAGCCTCCCAAAATTGCAAAATACCGGGCGTTGGCCATGTTAAATCCGGCAGGGGGAGAGGGAGAACACGACCCCCCACCGGCTAAGCAACCCACATCAGCGTGGGGCAGATCGATCACAGTAGTAGTGATTCTGGTGGTATAGCAGCCAAACTAGTAGACAAACAGCATGGGAATCATCAACAACAGTCGCCATCCATCATCATCAACATCGACAAGCATAGCAGCAGCCTCCTCCGTGTGCTGACCTCTCTACTGGGCTCCAACCCTCGACAAGTTACCCTCCAGGCGGACCATCTACCGACACTCTCGATAGACTACAACGACACAAACACCAGAAAGCTAGCGCCAATCGCTATAGTTTCACTATAGGGCCACAATGTGGCGCCACGGCCGCCGCCACAAGGTGACCGTGGCCCACTTTGTTATACACGACCCCCCACCGGCTAAGCAACCCACATCAGCGTGGGGCAGATCGATCACAGTAGTATTGATTCTGGTGGTATAGCAGCCAAACTAGTAGACAAACAGCATGGGAATACTCAACAACAGTCGCCATCCATCATCATCAACATCGACAAGCATAGCAGCAGCCTCCTCTGTGTGCTGACCTCTCTACTGGGCTCCGACCCTCGACCAGATACCCTCCAGGTGGACCATCTACCGACACTCTCGATAGACTACAACGACACAAACACCAGAAAGCTAGCCCCAATCGCTATAATTTCACTATAGGGCCACAATGTGGCGCCACGGCCGCCGCCACAAGGTGCCCGTGTCCCACTTTGTTAGGCCAGCCACAATTGCAAAATTTAAGGCATTGGCTTGCCAAAATCAGAAAATCCGGGGCGTTGGCCTGCCAAAATCGCAAAATCTTGGGCATTAGCTGACCAAACTTGCAAAAACTTGGGCGGTGACCAGCCAAAATTTCAGAATATTCGGCGTTGGTCAGCCAAAATCGGAAAATCTTGGGCGTGGGCCGGCCAAAATTGCAAAAAACTTGGGCACTGGCCAGCGAAAGTTGTAAAATATTGGGCGCTGGCCGGCAGAAATCGCGAAATTTTTGGCAATGGCCGGCCAAAATTGCCAAATCTTTGGCGGTGGCCGGCCAAAATCGTACATTTGTGCTTTTATACTAGGAAAATAAGGGCCACTATGCCTATAGGCTACCCCCAAATGCTACAAAGTGCTATCCTTTGTGAAGCCAGTTTATAAAAATGCAACAAATCCACAAAATCGCGACCGCCGGAACCCAGTATGAAGCATTATAAAGATCCCTGTCTATCCGATCGCGACCGATAATCCTTGTCCGACCCCGAGCGCCCGTCATTCCTCCCTTCATTGCAGGGTGCGGGGCCCCGTACAGGCAGGCTGCCGCCGCCGCACACCAGAGCAGCCCCATTGGGGTCGGTTTTTGCAGCCCTACAGCACCCGATTCTGACAAGACCCTTTCCGCGCTTGCCCTGCCCGCCTGCTAAGGCGGCCTTTTCGCGCAAACGCGTTGAACCGGTGCGCGCGACCCCCGGCCGCGGTTCTCGCCCTTGGCCGCATGCTGCCGCCCGGTCCCCTTAGCCGGGATGGCACGGGGGCGGTGTGACGAGCGTGCGCAGCCCGCCTTATCTCCGCGGACCTCCGCCGCGGCAAGCGCAACCTCGGGCCGCACCTGCCCAAAAATCGAGCGGACAACCGCAAATCTGCGCGAAACCTGGAGCGGGGCGGCTTTCTCTCAGGCGCAGACCCGCGGTGGGGACACGGGCGCGGGAAGCCGCCTCCCGTCTAGTTGCTGCGCTGCGGAACCCTACGGCCGCGGAATCTCCTCGGGCCGCAGCGCAACGCAAAAAGCAACAGGACTAAATCGTGGACGCGGGGGGCACGCGGCGTGTGCGCAGGCAAATGGACGCGCACGGCTCACGTGCGCCGACATACATGGCGCAACCACAGGGAAAGCCTGCGGCCCGAAGCCCCAACGCGCGAGGAGAACCGCTCCCGCAAATTCCGGTGCTCGTTTCACCGCTGGGCGGGTAATCTCACCGCGCACGGGTGAACAACCGGCATACTGCTAAAGTAGGGCTTCGCGACATGCCAGTAACAAGATCAAAATGAGCGCTGCCGTTCAGTGCAGAGAAACCACGTGCAAAGATCAAATGCGTTCTGAGCAAGTGACAAAGCTTCCTATTGTAGGCGATCCTCATTCCGTGCAATGCATACTAGAAAATGAGTTGATGCTGGAGAAAATAAAGGGATGATCAATCGAATTGCGAGCAACCATGCGAGGATCTCTATCAGCGAGATCAGCGTAAAGATCGAAATTCCGCCGCTCTTCCGTCGTACTGAGTGTCGAAGGCAGCTGCAGAGCCAACGGCTCAAAGTCTTCGATTCTCAACCCAGCGCACACAGGTTGGTCAGACAATACCTATCGCTCTTGAACGTAGACATTCATACTACACTGCAGAATTTGGAGTAGACCTTCACTGACCGAATACAGACATGTGCCGCCTTCCCGCGGGGAACTGCTTACCTTAGGACTCATTGCTACACTTGTAAGTAATTTACCCCGGCTCCGCTGCTGTTATTTATTTCTATAAAGCGCAGAACGAAGTGGGCCTCGCCCGGACAAAGAACGCATGGGGGGCCGCAGGCGGAAGATACCGGCCCGGCTGTCGCCACTGCAATCAGATTTGATGAAGGCCAGTCGCGACAATGACATTCTTGCGGTAGCGCACATCATCCAAGACCTGTTGAAAAACAATGGCCTGGATCGGTCGATCACGCCCGCTGCCGCTCCTGCAGCAGAAATCGAATCCTCAGGTTCGTCCAGTAGCACATCGACGTTCCCGTCGGCGGGTATTAGCGAAACAAGGTGTTTTTCAACAGAGTTGTTCTCCGCCCCGGTTGATCGGGCAGCGGGGGCAGAAGAAGAAGAAGAAATAGACTGTGCGGGGACAAGTAGCAATCCCAACAGTTGTACGTCTCGGCACTGCGGGGAACAAGCTGCGGCGACAGTGAAATCAACCGGGGATCAGGCTTCGGAGATGGAACAACAGCTAGGGAGGGGCTGTACCACCGCGCCGCGGTCGGCTACTCATCCAGAGGCATCGTCAAGTATTGGGGACGGAGCTGCAGCTGCGGTCGAGCGAGCATTAAAAGAAATTTTTCCCAGCGGTGGACCCGACGAAGCAAGCCCTTCGACTCACGACAGCACGAGCTCCCCGCGGGTGGAGGCCGCGCAAGTAGTAGAACACCAGCGACGAGTACCACAAGAGGGCGCGATCGGAAATGCGGACCCATCACAAACTTCGCCCACAGTAGGGACTGCACAAACGCGGCCCACCACTTGTGAAGATTCCGACCACCGCGGCCCCCCGGGTCGATCCGTGGCCCTCAACCCGCGGGTGGTCCACGCGCGCACTGCCGCTATACTGTCGGCGAAACAAGAGATACAGAACGTGGACCAGCTTGGCAGCCACTTCACGGCTCTGCACATCGCCGCGATGAAGGGGCACTTGGAGATTGTTCGGCTGCTGGTAACTGCGGGCTGCGAAGTCAACGGCGTCACCTCCCGGGGCCTCAGTCCCACGCACATCGCCAGCAAAAAGGGGCACTTGGAAGTCGTCCGCTTTCTCTCGCGGAAACGCGCCACACCGGAAAGAATGCCGGACCTTCTTTTGGAACGAGACATGGTTCGTGACGCCCAGATTGCCTGCGTGGATAACCAGAACAAGCGAGTGAAACTGGAAAAAGCACTGCGAGCATGAATTGCAGCAGCTGTTTGGGGCGCATTTTTTTTCCAAACTTTATCGACGACTCTACAACGCGACACTGTAAGATCGAGATTCATTTTTATCGACGGAAAAAGACCGCACAAGAATCAACCGCGGCAGTGAACTGCATGAAGATACGATGGCGCCGGATTGTGTATTCCTGTTTCTCCTACGTGTTCGCTCATATTGGACTCTCGCTTTTCGGTAAAAGAAGCTGCCTGGTCTGCACATTAATGTTGAATTGCTGGGGATGATCGGAAAAGAAAATCCAGTGCGCGGGATGTGGTCTCGCTTCGTGATCGCCGTTGTCGCTTCGATGCTGATCGTGGTACCGTGTAAGTTTCTATCGTGATGCTTGTTGAACCGCAACGGATCCTTGTACAGCTTTGAGTCCTTCTTCGTCGTTTGTTCGAGGAAGGAATATGAGATTGTTGACGAAGCAACGGTACTTGATAAAAACAAAAATCTATCTCCGTAGTTCGGTCCCGGTAAGGGTGTGGCAGGCCGGTGTGTTTTCAAATTGCCACACAGAACGCGATGTAGAGCAAGAATGTCCTCCGGCGACGCACGCTTTGGTCATCACTCGGAAGCCCCACGCATGCGTCCGCCGCATCCTGCAGAACTAGGGTCAGTAAGAATTGATCACGCACCGGTCGGACAGCAGTCCGGCGCGGGGATGAGGCTTCGACATCGCGTTATGCCTTCAACATCCGCATTGTGCTAAAATGAATGCGGTGCAACTTCTTTCCGACGGGCGCATGGCAATCTGGTTTTTTCTTGAAATCACGGAAATAAAGTAGAGCGAACGGTACGGCAGGTGTGCAAAAAAAGTTTCCCCGCCCCGCGTACCGGAAAACAAGATGCCACCGCCGCAGCTGACCGCGAACCCGTCGGGGTGCGATGGGTTCCAGAAAAATCCGTTCAAGCCGGAAAACTGCAAGAAATGCGGGAAGTCGTTCCTTGAGCACCTCGGAATCATATCAGCTCAGGATCTGGCGGACGCCACTGCGCTCTACGAGCAGAGGATAAAGAAGGAAGAAGACCGTACTGCGGGGTTTATCTTTGTTCTTTTGTGTTTTGCATGCAGTAGCAGCTTGTTGGTTTCCTGATAAAAATCGCGTGATGGTGTACTTGCTTGACTCTACCGCTGCTCCCTTGCGACCTGCGCATAAGTGCAACATGTGTGGCAGTTTCTATAGTTATTTGTGCATGAGAAATAATGAACTACTAAACTAACAGGGAAAAACGCCAAGGCTGCGGATGCGCACAAAAAAACCTTCGAAGCCAGGCTCGAGAAGCAAAAGGAGAAAAAGCAAGCGGAGGAGGAAAACGACTGGTTTTTCGACGATGACAAAAAATCTTCGCAGGCGGCGAAAAACAAACTCCCCAGTCCCGCAGCGCCGGCGCCCAGCGGAGCCGGCGGCGAGGAGCACATACATATGATGACGGAAGACGAATTGCGAAAAGCCAATGAGCAGCTGCAGAAGAAGGCCCAGGCCGGCAAGGCAAACGTGCAGATCAAAAATCTGATCGACTTTGCGGAGTTAGAAGAGGAAGCTAAGGTGAATAGAAGTGATGTACTTTTGGTACAAAGGCGGAGTGCGCTGCACAAATTATCGGGATTCATTCTCGCTTCATGGCGTAGAAATAAACCAACAAGATTAATAATGATCCAGTGGTTTTGAAGATTCTTTCGTGCAGCAGACAACCAGAAAAAAATTCTCAACAACAAATAGGAACACATGGCGGCTTCACGGTCGCTACCGACTCTGGACGTTCCACCGCCCTCGGACGGATCGCGGAGTCCACACGTCGGGGGTGCGCAGACACTGCCAACGAACCTAGGGATGAAAACGTCTTCGCCGAACACAGACCGGTTTGACATTGCACAGGATTTTGGGGCGCCGGGGCAGGATATCAATGCGGTAGAGGAGTTAAAAGCGGAGTTGGCTATGCTAAACGAAGAGCGGACCATTCAAATCGAGATACTCCGCGACGAATACGAGTCGAAAATTGTACTGATTTACTTATTTTGTATTGCACAGCCCAACAAGCACTTTTGCTTTCGATGACATTGATTGTACGGGCGCTACTGTACTGTAAAGACCAAAAAAAATGCAGTAAGTACACACTCATCTTCTCTTCAGGCAACGCTCCAGAAGCAGCTGCAGGAGGGAGGGAGTGCGCCGTCGCGACCCGCGCGAGAGGAGCAACTGGAGAAGCAGATCCACGAAAAGGAGCGGCTGCACCAGGCAGCGCTCGGGGAAATCGCGCAGCTGAAGGAGCAACTTGACGAGGCAACGCAGAAGCGCAAGCAGGTCGAGGACCGGCAAGCGTCCCTGCAAGGCCTTCGGGAAACCGAGGCCGGGAATCTCCGGGAGGAAACGACGCGGCTCCGCGAAGAAAGTGCAAGTTCCCGCGAGGAGCTCAAAGTGGCGCGGGAGGAAGTTTTGCGGCTGAAGGCAGATCTCCGGGGACTACAGGAAACCGGGGAACAGAAGGAGACAACGCTCCGGAAATCACAAGCGAATGAAGAGGCAAAGGCGCTCGCGCTGGCCAACAAAGTGGTAGAATTTGTCGCTTCTGAAATGTCCTCTGTGTGGTGCAACAGTTTTGTGAAATCAGGACAATTTTCCGTAGGTGGTAAGAAGAAAAAATAACCAAACGGGGCAACTCATGCCCTTTTTTTTGCGCTCCTGAACCTGATTCATTTTTCCAAAACTGCGTACAAATCCAGGCCGCGCTCGAAGCGCAGATCCGGGCCGGGCGGGACGAGGAGGCCACACAGCTTGCGACGCTGCAACAGAAATTACTGGCCTCTGATAAAGCCATTCAAGAAGCGGAGAACGCGCGGGACCTGGCCCGCGGCGAGGCTGAGCAGTTGCGGTTAGAGTACTCGGAGTACAAAATCCAAGAGCAACGCCGCGGCGCCGAGTTGGTGGACTTGGCGAAGGAAGAGGCGCTGCAAAAAGTGACGAAGTTGCAGGCCACGCACGAAAGGCAATTGGAAGACCAGGAGCAGCGGCACGTTGCAGAAAGAACGGCGTTACAGGAAGAGCATATGCGAACGCAGGACGTGTTCAAGTCTCGGCTCGAGGCAGAGACCGCGGCAACGCGCGCCCGGATCGAAGAAGAGTTGGCAGGTTTATAATTTTTTGTGTTGATTACAATTTGAATTTGTGCTCTTCATCGATTTTGCCTTTACGAAGGATCTGCTTCTTGAATCGTCCGAAGCCGGATCATTTTCTTGTTTGTACTACTTTACGCACTGCGTTTTCAGGTCGGGCCGCGGTTTTGGAAAGAGAGAAAGGCGCCGAGATCCAGATGCTCCGCACTCAGGTCGAGCAACGAGAAGCGGAATGCGAACAGTTAAAGGAGCGGGTTGAGTTACAATCCGGGCAAGTAGAACGCATACCTCTGCTAGAGGCAGAGGCGGAACAGGTAGAAATTCTGGCAGCACAATCTTTGAAGAAGAACTTTTGTTGGTATGATATGCTGTAGGGACAAAAAACACAGTCAGAAATCGGATTTACATCGATCAACAGCACCGGTCCGACCTGAGTGCCTTGTTGGCGGAAGTGGCGGAGCACAAGAAGCTCGAAAAAGAAAAAGAGCACAAGGCTGCGGACGTGGAGCACCGGCTCGCGGCCAAAACGACTGCGATGGAGCTGCAGAGTGCGGAACTCGCCACGGCAGAGGAAAAACTGTTCGCCACCGAGCAAGCGCTGGCGAAGGAAAAGCGCAGCCGGGAACAGGTCGAGCAAGAGAGCAAGGAAAAAATCGAGCGCGATACCGCAAGCCTGCGCAAACGGACGACGGAATTGGAGACTCAATTGCACTCCCTCATCGCCGACAGTTCGAAACTTGGAGCCATGAACACCGCATTAAAAAAGGAACTGCAGCAAGGTATTTTCGATTTTCTTTATCGGGCAGTGATGTACAGTAAGTTCTTACTTTCGATCGCTCAATCATACATAATCTTCAAGACGTGTGCGTGTGCACTATGCTCTATGAACAACAACGCAGATCCGATGGGTTCTTTCTCGATGTTCGTCTTTTGTGACTAAAATGTCACCTCTCTGGAAACAACACTGTGTAGGCAAAGAGTCCCTCGCCAACGCGTTGGCTGGTAAGGAGCAAGCGGACCGGGACTTGCAGCAAAAGGAGAAGGAGCTACAGCAGGTCAAGGATGATTCCCTGCTCGATGTGGAGAACCTGGCGCTGCGGAAAGAGCTCGACGACGCGCGCAAGTCGCAGTTCCAGGAGCAGCAGGCGCAAATGGAGCTGGATTTGCTCCGAAAGGCGCGGCTCACCCCCTCGGGGGAGCTTGGGCAGGACGTCCTCGCGCGCTACCTCGGCGAGCAGAAATCGCTGTACCAGAGAATGTTGGAGCAAAAGGACGAGCTGATACGGAAATACGACGACAAATTGAACAAAGGTACAACTCTGGGCGATTTTTTTTTGAATGCAGTGATTTACGCACCCAGTTTTGCATGCTGGTACACAACATCTTCCGTCCGCATGACCACGGGTGGTGAAAGGAAAAAAATCAAGCTGTGAACCTCTTTTTCACTTGTAGAGTAATACCCAAATATATAATCGGCGACCTGCTTCTACAGGCTCGGCGTCTCCGCTGGCTGCGCGGAATCGACTACCGTTTGCACCGGAAAAGCGCAGCAGTGTAGAAAACACACCACCGCCGCCTTTGGGTGTCAGCAGCAGCAACACGGCAATTGCAACCAGCGCCAAAAGATCGGACATGGAACAGAACATTAACAACAACGCATCTACTGTGGCGACTAAACAAGATACCGATGCTTTGCGGCAAGAAATTCTGCGACTGCGCGGGGAGCTGGAGCGGCAGAAGGCCGACCAGAAGCGCTTGGTAGACGAAGCAGGTCGGAAGGCGGCTCAACAAGCAGCAAAAGCTTTTCGCGACGTCCGCGTCAACGCGGAGAAGCAGTTCGGATGGCTCTTTGCCAGGATCCCGCCGTGAAACTAGTGGGTCAGCGATGGCGTCGCAGGACTTCACGAATAATTTTTCGTCGGTTTATATTTCTCGCAGGTTTTTTTGAAACATGAAAAGGTCCGTGCGATAAACAAAAGAAACAAAACAGCGCGAAAATTGGCATTTGACTCTCAAAACTGGTCGCTCCGGCTACAGTGATCTATTAAAACTTTACTATTTGGCTTTGCATTGCCATACATAACTCAGAGATATTGACTTGCTTAACAATTATCAGGCAGAGCGAAAGTGCTTTCCTATGTCATAACCAAAGATACAGCCCGCAAGAGGAATGGCGTCTGTGATCAAGTCACTTCGCCTGGCGGGGTGCGACCAAGCTCCTGTAGCGCACAACAATTGAATTTCATTTTTCAGGTTGTATACCTACCAACTATTCTAGCAAGACTCAAAGCAACGAACTGGCAGTAAAGGCCAGGGACAGATATACACCAGGTTTTTTTTTTCAAAAAGCACATATCAACTGGCCTCAAAAGTGGGTGGATCTATGGCCTCTTTTTGCTCGTCCATACTTGTACACAAAATTTCACTTGTAAGAAAAGCATTATCGAAGAAATGACACAAAGTCTCACCTTTGATTTGTATCACCCACGGTTAGTAGAGCAACTGTATCTATCACAAGAAACGTACCAGCGGTCTAGATATTCAATCAATACTATGCAAAATCACAAACGCACAAGGAGAACGTGTACAAAGCTAAGGATTCCTCATGCTGTTTTAGAGGAAATGAAGACGAAATGCGTTCTGTACATGAAGATTCCATCGAGACATCCATACGCCCAGCGACAAGTGCTATTGATAGGGCTGACTACGCCGGCGCTTCCCTGAATGACAAGGAGCAGTGTTCCGTGGTGTATCGTTGTCGTCGTTTGCATCCGCTATTTCAGCGCCTTTGCTTTGATACGTTTTGGCGACTGCTCCTGCTAGGTTTAGATGCTGCTCATGCGGTTCCTATACGGAGATCTTTTTTTGCTAATTTTGACTCGTAAGCGCCGAAACCGTGCGGCAGGGTCGCAAGAGCAGTTGAACTTTTTTGAAACAAGTCGAGGTGAATAACAGTGCAACTTGCCGTTCGCAAGTTGGTAAAGTCCTTGCCACCTCCTCCCGGGTACCGTGTTACGAAAATATGGCGCCTGATCCCGTGCTATGTCACCCGAACAGCTACTTCATGGCGTCTCTCGGCGCCTCAGCAGCTATTGTGTTTGCGAACCTCGGAGCCAGTTACGGCACGGCAAAGGCAGGGGTAAGCGGAGAAGAATTTGACATTTTCCATGAGCATGGTTGTCAACACATAAACGAAGGAAAAGAAGCACGCTCACTTTCGAAGTGCACAAAGAATTGGCATTTACCCATCAATTGGCATTTACCCATCTCCTATTCCTCTTTCCACAGATCGGCATTGGTGGGATGGGGGTAATGCGAGGCGATTTGGTGATGCGAAGCCTTATCCCAGTAGTGATGGCGGGGGTGCTGGGTATCATGAAAGATCTCTTTTACGTTTTCAGCGCCGAATTTGTTTCTGTTGTATGCAGAGAGGACATGTAGCTTTATCAGCTGGAAACAATCTCAGATCAACTGCGGAAGGATTGAGCAGGTTCTCACAATTTCGAAGAAAGACAAATAAACCGCAGGTATTTACGGGTTGATTAGCGCAGTTATCATCACGGGCAAGATTAACAAGCCGAGCGAGATATCATCCTTCCAAGGGTACTGGTTAGTACTTGATTTGAAAAGATAGTGAAGCTTGTGATTTTCAGTTTGCTTTCAACATATAGTGTTGCCGTACAGAATACCAATTTTTGCACCGTTAGGTCGTTGAACCAAAACTGCAGCAACTTGCATGATAACGGGAACGCACATAGTAATATCGTGGGAAATAAGTCCATGGATTTTATTCAGGTATTCCCTTCTCGGGGCAGGCGTCACGGTTGGCATGAGCTCAGTAGCAGCGGGATACGCAATTGGAATAGTTGGAGACGCTGGGGTCAGGTGCAACGCGCTCGCGAACGGTATCGTTTATGTCTGTAGTTTATTTCCCGGTTTGTTGAATGGTCAGAGTTGAAGAAGTAGAGGTCGGAATGGTGCTGTTTCTCTTTCTTGCCGGTCAGTCATCGAAGGATGAATCGTCGAAAGACAAAAATCTTCCTGCATCGAAACAGGCCGTCTTTTCGTCGGGATGATTCTGATTCTGATTTTTGCGGAGGCGTTGGGACTGTATGGGTTGATTGTGGGTCTCGTCGTGGCATCCGGATCCGACAAGGCGGGGCTCTGCAAGCCCTACTAGGACATCGGTGTCGTGCCCAGCAGGACTAACAGTTGATGAGCTTTGATGTAAAGTATAAAACATGTTGACCATGGTGGCCGTGGCCAAAGTTTTTTAAAAGGAAAGAGACACAAACTGCCGTAGAGATTTTGTGCATTGCATGCCGTTTATCTTCTGGTGTGCAGACGACCAGATGGCCGCGCTCAGTTCTTTGATTTGCGAAATTCAATGCATTCGATATTACAATGTGGACCGAATTTCCAAACATGAGAATTATGCCTTATACGACGCCAAGGCAAAGTTAAGTGGGATCTTCGCAGAGGGGCCTGTGATTGTCCAACCCTCGTCCGCCCTTCCTGTTCTCCACAGGATGCGCTTTCCTCGCAAGTCTTTGCGGCACCTGCTGAAATAATGTTCGTGGAACTACAGCAAAGTTGAATAGCCCGACAGTTTTTATGCAGATATAGAAGGCTTGCGTCGTTTCAGCTCTATGAGGATTCGTTTTTGAGTGGTGTAGAGGTGCATAGCGCGGCGCTCTCACCTCCAGGATCCCAAACTAAAGCGCACTATGGGGAAAGTAATAGGACGAGGTAGCTTCAGCTGCACTATGACAAGACGCGAAAACGTAAACACCTGAAACAGGTTCTAGTACGCTTATCCCGTCATTGGTTTTTTCTACTACCTCGTATAAAAAAATGATGTCTTTATCAAGTCACAACCCGGCCGCGCGGCACGAAACGACGTCGGTGCTGGGTGCAACCGCAAGTTCAGCGGCGGATTTGCTTTCCCATCCGCAAAAGCAGACGCTCCGAGACGTGGAGCGCGAGATTGACGCAAAGCTGAGAGAAATCGCGGAATTGGAATCGGAGTTGCTGCTATCGGCGGAGGAGGAGCTTGCGCAGGAGCAGCTGCAGGCAAGCACGAAGGGGACAACGCAAGACGGGAAAGTAGACGACGACGCGGCCTCACTTGTCAGCGTCGGACCACAGCGACCTGCACCGGCGATCAAGCGGGTGTGATGTTTCTTTCTTGTTCAGTACCTCTGGCTTTGAGTGAAAACGTACGTGTAGCATTTTTCCGTTTGGGTGGGTCATGATGACACCACTTCTTGAGAACGATATTCGAAGCACTTTTTACATTTCGCACAACAGCTACGAAAACGGCCGGAAGACGCGAAGTGGCGGTATTTGCAGCAGCGACCCGACCCAACGGACCGCTGCCGGGAGCTTCTTCTCTCCACTGTGCTGCCGAAGCCGCCGGAAGATCCGCCGCGCTTTCCAAAAATGCCACACTGTGCGGTCGACGAACCGCCGGTACTTTCACACGACCCCCTCCTGTGGCGCATGCAAAGATGTTTCGAGGGGCCCTAGAAGCAGAACTGGAGTAAACCAAGTCAACAATGCACGTGACCGCTTCGGGACTAATTATGCAGCGCAATTCAGGAGGAGATTGAGATACAAAGTGCACTTGATGAAGCGAAAATCCAGGCCGGGGCTGTGGAAGTTTGCGGAGAGGAAATGTTCTCCCCTGCCGGATCATCATGATACTTTCGTGGTCCAAGCGACGACTTACTCACTTTTTGGATATAGCGGGTTCTGAACAAATTTTGCAAAATTTCCGGACGGTGATCGCAATCGCTTCTTTTCGAATACAGAATCTTTTACGTTCTGTCGGCTATGACGCTCATGATCAGACATTGATTGAAGGAGTGGCGATCAGATTTTTCACTTTTCAGGTCGCAAGCCCCACCTGGCACGCATCACGGAGGCTATGAGAAGAATCAGTGCTAGGGTCGTCCCAGTCTCATGTGATTCACGGAAGGACCCCCACGTGTATGCTTATTTCGCCCAAATATCACATCCGTTCCCCTTGGTATTTTAATTTTTTTTCTTGTAGCACCTCCTTTCGACGCGCCCGGTTTATTTGATAAGATATGCGTTTTGCATTTTAGAAGAAAACAAAATCATGGACGACTCCGACGTGCTCGAGTTTCAGGTTTCCTCCCGCGAGGTGGGGCGCATCATTGGCACCAAGGGGTGCAACATTCGTGCCCTGGAGCAGGGTTCGCAATGCCGCATCAAAACGCCGGGAAAGCGGCCCGCGCCCCAGTTTGGTGGCGTTCAGAACAACGAGCGCGATGACGACGAGGACGAGAACTGCATGATTCGAATCACGGGCGGCAACGAGAAGTTGCGCAAACGCTGTAAGGAAGCAATTGACGCGGTGCTGATGGGCAGCGACCCGGGGGACGTCTTCGCGGAGCTCGACGGTGCTGGCCTGATTCGAAATTTAGACCCCGTAGTCTTGAACTATCTCGGCAAGGAGAAGCAGCGGCTAGAAACCGATCACAAGGTCCGGCTGGAGCTGGAGGCGAAGTCGCTACGCATCTGGGATCAGGACGTGTACGGCAACTACGCAGGTGGTTCGTCGAGCTCGTCCTCCAGAGGTGGGGGGAAAAATGGCCAGAAGGGACGAGGAAAAAAGGCCGGAGGAAAAAATCACCACAAAGGTGGTCCTGCCATGGATGTGGACGAGGAGAGTACAACAACTACAGCGACTTTCAACCAGAACAACGTGGGCAGTAGTTCAACCGGCGTCGCCAAGTCCGACCGGATTGAGCAGGCCCGCCAGGCCATACAGCAGGAGATAGACGACTTGCAGACCAGCGAGGAGATTATCGTGCGCGTGCCGGGGAACCGCGTGAACCAGATCATAAACCACAGTTCGCTGCGGCAGTTGCAGGATACCTCGCATATCCAAACAATGGTGACGAAGGATGACGAGGGCACGGGGATCCGGCTGATCGGACTAAAGGGCGCGATCGAGGAAGGGCGAAATTGCATCGAAAAGCTGATCCAGGGCGAGGGTGCGGATTTTCTCGCGCTCTACCCGAATTTGATTCAGGATCTGCTCGGGAAGAACCGCCGCATGGAAGCGGATTTCCACCGCGACTTGAAGTCCGCGGCCGAGTTATCATTTGTAAAAATGTCCTCACCCCATAGTTGTCATGCAATTCTGCATGCTGAAGATGTTTCTCATGCGGAGCCCCATGAGAAGCATTTTCCAATCGTGTTTCAGACTTTATTGTGCTCCAATCAGCATGATATGCTAGATTTGTGATGCTAGTGAACTAGCTAAACAGGATTACACTCTGAGACCAAACTTGTCATGCGCAACAACCAAGCCTTGTGGATTTTTTTAGCAGATTTCCCATCTTCACTCTGGGGTGGGGACGTTTTTACACAGGATACGAGTACTGCGGGGTGCGGGTATCGTTGGAGGGAACCAAGTTGGCTTTCTCCGACGCAAACCCGGAGCAGGTGCACTACGCGTATCAAATGTAAAAATGTCTGGGTCTGGAAGAATGCAACTTGTCTAGCTAAATCTGAAGCGTGCAAAAATCTGTGTTGCATGATTACCAAAAGTCGTCCAGTTTTGACAAAGTCGGGAGGCAGTTTCTCACGCAGGGTAGGCATGAGAAAGATCGCACAGAATCTGTCATGCTAGGTCCTGCATTCCAGACCTCATGGGTCATGGAAAAGCTGCATGACAAATCGCGCATTCTTCCAGACCCAGACATTTTTACATTTGATAACGCGAAGGCCGAGGCCATGAACATCCTCACCTACTACTTCCCGCAAAACTGCTATGGATGTGTCAGAGTTGAAATCGACAAAGTTGAAATAACTTGTCAAGCATAAAACCGATACCAGTTGGAAGCCCAATTTCCAAGCGGCGCATGACAAATTTGAGTAGAGCCGAAGCCCAGTTTGTCATGGTGTTTGGGTAAGGAAGACGCCTTTTGTCATGCTACTTTAGCAGCTCTATTTCTACCCCGAAACAGGCTTACAATCTGCCTCCCTTGCCTACTCTGCAAGACAGGCAGTTTCTCCGTTGCATTTTATGCATGACAAATCATTTCAACTTTGTCGATTTCAACTCTGACACTTCCATAACTGCGCCAAACTGGAAATCGCCGAGCAGTCGGTGGTATCAAATGTAAAAATGTCTGGGTCTGGAAGAATGCAAGTTTGTCATGCTTGTCTGGCATGACTGGTAAATCTCTCATGCACATTACCAAAGAGCCCCACTTTTCTGTCATGCAGAGACGCAATTTGTCATGCAGAATAGGCAACACTTACAAGCTCAGAAATTTGTCATGCTGAGCCAGCACTTGTGGCCTCCTCATGCTACGCCACTCAGCATCACAGGTTTCCAGACATCCAGGGATTTTTGCATTTGATAGGTGGACTACGTGGCCGGGGAGGAGGACCGGAATTTGATGCGGCTGCAGCAGTATCAAATGTAAAAATGTCTGGGTCTGGAAACTTGTGATGCTGGGTGGCGTCTCATCATGAGGCTACAGATGCTGGCTCAGCATGACAAGTTTCTGAGCTCCTAGGTGTTGCCTATTCTGCATGACAAGCTGCGCTTCTGCATCACAGAAAAACGAAGCTCTTGGGTAACATGCATGACAGATTTAAGAGTCATGCCAGACAAGCATGACAAACATGAATTCTTCCAGACCCAGACATTTTTACATTTGATAAGCAGATGGGCGCGAGCGTGTCCCTGGATCGCGATCACGGCTACGTCTGGGTCTGCGCGCCGCAGGCCCGGAACGTTGACGCAGTGCGAAAACGCATCGACGACCTGCAAACCAGCTGGCGGGAACTTTTTCAGGTAGTTAGAAGCATTCTTGCGCGGAGGTAGCTCACCTCGTAGTAATTTTGTGTAATGCTGCTTGGTGTAATTCGAAATAGCGGCGCGCTCCATGCGTCAGTAATTTTTTCTACTCCCCATGCCACCAACAGGTGATATCAGTTCGACACCAGGGGGACTTTGGCAAGCTCTTCAGTCGCGATGGGAAGTCGGTGCGTCAAATTCAGCAGGAAACCGGGGCAAAAATCGAGATGGACCGAAATAGTATGGAGGTGCGCATCACCGGCCCATCAAAATCCGCTGTGGATAGTGCCAGGGAACAGATTCGCACCAAACTCGGCTACGACGGCCGCAGCGGGGGCGGCGGGGGCGAGAAGCGGGGTGAAGCCGTGAGGCCAGAAAGTTCGGGGCACGGCGGTAACAAGCGAGGAGCAGGGGCAATCAGTGCGGTGGAAAAGGTAAGTCGGACACTATTTTTTGCGTATGTTAGTAGAGCGAATTTGCTACACCTGGTTTTCAGTGCGAGTGCTAGAGCTCGTTTCGATTTGTCCAGCACAATACAAGTACAGCTACAGCTGGAGAGTTAAACGTAGGGAAATAACTCTCTACAGCTCCAGAAGCAGGCAGAGCAGCAGGCAACTGGTGGCGACTGGGATGCGGGACCGCCACAGAACCAAACCCTGACCAACCTCCGTGGTCGGACCGGAGCCGGGCAGCAGGCGGAACAGTGGTAGCTCAGCGCGCACTGCCAACGGTTTACGTCTCCCCCACTGAGTGTAGGCACGACGAAACATGTGTCTGGATCCCTGCTCAAATAAAGTTATCTTTTGCACCAGCGACAATCTGATTTCCATTTGCGCCAGCGAGAACGTGTGTACTTATTTTAATAAAAAGAAAGGTGCCACTTCAAGAAGCTTCGGCCACGGGTCCGATCGGGCCCTGCCCACTGCAAAGTGAAAGTGAATTCAAACGGCGCGGTGGAGAGTCGTGTTCGCGGGTGGACTGGCATCGGCTTGGTCCGCTGCCGCTCGAAGTGGTCTCGTTCGCGAAGTCGGTCGTGCGGAAGTTGTTGGTTGGTATTCCAGCATGAAAATTCATCGTGACTGTGGAACTGTTACTTCCACGGAAGATGATGGTCTCCTGGAAAGATCCTTATCATGCGCCCGGGCGCAAGCGATCACTCATTGTTCGTGCGCATTTTTCACCGATGTTGATCCGCAATTTTTCCCCTCACAAATAAGTAGGTGACTCGAGCTGATCTTTTATAGATGGTCGCAGCAGCAAGGAAGTACGACGTCACCGAGTTTGACAGATCTGCAGAAGGTCTCTCTGTTTCAGAACCGTACTCATGTTTCGGCTGAAGCAGATTCATTTGTTTCACTCGTCTCTCCTCACATTGATTGTATGTCATACACAGGCTCTGAAGGTGGTTTGGCCATTCTTAGCTACGGGCACTTGGACTATTTTTGTATTGTGCCACAACGCATGCATGTAAGAGCGAGCATTTGTTGCGGCCCGCGATGCAGAAGTCACGTAGTCCCATCTTCTTAAAAGTATCGCAAAGAGCAGGCTCCTTATCATCATGACGCAAGCTGCAATGGCGCGCGAGGTCGCGCTGCGGCAAGGTTTGCTGGAAGCCGATGCGGATTGGACGTACTATTTTCAACACGTGAATCAAATTCAAAACCGATTAAGGAATCACAACGCATCTTCAATACTAGCAGTATTTGGCGAGAGAGTAAAAAGTTTTGCGCATTTCAAGTTTTCGCACTACTCAAAAATAGGTACGTGAAAAAGCGGGAAGCCCAGGAAATTGTCCCCCGCCTTTACCTCGGCCCTTATGCGGCGGCGTGCAACGAGGAGCACATGCGGGCAATTGGAGTCACGCACTGCATCATTTTTCGGGCCCCGGAAGAGAACCGGATTATCAAGCCGAAATTTCCGTCCTTTGTCAAATACGACGTCATCGAGTGCAGTGACACCGCGCAGCAAAACCTCATTCCACTGTTTCCGCTGGTAAAAGCCGCGGTGGATCAGGTATAGGTAGAGGTGATTTTTTTATAGAGATTATCTTCGGGTTTTGAATGCACATGAAAAGGTTTTACACCCACTTGCTTTCCCTTTATTTGCAGGTTCTTGCTATGAGCCGCGATCACCGCATCCTTCTTCAAGGCACAGTCGGGTATCAGAAGAAATTATGTCTGAATCAGGAAGATGAACGGAGAAAATTTATGTGGTTGCTTTTCATGGACGAGAAGCAAAGCCTGCACGCCATAGCTCCGTTACAGTTTTACATAATCTCAATTGATTTTTTGTACGTGCATAGGCGGATGGATTTTGCAACAGACACACGCACACCAGCGGTGGCTTCACCCTCGTGTCATGCGTGGCCCAGGTTGTAGATAGTTGACGAAGTTAGAGTTCTACAGCGGTAGCTAGCATTGGTTGGAGTTTGCACCATTTCTTCCAGACTCAGACACAATTTACACTGCATATGGAAATGAGCCGGTCTGCAGCATTCGCGGCTGCCTACGTTATGGAATCGTACAATCTGTCCTGGGAGGCGTCGATTTACTACGTTGGCACGCGCCGGTATGGAAGCGGTAGGTTTGAAATCGTCAAAGTTGAAAGAATCTGTAATGCATAAAATGCATGACCCGAGGTGCGTGTGTTGCAGAGCAGGCAAGTGATGCCGATTGGAAGCCTGTTTGGGGTTACAGCTCGAGGTGCTAAAGTAGCATGAGAAAATCACTCTTCTTTGCCTAAATAGCATGACAGACTGGATTTAGGGACCGCCGAAATTTGTCATTCGCCACTGGGAAACTGGGTTCCAACTGGCATCCATTTTATGCATGACAAATTATTTCAACTTTGTCGATTTCAACTCTGACACATCCATAGCCGGAACTGCGTTTCCGTGAACGAAAATTTCCGAATTCAGCTCCGGGAATACGACATGATCTGGAAAACCCGGCAGAGACAGCAGCAGCAAACTGCGACAGTCAATAGTACCGGCATGATGATACCAAATCAACACACTGGTGCGACGGCAAACGGGCAGCCGGGCGGGGTAGCCCTGCAGCAGCTCGCTGGTGTTCAGCAGAGTCAACTCCAAGAACCCTACGAGCAAATAATGCTGCCACAGCCTGGAGGCGGCATGAAGCGGCGTCTAGAATACGACGACAACACGGACGCAGAAGTGTTGCCAGTGCCCAGCCACGAAAACCAACCGGGAGGAGTAAAGCCAGATATAGTGGCAATGGACAACGGATAGGATAATTTTCTTGTGATAACTTTGCTCATGAGAAGATTTTCTTGTTCTTGCTGCACCAACTTGAATTTGCAATGCTGGAAGACAAGAAGGTTGGTGTCTTTCTCAGACGACTTTCTCTTTCACTCGACGCTGTAATTGTAGTGTACTCCGACGCCAGCGTCGTTCTACATTAATTATTAAGGAAAGACGCGACAGCGGCGCAGGTGAATAGTCACTTACAAGTAGTACCGCAAACAAAGGCTGGTCTGTTCCTACTAAAATGTCACGCAAGATAGAATGTCTCCTCGCATTTGTACTTCCCGTTTGGAGGACCTGAGAGGCTTGTTACCTATGCTTGAGAGTATGTTCAAACCAGAGCGGGTAATTTCTTTTGTTGAGGATCAGGGCGCGCTGACGCATTACAGTTGTTTCTAGGCACGAAGTGCTACGTCGGGCCTTGCTTGGGTTTGTAAAGAGGGCTAATGCACGATGGTCGTTAAGATCAAGATGATGAAAACATTTGTTTGACAAACCAGAGTTTGAACTGCGCGAATTAGTCTCACCGTTACGACAGGACGCCTCAACGTCTGTCCCGGCCGCGGCGAAAAATTTCATGCATTTGTCAAAACTGTGCGAACTACGAGGGAGGTTTGCAAGATGCGAATGCCCCATATTTCACTTACATACTGCGGATACTAAGCAGCTACACTCACATAACATGATTGTTTCTTGACAGACGAGCGGCAATTTATGGAGATCTAACTATCTTGTGCGTTGACGATGGAACTGCGTTTCCGTGAACGAAAATTTCCGAATTCAGCTCCGGGAATATGACATGATCTGGAAAACCCGGCAGAGACAGCAGCAGCAAACTGCGACAGTCAATACCAGTATGATGATACCAAATCAACACACTGGTGCAGCAGCAATAAATGGGCAGCCGGGGGTAGCCCTGCAGCAGCTCGCTGGTGTTCAGCAGAGTCAACTCCAAGAACCCTATGAGCAAATAATGCTGCCGCAGCCTGGAGGTGGCATGAAGCGGCGTCTGGAATACGACGACAACGCGGACGCAGAAGTGTTGCCAGTGCCCAGCCACGAAAACCAACCGGGCGGAGTAAAACCGGATATAGTGGCGATGGACAACGGATAGGATAATTTTCTGGTGATAATTTTGCTCATAAGAAGATTTTCTACTTCTTGCTGCGCCAACTTGAATTTGCAATGCGGGAAGACAAAAAGGTGGATGTCTTTCTCAGACGACTTTCTCTTTCACTCGACGCCGTAACTGTAGTGTACTCGGACGCCAACGTCGTTCTACATTAAGTATTCAGAAAAGATGCGACAGCGGCGCAGGTGAAGAATAATCACTTACAAGTAGCACCGCAAACGAAAGCTGCTCTGTTCTCACTAAAATGTCACGCAAACATGTCTCTTCGCACTTGCATTTCCCGTTGAGAGGACCTGAGAGGCTTCCTACCTATCCTTGAGAGTATGCTCAAACGATAGCGGGTAATTTCTTTTGTTGAAGTGCAAAGATCACTTTCGCTGGCAGCTGGAAAAACAATTCCGATAAATGCCCTTCCAAAATGATTTCATTCCATTTGTCAAAAAAAGTAGAAGTATACAAAGGCAAAGAATCATTGGAATGGCTACGGGAAGCCTACTCTTCTCCAGTCCGCACAGGTAGGATGAGGGTCCGGGTGGTCGTCATTTCCGTTTGGGGAGGGCGTTTGAAACCCGTACTCTCAAACCTTGTTCACGTTCGATGGTGTGAACTACGAGCTGTCGTTGAGTGCAAAAAATGCGGAAGACAGAGCGATTTGCTTCTCTTAGTATTTATTTTCAAAGACGTTAGTATGCGCATTGGCTTTCGTCCCGCGTCTGTGCACAAGCATACGGAGTTGTGTTTTGCTGTTCGTCCACTTGATAGCCACGCGCACCTTCGACATTGTTCTCTGATTTTCGTGGCTCTACTGAGGAGTTGGTTTTATGAGCAAGTGAGATAGCACCTCATTTCGACTATCTGGGTGGTTTGTTGTCTCGATGCTTTTCACATATTTAGACATGATGCTGATGGCACTGCATACCAACTCGCTCCTTGTCGTAGCTACAATTTCACCTAGCGAGCAAATCTTCCGATGACCGACGCACCCGCGACCGCTCCGACGCGCGCTGCTCGCGGCGCGAAGCGGCCGCCTCCAGCATTCGAACGAGCAGCCGATGACGCGTTGAACAGCCGGTTCCTGGTGTTGCAAAAGATCGGACCAACCTCCTTTCTGATCCAGAGGGACACGGACACCTCGGTCGGAACAGATGGTCGTGCAGAAGACGACGACTCAGACGCAGACGGGCAGGACGGTGGTACGAGTAGTTCTATCGTGATCCACGCTGACGAGGGGCGGGGGATAGATTTGCGGGATGTTTCCTCGTCCTCCTCACGAGCTGACACGGGAGGCGTGCACGGAGGAACAGATACAACAGGAGCAAGACGCAAAGCATCAAGCTCCTCGAATCATAAAAATACTTCGGCCCGTAACATTCAGAAGTTCAAAGTGTGCCTAGGTGTGCCCTGTCACACCTGTACCTGCGGTACTACTGGTGCGGGGAATCATCTTGACCAAGCGAACGCGCCAGGAGGCGGGTCAACAGGGTCGGCATCTTCAGGACCTTCGAGGAGTAAACCAACTTCGATCACCACGACGCAGTGGTGCGTGCACATTTGCTACGTGCTCCTGAAGGTGTTGGGAGTTGCAAGGGATTTTCCCGTCGCGTTTCAAGACCGGATCACCGAGGTGGAGCTGGACCAGTTGCTCAGCTACCGAGACATGATGCGCGAAGCGAAGTTTGTGCGCGAACAGAAGCAGAAGCGGCGCGAGGAGATGATGCAGCGAATCCAGAACAGTCGGACTGGCGGTGGGGGTGCGGTAGCTGGAACCGACGCCGCACATGGTGGTGGTACGGGTAGTTGTGGTAACATCCGCCCGCCGCAAGAGGACGACCAGTGCCCGATCTGCTTCGACGACTTGCTGGCGGATGACGAGTTGACGTGCAAGCCCGTCGTGAACTGGGAGCGGAATTTTGCGCTGACCTTCTGTACCGAGGGCTGCAAGCAGGCCGTGCACACGGCGTGCATGTACAAGTGGTGCGAGCACCACAAGTCCGACGGCGCCACCACCTGCCCGTTGTGCCGCGTTCCCTGGTCCAAGGAACAGATTTTGCAGCTCAATAAACGCTACCAGCGCAGTCTCCGGCAGAAGAAGGCACAGCATCCGGGGATGCAGTGTGGCTTCTGTAAGATGCGTCCAATTCGTGGGCCACTGTACGGGTGTCTGAGTAGTGTTTCATCTGGATCGACTGCAAAACACGACTCGGCCACGGCTTCATCTACCGTTGGCCGGGCGGGCTTGGGGATAGTGTCCAACACGCGTAGTGCTGGAGGAGCTGCGACTTCACTACCAACCACTCTCGTGTACTGTGAAGAGTGTTTCTACAACCCGCTGGCCCGCGCAAGTAACTCGGGTAGGTTGTTTGTCAAGAAGGCAACGGCCGACCAGAAAAGCCTAGAACTGGTGCAGCAGTGCCTACCGTCCGCCATTTCAGCTTCGCGGCCACAGCAGCAGCGACCGCAGCCATCGGCGGTGCATCAGCACTTTCTTCCCCGGGGCTTGGAGTTTCAGCCGTCGCAGCAGTCCTCGCTCAGCATGCTGCAAGAGATTGTGGCAGCCAACCCCGAATTCCAGGGTGTCGACGAGCTGCCGCTTAGTGTGATTCTCGCGCTCGGCCATGACGTGGCTGAGCAGCGACGGAGCATATCTATTGAGGACTCGTTCACGCTCCAGACTACGCAACTGCAACTTCATCAGCAGGAGCGTCAGCAAGCAGTAGGCCAGTCCGCCACGAGTACTTCTGGCGCTTCATCATGGTCCCGTATAGCTGCTGCAACGAGTAGCGCGACAGCGCCAGAAGAGTCGCAAGGTCAACAAGTGGTTGCTCATAGCGAAGAGCGGGCTGCTCCAGGCTCGGGCTCACCCTCGATCTTTGCCGCAATTGTGACTGCGCTGGCGACCGAGCCACCCTGCGCTGGATATCAAAGAGAAAAATCCCCCCTCCCCATATCGAACAGGTACGTTTCCGGAAATTTGTGTTGCTGATTTGAGGTCACAAATCACATTTGTCTTGCAAGAAGACAAGGGCAGAAGCTTCCGCCGCATTATGGAAGCGATTTGTCATGCTGTGAGGCCTAAAAGGGAGCCGCCTGCCATGCTGCACAACTAGAACCATACGCCCCCAGCTAGCCTGGGGATCTGGCCGCAATGCCTCTCTGCAGTACAAACCTGATTTGTGTACTCAGATACAGCATCACAAATTTCGTTTTCGATATGGGGAGGGGGGATTTTTCCTTTTGATACTGGAGTGCAGATGCTTCATCCATCCGGAATGGAAGTGCGAGGCGCGCGGCAACCAGAGTGCGTGTTTTGCGAAGATACAACTACCGTTCCGCGTGTGCAGCTTCCAAGGTGCGGACACTGGTGCCACGGACCGCAGTGCGTGAACAGCTTCCAATGTCCCAAGTGCGATACTTTTTTGCTGCGCAGCCTGGAAGTTCTGTGTGAAGATAAGAAGAAGGCAAATACTAGCGAAGGCCAAGCAAATGCGATGAGTGGCGATGCAGCTGCGGCAGCCGGGTTACTGGCAGTGCAGGGTCAGGGGCAAAATTCAAACGTCGCTGCTGGATCAAGCGAACAAGACGTAGCGCTCGCTGGCGCAGCGGTCGCGGGAGCTGCTCCGTTGCGGATGAATAGAAGTAACCACGGCATACGCATAGGGCGTCGGAAGCCCCGCCAAGCTGCGCCCCTCGAGGCAACAAGAGATGGTACAGGACTAAGACCAGCAGACCAAAATTCTGATCTGGACTCGTGGTGCCTGCAGCCCGGTCTAGAGGATGGCTTTGAGCTGACGGGTGAGAGACTGCAGAGCGAACGAAGCTTGATTGATGCGGAAACCCATGAGGCAAGTGTTGTGTCATCATCCACCTCGCGTCGAACCGCAAATACACAGATGATGAAAGGGCCTAAAACAGGAGGCCGACCGCGTGCGGGACTGCCGAGTAAAGCTTCGTTCGAGCTCAGCGCGGAGCCACTGTCAGACAGGGATCCCATCGACGCGTTTCTTCTCGAGAATACGGCTCCGCACGTCAGGCGTACTGAAGATTCGGAGAAACAGACACTGGAGGAATCTGCCTTCGCTACCCCTGCCACATCTGCCGGATTGTTTTCGACGCGAGGGCCGGGTCGGCCGCGCGCGCGGTCCTCAGTCCTAGAACGGAAGAAAATGGCTTCATCGCCAGAAAAGCTGCTGCCTTCGCGAGATGAGACACTGGCAGTTGCAAGAGGAGAGGCAACGTCTGTAGGAGAAGGGGCCGGGGCGCAGCACGTGGTTCAGGACAATCTTGACTTTACTCTGATGGCCACTACCATCAACAAGAGAAAACCCGTGACGCCTGGGAGCGAGCTCGTCGAAAGTACCCTGAACGACAAACAGCCTTCTAGTTCATCGGAGAAGCTGCAGTCGTCACGTCGGCTCCGTGCCAAGCCATCGGTAGGATCATCCGCAGTGCCGACATCAAAGGGCAAACGCAAGGTGAACGCGGCCACCGGTCGTTTGCTGTTGGGATCTACCCTGCAAACTGCGCCTCGCAGCGGCGAGCAGGAATTTCGAGAAGCTTACCCCGACTCCGCCGTCATCACCCAGTCAGATCTTCTGTCCCTGCAGGGATTGGGGGGCGCAAGTCTCGCTGCAACACTCCCCGATCATAGAAGACGATCCACTAGGCCACGGTCATAGCAGAAACCATTGCGGCTTTAGTCCTCATCGAGTGCGTGATATGCAGTCGTTTGCCTACTTTTCGCTGGCCAATGCAGTCTTCTTGTAGAATCGCTGGAGAAAACAAAATTATTGGATCGCAAAAAGCACGATTGATGACACGCCTAGAGTGCAATGCAAAGTCTAGATCTACCATGGATGCGAAATTTTGTTCACCGTTTTGCTCTGCAAAGTCGTATCACCTTTGCCATGTAAGATCCTGAAATGACGGAAGAGTCGAAAGTTCAAAAAATCAATCGCGCGAGCAGTCCGACAACTAGAATTCATAAACCATTGCCGCTAACCCAAGTTACTTTCACAGGACCCCTTTCCCATTTTTTTGTTTCTACCCTTTGAAGTAGAGTATAGAGGTAGCCCAGCCCCCCAAATTTCGTCTTCAGAGAGACAACCTAGTATTCGCCCTCTTTTTGCGACATCCAAATTTTTCACTTACGAAAGTTAGGTTTTTTACATCGTACCTTCGGGAAGAACAGTAGAAGCCTAGATCACTTAAGATTCCAGTATTCACTTCTTTCCTCACTGTGATAGAGGTTTTTTCCAGGCGTCCCTAAGACCATCGCAGGCGCAGCTTTTTTTGTCGGTGCCGTTCTTCAGCCGAGAAAGAAACAACGATCCTGCTTGCCAGGAGCAGTTTCAAAAAGAAAAAAAAAGAAAGGAAAAGAAATAGGAAGACAGGCCACGGTCGCACTATACAAGACGTACTTAGTTCTGAGCGTGTTGTGTTGTAAAGCAAGCACCTCCTCTTCCCGACCCTCTCTGTTCCTCGTCGGATCTCCGTATTGGTTCGAAGACACAAGGTTTGACTGACCCAAAAACGGTTTAGGTTCCGCATTCTTTCTTGTCGTGGCAAAGGTGATCGAGAGAGGTTCCTTCTCTTTATTGGGGTAAGAAATTTCTGCGCAACATCTGAAACACGGTTTCGTGTAGCTGACAAGTTGTACCTACTTCCAAAACACTCGAACCCGTGAATTGAAACTGGTCGGAGCCATGACAATGTCTTGTGGTCGCACCTCCATTCGTGGAGCCTACTTGCTTGTCTGTCGCTAACCACATCGATCTGGCTGATCGTGTTTGATTCATGCGGTGCAAAAAACCTATCGTGCCTCAAGAACATGAAGTAATCCAACATCGTCTGGTTTTTGCCGTTGATATAATTTCTGCGTATCACAATTTGGACACACGCACGAACAAAACTTTTCTGCCTTTATTTTTTCGCGAAGCAAAAGCAAAACTATAACTATCTGCTACTTCCTCGACCGCCCCACCGCTCTTCTTGTAATCATTTCAAGGAAGAAAAATTTTTCTATAACAAATCAAACGAACAAAGAGAGATGACGGACCTTCAGGATGAGGATGCGCGTCTTGCTGCGGTCTTGGGGCAATCCCTGGAGAGCGTCATTGACGCTCCGCCGCCCAGCGCAGCCTCGGCCACGATATTACGATACTCTGGCGGTACGGGGCACAAGGGGAAGGTATGAACAATTGATGCTTCATTTCTTGCATAAAGTAACAGTTCCATGTAGATCATGAGAAAAATTTCCCATCGCACTACATTTCAGCAAAAAATCTCGTTGGTTCCTTCATGATGTAGCTGAATACGAATATCCCCGACCAGACGACCAAAAATGAGAAAGTGACAAAATACATCAGGGCAAGGGCAAAAAGGGAAAGTTCCACGGCGAGGGGTTTTTCCAGCGACAGGAGGTGGGGCAGAACTACATCTGCCAGAACTGCGGGAAGAAGGGGGACCACTGGCTGCAGGATTGCCCCCTGAAGTACGAAGATGAGCAGGAGAAGGTGGGCGCCACCTACGACGCCTGGTCGAATGAGAACGAGCGGAAGAAAACGAAGATTCGGTGGGCGCGGGGCATCCCCATGAACTACCTGCAGGAGTGTCCGACGTTTGAGGCCGCCTGCGAGCGGAGCATCGACGGGACCTGCTACCTGCGTCGGGAAAAACCGGGGAAGTATTTTGCCTACGTTCACGATGCGTCGTCCAACGTGTTTCTCGGGAAACACATGCAGAAACTCCAGACACCCGTCCACGAAAAAGCGTTTTTCGCCTACGGGGAGGCTTTCGAGAAAGCCCTGGACTTTGTCCGGTGCCAGGTCTGCACGAACTTGCTGATGCTGCCGGAAATCGCCCCGTGCTGCGGGCGCACGTTCTGTCGCGACTGCATCCTCGAGCGCCCAACCTGCCCAGCGTGCAAGAAGCCGAACATGCCGCACTTGTTGCAACCGCACGACCTGCTACGGAAAATTGCCGACAAGATAAGAGGAGGTACAGTTGCGTTTTTGCGTGAATGTGATTCTATAAATCGATACACCAATTTGTAATCGTGTCACAATCTGATAGAAGTTCCCCACGCCATAATTTTTCTACAATCTCATCATTCATTCCCTACCTTGACGAACACAGCGAAAATGTCGGACCTGCGTCGGCGCGAGGACGAGGAGCAGCGACGGCGCGCGGAGTGGCGCGTCAAACAGGTCGCACTGGAGGAGTGCTACGCGGAGGAGGAACGCGAGCGGCGCGCAAAAGAGCAGCGCACCGCCCTGCACACGCTGCATCGCCGCATGCTGACGGAGAAGCTGGACCGATTGGAGCGGAAAATGGCGCGTCGGCGAGCGAAGATTTTAGAGGACATGGAAGAGGAAGAGAAAAAGGCGGAGGAAGAGAGTAAAGAAGCGAATAGCAACATTGGAGCGCCAGCACCGGGAGGCGCAGCTACGTCAGCGTCCACGACCGCAGGAGGAGCGTCAAGCTCTTCATCGGCGCAGCCCAACGAAGGTGCTGCTGCGACGGAAGGACAGCCGGCCGCTAGCTCGAGCTCCGCTAGCAGTAGCTCTACTGCGGCCGTCAAGAAGCGAAACTCCGCACCGGTGCCTTTGGACTTGGATGCGGAGGAGCGAAGGCTGCTGTTTGATCTTAAAACGCAGTCGGGACCCCCCGAGATCCGCAACGCCGCCGAGTTTGAGCTGTTCAAATTGTGTCTGAAGGAGCGGGCGCTGCGGGCGGAGCTGGAGGCGCACGACGCAAAGGACCCCGAAGCAATGGACAGCGCCGTAGGGGGAACGCTGGTCACGGACGACGGGGAAGTTCTTTCCCCCGTAGAACGGGACCACTCCGGGCGACACAAGCGCCTGATGCTGCCACCCGCAGGTGGACCGCTGTGTTTGCCTGTGGGAAATACCACCAATAATTCCGCTGGTCCGGTTGTTGCGAAACAACAGACTTTGCAACCAGGTACAGGCGTGGTGAGAGTAATATCGCCACGAGCTGCAGACTGGGGCAGCAGTGCTGCAGCTTCTGTTGTGCCGCATAAAGCCACTCCAAGTTGTGCACCACCTGCAACGCTCTTGCCTTTGCAACCGCAAGCTGGGAACGCGAGTGCAAGTTCGTCGTCTTCCGCCCCGCCTGTTGCGCAGCCAGCAAATGCAACGCAACAAGCAGCGAAAGAGGCGTTGCTCCCCCTGGTAGGACAGGTCGACACCACCAGCAAAGATACCATCGCCTCTACGGAAGGTAGCCAGGACAACACAAAGTCTACTGCGGGGGCTCCGATCATCAGTCTGAAGAGACCGCCCCCTTCACAGCCAGAGCAGGAAGGCTCAGGTGCGGCTTCAAGCAGCAGTGGACCGGTTGTGATGGTACCGGCGGCGCAAGAACCAGCACTGGGTGGAGCGACCGCTGTTGCCACGACCGCGGGCGCTGCGTCGTCAAGCACCTCGAACGTTCCGGCAAGCACAGCGACTGCCAGCCAGAAGTCTCCGGAGAAGAAAACGAAAAAGAGGAAGAAGCTGACCCCCGAGGAGTTTTTCGCGTGGCAGGAATCCATTCGGAAGGCAGCTGAGGAGGGTCGACCGGCGCCACCAACTGTGAGTCCGGGAGAAGACGATTAGAAGTGTCGGCATGTCTTGGTACACACTGAGAAACCAAAAACTTCGACATCCGCAAGCGAGCGACTGTAGCACACCATCAATTCAGTATCCGTTTTCATGGCCAAAAAAAAATGTAGTACATGGAGAAATAAGTTCGTGTTTCGGCATTGACTTGCCCAGCAGATACGATAGGCTTTCGCGGGATGATGTTCTCTCAAGCTTTGAGTGTAAGTACATCAGGTTTGGTTCATGCATGCTTTTGATACTCCGGTTTCGCTTTCGCCTTCCGTTCCTGTTTCGGTTTTTTGCTGCAGTGTGTCGGTCTTTCGTGCATGAGTTGGTTTCCGCTCTATCGATCTTTCCACTTCATCTGCCGTCTCGCTATGGATCAAGCTGTTCCTTACATCGAAATCGTGGTGGTTTTGGTTGGTGAAAGAATCTGAAGAGCGATCTTTTTGATTTCTGTTCCACTTTTGTTTCTTGTTTCGGATCCCCGTGGTTTTTCTTGGTGACGTTTGTTTTGGCGTGATTGAGGCTGTTTCTTTCCGACTTCTTTGAAAAGATCTCTGTTGCTGTTTTTTTTCGCGTTCAAGATCCAATCAAAAAAAGAAGTATACTCATTCACGCACAGATATCGGTCACTAGTTGCTAGCAGAACCAAACAGAATGTACTGCGAAACAGCGGGTCGCTTCCGCTCGAGCGGGTGTGAAGGCACCGAAACCAAGCCGAGCACATCAATGCCGAGGAAAGACCGCAGCACGTGTTGTAAGACGAAGGCTTTAATGTCTCTCGACGCCCTCACAACAAGTGGGCGAAATGGGTCCAGCAGAAGAAAATCAAAAACCGGAGTAGCAGCAGCTCGACCTGCTCAACAACATTCCAAACCGGCACGCCGGCGCTGCAGCAACTGGTCGGCGCCGATGAAGAAAGTCGCAAAGGGTTGCGTAGCGTCAGCCGCGGTTTTCTTCTCTCCCAATGCGCCACTCTCTGGTGTCCAGGCCGCTGTCGACGAAAACGGCAACGTTGTCGATGGCGGGGAGATGAAGATTATGATGCCTCCTACGCCCGAAGGGTTCAACGCGAGCGAGCCGGATCCGGATCCGCCGAGCCAGGACCGGATTCTGAAGCTGCTGATGTACGAGCTTGGGCAATACAACTCGTTCAAGATCCCGCGGTTCGTCAATTTCTACGAGTACGAGGACTTTCAGGACAAGGACTGCCCGCAGAAGCTGGTGCAGATGACCAAGGAGTTTCAGGATTTGTCCGAAACCGTAACGCAGTGGCACTACAATTTCACCGGAACCGCGGGGCTTTTCTACCTAGTGCAGGACAAAAACGCACCGGGCATCGACATCAGCTGGCTGTGGATGGCACAACACTTCCAGCATCGCGTGTCCTCGCTGCTGCAGCGCTTCATCGCGTGGATAATGGTACTTGATATCACAGTTCGTTATTTATTCCCACTTGTGTTTAGCGGCGGTCACCTTACCAATACTAGTGCAGCAGCTGTGTATGACAGTTGACGTGAAGTCCATCTTCATGTTGAATGATAAAGAACAACTTCGAGTAGAAGTGATTCTCGGGAAAGAAACTCGTTCAAAATTTTGTCAAAGGTTTTCTCCCTGTCGACCAATTCCCACGACCCCGGTTGCCTGTACTTCACGCCCGGCGTAAGAAAAATCATCGTCGAGATGCTCACGCATATGAAACGGTTGCAGCAGGACAATATGGCTTTGTTATGGAACGGGGCCGCTTTTGGCATGCTGGGGGACGTCACCCGAGACGACTTTGAGGAATGGGAACTAACGGAAGAGGAAAAAGTCGACTTCGGCATCGCCAACAAAACCCGGGAGCAAATCATTGAAGACAGGAAAAAACCAAAGAGCAGGTAGAAGTTTCACTTTCCGTTGTCCACCTCCTCTTGAAGTAGTTGAACACAAAATTTTGCAGGATCAGGACCAGTGTATAAGTTGAAAATCTCGAATGAATACAAATCTCTTGCTCTTTCTCATCCAGATTTTCGCAGAACCTGATATTCGCGAACATGTATACGGGTTCTGTGTCCCAGTGGGCGAACTTCTACGCGTACCGCATGACGAACGAGGTGCAAACCGTTTTGACCAAGTGGGATGAGGTGAAGCAGGAGATTGCCATCGAGGCACAGGCGCACGACAAGGTCAAGTCCCACCACCAGAACGAGCACGGCATGTTTTTGCCGTATGAACTGTGGCGCCGGGAGGTCTTCAAGCAGTGGGCCGTAGACAAGGGGCTTCTGCGGGGAATCCTGAGACACGTCGTGGACGATCTCTATGCGGTGCGCTCCCTGGCAGACTTCGGCGCCGGCGGCGGACACTACGCGAAATGGCTGAACGACACCGGGTTGCTCACCGCATTTGCCTACGACGGAATTCAGGGTAGAAAGTGAACTGTTGGGGCGATGATGTGAATCACAATGCTGGTCGTCATTTGGAAAATATTTTTTCACATTTATCAAGAAGTTCTTTCCGCAAAATGTTCTCTATCCCTCCAGGTGTCACCGACGTGACAAAAGGCGCTGTGCAGTACTGGAACTTGGTAGAGGACCAGGATGGGCACCCGCGCACCTACGACTACGGCATGTGCCTGGAGGTTCTCGAGCACATTCCCAAGGAATTCTCCGGCAGCGTTATCACGACGATATCCAAATACGTCAAGAACCGGCTCATCATGTCCTGGAGCAGCGACCGAGAGGGTATCGGCCACGTCAACTGCAAGGGGGAGGAAGAGTGGGTGCCGTACGTGGAAAGCTTTGGGTGGAAGCAGAACAAGGAGCTCACCTTCATGCTGAAAAACAATGCCACAGTCGAGTACATCTCAAACTCGGTCAACGTCTTCGATCGGGTGGCGTGATGAATATGGAAAAAGTGCTGGTAGGGAACCCACGGGGTCGCAATCCTGCTCGGTTTTTTTACCATGCCTCAAGCGAAGTTGTTAAGTAAGTACGAATGAAATGAAGTCGCTCAATTTGATATACATTTTCGAGAACTTTCTTTCCCCACACTATATTCGATGTCAAGATAGCTCAATGTTGCCGTGAATGTGACTCGCTCGAGAACATTGCTCGACGTTTGACAAAAGTGCTCGGTATGAACAGTGATAGAACGACAGTAAGTGCCAGTGAATCTTCACCCAGCTCGGCTTTGAAAAAAAAGGCAAGCTCCGCAACGCACGAGAAACTGCAAAACTCTGTGCCCTCTTTTGTGTAAAGCTGGCAGAATGCTCCTCGGTCAACTGAGTTTATTAGGAAAAAGCAAAGAAAGAAAAACAAATTTAATTTCGGTGTACAAAGTTGTACTTCGTTTGATGCAAAAAAGTCTGGACGGATCGGTGCCTCTCGTACATCAATGTCGTGGAAAGTCGAAACATCCTCGGTCCTGCTTGCAGTCGTTCGCATCCTTCTCGGTATGTGTGATCTTATCGTGGAACTAAAGACTGTCGTCCTTTCTGTCATCGTGCAAAAATGTAAGCGTTTGGGCAGCTTTCGTCACGATTGGCCAAAACGTCGCTGAATGTCGTCCTACTGTGCACGAATAAAATGATCACAGGGCCCGTACCAGCAGCGTGACGGACGCAACGCCTTGAAAAGGAATCCCCCCACCCGGGGAGGTTCTATGCTACGGGTTCCTGAATATCTCTGTGCAATTTTATTGTTCGCCTTCTACACATAATCAACCCATTCTATCATTTTTTTCTCGCATTTTTCTTCCATTTCAAACCATTTCTACTTTTTAAGCCGTAAAAAGGGATCCACAAACGATGGCGACGAACCCGCCGCCAGGCGGCGGCAAGGGAAATATGAAAGGAGGCACTACCGACGATGATGTCAGCACCAATGCAGATTCCCGGCCCGTGCGAAATCCGAAGCCGAACCTCGGCCGAGAAATCGCGAACAGTATTCGCGACTCCGCGGCAATGGTGGCAGAAGGAGTGGAGGCAGGATATGGTATGAAAGACAAAAAAAATTCTATGATGTATTTTTTTGTATGTAGTAGCTGATGCGCATTACTCGCGGGCAAGCGTCCGGCGCCTGTTTTCTGTCCTGAGGTATTTGGAGGAGCTGAAAGTTTTTGTGTTGATTAAAGTCGACCTATTTATCATTTCAAAACAGGTGCCGTTGCCGGGGGCGACAGCAAGCAAACGGGTGGCTTTGACAGCGACGCGAGCCGTGGCGGAGGTGCCATGACAAGTGACTACCACCTGCCTGGACATCCCCGCGCAGACATGTCAGACTCAAGTTCCGACTTCGGACCACCAGCAAACGCCGACACGCAGCGACCCAGCATGATGCAAAACTGCTGGAGAGTTATGGTCTTCATTTGCGTCGTGGTAAGTTGATTTTTTTTTTCGGTTTGGTGTGTTCGTGCTACGTGGACAACCTCACGAATCAATCTCGGTTAATGTAGAAGTAACAGTTGAAAGCGCTGACGGAATGATTACCTCGTGTTAAGACGTTGCCAAAAAAAGAGTAAAACCAAGAAACTCTAAAGCGATTTGTTCTTTTCAAAGTGCACTATACACATATCAACGCACAGATCGTTCTCCTGGCACCCTGCGTGTGCATCGGTACCGGTGTCTTCTGCCTGGCGTGCCGCAACGAGGACGAGCCGGAAGGGAAGGTTGGCTACGACTGCAACCGGGGCCGACCCGTGATGACCGTGTTCGGTTTTGTCTTGGTGGCGCTGGGTTTCGTACTGATCACCACGTACTGCTTCGTCTGTTGCTGCCGCCGGCAGCACGACTCCTACCTAGTGGAGCAGGACGAGGACGAATACGAGGAGGAGAAACGAGTCTTGGGCAGCAGCAGGCCGTAAAAACAGGTCATCTACTTGCATCTTCGTCGTTGAGGGGGATCTGACGAAGTGCTGCGTATTCTGCAGAAAAAAAGATGCGATTCGTTTTCGATAAAAATTCGAGACTACTTTTTACGCACCGGACTTTTTGTACTTCCTTGATGCCTTATCATTTTCCACGAGCAGTGCTGGCGTTCTTGGCAGCGTTATGTGGCTGATGTATTTTGGCAGAAGCGAGGAGGCTAGGTAGTAGTTTTATCGAACAGCAGACATCGTGCATCGTAGGGAAATTAGCGTATTTCCAAAATTCGAGACCTTCGATATCTTCGCCTCCGGGGATTCGCCATTGCAACTGAGTATCCTTATTGCGGCAAAAAATTGGTAGATTGGATGTATCAGTATTTTTGTTTATTTGTGACGTAGACTAGTCTGTACCTTATGTACCGTTTCGTATGATTCATGTCTGTAACTTTTTTGTGCGCGAAGATCACGTCTACGGAAGTCATTTGGAAATTAAGCTTTTTTTTTGTCCATAAAACGCCAGATCACAGTCTGTAATTCATTTTTGTTTACTTTCCGCAAGCGCTGTGCGCGAGAAATAGACGAGACGCATCCGGGCTTTCTGGAACATTGCAACGTGGAATCGTTCTGTCCGCGCTCTCTGTAGATTTAGGGTTTTTTTAATACGAAGTTGAGGCCAGCAGCGTTCGCCAAACGTTGTCTCCAGAAACGGAAGAGCTGCTTTCTAAGGCGGGTGTGGACAAACGATGGTTGCCAATCGACACCCGATTTTGAACACAAAAAACGTGGCATGCGCAAGGGCTTGCGGTTTGTAATTATGGTGTTTTTCTCTTTGAACAAAGCGAAATACGAAGCGCTGTATTAGATTAGTAGCTGTAGGAGCTGCAGCTTGACGAAAGACTGACAAATCAAATTAGTGTTCTTCGAAAAGCGAACGTCACTGCGATCACAAATCGCCGAAATGTCAACATCGAGATCATTCTTGGATGCACATGCAGTGTCTCTCGTCTCGGTAGACTTCTTTCAAATTCGCGACTGCATTGATTGAAAAGCAACCTTCATGAAAAAACTGACAGGACAGGACCCCTCTGGATATTACCAAGACACACCGAGAATATCAAGTTTGATTTTCGTCCACCCCACAGAGCTAGCTTTGAAAGCGACACGGAAATTCGCTACGGCGGAAGCCTCGCTGAAGCCGCTTCTAGGTGTATCAGAGAATAATTGATTCGCCAATAGCCTACAGTTTCTTTTTCATTCGAGTTAACGTTTGGAAAAAAGATCTTCGCTACAATTTTTCTTTGCGTACCACAGATTAAGCATTTCGCAGGGAAAAAAATGTCGGGGTACTATAACAAGAAGGGGGAGTTCATTTACGGCGAGGTGCCCGCGCACATCCGGCGGCAAGAGGAGGCCAAGGCCCGGCAGAAGGCCGCCGAAGACGAGCAGTTCAAATTATTCGAAGAGGACTTTGTGAAGGATGACGACCCGATAGATGGGGACGAGGACGTGGGCGAGGGAGAGGTCACCGAGGCCTGCCTGCTCGGTCCGCCATCTACTTCGGCCAATAATGCTGCGGGCGGCGCGTCCAGCAGTTCCTCCTCCTCGACCGCCGCACCGGTGTTGCCGCCCCCTCCCAGCGACAGCGAGGAGGAAAAAGAACCGGTGGATCCCAGCAAGAAGGAGCAGCTGGACGATTTGTTCGCGAATTTGATGGGCACGATAAATACCATGGGGACGCAGCGACAGAAGGCAAACATGAGAAAGTACTCCTCGCCCGAAGAGCTGGTCAGCCGAATATTGGACCATGCAAGAAGTAAATACTTTCATTTTTCATTGGTTTTGCAGGTGTGTAGGTCCATGTGTGACAGATTATGACGACCGGTTTTTTTGTGGAATGTAGTTTGTTAAACGAAGGAGCGCAGTTACTGTTGATCCTAAAACCTAAACTACCCTCTCATGATGTGTGGCAAAAACCAAAACAGGTCCGTTCGAGATTCTGGGCGTTACCCCTGAAGCCGAAAAAGCCGAGATCACAAAGACGTACCGAAACATCTCGCGAATTATTCACCCGGATAAGTGTCGAGTGGAAAGAGCGCAAGAGGCGTTCCAGAAGGTCCTGGATGCGTACAACGAGCTGAAGGAGGGCAAGTCGCGCGAGCGCTACAAGGACATTTGGGACGAAGTGCGCGCCGAGGTGTTACGCGAACACGAAGCCTTCAATGAGGAGAAGCTGCGCAACAACGACACCGAGGGATTGTTGCCAACGGAGGGGTACGAGTTTGACGAGGCTGTGATCAAGCGGTGTGAAGATCGCTTGGACACGAGTCAGAAGAAGGAAGAAGCTGAAGAAACTTATGCGGATAAGGTACAACGAGGATTCTTCTGTTCAAAGCTGCAGTGTTGTATGCAATGGATTATGCACTAGGTAGTGGAATGACATAAATATATCGATGTACGATTTTCTGTCAGAAAAGGATGATGAAGCGCTGTGATGTATACGTGCGAATCCTACAAAAGCGCAAGAGATCGTGATCTGCTTTTCCTAAGTGTCAAATTTGTTTTTTTTTCAGGTTCGCAAGGCCAACGAGGAGCGGATAAAGACCCGCGTGGACGAGGAGAAGGCCCGGGAGGGGAAGCAGAACAAGAACGAAAACCGGTGGAAAAAGGGCATGGACAAGCGGGTCGCCGGTTGGCAGGTGTTTCAGGCCAACGTGAACGCAAAGCGGTTTAAAAGCGAGAGTTGGGCCAAGGTCGGGCAGGTGGGCGCCGCGGACCGCTTCCACAAGCGCGAGGAGAAGACCGACGCGCAGATTCGCGAGGAGCAGAAGCTCCACATGACCGCGGACGGCGGCAAGGGAAAGGGCGGTTTGCAGAAAAAAGCGGCCGGGCTCGATGACGGCTTCAAAAAAGTGTGGAGGTGATCTTCGTCGAAAAAACGAGCGTGCGTTGCTATCTTCTTTATTACACAAATGTTGTATCAACACCATTTGTGGTGCAAAACTACGCCCCCCACGACGAGGAGGTCCTAGGAACGTGACCCCAAGAACGACATAAAAAAGCGACAACTTTGCGACAGAAAGTAGCTACTTTCGTTATTGCGAATGCAAGCGGGATTTGAGTTATCCGCACTGGAGTTGCGTGCGTCCGTCTTTTGGCCTTTGTTATCCGGAAAAGGAAAAGCGTGTTCGCTACCTGGCATTATTTTTCTTAAATCGACCGCTGCGTGAAATCTGCTTTTTATGGGGGGGGAGGGCGTTTGTGTTACGCGTTTTTATTTGTGGTGCGTTGTGTGTGGTTCTGGTATGGCAACCTAAGCAGAAGTAGGAGCGAAAAGATGAGAGTAAGGCACAGAGAGATAGATGGAAAGGCGCGCTTTTTTATTGTCCAAACTTATTAATTTGCAGTAACGCGAACTCACCGTCACCCACAATTGAAAATTTAGCAAAGTTCAATTTTTCACGTAAACACGACCTGCAGACCGCGTTTACTCGATCCTTCCTCCGTCTTCGGTGGTGACCTCCGACGTCGTACAAGATGGCGAAGATGATGAAGATGATGTCCATGAAGGTAAAGCCGTATTTTCTTGTATAAATTGTTGAGAAGGACCAGCACTGCAGTCGTGTCGGTGATATCTTTGGGTTTGTCATTTTCGTCCTGTAGTTTTGAATTTGATGCACCGGCGGTGGTGGTCGTGGTTCAGACGAAAAAAAATCTCACCAACATTCAGATGGGCATGAAGAAGATGGCCATGAAGAAATCCGTCATCGCACGGGGAAGGGTGCCGAATCGGCAGGCGATGGTCTTGCGGGGCACCAAATTAAAGACCAGCGGTGGGTTGACCAAGAGCGATTTGAAGAAGAACCCCCGCGGGCGTGTGGTTTCCATCAAGAAAAGCAACGCAGCCCGAAAGAAAGGGACTTTTCAAAAGATTTCGACTTGGGGAAAAGCGGTAAAGCAGGCCTACAGGGAGATGGGCCTGAAAGGTTTCGTGCCGGTGGGTGGGAAGAAATCCGCGCTGAGTCAGGCTTTGTACCAGAGGGTAAAGCAAATTACCTCCGCGAAGTAATGGACAAAAATTCAATTGATAAGGAAAAGCTCTACTTTCTCGCCACAGTCGTCGTTCTGCAAGAACTTTCAGTGGGTGCGAAAGGTCGCGGAAAGATGTTAAAGGAAAGCGATAGACTAGCAATTTTTCTGTGATGCTCATGCAAATACATTCACATCATACGAGCAATCGCGGTAAAATCACTGTGATAGATACGATTTTTGAATGGTGAAGACAGCCTTTTATCTGTTTACAGCGGCAAGCATGAGTAGGTGAGACTGCGTTCTGGGGCAGCAGGCTTCATAACGCGCGTCATAGCAACAATCGATTTTGTGCCGTTCAACGGGACGATATGAAAAAGAGAGACCCATGCAAAAGCAAACACTTCTTCTGCAAAAACGCATGCAAGTGGAGTGCTGTGAGTCCGCTGCGGACTAGGTACTACAGGACCTGACGACCATGTCCACTGCATGCTGATCATATACTGTGCATCTACATTTGAAAAAAAAGTTCTACTTTTACTCTCATGCCTGTGAGTGTCTCTTCAACACTCTGGTCACCAACCTGAAAGAAGTGTTCTGTCCGGATACTGCTTAAGTTCAGACGCGCCAGACAACTGGAGAGAGTGCGTCAAATCAAGCTTCCAGACCATCCGTTGGGTTTCAAGTTCAGCAAGAAAAAACGAGCAGAGCTGAAGTGAAAGACAGACCATGCTGTGAGCGACGTCGCAGGCTACAAGAGTGAATCACGTCGAGAAGTACTGCTGAATACCTACTGGTGATCATGCTAGATGAAGAAATACGAAAGCATCTCTTTAGGACAACTGCACTACCACTTGAAGAGCGAACTGCCTGAAACATAGCACAACAAAACATCTTCGCTGACCACTGCAGCAGCAACTCCTCCGCGCGTGGCCGAGGTGATGTCGTCGATGAAGATTTCGGCCATGAAAATCGTATCGCCCATGAAAGTCTACGCATCGGCGATGAAGTTATCGTCGACGAAAATGTCCTCGATGAAGATGTCCGCAATGAAGGCATCGATGAAGGTAAGTGCCTTAAGATTAATTTCCTCCTGCTTACGACCTTGAACCATTCGCGCCCTTCATTGTGCAAATTTATTGGGACTGTGCAACAACATTTTTGATTTTGTGTGACGCTACCTCCCGAACATAACTCACATGCAGATGGGCCTGAAGAAGATGGCCATGAAGAAGTCTACCGTTGCTCGCGGTCGCAATCGCCAAGCGGTCGTGTTTCACGGTCATAAACTCACGACCAGTGGAGGCTTGAAGAAGTCCGATCTGAAGAAGAACGCGCAGGGCAAGATTGTGTCGGTCAAAAAGTCCGCGGCCGCGAAGAAGAAAGCGACGTTTGCGAAAATTAGCTCCTGGGGCGCAAGCCTGGGGAAAGCGCGCAAGGAGATGGGCCTGAAGGGCTTCATTTGCTGCGGTGGGAAGACGGCTTTGGGACAGGCACTGCTGGCCCGAACGCGGGCAATCTACAAGCAGAGCACGCAGTAGGCTGATACGTGTGCAGTCTCTTCTACAGCATTTGTGATGTTACTTAAGTATTGAGCAGGAATATTAAGGAAGAAGCTTCAGAGACGGCCCTAACAGCTTCTATCATTCGTTGAGACCGCTCCCAGAAAATTTATTTCACCAATGTGGTAGTTTATTCGTGCAACACAAACCCTGTCTGATGCGCACTGGTTAGTGCTCTTCGCTGTAGCATTGTCGGCGATAGCGTCTCGCCTTCGGCGAAAATAAATGGTGGAATCTTCATGCAGAGATGGTCACCAGGAGCAGATTTTAATGGTAAAGTGACGTGCCGTGCTAGGTTAATCACATCTGAGGAAACTTTTTTTTTCGCAACATCACGACCTAACATGCAATACATAGTTTTGTCATAGTACTGTTGAAATACTCATCATCCGATTACCAATGCTTGTAAAATCAATCGTCAAGCCTGAGCAAGCGCCTCTTCGATCTTCGGCTGTTCGTGCGAATCTACAGAACTCGGTTACTGATATGATTTTCTGTAGACTTCTCCGCCACAGCGGACTCGTTTTTGTAGGAATCGTGATGACGCAGGTCTTCCGTGCGCGATTTCTCTTTTGTTTACCTGCACGTTCGACGTGTGTCTTATTTCGTAACTTCCGCAACCTTTTGCTCGTGTCCTTTGCTTGTTCTTCGTGTCTCATGAGCGGCTTTAAATTTAAGTATAAGCACAGATGTCCCTGAAGATGGTTGTTCCCACATGTAAAAGTTTTGCAAGCGCGTGTGCGCTATGGACGCTGGGCTTGATATTTGGCATCAAGTTTCATGATGTTTTCATCAGCATTCCGCTGCAGTCCCGCTGGCGGGCGTCAGAAACCAGCGGGAACGCGTTCTCACGCATGTTTAAGGGAAGCGGGTCGCTCGCCCCGAGCGGATTTTCCAGCAGCACGGGCGGATCTCCGGCGCCGTCCCAGCAATCGAACAAAATCCCAGCCGGAAAAACCACCGGCACGGCCTCCTGGAAGACCGGGCTGGTGCGATATTTTCGACCAACGCTACCGTGGCAACGCTACTCCGAGCAGACAGCTGAAGCCGTATTCGGCCGCGGACTTGGTTCCGCCGTGGAGCGCGCCAGCCAGTGGCTCGCAGCCAAGACTGCGGCCGCCGGGGCCCCGCTGCTCGTTTTCGACGAGACTGTCGACAGGGACATCTTGAAACCCGCGGCGGAGGAGGAGAAATCAGGTGCAGCCGTCGACGAACTCGACGCCGCCGCGGTTTTGGGGTTCCGCGCCAGACTCGGCAGAGAGGTGGGGCACAGCCGGTTAGCGGCGTTGCCACGCGGGAGTTTGTACGTCTTCCCGGTGACGAACTTGCGCGGTGTCGCGCTCGCACACAGGCTGGTCGAACTCACATCCGCCGGGAAACCGCGGATCCCCAACCCACAAAAGTCCGACTACGGACTGCACTCAGTTGCGTGCTGGGTGATGGGCGAAACCACCATCGGCGAAAACGGGCTCAGCGGCGGCTGCGTCGTTGAGATTCGCCCGCCGGAAAAGGAGCTTGCTACCTACTTCCAAGCTGGGACAGGGGTTGTAACAGGGCTGCTGGGACAAAGTCGCAGCGCCGCCGCGGCGCCGAACATGCAACTGTGCGAAACTGTACCTCTGGGGGCAGCGGAAAAGGAGTCTGGTCCTGCTGGGTGTGAGAAAATGTAAAATTTCTGTGGCGGTCTTGCGATGTGTCGTGCGGAAAAAAATAAGATGCAGGTAAGCAATTGCATGGCACGGTAAGTGCTCCCTTTGCAGCCGCTACTGTGCGCCTACGTGGACGACCCTGCCATTCTGCTTGGAAGACATTTTCATATTTTCATTTAGCATGTGTGTGACCTCAACAGCAATGGCTACAGTTCCATTTCCGCAAATATCTCTCCTCGATAATCGTCTTCTTCAGAAGAGCGAGGCTTCCGGGATACGGTCTACTTATTACCCACAATGGCGGCGGCTCGAGGGTTCATCAGGAACTGCAAGCAACGTCGCTGCAGCTCCCGAAGCTAATATCGCTCCTGCAATGCCAGACATATCTTTCGGCATTACCGCTGGGACAGCAGCAGCGGAACCTCCACCCGCCCCTGGTGCTAAAGAGAGCAGCGCCACTATCGCCTCAACAAGCGCGACTGAAAGCAGCACTATTACAACAACGCCTGCAACATCTTCAGCACCGCCGCTTCCTTCGCCGCAACCCTCCAGCACGTTGTCCGCAGACGGGTCTTTGCAGCTTCCGCGCGACGACCCCACACAATGGGCGGCCGCGGCCTCGAAGTTCTGGGAGATCGCAAAGCAGACCGGCACCGACAAGGTCTCGTCTCACCGGTACCACGAGCTGTACGGGAAATACTTACCCGGCAAGTTCCTGGACCCGAAACTGCGGAAGCACATCTTGTTTGAGATCGGCCTGGGCTGCACGATGGTGTACGGCCCGGGGAAGAGCGCGACCCTGTGGCGGAAACTCGGGTTCGAGCAGGTGCATTTTCTCGAGTACTTCCCCAAGTGCGTGGAGTTGTACGAAAGCCGAATCAAGCAGGAGGGCTACCATGTCCACGTGGGCAGCCAGGCGGACGTGCGCCGGGTGGAAAAGATCAAGGCAAGCCTCCAGGAGGAGGCCGAGGTGGTAATCGACGACGGGGGGCACCGCAACTACGAGATGATCACCTCCGTGTTCCAGCTCTGGCCCATCGTGCGCAACGGCGGCCTGTACTTCTGTGAGGACTGGAGCGAAACCGCGTACATCCCGGGTTACCTGGACGCCCCGGCGCGGATCGCAGAGCCGGGCGGCGAGCAGCCCGGCACCGCACAGTTCACCTTGGCCACGCTTCTGCGCCACATGTTCTGCCGCATCGTAGACGCGCCGTGCTTTGGCGGCCTAGTTTTCCTCGAAGCGCAGTATAACCACGTGATGCTGCGCAAGGCATTGTAGGAAATGAGTTTGTAGTGTGATGCAGACACAGGACTGGTCGCACTTGATGTTTACAGCGAAAAATGCAACTTTTGCACTGTGTGTGACAGAAATCCGCTGCCCTAGGCTTGTCGCGGCAAATTATGAACGTCGAGCTTGGATATTTAGAAATCGAGCAGCCGGGCGGGGACGTCAATGTCTGGTCGCTCTCGCGCCGTCGCAACACTACGTGTGTCTGCCGAAATGGTTGGTTTGGAGTTTTCAAGGTCAAGGAATGCTGGGAGGTGTGTTGATTGGTGGTGCCACGAGGGGGATGTCGCGGTGGCGAATCGCAGTATGGGGTTTCGGCCGATGACGATGTCACAGGAGGAGCGCTTTTTTTTTTGAGGGCTGGGCACAACAAGAAGTGCGAGAAACAAAGAGGGATTATGCACAAGTACTTGGCTGAGCTGTGGCGAGAGATGGCGCTCGGGTTTTGAGGGGCGGACGCGAGTGCTACGCTGTAAGTTTTTACGTCACGAAAAAGTGAGCGAAGCCTTCTGGGGTCACCAGTTCTTCCTAACAGGATTTTTTGAAGAAGTAAGTATACTGAAGATATTCTGCCGACGTTGCACGAAACGCTCTAGCGCTCGGGTGCATCACTTGGCGCTGCACCGTGGCAACGAAAGAGCAAGGAGGTTCTTTTGACGCAGCAGAGCCCTGCTGTAATTGGACCCACGACCGCCCAAGCGGCCGCGATTTGGGAAATACAAGCAGCGGAGAGACAAGACCGCGGGTCGTCGAGAGGAGCAGAGGCGTCGCTTCTCGCGGCAAGAATGTTCCCGCATAGAAGTCCTGGGCCGGCACGGCGGTCCTGATACAGGTCGAGAATAAGTTCTCGCAGGAAGAACCCGTGGCACTGCGATCAAAATGCGGACCATCACGCTATGGCAGGACCGCGTGCCCGAGCGGGACAAGCTCTACTCGAACACCATATGGTCTCTGGCCTTCAAGCCGGACGGCAGCCAGTTGATCTGTGCTGTGGGCAATCGTGTCCTGGTGTACGACACAGTCGACGGGGACCTTCTGCATTCGCTGAAGGGACACAAAGACACCGTATACTGTGTCTGCTACGCCAAAAACGGGAAAAAGTTCGCCTCCGGGGGGGCGGATAAGCAAGTGATAATATGGACGCACAAAGCAGAAGGTGAGGACTTATGGGTCTCTTTCTTTGTTGCGAAGCTTCATGTGGGAGCCGCTTCCAAGTACTCGAATCGAGTAACTCGATGGCCACCGGCGCGCACTGCTCCTGCTATTGTTCATTCATATTAAAGTGACTTTCAGATTCAGAATCAGATACAGGTTTACCAGTTTCGTTCTCGCATGGAAATAGCTTCAAGAAAAAAACCAGGTATCCTGAAGTACAATCACAACGACAGTATCCAGTGCCTTTCCTATAACCCGGTCACGGGGCAACTTGCGAGCGGCACCGCGGGTGATCTTGGTTTATGGTCCCCCGAGCAGAAGTCAGTTTCCAAACACAAGGTCCGCAGCAAGATTCTGTGCTGCGCGTGGACCAGCGATGGGCTGCACCTCGCGTTGGGCTTCTACGACGGCCACATTCACTTGTGCGACAAGAGCGGCGCGGAGAAAGTGGTGATAACAAGGTCGGCACCTGTCTGGTCGCTTTGTTGGTCCAGCTCCGCGAGTGCAACCGGGCGGTCGTCCACCGACCCGGAGGTGCTGGTTGCCTGCTGCTGGGACCAGACCCTCAGCTTCTACAAGATCAGCGGGCAGGAGCATCTGCCGGAGAAAAAACTGGACTACGACCCGTGCTCCGTTGCGTTCCTCAGCCACGGCGAGTACTTCTGCGTGACCGGGAGTTCGGGCAAGCTGCAGCTGTACACGAGGGAGGGCGTGTTTCTGGGAGATTTGGTAAACCCGAACGCGCCCGCGGAAACGAACGTACTTAACGTTGTGACATATATAGGACTGTACAAGTTAATAGTACAACCACGGAGTTTTTGTAGTTTAAGCCTATGATCACGAGAATAGTCTCATGTAAGCTTCGAAGCCAAGTGGACGAAACAATGAAAAACAGGGCGACGACGGCAAGAAGGGCGCGGTAAAGAAAGACACGCCACCGGAGGCGGGCAATTGGAGCTGGGCACTGGCGGTGAAGCCAAAAACGAGTTCTTCGTCCAACAATGGATTTAACATCTGTCTTGGCACGCATGGCGGGGGCGTGACCATGTACCAACTTCTGTTGTCCACGATCCACGGCCTGTACCAGGACCGGTACGCTTACCGAGAGATCGTCACTGACGTCATCATTCAGCACTTGGTAACCGAGCAGAAGGTCAGAATACGGTGCCGAGAGCATGTGAAGAAAATTGCCGTCTACAACGACAGGTACTGGCTTTTTGAAGTTTTCTGTCTACTATTTTCTTCTCCCACGACTTCGACGCGTGTGAATTGACGTGGTTCTCGAACACAAATTCTAGGCTCGCGGTGCAGCTTCCGGATCGCGTGCTTATCTACGAAGCGGGCGTGTCGGATATGCACTACAAGAACATCGAGAAGATAAAGCAGAAATTCGAGTGCTCACTCCTTGTGGTCACCAAGCACCACATCGTGCTGTGTCACGAGAAAACGCTGCAGCTCATCGGCTTCGACGGCGTTCTAGAGCGCGAATGGAACCTGGAGGCGCTCATCCGCTACATAAAAGTCATCGGTGGACCCCCGAGGAAAGAAGGGATACTGGTATATCAACCGTGCAGACCACTAGCTGTACAGTTTTTTGTTCTTGTACTGAGTAACATCACAATTTGTCGTGTACGACACGATATCTTTCATCGCTGCAGGTCTGATAGTACACAGTAGCTGATGCTGAAACGATTTGGAAGACATTACCACCCTCTCAATTCAGGTCGGTCTCAAGTCTGGTCACGTGCTCAAAATCTTCGTTGACAACCCTTTTCCGGTTTGCCTGGTGAAGCAGGCCACTGCGGTTCGGTGTTTGGATCTCAACTGTTCGAGAAAAAAGCTGGCTGTCGTGGACGAGCAGAGCAATTTGCTCGTCTACGATCTCTCCAAATCCTCCACTCAAGCGCTGAAAAACCTGCAAGCCACGACGGCAGACGAGTACTACTTACTAGGGGTCTGTTTTGTCCGTGTGCTTTGCAAGAATGGGAGTCTACGTGCAAAAATCGTGAGTGAACCAAACGGAAGATCAACTTTATCGCCCACGAAATCTTTCATACAGGTCCTCGACCACGACGAGCCGTGCGGAACTTTTGTACACCGAACCCGGTGCGAATTCGGTCGCCTGGAACTCGGAGATGGAGGACATGCTGGCGTATTCGGGGAACAACAACCTGAGCATCAAGACGGGCACCTTCCCGCCGCACGTGCAGAAGTTGCCCGGGTTCGTGGTCGGGTTCAAGGGCAGCAAGATTTTTTGTTTGCACTACGTCAGCATGCAGACAGTGGACGTGCCGCAGTCGGCGTCGCTGTACCGGTACCTGGAGAAGAAGAACTTCGAGACCGCGTACAAGGTCGCGTGTCTGGGCGTGACGGAGGCGGACTGGCGGCAGTTCGCGCTGTTCTGCCTGCAGAATCTGCGATTCGACCTCGCGCGCAAGGCGTTCATCCGGCTCCGCGACGTGAAGTACATCGACCTGCTGAACCGCCTGAAGGCACTGCTGCCGATCCAGTCCGCCGAGGACGAGGCGCTGCTGAACGGTCACATCGCCGCCTTCCAGGGCCAGTTCCAGCAGGCCGCGGAGCTCTACCTGAAGGCCAAGCAGGCGCACTTGGCCGTGGACATGTTCACGGACCTCCGGAGGTGGGAGGACGCGCGGTACTACGCGGAAATCGTGGAAACGCGCGGCGGGGCGGTGGCCACCACGGCGTCGTCGCCCGTGGACGATCCGCTGTCGCTCACCATCACCAGTCAGCACGACGTGGTGCGCAGCAGAGCAACGAGCCGGGTCGGATTTGACGAGGAGGGCCAGTTTTCCAGTACTGATAGACATAATGGACCTCGAATTCAAAGAGTTGTGTTGATCAAGAAATCAACAGTTTTCTTTCTGCAGTGTTAACAGCTTCCACTTCTTTCCCGCTCGATGAATTGTTCTTTGATGTGAAGACTCATCACATCTACGTTCACGGCACAGGTAAATCCGGCGCCGGCTCACCGCAGCAGGACCAGCGGGATCCTTCGTCTGGCTCGCGCGGCGGCGCCACGGTAGCGACCAAGCTGATGCAGCGACAAGCGGCCACGGCGGAGGAGGACGGAGACTTGCGGGCTGCCGGCGAGATGTACGTGCAGCTGGGAAAGTGGCGACGCGCCGTGGAGATTTTCTGCAAGATCAGTTGCCTGGACGCCCTGATACAAACGGTGCGCCGGCTGTCCGCGCACGGCGACCAGGATCTGTTGCTGATGGCGATCAAGTGCTTCAAGAAGGAGAAGCACCACAGTTTCGCAAAGGAAGCCATTCTGAAGCTGGGCGACATACCCATGCTGATCCAGCTGCACATGGACAATCATCGGTGGGAGGAGGCCTTCCAAGTGTGCCAGCAACACCCCGAACACGCCGCGCTCCTGTATCTTCCGTACGCCGAGTGGCTTCGCGAAAACGACCAATACCAGGACGCTATCGACTCCTACAGAGAAGCAGGCCGCTGCGACATGAGGTTTCGAATTAGAAGTAAACATATTAATTTTCCTATAAGACTTTTTCATTCGAACCAATGAAATAATTCGGAAATAAAGGCGGTATCCACCAACCAAAACGATACATTCTACAGTCTCGCTATGCTGGAAGACTTGGCGGAGAATGCGGTGACGGAGAAACGGTACAAGGATGTTGCGGCGCTGTACTACCAGATGGCCTCGGAGGTAGTCCTGCTGGCCGAGATCAGCTCCTCCTCCTCGTCGATGAAAATTGACGAGGCACTCCGGCGCTGCTACCTGCGGCGGGCGGAGATTTACTACCTCTACTCCCTGGTCCACGAGTTCTCCGAGGCGCCGTTCACCACGATGCTGCCCGAGAACGTGTTCAACGTGTGCGTGACTCTGATCAACCTGCTAATGGACCCGGACTCGCACCGGTATCCTGTGCAAAAGCATCGTACTCGTATGAATTGCAGGTATGCATGACAAATCTGGTTTCCTACCCAAATCTGCATTACAAGTTCCAATTTTCTTCCTGATAAAATTTGTCATGCGATTTATACTAGTACGATACTTTTGCAATGCATAACCGGCTTACGCCAGCGAAACGCGACCAGGACATGACGCTGGACGACGACGACCTGCGCCTTTTGCTGTCTGGTAGTGTAATAAACATGATTTTCGGCTTGTTCTGGTGTCATTTGGATCATTGTAATGAGAGTGTTGAGCGCAACCTCGTCTCAAGGACAAGGAGGTACAATCTGGTAAAGGATTCTCCGTCCGACGTCCTCGAAGGACAACATTTTGAATGCGATAGTGACGGATCATGCTTCTAGTCAAGTGTTAGTTCTTTGTTCTCATCCCGCGATGTCGTGTCTGGATGAAAAATCAGGTAGCAATGGAGGGGCAGCTGGGCGAGCAGCACTGAACATGGCAAGCAAGAAGTTTTTGTTGCCAGAAGTGCCAGCGCGCGTGTCGCGCGTCCAGATCATGTACGTGCTAGCGAAGCAAGCGCAATTCCTGAAGGCCTACAAGCTGGCACGCACGTGTTTTGACCAGCTGCACTTGATGCGCGTCAGTAATCCAGCGTGGCAACACCACATCGACCTCGGGAGTCTCAGTATGAAAGTGATTTTCTTCATCTTGTTTTCGATGGAAGCATTTCTAAGTCAGTGGTCGTACACAGGATGACAGCAACGTCGATATAAACTGCATGATTGTAGTTTCGAACAAACCGAAATGCGAACGATAATTGTGATTGTGTGTCATAACTTTTTTTTCTCTGTTTCCGTCAGTGATCCGCAGCAAGCCGTTCAGCGACGCGGAGGAGCTGCAGACGGTGTGTTACCGCTGCATGAGCACCAATCCGATGCTGCGCCTGGGCGACGCGTGCACCAACTGTAGCCATCCGTTTGTGCGGTGCTTTTTGACCCTGGACGTGCTCCCGCTTGTCGAGTTCGTGCCCGAGCCATCCATCTCGACCGAGGAGGCGCTGCGGCTGATCCAACGGGGCGGCACCAGCAAGATGCAGGTCGAGCAGCAGGACGCCTGGCGCGAGGGCGTGGACGCACGGACGGGGGCCAACACACTCTCCCTCGGCGGTGGGGGCGCCGGGGACGAGTTCAACAACGGGCAGCGCGAGGACCTCTTCGTGCAGAAAATGCTGGAGGCCGGCAACGTGTTCGTGCCCGGTGACGCCTACGCGGTTCTGACGGTCGATCGGGAAGTGCTGCAGGAAATGCCCCCGGAGGAGGTGTTCGTGATGGACTACTCGCACCAGTCGCCGCAGCTGGGCCTGAAGTTCTACAAAAACGTCATCCCGGAGATGCACATCCACCTCTGCAACTCCTGCGGGAAGTTCTTCCACGCGCAGGCCTGGGAGAAGGAGACGCTGGCCAGCGAAAAGTGCCCCTTCTGCTTTGCCTCCACGCTCACCAAGCCGAAAAAGTTCCAGGCCGGACAGAACGAGCGCCTCCTGTTCGTGCGGAAAACGGAAATCTGAAGAGATCCGCTGCAGTGCAGTAGAGCCCGGGGGGTAGAAGTCGAGTATGGGTTCGGTATAAGATGTAGTAAAAAAACCCAATGTTGAAAATATTCGGCGGGGCGCTGGTGCAGCTTCAGGCATCGGAAGAAGTGGGTCGCTTTTTATTTCCATCTCGAACGGTTTTTTGCACAACGGGTTCATTAACGAATTTATGTTGGGAATTCATCACAAAACCAATAGTACATCCTGAGCGATCTTTTTATCAAAGGCAATTAGGTCAACAAACAGAAAAATTTGAATCGTCCAGATACATACGTAGCAACCAGTCTTTTATTAGTTTTACGTCCAGTAACAGTAGCAGGTCTTTTGTTCAAGCATGACAACTGCGACAAAAGGCAAATGCGATACTTAGGGTCAGAAGTGCAGTTGGGTAAGAGTCCGAAAAAGTTGCCGCAGGGCCGGAGAATAGCGGGTGAGATGTGAGTGACGTGGCCTGTTGATCTCCCTGTACCTGCTGCGTGCGCGTGTAGAAATTGATGTACAACGGATTCACAATTCACAGACAACCAGCCGTGTCGGTCACCCCTCAACTACGCCCGTGTACAATATGACTGAATAAAGATACAATTCCATTGCATGCGGTATCTATAGCGCGACCGTAACATACCGCCCAGATCGAGCAACGCAGCAACGTTGGTGTAGCGCGGTTGTTGGTGCAGAATCGTGTTTCACGTGCATGACCAGATCCAGATGCGAGATTGCATTGATTGAGATTGAAAAGACAAAAGAAATCTGAGGTGATCTAATATGAAATCGTGGGCGATTTACTCACGTCTGCTCGAACGTAAAAAAAAAAGATAAGATGAAAATCTAAATGCTTATCTTGACACAATAAATGCAGATCCGCACGAAAGCAAAACCAAAAAAGGATGAACATGGATCATGCAACAGCTTCCTATCGGTATCGGTTCATGTGAAAGGGAAAATGCTGCTAACGGAAGATCCGCGGAATCATTTTTGTGGATACAGTGATGATTATTGTGCCTCGAAATCGTCCCAGAAAAGTATAAGACGAGTCCAAAGACGCGTAACTACCAAAAGAGGAAAGGTGATTAGCAAACGGTGATTATCAAAAAGACTACGTATTTCCGACGATTTGCACCTGCAGTAAAAATTTTCTTGAACGAGATAAGACTTTTCGAAAAATTAAGTGGCATAAGTTAGTACTAAAACAGATCATTTTCATTCAAATCCTGTACGCAACGGCGGAGAAATAAAATTTACATTATCATCAAACAAAACTGCACTCCTACATTATCATCAAACAAAACTGAAGTAGAGCTCAAGGAGGCATCTCTATTTTTTAAAAACGAACCGACTTCGGGCTACACGGTCGCAGTCCTGTTATTTTTGAAACATTCGGGAGAGACGAAGATCAAGATATCATATATAAGGGTATCAAAATCCTATAATTAAAAAATTTACTACACAAGTGAGATGAACAAGACCATCAAAATGAAACGCGTTTGTGTTGCCTTCACCGTTTTCGTGGCGTTGGCGGAGTGCGCGAGCCCGGGAAGTCCGTCTGGAGGGCGTCGCGCCCCCGCTCCTACTTACTATGATACAGATGTCGTGGCGTCATTGGCGCACGCGCAGAGCCCGCCGGTGCCGCCCACAGGAATTTTTTCGGGCGGCTACCCATCGCCTCCGGGCACTCCGACCAGAGGTACTAGTCAAGGCAGCAGGCCGCCTTCGCTGCGACACAGACGCAGGACTCCGAGCCAGGGCAGACTGCCGCGCGGCACTCCGCCACAGAAAGATACCAAAGGAGCATCGTCATCTCGTTCGCCTCCACCCCGTGCTGCGCGGTTAACGTATGGCACCCCGCCACAGGCACCTCAGATGACTACTCCCGATGCAAATGGGCGAAGTTTCCGCGACCCCCCGTCGGGACCAAACCGGCGAGCTGCGCAGCGCGCTGCGGACAACGCGGGGAGCCTTGAGCTGGCTCCCGTGAGGGCAGCTGCAGCGTTTTACGATTCGCATCCAGATTACTTTCTGGGAGAGGTCGCGCCGCTGTTCACCGGTTCGCAGTTCCAAGTACCGAGAGAGGATCTTCGGAAGTGCGTTCGGAAAACAGGAAACGACGTATTCAGAGGCTGGACTGCGTTCCTGGACCGCGTGGCGGAGGCGCGCTTGGAAGCTGGACTGCGTGGTTGTTTGCGGCTGGCGTTTCACAGATTTTGGATGGCGCGCTTGGAGTTAGAGTGGAGCGAAGAGCTACACGACTTCGCGAAGACGCTTGCGCATTCGAAGCTGCAGGCAAAGGTGTATAAGGTCGGTGACGCCGTCGCGCTGGTGCCAGCAGCAACAGCGCCTACGCGAGCAGAAGCCAAATTTCATGACCAGGCAGTGAAGCTTGACTTGCGGCTCGCCGAGCCCGACATGACCTGGGAAAGCGTTGAGGCGGTTGTGGACGTGAAGAAACTGGAGGAAAGCGGTGCGCAACTGGTGTTCGATGCGTCGCAGCCTGACAAGCACACCCCATTTTTCGCGAAAAACGAGCCGCGCGTCTTTGGGGAGTGCGAGCCCTGGCTCGGTTTCATTTGGGATCCAAAAGTGAGGGCCAACAAATTTCACGAGACTTTTTACGAACGCGCGGAAAGGACACTGGTCCCGAAGGTCGCGGGCGTCTTTCGTGAAGTTGTGCGGGATGAGTATCGCGAAATACTTGGGGAGTATCCATTCAGAAGCGAGACTTTTCTCCAAACCTGGTTGACCGAGAACGAACCGGAAAATGCATGGCCGCTGAGACATGGTTATGGACCGAAGACACAGTTGACGAAAGTGGCTCTCATGGCATTCGAGAAGACATGGCAGATGGCATCGAAAACCTTCGAGCTTCGGCGACTCCGGGCGCTCCCGTTTCTTGTGCGGAAGGCCTATCATGGCCGTTTCCAGCGGGAAAGCGCGGTCACGAACGAAGGCCTGCGCGAGAAGTGGCAGCCGGCCAATCTGGAAAGTCTGCACTCTGTTTGGCGCGATCATCTCACAAATCCGATCACATTGAAAAACCGCAAGGCGACGCTGATCGGCGCTGGCGAGGACGAGTGGTACCTTTGGGATCTGAACGCGAAAAGGCACTGGCAACACGAAGAAGGTGCAGCCTTAATGCAAGGCAGCCCGAATCACCGGAGGAAAATGCGAGATGGGTCCGCGTGTCGGCCGCAGGTCACCGACATGAATCTCGTGAAAATGGGTCTGGACGGGTCGCTTGTCGCGAACCGAACCCCTGAACTTCGTAGTACGATGAAGATTTCGGCCCTACTGCGAGAACTTCAGGCGGTGCTATCTGGCGAAAAGCAATTTGTCGAGCTCGAGATGCCAAAATTGGACAGCGACGAGCACCAGGAGGAAGAGAGGAGTCGTGTGCAGGCAGCTCAAGCAAATCGAAATTTGGTCGCTGGTGCTCAACAAAATGCTATTCTCGCAACTCCCGGCGCCTTCGCTGCTGCCGCAGGTGCCAGGCCGCTTTTCGCCCTTCCGGCGGGGCTGGGGAGGGCATGAACCTCGCGGGAAGATTGATGCGTGAAACCACTGATGCAACCGCGCAGGAGGATGTTGCGGCGCAGTCGCTCTATGTCTGAGCTGCGCCAGGATCTTTCTTTATACCGATTATTTGAGCTCGGAGCAGTATCCGATCTATGGAACTTTTTGTGTGAGTGGTAAAAAAAAAGATTTATGAGGGGTATCTACATAATTTTCGTGCTCCGTCTCGCCCGCCTTCCGAAGAAAATATGAAGATCAGGTGGAGCATGACTAACGGTCGCAGGTAACCCAAAAACCTGTCGACTTTCTTAGGGCGTCCTATGTAAAAAGTACCTCTTTATTCGCTTTGGCAGAGCTTCAATTTAGTATCTTGAATTTTGGTGCTCTAACCACTGCAAAAAAAAGTCACTACAGGAGGGTTTAGCGATTTCGTGGCCGATCCTGGAGCTGCGCGTGCGTGGCTTCAGTTTCGAGCCCGAGTTGGGGGGCAGATAGACGCCCGCCACTCGATCATGCGAAGTCCGAATTTTCGAGTGATCTTACACAAATGAAAGGCGAAAACATTCATTAAAATTTGCATTGCGCGAGGGAGAAAGATGAACAATTAGCTAGTACCTAGCTCAAGATTACTTCAGTAATGTGAACTTGTCTACTCTAGTAGAACTAGACATTCGCGAGCAAACCAGGCGTCCTGGTCCACGACTAGGCAACACTTTACACTGTATTATTTGTGCGGGGAGACCAAGGGAGAATGAGAGCCCCGGCTTGCTTGGTCGCGTTGTTCCTTGTTTGCTTTCGTTCTTTATTGCGCAGCAACCAGTCTCGGACTAGAGCCGTTGCTAGCATGCTCCTCAGATCAATGAGATCCATGAACTAGGTCACAGAACACCGGTAGGTGTAGGATGTAAATACAGGGGTCACACTAGTAGGATCACAGGGATCACACAGACAGGACACCACTAGGCTGGTGAGGATGACACCAATGGAATCATGACAAACATGCACACAGTGCCAGAATGGCTTCTGGTCTTCGGGCCAGTAGCTGTAAGAATCAATTGCCCTGGAACTCCGTAGTACCTACTAGGTAGGTGCTTAGATAGTAACTCTGTTCTCTATCTTAGGACAGCATGCTAGTTCGCATGCCTCGTCCCTGACGCTTGACACGTCCACAGAGTTATGAGCCCAAGAAGTTCCCCTATTGGGAACGGGTAAGAACTACCAGCCGCCCCCACCTATCCCTGCATAAGAGTAGGGAATGAGCTCCCCAAGCTCGTGGCTGTAGTCGCCTCCTTGTGTGGCTAGTCCGCACCTGGAGAGCCATCAAAGCGCAAAGCGCTGGAAAGGGCAAAAGCCCACTCGAGTAGCGTCTGTCGATGACGTCCGCTGCTACGAGTGTGGAAGGCAAAAGTAAAAGTAGCAACACACACATGGCGGCGCAGCAGCGACGTCCAGGGTGTTGCAGTGCGTAAATGTTGCCGCAGCTATCGGTAGCTGCGCGCAACTCGAGCAGTCAGTGCCGGTGCAAGTAGCAGCAGCTACTCCAGCACACAGCACAGCTCAAGCACCAAGTCCGGGGAGTCCCCCCGAACGCAAGAAGAACGAGATCCGTCCAGGATCTCGATCCAGGATGCAGCACAAGCTGTAAGGAGCGGCTGCAGATGCAGCTGCAGGCAGTTCAATACGCGGGTCACGTATATTGTGTTTTCTGCACTAGAGCGATTTGCTACTAGTTAGCTTGTTTGGGTTGCTTACCATTTCCAGTAGAAGTAGACTGGTTTGCTGTAAGAGCGAGGGCCCGTCGAGGTTCTCTAATTTGTTGATGCACAAGTAGCATTCAACGTCAATGCCCCCGGGTTCACGCACCCGGGCATGCGCAAGCTCATCGAGGGACGCCTCGCGCGCATAGATACACAGACAGGCCTCATTGCCTGCCGTGTATGTGGGTTCGGTTTGAGCAATTTACTTTGGTCAGGTATACCATCTTGCGGCTTCGCAAGATTTCCTGACAAGATTGCAACGCCAGCTGGGCATGCTCCGACTTGCTTGGTCGCGTTGTTCCTTGTTTGCTTTCGTTCTTGTCTCGGTGACTGATCTACGGGCGGTTAAAGCGCGGATGAAACTCAATCGGAATCGTCTCAAAGGCAGCAGCTCTAATATCCTGTAAAGATCCTACTTGAGTTCGGAAATCCCCTGAGAAAAAAAACGATCCCAGCAAGAGCTTCGAGCATGGAATCATTCGGATTCTAGTTGTCATTCTCCCTGAGACCAGATCCAGATCGATGCGAGCCCTTTCCCTGCGCCTGAAGTCACCACAGACAAACAAAAGATGAAAATGTACGAGTTCGGTAGAAATATAAATGAAGAAGGTAATGGATCTGGAATCGTAGACCCGATCAAAATAAGCAGGAGGTCCAAACCGCCGAGAGCGCTGAATAATCGTTCAAAATAAGATTTAGTAGCTAGAAGATACAACTTCAATTTCGGCTAATGCGTTGATGATGATGATGATGGCAATTTCTGCAATGACCCTCACAAAAATTTATTGATGAATTGGAGTGCGAAATCGGATTCCACCTGGATTGGTCGGTACTTTACTTTGCATGTGCGGCAAGAAAACGGTTTGACAGAAGTTCTTTGAATAAATCATGATCATCTCCTTGTTGACAGTGCCTTGAGTCACTCCGCTTTAGACCTTCACCCAAATTACCAAACAGAAATCGCCTAATTGCAGAATTGCTACTTAGACTTTTCTAAGCTATTCGTATATTCTATTTTCTACCGAATTAGAAACGACAACTCTCCGCTGAAAGGCAAGAACAGCATCGATCGATTCGAAGACTAAAAATCGCTCCGTCTGACATTTAAAGCACTGCAATTTCAACAGCAATTAATTTGAACCTTCAACCTAGCGAGTATTCACGCCGGGTATATTAATTAACGACTCTTAGTAGTCTCAGAGTTCTTGTTGGTCCTTTTACTGCTCCACGTCCAATTTGATTCGTGATCACACTACTTGTTGGCGGTAGTACATTTCATACCTGAATAATCGTACTTTTTTAAGTAGACGTTGCTAGCATCTCAGGATCGACGGCAGAAAAATGAAAGCTTTCGGGTTCTTTGGCGCCGCTCTAGTGTCGGTGGCCAACGGGGCCGCACCCTACTTTCATCCATCCGACTGGAACGTTGCATTTTCCTCGTCGCCAACAGGAGACTCGTCGGCGTCAGCAGGACCCTCCTCGTCCTACTTGGGTTCGGATACTCCTGCCGGATTCCAACCTGGGATACCGCTCGCTCCCACCAAAGAGCAGCCGCGTCGCCGCCGGCGGAGCAGCAGTTCCACCTCTTCCAGAAGTATTACGTCCAGGTCCCCGGCTCCACGCCGGACTTTCCCGAGTACCCCTCCCCAGACCCCGAGTAGTAAAAATGGCGTTGCACGTTGGCCGGCGACGCCGACGCGGAACCAGGTTGCTCGGTCGCCGCAGCAGCCTTCCGGCCGAGCCGTGAGATTTGCAGCTTCATCTCGGACGCCATCTCCAAGCACGACAAGGGTCTTCGACGCCACAGGATCACCAGTAGGTCCGCCGCGGCAGAGCACGACCAAGACGGCGCGGGCGCTCAACTCTCCGGGATCGCCAGTTACTCCGCAGCAGACCAGATCCGGAACTGCGCGGGCATTCAACTCTGCGGGATCCCCAGTGGTGCCAGGTGCGCCGTCCTTTTTCTCTACGGGAAGGAGTTTACTTCCGCCACAGACGCCCTTCGGACCCAGGCCAGAACCTCGGGTACCAGACACCCCTGGTGCTACAAATGACTCGCCTGGAGGCCTGGATCAGGTGGAAGAGGTAAAGGACTTCTACAATCGCCTGGCGGACCGGGATGACTACTTTCTTGGCAATCCACAGAACCCGAACGCTGTCAGCTTCACCGACGAACACCCTGAGCCTTTCCGCGTTGCAGCCGAGTACCAGATGCGAAAGTGTGTGAGGATGGTTCTTAAGGATGCCACTCACGAGTTGCTGTGGTTGCAGAAGCACAATGCCAGGTTTAGTCCGTTCAGCGTGCACGAGGAGGGAAGTCTCCACCAGAAGGGTAACGGGCCTGAGGTTTTATTCGAGCAGGAGCAGGAACGTAAGAGATCGGCGATCAGAAATCTAAAGAAGGGTTTGCAGGGCTGTGTGAGTCTGGTGCTGCACAAGTTCTGGCAGGCGCGTTTCCAGCTAGAGTGGAAGACAGAGATCTACAAGTTCGCGAAAACCCTGGCGAAGGAGGGGGGAGCAAAGGTGTACGAAAGCATTGTGACGACTAACAAAGAAGTGGGAGTTTCGCACTGCGCAGTGACCGGTAGGGAAATCCCAGTGTATCGTGAGATTCTGAAACTGACGCTGGTGCCGGCTGGCTCTTTTTTAGCGGACGCAGATCCGAAGAAAAACCACGCCGTCTCGATTGAGCTGCGGGATGAGGAGGACTATGCCACGTGGAAGAACATCCGCGACATCGAGAGTGAGGCCGCGTTTTTGAAGGAGTTCCAGACGGCCACGCCTGTTTTCGGACGATCGTCGGAACGCTCCGGCGCTGTCGGGCGGGGACCGGGCCGCACTCTCCTCGACGGGGAACCGCGGGCCTTCGGAAACTGTGAGTGGGCCGGAGGCGAGTCGAACGAAGGGCGCAAGGGCGGGAATTACATGAAGCTTCTCTACAACCCGGCTCTACAGGCCGTGACGAGATTCCTTCAAACCGAGTTTCTCGCCGTCGCAGAGGAATTTCGTACTGAGGTGCAGACTCTGGACGAACAAGATCTTCCCAAGCTGGAGACTCTGGAGACTCTGGACGAAGTACTAAGCTGGATTGAACACGTCCTCCTCAGACAGAGACGCATCAGGGGCGTGTTCGACCGGAAATGGTTGGTTGCCGCAAAGGCCTTCGAAGTGCGCCGTCTGCGCGCGCTTCCGCTTCTGTTGCGGAAAGCCTACCGAAATAGGAAACAGCCAAATGGAGTACCGGCGAATCTCGAACGGCATCTACATTGGAGAAAGTGGAACAGGGGTAACACGTTGGACACGGAAACTGCGTTCGACAGTGCAGACTACCAGAACTATCGGGTCCGGCGGCCACACCCGAACGGCTACAACGCGCAGACCGACAACGGTCGGCTTGGTAACCACTGGTTCTTGTGGGACCCTCGCCCGGCGGCGAAAGCCGCGCCGCTTCTTCTTCCTGCAATCGGAAATGCGGGTCCTTTTGCGGTTCCGGACGCTCCACTTGCTTGGGGAGTGGATTCGCTCCACGGAGATGCGACAGATCTGTACAGTGATAATTTGAACAGGGAGACAGGACTTACCCTCGCCACGCTCGGTCTACAGGACGATAATGACCTGGCCGCTTTCGTACGCGAGCTTTCTACGAACTCGCGAAGCGAGGAAGCGTCGGAAAGCAGTACAAGCGACGCAGTTGTTCTCCCCGATCGCCAGCCGATGGCGCCAGCCCCAGCTCCCCTGCAACCGATGGGATTCAGGTTCCACCTTCCCCCTTTCATGGGGGCGGGTCCTCCCGGTGCTGTTCCTTGGGTACTAGCAGCAGGTGACTTACCCCCACCTCCGCTCGTTGCTCCAGCCGGAGACGGGGAAGAGCAGCCCGGTGATATTGCACATATCTTCGGGGGTGGTGCAAACAACATGGCGGCCCTCCAGCAGTTTCTCGGCTTCAACAATCGACCTCCTCCGCCCGTGGCAGAAGCGGTAACTGCAGTGCCCGAAGAACAACTACTACCAGTTCAAGCGGAAGAAGGACCTGATGAAATTACTAACATACAACCTTGAGTAGATTTCAACTTCTATTCGCTATTTGATTCTTTTAGAAATTCGTGTAGTCGAATCTATCTATGGTTTTTCTGTGCTCCGTCGAAAATGACAATACCTACTAATAGCTCCTGAACAACAAGTTCGGGCGGAAGGTCATATCGTCACACTTTTCTAACTCGTAGTGAAAACGGTATCGCTCCATCCATCCATGATTGTGCTGCATTCACACATCTGTCATGCATTCAGTTCCCATTCGTTATATCGAAAAGGCACTACTGTAGATAAAAAATTAAAACCACTTAAAAGAGTTTTCTTGAAAAGAACAAACAATCTGCATGGGAACGGGGGTTCGGCTGCCCGCAGAAACAAAAAGCATTGTCTTACTTATTTATTTGACAGCATGACATCTGCCTCCAATTCAATAAATTAAGTTCTAACCACGACAACGTCGACCGCAGCGTGGATCAAGGTTCGCAGCGTTTATTTGACTAGACAGTACGTTATTTACGTATATGCGCGAAGGAAATGCAATTTCTGATTCGAAGCCGTTGGTTTTTGAAGCCGGTCTTCTGCTTTTTGCCTTTTGGAACAAGTTTGTCGTATTCATAATCATAGTCAAGCACCGAAATATACTTAATCTGATTACAGTAAGCATCGTATTTATCGAAGCACTCAGGTTCGAAGTTTTTCCACTGATTTTTTCTGTAGCTCTTTTTGTACGATCAACATTAGACATGATGCACAAAAAACCTTAGGAAGAGCGTAATTCAGAAATTTATCACACAGACAGCATTGTTTTGCTCTGTTGTAGACTGGCGAGACTGCCGCCACGTGGCTATGCTCGTCGCACGCCGTACAAAGAAAAAGTTGTTCGCAGCGGTTTTTCGCGGGTGGCAGTGTATGTCAGAAGGCTAAGTACGTAGTGCCTGCGATATTGAGAAGGTCGGTCTTTCGCTTCGCCTTTCGTTGAGGCTAGTTGCAACTAGCGTGATAGCGTATCTTCGTCCTTCTAACGACGTTCGGATTCGCATTCGTGGACCTAAAAGTGACATCGGTTGTCGTACCGCGTACGTGCCGCGTTTGAATTCCATCGGTATTTGCACTCACAGTTCGTTTTTACCTACCGTGTTGATTTCGTGTCGTTCTCCTTCTGTGTTTGGTCTCTGAAGATTCGTCGATAAAGTACACACAGGATTTTGTCTCGCCTAGACATGATTATATTTTCCCACCCCCTGCTCCTCTTGATGTGGTCCGCCTCATCGGATCACCCGGCGCTACTTGATTCCTAGAAATCAAAAATTTCTCACCTTAGTCATCCCTCTCCTTACCTTCGAGACATCAACTCTCAGCATGCGAGAGTTTTTCGAGCGTGTGGCAATGGAGGCCGGGCTGCTCCGGACGGAGTTCGAGCACCTGGCTAACACCGACAAAAGCTTCCTGGCGTCGGTGGGGCGCGCGGGCCTGGACACCATGGTGATGGTGTCCGATGTGACGCAGTGTGTGGCCTTTTTTGTGTTACTGTACAACCTCCGGCGGTTTCGATCGCTGGTGGGCGTGAGTGGGCAGACCGTGGCAGCCATCGCGGTGGCCCGCGTCGTGAACTTCCTCGGAGTTTTCGTTTTCGAGGGTGGCAAGGGCCGCCAGCTCAGCTTCTGGTTGTTCACCTCCGTAGACCTGCTCGCTACCAGTGTGGCCTGCTTCAACCTTTACTCATTTGTGCAGCTGCGGCAAACCTACAATGCCGAGAAAGACGACTTCCTGCGCGTACTGCTGGAGAAATTCGGCTTTCAGGGCAAGGTCGCGCAGTACGGTGGAATCTACATCGTATTTCTCTGATTGTGTTTTTCTTTATCCGGTTTTTTTCCACTCAAGGAACAAGATTGATAGAATAGCCTAGATTGTGGTATGCAGAGATCTACTTTTGGTTTTCGTTGGCTGAGTCAATGACGTGAAGATCCATTAGCTTGAAGTCTGTTCGAGTTGGTAAGGTTGAGGGCGACAATGTCCACCGTTCTACAGTTCTGATTGAAGTAATGATCATCCCTGCGTCCCAGAGCCTGCGGTAAAAGGCTGGGGGCCCGGCGCAAGTAGAGATGCCGCGGTCTCCAGATCTCTGGGACTAGAAAAAATTTGCGACCACTTAATTGATTCCCGTCTGATCAAGAAGATACTCAGCGCGGGTTAGCCAGGTGGTCTACAAGATGTACAAATTTAACAAAGTGATCTGTACCAACAAGCTCTTCAAAAAAGCAAAACGACATTTTTATTGTGGTGTTGGTGAAGTCGTTTCCTCATACAGAACTGTCCCCAGCATGCATGCGAAGTAGGTCCATGTCAAAAAAAAACCAGGTGGCGTTTGTGTTCAGCATTGCGTGGAAGCTTTTTGTAAACAGCGGCTTGGTGTTTAACGTGTTGGGCGGGAAACCGGCAGAAACCATTTCCGCGGAGACCATCATTCCGTCCTGGTCCGAGCTGGAAAAAAGCTTTGGGCAGCAATCGACGTTGGCCGGCGTGGAGGAGGAAAGTTTGGTGGTTGGGTGGTACACGGTGTTCGCCGATTCGCTTGTGATGTGCGGCATGCTGGCGCAAATGCACCTGACGCGGCGCCTGTGCTTCATCCGGGCCCTGCTCGGCGATTTTGTCATCCTCATGGCGGCACACAAGCTTGGCCTCTTCTGCTGGTGGCTGCTGTTTGGGCAGGTGGTATCGCTACCTGAGTCGTATACGGACATCAATACGCTACGGTACCAGCTCCTGAGCTTTGAGTTCATCCACATTTGCATCTACTTTGACTTCTGGGTCTTCTGGGTCCGGTCCGGCGCCGCGAGCTGGTGGTGGACCAAGAGGCAAAGGGACGAATTCGTAATGCTCTACGACAATGTCTAGTACTACTACTAGTGGTGAAGGTGAATCACCGGCGGGCGGAGGCGGGCAACGTATACGTATTTCACGTCCACTCAGCTCTATAAAACGAAGGATTTCATCTTTCGCTCTCACGACTGACAGTGAGACATCATTCAGTTTACGGTTGACTTATTCAACCGCCGCAGTGGTTCGTTCAATTATACTAGCAATCGCCCAGTGGTTGAGTTTTTTTTAGATTCTCTTCGACCTCGCGGTGCTGTAAAGCAGCCGGGAGTCAAGTACAACCCATTTGATCTACCCCGTTCCACTTCCAATGATTTCCATTCCGAGAGTACAAAAAACACGAAGCGGTTTTTTCATTTCCACTAACGTATTCTTCAGTTTGACGCAGGGATGAGCGCGCCGCGTACTACGTGCTCCACAACTTGCGCTGGCGGGACCAAGGCGAATTCTGTTCAAACAAATAATTTTTTTTGAATTTTTCGCTGCCTCACACAATTGAATTTTTCGCTGCCTCATACATAGGAGCCTCGGGCTTCTCTACTGCGAGCGATTCCATCGCATGAATTTTCTGTAAATCGCATTTTCAGTTTGACGATCACAATAACAGTTTTTTCACTGACAAACTACACCTATGGATAGATCCTGTTGCTCTCCCCGTTTTTCGGCGGACGAAGATCAGCGTCAACGCAGTTTCTTTATTTAGATGGAGTATGCCGATACTTTTTGGCTGTTTCTACTTTTTGTATGGCAGAGCAGGTTCTTGGTTGAGTGACGACTCCTCATTGTTTTCGGGCCGATAGTAAGTTTGGAAATCATATGTGAATTTTTCGCATGGATGGCTCTCGATCCGGTACTAGTGTAAGACAGACCCATGCTGAGAGCGCGCAAGCGCTGACCGCCGTCGGCGGATTACAGTAGCAGATATAGTCGAGGTCCGGAACAAGAAATATCATGAATAAAATTTTAGCGAATCATAAGCAGTTATAATTGGCGCAAGAATTATGATGGACGTATCGGAGCCGGGCCGCGGCATGGCCGCGGAGGAAAGCCAGGACTCCGCGTTGCAGTGGGGCGCGTTGACCGAGAGCATATTGAGCACGCCGAGCCACTTTGCCGACATGGAGAATTACGAGGGCACGTTCGAGTACCTCCGGGACGAGTGCCGCGTGCTGGTAATCGGGGCTGGGGGTCTCGGCTGCGAAATTTTGAAGGATTTAGCGTACTCCGGGTTTCGGCAGATCGATGTCATAGATTTGGACACGATCGACATCTCCAACTTGAACCGGCAGTTCCTCTTCCAGCAGCGGCACGTGGGGCAGTACAAGGCGGACGTGGCGGCCGAGGCGATCAACGAGCGCCTGGGCCGGGACTACGTGTGTGTCACACCACACGTGGGAAAAATCCAAAGCAAAGACCCAAGCTTCTACCGCCAGTTCAATCTAATCATTGCAGGACTAGACAACATAGAGGCGCGGCGCTGGATCAACAACCTCGTGCATAGCCTTGTGGAGCGCGACCCGGAGACCGGAGAACCGGACCTGTCTACCACAATACCGCTGTTAGACGGGGGTACGAAATATTAAGCAAGCGAATCCCATTCTGGTCCCTGGTGGTATGGTTGCCAAAGTTTTTTTTTGCAATTTTTACGTACTTTCTGCAAAAATACAGAAAAGTTCTTCTTGGAAAAAACAAATGGGGGCAAACCAAATTTGAGCGCCCACACGCCGTGGTGACGCGATAAGTAGCACAACTGCGCACGCAAGAACAGGGACGGGTCGGGTAGGAGCTGTCCTTTGCATAAACCGCACGGAAGGTCTTCGGGGGCAGGCTCGGCTGATAATGCCCACACAGACATCGTGCTTCGAGTGCAGTTTGGACATGTTTCCGCCCCAGGTAAACTTTCCCCTCTGTACCATCGCGGAGACGCCCCGCCTTCCCGAGCACTGCATTGAGTACGCGTTGGTCATACTGTGGGACCGGGTGTTCGGGGAAAAACGAACCACACACACGGTAACCGCCGCGAGTGCAGCACCCCCGGAGCGGCAAGCGGAACAGCCCGAGACGGGGGTCGTGCCAGAAGGGACTACTAGCGACAGCCGGCAGCAGCGTGAAGCTGGACAAGAAGGTCGTGGAGAAGACGAGGCCCACAGGAGCAAGGTGTCGGCGGAAATCGAGGCGCTGACCAAGGAGATCGCAGCCCTGCAGAAGAAGATCCTGCCGGGCGAAACCACCAGTACCAGCGCGGCCGCTGTGGCACTGGACAAAGACTCGCCGGTGCACATGCAGTGGCTGTACAAGCAGGCGCTGCGACGCGGGCTCCAATTCGGGATCGCGGGCGTGACGTACCAGCTGACCATGGGCGTGGTGAAGCGGATCATTCCCGCGGTGGCCTCCACGAACGCGATCATTTCGGCTGCGCTGGTGCAGGAGGCTCTGAAGGTGTCCGTGTACTGCAGCGGCACCGTGCTGGACAATTATTTCATGTACATGGGCCACGACGGGCTTTACAGCCATACCTTCCGCTACGAGAAAAAGCCCGACTGCCTGGTGTGCAGCGACGCCGCCATCAAGGCGCAGACGGTGCTTGAGGTACCGATGCGGAAGACCGACACGCTGGCGGAGCTGCTCACGAGACTGGGCGAGATGCCGCAACTGCAGCTGAAGAGGCCCTCGATAACCACCTCCGCCGGAATCGTGTTCTTGCAGAACCCGCCGTCTTTGCGCCGCGAGCACGAGTACAAGCTGCACAAAAGCTTGTCGCAACTGGTCGAGTTCGGGGTCTTCAAGGAAAAGGAGCCCTTGTTTGTCACTGACCCACAGTGCCTGCCCTCGTGCAACATCAAAATTCAGGTCGTGCTTACATAAAGATAAAACTCTTGTCACATCATTGCGTATGGAGGAGCGCCCTCCCACTCATTTTATTGAGTTGGTGCTAGGGCGGGTGGGAATTTTTTACGCGTTAGGGAATGCAGGTTCGGACGACGATGTACGAAGCCGATGTACGAAGCCGATTGTTATCGATTTTGGTTCCGCTTAAAGGAAGATGATGATGTGGCCAGGACGATGAAGTTCATTCCGAGATGAATTTTCCTTCTCCTCAGAGGATGACACAAGCTCGTGCTCGTCTAAGAAGTTCTGAAAATGTGTGGTCTCCTGGCGAAGTAGTCGGTGCGCGATCGCCTCTTGCCGTCGTCGTGAACAATGCAGGCTTCCTTCCTTCTATGACCTGGTCTGGAAGAAATGGACGACGAAAAAGACTGTGTCCGTGCTGGCGTGTTTGAGATCCCTTGGTCCAGCCATGGCGAAGCTGGTGGTAAAAGATCCCGCTGGTAAGAAAGTAAGAGCGAGAAGATCATCCTGCGTGTTTAGATCTAGATCCGCGTAAGCGACGATTTCTGTGCAAAGTCTCCACTATGTCGGGCTACTTGTGAAGATGGGTGAAGATGGTGATGGTGTTGCTGTGTCCGAGACGTGAATATCGGGTTACAAATCGTTGCTGTTATTTATTGGTCACAGAAATCCACATTGATGAGTCAGGGACTGCACCACCACTTTGGACCACGGAGCACGCCCGTGTACATGTAGATACGTGTTTGTACGTCACGTATAATCATAGTACAAAGTACTAACTTCGACTTCATTGCCTTGTCATTTTTTCATTTCCTAAGGGCAATCCACATCGACAGACGCAATTTGTCTATCTCTGAGCCTGGAGTAAGATACATTTGATGCTTCCATGTGTGGTGGGCCGTAGAACGACTCTCAGCATAGAGGCAGCAATTGGTCTGGCGGCTGGCCGACAGTCGCTGGCGCAGCTGTGTGCTTGTACTTAGGTTCGCGGTATGAAGATGCATCCAATTCCAGAAACCGCGACTGACAGCGCTCTGCGTTCCGAAGTAAAGGCCCTCCAGAAGCGGCTCGAAAAAGCCCTTCAGGGGCAGCGCCAATCGTCTTACCGCCTCCGTACATACAACGAGCAGCATGCGGAAAATCCGGAGTGCAGTTTGCAGAGCAATGTCTTTTCACCTGGCGAGGTGGTCCCATGCTGTTGGTGCAGAAGGCCGCAGGTGCTGATTGAGGCTGAGGACGACGAGCAGGGCGGCGACCGGGAGATGCCGGAACCACACAACAGCGACAGAGCGGGGGAAAAGGGGGGCTTCACACCCGAGGGTGTAGACCACGGTACGGTCCTTTCCGGAGAAAATTTCAACGACAACGACGGCAATGACACGGCGCGCACAGATCATGTCGAGGACGCTTGTTTGCGGAGTGTTTGGGTGCCCTATGCTGTCGATGGAGAGCCGATTCGCCCGGAGGACGTTGTGGAGCAGTTCGGCGTTCTTGGTGCCGCATCTGTAGTACCTTCCTCGGAGGACGAAGACGTCGAAACCTCGTCGGAAATTGTGTTGCGACCAAAGTCGCGATTTGCGCATGTGGCGGTACTCTTTGGAGACAAGATTGAGTACCTCATGGGAGCACTGATTCTCGGTTATTCCTTGAAGGATTCCCGCCACGACGTGGTGCTACTCTACACCTCCGACGTGCCAAAAGAGTCCTTGCGGTACCTTCGCTCGGTTTTTACGTTCATACTGGAAGTCGATTACCTCACGGTGGGGAAAAGCGTTGCACCCAGACTCTACAAAAACGCGGAGCGCACGCGCTTCAAGGACGTCTTCACGAAGCTTCAAATATTCTGCTTGGATTGCTATGAGAAGGTACTACAACTTGCTTCGCTTTGACGTAGTAATATTGAGGCAGCGTTTATCCCACCATGTTTCATTTTGAGATCTTTACTCAGAGAAATCTCGTAGTACTAAAAAGAACTTCTGCTGCTCTCGTTAGTGCCGCGCATTCACTTAGGACCGCCAGGTTCATCTTTAGTTGCACTACATTTCCTAAGCTCAGGTTCTCTTTCTTGATTTGGACACGCTCGTGCGTGACGTCGCGGCAGTGGATGATCTGTTAGAGAACGGTTCTGCGCCCGCAGCTTTGCAAAGAGGGGACCCGGTGCTGCAAACGGTAAAAGACGGGCTTCCGAGTCACGAGACGGGCCGAATTCCGTATGAGGAATTCTGGAAAAACTACGAGCGGAAGGTGTGGCCGGACGGGAAGCTGGAGAAGTTATACCCGTTCGAGCAGGCAAGCGGGATCAACGCGGGCGTGATGCTCATCCGGCCGTCTCGCTGGGTCTTTCAGCACATCTGCAACGAGATCTGGATCACGGACCACCCGGAGCACTTCGGCACGTGGATGCCTGAGCAAGAATACATAGGCAGGTACGTGGGAGGTTTGGATCTCAACCACATCGAACAGGTGCGTTTTTCCTTTGACACTGTACTTTAGGTCTAGCGATTCCGATTTCTTTGTTGAAACACGAGCTTCCCGGAGGGAATCGAATTTTCTCGTTGACACCGGCACTATGTAGTTAGCGACCGACATAGTTCTTGTAGTGTGGTGCTGCTGTGGTCTCCGAAAAAGAATGATTTTTGGTTTTAAAATGCTCCTACATGTTGAAAAAACACATGTAGATTTACCGAGAGCGAGAAGAGCTACGGAAGAGGGAATGCGTCGGGATGTCAAGCCTTCGCTGGACCAAACTGATACCTGGGACTCGTCGTCGTCGCGACCGAGTGCTGAATCCTGATGATGTCGATACCACCGCTTCAGAACGCAACGAGGAGGCGCTGGTTCGGCTACGAGCGCGGCTAACCGCTTCTGTTGGTGCTGGCGGAGCGGTCCACCATGCGAGCTTTGCGATTGCATCGGCCCGAAGCAGGGAAAGTCCCAGACGCGCTTCAGCATCCGTGCACCAACGCGGCTGGGCGAATTTGAGTCCGCGATTCAATTTTGAGATTGACAAGGAGATCCGCATCCCTTTCGACTTCTCGCAGAACCACCGGTTGCTCCAGCAGGAGGCCGAAAAGATTGCGGTATTCCACTACTCCGGGACCAGCTGCAAGCCGTGGACGCCGTTTTTGGATTATTTCTACTCCGGCGATATTACCCAAAAGCCGCGCAGCTTTGACGTACTAATTCAAGCGGTCAAGTCGAAGTTTTACAACGCTGACACCGCCCGCGACCGGGTGGTACCGTGGGCGCAGTCGCAGCTGGAGACGTCGCACGTAGGGACGGACCCGACCGCCGTCACTTTCATCGCGAGTACCGTGACAGCCTGGATTGGCGAACTCTGCCGTGCGCTTTCCTGGGAATGCCACGGCGGGTATCAATCCTCCTGGTGGCAGCAGGCAGGGGGCGCCACAAGCAGTTTCCAGGGTGTAGAAAAGCATCGTGTTGACTCGGAAGTATCTCAAGAAAAAGTTCGGGAGGGCGAAGTTACAGCCGGCGCTGCCTGGCAGTCCGCGGCTTCGCACGGGAACAAGATTTCCGTGCGTAAGGACGAAGCTGCGGACGCACAGTCAAAGGCCGTTCTCGAAGAACCTGTAGCAGGACGAGATCACGTAGCGACCGTTCATCCGCAGCGAGACGGGCACGCTTGCGACGAAGAGATGGAAGTGGGGTCGCAGCCACCGGCTGAGAACGTTTCTTGTAGGAGCATCGGGAGGACGGCGGGGAGTGTAGAAGTCGACACGAATGATCAAAGTTCGTCTACTTTTGAAGAAAATCAAAAGTTGTCTACCACTCGCCCTCGCCAGCAAGGAAAAGCGCACAACACAACGGATGGAGCACGTACGAATCGTGTCAACTCGGAATCTTCAGGTGGAAGTCGAACGGTGGTAAAGCACAAGAAGAAAACCAAAAAGGCCTCGCGACAGCAGCGGGGTAGCGGAGAAGCGAACGACTCGTCAGGCCGCTCGAAATCAGAGGACGGTCACCGCCCGCCAACGCAGAAACGGAGAATACGTGATGGCGGAACCCGCGAACAATCCCCACTGTCAGTTGCTGAGATGAGAGATGCTGCAACGAGTAGCGGACTACGTTCACAAGAGCAGAAAGGAGACCGCCTGTCGGCGGGGCCACGAGGAAGTGGGAGAAGCGAAGCCTCCGTAGGTCTGCGCACGGAGGTCGTTTTCGAAGACGATTTTCCGTTTTTCATGTCGAGCGAAGATCCGGAAGAACGCCGGCGTACGCTGAAGCGGTTGAAAGCGGTGAAAAGCGACCTGCAAGACTTCCTGGAGAAAGTAGAAAAGTTGGATGTGCTTCTGAACCGACAGAGTGCCGCCATCCGCGCTTATTGCATTACCCAATCCTACGGAAAGTATGCGGATGTCCTGTCCTCCATGCCATCTGGCGTGCGACGCTCCTACTTTGGAGTTGGTGCAACCGCGCCCTGCAGCTTGCCCGGTTTCGTGCAAGGATGCGTCGGGCTGTTCCGGGCACTTCTTGAGCTTGAGCACGAGTCATGTCTTGCGAGAAGCGCAGAAGACGGAAGCGCAGCCCGCCAGGGGGTGCTAAGGTGGTTTCGCAAGACCCACGGTGAGGGGCGATACCGCGTACTGCCGGATACGGACCAGGGGGCGGCACAAATTGCGCTTTTCTACATTCGCAGTCTGGTCGGCATGTCGCTGTTTGCCTCAGTGCGGAAGCTTCTAGCGAGAGCCCGGAAGTGGATGTCATCGGCGCCGGAACAAAAGAGCCTCGACCAGTTGCTGCTTGGAACGGATGGCGAGTCAGAATTGCATCGTCTAGTTGGTTTCGAGCGCTACGATCTGTCCCTTCCTTCGCTAGAGCCTCCCAGTGGCGACGCCGATTTTTACCGTCCTGACGTCCAAGCCATAAAAAACTTTTTGCGCTCGCTAGATCATTCACGTCTCGCTCTCGTCACAGATTGGCGCGACGGTGTGACAGGGCTGACAGCGCTTGAATGGACCGAGGGCCTGACGAAGAAGTTTCGTGACCAACTTCAGAGCTGCACCTCTGAGCTGGCACGGACGAAACTACAAACGGTTCTTGAGGCCTACAGTGCTATATCCGAGCAAAGGCTTCTCGCAGGTGTGCGGCGTGCTGACGCCGCGACCTCGTGCGAACCGCCTCGAAGAACCAGTCATCCTTCTCCAATTCGCCGTTCCTGCAAAGACCAGGTAAAGTCTGGTCGCGCCGGCAAGATTGATCCGCAAGAGCCACTACGAAGCAGAAAAAACCGTGCACCCTCCTCGCAAGGAAATTGCAGTGGGGAAAGAACAAGAATAAAAAACCCCTCTAAAAAAGTGCGGGATGTTGAAAACTAGATTTTCTTTTGCACGAGGAAAGCCAGGTTCCATGATTGAAATCAATTGGAGTGCAAAGAAAGCATGGAATGACGGAAGCCTTGCTACCAATTTGTTTTTTGGCAAAACGTTGCTCTTCCCATGTTTAGGCGTAGAAAAAGCGCCATCAATGCTTCTAAGCCGAAGCCAGAAGCTCAAAGAAGTTGCCTGCTCCTTGAGTGAAGTGTGTAGCTCTCTTTGGAGAAGTGCGTGCAGGAAAACCGCTACCGTGATTGTTCAGCACTGGATCAACGATGAGGGTAAGTATTTTGTACCGAGCGAATAATTGATAGAAAGATACTTGCAGAGCCAAGCAAGGTGGTCGTCTTGTACCGAAGAAAAGAAGAAGATGGCTTCATCCGCGTGGTCCATTCCTCTCTTCAGCGCGGGCCGCGCTGCCAACCAGCAGAATGCGCTGCGTTTTCTCGCGGGCAGTCTCGGTGGGTACTACATTTACCTCGCCTTTGCCACTGCCAAGCAGTGCCAAGACCACGAGCACCTGCCGCGCCACCTGGACGGGGAGGAGCGAAAAAAGATTTTTGACCGTATGGCGGGCGACTGGGACCGGATCATGGAGAAGGACGAGTATCTGACCGGTGTGTGGTGGTACCGGCGCTACCTGGTGGCCGGGTTCGCCCGTGGACACGTCCTCGAGGTGGCTTGCGGGACCGGACGCAACCTGCACTACTACGACCCGACTTTGGTCAAGTCCCTGACACTGTTGGACTACTCCGACGCAATGCTGGCGGAGACCCGGGAGAAGGTGCGCAGCGACCCCGAGCTGCAAAAAAGCTGTTCCCTGGTGGCCGCGGAGCTGGACGAAGCAGAACCGCCGCGTGTTGATGTGGAGGGGACAACAACAGGAGGGGGGAAGAACACTGCTGAAGTCATCAGTGGAGGCAATCAAAATGCACAGACACTATCCGACTCGTCTTTTGTACCTGCCTGGATTCGAAATTCCGAGCCTGGCGTTCTCTTTGCCTCTCTGAAGAGGTCCGTTTCTGCGGCGGTTCACGATCGCCAAAACCGCCGGAGCTGCTGCGGAGAACAAGAAGCACGGCATCATGATGTGGTTGAGAATTCAGCGCAACATCCGGGTGGTGCTATGCAGGTGCGACTGCAGCAGGGCTCCGCGGAAAGCGAAGACTCTTTGCAGAGTTTGGGACAGTTTGACAGCGTCGTGGAGACGTTCGGCTTGTGTTCGTACGGAGACCCGGAGGGCGCGCTGCAGACCATGTGGCAGCGGGTGCGCCCCGGCGGCCGACTGATCCTGTTGGAGCACGGGCAACCCAAGAAGGGCTTGTTCGGCCTCGTGCGCAAATACTCGGAGATCGCCATGGTGCCCAATCTCCACCGCTACGGTTGCAACGCAAACCTGGATATCTTGGGAATCATCGAGCAGACGCTGCCGGAGTCGGATTTTGCGTTTGAAATCCAAAAGCGCCGCCAGTTCGGACACTTCTACGTACTGGTCTTGCGGAAAAGTTCGGACAATGCCATCGCAACATGAAGCGCGAGACGAATGCCACGTCGAGGTGTCCTGCATTGACGCTGCTCCAGGGCCGTGGTAGTTCTAGCAAAGGCAATTCTATGAAGAACAGATAAGATACGAACGACGTCCACGTCAGCGTCGCAACCTGTAAGCAAGCAAACTGTGAGTGGCTCTTTAGAGAACAGTGTGGTTAATGTACTTGCTAAGAAAATTTGTATTATTGCGAGAATGATTTTTTCTCCGGGCGCGTTTCTGCCTTCGTATCTGAAGGAATACAGAGGTTTCTCCTAATTGCGAACTCATGCAGTGCATGGGGAGAACGTGGAGAGCAAAAAAACATAGTTGTGCAATGGCTGAATTTCCATTGAATAACAGATATATATAGGATCATGCGACGAAATAAAAGGTTGAACGTGCATGGTGCAGATCCCGCTGTGGGGCGCACTCTTCGTCTCGCCGATCTGCGTGCTGTGCTGCTCAGTTGGAACCCGGCCGCCCGGAAGAAGCAGCAACGCCCGCTTTTTCCTTGTAAGTAGACAGGCCGCTGTGTCCTTGCAGCGTAGCTGCTTTCCCTTTTCTTTCGCTTTTTTGCCAGAGAAACCCCAGCCAGATAGCAGTGAAAGCTGCCTCCTTTGTCGTACAGAAAACGCCTTCATATCTGCTTTTCCAGAGGCGGGCAGATCCTGACCAAGCCAAGCAAGGGCGCCGCTTTCAAACTTCAAGAAAATAGCCTGTTGCTGATTGCTGCTCAAGCCAGAATCGAGATACTCCAAAAGCGCAGCTTTCCGAATCCAAGAGAAAGTAGGAAAGCCATGCGCCCCACCGGGCATCGCTGGCCCTTTCTCGAGCATTTCCAAAAGTAAGTGCCCCCCGCCATGCCCAAGGGAAAAACAAAAACATAAACAGGGAAGAACATAAACAAAGCGGCTACGACATTCCCTGGTCTGTTCTCCAAATCGCTTGCGTTTCACCTGCTGCTCGCGGCAACCTCAGGCGCGAACAAGCGAAACAAGCCGCGGCCCCCTCGGTTTTTGAAAAACTGCGTGCGGTTTTTCTTTGGGCCAGGCAAGGCGGGAGTCGGAATTGCCATCCACTCCATCGCTTTTCTTTCCTATTCCCAGAGCGAAGTTTGCTTGCTTTCACCTGGCAGGACTAGCTAGAACTATCGCACACAGCGACCACGGGCGCCCTTGTTTCTTTTCGGCCCGTCATCCGATAAGGGTAGCCGACAGAAGAAGCTGAAGCAGCGGGCGGCGTTCCGAGGTAACCGGCCGGAAAAGAAATGCGCCCGCTGGTTCACTGAGCCGAATGGCCGGCAGCGGGGCGGAGTAGAAAGCCAAAAGCACAAGCAACAAAGGGAAGGCCTGTTCCTTTCTACCTTTTTGCGGCGGCAGCGGCGCGGCTTGTTGCCTCTCGGTCTTTTCAAACAAGTGTTGATCTTTTTGCTTTTTCGATTTCGGCCAAACAAGCCTATAGCGCAGCGCTTTTCTTCGCCCGCGTTGCCTGCCCCTCCTATTTTCTGTAGCCCAATTACCGCCCTCGTGCGTTTCTTTTGCCCAGTTATACCCACCGCCTTGAGCCCTGTTGTTCTATTTGTATGCGTAAATTCCCGCGCCGTTGTGCCTCCACGGCGGCGCGAGTGAGGTATACTCTTAATCTCGCCGATCTGCGTGCTGTGCTGCTCAGTTGTATTGCGCAGCAACCAGACTCGGACTAGAGCAGTTGCTAGCATGCTCCCTAGATCAATGAGATCCATGAATAGGTCAAAGCACACCCATAGGTGTAGGATGTCAATACAGGGGTCACACCAGTAGGATCATGAGGATCACACACAGGGCACCACTACGATGGTGGTGATGACGACACCAATGGAATGACGTGAACAATGTACACAGTGCCAAGATGGCTCCTGGTCGTAGTGCCAGTAGCCTGATGAATCAATAGCCCTTAACTCTGCAGTAGCACCTACATTACTAGGTTGCTTAGATGGTGACTCTGTTCTCTATCTTAGGACAGCATGCTAGTGAGCATGCCTCGTCCCTGACGCTTGACACGTCCACAGAGTTATGAGCCCAAGTAGTTCCCCTATTGGGAACGGGTAAGAACTACTAGCCAACCCCTTCCTATCCCTGCAGAAGAGTAGGGAATGAGCTCCCCCAGAAGAGTAGGGAATGAGCTCCCCCAGCTAGTTGAGAATGAGCGTCTCCATTTCTCAACTTCAGCCGCTTGCTGTTTTCCGTTTTCTCGGTTTTTCTTATGGTGGAACACCATAGCGCTTTTATCAGCAGGGGAAGGGGAGTAGATGTAGGCTACCGCTGCCCCAGACATGGGAGCGCGCGGAATTTACAAGCCTAAGAATACATTACTCTTTCCTGTTTGGGCCGGAATTACTCTTTCCTGTCTGGGAGCGCGCGGAATTACTCTTTCCTGTTTGGGCCTCTCGTCCGCGAACTGCAATGCTGGGAACCCTCCGATCGGCTCTTCCTAGTCTTGCAGTTCGCGTGCATCAGCGGCAAATATGTCTGGGTTTGGAACGTTGCGGGACATGTTGGAAATAAGTCCGAGCCAGGTCTTTTATGCATGTAGGCGGCACTCTCTGTCTCGCCTGCCCTGTCATGCGGAGTCGCAGTCGGCCCCTCCGTTTAGGATATCTCAGTCTAATTATGCTGCCCGTCCGGATGCTGGCTATGAGATGGGTGAGGTTTTGTTCAAGATACCTCCTTCGTTCCTGGGAAAGAACAATGCGGCCAATCGAGCAGCAGGAGTTCTTTTAATTGAATTTGGCGAAACTGCAGGCGGGATCACGCAAGTTGATTCCACTAACTTGATTCCATTTCATAACGTGAGCCCATAAACGTGATTCGGTCGCAAACGCGATCCCACTAACGTGATCCCATTAGTAAACGCGATTCCAAAAATGTTAAAACGTGATACGGGTGCTTTCCCTTAATCTCGCCGATCTGCGTGCTGTGCTGCTCAGTTGGTTCCGTACAGACTCGAATGACGCAGAATACGACTGTTATAAAGTCCGCAGCTGAAGTCGGCCGCGTCTTCCGTAAAGAATTCGTATCGTACATACACAATATTTCTTCTGTGTGACTCTTGGATGGGGCGCACTCTTCTTTATTCTATCGGCGTTCGCCCATTCGTCCTCATCGTACGCCAGTCTCGTGCATAAAATAATTCGTCCTGCTGTATGTAGATGTGCATGTGTCGTACTAGGTCAAGGTCAAGGTCTTTCCCTTAGCGACGTCTTTCGGTAGATGTTACTGGCGTCGCACGACTGGACGTTTTTTCTCGCATTACTCGACAACAGCGTTTTTTCCACCACCCTTTTTCCCTGTAGATAAGTGAATAGAAACACTTTACGAAGTGCTCCTGTAAGTAGAAAAACAACGCGATAAAAGGCCACCACCAACAAATAGCAATCCAATATTTTCAGCTTTGATAAATTTTGTTTTTTTTTTCAATTTCAGTATACAATTTCCAATTTCCCGCCGTCACCGTGTACATGCTTACAAAATTACATTTTCTTGCATTTTAGATAGCGCCATATCCTCTTGTGCAACCAAAGATCTGCTTGATACTTTTTTTGATACATTTCTGTGATAGATCCTTTTTGATATTTTTTACATTAGAAGTGTTTCGCTCGCCTTTCTTCCCGCTTGTTTAGCCTTCACCGTGCCGGCTCTGATTCGGCAAATTTTTTGGTCATCCTTTTGCAGCAGCAGCGCAATACAAGTGATCCGCAAATAAATAGTTTGAAGGTTCTCATTGAAATCGATCCGCAATTATAAAACAAAAAATCGAAGTCGACCAGTCGGAGGCGAAAAAAGATCCTCTGAAGAATTCTTGTCCGCACCACGGCCAGTTCAAAATTGAGAAAGGTCTGTGGAGTGTTGGGTTCAAAAAATTTTCAGCACTCCACTAGAATAGCGCACGAACCAACTACCAGAACCACGAAGAGACAGCTTTACCGCTTGAACTGTCCCTCTTCAAAAAACGCACCTCCAGGAGTAGAAGACTCTCTTCAATAGGGCAAATAATAGGTCTTGTTAGCTTCATGATCGGTGCGCGAAGCTATCACTAGCGCTAAGATATTATCTCTTCTTGGGAATATAGAGCTACAACTTGCAGGACTAGCCTCATCGTCAATATACCAAAAATACAACAACAAAAACAAGGCAACAACAACATCAACAACACGACATCATCCAGTAGTACTTACAGTTTATTCGACGTATTGTCTAGCGCCAGGGGTAGATGTATTTTTTTACCAAGCTCATCAACCAAGTAAGAAAGTACTTTAACTTTTCTCAGTTTTAATTTCGACTCCGGAACAGCACGGGTAATAAGACACAGACGGCAGGTTTAACCGAAGCAGTTTATTTGTCATTCAGAACGTGATTGTATTTGTTTTTGTACAATAACCATAAACCATCTACAATTTTTTCGAGACTGGTAGAGGCGTCTTTCTTCCGACTTGCCCAGCTGAGAAGTCTTTTGCTTTACCGTCTCAAGGCGTCAACCATCTTCAGTACGTATTGTTGTGTATAGTGTCCCGAAACTGTTTGATACCGCGGCTACTCAATAAAAGGTTCTCAACAGTAGAGTAAAAAGATAAAGAAGCAGAACACTCAGGACATCGTCAACAAATATCAGACCGATTCGAGCAGACAGAAACGGACTTTGGTAAGAGCAACAAGACGTTAGGATCTCTTATTCCTCGCACGTTTGTTGCTCAAGTATCCATTGAATCCGAAATAGCAAAAAAGTTCCTTTTGAGTAAGTTTGCTAAAAACATCAGCCACAAAGTTACTACTGCGGAACAACTTGAAACAATATCAGCAATATTTTCCGCTACAAGCAAGGAGGACTAACTAACCCCTTAATTATTTTGAAGAAATACGTTACAGCGTACAGTTTGTTGCCGTGGCATCAAACACTACTACTACTCCATCAGCATTATGTATTCCCAGAACCCGGGACAGTACCCTTCCAAAGGGGTCCACTCGGGCCGGGCCGTGTCCCTGAAGGGCGGGTCTCCGGACTACAAGCGACCGCAGCACCACGGAGGTGGTAAGTCGTGGCCTGCGACACCCACCACCGTGGGGCAGCACACCAGTGCGGACACCTCGCCGGTCATGATGGGCGTACCAGGGGGCGACAATTCGAATTTGCTGCTGGATATGTCCGTGGCGGAGCGCACGATCGCGGCAGAGATGGCGGCGTCGTGGGTGAACCAGGACGGTTCCTCGGCGAACGACCCAAACGCTTTGTTCCCCTACACGACGCCCGACACCACCCCGGTGAATTACGGCGGCGATCGGTCGTACCACGGGTACGGGATGCCTGCCGGTTACCCGGACCACATGGGACCGCCCGGCGGCTTTCCGACGGGAGGAGGACCCGGCGCCGGAGGATCCAACAACTCGGCCGCGACCATTGCGCTGCTCGCACAGCAGCTGGCCTCTTTGACAAACGGATCGAACAGTGCGGGCGGGAACGCCGGTCCCCCCGGGGCGCCGCCGCTGCCGCAGTACCTGCAAAACGCCGGGGTGGGCGGGGGACCCGGAGGACCCAACCCCGGTGCCGACGAGCAGGCCGCGCTTCTGGCTCAGGCTCTGCAGCAGTACAACACCGTGGACCACGCATGGGACAACCAATTTCCGCAGAATCATGCGCCCAAGGGAAAATTTTCTTCCGCCGTGGGCAAGGGAGGCAAGATGCACAAAGGCGACTACGCAGGGGGACCAGGATCACCGTCGGCGTGGGCCAATCAACAGTACGGCGGCCCTGGAGGGGGCGACTACGGGTCGTGGCAGCAGAGAGCCGGGAAAGGCGGGCACTGGCAGGACCAAAGTAAGGGTGGCAACTACAACTGGCAGCAAGGCAAGGGAGACTACAACGCGTGGCAACAGGGTCCGGGTGTCAACAAGGGCGGCTATAACTCCAAGCAAAACAAGGGCTTCGGAAAAGAGTGGGGTGGCAAGAAAGGTACAAATAAGTACAACTACTTGCTCCTTGAATTTGAAACACTCTTACGCGGTCTTCATTCCGTTTGTCTTAAATACTATGCTATCGCGTTCTTCTTAGAAGAATCCAAAAATAAAATCAATGATGTTTTCAGCATGTGAAACGAATACAGGTCAACTGCACCAGGGAAAGGGTGGCAAGATGGACGGTGTCCACCAGATGACGCCTACCGAGCTGGGGTTGCCCGAAGGGTGCAGTCAGGCCTTGATGGATTTCCGCATTCGCGGGATGAAGAAGGAGCTGAACGAGATCCTCCCGCACGTTGTGGAATTCTGCAAGGACCAGTACGGTTCCCGCTACATCCAGCAGAAACTTCAGGTACTACGAACATATTTTTCTGTCTAGTGGTCACAGTTACTCCTTACTTTCGTTTGAAGTGGGTTTATTTTTCAAGAAAGGTGTACGTGGTTTGCTGCTACAGCCCATCATGTCTTTGTCATTTCGAGGAAGAACAAAACAAGATTTTTGTTTCACTATCGCCACCCACCCCAGGTTTCCGCCGCGCACGAGAAGCAGGCCTTCTATTTGGCGCTGAAGCCGCACGTCCGGGATCTGGTGTTGGACCCGTTCGGGAATTACGTGGTGCAGAAATTTTTCGAGCGCGGCAACCGCGAGCACCGCGAGGGCCTCGCCAGCGAGCTCCGGGGTCTGGCGCTGGGGCTGAGTTACCACATGTTTGGGTGCTGGGTGATGCAGCGCCTGATGGAGGTCCTGGACACCAATCCGGACCTGCAGAAGGAGCTGGCCGAGGAGCTGCAGGCTGACTTGCTGGGGCTGATCGTGAACCAAAACGGGAACCACGTGGTGCAGGCCTGCGTCGAAAACATGCCCGCGGAAAACACCACCTTCATCGTGCACACGCTGCAGGGCTCCGTCGTGCGCATGGCCCGCCACACCTACGGCTGCCGCGTCCTGCAGCGGATCGTGGAGCGCTGCCAGACCGCCGATGTGGAGCCAATCATCGAAGAGTTGCTACCGGAGTTGGACGACCTGATGCGCGATGAGTACCTATCCACAAGCTTTTTCCTATATTTAACCTTCCGCTTCCCTAAATTTCCAAGGCAACAAAGACGAAAATTTTTTGATGACTTCGACCATAATTTTCTCTGATTCTAACCGTCCCAGCCAAAAATCACGACTTTTTTTTTACTAGGTGCGCTGTCATCAACCCAAAAATAACCACTGCACAAACAAACCAGGTACGGAAATTACGTGGTGCAGTCCATTGCGGAGCGGATTGGGGCGCCCCGACGGCCGCAGGTGGTGGACTACGTGTGTGCGAACCTGACGAAACTGGCCACGAACAAATACGCGAGCAACGTGTGCGAGAAGATCATGATGTACAGTTCCGAGGACGACGCCAACCGCATGACCAACATCATCCTGGGCGAGGAGACCGAGCCGGAGCCGCCGGTCCTGACCATGATGCGGCACCGGTACGCCAACTACTGCGTGCAGAAGATGCTGGAGAAAATGTCCGTGGAGTCGCCCTTCGTGGACCGGGTTCGCACCCTGCTCCGCGTGTACGTGCCCCAGATCCGGACCTTCGTGTACGGGAGACACATCTTGCAGTCCCTGTTCCGCCTCGGCGTCATCAACGCCGAGGAGTTGCAGCAGGCGCTGGACGCGTCCCCGGCCGCGCAGAACATCCAGGGGGTCCAGCACACCTCCGCGGGCCACCAGGTCATGGGCCAGCACGCCACCAAGCAGGACACGCACCCGCATCGGACCACCGGGAAAACCCCCCGCTCGACGCCGCGCGAGCAGCAGGGGCAGGCCTAAGGGAGCGGATTCTTCTATAGTCAGGACTAGGAGCAGCATGAGCATGTTTCTTGATGTTTCTGAGAATGTGCGTCGTGCTAAAATAGATAGTACTTACACAGGGCTTGCTCGAGAAGTAGAAATTTGTTTCGAGTACTGCGCGAGGTTGTGAACAATATACGTCTGCTCTACGTAGAGATAGAGATAAGAGGTGGAACGACATGATATATGACCAAGCAGCAGTAAGAAGGCTCTGTTTTGCGGAGTATGAGTATGCACGACATAGTGCTATGAGAAAGTAGTACAGTAAAACATCAGTAGTCGACCGAACATGATATTCAAAAGAAAATTTTCTAAGCACCTAATTTTATCACGATGAGAATCGGAATTCTTTGTAAACTGGTGTGTAGTAGTTGGGGTACTTTTATTTGTTATGACTTCTCATCCTAGACAAGCACAAGAATCTGCAAAGGTCGAAAGAAGAACCTGTCACACACTCTTTCTCTGAATGAATTCACCGCATTTTTCCGTACAAAGACACCAATTCGCCACAGAAGTCTTACAACCACATGCGCAGAATGATAGCACTATTTCCCAGTTTTTTACCCAAATATGCATGGTTTGTCCAATATGTTTTTCTAATTAAGTTTTTATTTTGAAATGTATTGAACGTAGACGTACATATTGTTTTTGCACTGATTGGTGTCCCTATCACGGTTGTTGCTGGGATAGAACCAGAGGTCCTTACGCTATGTCTCTTAACGAGTCCAGCCGAAGCCCATAAACTCCTACGTACGGCTATATGCCTAGTCCACCCTTTTTGTTTAAAGCGTAGAAGAAGTTTTACACTTCGAACCTATCCGGCGTTAGTAGGACGGTCGTTTAAAATTTTGTTGGGCTGCCGTTGACTTTTCAGCATGCCTTAACGATGTCGCTGCCGTCCTCCTGTGCCGTATTCAACCTGATTTTTTGGCCACAACCTTCCGCCCTATTTGCTTAGCGCGGGAGCACGTTGCTGGTTCTCTTGTCAGGCCTAGTGCGTCGCTTCGAAGTTTTTTGCAATTACCACAAGAGGCAGAGACTCAAGTGAATAGCGGGGGGCAGGAGGTTACTAACTTCCATGCGCAGTCTACTTTCTGGCTGCAGCAGAAATTTACAGTATGTATGTTTAGACGTCCAATGTGAATGTATGTTTAGATCTTTATTTCGTGACGATTTACCCCGTTTTTATTGCAGTGTGCCGCGCGGGATTTTCTTTGTGCCGGTGAATTGAGCATTGTCACTATGTTTTTGATCCCAAGCCTGTGGACATTCACTGAATGCGTCGGCAGCTGGTGATCGAACATTTTTACTCTATGCCTACACTAAGACAACTTCGATACTCGGCATCTACTTTTCGGCTACACAAATACGTTTTCGAAGATGAGCGTTGGTGTTCTGTAGGATAAGACAACTAGATATTTTCCGGACAAGATGAAATATGAATGCTCTATACTTTTGAAATGAAACGAAAGATAGAAAGCCAAAAATATTTTTATCGGGGGTATTCCACCAGCTCGAAAGCAAACAGGTAGTAGAGGTAAACATTCTTGTTGCCAAGGCCTGTAGGGCTCCTTGAAATTGATTTTGTGAGGGGCATTGACGTAAGACAATTTTAATTTGTTACGTAGACCAACGTCCTCACAGGACAACGAATGGCTGAAAACAACTCGGGGTACAGTACCGAAAAGTTGTAGAAGAAATCAGCTATTCCTATTCCGCTTGAGGAGTGCTGCTGCACGTATGTAAGATTCGGCTTCAAGCGGACGTCCACTTTTGCGACGCCGGTTTGGCTACTACAGATACAGTTTCGTTTCAGAAGATAGTAAGTTTCCATTGAAGCACACTAGATGCTTGCCAAGTAAAAATCAATGTCCGGAGAAGTAGAAATAATAAGAAGTAATCCGACAGAACAACATTTAGGAACATACGAAGTCGGTCAAAAGTAGAACAAAAATAATGACGTCGCCCCTCTCACTGACAGCGCCGCCGCAGCACGGGTAACCGCGTAGCCTCGTCGTGGAGTTAGATAGAAGGCCGCGGATAGCAAAAACTATAGTAAGAGTAAGAAAGAAAGTAAAGAAACCGGGCCAATAAATAATAGAGAAATAGCGCATAGATTAGCTTATACACTCCACCCGCGCCCGCCGTGGTCGTGACCTTCGTGCCGTGATCGAGCGACGCGACAAGGGCCTGCGTTTTTCTTAGGGACGAGGGCGCCGGACATGTCAGTGAGAGGAACCCGTGGGCTTGTCCTTATCGATCTTTTGTCGTTCCCCTGGTTATTCCTTTGATTCCACCCATGCTATCTTTCTTTGTGCATCAGCACAGCCAGCGTGCTCGAGAACATCGCCCCTCTTAACGACGTCGGATGTGGACGCGCCTACACGCGCGACAGAAGGACCTCCGCCAACGACGGGGGAGGGTCAACCGAGGATCGACGACGGGGGAGCTTTCATTCTGTACTACGTCGGAGCGGGCGACGTTTTTATAATATCATCATGCTGCACTACTTCATTTCGACGGTGGAGGGATTGGGAGTCCTCCACTGCGGGCTTCAGCCTACAGGTAACTCTGTTGCTTCGCCCTCACAACCATTCGACACAGTAGTGGCTCACTTCTTCTCGACGAACAGGCGTGGCGTCTGGGCACTCTGGCAACGGGCTTCGGTCTCGACCCTGTTGTGTGCCAGCGCTACAACTCCAAACTTTGCGCCCCGAGCCATCTGAGTGGTTTGACACGCATCGCGGTGTAGTAGCTAGTATGTTGCGTTGTCTCTCCATCGGAAATTACGACATCAAGTGAAGACGCACAGCAAGCGGACACAACTACTGCCGCGGATCCAGCGAGCCACTACACTCAAGCGGCCTGCGACACCATGGGGGCGCTTGCAGTACAGACCGGCAGTTGGGCTTTGAGCAAGGACCGAGGAAGACAACGCCCTAGTGGTTTACAGACCTACGCCGAGGAAGACAGCGCCCTAGTGGACCGAGGAAGACAGCGCCCTAGTTTAGGGTATACCTACAAGCAGCGTTACAAGTTCAAAGGCAGAAAAGTTTTCGTACAAGAATCTAGCACGTAATATGAGGATGATACAATACACAGGGTTTAGGAAAAAAGTCTGTGTTCAGACTTGGCGCGCTAGTTCGACTTTTGTTTCATTACAAGACCACTATGCGTGGCCCGCACTGCATACACGCACCGGGAAGCAATAGTCTTATTAGTGTAGTGTTATGGTGGAGGGTTAACTGCTCTGCGGTGCCCGAGTCTGTCGAACACAAGTAGTCGTACTTGGCGCAAGTTTTAGGCGCTACGCTACTCGCCACACCGCACCCGTACCCGTACCCTTTGAAAGGCATGCCTGCGTGTGACGGACCAGAAGTGGCGTAGTTCTGTTCAAAAGGTTGTAATCCCGGATGCTGCGATAGACTTTTATTGTCTGGTCGGCGCCACTGTGAAAACACGCATAGAAAATGATGGGTTCAGGGATTTACTTACAAGGCAGCGCTACTAGCACCAGAAGAACAAAACTTCCACGGGGAAAGCACTTCTACACTAATATGAGGATGATACACTAGACAGGGTTTAGGGAAAAAAGTCTGTGATCAGGCTTGGCGCGCTAGTTCGACTATTGTTTCATTACAAGACCACTGCTGGTGGCCCGCACTGCATACATGCATCGGGAAGTAATAGTCTTATTAGTGTAGTACTTTGGCGGAGGTGCGTAACACCACCCGAGTCGGGTACAAGTGGTTGTACTAGGCACAATGATTAGGTGCTACACTACTCGCCACGCACGCCCATACCATACCATACAGATCTACGGTTCGTCTTGCTTGGCTAGTCAACTGCGAAAACATGTCCTATGGTTAGCTTAAAAGAGAGAATAGCTTAGTAGATAGAAGCTGACTGTAGTGGTTTCCTCCTCCTCCTCCTCCGACAGAACAATCGGAATGTCAAAATGAATATCTTACAGTAACAAGCAACATCCTCACCTTTATTTAGATAATAAATTGCTGCTGTTGTGGCGGGATGAAAACGTTTCCAATTCAATCAACTAAAAAAGAACAACCGAAATGGCGAGAAAATGGTAATATGGAGAGACGGAAGTAGATAAACCTAACTTGACAATACGACTCGACAAGTTGCTGCACGACGTAAATACAAGAAGTAGCAGCAAGCAATGGGATGCGCAATGCGAAGATCGAATTCGACTTGCAGCACGCATCAGTAATGGCTCGGGGCGCATATTAGTCGATTCTCGTGTAAATTCTGCCGCGATATTCCTTCCTTGGCCTCAAGGAACGGGTCAATATAGCGCATCAGTTCGTTGTCAATACTCAGCAACTTTTTTTTGGATATTTTGACAACAGCCGAGGTGGCCGACAGTCTTTTCTTTTTCGACATTTTATTCCGCGCCCGACTAAAAGAGGACAAGAAGCGGTTCACTATAGAAGTGGGCGGTGGAACTGGAAAAGGAAATGCAATTTAGGGACGGAAAGACGAGGGGGCTCTGGCTCGCTCGGTCGGGGGGACTTACAATGGAACCCTTCTCCGAGCTCATCTGCGCCATTTGCAGCCCTCGTCTTACAGGGTCCAGATAAATTGCTACGTTCCGCGTGACGCTTGATCCTTCTGATAGAACCCTCTTTACTTTTTTCGTACGGGAAGTGGAGGATGGGACAGGGAGAAGCAACTTCAATTTTCTCGCAGATATGAATAGGCGGTGACAAACAAGGTGGAACCCAGGGAGCGAATGAATGAACAATGAGATCCTATGTTATGGCGGCATGTCAGGACTTCCCCAATGTATTTTATCGGAGGATAGATAAAGAGACGTTGACGTCCCGTGCGTGATGCGCACTTCCACCGCGCGCAAGAGCGAGCAGCAGATTTGCTGTTGCGTTGTTTGTGCGTACTTACATACAATCTTCGAAGTATGTTCATCAACCAGATCCGGTGCGAAGCTAGACGAAAATGGAGCAGACGCACTCGAGGTGCTAGAGACCATCGGATTAGAAATGGAATCGGTGCACCTCCAAAAGCTGTAAATTCGTGTGATCTCAGACCTGTGACAATCTGCCTAGATTTATAGTAGAATAGATCTGCGTGACCATCCACTGCCGTTCCCTTTCGGCGGAAGAAGTACCACTTGCAACGATCCTTTGTAAGTTGAAAGAATCGCGAAGCAGCACTAATTTCTTGCATGAGCTGAAGATCTGTAACGAGCAAAATAATGGTGATCCAGCAGACCGAAACGGTAAAATTCTAGTTCTAGTTCTAGTTCTCCTGTTAACACCGTGGGCAAACCACGGTAACCGGTGTATTGTGCTGTCTAAGTCTACTCACGGAATTAAAGCAGATGAGATCGCTGTCGCTAAATAAAATGAGGATCTTCAATGAAGTCGCGTGGAGATAACGAAGTTAATACCACCTTGCAGTTTACCATAAATTGTGCTGCTGCCGTTTCGCAAACATTCTCAGGTGATTTAGCAGATACTGTGAACAAGAACAATTGCGAAGGAAAATGGCATCAATTTGTTAGCACTAGAAAAAAATATACTCGGGCCTCGCTTCTTAGGAATAGTAACCAACAGCAGGTACTGCTATTCATTTACATTTCGTTTGACCAAAAAGACGCGACGGAATGGCGAAAAGTGCGAAGGTGAAGGGCGCCAAGCGCACGGTGGTGGTGAAGGCGAATGAGAAGGCGGTGAAAACGAAAACTGCCGGAGGCCAGAAGCTGAAGAGCAATAAGCAGCAGACCGCGCCCCTCTCCAAGCAGCTGTTGGCCGACAAGAGTTTCGGGCAGAATTTTCTGAAGAACCCGGGGATTCTGGATAAGATCATGAAGGCGGCGGACGTGCAGGGCTTCGAGATCGCCTACGAGATCGGCCCGGGTACGGGGAACCTGACCTCCCGACTGCTGAAGGAGGCCAAACAGGTGATCGCGCAGGAGATCGACCCGCGCATGGTCGCCGCGGTGCAGAAGCGGGCGCAGGCGGAGAACCAGAGTCACAAGTTCACCATCAAGCAGGGGGACTGTCTCAAGGCGGACTGGCCGCCCTTCCACGTGCTGGTGGCGAACCTTCCCTACCAAATCTCCTCGCCGTTCACGTTCAAGTTGCTGGCGCAGAAACACAAGTGGCGTTGCGCCGTCATCATGTTTCAAAAGGAATTCGCGGAGCGCCTGGTCGCGCAGCCAGGAGAAAACTTCTACGGCCGGCTGGCTCTCAACTGCAGGCTCTTTGCCAAGGTAACTTCGACTTTGCTGTAGTGCATTTTTATTTTTTCGTTTTGTTTGGTGTCACTCTCACTCCGCCTGGGTCATGCAGAAATCCACCAGATGCATTTATTTCCGGAGAAGTTTCTTGGTGCATTGTTATTGTTGTACTTGACAACTTTCAGGGAACTTTGAGGTACAAAATTTCTACAGGTGCAGCGCGTGTGCAAGGTGGACCGGAATTCATTCACGCCGCCACCGAAGGTAGACTCTATGGTGGTGAAGTTTGTGCCGGTGGATAGACCGATTGACGTGGACTTTAAGGAGTGGGACGGGATGCTGCGGGTCGCCTTTTCTCGGAAGCGCAAGACCTTGGCCGCCAGCTTCCGGAACAAACCGATCTTGAAAATCTTGCAGCAGAACTTTCTGGCGCTCTGCCAGCAGAAGGGCGTGCAGAGCGAAGGTGCCATTCTGGACCTGCTGAGAAAAGAGATCACTGCCGTGGCGGAGAAGCAAAATAAATCACCTAACACCCAGAGTGCTAGCGGGCCCCGTGCTGGTTCTTCGAGCGCAAGCAGTACCAGTGGGCTGAATTTCTTCGAAACTACGACATCCACCACGCCAGCTGCGTCGACGGCTCTTGCGGCACCGACCTCGACCGCCACAGCGACCCCACCAGCAACGTCTTCTACTTCTTTCTCGAGCGGTCTATGCCTCAGTCTCGGGGGGTCTTCGACAGCCGCAAGTTCCAGCAATGCCCCCGTCAAGCTTGCGATGAGCACCGGAACTGAGGAAGCTATGGACGTCGATGGCGCAAGTTGCGATCCGAACCTCAGTGGCAAGAGCGCAAGTGGTGCGGCAATAAATCCAGACGACGCGTCGAGTTCTCCGCCGCAAAAGAGAAAAGCCCGGGGGCGGGACCGCGCCGCAAAGAAGGTGCAGCAGCACGACGACTCCACGGATGACGACGCTCCGGCATGGAAGCAAAAGGTGAAAAAGCCAAAGAACACGAACCGGCCCGGACACCAACTGCAGCGGGCTGCGGACGGAGCCCTGGTTTATGCCGCCACCGCCGCCCACCAGGGTCTGCAGCTGCTTCAGGAGGCCGAAGAGCAGCGAAAAAACAGTACCTCCATGGTCATTTCTTCCGCGTGGCAAAAAGAGCACTTTACGAAGGTGTTCTCCGCCTATTGCGTCACGGTGCTGGAGGATTCAGGCGTGGCCAACAAGCGCGCCATCACCCTGGACTTGAACGAATTTCTAGCACTTCTGCTCGCGTTCAACCGGCGCGGAATCCACTTCTCGAACGTGACGGACGGCACCGACGTCGCTATGGACGAAGAGGACGAGGAGGATGACGATGATATGGAGCTGTAAGTTTTGTTATGGTCTTTAAACGCAGGGCCAAAAGCAAAACTGTAGATTCCTGCTCTGAGATGCAATTGACGACTTTTCTTGAAATAAACTTCTTTTACTTCCGATCGCCAGGCGTGATGATCATGTAATTGCTGCGCTGGATGCGATGCAAGTTGAGGAGACATCATGTTGTTCAAGGAGACTGAGTCCGTCTGTGATTCGGCGAAATATTGCTGTGGTTGTTGCAAAAACAAATTATGTTGGAGCAACGCAAATTCTTCGTCTTCCCGTGTCTGACGTCCAATTTCTTGCGACGCTTGATAGATGGCAGAGTCATTGCAGCGCGCACAGTCGTCTTGTACGAACATCATTGAGTTATTTGCACTGTTCGAACGAAGCCAAAGCTCTTGAAGAGTACCAACTTATCGGAAAAGCAGTTTAGTAGTTCTTGGGTGTATGTCTCTAGCAGAAAAAGTCGTCGACTTGACATAATTCCGTGTAAGATATTTGTCAGCTCATAATTTTTTTCTGTGGCACTAAACTTGACCTTTGACCGAAAGGAAATGACGACGGCCGCGAGCAGCGCATCTGGCACGACGACGGCCACGAAGCGGCTGCGGGTGCTTTGCTTACACGGGTTTCGCACTAACGCCGACATTTTGGACATGCAGCTGGCCATGTCGGTGTTCCACACGCCCAAAATCCACAAGCTGGTTGACTTGGTCTGCGTAAGCGCGCCACATCGCACCGTGCACGAGCAAAAAGTTCCCGCGGTGGTGCGCGAGGCCTTCGGCGCGCAGCGAAACGGGTATCGGGAATGGTGGAACCGCAACGACGCCACCGGTGTGCTCGACGGAAAAGAGGAAACGATGCAGTACCTAAGAAATTTGCTGCGAACCGGGGGTTCGTCGGGACCCGTCGCGGCGTCGCAGGCGCAGAATCCGGCCTTCGATGGCATCTTAGGATTTTCGCAGGGCGGCGCGGCCTCCCTGTTGCTACTGCAGGAGCTGTATACGCCGGACTTCGGGGTGGCATCACCAACGCCAGTCGCAGCGGTACCGCACTCGTGCAGACCAAAATTCGGCGTTATTCTCTCCGCGTTCGCGCCCAAGGGACTGGAGCTGCCATCGCCGTTGGACTGCACGTCATCGGAGGACGAAAATAGCGGTATGGGTGTGTCAGACAAAGAGCTAACCCTCCGCACGCTGCCCATGCTGTTCATGGGTCAAAAGGACGACCAAGACGTTGCGCTACACCGCCTACGAGCAGTGGCGCAGCGGTTTGCAAACAGCGTGCTGATCGAAAACCCCGAGGGGGGGCACAAGATCGCGGGCCCGCAGCAAGTGGGTAGCGAGCACATGGAGCAAATTTTCCGCTTCTTCCGCGCTCGGTGGCAGGAGCGATTTGGGGTGGAGCCAGATTCCGACGACGAGAATATGGGTACAACGCCAACTTCTGCCGGCGGAGGTACCCACACGGCTTCGAACATGTAGGGATTTTCCGCGTTATTTCTTCGCGTTACAGGGACTCTGAAGGATGTTTCTAAGTAGCTCGAACGGTGCTCGTTCCCACCCCTGCGCAAAGTAAGTAAAGTGTGCGTGTGTTTGATCGCACAAGCTTGTATTGCCTTGGTCTTGTTTTGGATGTGCAATGGCATTTATTTTTCAGCAGCTTTCTTGTCAGGGATACTAGATTGAATCTGTTTTTTGTAACCCAGCTTTTCATGCACATGCTAGAGATAGGCATACGCATAGGGTCATAATTCACTTGTGCTTCATTGCTCAGTATCAGGCAAATGAAAAATCTTTTGAGAAGATTCTCTTTCTATCAAAATAGCGCGACTCTTATTGCGGAAGCGGACGCGCTATTCCGATGCCTGTAATTGTTTTTTTTTGTTTCGCTTTCGTCATTCAGGTAGAGGTAAATCGATTCTACTCATCTTCCTTGCGCTTCGGTTGAAATGCCACCAAACCGACAGAAGGCACTTTTTGTCTCTAGCCGTTGATTGGCTTTGACTTTGATGGCGATCTGGTTGCCGGTGATGTTTCTTCCGTGTGATTCCGTAAATCGTGGCTCTACAACGCTCAATCTGTGCCTTTTTTTCTGTCGTGATTTTTTTCCCGACCATCTGGCGAGCGAAAATCAGCGAGAGATGAAAATAAAAGGAAAAATAAGGCCACAGCAGCAATTTTTTTCTGCGCATGTTTCAGTAATGTGAAGGTGAAACCCCAGGACACAGCTCGTCGCAATCGTGCCTGTGTCACGTAATCTCTCTTACCTCCGTTTTCGTTTGTTGGTGGAATTCCTTTTGAAAAATCCCCTTCTTTCTATAGCGCTACGGACACGCGCGAGCGAACTTGAAAGTATGAAAAGATGTTGAAGCAAAGAAGCCGTGCACGCCGCGCAAAACTACTTGGAGCCCAGCACCAAGCCGAGTTCTGAAGATAGGAGACCTTTGAAGGAGACAGGCCCAAAGAGGGGCGGCAGCCGCAACCATGGCAGCGGAGCAAGCATACCGCACTCACGATGAGTATGCGGTCACGCTCCAAAACCTGCTGGCCACCGAGTCTGCTGAAAAGGAAATGTCCCAAGGAGAGCTTCACAGGTACTAGTATTTCCATGGTTTAAGATTACCATTGTTGTCGTCGTCATCGAATGTTGTTTGTATGTTCATCGTGGACCGGAAAAAGCACGGCCTGTATGGGATCGTGGAAAAATAAATTGGCGCTTTCAGGTGGAAGAAGACGATTGACAGTCACCGGCGACAGCTGGTGAGCTTGATCCAGGACGGCATAAATCGCAAGGGCGAAAATGTGTGGAAAAGGCTGCAGGACGAGGTGCAGACATTTGAGGAGGATCTCCGGAAGCTCCAAAGCAAGGGCGCCGACGCTGACGGAGAGGGCGGTACACTTTGATTTGATGTACCCGCGGAAGTTCTGGAAAGGGCAATAAGTAGAATTGTTGCGTCGAGCTGATGTTTGTTGTGGGTGCTTTCGGTTTATTTATTAAGAAGAGCGCATCATGAAACTCACCGCGCAACATCAGGGTCCCCCCGGCGCACGTACGATGTGCTACGAGCAAGTTTGAATGAGACGCAGCGACGGTGCGAGAGCCTGAATAGCGATATGATGTCCCAACAGGAAGCGAACGGGCAGTTGGTTTCGAGTCTAAACACCTGCAAAAACAACAACAAGGAGCTGCTGCAGCAGATTCAGCAACAAACCGCCGAAATCACGCGGCTCACCCAAGAACGCATCGCGGACGAGCAGAAGATGGATTTGATGCAGAGGCATCACAGACAGGAGGAAGAAACGTGGAAGCAAGACGGCTATCGCCGGCTCCATGTGCTGCGGGACCAGGGGGATGAAAGGTATATTTATTTTCAACATCTTGCGGATTCACTTCGCGAATGTGCAAACAAAAACATTCACACGTTGTATTCTGATCCGCAATTCTTTCCCACCGTGAGGATTTCACCAAAAAGGTTTTCTACTACCGCCACGCACTTGACATCCAAGTTGAAGTTTGTGCAAGCCCGAGGCGCGGTTCTACAGGAGGAAACGGAGGGTCTTCGCGCACAGACGGGCGAGCAGCGCTCGCAGCTCTTGGGGATGAAGGACAGCATGCTGAACTCGTTTCAAGGAGTCAATGTCCGAATGCTGCAAGAAATGGACGCCAAAGAGAAACAGCACCGCGCCACCAGAGAAAAGCTGAAGGACCGCATCAAGGACCTGGAGCTCAAGCTTATGGAGGTATCTAGTACACCCAGTCAATTTTTTTCCGCATTGCTGCGCGACGGCAACACGCGCATGAATCTTCTAAAGCGTTTTGGTATCTTTTTGCATATGAAGATCATGATGTGACACGAAGCGTGCTCCTTCCCATTATGAAGTCGAAACGTCACCCCCAATACCCCAACAGGAACACGAGTTCCACGGGCACGAGGTGAGTTCGTGGTCGCATCGCTATGTCGGCGTGCAGGCGGAGAAGGAAGATTTGCAGGCACGCATGGACCGGGAGCTGAGTATGCTGACGGCGCAGAAACAGGGGTTGGACCGCAGCGTGAAGGCGGAGCTGAACCTGTACGAGACGGAGCTGGGCAAATTGAAGAGCACGATTCAGGACTGCCAAAAGGCGCGATCCGACCTGGAGAAGCAACTGGACGACGCGAAAAGGGAGGTGTTTCGCTTGCAGTCGGTCTACGGCAGCATAGAGACGGAGGTGCAGTGCAAGGACTCGGTCGTGAGCGACCTGCGGAAGCAGCTGCGCGACGCCGACGACGCGCTGTCTGCCGCCGTGGCGGGCAACGAGCACTTGCGGTGCCAGATGGAGGAGCAGCGGCTGCGGTTCCAAGACATGAACGAGGGCGAGGCGGCCCGGCTCCGGAACTCCTACGAGGAGAAGGTGCAGAAGCTGCAGGAACAGCAGCAAAACGAGACCCAGCTGCTCGAGTTCCAGATCAAGAGCCTCGACGAAGTCCTCGGCGAAAAGGACCAGCAGCGGGAACGCCTCCTCAAAATGATGGAGCAGCTGCAGTCCGAGTGCGGCGTTTTGGAGCGGGACGTGGCCATCTGGAAAACCACCTTCGACCAGGGGGTGCGGAACCGGCACGACCTAGAGCGCGAATACGCACTCTGTCGCCAGGAGTGGTACTCGCATTTTTGTTTTTGCTTGTTCGTGGAGTAAAGTAGCCCTGGTTTTGTTTATTGTGTTGATTTCAGCGAAGATAACTTATGATCTGTGCCTTAGGTTTCATCCGTCTTGCAGCCACAGTAGCGATGACGAAAACTTGACGTGCGTGCTGTACCATTTCGGCATTAAGCTAGTGTGGTTAATAGCATCTAGCGAAAGAACTTATCGAATCATCACAACAGGGCAAGACAGAAGCTTACGGTGATTGAGACCACAGAGACAAACGACAGCAAGCGACAAACGCTGGAAACGGAGCTGAAATTCCTTACCGACAGTTTTATCGATTACAAACGCCAGGCTGCCAGCAAGGAAACGGAACTGCAAGGTAGTTTTACTCATCATGTATGCGACGTAGCTTCATATGCATGCTGCGAGCGCTCCTGGGTCATCTGAATGACTTGGCACGTCCAATCGGCCGATCGGTTGAACCAAAAACCGCAATCGTTCTCCAGGTCGCATCAACAGTTTCGAAGACGTTCTGAAGACCACGAAGGCACACCAGGCGGAGGCGCAGGCCTCCCTCACGGACGTACTCGACGTGATCGGCAAGACGAAGCAGGACGCCAGCCTCCAGTTGCAGATCTCCACGGAGACCTGCTGTCAACTGGAGCGCGACCTCGAGCAGAAGAAGCTGGAGTGGGACGAGGAGCGCAAGCGCCTCGACGTTTGCCTCGAAAACGAGCGCCGGGACGCGTCGGATAGCAGAGAAAAGTACTAACAACATCTTCGAGACGTCTTGTTTCTACTAGTTTGTCGTTGCAAAATTGCTCTTCTGGTGTACTGCTGATTTAAGGCATCCAGTCGTATCTTCAGGACAAGCCTCGTAAGTACAACAACTACTTCATGCTAGTATTTTACTGACTCTCGTCTTCCACTTCTACGCACTAGCTGTAACCGTATCGCTCCCTCAGGTACGAGAAGTGGCGGGAGCAGCACGCGGTGGCGCTGAAGCAGGTGTCAGAGGAGAGCTCGGCGAAGATTGGCGCGCTGGAGGACGAGAAGAAGCGGCGCGAGGAGCAGTTCGCGAAGGAGGAGGGTGGGTTGCAGGCGTCCATCCAGCAGAACCTCGGCAAGGTGGAGTCGCTGAAGCAGGAGGCCGGGCGGTTGCGACACACGGTGCAGGACGCGAACAACAAGTTCGCCCAGCTGCGCCACGAGGTGGAGCGGGAGGAGCGGGAGATGCAGTTCCAGCACAACCAGTACTACGAGGAACTGAAAACGCTGGCCGCACAAGTCGAGGAGTCGAAGCGCAACGAGGCCACCATCTTGAAACACTTGGAGGCCACGGCTTTGCGGAACGACCTGGAAACCAAGCGCCTCGTGAAAGAGCTTGAGGAAACCAAAGGTAGCCACAGTGAATTGGTTTCCAGTGTGCATTCACCTAGAGGAGGTTGATTTATTTGAAGTTTCAGTCGCACGGTATATGGAAAATAAAGAATGCTTTATTTTTGAGGATACTGTGGTCAGAAACACGCATGAAAATGAAAAATAGAAATCGGCGGCACGACGCTGGGCCAAGCGGAGCACAAGCTAAGCAAGTTCAAAGAGACTTACGCCGAGACGCTGGAGGGTACTTCGCAAAAGTACAGTCAGGAGCTGGGGAAGGAACAGCAACGCCTTGACACGCTCAGCCGCGAGAACGAACAATTGAAGACGTTTTTGCGTGAAGACATGGGCATTGTTTCCTAGACTCATAGATTTGAGCAGCTGTCGCGAAAGCGAAGCATTTTTTTTACCGGAATAGAAAAGTTTAGAACAGTAGTGAGAATAACCTTGTTAACTGAATCGAGTATACTGACAGAAAAATTTAGAATTACTTATTTTAGCAAAACAGCGTTGACCGACGCGAAAGCCGCTAGGCGGCGAGAGAGAGAATAATTAGTGAGAAGGAAACACGTCGCCTCTGTACCTCCCCTGGAGGTTGGTTGCGCTTTTATGTCTTTGGTTGTGTGCTCTCGCTTCTTTATCATGGTCCTATTTTTCATTTCGCATATTTCGACGCAGGAAATCGAAAACTCGTGAGGCATGAGGATTTCCCATTGAGTTTTTTCACTGACGCAAAAACAAAAATGAACGACGCTATTAAATACCGACTTTGAAGATAGCGGGGAGCAAACTGGTACTTGCATGATGGAACTAACGCGGCTTTGGTTTGTACATATGCGCAATTGATGAAGATGAACACAACTACCTTTACATGAGTGAGAAAGTGTCGATATTCAAGCCAGCGAGTCTGACACGCGCAGCAACGCGTCGTGAGCCACAAGGCTTCTCGCAAACCGATGTTTTTGAGGAGAAGGAATGAGCGAAGGGAAGTATTTGTATCTCCACGAAGAGATGTAGTACAGATGATGAAGCAGATTCAGTCCAAAAGATCTCTGATCTCGATGGAATGCCCGAGAACGTGAAAACAAAAAGTCAGCACCGACCATCTGTGGAAAGTACAGCAGAACTCGGCGCTTGAGTCCGGCGGGGGGAGAGATGAGAGTCTGAATTTGAGGTCCTCTAGGAGCATGTTCATGTTTGCATAGAAGCTCGATTTTGCCCCCACGGTCAGCACCATGTCCCGTTTCCTGCGTTGGGAGATCGACGCGGTCTCGGAGACCGTCGTGAACTACAAGGTCTTTCTCTTGTCGTTCCTGTACGAGTTGACTCTTGCCCCCTTTTCGGGTTTGCTCTGCTGTCTGTTGGAAGGTGATAATTCCGCACGGAACCGCTACCTTATCCTCGACCGGAAGCAATTCGATATGTTTTGGGGCAACAACCGTTTCGAGACGCTACAGAACATGGTTTGGATATTCAATGATCACTTTATGTGCGTCTTGTTCGTCTTCTATCTGTGGGCGAACATGGACGTGCGGAGGAAGATTGATGAACTTAAGTCGTCCAATGAATTCTGGTGCCGCCATTTCCTCTTCGAATGGTTCTTTGTTCACGACTACAAGTTCTACGCAGGAGCTGCAACCCGGTATCGAGAACTACGGTGATAATTTAGACGCGGTGGACGGGATGCTTTCGTATCTGATCCTGGTGGACATTCATTACTATGACTTGCTGTTTTTGCTGCTGGTCAAGGTCCACAAGTCGTCTTGCATCGCGCTCAAGTACGCGACTTTTGGACTGTCGGAGATGCGGTTAGTGCGGTCGGACAACAACTTCTACGTGGACATGGGGTTCACCGAGCGCAGAATGGGGTTCGATTTGTTCTACGACGGCAGCGGTTGTTACGAGCAGCACGTGCTGGAGCAGCTTTTGCTCAGTTGCTTCCGCACGGCCGAGCTGATCCGCGGCGTCGACTGTGTGCATTTCCGGTTGGACCCCTTGAGTGCGTATGACGTCGAGGAGGAGTTAGAGCAACTGATGATACGGGAACAACAAGAGCAGCAGCAGCAGCTTGGAGGTCTGCAGTTCCAAAATCATGACGCAGAGCTGCACAGGGGCACTATCCCCATGGATGCACGGTCCTCTGGAAGTTTGTACGCTGCGCCAGAGGTTTTGCTGCTCGCACAAATCGTTGAGGGTCTCGTGGACAGATTGCTCGCGGAGAACAAGGGATTGCGGGCAAGGATCTTGCTAGCGGAACAGCAAAGTCCTCGAGCTGGATATGAAGTAGAGGCGGTTAAAGGCAGCAGGTCTCTGGCGGATAAAAAGTTTCTCGCGTTCTCGTGGCTGGACCATTCGAAACTCTTTCTGGACTGCATCAACCTGCCCGAGGTCTTCACGACCGTCAAAAAGGGGGCTTTGCCGCTCACGCAGGAGGCTGCCGTCAAGTCGACCCTGAACAAGTGGGGAGATCTCCAAGCCTTGCTTGGGGTGTCCCGGGAACTGACACGCGAGATCGAGCGGCAGTGGCCGACGATCGATGCGGAGGCTGTGTTCGGTCAGGAAAGAACCGCAGACGAGGTCGACGTCCAGCTTGGTGGCGAGGCACTAAATGAAGGCGGAGGTGAGTTTTCAAATAAGCCGTGGCAATGGTATATGCAGTCACGAAAAGACGTGCAAAAGCTCGTAGTTAAGGTATTTTTCAATGCGGCGTCCTCATCAAAGGCACGTGGGGACGAGGCAACATCATTGGACGGCTCGTTACTGCGGGCGGTGTGTGCGCGGCTGGGAGTCTTCGTGGACGAGGAGAACCATGGGGAATCTGCTGACACGAAGATGCCGTGGCCGGGGAGTGTTGATCACTATGCTCCATCTTCTGCAGACGGCGTGCCCAAGCACGCAACCGACTCATCCGCCGCCGGCGTGGCGACGCTCTCGGTTCCCCTGCCGGCGACCACAGTGTCGTACGTTCTTGCTTGCCTGGCGTGCAAGCCCGATGACATGATGGGGGCAATCTCGGGATCGATCATTCTCTTCGCGCTCGTGGCACCTATGTTGCTGAACAATTTGGTTCGACTCATCCAGACCGGCGCTTTTCTGAGTCAGTACTCGCACATCGGTTCGATCCTTCATTTATGCCGGCTTTTGCCGATGTGGGGCATCGGGGGCGCGTATTGGGCGTGCATTAGCTTTTTGATTTTCACAGTTTTGGAGATGAGGAAGCGTTACCGCATGGCAACGCTCTTCCTGGCCACCTTCGGCGATCGGGAGGCTTTGCTGGAAGTTGTTCAGGAACAGTTTGCCGACGGAGGTGATTCACGCGGCAGCGATGAGGCCCGAAGCGACACTTCTCCTGGTGATGACGACTGGGATCATTTAAATGGATCCGACAGTGATCCTGATCCTCTCGGCCTTGGAGTTTTGTTTCCAGACCGAAAAAATCGTGCAACCAAGAAAAACTCCGAAACGGGGGCGAACAAAGTGAGTCCGAATCCGGTCCCGTTTGCGCGGGCACTCAACATAGACGCAGTCCTCGATCGGGAGATAGAGCGCAAGAGAACTACAAAGACGGCAAATAAAGATGTTGGCGCTCCGTCCGTTGCAGGGACCTCTCACCCGCTAGGTTTGTCCGAAGAGGCCCAGGCGGAAATCAAGGCCATTTACGAGTCGCGGTTCCGCGATTTCCGGCTCGCGACGAATCTGCTCGCCCTGAATTCCCCCGAAGACCTCCTCGCGTTCCGAGTCGTGGCGATGCTGACGGGCGGAACCTTTTTGGGTAACGCCGCCGCGCGGTATTCAAATGCGGACGCTATTGCGCATTGGTGCTTTCTCTGTCTCTGTGTTGGCCTCATCGTCCACATGATCCTGGCTATGCCCGACCTTCAGGAAGATGATGGTAACTCGAACACCGCCTCCGAGTCCGATGGCAGTGCTAGGCCGTTGCTCTTCCCGCACCTGGCCTCTCCGCGGCCCATCCATCGCGAGTACGGTCTTTACTGGCCGCCGCTTGTGGAAGCGGGTTTTTTCGTGTGTTGGTTCAGTCTGGGAACGGCCGGGGCCGTGTTTTACGGGACGCAGGTGAACAGAGGCGCTCCGAGAATACTGAGCATCGTCCACCGCGCGAAGCGAAATTACGACAAAGTGTTTTTTAAGAAGCTGGAAATGTACGAAAAGTACGTATCTATGCGGAAGGGGAGCACGAGAGCTGACGCAGAGGACACCATAGACGCTACCCTAGAGGTAGACGGCAGCAGTATTTTTAACAGTGGCCGGCCTCAAGCGGAGCCGATCGCGGGATTCTCGTCGCGATTGAATGCCGAGGACATTCAGAAGCTGGACAATGCTCCTGCGCTGCCGGTGGGGTTGTCTGGAACTACTGCTGTGACGCTAGAACCGACGACAAGAAGTACGGCTCCCAGACGCTCGGCGTCCTCGATGTCACGTGGAGGGATGTCCACGGTGTCGAGCTCGTCGCGATCGTCGGTTCTCCGGAGTGTGGAGTCGAGTCTGATCGGAAGTGAAGTTGAGGAGGGCGCGTTGAGTCGGCAACCAAATCTCGTGGACACCGTGAAGGACCAGTACGAGCGCCGCTACAGGGCCAGCAAAGAAAAATTCAGGGTGATGCAAACGTTGCAAGAAGAAGACGAGGAGTTTGAGGTCGCGCCAACAGGAGCACAAGCGGGCGCAGAGGAGAATATCGACGGAGCACTAGAGCCGCGTGGAAATAACGGACTCTACGGGAAGATGAAAACTGGGCGCCCCTGGTCGTACCTGGATTTGGGCCTAGTCGAAGATCCCGAGCCACTCGCAGCAGTTGCATCTCCGAATGGGTTCGGTTTTGCAGACTTCGCGCAACTGAATGTCACCACCGACGACATCAAGCAGCTGAAGTTGGACCGCGAGCTTTTCCAGGACACTGCCACCAGCGTTTTGGCCGACCTGGACCAGTATTTCCAACAGCATCCGGCAAAGATCATGTTTATGCCGTGCACCGTCGAGTTGTTCCGGGTCATTTACGCGGCCCTCGCCACGCTCGCCGGTGTCATCCTGGCCGCTCTATACTCCAAAGGAGTGCTCTTCTCGCCGTTCGCCTTTCTCGACTCTGGCGCCTGATCCCAGTGATGTTGAGAGGAAATCAGTAGAGTGTGGTTGTTTCTGTTATTTCTTGTTGTTTCCGCAGTTTGATGTTTCTGGAGGCGATCTTAGATTAGCGCTCGGTTGGGTGAGGTCGCCGCCGCTATCGTCAGCCGGTGGATCTAGTATGTTCGCAGCAAACCTCCGAAGTGGATATTTGGAAGCCCGGAACTTTCTCTATTGTAAAGACCGACGAACACAAGAATATTCACTTCATAACTACATTTGTGCTTCTTGGAGCAGGGAAGGGGCAGTTTAGTAGATTCTTCCTTGCAAGCATTGGGTCGAATTGTTTGTAAAGTAACTTAGCTGCGGAAGCGCCGCGCGAGCCCTGAAGCTTTGTCACCGAACAAAAGATTACGAGGGATGAAGCTGATGCTGAAGATACATGTTTGTTTCCGTATTCTGGTAATGTCAGTTTCAATTGCTGCTATCGCAAAATCCCTGCGGCTGTTGCAGCGACTCACCTGCCATTTGTTTGTACCGGATCCATATCTTGCACTTCTGATTTTCAGAAGTTTCGACTGAGGGCGTGATGCTCACTTTGTCCGTGATGAACTTTAATTTTTCTGATGGTTGACCTCGACAGAACTTGTTTCGATCCACGTCTTCAGCACACAAGCACGACATCAAGGTGAACAAGATCATTGAGGCGTACAGATGCGACGTTTTCCCCTTGCGAAAGGCGTGCAGTTTTTGCACTGTGAACTTTGTTGATCGTTCTGCGCTTTTTCGATTTTTGTTGAGCAAAGTTTTGACGTAGACGTTTTTGTTTGCGCAAGGATGGAAGAAAAACAAAAACTGTGTGAAGTAGCACATACACCAATCGGATCTCGTCCACATCGCGACGCACTTATTGCTTGTCACGAGATCATACACAACATACGAAGAAATTCAGGCACCAGGTCTGGATCGTCACCGCATGCTATTGTAACTTAAGAAAGTGATAATTCAACAACACCAGCATACGCAAGTAGATTTGCCTTTGCCGCAGCATACTTGTTCCTTTGTACGCGTTTTGGATTAATTCCATAAAGAACTTACCAAGAGGAAAAATGTTGTCCACGTTGCGATCCGCGGGTCTCCGAGGTGCGAGCCGGCAGGCCGGGAGTGCGATGCGCACTGGCGCCCTTACACGGTTGAATGCGGTACTTGCTCCTTCATCGCAGAACGCGTGCAGTAGCTGTCGTAACGGATGCGCGGCATGCAGCAGCGTGGCGCGAGCTTTCTCTTCTGCCGCAGTGAAGAAGCTTCAGACAGGTTTGTGAAGAGAAAAAACAATAATGCTTTAAGTAGACTTCTCGACCCGCAGAGCTTTAGCATCCCCGCCTGGCTGTTTCATCCCCTTGCATACGGATTTTATCGTTTTAGGAGCTACAACTACTGAATTATACGCACTCACCTTTTGTTGATGTTTTCATGAGGTTTCCTAAACCTACATGCGAAGGAATTTAGTCGTGTTGCTATCCACCAAAACCAGGTTTGGCGCAGGAGCTCCAGCACGAGAAGGACAACTATGAGAAACCCGCAGAGCTTTCTAAGGTGCCAGCCGGATGGAACTTCACAGAGGATGCAGGAAACGTGAACATGAAGCTCGAGAAGACGCTTGGTAGTGCAGTCTTTTTTCACGGACAGTGTTTTTTCTCTCGTGGGAAGTACGTATTTTATACACCTACATGCACAGTCTTCAGATCCTACTTTGGTCTACTTTTATGTTAGCGCCTCTCTATTCAGATGCACCTCTTGATGCCATCTTGAAAAAAACAGCTGGTGACCGAGTGTGTAAGGTTGAGTGGCAGCTGGTGAGCCCGCCAATGGCTTACGAGGACGATCCGGAGTATCAGGAGGGGGAGACCCCTATGGATTGCAAAAGTGTCTGGGTCTGGAAGATTGCAACTTGTCATGGTAAATCTGAAGCATGCAAAAATCTGTTTTGCATGAGCGGCAAAAGCTGTCCACTTTTGACCAAGTTGGAAGGGAGTTTCTCATGCAGGACAGGCATGGCGGAGACTTCGCAGAGTCTGTCATGCTAAGTCCCGCATTCCAGACCTCATGGGTCATGGAAAATCTGCATGACAAGTCTACACTCTTCCAGACCCAGACATTTTTACATTTGATAACCCCAGAGGAGCCGACGGAAGTGGAGCTCACCGTCACCGTGGAAACCAAGGATGGAGCCGAAGGTACTTACAACTTCGAACACTTATTTCGACGTGGGAGCATACTTCTACTTGTTTAAGCCTCGTCACGAAACGTCCTTGTAGCAGGAGCCAGACTTCTTGCTTTTTTTTTCATTCGTTTGAGTGCAAACAAGCATGCTGATACTGCATCAAAGGTTTGACGTATTTCTGCTCGACGTCGAGCATGGAGGGGGCGAAGGAAGGTCCCAAAACGTCGCTTTCCATCGGGAACTTGAAGACGTGGAGCTCCGTCGAGGAGCGCGACAATGCCGCAGCTTACAACGGTCCGGAGTTCGATGACCTGGATGACCGATTGCAGGAGGCCATGGAAGAATACCTCGGTACTACACATACAATGGGAGCTGCGCATTTTCTCTGATTGTGCTAGAAAATTATTCGTATGAAAATGAAAATGTTCTCAATCAGTGCATGATGGGATGATTGTCGTGTTGCAGAAGTAGCTCGATTTACGTCGACTTTATGAACCCCACCATCTAGAAATGCAAATGATTCGACATCACAAATTGAATGAAAACAGCGGAAATCGGAGTCTCGGAGGAGGTACAGGAGTTTGTCAATGCAAGTGCTGCGGACAAGGAGCAGCGCGAATACATGCGGTGGATGGAGAATCTGAACAAGTTCGTCAAGGTATTGTGAGGAAAAATCCCCCCTCCCCATATTGAAATATTTCGTCTGAAAATTTGTGATGCAGATTTGAGGTGACAAATCCTGTCTGTCTTGCAAGAAGGCAAAGCCAGAGAATCCGCCGCATTATGCCGGCGGTTTGTGATGCGGTTGGGCTTACAGAGCCGACATCTGTCACGCTAGTCCCCTACGTCAAAACCTCTCGACCCAGGCTTGGCATATGCCTGCAGTCCTCTCCAGCAAGACAGGCCTGATTTGTGTACGCAAATCCAGCATCAGAAACTTCGTTTCGATATGGGGAGGGGGGATTTTTCCCTTTGATGCAAGGCCTAGGTGACAGATTTTTTCGAACACGGCTGAAATGTATTTAGAGCAATACTGGTTTTGCCAAAACCACGACGAACAGATGACATGACACCGACGACAGATACAAATGTGCGTGTACTTATTTTCAATGTAGGGGCTTTTTTGGCATTGAGATTGATGCATAACAAAGCCGTCATAAAATTTTCCGATTCTGTTGTTGTCTTTTTCTTTTGCAACAGCACGTCATAGCTGCCACACGCAGCGCTTCTTAACTTTTGACACACTTTAAGTGGCCGTTCCGAAAGGATCAGGCTACAATTTCCTGCTTTTGAGAACTCAGAACATACTGGATCCACTAAAGAAAAACTCGTTGCCTTTTTGTAGCGAGAATTCGTATGACCACACAAAAATGACGACTCTCGACGGACTCTTCTTTGTAGCGTTTTTCTGATTAGCGACCGACCACGTCTTCTTCTTCTAGAAAATGATAAATCAGACCACAAATTATCCATCGCTCTAGAAGGTTGAGGCGATAAAAACGCGAGCCACCTTTGAGCACAGACCGAGCGCTGCTCGCGCATGGGATTGCAGCCACCTTTGGAGCAACGTGTTTTTCCGTTTCCAAGCGTGAATTTCAGAACTACACAAAATTTTTCTCTAGACTCATTCACGGCCTTTCTATGTATCTGCGAGAGAAGACGGAGGCTAAAGAGCAAGAGGGTGAGACTGTGTCTGACTTGCAACTATACTGGTAGTAGTGGTTCTTGTTCCAGATCTAGCTAATACATGCGGTTTAAGGAACGAATGCTCCAAAGTAATGTATTCCAACTTTGATTTACACCCATTTCATCTAAAATCCAGCTCAGAAGTGTTGGTTTGAGGAGCAGCTGTTTATACAGAGACGTCATGGAAATACCAGGCGACTTGTGGTCGCATTTCACGTTTTCTCTGGTGTCCTGATGGACCCCGACGGACACGTTCACAAATCGCGGCAATAGGGGCTCTGTCTGCGCGGGTGCAAGCCCGGAGCACTGCTTGAGCGCAGGATGTATTTGTGCAGGTTGTCTGTCCGGTACCTGTTCTTCGGCGTATTCATCCGAAAAAATTTCGTTTCCGCACTTCATGTCCTGCGAAATGTCGGGAAGAAAAACTGGGGGACGCGGCAGCGGCTTCAACAGCGCGTTTCTGTCGCCCGAGAAAATGATCATGCCGTTGCAAAGGAGCAACAGACGCCTGGTAGCGTGACGCTCACGGCAAAATTCGCCGTGTCCACCGCGTCTAATCCTAATCAAGAAAAGAATGCGGACCCCGCGTACGCCGTGTTTCTGGACGCGCTGCGTTCCACCTGGTTCCCACTTCCAAATTCGGCTTCGTCAGGTACTACTGCCCTCCACGAAAAATCACGGGCGGATCCGAAGTGTGGCCCCCCCGCAGACGACGTGCAGTTCCCGTCTTCGGCCGACGTTCAATGGGTGTGCGACCTCATGACGCAGAACAACAGTTCGTATCTCGGGCACCTGCACTACAAGCGGCTTGGCCCGACGGAAGCGTCGGACTACGTCGGGGATCCCCCAGCGCGGTCGGAGCTAAACGTATCCGACTGAACATGAAAATTGTTGCTCTTTTTGCAACATAGACACCCAAAGCAACATGACTTGGTGCAGCGAATCTTGTGTTTCCAGAGGACTAGCTAGTACTTGCGACCTGTTTATAGTGGGCAATTCGCTTGCACACACTGCAACTCGGACGTGCAGTAGTAATTTAAGTTGCGAAACAAGGAGAGGTATGACGGCTAGGAGCGTCAAATACAATTTTCAATTCGATAACGCGTCACACACAATTTTGTTTTCTGCAAAAACGACGATGTGGACGTGCAAAGTTGCACCGTGAACCAGTACTGCCAGCCGTGCATGAATGCCATAGATCGGTGCTACGATAAAGTAAATCGCATGATTATCACCGTCGACTGCGAAACTGCGTAAGTAGAGCTACAGTAGGGGCATGTCCTCTACGACGCACTCGATCTCGAACTACTACGGCGTCCTCGGAGCACATTAACCTGCACGACCGGGAAAATGGAATACCGCTACGAGTTCTCTTTGGGAGACTCCTGCACCGCCCGTTTTGAGGTGATTTCAAGAATCACTCGGAGAGTTTCGGTTTTTATAGAGAAATAATGTCGCAATAACGGGTGAGAAAACTACTCTATCTGGATCTGTTGTATGATAGTAGAAAATGACAAGGATGCCGACGTTTCATATGGACCGAAAGAAAAGGTCAATGTCATGTGGCCTCAGTGAAAAAATGAATGCAGCATTGGTGTCAATGTTGTTGAAAATTTGGTCCCGCTCCTTATGAAGTTGCGGGAAAATCTCGCCGATAGTTCAAAACTAACTCCGTGTTCGTCCACTCCATGCCAAAGAAAGTGGGAATAACAAACCTGCTTCGTAGTTTCTTGTTTTGAGAAATTATCTGATTCGCTGCGTTTGCCTATCGTTCTTACCAGGGAGAGGGGATAGTCATTGCATGCTCGTCGATGCTAAAAAGATGTGCGAGCGCGCGTTGTTTTGAGCCACTTCCTTCTTTCTGCTTGCGTCACCGCTGATGAATGTAGGAAATGTACGCCAAGTTTGGGAATTTCGCGAGCAGCATCGCGCAGACGGGACAACGGTTTTCGTGGCAGAGATGTAGGTACATGGCGCAGCAGTGGCGGGATCGCTGGTCGTGGTACCGCTTCTGGCAAATCAGGTACGGATCTTCCTCGAACGCATAAGCTGCACTGTAGACATTTTTGCACTTTGAGTGCGCTCTGGTGAAGATGCAAATACCTCTGTGAGTCGTGTTAATATGTAGTGAGGTCACCGAACGGTTCTAACCAGGGAGTTTTTTTGACAGCCAGACAGCAAAACGGCCGTCAGTTTTCAAGCGGCCGGAAGCGTTTTTTGACATAAAAAATTTCCAATTATCAAGCGGGCGGGGCTTTGAAGTCAAACAAGCCCGGTCGAAAACTATCGATTCGCACTTGATAAAACGACGCAGGGGAGCCGGCAAAAGGGGCGCCCTTCTGAGGCGCCCACCGCCTTGATTTCTGGCGGTTTGGGCCGCCAAAAAAGGGGCACGCAAAAAACTCGCCCAAAATCAGAACAGCGAAACAGCATGGCACGGCCGCGATTTCGGAGCATTTTGGGCGGCCGCGAAAGCGGCCGCCTTTTCGCCGGTTTCAGAGCCTGGGAAGCTTTGCAAAAAGCGCCGGCGAGGAAAATAAAGACGCAAAAAAGAAAAAGCGCGCCAGACGCGCAGAGCCAATCCGCATGCTACGGGCCCGATTTTTCCTCGCTTTTTGGACGCCCCCCGTGGCGCCCGGATCGGCCCCATAGCATGGGGGCTGGCTTTCGGAAAGGAATTTCGGAAATTTGCCAAAATTTGCGACGCTTACCAAGCGGCCGCCATACCGTGCGGCCTAACGTTACTCACGGCGGTATGGCGAGCCCAGAAAAAGCAAAGCCGCGGCCAAGGCGACGGCCGGCAAGAAAACGCCCACGACCTCACTACCCCCGCCCCGGCGGCTATATTTGGTTTGCTATTGGATCTTTTTCCGTAGGCGATGAATGATTTTCTCTGAAGCGGAATGTTGCTTTGGGCGATTATATCACAGAGAAAATTTCTGGGAAGGATGTACTTACGTGATCATCGGGGGGTGCGTCCTCTGCAGCGCCTTCTCGTTGTTCGAGGTCCTGCGGCTACAGCGCAACAACATCCAGCGCATGTGGATTGCGTACGTGCGGAAGGAGCGCGAGCGGTCCGAGTTGATGGAAATCATCAAGCAGGCACGTGCTGCGGGCCTCATACCGCCCACCGAAAACGAAATGCAGTGACGGATATTTTTCGATCTCTGGTACGCAACAGGATATGATAAACTCTCATACTTGCAAAACCACTCTGCACTTTTGACATCACCAGAAGGGTCTGGACATTGATTCTTACAGCAGCATGCGGGGCTGTGACAGAAAAACAAATGCTGACTGGACGGCGCCCCGAGGTGCTGAAAAACAAAAAAGTAGACCTGACTCTCCGTCACGTTGGGTGGTTTTCAGTAGAGCATTGCGCTGAGTGGGTTTTGGTTTATTTTCTGTGTGCTCGGACCAAGAAAGAGAAGCACGCGGGGGACGAGAGTCGATTGTCGCCAGAGCAGCACTATCTGCGCAAATAAGTAGGCACATGCAAGAATGCACGAGAGTAGTTGACACCACAGTAAAAGAAAGTGCGGGGGCGCTCATGCTCATCTCGAACTACGCGCCTGCCACTGGAGCGATGAGTGCTCGTGTCCGGAAACAATGCACAGGTGCAGTAACACCAGATACCGAATGATTCTGAAGGAGCATCAGAGCGCAAGATCATTATGAGTGGGCACGGGAGTCAAATATGAATGTTGGGCGCCATGTTATCCTCGCCCGCACGTCCGAGGATCCGCTTGCGGGCGAGGCGGCGGAGGATGTGCGCTCCTGCCACATCGTCTTCAGTGGCTGTGGTCTGCTCGAAGAACCAGCACAGCCATTCCTTTACCCTGAAATTGGCGGCGTGGGCGTTGCTCGCCTGGTTCCCAGCTGGTGTGGGTGGGATTTTGGACAACCGCAAGGGGTATCGGCTGTTCCAGCTCGCGGAGGAGCTGTACCAGCGGTTCCACTTGGTCCGCCCCGCCGACGAGGACGACGGCCGGCTGCTGGTGCTGCGGAACGAGGTCCGCAACCAGAACGAGCTGTGCACCCACTACGCGACCTACCACGAGTTCATGAATCTGAAGCAGTACCAGGAGGGGTGGCGGTTTGTGTACGAAAGCGGCAACAATCTGAAGGCGGTGTGGAGTGAGCCGCGGAAGTGCTTTCTTGTGACCTGGGAGGGGGTGTGTCTGGAGAACCTCCAGGCCTGCGGGGGGGCGCCGGCGGGCAGTGTCGTGCCCGTTACCGACGTATTTCAGAACGGGGAAACCGACCCCGGCTACGAGGCCTACGGCAACTACCCGCACACGGGGTCGGTGAACGGCCAGGCCACCTACATGCCGCGGCACGCCTGGTACACGGAGGGCGAGGAGACGCTGCGGCTGCTGGAAGAGGTGTATTTTCTCGTGCAGGAACAGGTGTCGTGGCGCGTGTTTCTGCAGGACGGCACCCCGAGCACCGAAAAGCAGGAGGAGGCCGCTGTGCAGATCAAGTCAGGCGTGCAGCAGGTGATCGCGCTGCTGCTGCGCGTGCGTGACGAGCACTGGAAGCGGCGCCTGACGAAGCTGACCGCGTTCGTTGAACAGCAGTCCTTCCAGACGGCCGCGGTGAAAACGCACCTGACAAACTTCCTCGGCGTGCTCAACAGCTTGTTCGACGCGGGGCTCAACGACTGGTCCACCGCCTCCTCCTCCGCGACCACGCAGCAGGACCTCGAGACCAGCATGTGCACGCCGGTCGACTGGGCGGCGCGGTTGACCGAGTTGTACGCGAAGTTCGACGCGGACGTGGTCAATGGCGCTGGCGCGACCTTTGTGGGCCTCGACAACCTGTATACCGAATGTGCTAAGCACGCGGCACTGCAGGAGGCGCTGCTGACCGCGAGCAGTCTATTCTTGGCTGCGTCCGCGTACGTTAGTTTTCTGGAACTAGAGTGCAAATTTCTCAAGGAGGAGACCGGCACGGGCGCGGCGGTCTTCAACACCGATCTGATCACGCACGTGCAGAAGGTGCAGGGGATGGTGAACTATTACGCGACGACGCAGCTTGGCAGCGCTGCCGAGGACACCAATATTGGGCCCGCCGCGGCGCGGCTGCGGCGCTGCTACCACACCCGGCTCGCGCACCTGAGCGGGGTGCTTTCCAGCTGGGAAAACAAAGCCGGCTTGGGCACCGAAGACGCGTCGTGGTTCGAGAACGAGGCGGAAAGCCTGCTCACCTTGGACTACTGCCTGCACCTACACGGGGCGCTCGGTGGGGGAACGACGTCAATACTTCTCGATACGCGATCGGATGTTGGGCTCTTGGGCGCAAGTGCTGCCACTGAAGTGGTGCAGGTGCCCCGCGGCGGGGGCGCGGCGCGCGCCGCGCCCTCCTTCGCATTCGGAACGGGGGAGACGGCGGTGACGGTACTAGATCTGTTCGGCGACAACAACAAGGCACTGCAGATCGGGCCGTTGCCCGGTGCCACGGACTTGCTGCGGTCCAAGAAGGCCAGCCTGGCGGATAACTTCGTGGAGATCTCGTTGTATGAAAATTGTCCGCCGCTGCAGGACATTATCAACAAGCAGACCATCTCCGGGCTCCCGATCGGTCCCAGCAGTCGCGGCAAATGGCACGCGGACAACTGGGAATGGCTCAAGGAGGACGCGTTTGACTGGTGCGACCTCGGGTATTTCGAGGGGTGGCAGCGGGACTGGGCGAAGCAAATCAACACCCTGTGCACGGGCGCAACGCAAAAGTGGTGCTCCGCCGTAGACCCGGCGCTCTGCGACTACGACCGCGAGTACTCGTCCTTGCTCGAGAGCCTCGATTTCGGCCTGTGGGACTGGATCAACGATCATTGGCACCGCATCGTGCGGGGTGTCGGTCACAACTTCACGGTGACACGGGGCAACATGCGGTTTGCGCACCACCAGAATCCGAACCCGGGCTGGCACTTCTACAGCCTTCCGGAGCACCCCGCCTCGTATTCCTGCAAGAACCACACGCCCGTCAGCTACGATCCGAGCGCACAGAATGGGTGTGGCATGCCGGACACGCACAAAGCCTCGTGTCGCAGCGAACCCGGGTACTTAAGTAAGAAGTTGCTTGCCCTGCTACAGTAGGGGGAACTAGGTAGCGTAAAGTTGATGAAATGATATTGTTCATCCAGATCTGCGTTTCTAAAACACCGAACATGATTGAAAGTGGTACGCGGCGTTTCTTCTATGTGTTTCCACCATAAAATCATACTCATACACAAGTTGCTACGTGAAACCGTTCACCAAGCCGGGATGGCCGTCACCTCCGGAGAACGAGGACCAGAGTACCGCCCACATGGTGCAGCACGCCTGGTATTGCCGCGACGCGCAGAACAATGCCGAGGCCGCCACGTGCGAAGCCGCGCCGCCAGGTAAATACGCGGATCCGAGCAGCGGTATTGTGTCCTGTCCGTCTTCCGCGGGGTCCTTTTTGAAGTACGATTTCTGGGGTGCCACCACGGAGGACGAAGCGTGCAAAAGTAAGCACGTCACGACCGCGCGGCACTACTGCGAGAATCCCTCGGACTGCGGCACGCCTAGGGTGTTGGAGGCGGGTTGGTATTCCGACGTGTGCATGAACGAGAAGTTTCGATGCACGTACTCGGCGAAACCGGGCCCGCTCTGGCGATTCTCCTCCAATTCGGAAAGCGGGACCAGTGACGGTTGTGCCGTCGGGTGGGTCTTCGTTGGCGGCGTGCACATCCCGCAGCAGCAGCTCACGCCCGCAACAGCTCGGCGCGCGAGGCTGCTTGCGGCAGAAGAAGCGAGTCAAGAAGGTGAAGTCGCGATGCAGGAGGGGAGTGCTGTCGCCCCGGCACGTGATGTCGGACAACTTCTTGGCGCTTCGGTGGCGAAGGAAATAGAGGAACAACGAAAGACGAAGACATCTGAAAAGAACCTCGCTGATGATGATTCCAAGCGGAGTTCGCGTGCACAAGAGGAAATTACCTCCCCGACAAGAAGAACCGACGAACAGAACCTCGCTGATGTCTCCTCGCAGCATCCGGAGAAGCGCCGGCGGAGGCTGGCTTCTTGGGTCGACCAGGGTCGGCAGCCCGCGTCTCTCTGTGGCGTCGGAGCTTTGTACCAGCCGAATCACCGGTGGCCACACCCCATTCCGGGTTACTACAATGTGAGCGACAAAACTAAGTACCTGTGGGACTCGCAAGGAACCGTGGTGAAGCCTTACTATGCGGGGCTGGTGGGTATCCACGACAGCGCCCTCGCTCCGCCGCCCTGCAACTACTACTTCACCAAGTACCGGACACTGTACGACACCTATACGAGTTACGGAGACTTCATCGCGGGTCGGCACTCCACGCGAGCGATGAACATGTATACTGCAGGCTCCCACCTGAGCAGTAGTTTGTACAGCGCGACGGGGTTTTTCTTCGACGGGCTCGATGACGACCAGGATGGTTCCGACGCGAACACCGCTGGGCGATTCGGCTGCTATCCCGACCCCGACAACCCGGGGGAAGAAATCTGCAAGTGCGGTTTCGGGCCAGACTGCTGGCAAAGTGAACGCATTGCGCCGTTGTACTTTCGCACGGAGCTGCTCACTCTCGCTCAGTGTGGCGGCGAGTGGCGTACCTACCACAGAAAGAACACGAACTCACTGTGGGACGGAAGCGCCGACTGTGCCACCGTAACGTACCGACAGGCAGATTGCCAGGAGTGCAAGTGTTACGAGTGTGACCCTGCTGCCGAGCCGTTCTACTACTTGAGCGACTATGTGAATGACCCGCAGGCTTTGATGCGCACCCACGCGAGTAACTACTTTGCGCTGCAGCCAGGGGAGTTTGCGACGCGCTCCCCAATCTGCAGCGCGGCAAACACGTGTCAGAGCCCGTGGAACGCCTTCCAGATGGACCCAACGATATCAGCGCCGATGACCCCGTCGCTGCATGCGAACAACTCAGAGTACGGCCGCTACCTGTTTCCGTGGCAGGACACTGCCATTTGTGAGGTTTATCCGTTCATCCCCCCCTTTTTTGCGAATCTGTGGGTCCAGTCGGAGTGGGACAAGTTCAATTGTAAGTGCAACACGGACCACTGGCTGGCGGGGACAAACATCGAGTTTGGGCGTCTGCGAACGCTGTGGCGGTACGACACCATGAAGGGCAAACACAAAGTGGTCGACAAAATGCACAAGAACTGTGGGAACGTGAAGCGCCACACGCCGCAGCCGGTCAAGCGCGACCTGAAGGCCGCGTCGGCGATGGCCGCAGACTACGCGAACCAGCACCGCGCGTCCTCGGCGACGCCGACTGTGCCGACCGCGGACGGGGCGTTCAGCGTCTCTGCGCTCCCGTTCAGTCTGGAGCTGTACTTCAAGCTGGTGCAGTCGGACGCCTTTCCGGCGTCCTCGGCGGACGAGGCAGCCACGTGCGCGACCCTGGCGACCGACACCGATCTCAAACTGTTGCCGCTTGCGGGGCAGTTTCCGCATTGGTTCGTGGGGCTCGCGAAGTTTGGCAGCAGCAAGTTTCGCGTGGCCTTCTACCATCGGGAGTTGTCCCTGAGCAACAACAAACGAACCTCGGTGTACTGCTCAAAAGCGTTCACGCTGGAGCCCGACCCCGGGGGAACCCTTCACACCTCGCACTGGCAGCTGCTCAGCCTGGTCGCAGAGCAAGGCTCCTCCGCGAACACCGTGCGGATTCGTTTTTACGTGAATAAGGTAAGTACGTGCACACTACACTAACCAGAATTGCAGCTGCTCGCTGTCGCGCTCCTGTGCGTCGTTCAGCCACGGCTGCCAAAACCAAGATCATAATGGAACATTTGTAACATGGTTTTGTGCAAAGTTGATGAGGTTGTGCTGTCGGTCCTAAGAATATGATGGTCAGCACCACAGCAAACAACTATAAACAGGCCTTCGTGTGCTGCCAGGAACCGTTTCCGAAACGCACATCGGCGAACTTTGCGGCGGCGGCGGACGCGGTGAATAGTCGCGAGGCGTCCACCGATTTTCATCGGGACCCGCAGACGGGCGCCTCGACCGCGGCACAGCACTCGTGGATGCAGCGCGTCGGCCAGTACAAGGATGTGTACCATGTGGGTCCGCTGAACTACGAGCTGCTGAATGGCGAGAGTCCGGGGGCGGGCACGACAAGTTTGTTCCAGAGCCAGGCGTTTGCGATCGACCCCAATTTTGCGTTACCGTACTGGCCTCTGGCGCAGATGAGCGCGCTGGGCACGAATTTTCGCCTGCTTCTCGACGAGGTTCGCATTTTCCCCAGCTTCGCACTGCCGCGGGCGAGTTTCGGGTTTGCGGAGCTGCTACAGGACCGCCAGTGCAACAGCGGCAGTCTCTTCGACCGTCTTGCGGGCGGCGGCGGCGGCATGACGAGCGTGGTGCAAAAGACCAACCTGCAGACTACGCTGTATGACGAGTCTTTCAGCTCCAGCGGCCTGTGCAACCCGGCTGCGAAGCTGTACCGGGATTCGAACGGCTTGGAGACGACCGGCGCCGGGGTCACGAAGTGCAAAACCGGGTACGAAACGCTGTCGCGGTACCCGAATACGTGCGTGCCCGAGTGCGGGTCGCTGCCCGGCGGGCTCGAGTACATCCGGGCCTCGGGCAGCAGCAAGTGCGACTGCCCGCCGGGCTTCTTCGAAGTGTGGCGCACGTCCAAGATGAAGCTCACCTTTAGCGGCACGCTGAACAACGTGACGGCCTACGCTACCAACGTGGATACCGTGGTCTTCACGTCCAATCCGCCGCAGGTGACCGGCGACCCGTTCTACACGATCGAGTTCAAAGATGCGCAGGGGCAACCGAAGGTGGAGGAGGTCCCGCTGCTGGTGCTGCGGGTCGACGGCACGGCGACGAAGCTGAACCGGTTGGAGATTATGACGACGCAGGGTGACTGGGAGCACGTGCCGGCCTACGAAAATTTTGAGTTTGCGGACCCGGTGCTGCCGGCGACCATGTCGCTTCGGTATCTCCACCACAGTCCCACAGCTGGCTACGGGGGCGGCACGGAGGTACTCTCGTGTGCCGCCTGCCCGCACAGCGGCCTGAATGCAGGCGAATCGCTCGGAAGTGTGTCCCCGCGCACGAATCTGACCAGCTGCAAGTGCAAAGCGACTGACGCACGGAACCTGCTGGGAAAGTGTGTGACGCGGCAGGACCATCTGGGACCGCCGACGCTCAATCCGGGCCCGCAAACGCCGCGACGCTACGTCGCACTGAACACGAACATCCAATTTACGATCCCCGCCGTGTGGGACAGCGTTGAGTCGCCGTGGTTACGGAAAATCCTGTTCACGACGGATTTGTCCGATCCCAGCTGTGCCACCAATGCCGGGACGGTGTGGGACGGCACCAACCACCCACAGGTACGGGAGCGGCTGCCAGTCGATTTTACGCTGAAGTACACGCTGTGCCATCCCTTGTTTAAGGACCGGGCCGACCAAGCGGTGTACGCGGGCCGTGGCCAGTTAGCCGATCCGTCCGTACGCTTTGACGCAGTCGGTAAGCAACCGGGCGACCTGGCGAACCACCGGTTTGACCTGAACGTCACGGTGGATCTTCTCAGCGTGGACGTGGTGCTGCCAGCGAGCGCGCTGGCCACGGGTTTGACCCAGACCGGGCACACGGACCACGGCAGGCTGGAGTACTGGTTCGCGACCGACCCCACCGCACGGTCGCTCTACACGGGCCCGTTCCTGCTCACCGGTGCTGAACAAACGCTAGTGGTGCAAAGCGTGGCGAAAGACTCGGCGCTGGAAGAGCAGTACGACCCGTCGCAAGCGCTTTCCTTCGCGGTCAAAATCAACCAGCAGCCGGACTTTCACCTCGGCTTCGCGTGGGCAAGCGGCACGAGGGACACGCTTCAGCGCGTGCACTTTGTGACGCCTTCGCCCGGTGCGACAGAGGACAGCGACTGGGTGTCCCCGGAGGCGCACAACAAATACTACTTCCGCTGCGGGCTGGCCCAGACGGAAGCAAAGTTCACCCTGGCGGTGCCGGGCGCGTTTTCGCTGCAGACTGATGCGGTTGAGTACTTCGTGGAGTCGGTCGCGACCGCGGGCTTGCTCCCGAATGCTGCAAATTACCGGTACACGAGCGCGCTCTCCTGGAAAACGTTAGCGCTTCCGAACGCCGTCGTGCAGACAGACGTGGTGACAACGCCTAAATTGGACATCAAAAGCAGTAATCTGGGTACGGAGATCGAGTTCCGTTTAGGACTGACCGCGTACGCGGAAGAGCGCACGGCCGGAGACAACTTCTCGCTGCGCATCTATTGGCGCCTGCACAAGCTCGGGTACGTGTGGGCTAGCAACGAGCACGCGCCGCTGCGGCTTGACGTGTTTCAGCAGCGCAGCGAGAAAAACGATCTGCAGGTGCTGCTGCACCCGCAGTATGACATTGACGCCACGGATTTGTGGAACGCGCAGTGGCCCACGACGCCAGCCCCTGCGGAAGCGAAGAGCTTGCTGCAAACGCAACCCTACCGCGTGGAGATTCAACCGCCCGCTGCGGCACCGGTGCTGAGTCCAACCGCCGTGCGGTTTTTTTTCGTGGCGGCCGCGCCGATTGGTGACAGCGGCACCGGCGTGGATGCTGCGTTCGTGCAGTCGGAACTCGCGTTCCTCTGGCGGGATGTTGGCTTTTTCCTCAAGCTGCAACCGGGCACGGTGGTCTCTTCGGGCAGTGCGTCCTCATTGTTTCAGCGGGACTTTGACCTGGTTTCGGGCAACAACTACGACGCGGCCTCGCGGGCGGGCATTTTCGCCGCTTGCGGGTACCAGTTGCGCAGCAGCCAAGACGTGAACGAGCTGAAGCTGGCCAAGAAATTTTGCGAATACGAAGCGGGTGACCAACTGGCGCTGCGGGCGGACGACGTTCTGTTCGTGTTCCACTACGATCCCGGGGAGCAATTGCTCGTATCGCATCCGCGGGTGGTGGGTATCGCACGCCAGACCGTGTTCGCCCAAGCCTCGCCGATCACTGCCAACACCTGGACACAGTACAGCGCCACCCTTTTGACGGTGCCGCGCCCGCCGGGCGCGCCCACGGCGACGCAGCACGTGTTTGACGACCCGGCAAACCTGCGGAATTTTCAGTTTGGATTAGCGGAGCCTGCGGTGTCCGGAACGAGCTTTCACCGGAAGTTCTGCGCCGTTGCAGTGTACTCCTCGTCTTACGGCAGTGTCGAGGTTGGTGCGGGTCGGCTGCCCGGTAGCGCAGCCGGCAGTTCAGCAGCGAACGAGACAAAAGTTCGCTTTTGCGATGAGCCGCAGTCGGCCACCGCCCCGGACGCCCCCACCGTGCACGCGGACGGCCGCTTCTTTCGGCTTACAAGTGCGTCGCTTGCGAGCGCGGAAACGGTGTCTGACTTTTTGGAGCGGAGCAACGCGACGCTGTTCTACGAGAGCACGGGCTGGCAGGACTACAGCGACGTCGTCGTCGACGCTAACCTGCAGACGCTGAAGTTTTACGGCCAGTTGAACTTCAACCTGACAGTGTTCACCAGCACAAAAGCAGCGACACCCTGGGCTGCCGACGAGTACACCCTCAGCCGCAGGGGGCGCCGCCTCACGATGCACAAAGTGGCCGACGATGCGAGTCGTGACCCGCGAAAAGCGCGGAACCAGTTGGCTCATCCTGACTACAACCATCGTCACGGGACCGACCGAATCCTGTCGCAAATTGCAGATGTAGTGTTTGGCCGAAGCAGCGTAGGGGACGAACAGCCGACGGTGCACGGCGGTTCTTCTGAGTCAGAGGGGGCTATTGCAATGGAAAGGGACATCAACGCAGCAACCGAAGGCGCATTTGAATCTTCGGAATTGGACGACACTGACGACGAGAAAAGCGAAGAAAATGCGTCCGTTCGAGCATTGACTGCGTCCTCCGGGTCATCTCACACGCAGCAATTGTTCTCCACCCCGTACGAGGAGTCGGTAGTTTTCCTGGCACAGAAAGCGCCAAAAGTGGCCGTCTCGGTGTACGGCCAACCGACAAACCTTTTGTTCGGGATTCCCGAGTACGACGCGCTGGTTGGTCCGGGACCACTGACCGCGCAGGGCGTGCCGCGACCCAAACCGACATTGTACTGGAGTCTGCAGGGCGCAGTCACCGGCGCCGCGTCTCAGCGCTGGTACCGTGTCAGCCAGAGCGACGTGCCCAGCAGCTCAATTTTGGATCTGCTGGTGCCCACGACGTACTTCGAAAACTCAATTTCCGGGCGGCTTCCCGCGCTTGAGTACGATCCCGCGGCACTGTGCAAGCTGTTGAAGGTCGAGGAGCGCATTGCCAACCTGACGAAGGCCGGAGCCGTGTTTGCCGGCGCAGCGCAAACCACCGAGGCCTGCTTTTGGGTGCAGATGCCGGGGCTGTTCAAGTCCGACGCGGTGTGTGTGGACGTTGGTACGACCTCCCCACAGCTGCACTTGTCCCTCAACATGCGAACGCACGATCGCACCCTCGACGCGCTCCTCTTCTCCACGCGATTCTACCGGTACTACCCTGGCTTCGTTTCAGCGCGCGCGGACCAGACTGCCCCGGGCCTCCCTGGCCGCGCGCAGGCTGCGGGCGGGAACCCCGGCGACCTCACTGACTCTGCGTTTTTCTTCTACGACGTCGCTCGTCTCGCCATCCAGGGCAACTTTTCGATGGTTCAGAATGTGCCGTTGAGTTGCTTTCTGGTCACGGATTTCGAAGAGGCCCAAGAAGAAACATTATCTGCAACGGAAGGTGCAGCCAGTCGTGTTTCCGAACGCCAGGCCCTGACTACGGTCAAGGTGCACTTGCGCGAGACCCAGCAAGCTCCGGCGTTGGCGCAAGCAGCACCCAACTACGCGGAAAGCCGGCAGTCGAGTCCAATCGACTTAACCACCAGCGACACGCTTGTCCTGGAGGATTCTCTTTCAGCCGCAACTGCGACACCCGCGGAAGCATCTACTGCAGCTTCGCTCGTTTTGCAGAGCTCCGCGACGTCGCTCACATCCGTCGAGCAGCAAGCGGTACTTGCGTCCGGGGTCGGAGAAGCTGGCTCCGAAGTTGTTTCCACGACCACCGCGAGAAGCCTGCAGTCCGTGAGCTTCGTGACCAAGTTCGCACAAGTTTTAGCGCCCTTCGGCACGTGTGCGGCCCAGGCGGCGCAGCTGGTGCAAAAGCACCGGCGATTCTCAGTGTACATGTCCGCGCCGGGCTACGTGCCAGACACCTTCCGCTACTTGCAGTTCACCCTCATGGGGTACACCAAACCCGTCCTGCCGTCCCTCAACGGCGCCGCGACTTCGGTGGCGCACGAACCCGGGGCGTTGTCCACCACCCACGTGTCGGCGCCGAACGATCGCCGAGAGTTGTTTTTCCCTGCAGACAACGACAAAGTGTATTTTTACGTCGCGAGCGTCGAAAAGGTCACAGACAGCACCAGCCTGGCGTTCGCGAACTTGCACAATGCTTCTTCTACCGTCGCAACGACGCCTACCTCGGGGACCCCACCGCCAACGCTGCAGGAACAGATGGCAGCTAGCTGCCGCGCTCACCTAGTGAACAATCTGGTGGAGATCCAGGAGCGCAGTGCGCTGTCCGGGTGCGCTAATTTTCGGAGTGCCATCTTTCAGGGCATCTCGGACCCGTCGCCCGCGTTGCGGGGGCGATTCGAAGAGGTGTCCGGGTCCGTCGAGGCGCTCGCAGAGGGAACTACGCACGAGCTACCTCCCGCAGTTTCAGCGGGGGACGGCTCTACTGCGAGTGCTAACACGGGAGACGGAGACTCCGTTGCAGTCCTCCCGACGGGACTCGTGTTCAATCAGACGTCATGTTTCGGTTCGGAAAAGGTGTGTCGGGTCGCCCGTCACACCAAGTTTCGCTTCGCCGAAGGGTACCGGTACGAGCTGTGTTTTTTGACCTGGGCCGAGCCACGCATGCCGTCTTTCATGTCCGCAGCCGCGGTGACCGTGTCCAAGCCTCCCGTTCGAAAGGTACTGAAAATCCAGTTGTCGTTCGAGTACCAATCAACTGCCGCGTATGAAAGTTGTAGACAGATTTTTTGCGCAGCGGTGATGCAGAGTACTGCGATCTTTCGGTTTTTGACAAGACTGGTGACACTGCGCGTCACTGCAGAACAAGCTGTCAGCACTATATTGGAAGCAGAAGTACTTTAGACTTGCACAATCGATAATTTCTGACCTCTCAACAGTTGTAGAACCAAAATAACACTTTTTGCCGCTCCTGCGCGAAAAATACGTCTCTCTGTTCCATACTTCCGCGGTTAACGTGACCGACGTGAACGCTAATATCAATGGGGTCCTGCACAGTCCGTCCACCTACGGCAGCCTCCGTACCCGCGTGGAAAACCGCATTGTTAACTTGTACGGCGTGCCAAAGAGCTACATTGCCAAGCTGGCGTTTTCGACCGGATCCCTCGTGATCGAGTTGCACGTGCGGATGCTCGCGGCCGACTACGAGCGCGTGGAGGCGGAGCACCAGGGCGCCGGGGGTGCAAACTGGCTCCAGCAGCTGCTGTTCGAAGAGATGAAGACGCAGGTGGTGCTGCCCGCGATCCAGACCGACTACATCGACCAGAACGGACTGTCCCTGAGCTTGAACGATGTGACCGCAAGCCTGGTGGTCTTGGACGTGGACGATCCATCGATCGCGGACGTGCCACGGGTGGCGCTCACGGAAACGACGACCACGGAAGCGCCGGGAGCCGACGGCTCGGGCGCCGCTGCGTCGGAGGACACCGGGCTTAGTGGCGGGGCCATCGCGGGTATTGTGATTTCCTGCGTGCTGCTGGTGCTGATCCTCGCCGTGGTGATTGTTTTGTGGTACCGAAACAAATACTTACGCGACCAGCCAGGCGAGGACTTCCTGCACATGCCGCGCATGTCTCGCAAGTACTCGGAGGATGACGTGGAAATCGTGCAGGAGGAGGAGCCACGGTACCTGCTGCGCAAGTGGTTCCACATTTTGATGGAAGTGGACCAGCCGCTGACGAAAACTTGTGTGTTCTGCTGCCAGAGTCCCGAAGACCTTGCCTGTACGGAGCTGCTGTGCTTCCGTGACTCGGGGGAGGTACCCGCGCCCGAAACCACTTTCCCCGGGCGGCTGCTGCAGCTGGGCACCGCGCACTACGGACGCGTGCAGCCGCCCGCGGCGGGCAGCACCCTGTATCTGGTCGACAACGCGTTCGGACGTCCGCTTCCGCGGAATATCTACAATTCTGGCGCCAACGCCGATTTTGAGACACGCGACGAAATGGACAGTGCTGGAGGGATAGGCGCTGTTTCTGATGGCACAGCAGCTCGTTCGGAGCATGCCGATGAAAACAATCTGTTCCACTTGACCGGCGAGCAGGAGGCCGGATCAACACATCTCGGGGAACAGCAGATAGTGCAACCAGGGGGGGACCTCGGACCATCCGAGGAGGCACACCTCCCAACGTTGCTGGACGAGCGATACGAAAACGCAGACGGGTCGTTCCCTCGCGAGCCGCAGCAGGGCCCCCTGGCTGTGGAGAAAAAACGGTCGGGCACGGTTCCGCGAATGCAGTTGGCCGTGTTTGTGTCGCGATCGAATCCGGACGTCCGCATCACATGCTGCAACTACTGCATCAAGTTGGTCAACACGGTGTTCCGGGGTCCGAACCCGGACGACCCCGACGAGTGGCGCAAGTTGAGCGATGTGGACATCCCGCCGGACGAGATCCAGCGGCTGGCGGACGAAATCCTGGTTAGCCAGCAGCCTGCGCTAGCGGACGGGCCGCTGCTGGAGCCGGCGCCCTCTGCGGACGGCGGGGGCTGGTGGCCGTCGTGGTTGTTCGACGGCGGTGGGTGGAAGCAGCCGAGCCCTCCGGTGGTTGGAGGACAGGTGGACACCTTCAATCTCACCGGCGCCGCGCGGCTTGCCCCGGTGGCCGCTATACAGGACGCACAAGGTGGTCCTGCTTCCGACGGACAGCGAACATTTGCCGTGGGAGACGCAACGAGCAATGTCGCCGCAGGCACAACGGAAGCAGTTGCTGCTTCTTCGTTCTATCAGAAGGAGCCGTCGCCGTTGCGCAGCGAGCAGGGCAGCAAAATGCCCTCGCCGATCGTGGTAGACATGCAGTCCCCGGTAGAGGGAGGCGTCACAGGTGGACCAGAACAGGGTGTCGTCGCATCCTCGGGAACTTCGGGGGAAGCAGATGCAAACCCAGAGATGGTTCTCGACGATGGTGGTGGAGGCCACAGTGGGGGAGCCGGGGTGGGTGCCGACGCGGCGCCGGGGGAGCACGGGCGTAAGACCCAAGCGGAATCGGAGAAGAAGAAACGCAGACTGCGGAAGAAGCAACGAAAGACGGGAATTGGGCAAAACATCTTTGCGGACCACGACCAGCCGCCCGGAGGGGCGAGCAGTCCCGACAACCAAAGCACCAGCCCCACCGGTGGTCGGCGGAGTCGACGACGGAAATCGCGGGCGGCAGGTGCGGGCACGGAAGAAAATACCGAGAGACCACGCAGACTAAGTGTGCGTAATAAGAACATCGAGCCACGCACGGAGCGCCGTTCCGCATCGGGGCTGCGCGTATCCACGACTCGGACTGGCGACAACGCTTCAGGGTCCTGAAAGCAGTGGCACGAAAAAATAGATGTGATGAATAACAAAAGGCATCAATAGGTGAAGTTTGAGAATGTTTGCGCATTCAGGTCAATTTTTTGCTTTTACAAAATCATCGACTTTGCACGACAAGCTGACACTGTTCGATTCATAACGCCAAGTAAGTGTGGGTATTTCATACTGAAATATCAGCGCTGCTCGCAGCTTAGACGTCTACGCATTCGCAGAAAGAAAGTGCTCGCAGTGTCTGGGCGTGCGTGATAGTAATGTGGTTTCGTACAAATCATGGAGGTTGTAGGCATTCCAGTGAGATAGAGTTTGAGTAGCCAAAGGATGCGTTGCAGCAATGTGAGAAAAGTAGAGGAGTAAAGAAGCTTGCTTTTGTTGCTTCGGGTTTTTTGGAAAAGCACTTGATACAAGTTAGCCACTGTGGAAAACAGGGACATGATGAACAGTGTATTTGGCCTAAATAGTTGATATTATTTAGCGTTCTGCTTATTGCAAAAGAATACAATAAGAAAGTACGTCATCAAAATAGTGCAAGAATATAGTTGCAGAGGAGCCGTCCTTTTTGCGGACAGGAAACTACAAGCAGAAAGAAATTACTTTATTTGAAGTTGTCTTACCGTGCGGCAAGCAGGTAGTGTCCAAATTTCCCGCAGGAGGGACGACGAAAGCACCGACAGAACACTTGCAGCGCAGACTCAGACGGCCAAAGATCTTCTTTACCCGATCCTGATTTCATCTTGATCTCGTGTTTTTACTTATTCGCGTCGGTTTTAGAAGGAGTGTGTGTGTATCAAGGTCTTGCAGGCAGTGGACCCCATGATATGTTGACTTTTCGCGAACGAGATCGCTAGTTTCGGAAGTCCGCTCGGCGTCATATTGATGTGGATCCCATGGTGTGCTCATTATGTCGATGTGGCGACGAATTTGTGTAGCTAGCATGAGCAATTTGTTCTGTGCTCGGTAGTAACTCGACTTCAGGAAGGATTGGTTCGTACTAAGTAGCTGTACGCGCAACATTGAATTTGCTTCGAGGTTTACTGAAGATCTATCAACATATGCGGGTGTAAGTATCTTGTCCTTTACAGCATTGTTCTGTTCTGACTAGAGTAAACAGCGGAAAAAGGTTTTGTTTGTTTTGATTCTTGTTTGATGCATAAAGACGAATTTTTCACGACCCGAGACGGAAAAGAAACTGCGTTGCAGCATGGGCGGACAGGTTAAGAAGGACAACTACAAGTCCTGGGGTCCCCCTGGAGGAGGGTACTGGGTATGGAAAGGCAAGAAGGGGAGCGGCAAGGGCGGTGGCAAGAAGGGAAACAAGGCTGGGAAGGGGTGGGAAATGCAGATGTCCAAAAAGATCACGAAGTGGTTGCGTTACAACATGCGGGACGAGTTCCCTGAAAACGAAAGTAATTGGGTACACCACACCGCCGTCCCCGGGTTTGGAGAGGAGTTTACGGAGCCGCAGCTGCGTGCTATCATCAAAGCTGACCCGGACCACTTACACGCCTGGGACCAGTATGATAAGGAGGATAAGGAGAGAATGGACATGGGAGAGGAGCTACGGAAGTTGAAAAGTGCGGGCACATTCCTTCATGGTTGCTTTGTTTTTGCCAGATGCTCTTACTCAGTCTGACTTGACGTTCGACCGTTATTTTGTGAATTACCAATCTTCCTCGTAGAAGATGCAACGAGTTTTTACGGACCGGTCAGAAAAATGTGCCTCGTATCTACCAATGAATGCAATTACGTTCGTTGATGATGAGAATGCTCTGCTCTTGCGGGGAGATCTACTAGAATTCATTGCTTGGTGTAAAAATAAGAATGTCGCGTACTTTTCGGTTGCATAAGGGGGACCGCCAACCGGATTGTACGTGCGATCAGTGAAGAAGAACAAGATCGAAACCAAGGGCAACGACCTGGACGCGTACTGGAAAACCGTTGACATTGCCTACGCAGTCAAGAACCGGAAGGAAAAGGAGAGGGAGGCTCTGGAGGAGAAGGTATCTTGATATGATTCCACTTTTTGTTTGGTCGCCTACCTAAGAGTACCTACTAGGTAGCGGAAGTTACCGCTCACTTGTTGTGCTCTTCTTCCTCTATCTATGATGAGCGTCTGTGTCGCTCGCAGAGAAAGTTCCTATGGCTGCATTAGAAATTGCCATACATTCAACACGTACAGGAGAAGGAGAACGCTGCGGAGGAGTGAAATCGTGCCCATCTTTTGGAAGCTTCGACCTGTGACAATACATTAGTGCACCCCCGCACCGTCTCGACGCAAATTTGGTTCACTATCGGCAAGTTGTGCGTCTGTGACTCTAGCTAAAACTATTGTAATAGGCAAAACTACAATTGGGCATTTCATAAGGTGACCGGTTCAATGCTGGATCCGCTTGCACGTCGCAGTGTTCATATGTAAGTGCAGGCTTCAGATCCGAATCAGTCTTCACAGCACATTGCGCCTCTGATGGCGTTCTTCAAAACTTGAATCGGTGGACTATTGCTAGTCTTTGTAGTTTTCTGCCGAGCTGCCGATCTCGATCGGTCGTTCCCCAAGAACCAATATTGCTGCCGCCAAGCCGTGCGATCGATACTCGATGAAATCGGTTCCCTCGTGCTGTGAACATGCGACCATGTTTATCTTTTCGGTTGTTTCGTTCACCGAACAGAATATCTCGGTTTGAATCCCGGAATTTCTTGTCGGTATATTCAAGTAGAACATTTTTCGTTCGTTCAGGTGGAAGGTTTGTCGTGCAACTCCCTCGTTTTTCTCACCGACCATCTGCAACCGTTCGCAATTACGATTACCTATTTACGTAGACGTGCCCACCATTGTCGTGCGAAAAACAAAAAGAGATGCGCTCTCGTTCTACAACTTATTTCACTATTTTTACGACCATAGTACGAACAAAACCAAAACAGTACTGTCTCAGTGCCAGAACATCTACTCTACCCTGCCCTGACATACGCGTACATTATGGTTGTAATTAGTCCGACTTGTGCCCGCGAAGAAAAAGCGAAGGATGGCGAGGCTGAAAATAAAAGTCATCCAGCACAGCAGCGAAAAACTGTTGACTAATCACTCGCCTGAGATTCAGCTTTAGAAAGTACACAGGGTCTTCGTGCAGAGGCACTGCGGGCCTAATGCCAGTGCTGCGATTCAGCAACGCTCCTGCTGCGACTGCTAATTCGCGGCGGTAAAAATCATCGGCAGCTCCAGTGAAGCCGCTTGGTAGCGACAAGCAAGTACCGAAGCGGGATCCTCGACTCCGCAACCACGCCGCCATGGCTTCGGCGCCGGAGACCAGCACCTCAAGTGGGGGGGGGCAACGGCAGCAGCAGGGGACTATGAAATTAGAAACACGGAAACAGCGTCGGCAGCGCGCGCTCGCGGTCGCGTACAATATCCCCCGGGTGACGAAGACGATTCCCGATTACTCGCAGCAGCCGGAGGGGCGACGACACCACACGCTGGTGGGGGGCGTCGGGTATACCACGCTGGCGCGCGGCGAGCGAACCAAAAGCGTGCGGCTTGCGAACCAGCAGATGCAACTGGAAGCGGATCGGCCCGCGCTGGAGGAAGAGACCCGGAGCGACGCAGTGCTCGCGCGGCTCTGCCGAGCTTGCGGGGAATTCATTCCCGAGTCCGAGCCGTTGATGCGGGGCCACGAAACAGATGTCTTCCACGCGCGCTGCTTCCAGTGCGCCTGCTGCAGTGTGCCATTCTCCGACGCGCAACCCTTCTTCACTAGCCCGACCAAGTTTAGGCCCTGGCGCCCGCGCTACGTCCGGTTTGAGGACCTCGAGAAACCGCACCCGTACATGTGCGCGGACTGCGAAGACCGAGAGGACGATTTTCACGCGAAATTTCGCAGCGACTTCTTGCCCAGCGAGGCCGAACGTCTGGCGCAGGAGTTCGGCGGCGCCAAACCGCGGGTGTGCGACCTGACGAAGAAACTGCCTGCGCTCGAGGGGCCGCTGGCGGACGCGACGTTCCGGCGGCAAGAGCTGCTGCTGGTGAACAAAACCTTCGACATCCAGGTGGACCCGGCTGCGGTCATCTGCAAGGTGTGCGACCAGACGCTGCAGCAGGTGCGGGCGACGTCGTCCGCCGACAAGTGGCTGGCGCAGACCGATTCCATCCTGCGCGACGCCAAACACGCGGAGCGGATTCTGCGCCACGAGTTTATCTGTCTGAACTGCGACCGAAAGATGGACGAGGACGCTCGCCGCCGCGAGGAGGAGGCTGCGGCGGACCGCGCCGCGAAGTTCCAGAAGGAGGAGGCCGAGCGCCGGCTGCTGCAGTCCAAGTTGCAGGCGTCGACCGCGCCTCCGGAACCGGAGCCGGAGGTGCTGGCCGCGCGCCGGGAGGAGCTGCAGCGCCTCACGGCTGAGATGCAGGGCCGGGATGCGGAGCGCGAGAAGCAGTGGCTCGCGGCCCACGTGCCCACCGAGGACCAACTTTTGATCGCCCTGGAGCGGGCACCGCACGTGCTGCAGGGCTACGTGCTCGCGAAGCAGGAAACCCACGAACACTTTCAGCGGTTACAGACCTCTTTGCTCGAGAATGCGAACACCCAGATCGGGGCCAAGTACACCGAGAATCTGGCAAAAGACCACTCCGTGCTGTATTGCGAAGTGGAAACGGAGCAGCTGCGGTTCTCTCTGGCCGAGCAGGTGGGTCTGCTGCAGCAGCAGTCGCGGGACGCGAAAGACGCCCTGATCGCGGACTACCAAGCAAAAGCGCCGCCGCCCGGGCCGCCGGCCCACCCGGCGGAGGACGCGCGGCTCCTAGACACGCGCATGGACGCGCAGCACCTCATTCTGGAGGGCGACTACGTGGAGTTGCTGGTAGCCAAGAAGTCGTACAAGTACGGCACGATCTTCCCTGTCGGGAGCAAGGCCGTCGTGCGGCGCGTGTTGTACAACGTGCCCATCCGCGGGCAGGCGGAGGACGAGAACGCGCTGGCCGCGTCCTCACAACGGGACGAGGAGACGCGGCTCGCCTCGATGCGGCAGCACCGCGCGCAGCGGCGCGAGGAGCTGATGATGCTGAGTCAGAAGGGCTTGGCCGAGCAGCTCGAAGAGGCCAAAGCGGAGAAGGTGCAGCGGCGGCAGGGGCCGCGGGTCAAAATTCCGTTTCGGGGGGAGATGACAAGCAAGGACTACGCGGGCACAGTGTCCGGAGAGGCGGAGGTGTCTCTGCAGGAAATTTTTGAGACGGACGTGAAAGAAGTGTACTACGAGGGCAGTAGGCCTCCTTCGACGCGCGCGTCGCGTCGGGCCGGGCTCAAGAACGTGCAGCGGGCCTACTTGCTCTCGTTCTTGCCCCCCGGGTTGGATCCCCGAAACCCGGACTCCTTCAACCCCTTTCGGCCCGGTTTCCCGGAGCAATACAAGGGACACGGGATCTTTCGGGACCTGGAGTGGTACTGTGGCGACGGTTTGTATCTGGACGGGGGCAAGATGAACAAGCAATTTCTCACCAAGAACATGTGGGTCCGCAAGGTCGACATCCAGAAGTACGCGGGGGCGTGGGACCCGGTCACCGGAGGCAGCGGCGTGCAGCCGCTGTTCCGCCCCCTGGGTGCGCCCGGGGGTGGCCGCAGCAGCGCCGGGCCGCTTGTTCCGGGAGGAGGCGGATTGACGCTGGAGAACGTGCTCGCGCAGCTCGCCGCGGCCGGAGACGGGACGTCAGATCCGGTGGTGAACAACATGCGGGCTTCGGAGCTGATGCGTTACATCGTGCAGCCGTGGCAGGCCGGGCCGGACGCGGCGTCGAAGCCCCCCAAACGGAGCTACGGGGTACAGTACGACCTGGAGGAGCCCGGACGAGTCTCGACGCGCAGCGCTGGTGTCGGTCCTCGGGAGCGGTCGGTAATTGATACGCTGCAGGAGCTAGGCGTGCAAGCGAGCCCCGCCGCCCTGGAGGTTTTGGCGGAGCAGGTGAGTCAGGTGCTGGATGAAATGACCGAGGACGGGGGAGGAGCCACAAGTAAAAATGCAGTCGCGCCGAACGCCGGTGCCGGTGCCGCGCCACTGCCCGCCCGGCAAAGCGGAGCAGCGCCGGTGACGCGAGAGAGTTCGTCGTCCGCCGCTGCGGCCGTCGTGGACGAGATAATGGCCCTACCCGCTGCGGAGGTTCCGGACGTGCTTGCCGCCGTGGAGGAGATCGTGCAACAACAGCCAGAAGCGGCCGCTCAGGTTCTTGCAGCAGTGGAGCAGCGACTGTCGCAACCAGGAGACCTGGCAGGAGGCCTGCCACCAGCGGAGATACCGCCACCCCCGGTGGCGAGGCGGAGCAGTGGGCGGGCAGCTGCACCTGGTTCGAATCAGGGGTGGCCCGGCTCAAATGTGGTGCCGCAAGGTCCACCATCCGGCATGGGGGTGGTCCGTGCGCCCTCCGCTGCGCCCGGGTCGCAACAATCTCCGATCATGTCTCCATCCAATCCCTCGGTCTTGCGGAATTCCAGCAGGGGCCTAAAACAGCTCGCAACGCCTACGGAGGCCGAAAAGGTGTCTTTACGTCCGACCACACGCAATGTAACGGAGCTAAATCACGACGGCATACCAGGAGAACGAGCTATGTCACTGCGCACTGGCGCGGGGCAAAACGAATACTCGCCAAAACCGTCCGTCCTGGAGGGGATGCCAAACCTCAGGTAATCATACGATATTTCTTCATTGATGAAATTCATGTAAGTAGTATTTTCCCACGTTGGGTTCGATTTTTCACAGACGAGACCTTTTATTCGGAGCTCATTTTTCACATTACGATTACGAACTGAGCCGGACGAAATTTCTTGTGCTTGATCCATGTTTCAGGAATTTTTGGATCTTTTTTGCTTACTGTCTGCGATGTTCCTTGTGAAGCCTGGGTTCACTTTGTCTTTTTTGATCACCTGACCCTGAGCAAACTTCAACGCAAATGACGATCACTGACAGGCCGACGGACAGGATACACAGGAGTATTGACGACGAGGCACAGTATCCGCGAGCCCATTCTCTGCGCCCCGTCGAGGTCTCACCTAATGCGTCGGCGATCGCTTCGGAGCAGGACGGGCGGCGAAATTTGTCTTTGCGCAGCGTGTTCCCGAAGCTAACCGGAATGATGCAACAGCGCCCGTCCGCGACCGAGAGTCCCTTTCACAACGCTCCAGCGCTGAAGGAGCGCTTTCTTTCTCTGAAACAGTCCCTTCTGGGAAAAGACCCCACAGCTGATGCCGATAGAAATGGAGGCCCCGGGGGGCGGCGGAAGTGGCGCATCATTGCTCTAATGGGTGCTGCCATGCGGGGCCTCGGGCGCGTCGCCGTCGGCATCGACGAGATTGCGCCTGAGCAAGCAACTCATAAGCAAGAAGCGAACGCCCAGGACGATCTCCCGTCTGGACCGCCGCAAATGCGAAACCAGACGTTATCAGGTGACGCCGCGTTTGTGCCAGAATCTCTACGAGAGAGCATGCCGCCCGGTACAAATCAATTGGTTTCTGGAAAGTAAATGAGTTTATCTTTTTTCCGCTTATCTTGCTTATCTAGATTCATGCTACTGTGAGGCTGGGAAGACGACATTCATTTCGCATGCTCAGTATCCATGAGGATGCAAAATAAAATTCGGATTTCATACGAAAACGACAGACGCGAAGATCACGGTGCGAGAGAGGATTCGCACGAACCGAGGCGTGGTCGGGGGAAGCGTTAGACAGTTAGCTACGCAGTTCGAGGAGCGCGACTTGAATCCGTACCCTGAGCTATCGCTGTGAAAAAAGTGTACCCGGAGTGCCATGTTTGCATTGTCGCATTTGAAGGATATTAGCAGTTACAGCTGATCTCTGTTTTCTCCGAGGAGGACCTTCTCCTTCGGTCTGCTTTTCGAGATTATAGCACCCCGGGCACAGTTTTCATAGCGATATCAGCCTCGCGCACCCCGGTCTACGCGTGCCTCTGTAGCCTCGGTCGGGAATACCGCTGACGGGCTTGCCATGTTGGCCGGTGCCCTGCAAAATGACGCTTTGGCGCGCAGCTCGACCGGCTCCTCGCTCGCAAGCCAAACGCTGGTTGCGGACGCGGCGGCTCGGGCGAGCCAGGCCCTGGCCCGCGATGCCGATCGGCCTTCCCGTGGTGGCAGCCCGATTCTGCACAAGCAGCTGACGCACGGTGCGCCATCGCTTGCCGATATCAGTGCCGCTCTTGACGAAGTCCAGAAGAGGAGCTCTTTGACGTCCGCCGAACGGTATGAAAGCGGTTTGGTGGTTTGGTTCGAAAACTCAGCCAAAAACGGATCTTTTGTTTTGGCATTGGGTATGTACATCAATCATGCAAGTACAACTTGAGGACGAATTAATTTCATGGGACATCAGTGGCGTAAGTACAGCTGCACCGCATCAGCTCACATATTATATTTGCAATCAACAACCCAAAGTCGAGCTCCCTGCGACGTTGGTTGTCGTTTCTAGGTACACTTTCGCATTTCCGTACCTTTAAGTGTAATATCATCATGAAAGAAATAAAGGATGCCATCGAGCTAAATAAGGACTATGGGTGGGCACACAACAGAGTGAATCGGGAAAAAAAAAAGAGCAAAAGATCCCGGTTATACACTTGACGTTTTTGCAACCGTGAGATTTTCGTTGCATAGAAGGATGACGAACTCGAACGGGACCTCCAACGCCAGTGGGTCAGGAGTGTTTTCCAAGGCGACGACGGGGTTGCTAAGCAGCCTCAAGGCCAACGCGGCAAAGGTCTCCGGACAGTTCGCAAAGCTGACGACCCGCGATCGTCTCACGGACCAACGCGATCGGCTCACGGACCAGCAGAGTTTGATTAAGATGTCGCGGCAGAGCCCTTCTCCTCTGCCGCATGCGGATGTTGACGCCGATGCGGCGGTCGCCGCGTTTGAAAACCAATTTGCCATGACCCCGGCGGCACAGGCTGCGTTTGCGGAAGAGAACTACGTGCAACTGGCTGAAGTGACAGGGCCACTGGCCTCCACGAACGCGCCAACCAGCGCCGCCTTCGGCGGCTCCGCTTCTGCGCACGAGCCGGTCTCGTTGGGTGACGTGATCGAGGGAAATTATGACTCTGGCAGCCCAGGGCAACTACAAGGCTACAACCCGTATCGCGGCTGGACGGGGTACTACAAGGGGCCGGCGCTTCCGGGCTTCGGCAAGGGGGGCGGGGGAGGCCCAATCAGCGCAGGCAGTCCCGACTACTCAGCTGGGAATGGGATGGGAGCAGTCGCTGCTGCAGAAGAGCCGCAGTCGGAACACCAGTTTGTCGTGTACAACAACGGAGGCTACTACCGTCCAGGCTGGACGGGGTACTACAAGGGTCCGGCGCTCCCGGGCTTCGGCAAGGGGGAATGGGGCGCCAACTGGCGGGGCAGCGCGGCGGAGTTCGCTTTTCAGTCCGGGATAGATGACTCGGTGGACCGCATGTCGGGCGCCACGGTAAGGAGCGGAACCTCGCAGGCCACGGGTTGGTCTCCCGCGGGCGGCAAGAACCGTAAAAGCTACGATCGGTTGCTCGACACTACGCGTACCGACGGGGGCGCAAGAGCAAGTCTGCAATCCGCCGCGGGGCGTGGACAGCAGAGCAACGCCATGATCGGCGGCCAACAACTTCTACCGCCGGGCAACTACAGCTACGACCCCACTCCATTTGTTCAGGCAGACCCGGGGAGCTTCGCGGGCCCTGGCTCTCAGATGGGGGGCAATACAGACCTTAGCAGCAACGCTGTCGACGGCGCTTCCCCGGCGAATCGGGGCAGCTCCGGCCCTTCGACGGTGGTGGTGACGTTCAGCGATGGACACGAAGAGGCCGTGGCAAACCCTGCCGGCGTGTATGAGTACGCCAGCAGTAATCTGTGGTGGCGGATCACCGTCCTACCGAGCCTCGAGTCTTGGCTGAACTTATCGACTGCAAACTACCGGTCTGGCTCACGAAGAAGCTGCTACGTCGATACATGACGCCAGAGCTACTTGCAATTTTGCATGAAAATTACACGGAGGTGCTGATTTCACCTCGCACAACGTGCGCTTCGGGCTGCGCGGCTCCCGCACGATCGGCACCGAAGCAGAAGTCATGCTTTTGCCAAATGTCTGCATGCAAGGCGTACACAAGTACATATACTTTTTGCATCATTTATTCCCAGTCAGTCCGCGAAGTTTGTGCAGGATAAAGCTATGGGTATTACGATTCTCGAGAGGCTGCGGAAAGCCAAATGGTGTACCACGAAGGCGAGTGCAGCCTGTCTTTGCTGTTTGTGTCCAAGGCGGCGGTCGAGTTTACACTGGAGCGAGTGGACGCAACCGACAGTTTCCGACGGAGCTGTGGGCAGACGTTCCTGGTCGCCTGCCACCCCGAGACGGGCGAGCTGCTCCCCGACAAAGCGCGCATGCTGCAGCTTGTACGCAGCTGAAGAAAACGAGACCGCCGCATTTCTCATGTAATCACACTTCTGCTTGCCTGAGCCTTGATGCAGCACAAGTGGGCATGTGTTGTTCTAGCAGTAGAACAAACGCGCGACCCACTCACGGGGCAAGTGTTGATTGTAAAATATACCAAGGCATGATGTATACGCGAGGTAGAACCAAAAGCAAAAGTTTCACAGCACGAACAAGCTGTGGAGAAGTGATTACTCCACGTACCTTCATGACCAGGCGCTGGTTTTCTTCCATAACTCTTGTGCGACGTGTACTAACCTGTGCGAATGACATGGAGGGAATTTGTGAAAAGCCTGCGCCCACCTTCTCTGCAGCGCACTCATCTTGACTCGATTTCGTCACATACTCGCAGCAATTTCGTCCGGGTTCCGCGGAGTCATCAACCAGAAGAGTAGGCAGAGTCAGTTGTCTTTTTTTCTCTCGTTGCGCACAGAAGTTGTCGAAGCAGAGGTACAACTGATTAGAGAGTGTACCGACTAGAACGCCATCGATCTGATTGCGAGTACCCCTCGGAGATCATGGGTCCTTGTTGGTAAAGTAACTACAGTGTTTTGTTGTAATTTGTGTCATAGTACATGATACATAGAGAGGAATCAATTCTGTATCATTTCTACCTTTTTTTTGCTCTTTTTCTTCCGCCAGGACGATGGTCAATTCATACAAGGCAAAGACGGACACGTTTTTTCCGCAACAACCGTAGTGAAAGGTGCTCTGCCTCTGCACCCTGACCACCAAGTAACATAACGTTGTAACCCAACGCCAATCCAAGATAAGAACATGAGCTTCTTTTTTCTTTCACTCACTCCAACGACTTACCTTGTGCATTGACGATTGACTTAGTCACACTGAAAACGTATTTTTCTGTTGCAGTTTTCCTAACCTAGCTGTTCTGCGAAAATTGTGCACAGTGGAAAGCATGGTGAGGTGACACTAACCTAGCTATGCAAGAAGACCACGAACACGATCTATAAAATGATGTCCAAAAGAAAAGTAAAGATAGGGAAGCGATCTAATACAAATACAAATGTAATCAATGCAAGTCAGTGAATACGGTCAAGAAGATCTTTTCTGCAATGAATATGAAAGCAACTTCGAACGCCGATCACGAAATGAGTTCACAAGAAAAACACTTCAACTTCTTGATCAATTGCTTTTTCTTGTGTATTACCTGCAGGTCTCCATTGTTAGTGAATCCCCCAACCATCTTGATTGATAAAGAACCGTGCGTAAGTTGACATATTTCTCCATCCACATTTGGAGCATTTCCTATTATCTTTCTTCAGTCCCCCTTCCACCTACCTAGATCTGGCCAGAATTTTTTTAAACAACAACTGAAACACAGAAAATTATAATCGATTTTGTGTGTGTATATTTTCGATTGTCCTCCAACATGACGCGCAACAACAGCAACACTCAAGCCGCATGGTCGCCGGCACGCACTACACCTGTAGTCGCTTTTTTTCAGTGCGTCGCGCTCCTGTGGTGTACACCGGCGGCCCCCCTGGGAGTCGCCGCCGGGGTGGTCCTATCGGAGCTGAGCAAGAGCGCAACATCTTTTCTTAAACAGGAAACGACGTCTCCAAATGCGGGAAAAAAGTTTTACGAACTGATGACACAACGGCATGTGGAGGAGCACGACGAGTCGGCTCCCCGCCCCTTGCACATTTTGTTTGAGACCCAGGCCAAGACGGCGTTAGCGGGCGCTTACTCGGTAATGAAGTTTTTGGCCAGGAACGAGGGCGTAAAGGTCACGTTTTTGGCTCCCGTCGGGAAGTTGGTAGAAACCCCAAACGGCCGGATCGAATACGCCGACCAGCTCGTTAGCCAACAAGAGTTGGGCGAGGCCGCCGAGGAGACGCTGTTAGCTCGGCAATTGCGAAAGTACGATTCTTTACAGCAACAAGGCCGGGTGTTCACTGCGGTGCTCCAGAATCCAAACGGGTGTGCATGTTCATCTGGAGATGCAGATGACGACACTTGTTCCAGTACCGCGGGTGGGAGTAGGAGAGCCAAAAAATTGGTCTGGGATTTTTCCGTGTCCGACCGTGAGATCGCTAGCCTTTCCGAGGCGGGCGTGGAGTTTGTGCCGCAGCGGCCCCGGGCTGCACTGGGTGGGGCCGCGAGCTCAGTGAAGAAAGGCCTGGCGCACTTGTACCATTCTTCATCCGGTCGTGGTGCACACAACGCCGAAAAGTTGTCTCTCGCAAGACGGAACGGAAGCAATGACGGCTGGACTGTCCGCTCGTCAGAAACGAAAGAGTGGTCGCAGGCTTTTGTTGCGCGAAAAATTTTCGGAGGTCGCCTTGGCCCGGTAGATTTCGTTGTGATGGACCCTTTCCTGAAAAGTGATTCGGTGAGCCGCATTTTGGTCGACCGGTTCCGCGTCCCGGGGTCGCTCTGGGTAGGAAACTTCTCGGACAGTGTACCGCGCGCCCTGGGGTTGTACACCAAAGCCGAAAATGGTCTGCAATTCCCCACGTTTTCCGCACATTTTCTCCCCTGGACGCAGTCGAACGGGTTGTCACACAACGTAAAACGACCCGATAACGCCAGGCCTCTGCGGGCGGAGCTCCGGGAAGAGGACGTCGGGCCCGTTGTTTCCGCTGCCGAGGCGAAAATACGAAACGTGCCGGTGACGACCGATAGGGAGCGGGAACCCCAGCTCATGCAGACGGCGCTGGTCACGGAACTGTTGCATCCGAGCAACGATGCTGCGGGTGGAGCGATCGCGGCCGCCTCGAGTAACCCGGAAGTCCGGAAGGTCCAGGAGATGATGCGAAAGCATCGCGTTCACACCCTGCTGTACATCGCGTTCGGCTCTCAGGGCTTCCGCCTCTCTTTAGGGGCGGTTCGCGAGCTGATTCAAGAATGGGAAACTAAGCTGAAGCAAAAAGGCGTTGGTTTGTACCTTGTGCTTCCCCCAACCTACGATGTTGTAGACGCCGCCCTTCCAGAGGGTGGCCGTGCGTTGGACCACCAGAGGGCTTCGGGCCACCGTGACCACAACGGTGAGGAACAGCACAACAGCAGTGACGCGAGAATTCGGCAGGAGCTGGAGAATCTGCGGGCCCACACGGACGGTGTGCTGTTTTTCGTACAAAGGTCCCCGCAGAAGGACGTGTTCGCAGCTTTCGAACGGGCGCCCGACCTGCAGCTGATCTACGTTTGCCACGGCGGCGGGGCCTCTTTGGCCGAGGCCATTGCGGCCACCGTTCCCGTCCTCTGCCTGCCGATGATGAGTCTTGACCAGCCGACGAACTGCCGCCAAATCGAGAAGGTCGGTCTTGGCGTGACTCTGAATGCGATCACGCAGCGATGGCTCCTGCAGGAGCGCGGTGCGTGGTTGCAGCGCCCGGGAGCAGGGACCGCGCTGGAGCAACTGCGGGGCGCGCTCACACACCCGCACAAGGACTACTGGCAGTCCTCGTGGGACCGAAACCGGCCTGCCCTTTTGCCCTTCTCTCCGGAGCGATTTGTGGATGACACGTTCCTCTTCACTAAGGCGAAAGACCGGACCCTCGGGGGCGCGGTACTGCACGTGATGAAAAACAAGCAGCTGTACGCGTCCAACCTACGCGAGGTCCAGGAAATGCTGCAGCAGGAAACCTTTGCTGACGTCCGGGAACTTGCTTCCCTTCTCGTCGATTTCGCCACGTTTGACTCCGGGACGCGACGCATGCTCTTTGGCGATTCGCTGCACTCTCAGAGCGGGAAGTTCGCGCAGCTTCCCCGCGACCATTCAGAGTTGCGAATGTGCCGCACTCTGAATGACCCGAAGCAGGACCCGGAACAGCGCAGTAGTACCGAAATACGCCCTCGGAAAAGAATACACGATTAAACAACTACGAAGGCCGTTGTAGCGAATCAGCAGCGTGGAAACTTCTCCCGTGAAAACTTTTTGTTCTCTCGTGGCACTTCCGAATGCAACTCTACAAGCAGTTAGACTTAGAGTAAGTGTAAGTAGCAGTAACTGATTGAAGATTTATTTTCAATACGATGACCACAAAAGGCTGAACATGTGAAGACGTAGAAATGGAAGCTTTTTTCCCTTCTATGTCTCCTCTCGGCGCTTCTATCGTTGAGACAACTGAAGATTTTTGTATATCATATAGCGCTTTATGAGCCCGAAGCACTCTCGTGTTACACGAGTCGTGTAGCACCGCCAGGACGTAAGCGAGCTGCCGGGCAGCGCCTCAAGCATTTCCTCTTAAGAAGAGACCCAACTACGCCAACATTCGAAAATAATATTCTGTGTTGACATGTATGATTTATCGCACCCTTCATCTTCAAATGATTTTTGCGAGCACGAAACGGAAGCACGTGCGTCAACCATTGGAAAATACTTCACGATACTTAGTCATCGAGTTTTCGACCCCTTCATCAACCCATCAGGAGACTACAGCATACAGATACCTGTGCGCGGATGCATCAGGTTCAAGGAGATAAAGAAACCGTTGTGTTCACAGCCGTAATCATCAATTTATTTTATTCTGGCAAAAGTGATACCAAGCGCTCAGAGTGCTTTGTGTCAGATCTTTTGCGAAAGATCATTCCTCACAGTGAACAAAGGCGGGCGTTGTGCTTCAAATGTCGATTCCGCGGACAGCCACGCAAAAGGTCTACCAAAGTTCTTGCAATCGGTGGACTTTTATGTGCAGCCCCCTGCTTCGCATACAAATGCAATTGGTTGGTTCAAGCTGGCGTGCAAGGGGTTGTAGCAGCGCGGTGCTGCTAGCAACGTGCGTATCATTCGCCCTATGACATCGATCCGATTATCGGTATAGAAGCAACGTGTATTCATATTCAATCATCGGAAGATGTCGTGAGTCTTAGGTTAACGCCAAAAAGCTTATCGCCTCCTGAGGCATACTCCTCGCATCATCTTTTTTCAGTATTTTTGAGTGTCAAAATTGAAATCCTTCGTGAATTTTTTTTTCCAAGCGCAGCGATCCTTCGTGAAAAACAAGACAAATCGTTCAGATCCGTCTCTTAGGTTGACATGAAGAGAAGCGAGAATTGGATCGGGATCCAAGGCATAGATCCGAACTCGAAAATAGGATCTTCTGCTGGACACGTTCATACCAGTTGTTTCGATCCTGATTTGAAAGCCCTGCGGCACTTCTGCACAAAAACAACACCTGAGGCGCAACACGTCGACAGTAGCAATCCTTTAAAAACGATTTGTTGTTCCAATGGGAAGATGCAGGCAGGACGATGAAAGTAACTCAGGTGTAACGTACGTTTGTCAGTCGTTTAGTGCTCAGTATCTATAACATCAGGTGACATTAGACTTTAATAGCGACGACACTGTACTGAAAAACAAGTTTTACGATCGAGCAGACGCAGCTTCCTACGACTTACTTACTTGGTCTTACGTACTTGCGATCATCATCATCCTCCTTGCAACAAGTCATTCAATTGTACGTAGCCTCGATTTTTCATCTACTCTGTTTTCCTGCAACATGGCGAAGAACATCCGGAAGAAGCAGGCGGTCCGCAGAAAGGCTGAGGGAAAGGCGACCGCGCGAAGCAAAAAGACGGTAACCAAAGACAACAACCCGCTCGCAGATCGAAAGGTCGCCAAAACGCACCGAGGCCGACGGGAACTGAAAGCGCGGGAGCCAAAGGTGGTGGAAAATGCAAAAACAACACTCCTGATCCGCGGACAACGAACAAAAGAGGAGGTATCTATTTGAATGAGTTCAAGAAAATGTCTGTATCTATGATTGTTCTCGTCAACTCAACAATTTGTACTGAAATTCACTTGCATTACAGCAAGGATGAAGTAGAAATATTCTTGCGACATGGTGCGCTGAGCCGGGTGATGAGACCGTGGTAATTGCATTGTGTATGATTTACTTCTTGATGCCTATCCTTGAACTTGACAGCTGCACCAAGTGCTGAAGGACATGCACGACCTAAAAAAGCCGTTGAGCGAAGCGCTCTTTCGCAAGCACGAGGACGCGAACCCGTTCGAACCGGAGGGCGCGGCGAAGATTGTAGAGATGTGCAACAAGAAGGACGCCGGGCTCTTTGCGTACGGGTGCTCGACCAAGAAGCGTCCGCACCGACTGGTCCTGGGGCGGCTCTTCAACCAGGAGCTGCTGGACCTAGTGGAGTTTGACGTGCAGGACATGCACACCTTCCTGCCCAAGGCGAAGCTTCCCACCCTCGGCGCGAAGCCGCTGCTGCTGTTCCAGGGCGCCGGGTGGGAGCTGTCCGAACCGATGCAGCAGGCAAAGTCGCTGCTGATGGATTTTTTCCGGGGCGCCAACCCGGAGCGGGTCAGTCTCCACGGGCTCGAGCACGTGCTGGTGTTCACCTGCGACCACGCCTTCGGCGCGCTTCCCTCCACTGCTGCAGCCACCGCCGCTGCGGGCGCAACTAGTAGTGCCGCGACGGGTTCCTCGGCGAAAAACGGTAAGATCCTCTTCCGAGCCTACCGGGTGCAGATGAAGAAGAGCAGCACTGGAAAGTTGCCGCGCGTCGCACTAGAGGAGACAGGGCCCCGATTCACGCTGGCCCTCGATCGCGTCAAAGAAGCTGACCCTGCAGTCCTGAAATTGGCAATGAAGGTATAATAAGAAATGGAATGTTTGAGTAGAGTGTTGGGTGCGGGTACGGGTTGCTACCTAACTATCTGGAATTTGCAGTTTTTCCCGCTTAGAATGCAGTTGCAGAGTTGTGGTTGTGCCTAGACCCACATGACAAACGTAGCTCATCTACATCGAGCTCATGATCCACATGAAGATAGCAGGTTTTAGATTTTTTCTGCACGGCATGGCAATGGTCACATGATAAATACAACAGGTTCCTGCCGGTGCCGAGAAGAGAAAAGTAAAGAACGAGGAGAGCAGCGGGGTCGGGAAGAAATTTGGCCGGTTGCATTTGGGACGACAAGATTTCAGCAAGATCAACACCCACGGTGTGGGGATAGCGAAAAAGCGGAAGACCGCGACGGATCAAAGTGGAGCATCTTCTACCACCGCCAGCACTGCAGACGCGGCTATGAACGTCGACCAGCCAGCGGTCGCATAAAGACAACCTACTTGAAGATGTCGACCACTTCGCTGCAATGTCAGCTGCATAAAAAAGATGCTGCAAAAAATCAATGCAGTCGTCGTGAGTGTGTGATGTGCTTTTTTGGTCTTGATTCTCCATGTTGACATCTGCGTGTCTATCGATCTGTCTGTGCTACTGGAGGGCGGATCAAGAAGAATTTCTGCGAATGTAAAGAATCTGGTGCATGGATATGCTGCAATCCCTTTGCTTGGTTCGACACGTGTGTTCGATCGCTCATTCATCGTAGGTCCCGTGCTATTCGTGAAATCGGAAACAGGGGAATGATCTTCGTTGAAGAATGCTTCTGCAAAGGACCAGGATCGCGTGGGTCGTCAATAGTTGTGTTCGTGCGGAATGATATCAAAAGCCAATCGAAGGGTCATCGATGGTTACCGAATAACTACAAGTAAGAATTTTACCACGACTACTATAGTCAAAATAAAAACCGCGGCCGGGATGTTTAGAATAGAACAGAGAAACTAAGAGTTGCCTTTATTTTCACAAGAAGATGCACTGGTGAGAAAGGCAATGCTGTAGTTTTTACGAATCACTAGACCTCAGCAGGCTCAGTTTTTCCACAGGATCGAAGTGTACGCGTGATCCACCGCTATTGTTTTTCACAATCGCAACATTTATTCAGCATTTTTTTCTTTGGTAAAACTTCGTTAATAACCGACTTTACGAAGGATCAGCATTTCCAATTTCAACCCTGCGCTCCGCTACTTGTGAACAGGCACCCGCAGAAAAAACGCTATCGATCCTCCTGAAAAACCTTGCACGTATTACCTTTCTAAGATTTCAAAAACTTTCACTTTCTGGTCACCCGCGTTTTCATTCCTTTTTCAAATTTTGCTCAAGAGATCTATCGGCATTAACCCTAGGGCGATAAATTTTTTGACCACCTCCGAAAAAGTACTACAGCCAGATATCAAGCGAAAAAATATAGACGAGTTTTTTTTCTGCGCGAGATCGCGTGTACGATCAAATAGTCGCTCCACCCACAATAAGGTGGTCTGATAATCCAGCACTATACGGGTCGTATTTTACCTCTCGCCGCCCATCCATCATTCAAAGGGGAAGACCGAAAAATAAAAAAAAACAGCGAAGGGGATTTGGAAAGTTTTGTTTTATTTGACGACTCGTAAATCTTTATTTCACTCTCCCGAACCAGAAGAACAATCTAATTTCATCCTTTTTATTCGTCATAGCCTAGTAGACCCCCAAGGAATAAAACGAAAACCATGTCGAACGCTTTGGACGCGAGCTTGGACGACTTAATCAAGTCGAAGAAGATGAAGGGTGCCAAGGCAAAGGCAGGGGCCGTGAAGAAGAGCGGGCAGAAGCAGAAGGGTAAAGGGAAGGGCAAGGCTGCGAAGAAATCTGGCGCAAAGGGTGCCGGAAAAAAGGATTCCTCCAAGAAGGTTCTTAGCTGATTCGATTTCCTGATTTGCATTTATCGACGTAGTTCTCATGCGTACTTATGCCCCCTGTTTTATTAATGTCGTTCCACTACTGATCCAGATCCAGTAGATGGGTCACGCAGGTTTGTTTGAAGCATGAGCTATCTGGTTTTCCTCCCTCAAGTTCGCCAGGACACGCGACGGGCTTTTTGTCGTGCCTTTGAAACGAACTTATGATCAGGCATTTCGTTCACCACAGTGAGCGACTGCGATTCGACATGGACAATATTTATTGTCATAGATGAACTGATTTTTCTTGTCGAAAGTTGGCAAATTGAAAATGAAAAAACGAAAAGGTTTCGGCGGAAGACAAAATGAACATGAGCCTCGACGGGGTGATGAAGCTGACGAAGCCGATGAAGAAGATGAGCACTGGGGGCGGTGGCGGGCCCAAAACCACCAGCATGAAGAACAAGACGAGCATGAAGAAAATGGCCGCGGGAGCGAAGAAGTCGCTGGCCGCCAAGCGTCAACTGGTGAAGAAGCTCAAGTCCACAAAGAAGGGCAAAGGCAAGGGTAAGGGAAAGACGGCCATAGCAAAAAAGCGAACTGTTCGCAAAACCATCCAGAAAAAGAAGAGCGCCGGGAAGGGCTCCGCACAAAGCAGCAAGGTGAGAACAGCACGGCATTTTATTATTTTGCTAATTTCATTTGTTCACCTTGTAAATTGAAATGTCGCCAGAAGCTTTGGACAAAAATCCTTGGTATCCTTGCATGCTTCTCGGAGAAAAAGTATATAGTCACACGAACACGTCGCACAGGGCTCAAAGGGGAGCAGCTACAGCAGCCAGAAGGGCGGCAAGAACTGGGCATCCGAGGGCAAGGGAAAGGGAAAGAAGGGCTCGTCAGGCAAGGGCTCCAGAAATTCTTGGAACGATGACTGGAGCGGCAAAAACTCGGGCGGAAAAAGCTACAAGGGTACTATATCAAACAATATGAGAAAGATGATTACGCTTGCAGGACAACATCAAAGATAAAATTAATCGAACTGACAGGAACTTGCATATTTGATTTTGCAAAATCTTTGCCCACACTTGACAAAAATAACTGTCGTGAATGTACAGTACACATGAATTTCATCTTGTAAACAACGTCCATCACAGGCGGCAAGGACAAGAGCTGGGGTAGCAGCTGGAACGGCGGCAAGAGTGGCTACGATAGCTGGAACAACGACTGGGGGAAGGGCAAGGGCAACGGCTGGGGCTCTGTAATCTACTCTACTGTAGTACACATTTTTATCGGTTCAACGGAATCATTCATACTGGAGTGATCTTAATCTCTGTGTCACATGTAGCATTGTCGTTGATCATACTTACTGAATTCAAGCCGTAAATACGGAATTTTAGTTGTCTTGTGGTGGTTTCACCCCAATGCGAAGTGTGTACAGGGTGAAAAGGAACGAAAGCGAGCGTGTGCGTGTTCAGCACACAACTTTTTTTTCGTTCGAACAACAAACAGAGCAACAAGTGGGACGGAAAGAACGACGATCGGGACTTTCTCCGGGACTCCTACAGCTCCAAGCCCTACGGCAACCGGTCACATCTCCCGAACAGCATTGCCAAGCACAAAGGAACGGGTAGTTTCATCAAAGTCATGGATAAAATTTTTGCCTTTCTGCTCCCTGCGCATTTTTTCTGCCTGTGACACTTGTAGAGGAGAGCGTGTTTCTTTGTGATGTAAAAATGTTGTGATACGATTTTTTTTTCTCGGGAAAACAGGTAAAATGATCCAAATCGCGAACTGCCCAGCCAACTTGGCGAAGGAGGAATTGAAGGGCGCGTTCCAAGACGTGGGAACCGTTACGAACGTGGAACTCGACAAGAGCGCACAGGTATTGACGAAATTTTGTGAGTAGATAAAGAAAGCTCGCGCTCGTCAGTGTGACAGCACCTGCATCTTCAAGGCTACCTTCAGTTTGTGGTCACCGGATCGATAGAGCCAGTTGTACCACCTACTTTTTTCTTGATGTGCTCTTCTTGATCACGAAGATTGAAACAAAACTATACAGCTTGCCTGGTTGGTATTCGAGCAGAGCCGGGATGCGTACGAAGCCGAGCATCAGTTTGACGGAGGGGAAATCAACGGAAGCACGATCAAAATCACGATTATCTAATCTGCAATCGCAGATACAACTTGTCTCCGTTTCTGCAGTTCATCAAGATTTCAATACTACAACTACCTCCAAATGTATCAAGTTCAAGTATCACCAGAAAGAGCTCCATTATGATTAAATGTGTTACATCTCTAGAAGCTGTTACTGTTACTTTCCATTATGATAACCTCCTCGAGGACTACAACGGCGCGTAGTCTACTCTACTGACACCAGAATTATTCTACACAAAGAGAATACCTGTATAGCTTGTTGTACTTGTAGAACTCCACCCCGGACGAAGTACCAAAACACGGCGAGTCCTGTTGTTACATTTTGTGACGCTTCGACTCGGACTACTGTAGCAGTGAGCAAAGGACGTGTCTGCTCCAGCTCCACCCAAAAAAAACAAACTCTTGCAAGACATAGATTAGAAGGAGATTAAATCGCCTTTCCTTTCGTAAACGTTGTGATGTACGTATTTCCTCGCCGGCAGCTTCGGCCCTGCCTGAAGAGGCGACTCATTGCAATTTCGGAAGCAGCGGCATGGGAACAGAGATCACTTAATGGGTCGCGTGGTATCGTTGTGTCGTGATACGTTCTCGTCCGGCCGCGGACCCTCGGTGACTCGGTACTACGACATGAGACATCCGGCAGATAACACAGTACTTCGATAGAGATTCTGCTAGCTTGTCTACACTGACAGAGCTGCGGTGCATGTTTTGGAGCAGATGAGATCTTCTGACATCGCAGACGGAGGCTCGAATCAAGAAACTCAGATTCAACCCTGCCAGGACGATAGCGGCATATGTCTCGGTCGCACCAGACGCCTGTGTGCCCCTTACCTGCTTCTTGCTAGGTCATATTCTAGTGGCCACTAATCTCATTGCACAAAACGATTTGTGCTTTGTGGTGCGTCTGCTCGATGTACTAGAATGGTACTAGCACGGTAACTAATCACTACAGCTCTTGCCCCTGCCAAGTACAGCCAATGCAATGGATTGACATATCACACTTTCTTTTTGCCGAACCAGCATGGCCCGCCACAGCCGTGAGTTTTGCGGTTCAATAGCAGAAAGAGCGCGAACTTGCTATCGGACTTCAGGCACGGCAAAGTGTCAATAGTTTTGGAAGTCTCGCAGGATGTTTTTGCACGGTTTTCGAGTTCTGAATTTCATAGTTAGTACGACGAACCGATGCGATGACGCGATCTTTGTGGCCTATATAGAAGAACGACGTATAGTAACTGTTCATTGCCGCTGCGCATTTCTGCGAAGCGCGCTCGCTGGATATTTATCATCTCATTCTTCTACGCCGCAATTCAGTATTCAGCGTCTGGCAGATCCTGCACGTCGGCCTCTCACTCTTGCGCTGCCGCGGCAAAAACTCTCCTTGACCTGGCAAAATATGTTGTGCTGCAAACACACACGACACTGAAGTATTTGTAACGGCAGCAGGGTGTGGATGTGGTCCTCTACTCTTGTTCATTGATATTGATGTTACAGTAAATGACTCTACAAGTACTGACACTGAGATTGGAAATGGAACAACATGCAGCACCCTATGTATATGCATGTTGCGGCCAGCAAAAGGCTCCTGATGCAAGATTAAACAGCGTGCCACTTCTTTCCATTCAAGGGAGGAGACGAAATAAAGCGAACCAAAGTTCTTGTAGACCATTTTGATTTTCCCCCTTGAGATCGAGCGCGGGACTCGTCTGGTGCACTTACTCATTATGATAAATATCTAAGGCGACCGATGTAGCAGTAGCACCGCTTTCGAAAAAGTACTGCTTTCGCTTAAATGAAAGATGCAGCGGAAAAAAATCACAATGAAAGATGCTTGCAGGTGAACAAGATCTGAAAGCCAAGATTCAGATGAATGTAACGAACTCGTATGCGTGACTCTCTCGTATATTGTTGCTACATGTTGCTACAAAATCAATGCGAATGTGAATGTGTGCCCTGCCTGTACAGGCGCTGTCAGGGAGCTCGAAACTCTGGCGCGCGGGGATACTTGTGAGAGCCAGTGTTGAATCCTCGTCGCATCTATAAGTTCGCAGGCATGATTGTTCGTGTACCAAACCCGCGATCGTGCCTGCGCACATGAAGGCCAACAATTGATGGTGCAGATGGCAAAAAGAAATTTGTTATGGACAAAACGTTGCACTCGCAGTCGCAGTCCGTTCCCCTTGGTGCTAGTTTAAGATCTTGCGTCGTCGGTCAGTGGTCCATATTTTCTGTACTTTTGCTTCCTATACTGTTTGCCTGTGGCGCAAGCTGCCGTTGTCACTGACTTGGCCGCTCGTCTTCGTGCTCATGCTCATGATCGTGTAAGGTACGACCTCCATAGCAGGCCTCCAAACCCATGTGGCATCGGAGCTACGATCTGACGAGATCAACATGAATGAAAATGACCCTTTCATTTTTTGATGTGTGGTGACTGTGATTTGGTAGAACCGACAATAGGATTGGGATTCATATTTGCTTTTTCGTGTGATGCCGCGCTGATTTACAGCAGTTGCAGCACTGACTTTGAACAGGATCCGCTCCTTGAGGCCGATAATTACGAACTTTACCTGAATCTCGAAGGAACAAGGACGACGAGCCAAGATCATTCCACTTTCCGATCTGAAGTTGTCTATGTGCTAACTCGCTGTTTTTAGTTTGTGATTTGCATGTTAAAAAAAAAAAAAAAAAAACTTTACCTGAATCTCCTACACCAAAACTATACCCCCTTGCTTTCTAGGCGCTATGGCTATCCGGTAACACTATCGCGACTAAAGCATGAAGATTATATACAAGACTGTGTACCACTACCAGTACCACGGAAAGAAACGTAAGATCATTCAGATGCTTCTTCGTCCATCTGTACTATGACCACTCTAGGCGTTTTCGATCATTTAGTCGTAGCTCCCTGCTTTTGGCGCAGGAGACTTGGTATTGTTTGAGTCCGGCAGTATTTTTTAGCGACGCCGTGTTCTACAACCGGACAGGGTGCACGACGCGACATGGTTGTAATCATGGCTCGATGCAAAGAATACGATTAATGATGGACTGCCACCCGTCCTAGTTAAAAAGTGAATAAAAAGTCATGGCAACGTCCCCACCGGGAGCTGGAGGTGGAGCGGGCGGAGGCACACAAACGTCGCCGCCCGCAGTACCGGCGGAAAAGATTGCCGTAAACCTGGGCATTCTCGGGCACATTGACAGTGGCAAGACGAGCCTCTGCCGCGCTCTGAGTACGGTAACCTCGACCGCGTCGCTGGATAAGCATCCGCAGTCCCAACAGCGCGGCATCACGCTGGACCTCGGGTTTACCAGTTTTTTATCAAGTGCTAGAGATGTTGAAATCATGATGATGATCCCGCTTCCGCAAAAAACTCATGCAGGGTCATAATATGACTTGATCGATATGCATTTGCATAGTCAAGAATTTTATGTTTGTGTCTCGACGAACGGTCATGATGACAGAGATAATAAGCCACCACAGCGCTACATCTCGCCTCATCTCGAGCTCACAGTTGTACTACCATGTCGAGCGGTCCGGCCAAGACCACCAAGCGGGTTTCTGGGATCAACATTGCATGAAGACTTTTTTCGCATCCAGATATTTCCAGCAGAGCTCCGGAGCATTGGTGCTGCCCTCCTGATTCGGAGATCCAGTTTTGCTTAGTCGACTGCCCTGGTCACGCGTCGCTGATCAAGACCGTCCTTGGCGGGGCTCAGATCATCGACCTCTGCTGCCTCGTACTGGACGCGCAGAAGGGCATGCAGACGCAGAGTGCGGAATGTCTGGTGGTTGCGGAGCTACTGACGGATCGGCTGGTGATTGTGATCAACAAAATTGATCTGCTGCCGGAGACAGAACGTGCGGCCTTGCTGCAGAAGCTGATCGCCAAGCTCAAAACCACGCTGGCCAAAACACGGTTCGGCACCGACCGGGTGACCTTCTGCTGCGTGTCTGCGGTGGCCGGTCTCGGGCTGGAAGAGCTTGTCGGCACCCTGAAAGCGCACCTTCCGAAGCCGCACCGCAGCACTGAGGGCTCCTTTCTCTTCAGCTTTGACCACGTTTTCCCCATCAAGGGGCAAGGCACGGTGATGACCGGAACCGTTTTGCGCGGGTCCGTAAAGCCTGGTATAGATGATGTCAGTACATTGCACATCCAAGAACGACCCTTCCTTTCGAAGTGCCGACGCGGCCCGGCAAATTTACTCATATCATCTTTGAACGTAGTGCGTAAGATGTGTTAACAGTTCATGTTTTTCGTCAAAAATTCCAACTTTGATTCAGATTCAAACAGGCTAAGTTCGTATAACAACATGAGGTTCCTTGATTGACATTCCCGCGCTCGGCGAAGAGGGCCGGGGCAAGAAAGTGCGGTCCTTGCAGATTTTCAAGAAGAGCGCAAAGCTGGCGAAACAGGGAGACCGTGTCGCCATGTGTGTGCCGCAGGTGAGCGCCACCTTGGAGCGCGGCCTAGTGACGGACCCGCAGAAGAACATTCCACGGATGACTGCGGTGATAGCGGTGGTGGAGCGACTGAGCTACTTTAAGCACGATGTCTGTTCCAAGGCCAAATTTCATCTGACAGTGGGGCACCAAACCGTGATGGCGAAAGCCTTCTTTTTCTGTCCACAGGTTCTCTTTCTGAAGAAGGACCAAGAGGCCATCCTCGCACAAGCAGCAGAGCTCGCGGCCCTCGGAACCCGAAATGTTAATAGTACTTCCACAGCTCGCGGACCTGCTTCGGGCGCTGGAAACAAAGTGCGAGCGGCTGGTGTGGCGGGCGCGCAACAGCCCGCGGCCGCAACTGCGGCGGGCTATTCTGGCACGCCCCAGTTTTCGCTTCTGGGAAAAGGAATGCTGGTCAGCGAAAAAGTTGGGCAGTGGCCGACTGCGTTTGACCCTACGCGGACTTACGTGCACGTGGAGCAGGCGTTTTCGCCGAAACCGGAGCTGAGCTTCAGCTACACGTCCGGCGAAGATGTGACCCTGCGGATAAAAACATTGGAAGCCACGCGAGACGAAGCCTCCAGTACTATGGGATAACAAAATATCTCTGTCTGGGTCGAGAATAAAACCAAGTGTCGTGCCCGAAGAGACTTTGATTGCATTGTGCTTTGTATTGCTGCAACAGGATTTTTCTCATCTGAGTATGTAAGGAGAAGGAGGTCACGACGTGACAAGCCAACAATCTTCAGGTTCACTTCACAGCATCGGCGAGCTCTCCCAGCCAGACGTAGTTTGTTATCTTGGATAAGGAGCATGCAGTTTTCGCCTTCTCCACGACCAGTGGTGCTGAGGTCGAACATGCCGGATCCATTGGTCGCCGTGCAGCAGGCGACACCCACGACCGTATCGAGCCCGCCACTAAATTCCAACCAGGATTTTGCTGTGTCTGCGCCGGACGGCGAAGTAGCAGCACCGACGGCTTCTGCGGATCGCCCATCATCTTGCAGCGGAGAAGTGGAAAAAGCCAGACACGCAAATGGTACAGCTGCAGCGCCAACCCCAGACGACCGTGTGGAAACCAAAACCTCCCTTCTGGAGCTATCTTCGCGCGGACTGTCGCGCGATATCACGGCCGTGTACTACGTGAACGGACGACTACAAGATCAGAATCGGCAACCCTTGAACGGTGACATGAACGTGGATGCGCATCTGCCGGTGCGACGCAAGGACGAAACTTTGTACCAGCTGTTCTATCTCTGCAAGCGCGCAGGCGTGCCCTTTCGCCTTGACAATGACGCTAGCAGCAGCGGGAAAACCAAAACTTCCGACGAGGACCGGGCAGCGCGACAAGCGTCCAAAGCAGGCGCCAGAACGACGGCGGCCAGTCATGTTGCGGCCACATCCAGAGGAAGCACTTCTTCGCGAGCGAAGAAAACTGCTGCTGGCATTGACGATAATGAAAACAAGACGTCAATTGGAATGGACGAGATCCTTGAAGACGACGATCTGGCCAGCGAAAAAAAGAAGAAAAAGAAAGATCGCAAGAGCAGGCGTGGTGACGCCGATGGGGACGTTGCTGAAAATGGTGCTGGCGAGCAGGCGGATATAGACGCCGCTGGCGAAGACGACGACGACGCGGACAATTGCGACGAGGCTCTGCTCGACGAAGCAAGTGGCAAAAAGAAAAAGAAGAAAAAAAAGGACCGCAAGTCCAAGGGTAATGGCACCGACGAGGACGACGAGGGTGATGAGGATGACGCTGTCGGCCCCGGAGAAGAGGAGCCAGGCAAAAAGAAGAAGAAAAAGAAAAAGGATCGAAAATCGAGAACAGCTGCCGATGGTCTCAGCAGTGGCGATGAGCAGGACGGCCTGCTGCTGTCCGAAGACGAAGAGGACGATCCCGAAGCCGCAGGCAATCTTCGGGAAAGCAAGAATAAAAAGAAGAAAAAAAGCCGAAAAAGCAGAGCCGCCGACGAGGAAGCTGATGTTGACGATGCTAGCGCCGGTGAAAACGACTCGGAGGATGAGGTCGATGAAGCGGATCTTCCAGAGAATGAAAGTAAAAAAAAGAAAAAGAAAAAGGACAAAAAGCGCAAGGGCAACGAGGGAGATGTTGACGTCGAAGAAGTTTCGGACGGTGTGGTCGAGGACGGCGACACTGCTGATACGGGGCGAACTAGTAAGAAAAAGAAGAAAAAAAAGAAGAAGAAGAAGCAGAAACGCAGCAAGGAGCTGGACGACCTCCTCGATTCAGATGTTGACGACTTGGAGGACGATATCGACGAGGACTCCTCCTCCTCCTCCAGTGACGACGACGTTCCGGATGAGACTCAGGAGCCGGCAACAGTGGTGCCACTTGCGGGAACCCAGGACGGAACGACGCGAGGAACCGCAGCAGCACGGTCGCGCAGCCACGAACTGCCGGAATTTTTTCATCTGCCAACGGCCGACCGAGCGCGCGCGTCGCCCGTGTGTTACGCGTACCTGGAATTTGAGCAGCAGATGCAGATCCCCGAGGATTCCCTGCTGATCGGTTCGAAGTTGGACTTCGACGCGCACTCACCCACCTGTCGCTATCAAGCTGAAAAAAACTACCCCTGCCCCAAAGAATAGAAATGTAGTTCCCGCTGCAGAATAATTTCCCATATGGGAGGAAACTTCTGGATTTGGCATGACTGTGAAGATGGACGTCATATCAGCACGATCGCAAACGCAAAAACAAAATGCTTAAATAGGGCCTACAGTATTAAGATTTGTCATTTGTTGTGTTGCTGTTGCGAAGAGGTACTTACAAGAATAACGCCCGAGCTGAATGGCGTCGGCGGCCCTAGATTCTAACGTAAGAAAATTGTGTTGGGCAACACAAAAAAACCGGTAGTTCTTGAGGTGTCGAAGCAGGTTTCCCACAACACAAAATAAAATTAAAAGCGGGCCTCTGGCATTAATTCCTTTAGCTAACACGGTCCCCGTCCCACTGCAGCTTGTACACATTTTCTCGGAGTGGGGCACGTTTATTCAGTTTGATACGCGCATCGCGTTCTTCGGCCGCATCCTGCGCCACTTCCAGCACGACAACGTGAAGACGCCCGTGGACAGCGTGATCGACGTGGTGAAAATGCGCGAAAAGGTCGGCATCTTAGACAAGTGCTTCGTGAACTATCAGCATACCAATGCAGATGATGTTGACGAGGTCCGTCGTCCCAAGCGTGGTGCTGGTGCTGCCCCCAACTCCGGACCCGCGAACAACAGCGTCGAGTACACGGTGCGCGACATGTTCTCAAAGGACACCGATCTGACCCTGTTCCTCAACCTGAAGGTGATGCACGAGTCCTCGGGCGTGGTGGGCGTGATCGAGAGCAGCTACGGGGTCGAAGGCCACGTGCGCGTGCGGTTCGAGCGACCTCTACCGGCCGCGGCCGTGCGACTAGACAAAAAAGGTTTTGTCCAGGGAGACACCACCGACGTGTCGCGCCGCGTGCTGCTACACTTCAAAAAGTTCGAGGCAAAATCCGGGGCCAACAAGAACCGCATTGCGCAGTAGTGCACGAGCAGAGGAGCTGCACCGTGTGCTCATCCGCGTTCTTGCGGTCCCAGGAGCACTGGAAATGATGGCTGCGCGACCCGCGATGCGGATCTCGTGCGCGAAGGGGGTTTTGACGTTCGGTACTGCAGCACAGTGTGTAGCATCGTGTGGAGTTTCCAAGAAACAAGGCAGCAATTGCATTTGCAAAGCAAAGGCACTACAAGTTCAAGCACATGCGAAACGAGTGCGAGCCTAAGCGAGTCCGAGAGGTCTTTTTCTCCCTGTGGATGAAGCCACAGCTTTTGAAGATTTCGCACATAGATTGATACGAGGATTGCCGGTTGCAGATGTTGATGTTCCCTTCCTGTGAGCTTGAGCGTATGAGGGATGAATTCGAACCCCGACGGGGGAGATCAGTCGGGAAAATTCCGTGGAATCACCGACAGTAGCTCACGTCATCATGCTAACAGCTCAAGCATTAGCAACGTCATGCTGATCTTGAAAAGTACCTTTTCGGGAGATCATCATACATTTTCTGAAGACCTTGACTAGCGAAGCAGGATCCTTCTTTGAAGCAACTTACTTGCTCGCTGCTGAAGACAGGAGTCGAAGCTGCGTTACGAAGCAAACGCTCGTTTCCACGACCAGACTTTTTCGGCACGCTGGAGATCCGCTTTCTGTCATTCACTGACTTAGTTTCACGTGCGCCTCGTCATTCAGGTCGTGGTTTTCGTCGCACCGCAGTTTTCACAGCTTATACTGCTCACGCAGTTGATTGCGTCCGTGTCGATCATCAATGTGCGATTTCGCTTAACATTCTCGCGTTGGACCAGCTTGCCGACAATTCTTTGTTTATCCTTGACTCGTCATGATCCCTGATGACTGTCAATGTGATGACGAGCCGATCCAATTCTCCACGTATCGATGGTTGATGCGGAGTGGGTATTTTTGATTTCTAATACCACGGAAGAGGAGGTAGTGCTAGTCCCGCCTGAAGCCAAGGACTAAGAGCATCCCGGTGCAATTTTTCTGAGGCAACTCCCCAGTCTTGGCTGTTCGACATCAAAGCGGGTGTTTTTTAGTCAAGTTCTGGTGGCAAATTGTTGAAACACAGCTTGCCTGCCACTTACTCTCAGGAACTCAATTAGCACGTACAACAGTCACTCGCTCGCCTAAAGAAGCGAGCACACAATTGATTTCTAATACCATCATGATGGATCGATGAGAATCTTTAAGTTTAGGCGGTTGCATTTCAAGCTGGTCTAATTGGGATGGCACGAAAACGAAACCGAAAGTCTACGTTATTTAGAAGTCACGGTCTCCAATGTTCCGCTTATTTTTTCAGTTTTCCGCTTCATCCGAAGCGATATCCGTATGTAGTAGTATGGCGAGCCGTGTGTACTTCTATATCTAGTATTTGTTTTTGTAGTAGGTCGAAATAGAGTTAGACCCGCGATATTCGAATCTTTATGAGGATCCATCGGGTGCCCCCACCGATGGGAAAGTATTGCGGCATGTCGGTGGTAGCCGTAGCTTGCTATTGACCATACCATTCCCCATGTTGTTTCTGATAAAAATTCAAATGCTGTAAAAAACAGACTTATATATAATCTAAACTGCACTTAGTACTACACAGCGAGTGCGGAGCCTGGAAGAAAAAATGGGGTTGACGGGCACGGCGACATCCAGCAAAGATCGCTGTCAGCGGCCATCAAAACGCGCAGGCAGCGAGAGAAGTACCAGCTCTGCATCATCCACCACTTCCAGTAGCAGCAATATCCAAAATAGACGGGGCCACTCCTCAAAGTATGTATAGTGTGGCCAGGCCATGGATGCATACAGTGCATTTTTCTTCTCGTGTAAAAGAGTACTTAGCAGTAGCACTAGACGCTTCTATGCGCTTTTTGGATTTGCGTGTTATTCTTTCTTCAGTTGGTATATTTATGTATTTATAGATTCGGGATGGCTCTGTTTGTTGCTCAGGATAGGCCGTAGCTCATCAGCGACGTCTACTTCCTCCTCGTCTACTTCTGCCTCCGACTCCTCGACCTCGCGCTCGTCTGCTGCCCAGAACAGGACGAGCTTCGATCAGCAAGGCGCGCCGTCGCGGCGGCACGGCTGCCGCAAGCCGGCACGGATGCCTGCTGAAAGTCCTGCGCATCTTCAATCTCAACGGCCTAAAGAAGACCAGGATCACCGGGCTACAGTTGGGACGGGGGGTGCTGACACGGGTAGAAGTAGAAACAGAGCGCGAAGAAGACCGCCCGCAGCTGCGGCTAGCGGTCGCGACCACCACACTGCAGAGAACGCTGATCCTGCGTCTTTGCGTTCCACCGTCGGCACCTCCAGTTCCGATTCATCTAGCAGCTCATCCGAGGGAGCCGGGGAGGGGAGCAGGTCATGGAGCAAGTTGCGCCGGGCGTGCAACGACAAAGTTTGGTGGGATAAGAAGTTACGAAATTGAGAAAAAGAAGGCGCTTTTTGCTCAATGTAGATCCTACTTACTTTGCATGGGAAACTTTGGTGGCGCAACCGTCAAGGTTGAGGTCGACCAAAGTTCACGGACGATTCACAGTAAAGTGAGAAGCGGGCTGCTTTTCTAATCGCCAATGTTGCGTTTTTTTGAATCTTCAGCCTTGCAAAGTCCGGGATCAAGTAGAGAGTGGTAGTTCGTCAATAATTTTCGAACGACTTTGCGCCCTTAGAATCAACTGTCAACAACAGTAGCTGCAAAGAAGTGTCTATCTTCTCCTTTCATATCATCGAAAGGCCTTGACATTCAAGTACGCGAGCGAGGCGGTGCACCTGGGAGACAGTTGGGTGGAGCTCATTATGCGTGTAGGTGGCACGCAGCCCGAAAACGGCAAGGAGTTCTTTGCGAACCGCTGCTTGCGAATGCTCGACGCTGCGCGGAAGCGAGTTTTTCCGCTACGTAGCAGCTGCAGCGCCTCCGGCCGCCGGCAAACCGGCCACGTGCCTCGACGCGCGGGAACCCGGGACCGAAGGCGGGAAGGCCGCCCGGCTGGTGGGCTTTCGACCTCGTCTGATCCCGACGCAGTGCCTCTTTCCGGATCCGAAACATCAGTCGGCCACCGCAGCATCACGGAAGCGCGCCGGCAGCGTCAGCTCTTTGCGCACCGGGAACCAAAGCACGGCAATGGCACGATACAGGCGAGGACAGACGGGAAGGACACTAGGGGGCGCGGTGCAAACACGCGGAACATGGCCGGTATATTGTCCCGCCGCAAGCCCTGTGAGCCGCGATCGAGTGAGGGCGCATCAGAATCTTCGTCGTCTTCCTCCGCTTCTCGCCCCCGGCAAGAGAGGCAAATGAGAGCTTCGCGGCCCCGCGGTGCGCGTCACTTGATGTCCACGGGCGGGGCAAACAAACGCAGCGTCATGGCCACAGGTGGAGCGAAAACCTTTTCGCAGGAGAGCCACTCGGGGTCATCTTCGGTCGCGAGCTTAAGCAAGAGCAGTACATCCTCCCACTCGCGGCAAAGCCGTTCCTCCGGGGTTCCCCGAAAAAGCCCGCATACCACGAGCACCACCAAGTGCTGTCTATCAAAATGAAAAAGCATGAAGTTTGTGCCGCAGCTGTCTATGTTTTGGTGTTCTTGTTAGATCATGGAGTACAATGACTGGATGATGATGAAGTATCCAGAACATGAACGCATCAGTGCGAAAGCACGACTCGCGTTTGCGGTTTTAATTTCGATAACATCCAGAGCGCACTGGTGGCGAGGATGTGAGTCGAAAGGCATCGGAAAAGGACTCACCGGAGCGCGCCGGCGAGGGCCGTGGCGAGCCAAGCGAGAATGCGCCAGCCTTGTCCGCGGAGATCGATGGCGGCCGCGCTGCTGGGGCCGGTCGAGCTACGCGGAAGAAACGGTCCGCGGCCTCACGAGCAAACTCGATTCCCAGCGGCAGCGGCAGTCGAGACGCCGACGCGAAGGAGTATTAAGCACGACAGTAAATTGATTATTATGCCTGCTTCATCCCTGTAGTGGAGTCGCTTCAATACAGAAAATTACTACAAGCCTGTACAAACATGATGCAACTACTCATGTCCTTAGTTTCACTGCTTCTATGCAGCTTTTTCTTGGTCTTCAGCTTTCAATTCTATGTCCCTGGATGTTTGGAACGTTTCGTGATAAAAGCAGCCACTGGCTAGGGCTACTTAAACTGTGTTCAAACTAAGGCATAGTTTTTGGTCAAACGCAAATGCACATATACATAGACTACTTATGTGCAACAACTCAACGCAATTGGCAGGAGCGTCTCCCTGCGTCAGGGCAGCGAGCGAGTACGACGTTCCCACAGCACTGTGCCCGATTCTTGTCCAAGCTCTTTCGAATTCCGCAAATGCCAGGATTATCGATCGGAATGGCGGAGCCGCCGACAATGCATGATGGACGCAGAATTCGATCTTCAGCAGGAACGTGACGCGTACCAATCTTTTTCTGACTTTTCCTCATTCTACAGTCTACCACAGCCGACTCTCTTCCTCCACCGAGCTTGCAAGCTCGTGGCTCGCCACCCACACCGACAACGAATATTATGGCGTGTCGTATTCTCGCTGTTTTCCCATGCACCATGGACGTGGGGTGAGCACGACATGAATTTGCATTCAGACGAACCTGTCATGGGTTCTTGCCGTTTCCCGAAAAATGCATTTACTAAGAAAAGTCGGCTGGGCTGATGTTTGCATTGATTGCGGAAGTCCTGCCCAATCTGAATGAGGTTGTGGCTCAAGAATAAAGAAAAAACATAAAACGGCAGGCACCGGCGCGAGCATGGAAGGCTGCGGGACCACCAAGAAATCCTTCAGGCGGCCTGGAAACGGGAGGAGGACGCGTCAGAGCGATCTGCCCTGACACATCAGATTCGCGAGGTGCAGAGTATCGCTTGCGTATCGGTCTGGCTCTGCACGCCCGCGAAACTGTTTTCTGGGTCAACGGCTGACACCGCGATGAAAGAACAGCATGAGCATGCCGCTGCAGAGCGTGGCCAAGGGAAGAGTGGCGGGAGCCTTCCCGACACTTGTGTGTTGCCTGGTCGTAATTGCTCACGACCAAAAAATGCCGGATGCGATTTATTGCCGTGCATGATTGCGCATGACGTTGCGTCGAAGGTTGTAGCTACCAGAGCGCGCAACTACCCCGAACCATGCCCCGTGGCACTGAAATTTTTCGCGGAAGTGCTGGGGTGCTGCGTCAGGGATATCTACTTGCAGAGCCAGACATCATATTTGCATTGCATACGTGCCGAGCTTCTGCGATTGCCCCTCCAGCACGAGGACCGCATGTTTGAGCTGCGCAAAAAGCAACGAAGTGCGCAGCAGGCGTATCAATTTGCTCACGACAACTTCGTATCGAATGCAAATGTGGTGCCTTGGGCTGCTCGCTGTGATGAGAGCGGTTGCAGGTATTAACACGAATATCATTAAAGACGACTGTCGTCGCGAAAGACGATCAAGAACTTCAGCCCGTTTGGATTTATTTACTACGTTTGAATACATGCGTACTCTACCTAGTTAGAAAAGACGAGCAGAATTGCTCGCTAGGCCACGCTTGCTGGCTTGCTTACATGAGAACCCAACTGCGAACTTTTTTCAAATCGTTACAACACAGCTGAGAGTCCTCGTGCTCCTGACTGTTCAGTTTTTTGAGTTTCCACAGCCCTGCGTGCTTTCCATTTGCACTGCATACTTCGTTGACTTTCTTCGGATCGCTGGCCACGAATACCCCCGCGAAGAGGCCGATCCGACCAGCCGCTGGGATCAGTCCCCGTTGCCTCCTCCCGAGCGGAAGCCTCGCCCGGCGGACCACGAGCGCATCCTCTCCCCGGAGTTTCAGGTGCCCGACCACCGTGAACCCGCGGCGGCGGAAGACGACTTCTACCAACACGAAACTGCGGCGACGGGCTCGGCCCTGAAAAGTCGTCGAAAGCAAGAGCCTTATCTCTACAGCTTCTCGTCGCGCGACGACTTGGATTTGGAGTGCGAGCTGCAACCACTGGACAGCCCCGGGGAGGAGCCTGGCGAAACCGAGCACGTGGCCGAGGAACTCGCCTGCGCGGACCGTCCGGAAAAACAGACGGACCACGATGGATGGAACGACTGGTGGTGGAAGAACGACCCGCCCCAACAAGGTTCGTCCGCGACCCCGAATTGTGCTTGTCAAGAACATTGGTTTTCATTCTGATGAATGTTCCTAGTCCTTGCGAAATTGAATATGCAATAATGAAGATCGTTCGACTCTGCAGTTGGTTCTAGTGGTACTTCCACCCTCTCAATTACAAGCAGGGCGCTCGACTCTCGGTCTTGCACAAGTGATTCATGTCAGTCTTTTTCGTGGTGGACATGTACTGCTAGTTCGACTTAAAGAAACCACTTCAGACGCTTGCACATGATACTGGCGAGAGCGTTGGCCCTTGAGAGGAAACGACCCAGGGCCAAATGCAGTAGCATTGCAGGAGTGGTATATTACCATAGAAGTCCTTACTGCAGAGCCCACAGCTGCGCACAACATATCAGGTGGTGAAGACGGGGACTACAATAAGGATGGCAACGGGGAACAGAAATCCGACGCGTGGTGGTCTCGCGCGGATCCTCCCTCGTGGAATGAAGCTTGGAACGACAAGGAGCAGAGTTGGCTGCACGAACCTCAGACGCATGCAGGGGCAGGTACTTACTTACATACTAGGCCCTTATGGAAACGTGAGCATTCAAGCTGTTGCTTATTCAGTGTGTTAAAATAGTTCGCTCTTATTGCATGCTGCATACGAATAGAAGACTTTCATCTTGATTTCCAGTTAATACGGCAACTTCGTGACACAAAAATACAAACAGAATCCAACTCCGCGGAAATAATCGCTGAAGACGTTCCACGTTCAGCACCACAAGATGCTCCCTCGCACACTGAAATAAAACCTCTGACAGTTCCCGCGGAACCTCCTCGGCAGGAGCAGGACGCGGGTGTACAAGATTTCAATAGCGCAGGGTCCAGGTGGAGCGCGGCGTTGCCAAGCTCCACAGTCGCGAAGGGAGCGCACGCTGGTACTTTGGGAACAAGCGGTAATCGCGCGGGCACTGCCAGCTACAGTTACGGGAACAAAGGCCAGAAGATGCACCCTTCCTCATCCACAGGCGGTGGAAAAAACGGTCCGCAAAATGCTGGATCGAAGTTTTTATATCCCTGCGAGATCTTGAGTGACAAAAAATCTTTTGCATATGGCTATACCTAGTGTACCAGATCGATATTGTAAGAAGTTGTACTCGGTTCTGGAACAGCTACATCTTCACACGAAAAAACGCAGGAAACGGAAAAGCCAAGCTCTAGCTTTTCCTTTTAGGCGGTACATGCCCTCCACTAGAAGTACTTCGCGCAACAAAGCATCACATAATATTTTCTAAATGGCTTTCGTTTCTGTCGAGATTTTCTAAAGGGCTTTCGTTTCTTTCTGCCACTGACGCGGCGACTCTTCCTACAAAATTGTGGATTGGTGAACACTCAAAATTTTGCTCTGATGTTGACACTGTGTCCACTACTAAGGGTTCGCAAGAGACTTCCCGTGCGTCGTCGTCGTGGCGCGGCCCAACCTACCCGTCCGCCAAAGGCAGCTTCGGATTTTCAAAAAGCTCCAGCAAAAGCAAGGGGAAGGGCGGAAAAAGCAAACCGGGGCCAGGTACTCGGATGATTTTTCATGATGGAAGACACATTTTTCATAAAATTGAACTTTTATCATCGTAACTCAACATAATAAAGTGCTCGCCTGGGAAGAAATAGAAAGCGTTTTTTCTTTGTGTGAAACAACGTGACCTGAGCAGGAGTCGGAGCGTTCGCTCTGGCGTTCGTTTCTTTAGGTAGATCGTCACAAATACACTCTTCAGTCGATCCGAAAGCGCACCTCGACTGGTTACGGCGATCACAGAAAATCGATAGCAAAGCGGACCTTCATTCCATATGGAAATATACAGCAACAATCTCCCACTCCCAGAGTGTATTGTAAGTATTGCTTCGCAAGGGAAGTCCTGCGACGCAGGACCTGCGTGCTTTAGTTTCTTCAGAAACGAAACGCCACACGACATGGTCGCTTTTTTATGATGACTCGCGGTTCCGCTTTCGCAAATTTTCGTTGGTGTGCACGTAGGCATTAATAATATTTGCTTGTTTTTTGCAGGAGATCATCCTGCAAGATGGTGGAAGAGGCGCTCTTTTGCGTCCAATATCGGTGTTTACCTACACCAAACATCGATGACATCCTGTAGGGCTGGGACTGTTTATTTCTGTTCGATATTCCGCGCTTGAGGACTTGAACCTGAAAAACAGTGACATATCAAGATGAAACGTGCTCCTTTTCCAGACAGGACAGTAAGTGTTTGCACCCATTGGTTGCCATACCATCTTACAAAGAAGAAGACTCGCAAATGCAAAAAGCTTTGGCAGACCAAAATGCAGTTGCACGCTGCCACACATCGTCACTTGCACTTTAGAATTTTTGGAAGTGGAAGATTCGCTTGCGCCCGCGTTGACGTTGATCAAGAATTGGTGTCGTGGTAGCAACTGTCGTCGTGCACTTGTAAATTTGCAGAAGAACGCACAAGACAAGTGCAACATAGATTATGTTGACAGACATGCATCTCAGGCTCTCTGAGGAAAGAAATGCGTTTCATCACGATGCAAAAAAATGAAGATTCTGAAATTATTTGACGACACGCAGCCGAAGCGGCAGGCGCCACCCCGAACCACGTATCATAAATGGAAAGCTCCCGCCACACCAGAGACATCGCACCACCACATAGCGAAACGAACTTTATTTGTCTCTATTATGCAGAGCAAGCTGGCTGGCGATTTCAATTTCTCCAAGGATGCGAATCTCTTTTCGCAAGTTTTAGGCCCCTTTGTAATTTTAAACTTTTTGTAACTAGAGGGGCGCAGCACTAAGCATTTGTATTACAGATTATATTGCTTCGCAAAAAATGGTACACAGTAAGTTGCCATGGCACCTTCTGGCAGTTTGTTTCGTGATGTGCAGTTGTACGGACAGCGTGCGCCGGCGCAACAAAATTTTCTCCGGATGGAATGGTGTGGCAGCCGTTTCCATTTTGATTAAGAAACCGATATTGCCGCGCAGCTCTCCCGGGCCAAATCGCTTGCTTGGCCCACTTCGAAGTAGCGGCACGGGTCGGGCGGGAAGGTGTAGCCAGCTTTTGACGGGGACGGCCTACTGGCTTCTACTATCAATCTGTCTACTTGCATGGGCGCGTTCGTAATCGTTTTCGTTTCCGAAGCTCGAAGGAACTGAATACAATATCGAAATGCCTCTGCTTCAGTACACTTCATCGACCTACCACGACCAGTACATTAATATTCACAAACAGTCAACGCAGGAGTTATATTCAATTCGGGTATTCTTCACACAAACATCGTCATGAGAATGCCTTCCATTATCAGTGCGTGACGACCGCGCCCTTTTTATGAACACGGATTTTTGCCATTGGTACTTTCGGAACACAGTAAGTAAATTTCTCAACCTTCCAGATGAGTGCAGAGCTTGAATACAACAAGCAATATTTTACGCTAGGGATAAGTAGTGTTAATTTTGAGTTCAATATGATCAAGCGCAGTATATCTCGTCCCAGCCATTCGCAGTTGGATTCCCTTTCCCACCTAGTTCTTTGTGTGAGTGTGTTCGTCTGTCTCGTTGCAAAAGATGTATGACTGAGTGTCAGTGACATAGCGCGGCGCAGCAGATCATGAACCTCAAGCTGCATAGTAAAACAAACTCTGCCCTTTCTAACGAAGCTTGTGCCTGAAATCAGGCCGCCCTACAAGCACGACAGCCGGCCTGCAAATCTGAAGAAGCTGAGTGTACGAAAATATTTGGACAAGATGAACTCAGAAGATCAAGTTTTCCAGTTTGAATTTGACAAAGTCCCGACTTTGCTCTGCTATGTAGAACATACTGGCAATTTTCGTCACAAGGTTCTTGCCTTGCGTTGTTTTTACCAGTGGCCGCGCAGGGACGCCAGTATCTGCTGTCCCAGCACTCGAGAGAAAAGGAAAAATGTATCTTCTCGATCTCGAGGGATAGTCTGCATGGTGCATGTAGAATCAGACTCAGATATAGAGTTCTCTGTGCCGGCTCTGGACACTTTCTCTCTCCGGACGCGACGTGGTACGCCAGAAGTACTTACAGAGACTTGAGGGACCACGAGGACGAACAGCGCAGCGAGGTGTGAAGAAAGCGCGTTTGACAACAACACTAGCTTATGGACGTGTAATAGGAAGCACGTGCACTTCCTATCTTGGAAATGTAAATGAAAGCCAACAGCCGCGAAGACGCACTGTGCCTGAATTCCATATGAGAATTCCCACGATGTTTTTCGTGAGTAATCGATGACCAGTGTGACGCTTGCGTCGGTGACGCAGTCCGAGTTCACTGCTTCACGCACAATTTTGGCTTCCGGAGACGCACTTTGTGGTTGGGAATATCTATCATGACGAAAATCTCCCTTGGCCTTCTGTGGAACGTCGCGTCCACGGAACGAACAAGTACGCGCGCGTGGGACAGAAAAACCAGAATAAGGCGACGTCTACTTCCATTAGCGCCCAGGGTATCGTGACGAGCACGTATGTGGGGCACATAAGGGGACAGCAAGATTTCTTGCACACTCGGGGTGAAAAATCTACCATTTGCAACCGCAAGTAAGAACAATGGCCACTGGTTTGCAAAATAACCGCCCAGGGCTGATAGGCTCGACAAAGCTGCTTTGTTGATTTAGCCATGGATTGCAAGAAAATTTATTTGTAATTGCATCGTCCCAATGCCCTCAATATGAAAGTACTTAAGTAAAGATGAGCAAGCAATGGATGCATCTTCTGACCCGCTTATTTTTTCAAGCTATACCGCGAAGCTTGCAACCACCACGATAGATCCGAGCGATCCAGATATCCCGTTGCTTAAGGATTATTCGACTCGCTTCTGTCTGAGAGTCCAAAACAGAATTATCGCAGGGAGAAGGCGCACGGTGTGTAATGTTGTGGGTAAACAATATCATACCGATACCTATTTGGGCGACTTGGACGTGAGTGGGGCCGATGTCCAAAGCGTCACAGACTGTGCTGACAAAATGAAAGCCCAGCAAGCATCCTGCGCAAGAACGTCCCTTCCTGATTTCATTCACAAGAACGCCGATGGGCTCCCAGTCGTTTCTTTCAGGCACTTTGATCGGCGGTGTCGCGTTTTGTACCAGCTACGCACATGCTATACGCTCACGCGTAAAATTTATTAGTCCTTTTTTCATCATCTTTGATTATTTCCACTGCGTTCTTCTTACTTACTTTGTTCGGAACAAAATTACGCCACAGTTCGTTGTCACCCACGTTTGCATGCCCAGATCCAAAGGTGAACGCTTGCGACCAAATTGTAGTCATGCTCGAATCAACTAAATTGTTTGATCGTGGCTGAGACGTGATGCGGCCAGGTGAACGAACTAGGACCATGCAGTGCAGCCGAACTTTGCACGCGTGAGGCCCATACTTACAACCTTGATGTGGACTGCAGAGCTCCCAATATTTTAACAGAATGTGCCGGGAAGATGCGGACGTTTTTATATAGTATAATACGGCTATGCTTTTTCCTACAAACGAGGAGAGACCGGCGGGGCAGCACACAGTTGCAGGATTGTGACAAGGAATCCAATGGACGGCACTGGTAAAGCGGCATGGATCGGACACAATGGTTTTCCCTATGCGAGATTCGGTTCGTAGCGTTGACTGATCGCGATCCACATGGGTAACGACATATATATAATGTCATAACTAGGGCCGTTAACTTAATAGCTACGCACCATAGCTAAGCTATGCTCGCTCATGCTGATGACTTTGGCCCATCGCCTGCGTATGGCCCAAGCGTGCGTCTGTTGCCTGAGTAAGTGGAGCGATTTCATCTTTTTAGGGAGCTGGCTGCGGCTCAGTTTCTTCTACGTGGAACGCGATCACCTTACTGCGATCCGGTTTCGGATCACAGATCACCTAACAACGTAGATTGCAAATACCTCTCGCTCTGGAGTCAATTTGATCCAGGATCGGCTGATTTGACGGCTGAGGATGAGGCTAACATCGAGGGTCAAGGGTACAACGTGTATGTACCCTGTACAACAAGTTACTACGGTTGTAAGCAACAGGGCGGGTATAATGACAAGGAGTACTGCGTGGAGTCCAATGCAGATGACAGATACGAAAAGATGAGGGACCCGAGCGGACCGATTGAGTACGCCTACAACCCCACTCTGTGCGTGTACGCGGACGACGTTTTTCTGACCGCCACTGAAAAAACGCAGGACCAGTGTGTTGCCACCACTACTACGACGACCACATCCACCACAACTACGTATCACACGGGATGAAAAATGAGGACTAGCACGCCATACTTGTAAGAACAACGCCATGGAGATGGACGTCGATATCTAAGCACGAGACACTGAACAAAGACAAATCTTCGAAGCTCAACCTGTCATGTTGAAAACCATAGCATTTTAGAAGTAAGTAGCTTGGTTTCAGTAAATTTTTATTGGTGATTAATGCACGTTTTTCAACTTTCTGTTTCTTTGCGAAGTGTTCCACACCTCTGCAGATATTCTTACCTTCTTGGATTACTTAGTAGTTTGCGGGAGGATTTTTCCCGCTCACCTTAAGAAGCGCACACGCAATTCTGTTTCTTTGCGAAAAACTGTGGCATGCTGCTTTTTTCTACGGCAGACCACTGTGCCGGTGGACGCGAGGTGCGACGGCGTGGGCAACGAAGTAGTCCGCTTTAACAACACGGCTGACGTAAAGTGGATCTGCGATCAGAGGACCCAGAACGGAGCCAGGCACAGTAGCTTTCTGCATTACACTACGCAAATAGAAGAAAAATGTTGCAGTTAGAGTTCCACAGTCAGACAAATTCATCTGCCATGCCGGATATGCTTGATAGCCTAGTTTCATCGTACGTATTTGCGTTGCGAGTTTTCTATGCCATGCAGGGGAAGTTTGTTTTTTGTCCGAGATGCCCGGCTCTCAATGCAATCCGGTGCAGACAGTTTACCTTTAGGAAAATCAAGCAGTTCGAGAGCAGTTTCTGGCTCACCTTGGTAGCTACTACAGTACCGAAAAAGCTTGCGCCATATTGTTTTTGTTGCTGATGTTACAACAAATCTGTGACTGTAACACTTTTATCTTGGGATATACACGGTCGACGGCCCGAAAGATGACAACACCGGCGAGCCGTTTCCTGCTGATCTGCAGACCAAGGCCGAGTTGCCGGTCATCCACACCCTTGTCGTCTGCAAGGACTCCGTATTGAGAGGAAAAATCCCCTCTCCCCACATCAGAACGAAATTTCTGATGCTGGATTTGCGTACGCAAATTGCAAGCCCATATAATGCCAGAGTAGCGAGGTTTTGGCCTAAGGACTTAGCATGAGGAACGTCTATGCTGTAGGCCCAACAGCATTACAAAGAAACCGCCTGCATAATGGGGCGGAGCCTATGGAGTCGCTTTCTGTGAAGACAGACGCTATTTGTGGCCACGAGTCAGCACTGCAAATTTTCTGAGGCGTGCCGTCTTGATATGGGGAGGGGGGATTTTTCATTTTGATACTCCGACATGGACATCGAAGCCTGCACAGTGAACACGCTGTGCAATGCGTGCCAGCGGGCGGAAGCGTTGTGCCCAGACCCCCTGAAAAGGGAAACCATCACTGTCAATTGCGAAAGCCGCTGAAGTGCAAGCCAAAGAAACCACTGTGCGGAAGATCCGCTGTCTGACACAAGATGATGAACTCCGCGTCTTCGCCTAGTTATCCAAAACGACGGACTGTCTCCACGTATCTCCAAAGAATGGGTCACTCGGTATAGATTTTCTTTTCTAGATTGCTGCCCACTAACTAACTCGTACTCTGTATGATTTGTGGCCGCGTTTACGCATCGTCACAACCTTCCTAGATCCTCGTTGAGACGAACAAAAATCTAACACGGGGTGGAGTTCAATGCGTATTCCGGCCTCTTAATGTTAATTAGCAGCCGCTCCACTAATAAGCCTGCCATTCGACGAGCAGGCGATACCAGGAAGATAACTCGACCTATTTGCTTCCAGTCATTATTCTTCATACACTGGATCAGTGGTAAAGCCCACTGGTACGCAATCCGCAATCAGAGCGAGAGATTCGGTTTATTGTGCGCGTCCGTTGCTTGCGGCCGATCACGTCGTGTCGAGCTATATTTAAAGAGAGGACGCGACGATTCCCCTCTCCGTTGCCATAACTGCGTACAACAGGTTGGATCGCGACTCTAGTGGTGAAAGTATGAGCTTCAATCTCCTACCGGGAGCGAGGGCGCTTTCTTTCTGGACCCTATCAATTTGCAACTACGGGCACAGGATTCCAGTGCTGAAAGTAGGAGCTTCGATCGTTTACCGGGGTCGTTTGCGCTCCTTTGAGGCTATGTATCAATTTAAAAGTGGAAGTGCGCGATTCCAGTGCTGAAACTACGAGCTTCCATCGTCTTCCGGGTTCACGGGCGCTTTATTTCTCAAGCCTAATATCAATTTGAAAAATTTTCTCTGTGCATGCTGTGAACGGAGGTCGGCATCCTGATCGTAATCGTTGCAGATACGGTGCCGACTCATCTTTGCATTTGATCTCGATTTGCTCCTCCGTCCCAGTATCGACAGGCGGTGCGTTTGCTGCCGTTTGTTCACGTTCTCTGAGCGGGGAGATGAATCACGGAGCGGAATTCTTGTGAGTGTAAAAGTTGCAAGACTTTTAGATCGTGATCTGCCAATTATACAAAATGAAAATATTAGTATTATGTGCGGGAGTTGTGCAGGTGCACCGCACGCGATGAGAAAAAGGGAAACGAATTTCCATTTGTGTCAGCAGGCCTCGGATTAGTCAAAAAACATTCGCAAGGCCGGAGCAGCAGGGTATGCTGCGGAATACACGGATTCAACAACTGCACTAGCACGAAGATAATGTTTTCAAATTGATATAGTGAACGCGAAGGACTCCAAGAGCATCGCGTCGATGGCAAAGAGTTGCGCTTTTTGCCTAATGTAGAATATAAAAGTATATGCCATTTTCAAAAAGTTTCGATGGCAGCTAGTCTAGAAAGTCAATTTGTTTCGATTTCTTGTTGTAATTCCTTTCTAATGATAGTCAGTAAGAGGTCTGAGCGGGACATCAACATCATGCACCAAGAAGAAGAGACCAGGCGCATTCCAATAGGACAATTGGATGGAAATTTGGAAATCTTCCACAGGGAGAGGTGCATCTGCGCGCACCTCCGACAGAAGCTTTTCTTCTGTACTAGCCTGCTCTTGCAGAAGCATGAGATGCTATTTCACCGCATACTAATCACCTGCTTTGTTTTGCATTCGGCAATTCTATGGTTGCACCAGCTTACTTTTAGGTAAACATACCCAGCACATGAATTTCACTTGACAAGGAGTAGAATGAAATACTAGGTTGTTGCCTGCCACGACCAGTAATAAAAGTGGCAAAATATAACTCTGGTGAGAGTACGTGCGTGAATTTGTGCGGAGCGATCTACGAGGAACCACTGCGGTATTAGTTCTTTTTCTATCAAACTGTCCCGGTGGTCCCCGAGTCGGAGCAGTCAAAACATAACCTGTGACTCCGTCTTGAAACGTTTCTCAAGCATGATGAATTTCGGTTCACTTCTGCAAAAACGCGCCTTGCCAGTAAGACCGCAAATCCGCGCAGGAGCTACCCAGAAAAGTGCGAAAAAACCTAAAACCACAAGGCCGAGCGGGAGCGCGTTGTCTTGAATATAACATACTCTATTGATTGATTGCGCTTCTACATGAGAGCGCTTCTACATGAGAAACTTCTCAAGTTTTCCGCCGTGTTTTGGCATATTAAGGTTACGGCCGCGCCTTGTTGATCGCCAAGAACAGAGGCCGAATTCGATGCCTCCTGAAGAGTGCGCAATTCATCTATTGTCCAGGCAAAATCTTTTCCTCTGGGGAAATCAGGGCTGTCACTTTTTGGGTAGCAATCGCCGTTCGTGTGCTTGGCCCGTTTTTGCTGCTGCAAGGAAGTGAGAGGCTTGGTATTTGGATAGGAGTGTGAATTATTTCCCCACTCCTTTGAATCACTTCCCCACGCTTCACCACCCGACCCGGGTCAGTGCCTCAAATCCCCTGCATCGCCTCCCCACCTCCCCCGCATTACCTCCGCGACAGCCGGAGCCGATGCAGAGCCGGCGATCAACTTCGTTGCTTAGGGCTTAGGGTTCGGCGTTTGGATCGTCGAGGCCAGACGGCGCCGCCGCGCCGTTTGACCTCGCTGACCCCCTTCTTCTCGCGCCGCCGCCGCTCTTCCCGTCCGTACTTATTGTGCGCCCGAGCGTTCTCCTATGTGTGGTTCGGCCCCCCAGTGTCGCGCCCCCGCGGTGCTCCCAGCGTCGCGTGTTTTTAAGTACAATACTGCGCTCCCCGTGTCGTGTCGTTCCATGATGTCCGCCCTGCCTCCTGGGCCTGCCACCTGGTGGCGCTCACAGACATAGGTAGGCACGGGGAGCGCAGATGCGGGCAGCATACTTAGAAGGTAGGCTCGCGGGGCGCAGCTGCGCAGCAGCGGGCGCCACCAACCACTCTTGCGGCTGGTGGGAAAGTGGGGCCTGACTCCCGCACTTCGTTCCCCAGCACTGGGGAAGTAAGGACTTCTCCATGTGAGGGGAAGCATTTCCCCAGGGCGGGGTTGTGGGGAGGTGGGGAAGTGATGCGTGGGGAGGTGATTCACAACATACCTAGCCCGGCATTTGTTTACCAAAAAAAGATGGATCAGAAATTGCTTAACAGTAAACCCGTGCGCCGCTTCTAGGTTCGCAAGACATTGAAAATAGGTGAGGCGGGTGGTCATTTGTTACACCAGGTCGAAAAAAGCTAGACCACTGACTTTTCTTTGCGGGCCGCAATGAATTAGAGTCGCGGCGCGTCCGGAGCATGTAGGGGCGGGCACGCTTCGCACCGAAAACAACAAGCCGCCGCGGTTCGCGCGTTACCTTGTCGGGTCGTGCTAGTAAACCGGGTCGTGCTAGCGAGAATCTGAGCGCCCATACCCCGAGTCCAAAGAAACGTAGCTTCACAGCTTGAAAGAAACGGTCTGAAGTCTAACTATGCTTTGGGTCGGCGCCCCACTTTAAGCTCCGTTGGGTCGGCGCCCCACGGATAATGTTTCCAACACAACGATAAAATTACTCGTCTACGATTGAGGCGAGGACGAGAATTGTTGTATGTGCAGCAAAACAGGGACGAGTAGCTCTAGCTCTGACAACACCAGAAAATAACGAAGGCCTCACATGATGGATTTGTTTGTTTTGTATTGATATTTTCCTTTTCTTCCCTCGCTTTATTTCTCTAAAGGCTCGTGGGTAGAACTAGAAGGAGAAGCTGACTCTCATAAACGGTTACAACGGTTGTAACGGACAAAAATTTTATTGCATTTACAGACAAGCGCAGTTACAGTTTTTCTTTTTATCCAAAGACGAGGAAGCTCTTGAAAGTGAAGTCGATATTCACCCTCCACAAGGAACATGCCTGTTTCCGGCAAAAGAATTGCAGGACTAGGCCTGTTGTCCTGGCAGTTCAACGCTGTGTGGAATTCTCCTGGGGTCGCCGCTCTTGTGGTGGACGTTTCAAGGCGCGTCGACAAACAGCAGAACGTCAGGCGAAGTGGCAAGACACGAAAGGCCAGCGCTGGTGCCACGACCGCAACTACCGCTACCACCATGGATCCGGCGATTGAGCTCAAGAAAGAACGAATTTGTGCTAAGCTTGACGACAAGATGGTTGGTGGACGCCGACGAGCATCTTGGTCCTTTATGTAGTGACGTCACGCACATGCTTCGTAGTTTTCTTTCAACGAGCCGCAAAAGATGCTCGCCGATTTCTAAGCGGCAGAAGTGTTTTCTCGATCTTGATGAAATGAAGTTAAAACAGCACCTGGCCCTGTTTGCCTTTACCGTCAACGAATCCCAAGGGTGTTACCCCCTCGATACAGACCGGCAACAACGGCCCCGACGAACTGCCAAAAGTGACGCAGGCAAGAGCGGCGCCCACAGCCGTGGCTTCTGGCTGTTCGGGGTGCCCGGACTTCGCTATAAAAAGTTCGCGGACAAGAATGACAGCGGCCCCCCATATGGTATGGGCCCTATTTTTGTGCATTGTAGACGACCGCGAGACCGGCCGCGACTTTTCGTCAGTCCAATAGCCTGCGTGTCTCGCGAGGGCCTCGCCGAGGAAAAAGAAAATAAAACGCAAAAAATACAGGGTTCGCCCCGAGACTCGCGATGCCATCTTGAAAAATTCCGCTTCCGCATTTAAGTGATTACAATTTTCCGTCCTATCGGGCCCGCTGCAGGACTCCCAAGCCGCGCCGGAGTTGGATTTTTCACGCAAGCCGATAAAGTCATAGTCGCCATACGCCAAACAGCTCGACTCTTGTTGTTATTTTGACTACACTTGCACAGATTCCAAAAGCGCGTGGTGTAACGCTATGAACGACGGCGCGGTGGTCGCGGGCCCAAAGCGGGGAAGTCCGCCAGCTTCGGTTGCTTCACCCACCGTGCGTGAAACCGGTGCTCGGCTGTGCTTTCTTCGCTGGCCGCCTAGCCAGAGGCACACGCGTAGCAAAGACCTCTCGGGCCGCGTTCCCTACCATGCCCGGCTTCCGTCCGCTTTGCTGGTGCGAGCCTTCCGTCGCGCTTTTTGGCCCGAGGAAGAAAGAAAACGCCAGAAGCCTCACTACCTCCGCTCAGGCGGCTATATTCCACACCTACTATTATGGGGACAAAATTTACGATCCCAACAGTGTAGACACTGTAGCAGAATGCAAAAACGAACTTGACGATACGGGAGGAATAGTGTTCTCCTTTGGTGAAGAGGCAAAACTGCCTCCCGACTCCGGGCACTCCAGCTCCAACACGGGCTATTACTACCAAGACGGCAATAGTTTGTATATCCTGGGGGAAAACATCACAGCCCCATACCCAAGATGGGGCAGCTAACTGCACATGCCCAGAAGCTTCGTGGCCTCCTTGTATCAGACTTACTTACCCTCGCAGTGCAAGCGTTCGTAGCTCTAAAAGCAGCAACACGTGCCATGCGCCACCGGATGTGCTGGGGAACACGGACTCAGGCAAAGTTTGGGCAGTCTACCCTGCGACTAACCTAGTGACCCGCTACCACCGGTTGCCGGTCGGGCATTGTCGAGCCGCAACGGCCGGCAAGCACTGACAAGATGAAAGGGCCAACGGACTCAGATTTGGCAGAGCGCCGCCATTTTCAGCAGCGCCACCGTGCTAGCAATAAGGCAGGCCTGCGTGGGTCTTGGGGCTTTGCTTTCGGTGGTGCCAGGTTGTTGGGCCGCTAAGGCCGAAGGGCGTTGCTTTCGGGGGATCCCGCCAGCGCCCGTCCTGTGATCGGCGCTCGCAGGTGGTAGATAGGCGACCAGGAAAAAGGGAGTGGCCCGCAGTAGTTTGCCAGAGAAGGGACGGCCAGCATCTTCATCGCTGGCCGTCCAACTTTTTTGCTGATTCCGGAAGCGCAGGCGGACAAACTGCCATGGGCCGCACACGAATGGAATGGACCGCCGGAAATCGCGGGGGCGGGGGAGGCGCCGGAGAAGCAGCAAGGCGGGCGCACCCCCGCGCCGCCAACGCCCTTGCCACAGACGCGTCCGCCCCGCGACCGGCTTTGGTTGTTCGGCTTCGGCAACCGCTCCGGGCAACTGCCCCGCGCGGCCTCGGGCCTGGCGGCTTTTTTGCCATTTCCCGCGAAAAGGGCCGGCAGCGCCTAGGCAGGCGGGGGCGCTTTGCGGCATTGAAAGGCTGCGGCTTTTAGATTTGGGGAAAAGTGGGACCCCCATCCGCCCGCGCGCTGGATGAGCCGGGGAAGGGCCGCCCCCGCGCTATCCTACCTGCCACCGGCGGGAAGCACCGGTATAGTCTCTGAAACGTGGCCTTGCGCCGCCACCACCTTGACGGCCAGGACCAAGGCACGCCGGCCCGCCGTCGGTGCTTCCTTGTGGTCTTTTGCGGCAGCCTTTAAATGTGGCGCGCGGGACACTACTAGCCGGCCCGCAGGCCATCCGGATTTATTGAATAAAGGCAAGCGCAAGCATAGCGTCTGCAGGGATTTCTCACGCAAAGGGCGCGCCAAATACTTCAGAAAACCCACCCGCCGGCCGCGCGGGGAGATTGAGAGTCCTCTCGCCCTGTGCCCCAAGAAAGGTGCGCGGATACCAGGGAGCCCAGAGAGCCCGCCGCCGCCCCCGCAGAAACCGTGCGCCCGCGAGTTTGCCAAAAGCGGCAGCACAGTCCAAGCGAAGCGCGAGGGCCTCACCCGGCCCCGTCCCTCTCTCGTTTCGCTTTTTGCGGGCGGGCACTTACGCCGAAGCAGAAGCACCATCCAAAAGCACGCGGGCCGGAAGCGGCATGAAAAACCCGGCAGGCAAAAGGAGAGCGCGCGAAGCCGCCGCCAACTCCCCCACGATCGAAATAGATACGGCCGGGGTGACTGTGGCGCGCGCGCGCCGACTTGTCGCGCTTCGCCATGTTAGAATGACGGCCCGAGGGTTGGGACAGGAGTGCCCCCGATATTCAGGGCGCTACAAGAAGGAGGGGGAGCGCGCGTGGCGTATTGATTTCGCCAGCCCTTTTCGGGTGGCCGGTTTGCAGCGCGCCGAAAGGCCGGGCCATGCATGGTATGGATGCGTTGCATTGGTTCCCGACATGCGACGCGTGCTCCGTTGCTCGCGCGCGCGGTGCCGCCTCGAAAGCAAAGGCGTCGCTGTTGCGTGAGTGCGAATGCCGAACTGCGCGCGGCCACCGCGCGGCCCGAGAAAGTTTTCCCGTTGTGCCCCCACCCCGATCCCCGCGCGCGCAGGGCGCGCCCTGAAAGCGGCGCGCCATTTCACACACATTCCCGCCGAACGGCCCGCGCGCGCGCAGCGTGCGGCCGAAATGAATTCAGCTGTCGCGCCTGCGTGTGGCGTCGCCCGGCGCGCACCTTTCGACGTCCGCCCACATGTGCCAACAAGCGGGCAGAAGTTGGGTAGGCCAGCCCGCCGCGGCAAGCACTATCATGGAGGCGAGCGGGCGCCGCGCTATTGTGGTAAGCTCTGGGAATAGGCTGGCTGCGGCCGCTTTCCTCTCGGGCATGCCTGCGATGGCGCCGGGCATTTACCGAGGTAGGTGCGCGCGCGCAGCTCGGAGCACTGTGGTGGCCAGTCTGTCGCGCAGGAGGGGCGGTCCAGGCGGGCGGCCCGTGGCGCGCAACGTTTTGCCTAGCCTGCGGCGGTCCGATTGATCAGATTCATGAAGGGGCCAGCCAATTTGCTGGGAGCGGCCGGCATGCGAAAAGCAAACAAAGAAGCGGCGTGCGCGCGATAACTGTCTCGGCTTGTTGCGCTCCTCGCTTCGCGCGCTCAGTGTTCTGGCTGCGCCTGAGCAGAAAAGGCGCAAAGGCCTCGCGGGCGCGCACATTGATTGCGCAAAGGCATCCGGCGAGCGCGCTCGTCTTCCGCCCCGCTACACATTGCAGCGCTTCGCAGTCTGGCGCGCTGGTTCTGGCTCTTAGCTTGTAGGCCCGGCGTTCTTCGCAGTGGCCTTCCTGCGCGGCGAAGGTTCTCCGCCTTACTGCCCAGCCAAGCAAGCAGTCCCGGTAGTGGCGAGCAGCGCCACGCACGCTAGTATGGCGCAAGTGTGGGGCCTGTTGTTTTCAACACACACGCAGACCGCCGGCATGTTTAGGCTTCGGCATAAGTACCCGGGCCCTCCGCCTCCGGCAAAGAAAGACGGCGCCTGGCCACTTCGCAGAGGCGATACCGGGACGGCCCGCCGGCGGATAGGAGCTCCCGCGCTGCCCCACTCTTTAGTAGCTCGGGCCGCTTTCGAACCGAATCGCCAGCGAAAACAACCGCCGGCCGGCTGATTGAAAAAAGCGCCGGCCCGCAGGTGGGCCGGCAAGTGGCGCCCCTCCGAGGCGCCCGCCGCCTCGGGTTCTGGCGGTTCGTTTTGAGGGTCTAGAGCCTGGCGAACAAGATGGGGGCAGCGCGAAAAACGCACCGGGGCCGCGCGGTGCGCGACGCGCGCCAGTTTTGGCGTGCGCCTGAGACCCGCAATCGCTGGCAATAAGTAGCGGGGGGCACTTCAGAAGCGGGCTTGGGGCCAAAAGCCAAGTGTGTCTTGCTAAAAAACGAAACAAAACGCGCGCGCCCAGAAGCTGGAAACCAATCCGCATGCTTTGGGCCTGATTTGAGACGCCTCTCCCTCGGGTCGGCCCTTGCTTCGCGGTGGGGGCCCTGGTGTTGCTAATGCATGTGGCGAAGGGAACCCAAACGGCCGGCAACTGAGGGCCGGGCCTTTCATCGGCCAGCGGCCGCGCCGTCGTGCCTCCCGCCGGCCGTGCATGGCACTAGGCTTGGTGGAATGGCGGGCATGCAGCAGGAGGATGCGCCCGCTTTCAGATTGGGACAAGACAAAAAAAGCGCGGCGCCCTCATTGCCCCCGTTGTGGTTGCTATTATTGGTAGGCCAGCTGAGGAAGCGGCTCGCTGAGTTTGGCAATGCTTCGCCCGGGGAAACAAGGAAGAGCCGGAAAAGCGAAAACGCGGGACAGCTCTTTTGCAGTCGGCTTCACAAGCCACCAAAGGCGCCTGGCTCTCTGAGTTTTCTCGAGGTGCCGGGCCTAGCCAACACAGACACAGGGCGGCGGCGAAAGGTCTGCCACCACCACCACCATGCCGGCACTAAGATTCTGGGTCCTGGGGCTTTCAGTGGTGCTAAGCTGCTGGCCCGTTAAGGGCTTCGGGCATTCGTCGGGTCTTGTTGACCAAAAACAGAACGCATTCAGGCAGTCGACTGGCTTAGACTCGTCAAGCCCATATGGGGCCGCGATGTTTTTGCGCGGGATATCCGCCGACCAAGAGACGAAGTGCCGAGTCGCCAGCAGGGCGCACGGAGATAGGAATCAAATTAAACAGAAAAACCCTGGCACTTGGGAAGACTGGAAGAACCTTGCGCCGACGACCGTCACTGGCCACACTGCTTACCGGAAATGCGTTTCCGCGTTAGATCCAAACTCGCCTGTTGACTACTACATGTTAAACGAGGTGGAAACGCAAGACACCTACGATCCAGCACTCTGCGTCTACGCAGAAGACATTTTTCTCACCGATGCTGAAAAAACCCAGAGTCATTGCCCCCCCACAACGACGACCACAACTACTACAACTTTCAACGTGGTTCCTTACTTAAAGGATCAAAAAATTTGTGGAAAAAAGGAAAACGCAATGACTATGGCCTCCTCAGCTTTTACATTCTCAGCTGGCACGCCCCTGAGAGCGCTTGTCATGGCAAACCAGCAAGAGAATAAAAGCACGACATTCTGTGCCGGTCGCATGACAAATTTTGGAAAGATTTCGATCCTATCTGAGGCTTCTTAAATATGTGATGTGTGGATTGATAAACATGAAGATGGGCATGGGGGAGGAGATGCTGGCACAGATCTGGCATGATGAATGTATCGGCTAATATGTAACACTTACACTCAATGAATGTGTGCCAGTTGAGGAGGCCATAATTATAGGAGGACGACGACGCAACGACAACGGCGTCTATGGTAGTGACGGTACTTGCTACCAATATGGCGCACCAATTGTTTACGGCGACGCGACCTACGAGACGGTGACAGATCCTCTGACGTGTTTACAGAAGCTGGATGAAAAAGGTACCGGAATAGTATTTTCTTTCGGTGGAGACAAAAAAACGCCCGGCAGTCCATCAATGACCGGCAGCAACCACGCTACCGCAACACAGTGTAGAATCGCGAACGTAGCAAATTACCCCACGCAAGGGACTTACGCAGACTGTGATCAGGAAGACTGGCTGGATACTGCGGATCGGGCGGTGGACAAGCACGTTGCCTACCGAAAATGCGTCTCCTCTCAAGATCCCACGTCAGTTGTTGACTTCTACATGTCTGGCAATGCGCAGGTGGAAGATACCTACGATCCAACGCTTTGCGTTTACGCCGAGGATATTTTCCTCACCGCCGCCGAGAAGACCCAAAATCATTGCCCCACCACAACCACCACATCAACCACCACTACAACAGAGCCCGTAGATGTCAAATGCGATGGCATTGGCAACGAGATGGTCCACTTCAACAACACGCTATCCAATGTGTAAGTGCATCGGTGTACTAGATATCAACCTGGTGCGAAAAAACTGTAATGTAGAAGGGGTGATCTAGCAAGATGCCATTGTCATGGCGACACTGAAATGATGATAAAGGTCAAGAATGCATGTCGAAGTCGATTCGCTTGCCATTTCCTTTGCTGAATGAGCCGACTTGAACTTGAGTTTCATACTTTGCGCCCTCCACTATAAGATCAGAATGCCCTTTCCCGTAGTTGCTATTGTTATTGAGGGACAAGTAGGAGAAGGAAATGGCGCACCTATGATTAACACTCAAGAGCAAGCACCTGCCTGACGGTTCTCAAATCCACCTTCCGCAGCAGGCGAAAAGCACAGCCACTAAAGACGACACTGACGCCCTACCTTCGTTTTATTCTATGCAGTGCACATATTTCTGGGCATTGAACAGTACAGCGAGCCTGGAGTAGACAACGAGAAAAATCTGTCTTGCACAGTCAGCAAAAGTGTGCGCCGTTCTCTCCGGACGAAGGAGGCACTCCTCATGCAGATCGGGCATGGAGAGGCATCCGCCGCTCTTGTCATGCTCTGCATGCACTCCAGGCCTTCTTGCAGGTCCAACGTAAGTATTCTTGGCAAATGTCTCCACTTTTTCAGGCGCAGACATATTTGCAATTGATATGGTCACAGCCGACGTCATTTGGATATGCGATCAGATGACTCAAAACGGGGCCGCCTTTCGGGGTTATGACGCGGATGAAAATCGCGGCCGCGCTTGGTCTCGGTTAAGTAAATTTTTTCTGTGGTCGCACGTGGGTGTATCTATTGAGATTTGCGCAAGATTTTGCACTTTGCGTGCTTCGACCCACGGATGACGGAGATGCTGGTCGCAGGATAAGTAAATATTAATAGTAGCGCGTGCACCTTCGCACTCGATAATTCTCGTGATACATTAGTTTAGAACAGGAATTCAGGCCCCTGGGCCTAGCCTATGCAGTACGCCACGTGCAACTGAAACAAGCACAGGCACAATAACAAACGTGGCTAGCGCACCAACCTGAGCGTCGTCGTTCGTCTGAAAAAGAACTTGCGCGCCAAGAATATCGCCGAGGGCTGAATAAGTAAGATTTGTAAAGCGATTTTTTCTTTATGCGTGCGTTTACTTATGCGCTTAGCCGTTTTGCGCCATCCGTATTCGCGCCTTTGCCGATCCCCGCGCGCCCGCCGCGGCACACCGATCGCACGCAAGGAGGAGGAATGCCCTGCGGTGCCTGCCCGCGTTGGCCACCAGCGTGCCTGCCAGCGCTGCTTACCCGCTCTGCCTGCTCTCGCAACGGGCCGTCAGTGGGCGCGGCCCCCACCATCCCCAAACCCGCCTGCTGCCACCCCGTGTTGCCGCCCGGCCCCCGTATCATGTTGCCGCCCGGAAGCCCGCACATGTTGCCCGCGCGCGCGCGCATCTTCAAAATGCTTTGCGTGCAATGTTTTCGATGCCCGGGACCTCTATGATTGTATGTACGTAGTGAGGTCACGAGCGTTCATCTATCCTCGCTGTTTTTTTGACGCCTCACCTGCAAAACGCCCGGCAGTTTTCAATCGGGCGGAGGTGTTTTTGGACGTAAAATATTTCCATTTATCAATCGGCCGGGGCGTTGCCGGCAAAAAAGCCAGCGCGGATTCTATCGATTCCCAATTGAAAGCACGACGCAAGGGGGCCGACAAAAGGGGCGTCCTTCTGAGCCGCCCGGCGCATTTGCTTCCGCCGATTTGGGGCGCCTAAAAAGGGACGCCAAGAAAATGCGAAGACGACAAAAACCCTGGATCCGCATGGTGCGCGCCCCATTTTGGCTCATTTTTGAAGGTCGCAAGGCCGGCCACAAAAGTCTGGCATTTGTAATGCGGGGAACAGGCCAAAAGGTGCGACGCTTCACCAAAAAAAACCCAAAGAAGCAAAGTCCGCAAAAATCTGAAAGCCAATCCGCATGCTACGGGCCCGATCCGGGGCGCCCAAGGAGTTGGCCCTGGCGGGGCCACAGCGTGCGGGACAGCGTTGCTGCTCTGGAGGCAGCAGGGGCGCGGTTTTTCAACAAGAAAAAACAAAAAACGCGAATGCCGTCAAAAGCAGCAAGCTAGCCTGAATGCCGTGGGCCCGCCCGATTTCTTTGGGACGCCCAACGTTTTCGGACCTATTTTGAAGACAGGAAGGCGGGGGTCTGTCGCCGTGATTTTTACCATCCGCGACACCATGCCGAGTAACATTATACGCGAAGGAATACTTGTGGCGAAAAACGCAAATATTTTGCGCATGGGTGGAATACGCGAGAACAGTAAGGAAAAGGGGGTCGGGTAGTCAAAAAAACCGCCCTGACCTCACTACCCCCGCCGAGGCGGCCACTATTGGCATTTTCAGACGAGCTTACATACTTGCCCGCAGTATTTATGAAAAAAGGAACACGCAATCACGTTCACGTGCGCGAAATGCGCAGGAAGAAAGGTGGCACAGCTTATTGCTGCAGTGCGAGAAATTCTAAATGTTCGAACCTAATCCTGTAGTGTGTAGTTCAACGTCTGAGCGTGGAACCGATTTCATCGCCATCGCTACTTTCTGCACTACCTGCGTACCGGCCCGAAAGACAACATATGGAGTGTAAAAAAAAAACGCAGTGCTAGGATCAACGTCACCATTGCGAAGCTGTCCGCAAATCTTGAACTTCTAGTATTGGCGCAGCTAGTCCTGAGTGAACCCGGAGAAAGTCAGAAGCCTAGCCCCCTCGCTCGCTCTCCGTTTATCCTGGTCCCCTTTTTCCTTGCTCTCCCTCCCCGAGCTTTTTCAAGTAGATTGCCCCCCTCCCATCCTCCGTACCTTCTGATGTGCCCGGTAAGCCGCTGCGCCCTTCTCTTTCGCCCCCGCCCCCCATCTTCTTCCCCTTTTCTTTAGCGCAGGCGATGTGCGAATTCTCCCTGTCTTCTCCTTTCTTCTTCTCTGCCATTCTGTATGTTTTTGGCCCTGGCATTCATTCTGTGTCCCACTCCCGGCACGGCCATTTTCGTTTGTTGCACAGTCAGTTGGGGGCCGACCCCGACTCGTGCCTGCGCCTGCCGCGTATCGTTTTTCTGCTGGCGTATTCATCGCCGGCGCGCCACAGCCCAAGAAGGACCGGTCGCAAAATGCCATGCGCTAGGTATGTGTTGCAGTGTGTGCTGGCGATTTCTCGTGTGCAGAGGTCTTGGCCGCTTCGATGCAGCACAGCTTCTCGCTCCCAACGGAGAGCACTTTCTGTCTTTGCTCATTGATTGAGTAGTCTGAATTTGTTCGGTCAGTCCTTTATTATGTGATGGTGGCGACGCGATGCATTGCAGTTTTCGAAGTCGAGACAACAACGGAGAGCCCTATCCAGGTGATCCGCTGACCAAAGCCGATCTACCGGTCACTCAATACAGTGGAGAACGTTGCCGTCACCCAGCTTGTTCTGCCTCCTACATACTTAGATAGACATGCATAGGGTCAAAAAATATATAAAAACAAAGTGCATTACCCGACCAAGAATCTAGCATCGGCAAGGAGAACAAGAACAGCCCGCGTCATCGTCGCAGTGCGACCATTCTGCACTTTTCTCACTTTTTGGCACATGCTGGAGATGGCGCATCGTCATCAACGATAGGCGGCTTCGGGCTTGATATGATGTTGCAATAAATATGTTTTAGTGGGACATCTGCCCCTGATAGTATGGCTAGCCTTTGTGAGGAAGTGAGGCGATACCCGAGTGGCATCCTGGGGCCTTGTTTAAAGTCCTCCACGCAACTTGACTGAGAAATGCATGTGCGCCAGTATGTAGAGAGACTGCTAACAGAGAACTTCCTAGTATCTTCATCATGCGGACACGAGGTGAGGATATGGAAGCGGCCGCAGCTGGGAAGTCAAATCGGAAAAGCAGAGCTTTCCCGTGGGTGCAAATAAAGATCGAGGAAGTCCCAGTGCTGACGCGCTTGTCGTACTTAGAGTGCAATAAATGCAAGTAAGTAAGATGACTTGGCATTCGTTTCTTCCTGCTAGCTCATCCGGCCTCTTCATTCTTCAAGTTTGTAGCCGATGACGGCAGCTGCGGACATTCGTTGCGTTCTGCTATGAAGAAGCCCACTTTGCTGCTGGTTGCGCCGGAAAGCATGCTCGTGAGAACTGTCTAAGTACGAGTAGTCCTTTCTGTCGTGATTTCTCGCTCTTGCTCGCACGTCCATACCTCTAATCGAACAATCTTCACTGCAATATGTTTATGGCACAGAAGAGCCGGCGGGAAGTGTTGGTTCTTGAGGGGCGGGTCATGGGTGGTGTGAGTCGAGAGACTCAGAAGTGTATCAGTGTTTTCAAATTGGCAGCAAAAAAATTTCGCGAGCCGTGTGGTGGAGTCCGCCGGTCCATACCGTGCTCTACTTGTTGTGTTGTGTGGCGTTTGGTAGCTTTGCATCTTTTTCTTTTCACTATATAACATAGCGCATCGCCCATCAGGCCGTCCAACAAGCCCAGAACCCTCCGGCACTTTACTAATTGAAAATCCGCACATACGTTATATGCAAGGACCTCGACGTGGAAATTGAAGCTTATCAATGAGAAATGTGTTGCCCTTGTGCGTGGGCCCAGAAAGTCTTGTTTAAGTATGTAGATCACCAGAATGAAACGAGTGCCACTGCCAGCGCCCTCTGCAGGCTGTACGTGGCTTTCGGAACGAACAGGACACAGCGTGGAGCGAGGCTGTCGTGTGGCCGAAACGCACAGCGCATGAGGAGTTTCCGAGCCCTTTGTTCTGTCCATTGCTTAGCTGATACAACGAGCAGCGTCCTTATCTTCCAGCGTCAAAAGCAAAAGGATATTGATGCGAGAACTCACGGCTACACAATTGCGCACTAATCCGTCCCAGAAAAGATTGACATTGAAACGCTTCACTTTTGTATTTGCTTCTCGCGCGCTCAGTTGCTATTCCTACGAAAGCAACGAACCATGCATGTTTCTTTCGTCACCTAATCTGAAAAATCAGACTTTCATCAATAATTTCACATGGGCTCCATTTCAATGCCAAAAAGCTTGCACTACCAACGACTTATGCAATGCGTGCCAGCAAGCCGAGGAGAAGTGCTACCCTGTAAAAAACCGTACCCATCGACACCGTCCCTATAGCCTGCACTTCCGATCTTCTGCGATCGCACCGCATAGACTTATTGCGCTTGTCAAGCAGCATAGCTGATGGGGATGGCCCCTTCTAACGGTTGCACATCCCTATCCCACGGAGGCCAGTAAGTATATTTTTACCGGTGCGGCTGCATCAGGACGAGCAGGACGCAGTGCCTTTGTTTTGTATATGCGTTTAGTTGTCAACATACAAGAATACAGATACCGGCGAAAGCGATACACTCTAAGCGAGTCACCTCATAGATAGACATCAAGTGCATGAAATTAGAAATCGGGCGGATGGGTACTCTTTTGGAGTTCAGATTTGCCCGGACGCATTGCGGAGGACGACCGTCAGTATCAAGGCGGAAACTGTGTCACTTTTTGTCTGAAACGAAAGGTGAGAATGTTAGAACAGCAAGGATCTCCTTTGGCTTGCCTACGGGATGAGACAGAATCTATGTAAGCAGACAGAGAGTTTGAGGCCTCTGCCCGCGGTTGATCACGAGTGGGAGTGGGGCAGTGCAGTGACCCCACGGACAGCTAATGCATCCTCGCGATCCATCCTAGACACAGTCACAGACGCGACTCTATCGAATAAACTTGTGATCCACTGCAACACTGCCAAGTACACCACGACTGAGCCGGATCCTCGCAACTCATATATAACACTTCCGCGAAAAATGTGTAAAGAGAGACAGTTTTCGTGCTTGTAGCTGCGGTCAACTGCGAAAACCGGTAATGGAGAAGCCAAACTACGTAAGAGCTTTGAAGTGACTAGCTGACGCATTCCGGACTACAGATGTAGTGGGTGACGCAGCGAGAACGCAAGGGCGTCACACGAAAAAACACACGCACCAACCACTAAAGAAAAACGTGGCACGATTTGACTCTTACCGATTCAGCGGATTCGTTGAGAAGAATTTTGTTTTCCCGACACAATATCCTGAGGGGCGCAGAAAACTCCAAGACCTGCATCGCGTCCATCGTGATATCGACCTGGGTTTCATCATTGTGTCGTTTTTTTGGAAGTCAGGCGCGCAGGGAGGCACAGGCGCTGACAGGGAAGATTTCTATCAATCTGTTGAGAAGGAGAGCAGCAACTTTTTTCTTTTGCCACGAGTTGTAATAACAAACACAAAGCCAATACAGCTGCGATTGCGTAGGTACCTAATTATATGCAACAGCAAAGTAGTAGAAACGAGTCGGCTAATCTTCGGCTCCTCTGTGTTTTTTTTCGAACGAAGAAAACGAAGTACTTCGCTTACCCCGCATCGAATGGTGTTTTTCTTTTCGAAACAAAAAATAGAGTACTCCACTTACCCCACACCGAATGAAGAGGAGTAATATAAAGGAAAAGTCAGAATCGAAGCGGAATACAAATTGTTCTACTTTTTAGCTAGAAAAGATGCTAGTCGTAAAGATACTTGTTGCGCTCTGCACCAACTGTTGCACGAACAGAATGAAAGTCCGCGGCGATGATGAAGGGCAGCGTGAAAGAGCATGGCCACAACTTTAAAAGTATCCATGGCCTTACCTCTCGACAGAGCAACTCTGTCAAATTATCGAACTGATAAACAACCTCGTATAATGAATCGCATGAAGGGCCGCCTCATCCGCGACGAGCGCCCCGAGGCACCAATACATAGAAGACAAAGTAGCACTACATAAAGGAGCACAAGGGAACTCAATCAATGGCGTTCAGAGGAAAGCACGTGGCTGACACTGAGAACGCGAGAACGCAATCAATAGCGTCTGAGCCGTGAGACCGCGAGAACGCAAACGGGCCAAGCGGCACACCCCCCCCAACTTCGCGCAAGGACCCTGCGAAAAGTCAACTGTTACTCGACCCCCGATGCAGATCCGAGGACCCGAAACTGTGGCATTGTCAGCACAAGATCCTGTACTTACTTTTAGCTAGCTTTGTTTCAGTCCTTGCGCGATCGATTTTGAACGACTAAGATTTGCGTAGAAGAATAGTTTACCCAACACAGATTCTGTCAGTCTCTGTGGTCGTTTTAATCTTGCTTCTGTTGTCGGTTCTGGTACTTGCAAAGAGACGATCTCATGCTTTTTATTTTGTAAGTACGGGCTGGCGGAGGTGGGAGAAGCGCGCGGTAGTCCACCGAAGGAAACACTGCCAGCATCGTCCGCCTCGTCCTCGATTTTTGTGGTTTGTTGATTTGTTGGGACGAAAAGGAAAAGAGGGCCCCAGCTTCTTCTCTGAGACCTGCAAAGGCGCTTGCTAGACACTACCACTCGCTCTTTCGGTCCTCAAGCTTACTGGGTTTATTGTAGTCGCGTAAGTATTAAAGGTAAAAGGTACGTGTGCGTCACAGTTGGCCTTGCGTCCTACTTACCTAATGGGCCGAGAGTGCGGCTTCAGAAGTGGTGTTCATGTGCCGCATCACCATATTTACTAAAAATAATATTACGTAGCAGAACAGTGTAAGAATAAGTTTCTTTTCATCGTCCAGCTGAAACTGAAAGAAGACATTGAGTGAGACTGACTTTCAGGAGGAGCTGCCGTTTCCGTTTGGATCTAGAAAAATTACAAAATATCTATCGGCTGACTTACTACATGTAATTCGACGCGCTGACGCTAGGCAGTCAGAGGCTGCGCTCACTCTGGCCTGGGCTAGCTACAGAAAGATAGATCGTCCTGTCGGTCCACGAGCCACACAAAAAGTTTACTCCCGGCGACTTCGGTAAGTTTTCGTGACCCTCGATGAAAGCGTTCGGCCATGTTTCCGTTCTCGTACAGAACCAGAAGGTGAAAGAGAACCATAAAAGTGATCGGTTTTCGTCCTATCCGCCGATGCGATTCGTTTTTCTAAATGCTTGTTTTTTCTCTGAACGCACCAAGCGCGTTAAGCTATTCTATACTTCGCTTTCGTGCCTTCCTATCTACTTTTCGTTCTAGGCGGCGAATAATCGTACTTTTTCCGCGCTGCGCTGCTCAGTCCTCTTGGAGAGCGATGATCTACTGAATTGATACACGCCAGGACCCATCCAAGACCCATTTTCGAAAAAAGTCAGAAAGTTTGTGTTACACGGACTAGCTACGCACAAGGTATCCCCAGGCCTAAGAAGTACGTGTTTTGAAGTTCACCGCGCGTGGAAGCACATTTCATTTGCGTCATAAGTACCAGCACAACTTCAGCAGCTTGAAGGGCAATCATGTCATCTTCGTCGTCGTCCTCCTCCTCCTCTTCGTCATCGAGCTCGTCTTCCAGCTCAAGAACAGGATCTTCCGCCCCCGGTTTTGGGGGGGGTACGAAGAGCAGTCGCACTTCGAAGACCACTATCCACGGAAAAAGGCGGGCACTGGGCTGTGGCATTGCTTCAAATCTAGTCATCGTGTGCTTCTTTTGCAACAGCATGAGGCAGACGAAGAAATTTGCTACACTGCTCAAACACAAACATAAAGTCCCTGCATAAAAAAAGTACGGCAATTTTCTCGTTCAAATGCCAACTCGAAAATCCCTCTGTCTAGAAGAAGTCTTGTCTACATGCAAGTAGTTCTCGTAAATGCCAAGCAAAACGAATATCCAGTCGCCTCGTGCTTTTTTCGATTGATACCCGGTAAGTCCTCCAGCACCTCGAATACCACCAGCAACACTTCCGGCGCACGCCGTCGCTCGGGAGCTGAACGAGAGCCGACCGAATACCGGGATAGTGGAAAGAGCAACGATGGAGCCCGCAGAAGTGACGCGCCCGGGGGCGGCAACAGATGGGGCTCGCGGGCAGCCGCTCCAGGTACTAGACGCAGCGCAAAGAAACTTTCTCGCTGCCTCTTGTTGTAGACTATGAATGCACTGGGCCCGCCCTTTTACTTTTTCTAGAAAATGAAAAACCTTCTAGCTGTACTTTTTACGTCCTTGTTGTTGATGTAAAAGCTCAAATAATAATCTCATATTTGTGGCTATTGCCGGCTTGGCGCGGCCGTCGGGCCTTCGGAGTCCATAATCAATTAATTTCTGAGAGCAACAGACAACTTGTGCAGTGCCCACCTTTATTTTGAACCGCTGCTCCTCCGTGTCACTATTTTCTCATCCACCAGCATACTGCGGCCATTCATATTTCTTCGCTTTGGTTTTGCAGGTCAATACGATCCAACGGATGCGCCGGCGCATTTCGTGCCGTCCTACAGAGGCGAAGACGCTGGGGCGGTTCCGGCATGGAAGCAGGCGCTGAAGGCCAAGCTGTTAGCGTCCGGGGGCGGACTAGCAAAGGCGGTAGATCGGACCCCTCTGCCGGTAAGTGGAGCGCCAGGCGCAGCACCAAATCAAGCATCCGGCGGAGCGCCGAACGAAACAACCGTGGGCGCATTCGCCGCAGCGCAAGGTAGAGCCTTTGGCGGACCACAAGGCGCACCGGAAACCGGAAGTGCGTTCCGGCCCCCGAGTGGAGCGATCGGCGCCGCAGCTACGGCCGGCGGACCAGCTCAAGCTCTGGACCCTGCTCGTAAATCGTGGTTGGAAAACATGACGGTAGCGGAACAGGCAGCCAGCATGGCCCGTGGCGATATCGGTGCGCGCGAGATGAAGACTGGGGTGACACGCGCTGACATTGTCAAGTACCAGGATGAGATTCGGCAGATCTATCCTGGCAAGGGTTTTGCTCATGTCAAAAGATGTTGCTGTCAGGTTCTGCGAAGATTATATTCCAGTAAGTTTTTACATAAACAGATGAAGGTCCGGGATTTCAGTGGCAGCTTGTCGCTTTGCATTTTCAATACGTCCTACAAATAAGTCTGTGCTGTACACAAGTCCAACATCAGCGTGATGTCGATAGTTATTGTTTTTCGCCCTCGGCTTTCAGGAAAGAAAATGCATGTGGTCGAAGAGTCTTCATCTGGTCCAAGCCAGGACGGCGCGTATTTTGTAAGACGCGTAACAAGTACCCCGTATGCACATCTTGGACATGAGAGCATTCTTTTTTTGGATGCCTTCGGGTTTGATGACTCTCTGGCTTCGCGCCGGCGCACTGCGCCCCTCACACCTCAGCAGGAAGAGCGTCTGAAGCAGGCAGATGCGGTGGACGGGCCGGACGTGAAGGTGACAACTGATGTCATGCTGCTACCCAAGACCGACAAGTTCGTGTGCGTCCGCACTTGTGGCATGATCCGGGGAGACAACTTCAACAGCGACTATGTCCTGAAAATCGCTGCAGGAACGAAAGTTGTGCTCCGTCGTACCAAACCACAGGGCTACGAAACCAAAATCGCGAAGAACCTGATGTTTCTGCCGATCACGGTGGCCAGCCGTCATCAGCCGGACTTGGACGGGGAGATCGGTTGGGTCCCGTGGGCCGCCTTCGCCGATGACGACTGGGTTCCGACACCTCGGGACCATCCGTCTGTTGCTGGTGCGCCGTCCACGGGCAAGCTGCCCCCTGCTGCGGACGACAAGTTCCGCGGCATGGGTGTACGGATCGTGTATGAAATGGAGAAGATGCGGGCAGACGCCAAAATGCAGCAGGCCTCGGAAAACGAGTTCTATTATCTCGCCGAGGTGTCCGGGGACAATGGAATCGTGCAGGTGAAACTGGCCGGGCAGCCTCGGTACAAGATGGGCGTCGCTGGAGAGTACAGTGTGGATGCGCTGGAGCTCGAAAAGCAGGCCGTCGAGCGGCTGCCGCTGGACCACAAAGAATACTATCTGCACATGCTGGAGTGGCTGTCCCAGGGAAAAGACATCAGCGACAAGCAGCGTATCTACTTCGAGGAAATGCAAGAGGCGCTTGAGCTGATCCGCGCCGCCATTTGGGCGGAGGGCGAAAAGCAGCGTATTCTTGTCAAAGCAGCCATCGCAAAGATGGAAATGGACGCCACGCACCTGCCTCGGCACAAGGGGGCACTGTACTCAGCAAAGAAGCTTGGCAAGCAAGGCGTTGAGTTGATGAACATGACTCCGGAGATGCGGACTCTGAAGATTGGCGGTACGTTTTCACCCCGTGAGATGGAAGAGACATTCACCCCGCGGGAGCGCGACAACGTGATCGCAAGCGCGTCGCTACTCGCCGAGCCCATTGACGCAAAGATCGAACGTCTGTCGAAGATTGAGCGCAAGCCCTCCCGCGAGATCTTCCACACGTTTCGATTCCAGCAGCCTGGTACAATGTATGTGAACAACAAGGTTCCACCTAAGGCGAACGTTGCGCTGCAGGTGGGGCGCCCGAACGAGATGCCGCCGGCGGAACGTATTATCTCATGCCTCCCGCTTGGGCACTACGAGGGCGTGTATATGATGAACAAGGGTTACGAAGACGTGTTTTGTTTGTGGCACTTGAAGCTGCGCAGAGCGTCTCGAATGTCTCTTTTCGTGTACGTGGGAGTTGCTAAATACATGCGCCGCCTACTGTTCAAGGGTATGTTTTACTACACCGACTACGGCGCGGAAGTTCACTTGGACGAAGCGTCAGAGACCCCGCTGCGGTTGGAGACTCGCACGGAGCTCTTCGACGACCTGCGCGCCAATTTTCCACCCGGCCAGCTGGATCGATTTCTGGCACTTCCTGCGATAGACCGCCGGTTCAAGAAGGCCATTCGAAAAGCGCGGCTTGATTGGTCCATTGCTACCACCGGAAAAGTGCCGACCGTGTTCGGACCCAGCGATCGCACCGTGCGCGAGGTGAAGGATCCTGCTGTAAGATGAGAAAACGCATCTAGAGCAAATTAAAGCGGAACTGCAGCCAGGAGCATGTTGGTCATGATTTGATGTATACTCAGGTTCACCAAGTAAAAAGTTGATTCTGGACATCCGTCGTTCGTTCGATGAGATGTAGTTGGTTGGTCTTCGAAAATTGGCAAGCGAGGCAATGAGATAGCTGCAAGTACTTGTGAACATTCAAGTGAGCATCATGTCAGCTTTGCAGGTTTATGCAGGCGTGCTATGTGCCTGCTACCCAGGCGCAAACAAGCTGTTGTGTCTTTGATTTTGCTTTTGCGTTCTATAAAAGTGGTTACACGAGGACAAGTCGTCACCGACTTTAGTGCAGTACGTTGCGCACACCGTGAACAATCAGGCCTCTTTACCGGATGCCAGCTTCCGCATGCCCGATTTACCGAACTTGCCAGGCCGCAAAAGCCACTTCCGGGGCACGAAGATCGAACGCTCGTCAGGGCGTGCTTCTCAGACAGTACCTGCCGGAGACGCCGGTAAGGGAGCTGCGACTTCGTCGGACAGCGACTCCAAGAAGTCGTCCAAGTCGTCGGCAGCAGGATTCGGTGGAGGAAATACTTCCGGTTTCAGCGACAGTGGCAAAAGTAACACAACCTCGGGCTTCAGTGGTTTCGGTACTCAGGCCGCGCCAGCGTTTGGCCGTCAGACTTCCGCTCCCGGTTTTGGAGGCGGAAGCAAAAGTGGCACCAGCAAGACAACCTCAAGCAGTAGCAGCAGCAGCAGCAGTAGTTCCTCTTCGGACTCCAGCTAGAGGAACCATGATAGTATCCATTCCATTGCGGTCTCGAGGTCCTCGCATAGTTGTTATCGATGCTTATCTTACATTATCTTTTCAGTCTTTTTTCTCGAAACCACGTCACCTACAAAAAGTGCTAGACTTATTTCGATAGGATTCATCTAAAGCTACAAATATCTCTGTGACAAAATGCAAGAATACTTACAATACATCGGCGAACTGGTAAAATCATTCACGTAACACGCGTTTTCCATTTGATCTTTTACTTGTGACACACACACAGACACCTTTTTCACCATTACAATTTTAAAGTCTCCCGACAAGGCACAATATCAACCCTCTCTGATCTTCGACATCCATGAATACATGCTCTAGTATAGCTCGTGCTTCTTCTTTCGCACTCTCAAAGTCAAACCCAAATATCATGCACACCGACGATTTTAATTAAGGTATTTTGGCCTCCGTATGAAAGAAACGACGCGACTCTAGTCCCCAGAGTCGATCTTTTTTTCGCATGACGCTTTGCGGATTCCCGGGCGCAATTTGCCTGTACTCGTTTCTTCACCCCATTGCCAGCTTCGATGTCATAGTCATTGCCCCATTCGCATTTTGCAGAGCTTTTGATCTCAACTCTTTCCCTAAACAAAGCGCAATCCATTTGTTGAGTGTTTGAAAATGGGCACATCATCAAATTTAGAAATTTGAAATCCAAACTGCCTGGTAGATGATTATGATCGTCAGGCGTTGTTCATTCTGTCCATGTTTTCTTCGTCGCGACGCAGTGCTCGGAGTTGAATTCGTAGTCCCTCTTTTGGATGAGGAGTTCTTTCGGTACATTTATGACGAGATGTTGTGCAATCTGTGATCGAGCAGCGGAAAATTTTTTAGTCCAAAAAATTTAATGATGGTATTTCGTTTTGAGCACCCCCGCCTTGCTGGCAGCTGAAATTTTTCGCTACCGATCTATCCGTTCCGACGCACGAACAATCAAACTTTTGATTCTGATTGTAGGTCGTTTTCCGCGGTCGCATAGTCGAAGGTAAACAGCGCGCTCACAGCTCCTCAGTGATCCATCCCTATGTTGAGCAATCCGAGAATTAGTATCCGGTCGGTAATGAAAAGTGTTGATCCCCCAAATCTGCTCAAAGTGATGCAAGGTAGCTGAAACCGGTTCTTTCGTCTACATGCAGCTACATTGCTGCATTTGAAAATTAGAGATGGAGATCCCAATCAGCGCTGTAATTTAAAAAGATCAGAATGGATGGTGTGTTCTAAATGTGCCGATCCGGATGCATATGAGAAGCACAGCAGTCCTACTAAAATGCCAAGCGATCTGACATCTGCAATGTCGTTCCGTGGCAATTCCCCCCTTAAATTTATATTTCGGATGTCGTATTTTGCAAACAGGGACGCGCTCGAGTTAGTAGTGCTTTTAAGTAGCGTCAGTGCCAGTAGGATTTTTCCAACAACACATCCAAGATGTCTGACGATAATCCGATGCGCCAGATTCGGGTCGAGAAACTGACCCTCAATATTTGTGTCGGCGAATCTGGGGATCGTCTGACGCGTGCCGCCAAGGTTCTGGAACAGCTGACAGAGCAGCAGCCCGTCTTCGGGAAAGCCCGCTTTACCAACCGCAACTTTGGTATACTTTTTGATCACGAAATTTATAACGCATTTTCGTGAGTACTAGGAGCGCAGACGTGATAGCGAGTTCGTAACTTGAACTGTTTTTCAACTTTCAGCACTTCGGCGAGTGGATTCTGGACCGGCCGAGAATTTATATTTGTGTCGTGAGTGTTGAGAATGAAGTGGGTGAAGTGGAAAAGTGTGCGGCAATTGGAAAAACAGGTATCCGTCGTAACGAAAAGATCGGGTGCAGCGTGACCGTCCGTGGCGAGAAGGCCGAGGAGATTCTGGAGAAGGGCCTCAAGGTTAAGGAATACGAACTGAAGAAGCGCAACTTCGCTAAGAACGGATCATTTGGATTCGGCATCTCGGAACACATCGACTTGGGCCTCAAATACGATCCATCCAGCGGTAACTTTGATTTAATTTGGAAATTGCAAAATTTGGGTTAATCTGTGAGTTTCCCATCTAGAGTGTCGGCGTTTGTCTTTGTGAAATGTTCATAGGTGGCCTCGACTCACTCTAAGCAAGCACATCGGTCACTGTCGATAGCAGTGTACCCAGCCACAGCATTGCGTGATATTTTTGACGACCTTGAGTGACAAATTGCCTGCATTGCGTTGCGGTGTAAAATGTCGACTGTTGCCTTCAAATGCGATGGTTTACTTCAAATTTGTCCTTTGACCTGCACAACAAGCTCTGAGTCCAAGCTGCTTTTGACGGAAAGAGCCTGCCTGAGCTATCAATATAATCGGATCCAACAATATTGTACAGGTATCTACGGAATGGATTTTTATGTCCAATTGGCGCGCCCGGGTGGCCGCGTCGCTCGCCGCCGCAATCAGCAGGCCCGCGTGGGCACGAAGCATCGTTTGACCGCCGACCAGGGCATGAAGTGGTTCACGCAGAAGTTCGACGGTGTTGTCATGGACAAGGAGTAAGGAGTTGAGCCCCTGCTATAAAGAAACCGGCATGATGACACACTCCACTCACGGTGTCGATGCGAATGATAGCGCATTTGCACGAAACTTCTTTCTTGCCTCCCTCTAGGGCATGGAACACAAAGATGCCTATCGCGCATTGAAACAAAACCCAACTGAACTACTTTGCAATCGGCTACTACTACTCAAAGAATGCCTTGTGCTGTGTCTACCGCGCAAGATTATTTTGCCATCCCTTCGGGACGGCCGCGCGAAATTGAACGAAGTCAAACGTGCGTTCATGTGAGGAGGAACTCGATTTTAGTTGGTATCAGTCTCGGTCCAGATTGCGCTGCTCCGTGCAAGCAAAGAGCATACGTCTGCTTCCGTGTGAGCTTCTACCTCGTCTCATGCGCTGCAAATCCCCCAGCATGTTGCCGTCACGTGAGGACGAAGCGGACTCAGGCGTTGAGAGGCAAGCTGCTGTATGAGAGAGAGTGGTGTTGAGAATTTTCCAAATGAGATTCCGTTCGGGGCGGAAAGTGCCTGAGTTGTAAGACGTCCGTCGATCATGGGCGTGGAAGGCCGCAACAGCCGAGTGTCATGAACTGTCAGCGACTTGTTTTTTGGAGATAGCTACTCTGCTCATTGCCTAACTTAGTATTACCACACCGGCCGAAGGAGACAGGATAGTAATGTGCCCCGCATGGCGCAAAATTCGCGTGCTGGCTGCCGCCTCGCGCATAAGCGTTGCAGCCGGGATAAGCATCACCGCCGCCCCTGGGCAAAGAGGGAGAGGTACACAACCTCTGAAGACAGGAGTGACCATGGTATCGGTTAAAAAGGAAAGTGCAGGCGAGTGTACCTGCGTGAACCAAGGCGCCGACAAATTTACGGCACCGAGCTCCGGCGCGGCAAACGAGATGTGGTTGAGAGCTATCTCCAGCTGAAGTATCTCATACCCTTCAAATACTCAGTACCTTCCGCGAGTTTTGTGGACGCACGTGTAAATGTTGTATCGTAATTCTACACAGAGACAGATACGGATACCGTAAGTATTCTTCTACGATCTGTTGCAGAAGGTGGAGTGTTGGATACTGGGTAGATGCCATGCGATGCTCTCAAATTGCATACATTCCGACGGTAAAGGAACGGCTTATGGTGAGACCTACGCAGTTGATTTCGGCGGTCCAAAGAACTACGGCGAATATTGCTTCGCGTGGGACGACGACTGTGACGGCGGTGTATGCTCAGTGCGTTTATAGGGAGTGGTAAATCGCGAGGCTTCTCTTTCTCAGTAATTTATTAGGGCGACTTTCGAAGTCCTTGTTTAGCAAGCACCAAGCGCCCAAAACAGGACACCAGCCCCTCTTAAAAAGCAGCATACAACTCATGCTGTAAATTTGCAGGACGAGGAAGAGGCTACCATTGTCTTCATCAGTAGGGGAAGTGTGAAAGTCCACTGCAGTGGCGAGACTGATACTACATATTGTCTGTATTGACTTTATAGTGTCTTGGACTCGGTACAACATGTTGATGCTCATCATCTTGTTTGTCCCTCTAGAGTAATGGAAAAGGGGCTGAGCCTGCGTCGTCGCGCGGACTCCTTCACTGGCGCTTTCCCTAATTGGTTTATTTGCAGTCGATAATGAAAATCCGGCACCAAAGCGGAATGTGCCATCGCAGCCGACAAGTGCGCGGACGCCAAAACATTCGAAGATCCACGCAACACTACTTGCTATCACCCCTGGTGCTTTATCAGGTATGAATAGTGCCGCTTTTGAAACTTTCGCCTCCCCCCGGGTGGCAATGCATCAGCTACAATCTATTAATCTTTTGGACAGTGCGAATTTTTCCAATGTATCCGTTCATCGATCGCTTTTTTCAGTCCACCGAGGCGGACCACATACGGGCGAAATCGCTTGTACCCAGCAAGGGAGGATAAGGCTCCCAGGTATCCCAGAAACAGGGCGCCTTGCTATCTGTGCGCGCACTCAGCATGTAAGTCGTAAAAGTATAGAAATTAATAGCGTGAATGCGTGAGGCCTACAGGAGTAGACAAAAAAGACCAAAAGACAAGATATCTTTCCGGGATGTCGTGTCTTGGGTCTGTGGACTTTTACCGGCCGCCCTGCGTTCGAATTTTTTGGCGTCCGTCCTGCCGACTTTTTCTTGATGCCCGCCTTGCGGATTTCGAGTTCGGACATTTTTTTCGTATTAACTCCGAGGGGTTGCAGTTGCTCTTGCTGCGGTGAGCAATATTAAGTAGAATAAAGCACGAAGAAGCAGAATACTCGCAAAGCGCGCGGACTTCTGGCGACTGCCAAAATTGCTACCGGGAACTTTCTTGGAAACTGCAATGGGAGCTAAAAGTGATCGCCTTTTTCCCGAGTTTAGAAAATATGTAGCGCCACCTGGTCTGGCTACTCTTTTTCGCATTTTGATTTTCCGGGTGTTTGGATTTCCTCTTGGAGTCATGCGTAAAAAGTGGAGCCGTGCAGAGACGACTGGCATGGCCGAGCGCAGGGACAATCATGACCCGGCCTAGGGATTAGCATGGCCACTGCGAATGGATTGGCGTGGTCGCGGCCGTGATATAGAGAAGACTAGCGTGGCTAGGACGGGTGCCGTGCCCGCGGCATTGTAACTGTGGTCGCGCCGCTGAACCCTTGAGCCCACAGCCACACTTGAGCGACGTAGTCTTAGGCAGCTTAGCCCCTGCGCAAGCACGGCGCGCGCAAGTAGGGAGGTGCAGCAAGTTTTTGTGGTTGGACTCGAGTCCACCTCTTTTCCCCGCATCCATTCTCACCTCTGTGACCCATAAGGCGGACAAAAAATGTTGAAGTGTGTGCTGCGGAATTTGGACTGCGCATTCTCGTCCAAGACCCGTCTGTGGACAGCATTGCAGTGCGAGGGCGTGGCCTCGTTGGTGACTCCTCCGACAGAGGTTCCCATTAGTACGCCCATTTTGCCTCAGCGTTGTTTTATTTCCTTCTGCTTAGCCGAAGCGGTTCGGAGAGCATTTGCCTCGAGCCGAGGCTAGTCAGATGGATCCTTCTGTCTGCGACGTGCATTCCTTGTTGCCTGTGCGCCGGGTCCGTCACGCCCGTTGGCTCCTCGAATTTATCGGTTATTGGCCCGGCTTTCGTGCGTCCGTTGCCTTGGCCTGTGCCTCAGCGCGTTGCACCTCCAGCTTTGGGGGCTGTTTGGCTGACCATCGTGTGTGCGCCGTTACCCCTCCGACGAAGATGCCGTCCACAATACTTAGGCAAACCAAACTCGGGCCTTGTTTTGCATACATGAAGAATCATTGTCACCGGCATAGTCGTGCCGGCTTCTTGATTAGAACGCAACATGGAAAATACTCATTAGGGCGGCCAGCGCGGCAAACGGCGCAATCGCCCAGACTGGCAACGCGACTACTGATCAACCACAGTGCAGCAACTATTCATTGCAGCGAGTTTCTCTGGTCTGGGTGTTCCATTTCTTGTCTTGGACATGTCGTACGGCAGCCCTCGAGTTTCGTCATATGTTGGATATGCGCCCACCCTTCGTATCGAACCCACCCTGCTTCGTATCGATTTTTGAGGGATGGACTTGTGTCACCCTTTTTTTCTTCGACGGACGCGGACGGCGCACTGTTTTATTTAAGTGAGCCAAAAACGAAACAAGAGCATGCTGAAGCTGAGCTTGTTGCTTTCGCGCAAGTTCTTTCCAACGACTCCTGTTATGCAACAGATACCGGTGTTGATGATAACTTGAATGACCAGAGATTTCGCTGCAATAACGATATCAACGCCACGGATATGTTTCTCACTGAAATCTTCGCCGGCATCAACGGAACCAAAATGAACATCTGGCGTTCGTTCGCATTTTGCATCCCCCCGCCATTAGACATCTCATCGGGCGAACCCGAAAACGATCAGCTGGGACCAGGCGAACAAACCTTGCCCCCCTAAGCGCAACATGGGCGGAGAGGAAGTGTGACCAAGCAGACAGCAATAAAAATTGCGAACAATGTTGCCCCTAGTGTCAAGCGAGACGATATCCATGACTGCAGCCAAATCGATATCTTAGGGTGGCAACATCTTCATGTACTTAGTAATACTGTTTCTGGTGATGCAGCACTTCAACCACACTCGCAGTGTCAGTCACTCATTTTTTTCCATGTCCGTCCTCAAGGAGACAGACATGCATTTCATGTCCACCGAAGTTAGCGCCCCTGCCTTTGCCAAGCATAAGGTTGGTAGCTGCTTTAGTTTTAGATAATGCCAGAGTCAGTCATGGTCGTAAGAACGAAAATAAAAGCAACACACAAATGTTACTTCTCGCAGTCGCCGCGCATAAAATATTTGATTTTTTCTAGTGATTGTAGAAAAAATCAAAAATAGGTAGAAAAAATCAGAAAGAGAAAAAAGGAGAAGAAATAAGAAAAAAGACATCAAGAGAAAATCAAACGAGAAAACACAAAACCGGCGATTTTTCTCACAAGAGACACACGCCTCGTTTTGATTTTTTCTACAGATCTGGTTGGTTCACCACTAAAACGGGCGGCGTTTCTCCAGATCTTGGTGGTGACCGGTTGAGACACCGATCGCCAGCTACTTACAAGCAGGAATATAGATAGTACGTTAGACAGTCACTCGCTCGCCTAAAGAAGCGAGCACACGATTGATTTTTTCTACAGCTGTAGAAAAAATCAAAAAGCGCCCATCCGAATCCGAGAGAAGCGAGAAAATGGCAAGAACTCGAGAAGTTCTCGCTTTTTCTCGAAGTGTTCGCTTTTTCTCGAAAGTCTTCTCGTCCCGCCCATTCGAGGCCAACGGCCGAAAATGTCCAAAATACTGTAGAAAAAATCAAACGCCTCCGGAGAAAATCAGAAGGCCTCCAGCCGGGACGCTGAGGAGCCACCTCGCCGCGCGCGTAGCGCGCGAAGAAAATTTCCCAAGCGGCGGACGGAAGTGGGTGCGCGCCCCATGTGCGGGGAACACTGAGAAGCAACCTGCGCGCGCGGAGGATGGACATTCTTCAAGCGGCGGACGGAGGTGGGTGCGCGCCCCATGTGTGGGGAACGCTGAGAAGCATCCTCGCCGCGCGCGCAGCGCGCGGAGAAAATTCCTCAAGCGGCAGACGCAGGTGGGTGCGCGCTCCATATGTGGGGGACCCTGAGAAGCGACCTTGCCGCGCGCGCAGCGCGCGGAGAAAATTTTTCAACTCAAGCGGCGGACGGAGGTGGGTGCGCGCCCCATATGTAGGGAACGCTGGGAAGCAACCGCGCCGCGCGCGCAGCGCGCGGAGGGAATTTCGCAAGCGGCAGACGGAGGAGGGCCGTGCGCGCCCCATGTGCGGGGAACGGTACGAAAAACATCGCCGCGCGCGCAGCGCGCGGCCGGAGAAAATTTCCCAAGCGGCGGACGTAGGTGGGTGCGCGCCCCATGTGCGGGGAACGCTGAGAAGCAACCTCGCCGCGCGCGCCGCGCGAGGAGGAAACTTTTCAAGCGGCGGACGGAGGTGGGTGCGCGCCCCATGTGTGGGGCACGCTGAGAAGCAACCTCGCCGCGCGCGCAGCGCGCGGAGCAAATTTCTCAAGCGGCAGACGGAGGTGGGTGCGCGCCCCATATGTGGGGGGCGCTGAGAAGCAACCTTGCCGCGCGCGCAGCGCGCGGAGAAAATTTCGCAAGCGGCAGACGGAGGTGGGTGCGCGCCCCATGTGTGGGGGGCGCTGAGAAACAACCGCGCCGCGCGCGCAGCGCGCGGAAAAAAATTTTCAAGCGGTGGACGGAGGTGGGAGGGTGCGCGCCCCATGTGCGGGGGACACTGAGAAGCAACCTTGCCGCGCGCGCAGCTCAAGCGGCGGGAATTTCGCAAGCGGCAGACGGAGGTGGATCGTGCGCGCCCCATGCGTAGGGAACACTGGGAAACAACCTCGCCGCGCGCGCGGCGCGCGGCGATAATACCTCAGGCGGCAGACGGAGGGGGGCCGTGCGCGCCCCATGTGCGGGGAACGGTAAGAAAAACATGCGCGCGCGGTCGGAGAAAATTTCCCAAGCGGCGGACGTAGGTGGGTGCGCGCCCCATGTGCGGGGAACGCTGAGAAGCAACCTCGCCGCGCGCGCCGCGCGCGGAGAAGATTTTGCAAGCGGCAGACGGGGGTGGGTGCGCGCCCCATATGCGGGGGGCGCTGAGAAGCAACCTCGCCGCGCGGGCGCGCGGGCGGCGCGCGGAGCGAGAAAGTTTTTCAAGCGGAGGACGGAGCTGGGTGCGCGCCCCATGTGCGGGGAACGCTGAGAAGCAAACTCGCCGCGCACGCAGCGCGCGGAGAAAGTTTTTCAGGCGACAGACGGAGGCGCGGGCGCGCCCCATGTGTGGGGAACGCCGAGAAACAGCGCGCGGAGAAAATTTTTCTTGCATTCTTCTCGATTTTTCTCCAAGCACCCGGCTGGTTTTTTCTACAGTGGGAGCCCGGTTTGATTTTTTCTAGGTGCTTTTTGATTTTTTCTACCGTATTTTTTTTTTCTCGGCATATTTCTAATGCAGGATGAAAAAAATAGAAGAGAGACAATCACAGTGACACACTGTGCCATCTCTATGGAAAAGAATGGGGCTTGCGTTTTGTAATTTGAATGCGAGCGAGCGAATGTGCGTGGGCTGCTCCTGCTGCCCATGATGGGAAAATGCTCCCAGAGCCAACAATTGCGGCTCCCTAGGGTTGGTTGTTGTCGTTGTGCTTTGCCGGGGCAGTGTTTGCCGTTTTGTTTTGTTCGAATGGCTCCCAAAGTTGTCATGTCCTGTAGGTCCTCTCAGACTCCAATGATCCTTATCCTACTGATATGAATACAATGCTACATGTGTCGCCTTCAGCTCTGCAGCTTTTTTCATTTTTGTCCCTGGAGACGTCGTCGTTTCCTTCTCTTATCTACTGTCTCCCAGCGCTGCTTGGGACCTGTTCTGATAGTGTTACTGCAAACTTCAGGACCGCCAAATCTGTAAAACAATTGGCACCAAACAAGTCGACACAAATAGATTTCTAGTGTCCGCCGCATCGGAGTGCCAGTCCTCATGTTCTGTCTAACCTTCGCCTTACCGATACTACCGCATTTCGCCTAGCCACCCCGGCTGAGCAGCAGTCCCGCTCCGCGCACTTAGGATAAGAGTTTTGAGGCACGATTCCCAATCCCGCTTATTACGGATTTAGGATATAAGTTTTGAGGCACGATGACGATTCCCACTTTATCTTATCAGGACCGCCCAATATTAGAGTTTCGAAATCATCTTGTTGTTGCTACCTCCTGGGTGCAGAAGCAAAAGGTTTCTGAGCCAGCATGTTCGTTCGCAATGCGCGTCCGAGTGAAAGTGATTTTGGCAGTCCTGGTGACCAAGAAAAGAGCGACAACGACGCACGCGCGTCGATCCTAGAACAAGATTGGCTACGTTGCCTACAGTCCCCGGGGCGCGCGAGGGGCGCCTCCACCCGCGGTCTCGGGATACAATAGGGTACGAATGCCACTGGACTAGCGCGACTAGTGTGAATCGTACTTCGGCATACAGCACGATGGCATTCGGGTGTGCCTGCTTGCCGAAGGACGAGTCCAGCTGAGGTAGGACGGATCGCAATTAGCAGAGGGCTTGAGAGGGATGCTTCCTGTCAGCGGCACCCGGAGCCGGGGCCCGCTAGGATGTGCCTTTGTGCCATATTTCGCCAGCAAAACGGCTGAGTTGATTCCACCGCGTGTCGTGACTGTGCTCGGGTTCAAACTCGTTCGCGCCGGGTTGAGCACGCACGGAGTCATCCCGTAGGCGGGGGCCATGTCCGCCACTGGCGATCTGGCGAGTCTCTGAGTTGTCGCAGGCTTCGTCGCCCGCTCTTTCGGCCTGATTCCTGAAAAATCGTGTGACATACCGTGGCAAGGGACAAGCGTAGACCAGAGGCGAATCAAGATTGTCTTCTACTCGTTGCTATTCTGCGAGACAAGATTACGTTTAAAGTAAAATACTTATGGCGAGCTCACGCGGGGAAACATACTTAGTCGCATCCATGCCTTTGCATATAATCACGTTGGAGCTTTCTTCCATGTCGTTGGTTTGGAATTTTGCATGGGTGTCTGCCAGTAAAGAAACGAATCCATCTTGACGAGGACATCGAACTTTTAATCTCCGTTTCGACAATCTTGCATCGTTCCTACGACAACGCACAAGACGATAAGTATTCCTTGAAAACCCGATCTCAGCAGGAGGAAGAAAAGCGGCCCAAACAGCATGGGGAACGCAGCAGCAAGTCATCAGACCAATAAAAACGATGTCCTATTCGACGGCAGCATTAGCTTCTACAAATCAACATGTGTCCGCAGCACAGTCAGATGCGACACAGCTAGTGCTAAGATACCAGAAGATAAAACTTACAAAGAGCTATGTTTGAGCCAGAGCTGGATGCTACAAGATGGTTCTCTCAAAGAAGGATGATCAAGATCCCTAATTCAAGAACAATTTTTCAGCGCTGCAACATACATCAAAGACTCGTCACGTGAATGTCACCAATCATGATTGCAGCAACATCCAAATGAAGAGACATCAATATCTATTTTCTTTTTAATTTGTAATCTGTTGAACAGCGCCGAAGTTGTAGTAGAGTAGTGAGGGCATTTGGCCAGTCCCAGTTTTGAACCTCCAAGCAAATTGAGCTTTTCCGTAATAGATACTTTCAATTGGGAAATACTATTCTGCTTCGTGTCACACTCACGGTTCCCTTTGACGCTCTCTGTAGTCTCGCACTGCTAGTAGTGGAAAGTTGGTGTACTTCTGCTTACTGGCAAGAGTCTGGCAAAAGCCACGGTTACAAACCGAGCCACGACGGCGACGGGGAGCCACTACAGAACCGTAGCCACCAGGAGCGCAACGCAATTAGAACCGCCCAGCTTGGCGAAGATTAACAAATAAGTGGCTTCTGCGTTTCTACTAGCAAACGAACATCATGGTGGTGGACTGCATGAATTTCGATTTCCTCGACGAGGACCGCGAGCGGGCCGTGGAGCAATCAAATATCGAGCAGGGCTTTCCGCTCGCACCCGTTCCCAGCCCCATGACCTTCTGCGCCGACATCAAAAAAAGCGGTATAGAAACTCGTGCTTCGCTTTTGTGATCCTCATCAAAGCTACAGTAAGGACGCCAAGGAGCTTCGTACGTTTACGTCCGCCGCGAGCACGACCTAGAACTGCGAGTATCTATGCGAGGACCATCCGTGTAGTTTTCCTTCAGCCTCGAAGGACCAGGGAAAAAGTAGTACTTACTCCGCAGTGTACCTGTACTCGTCGGCGGACGACAACAACAAGCGAGTGAGGTCTTGACGTAGAATTGTATCGTGCCCTTGTCGAAGACAAAGAATGAAAGCGAGGCATTTGAAAAAAAAATTGACATTTAGGCACCGCGCCGAGCCTGATGGATTTCAAGCATGGTACAACAACACTCGGATTCAAGTTTCAGGGCGGCATCATAATCGCGGTCGATTCGCGCGCAAGTATGGGCAGCTACATCGGCAGTCAGACGGTGAAAAAAGTAATCGAAATTAACGACAGACTCCTCGGCACAATGGCCGGCGGCGCCGCCGACTGCTCCTTTTGGGAGAGAAGACTAACGCTGCTCGCACGCATGTAAGTTCGAATCTCGTACCGACTAGTTGTTTTCCCGAAGAACTTTTTGCATTTTTTTTTTCCACGGAGCGCTTCGTCAGATCAATTTAGCCCGCACGAAAAAACACTGCTGCCACTGCTCACCGAAGCTCCTGTGGTTGATTCGGTTTCGGCCGCACAATCGGAGGATTACAATAATCGCAAACCAAAACTTTTGGCAGGTATGAGCTCCGCGAAAGGGAAAAGATTTCAGTAGCCGCAGCCTCCAAAATCCTGGCCAACATCTTTATCCAGTAACACCCACCTAATTTTTCTTTGATTTTGTCGTTCTTCGATTTTGCAACCACCTGTGCAAGCCAATGTTCCGGAATCAGCGCCCCAGAACTTTTGTTTATGAAAGAATGGAACAAACGCTTACTCGTTCGCCCATAGACATCCCATGTTGTCGTGGTGCTGCTTGCGATGATTGACTACCTAGGAGGAAAAACGTGCTATCAGTGAAGAATCCAATCCATCGCACCAGGTATCGAGGATACGGGTTGTCTTGCGGCACCATGGTAGCCGGGTGGGATAAGACGGGTCCCCACCTCTACATGGTGGACGACCAAGGCGACCGCGTGGAGGGCGAAAAATTCTCAGTGGGTTCGGGATGCATGTTCGCCTACGGCGTCTTGGATGACGGGTACGATAATTTTTGAGAATTTCGGGTCGTGCTCGTGGACACGAATTGAGTTCCATAAGACAGTTCAATGAATTATGTGCATCATTCATGCTCACGCTTTTGTTTGTTCTTGCAGTTTCTGTTTCAGATCAAGAACGAGTGCGCGCCGGGTAGAAGTAGACAGAGCCTCCTCACGACTCTGTTTCTTGACTGTCAATTCAAAATTATCAGGTACCGATATGATCTCTCTGTCGCGGATGCTGTGGAGCTCGGCCGGCGAGCGATCTACCACGCGACGCACAAGGACGGAGCTAGTGGCGGCGTGGTGCGAGTCTACCACGTACACAAGGATGGATGGACCAAAGTAATCGCCGGTGAAGACGTGAACAAGCTCCACTACATGTACGCCGAGAAAAAGGGCCTCAAGGGCGACGAGTAAGTAACATAAAATTGGAGTCCACTCACAGGACGCACGTGCAAGCAACCGCGGACCCAGTAATGGAGAACTCGGCCTTGTTTGCTTGATGACGTGAAACAACGGCTTACAAGAACGTGCCAAAACTTTTTGGAACAACAGTTTTTGAAAGATGACCAACGGCGACATCAACAAAGTCTCGAACTATGAAGTACGCTCGAGACCGCAGGGCGAGAATCGCTTCGGGCGATTCTATACACCTAGCGGCGATCTGCGTGCGGGAAGCCCTTCGTGTTTTGTGCCACTACATCCGCATTCTTAACGATAGATACTTTGTTTTCGGTGAGCCCTTGACCTGCTGGAGGAAATTCACAAATCGATCTGAGGAAACCTGCACACGTGATCTGTGGGAAATGGATCTATGCCGCAAGATCAAATTTGGTGATTCACGTAAGTAGTCAAGTGATCCCTCACATCCTCATCCTATAGCTCGCAGGAGCTGTAAGAAAATATTCTACAGTATCTATCGAGTCTTGGTCGGTGGTCGTGTTTTGCACTGTTCCTCCTCTTTTGCATTGCTTGTAAGTAAAGCTGAGTCTGCTCAGACTTTCTCCACGATGCCACCAAGATAGGACTTTATTTGCATTTTGTCGTTGAACATCTCCAAGCCTGGGCCATTCGTTCTTCCTTCTCGGCATTTTTATTTCCGGGCAGAAAATTGGACAGCTTTGGGCACGGGGTGCTCCTTGGCTAACTACCCGTTCCGAGGTTGTAACGACGGAGATCTTGCCATGCGTTCCAACATGATTTTTAACTGCTGCAACAATTTTTACAGCGTGAATTTTCCCGATTTCGAACATTCGTATTTGCTTGGTAAAAGCCCCCACTCCAACTTCATTCGCTTTCGCTCGAAATCAGAGTTACTTTACTGTTGAGAAAACAAGAATTTAATCCTTGACGAGAATTAAACTGAGATTACCACCAGACGTTCGTACATATAGTCATGGCGACCAGCGACACGACTCAACCTATGCTCCACGCCCGCTATGTGCTTGGCGGGTCAGGCTCGGACCTGTTTTCGGAGCCCCGGGTGTGCACGGAGATTATGCAAATGATCCACCGTTCCAGGCGAGAGACGGCACAGAAGCAGATGCATCCGGACGAAGCTACATCGGCCTCGGCCGCAGGGACTTCTACGGGATCTTCGTCGTCGTCCTCTCGTCCCGTTCGAATTGTGTATTTTGGCACCGCCGCGTACGACGCCCCCGCTTCTTTCAAGAGGCAAACGGACGAGTTCGTCAAGGCCGGCGCCTCGGTGTCAGAAATACGCTGCACCACCGGGGGCAAGGCGAGTATCAGGTGGATAACGCCGGCAACAGAAACCTCGGAGGAGCGTGTCGTAGACGCCGGAAAGAGGCACGAAAACGGTACGAATTTGAGCAGTAATGTGTAGTTTTGATAATGAAGTATGTGCCGTGCCACATCCATGTATTGGTTTTGGCTTGATGTTGAAAAGCGTGGTCGCCTACGGCTACGAATACTAGAAATTATATGTAGCATAGTTAGTACGCCTACGCGGCCATAGCAGCGCCTGCAAAGTGCCTCTTCGTAAACCTTTGAAATTTTTTGACTCGACGATGGATTGTGTTTCTGCTCGCAGGTAGCATAAGCGTGAACGAGGGCAACCTCGCGGAGATTGCGCAATTCGTGAGCGAAGAGGCAGACGCAGTTCTGATTTCCGGCGGAAACACGCTTTACGCAGTGGACCGGCTCCGCGGACTGGGGATAGACCAGTGGATCCGGCGTGCGGCTGCGCGCGGTGCGGTGATGTGCGGCGGGTCCGCCGGCGCCGTCCTCTGGTTCGAGACCGGGCACAGCGACAGCGCCGACCCAGACTCCTTCTACTCGAAATTTATGGAGCTTGAACGCATGAAGCGCGAGGTGCTGGAAAAAACGGGCGAAGTTTGCGACGAATCTACCGTGCGCCAGAGGTACAACGCGCTCATGGAAGCACAGCAACTCGCACCGCTTACCCTCCAGGAAAAAAGCGGGGAGGCCAAAGAAAGTAAGCCCAGTCTGAGCCAGGTGTTTGAAGACCAAGATAATAGCGCGGCGAATAATGCCGGTGTGGAAACTCCCGCAGGTACATTGATTGATTCTTTTTCATGTTCGACGCCATAGTCTACAGCACTAAATTCCACAAAACCCTATTTTCATCAACTATAGCACGCGCAGCATCATGCTACTTATTTCATTTTCACTCGTGAACTGCAGCTGTGCGCATAAGCAGTAGCTGTGACATGATCAATGCCGAAATACAACCGGGTGTAAATGAAAATCAATTTCCTCCGTTTTAGGAATAAAAATAGAGAAACAAAAACCTTTCTTGGCTCATCTATCAGTCTTCTGGCGGAAATATTCTTTGAAAATCTTCGAATCCGTGAAGCACGACGAATAAACCACTTTCACAGAGCCCCCAGCAGTGGCCAAGCCATGGGAGTACATTCGCATCCCGGGCATTGGTATGTTGCCCGGCCTGTGCGTACCGCACCAGGACAAGGTGCAGTCCAACGGGTCGCTGCGGGCCGACCATGTGAACGAAATGCTGACTCGGCTGGCCTTCTACGGCGGGCGGGAGCGGGCCATCTGCATAGACCACTGGGCGGTGCTGGTGCTGGAAAACGGGCAGTACCAGGTTCTGTCCTTCCCGGACAAGGTTGGCAGCGGCTTGAGCTGCAAGGAACGCGAGTGGAAGCCGCTGCAGGAGGAAATTATCGTGCACAACAGCCGGACCAATCTCCCCGTGCGCACCGTAGTGCGGCTAGTCGACGGGCTTTACGCCGACGCAAAGCTGGACGGCGCTACGCCGGAAGGAGCTGCGCTCCTCGCGGACGGCAACAACGCGCCCGTGGACCGGGTTTCGCTGGACCTGGAAAACCTTCGCCTCTCTCAGGAGGACGGCCCCGACCGGGTCACGGTGTCCGAGAAAGTCTCCTACGTGAAGGACCGCACCGGGAAGCCCTGCGTGTGGATCAAGGAAACGAAAATTGGCCAGGACGCAGAAGAGTTGACGGACATGATCCTGCACATGCAGGCCGCACCCTGGGCCGGCAGTGTGGACGACCTCTTCGCCCTGAACCGCTCCCAGGGTGATTGCCCCATCACCGCACAGAAACTTCGCCAGGTGCGGGAACTAAACCCGGCCTTCTGATGCGGATGCGCATTGCTTGTTGACCAGAGATACTATAAATATTTGTATGTAGGGAAGTACATGCGGATGATTTTGATTTCTCACTTGCACCACTTCAAGAACGTGAATTTGTAAAAAGCGACCCCTTCTCCTCGAATTTTATGGCACTGCGCCCCCAGCGTCATCCGGTCTCATCCGGTACCAAGAAGAATACATCGAGCTATTCGCAGTTACGACAGATGATTTTACAGCCTACTGGTGAGTTCTTCAAGTTCGCACTGTTGAACGTGCTTTGTATCAGGAAATGCAAGGGAGACAAAAAGTAGCCTCGCAGCGAGGTGGAATCTTTTTTTTACCCGTCTTCGCACTGTGTTGCCCCTTGTGTCATCGTGCTGTCTGCTTCGGTGTCTACGTTCGTTCTGATCGTACTTTCTCGTTCTTGATTTCGGGTTTCTCGTTTTTAGTTTTTCGTTCTCTCGCGTGATTTTTCGTGTGCTTTTTCGTCTGCTTTTCTCGTACCCCAGCGGAAACAGCGTTTATCGTCGTACAGGAACGGTTAAGGATTAAAATGTATGATAGATGCTATTTTTACTTGGAATTCTAATCGCACAGACAACATCACTTAGCAGCTACTCAATCTGAACCCCTCGCTCCTTTTGAGAAAAACCTAACCCGCCTAGTATCCATCGCAAATCGATTGTTACTCTATTGAAACGGCCGTAAGTCCTACCATCGTCGTGCGACCATTGTCAAACCTGAATTGTGCCGGACTGTACAACTGAGAATAATAAATCATGTGTGCCTGCTCATCTTGTCCCACCTTTTTGTCGCTATAGTTCGAGAAAAGCACGTGTGCAGCAGTCGCAGCTGATCATGTCCTCCTCCACTAAATCCAAGCCGCCTGCGGCGCCAGGTGCCGACTCCCGTCGACCTGCGAAAGCGGATCCTGCCGACATGATCCAGGAGGAGCTGCGGAAGACCGTGAACTCCTGCCGGTCCACGCTGGTGTCGATCGAGCACGACGTGGATGGACTCTCCGCGGAAAAGGACGACCTCCTGCAGCAACTGGTGCGCATTCGGGACCGGTGCCGGGCGATCGATGCCGAGTTCGTGTCGAAGCGGCGAGAGTACGAGTCCGCCATGCGGCTGCTCAAGTTGTGCGAGGAGGAGTACGCGTTCACCTGCTGTGCTCAGGGCCCGCCCCCGACGCCTTTCGTGCCCCGCAATCGCTTTATGGAGCGAATAAATGCGAAGGAAGAAAGCAGCGATGATGCTGAAGGAGGAGATCTAGAAGATACGCAAGTTGTAGCCGCGCTATCGCCCTCGAGAAGTCCTGCGCCACCTATTCCCAAACTTTATTCCGCACCAGGTCGCCCGAGCACAGCACAACTACAGCCTGCCCGAGCAAGTCGTCGAGGGTGATACCTTTTATCAAAAAGCTACACTTCTTTTTGCTCCTCTGTCTCCTCTGCCATTTGCTTGCTCGAAGACGTAGTTAGATAGTTGGTTGTCCTCTGATTCACGAAAACTCAAATTGGTTTGAAATGCATGGTTGCATTTCTTTAGAGCAACTCGTCGCGCACACAGCATTTCGATAAATTGAGTTGGCGGATGGAAAGTTCAACTTCTTCATGGAGACGACATGATCAAGCACCAGCTCTATACTTAACTACAATCAGATTTTGACCTTGCAAATCAAAAATCAAAGAAGTCCAACGTGGAAGCGTTTCTTTGTGTCTGATGTTCGCCGAGGACGAGTGTTCGCGATCGCGAAGTCGCAGAACGAGGGCAACGGTGCCCCGCTTCACAGTAACAGCACTTAAGCAAACCAGCGATCTAAGGATGACTGAGTTTTTCCATGTGCTACATCCAAGAGTGGGTCCTCGTGGAGATCCTACCCGCTTTTCAATTCCAAGGTTCCCGCCTGAAAAGGGGAAAAAGATCAACTTTTTTTCTGCCGATCATTTCGTTCACGCTTTGAGGGAAAGGACAACAACGAAATCGGCTTTGTTGTCAAACTGCGTTTATTCCTAACGAGTGCCTCTTGATGTGCCGCGTTTTTCCATCCCTTTTTTCTGCAGTTACCCAACATAATTTATCACGGTTCTCCATTTCACCGACGTAAGTTTACCTTCCCATTGATTAAAATTCGCATTCTGATTTCTTGTATGTGCAACCACGCAGTGAAAACCACTGTGCAAAAAGAAGAATGAACGTGTCGCATCCGTTGGTGGGCTCCTTTCTACACCCCCGGGTCTTCCGATAATTTCACGGAGAAGGCCATTATCCTGGCGTGGAAAGCAGCATCCACCATATTTCGACCAGATGCTGTTGCAGCTGCTTTCGGATGTGAGCGGCATTCGAGTAGTAGCCCGAAAGGACAGCCGCATTCCCCGGGTAGAACTTGATTGGATCCGGTTCTGTACCTTCAGCGTCTCCGTTGCCGGTACCTGCTGGCTCGTCACGAAGCTGTACGAGCTGCAGATCAAGCACCACCACGACAGAAATGCAAAGGTTCCTCGCGCCGTGGCGGATGCACCGACAGCTGTCGTCACACGACAGGGAGGTGCAGTTGCACCCACCGCGACACCCCCGGCGCTTCCAATAGGCCAAGAACAATCTCTTGCAACACCAGGTACTTTCGACAGCAGGAGCAACGGCGACAGCGTCGAAACGACACCCCAGCCGCTGGTGCGCACGTATTCCGTGGGCGTCGATCACTTGATGGTACCGTTGTCGCAGTTTTTGGATCTAGTCAAAAACCGCGCCGTGACCGCGGTGGCGTACCAAACGGGTTTTGATGCAGCCGGAGCACCGGGCGGGCAACCGCGACAACAGCAGCTCACGTTCGAGGTCAGCAGCGACGCCAGTAGGGCAGTGCTGTCAGACTTTTCACGCTGCCCGCCCGTGACGACAAACGAAATGGGTGCTACTAAAACCGCCACTTCCGCGACCTTCTCGACAACCTTGGTCCCTGGCAGCGAAACGGCGGTATTTACCGCCATCCAGCAGGCCGGAATACCGCACGCGGTGGTGCCGGCCGGGATAGCTGCGCAGTCGAGAATGTTGGGCTCCTACAAAAACGACCACATGGGCACTGGTACATCCGCCGATAGCGCAGCTGCAACGCTTGCTCCTCAGCATCATGCCGGCGGAAGCTACAGCTCGTCGCACGGAGGTGGTATGGCCGCCGCGACACGGCACGGCAAGAACCGGGACATCGTGGCCGCCCTGACTGTGGACTTGATCACGCTAGCGGTGACGCTGGCCTTCTGCTACTGGTACTACGACTACAACCCTTTCAACAGCTCTGGCTCCTCCTCCGACAATGTGTGGAACAAGGTTATGTCTGCAGACGCGAAGGACGGCGGTGCATCCACCATGGTGCGGTTCCAGGACGTCGCGGGGTTCCGCAAGCAGAAGCAAGAGCTGCAGGAGGTGATCGCCTACATTAAGAACCCTGCTTCTTTCCACATGCTCGGCGCCGTGCCGCCGCTCGGGACGCTGCTCGTGGGCCCGCCGGGGTGCGGCAAGACGCTGCTGGCGCGGGCGGTCGCGACGGAGGCCGGTGTACCCTTTTTCCACGCCAGCGCGAGCAGCTTCGTGGAGAAATACGTGGGCATCGGGGCGGCGCGGGTGCGGAAATTCTTCCAGAACGCGCAGAACTACCCGGCCAGCATCCTCTTCCTCGACGAGCTAGAGGCGGTTGGGAGTCGGGACGACCAGCTGGGCAGCGGCGAATACTGCCAGACCATTTCCCAGTTGCTCGTCGAGCTCGACGGGATGCACCTGAAGCGCACTTCTTCTACCAACAAGAATGGGACAGAACAACAACTTCCAGCGCAAAATCCAAACGCTGACGGCCAGATGATCGGCGACGCGACCAAAGACAGCTCAGGTTCTTCTGAGACCACGACCACTTCTGTAGCCGTTGATAAGAACGCTCATTTCTTCGTGTTTCTCGCGGCCACGAATCGGTACCACACCCTGGATCCCGCGCTGCTGCGGCCCGGGAGGCTCGACCGCGTGGTGCGCATCAAGTACCCGTCGCAGACCACACGCGCCGAGTGCGTCCGCATCCACGCGCAGGGGAAGCTGATGGACCCGAAATTGCCCGCTAATTACACGGACGTGTTCGCGCGCCAGTGTCGGGGGCGGTCCTGCGCCGAGATCGCGCACGTGCTCAACGAGGCGGCGTTGCTCGCGGCCCGGCGCCGCAGCAGTTGTGTCGCCTGGACGGACTTGCTTGCCGCGCTTCAGCAGTGTGTGCGGCGAAATCGGGACTTCGAGCAGGTGGGCGTCAGCAGCGACGAAGAGGACGACGTCCCGTTCGAGGATACCGCCGAGGAGGTGCCAGATTCCCGGTCTGGGCAACGCGCGACGCCGCTATCAACCTTCCTTAGCACGCCGCCGGTGGAGGGGGACGGCGGGCTCAACGGCGGCCCGGCAGAGGGTCCTCCGAGCGGACGCGGTGCGGGGCCCAGGAGAGGTGGAAGTCTAGGGGGAAGCGGCAATCGTGGCGGGAACAATCCCGACGCCATGCGCCTCCTCGGCCAACTCCTCATCGATTCCGCGAACGCAGGGGAGCGCGTGATAAATCCGACGATCTTAAACAGCAAACAGTGACATTTACAACTTCGGACATCCTGGTCATGTGGACAACGACAAAGTTAGCGATGCGCTTCACGACAAAGCTCACTAGGCGCGAAGCTCTAGTTTTCCAACTCCGAAGATGCAGCAAAGTTTTCCATTTTGATTTTACCTGTTCACTTGTGCTGCCACGAAAAGTGCTTCGCTACAACTGACTGCAAGCAGTATTGATTCTTTGAGAGCGCAGAGTGTTTTTGCGGTCATGTTGCAGAGAGAGACTCACTTCAAGCCCGTTTTTGTAAGGAATGCGCGTTGTTAGTTCTTGGCAAGTTCTACTTTCTGGCGGTGGCGGTCTCGTTCTTAGGACATGATCATTAATAAAGCTCTTTTGAGATTATAAATTCCGGTACGGTACCACACCATCTGAATAAATGCTCAGAAATATCAATCATCAATAGCTGAAGCCATGTGGGAAGAGGTGCTGACCAGTCTGGGAGCCGGCTCCCTCGGGATGCTTGCCTTCGTGGCACTGTCCAGTCGACGGAGACTAAGCTGTGCCGTCGACAAGGACATGGAAACGAAGGATCTGCAAGCGGCTCGCGAAGACGAAAACAATCCCAGGAGTGATGAACAAAAAAATCAAGCGAGCCATGCGCAGGACAACGCCGACACCTCCGACCCGGCCACAGACCGGGCGACTACCTCCGCAACAGCAGCGTCGGAACGAGCGAAGATCTTCACGTTCGACGTCAAGGAAGATCACGATGGGGAGCTCGTCGACGACGACGCTTTTGCGCCCTTGTGGGACAAACTGGCCCGCATAAAGGCGGGCGCGGAGGAGGAGCTCTCCGAGGACGACAAATACCTCATCCGCGTGGAGCTCGCAAGGCGCGAGAGGAAAACGGGGCGGGTGGGGCTAGACTACCTGCAACAAAACATGGAACACGGGGAATACGCAGAATTACAGGGGTAAGAAACTTCTAGGACGTGACCATGTAGGTGGTTTGTACTTTGATGTGTAAGGTAGATCATTAGGATGACGAATTCAACTTCACACCCATTTCCGCAGGTCCAAGAAAATGCATCCGTTCCAAAGGATGCACATGCAGCAGATGCTACTTAGACTTTGTTTCCATTAGCTTGAGCAAAAGATTCCACTGCATCATGATCCGCAGGTTTATTGACCCTTCGGCACCGCGCACCCCGTTGGACCGGATTTTCCTGCTGGGCATCCTGTTCATGTGCTTTTGCGCCCTGGTCGCCCTCGGCGTGCTGCTGTTTTTTCTGTACAAGGCCTTGTACAAGAAGGACGATCAGGTTATCAACCGTTTCATGCAGAACTGGAGTAGGTTTTCTTGGTCCGTCGTGCACTACCTGCGAGACGAGGTGCTTACAAACCCAAATCTCGACCGGCTGGTGCAAGGGGCGCAAAGTATTCTTGCACCCTCCACCAGTTCCCCCGGAACAGGCCAATCCGTGAAAAACACAAACACTGATTTGTAGCTCGATGCATCCCGTTACAGAAAATTTTTGGTGCCAACTCACACACAAAGAATTGTCCTCGCACTCGAGGAGGAAGGAAGAAAAGCAGCAAGCGAAAAAATTGCACTTCCTTGTTAGGCATGCTCGTGCCGCAAAAAAAAGTCAAAGGCAGTTCTTGACCCGCGGACCTCTTTGAAAGATGCTTTTCCGTGTTTGACATCGCGATTCTGATGCTCCACCTAAAGTGTGACTCGAAGCGGTCCAACCCTGCACGAAGTTGTACAACCAGTGGTTCGTTGTCGGATAAAAGGTTTGTTTCTACTTCTAGCGAAACAGTTCGTTGACAAAAGGAAGGCACATCGTGTGAGGACGAACCCTGGCCCTAATATTCTTAGAAAAAATAGAATGATGGAAACGAAAACACGACTTACGAGTTGACTTCGTTGCGGTGGTACAGCATGGAAGATGCCCTAGCGTCAGTGGTGAGCAGAGTGACGGACACGGCGATCGTATTGCTGCTTGTTTCTTGGCGTATTTGGTTCGTCCTTGAATGTGTTCTGGGTCCGGCGACTGCCCTAGCCCACCGAGCTGTTGCTCCCGGCGGCGATGTTGCCGCTGCGCGTGACGAGCGTACAGCTTTCTTCACGATGTGGACGGGCCATGCTGGAGCCGAAATAGCCCAAAGCGGAGCCGCTGCACAGGGGGGCTCGCTCGTATGATGTACTTGATTTTTGTCCACTGCGATTATGTGGAAAAGCCATTCGCTCGGGCAAGCAGCGGACAGCGTGACGGAGCCTTTGGTGAAGACATTGAAAAGAACTTGACAAAGATCTAGCCAGTTGAGGAACGAAAGGAAACCTGCGCACGCAAGAATGTTGCAGAAAACGAAGCGCATTTTCTTGTATTGGCAACAAGGCTGGGAGCACGCGCCGCCTCTGGTACAGGACTGCCGCCGATCGTGGGAATTGCACAATACGCCCTCGTGGGAGATTGTGTTGCTCTCCGGTGCAAACGTGTCCTCGATCGTGGATCTCGACGCTGTCATCGTGCAAGGCGAGGGAGCAGCTGTTCCACAGTCTGACAAAGCGGAGGAGGGGTATGCAAAGGAAGATGAAGAGACTGCCGATACAACTTCAGCTGCAGCGAGAGCATCCGTACGTGGAGAAAACCACTTCAGCGAAACCCCGATGTCCTCATTGGCGCTCGATTCTAGGTATTGGCAAGCAGCGCCGGATAGCGTCCGGGAGCACCCGTACCGGAGAAGGGATGCAGAGAAAAACTTTTTTCTGCCCGTGGCCACCACCGACCAAGAGAGGCTGGAGTACTTGTCGACATTTATCTTCACGGACGCCCTACGCTTGGAACTCCTAGCTCTCGATAAAGACTTCATGCCGGCTCCTGCATCGCCTGCACCACTCACCAGAAAAACAAATGGTCAAGTAGAAAGCGGCCGGCATGGTGCCGAACCTTCGTCGAGCGACAGCGAAGAAGTGTGGAATGTGTGGGCCGATGCCACCATGCTCTGTCTGCGGCCGCTGGATGACTGGCTCTTTCGAGACGCTAGCGTGCTTGAGAACCCAGCGGGGTTCTGGCTCTACGCCGGCTTGGAGCACGTGATCTATCCACAATTTGATCGACATCCTCCACACGAACAACAAGGGACGACTTCTACCGCCAGTGCAGACGATACAGTGGACGACTCCGCTGCAAGCGCCGTTTCCTCTCACCACGCTGTCTCCATCCACCAGCCCGCAATTTGGTTTCTGATTGCGCGGAGCGGCAGCGACATGCTGCGGCGCTGGCGGGACGCGTACCGACGGCGCTGGGCTCGGCGGCGGCGCGAAGAGTTTGAGATCCGGGTGGACCCGCTGTCCCAGCAGGTGTTTTGGACCGCCTCCGACCACGCGAGCCGCTTTTTCAAGGGCCAGCACCCGGCCACAACGGAGGTGGACACTTACTTTTTGTTTGAGCAACAGACCGGCCTCCGAGCGATGGACCAAGTCGCCCGGGCCCTTTTCGACGACGTAATTCTACCGGTAGACGTCACCACGGAAAGCGGTGCGCAAGTGCAAAAGGAAGTAGTCACGAATTCGTTCAACATCTTCAGCCTGGACCAGTCTTTCCTCGACCTGCTTTCTGAGGATCGGATGTTCTTCCATTACTGGGCCGACGTGGTGCTGCCGCTGACAGCATCGATCGACTCATCCGGTGCCAACATGCTGATGACGGACGAGTTTTCTCTGTGGTCGGACGCTACTGCTGCGGAGGCGGCACCCCGGAAGAAGAACTTCGTGTCTCGAATCGTGAACGGGGACACGCATGTTCTGAAAATGAGCTTGAAAAATCGTCCCACGGACATGACCGAAGAAAAGTTTCGTAGTGACACCTTCGGTGGCCTCGCTCTGCGGCTCGCAATGTTGAATACGTCAGGAGATGACCCCACAACTAGCGGGGAAGATCAGGAAAAGATCGTGCGCAACATAGTAGACAAAGTAGAGCTATTTGAGAATTTTCTTCCGGAGGCTTTCGCGAAAAGTACTGAGTTTTGTTCTCCTTTTGGAGTTGCAGGTCCGATGGTCGCTTGAAGATGCATGGCAGATGTCGCGAAGATCCGCTGACGCAAGAAGATCCGTGCGAACAAAACAACCTGGTGTTGTCGATCTCATCTGCGACGTAGTAGAAACCGGAACCGAAGAAGATCTCAGTCCGATCGGCGCCCTCGTCGGCTGGCATGCGCATTCGCTGGTGACCTCGTGAAGTTTGCTACCACCTGTGTGCGACTCCGATTCGATCCATCTGTCGTGATGTCGGCTGCCAACGAACATGTAATCGCGATCACCTCGATGATCTCGTGGTGGTCGAAGTGGTTCCTTAGGCTGTTCCAAAGGCCCGCTGCGTCCATCGTGCCTGTGTCGTTTTTTCACGAGAGACGTAATTTTGTGGGGAAAAAAAAGACAGCGACGGAAGAAGTGAGCTTAGAGTAGTCTTGTTGTACCTTGTTGTGCATATATAGAAATAAGACAAAGAGAGATAGCGCAATAAATACTCTCTCTTCCGTACTAAGCAATTGCACTATTATTCTTTCGGAGCACGCTCACTGTCCCAGTTGCCAGCATTTCAACGACGTTTTTCTGGACATGCAGACTACGATAGACCTATTGCTCCCGCAGCAAGCTGTGGCATGAACCCACCACCTGAATCAGAACTTTTCAGTCCAAGCCACCACCTGAACCAGAGAAAGCCCCTTTATTTCAGCCCATGTCTACGTCATCAGCGCACCAGCAGGCACGGGTCCGGCCCCGTGTGGTGGTGGATGGGCCAAACGTGGGGCGGTTTCTGAAGCAGAAGGGTTCGTCCGCGTCCAGCAGTCGGATGCCGGTCATTGAAACCGAGCTGATCGCGAACGCGTACAATGCCGTCCAGGAACGGTTTCCCGAGGCCGTCGTGGAGATTCTGGTGTACCAGCCGGACCTGGCCCGTTGGGACCGCGAGAACGACCCCCACATTGCCCGGATCCGGCAGCAAGTCACGGAAGTGCCCTCGCGGTCCGACGTGGACGACCTGGTGCTGCAGCGGGCGCTCAAGTGCTGGCGCCAGGGCCAAAAGGTCCGCATCCTGTCAAACGATAACTACGACGTCTACCGCGAGGACAGCAAGAGCAGCGGCAAAGCGGACCAGCCAAAGGCGATCGCCGGCGTCACGCGGGAGTGGCTGCAGGCGGTGCTGTGGAAGTTTTCCTTCAGTACGGTTGACCGCGACTGCCTGCTCACGCCCGTGGACGACCTGGCGTGTCGCAGCTCAGAGTCGGAATCCATGATGGATCACGGACACGAGGTTGTCGCTGGTGGAGGCAGCAGTACTAGAGCTGATGTTTTCATCACGGGCGGCGCTGCCTCCACATCCACTGCGATATCTTCAAACCAGCAGCTTTTCGTCCCCCACGATCACGGTGGCGGCGCGACCAGTTCAACCTCCACGTTGTTCCAGCCGAACTACAACTTTCACCACGCAAATCGAACCAGCAGTGCATCAGCAGATGACGACGTGGCCATGGGGATGGAGGTCGACGAGGAGGAGGGGGTTGAAGTGGACCATTGCAGAAGTAGAACTGGTGCAGCTACTGCAGCTGTCACTGGTGCAGGTTATCCTGGGCAGCAGACACAAGAATACACGCAGCTAGGAGAAAATCAGGCTGCGCCCGATTGGACGCAAACGTGGAATCAAACCCACCATCCGGACTCGATGCATAGTGTGGCGGGGGGCGTCGAGGACGAGGGAGTCGAGATCGAGCTCCCCAACGGATTTGCGGAATTGCGAGAAAAGCGGCGGGCCATGGGAGTGTTCGAAGAGATCCCGAGCAACGGCACGTGCTTCAACCTTGGGCAGACGGAGTTGACGCAGTCACTCTTCCAGCCACACACGCCCCGCCCCGGATCCTCCACTGCTGGTAAGGGGTGGGCAGGGTCGCCGCCGCTTGCCGCACGCCGACCATCGGGTCAGGAGATAAGTGTGCACCAGCATTTAATAACACCCGGCGTCCCACCAGTCAAAAACGGTGGTGCAGTCGCTCCTCCACCAAACAAGCAACCCGCGTCCTCTTCCTCGTCGTCTTCCTCGGCCCGCAAGACAACAACAGCTGACACCATTCCATTTCCCCGGACAAAGCCGGCAACCAGCAGGAGACCTTCCAGCAGCGGCGTGTCAACCGCGCATCCCTCCGCAGCTGTGCCAAAGGTGAGCCGCAACCAGGGGCCTCCCCCGGTCTCCGCACCGGTCGCGAAACGACGACCTTCGCTCACGAACATCGCAGGGCGGCCGTCGGCCATCGCTGCTTCCCGTAGTTCTGCCTCCAGCGGCGCACAGACCAGAGGCCCCGCGGCCGCATCGGCCGTAAGCAAGTCGGTAATTAAGCCCGACTCCACGAAAAAGGATCACCGTGCAAAAGCGGCGGGGAAGAAGAAGATCATCGGAGGCGAGTTTACCATTGACGAGGGTGATGATCCACCCGATCGAGTATCTTCTTCTTCCAAAGCTGCAGCGAAAAGAGCTGCAGCAAGTGCCGCAGTTGAAAAGTGGAGTCTAGAAAATTGGAAGCAGGCAAAGGCACAAGCGAAAAAAAGATGATCTGATCAAGCAATGATCTGCTTCTCTCTGCGAAAATTAAGCAGCTTAATGACAAAAGCCGAAAACAAAGCGACCTCATTTTAAGCTTCTTTCCTTGCATTCGTCGAAGCACAACTCTTGGCACATTTTGTACCACCAGCGCATTCTCGCAAACGACAAGTAAAATCAGATTGAGATGAGTATTGATACTGTGGGTCTCGCTTCGTAACGCAGAGTTTCTACCGGCGACCCGCGTTCTTATCGCTTTCTTCGACAAATCGGTGATGTTGAACGTAGTGCAATCAACAATTAGTCCGTCAAGGTCTCTATATCTATCAATTTCTATTTCAATTTGTTGACGTCGTCATCATCTGGTATCGTGTACTGCCATTCGTTTTGCTCCGTCGCGTCTTCTAGAATCTTACTTTTTTCCTCGTGAAAGTGGTAGATAGCACGTGGCAGAAGAACGTCCGTCGTCTTGGGTCGTATCATGATGCCGTAATCGTCGTACCCACTTTTCTCCCAAAGCAACACTCATTGCCGGTATCGCTCCGAAAGTGAATCGTGGTCCAGCTAGTTTTTATGATCGTTACCTCATCATGTTGATCGCCTCCTCTCATTACTAGATTCGTTGAAACTGAAAGAAATCTTTTTTTGTTCTGGGAAAAAACAAAAAGTTGAAAATAAAGGCGCAAATACCACGAAGCATCGATTTGATGTCGAGTTGCGGCTGAGCAGACGAAAGCCGCCACTATGAAACTGCGAATTTTTCCGCGGTCCCGCCCCGGGCGGCTGAACTTCGCCATTTTCCAGTGGATCACCTACATGCAACCATGGTTGATCACGCAAACGCATGCGTGCATCCCCTGGTGCAGCCTGAACCAGGTGCACAAGTTCTGGATGGATACCATGTGGATGAAGTCACTGCTCATGGACAGCCCGGTATTTTGAATCGTGTTATTTCTTTCAACGTTAGCTTCTACATAACCTTCTCCTTCGGTCTACTCGCATTCTTTGTACGTACTCACAGTAAACATCGATAAACTATGTGAACCTGTTGTAGAAGTGACAAAATACAGTAAAGTCACACTTGATCTCAAATCCATCTCGATTATTATCCCAGTTATTTTTATAAGCTGCGGGGGGCGGGGGTCCCCGGGGGTCTGCGGGGGTCTGCGGGGCTCGATTCATTCTAAAGGAGAAAAAAACAAAAGATNTTCTGCAAAAAAGTTCTCGAATGCAAAACGCGAATCAAAAAGGACCCCCGCAGACCCCCGCGCTGCGGAAACTGCCCCCCTTATAAAAAAGGCTGTTATCCATCGTGCGACAGAGCCTGAAGGGTGGTTCTGGTTCGTTTCGGATGGTGGAGAGTTTACAGCGGGACGCATTGAAGGCGATGATCAACGGGTTTATCGAGCGAAGCATCGACCCCTACGACCCCGGCGACGGTTTTGCCACCATGTTCGTGTACGACATCAAGAACGACTACTCGAGTTACGACTGCTTTCTGATGGTGAACTGGGGCGAGAAGCGGAGCGGCCTCCGGATCGGTGACCTGCGCGCCAACGAGCTGGGCACCCACGGCTCGCTCGCCCGCGTGTGGAACTACCCCCCCGGCGAGGAAAACTGTCTCACCTGGGTCACGGACCTGAGCACCTTCAACACCGTGCAGGCCGCCGTGACCGCCGCAAACAATGTGCGAAACGACAACTGGGCCTTCTTTCGCAAAGTAGCCAGTTACACGAAAGCCGCAATCGGATCCGCTGCAGTCTTGACCATGTCATCCATCCCACTCGAGTATGTGTCTGTCCTTCTTCCTTTTTGCTCTGCATGCTACTTGTTTTCAGCGAAACATACTAAATTCGGTACAAACAAAATCCCAGTAGACAATCTTCGATGCTCCAAAATTGAATAATCCCAGACGCGGTGTGAACTTACCGAGCTACGTGAAACTGGAGGTGGTGGACACGCGACTGATTCAGACCACCTTCAGCGGCAACGGACCTAGTGGAGCCTACCGCATGATGGACAACCTTCCGGAGGACGAGCGAATTCTCATTTTGGAAGACATCGAGAAGCAAGAGCTCTGGGACGTATAGAAACTGTTTTCCGAATTAGTACAAAAATACTTACAAACACACGTGATGATTGCTTGTTGTCAACTCGAAACAGACCACTTAGGGTACTACTGAAGTCAAGATTAACTTTTCGTTGGAGCTCCATACAAAGCAAAAAACAATTACAAACAGAACGTCTGCTTTGGCGTGATGTTCTCGGTTCTCACGGCGCTGATCGTGACGATCTGCCTGTTGGTGTTGTGCAACGTGCTGCTCGTGGAAACAGTGTCGGGGAAACGAAAGCGCTACGACTACATCGACGATGAGTATGTCTGAACCGGATATTCATTGGACGTCTTTTCTTCTCTTTGGAAGAGGAGGTTGTTGGATTTTCACAATTTTTTACGCATATTAATTTCCATTTCAGTTTCTTTTTCAAAATTTTCATCACTGTTACTAGAGTTTTTGGATTTGTATACCATTTTTTGTGCAACATGGCAATGGCATAAATTAATTGTACAAAGCTTGAATGTTTCGGATTGCGTTTCTTGTGACTAACTAACTCATTTACATTTTTCAGTTTCCATGAATAAACAGTATCTATGAATACCGATGATAGCATCAAAGATTACAAATACAGATGGTAGTGGTAGGTCCTTCAGTTTTGGCTGCTTCCAGTGTATGACGAACAAACATTTTGCTATTGCAACAGCATGTGGCACGTCCAAATTGTACAGTAGCAGCACGCTGCCAAATAAAACGACTTCATAATTCGTCGATCAGATGTTGCAATCAACACGATAGTTGCCCCGACTTGTTCGCCTTCACGGAGATGCTTCTACGATCACCCTGGTGGATCGATCCAAAATCGCAGAAGGACGCCCCGCAGAGGAAGTCAAGCTCAAGCTCAACAGAAACAGCATACAAGATTCATCGAAGCGGGATCAATTTTTCAAAACTGCTTCTTGCGTAGCCATCGAAAAACGAGGTTCTTCAAACATCACCTTCCCAAGGATTGATCACAGTGATCTGAGACTTTTGTAAAATCAATGAGGACAGCGACAGCCCTGTGTCAGTTTTTCTTAGTCGTCATTATCTCCGAACGATGAGTGTGATGAACCCGGCAAGATAGTGGCAGAAATAGGTTTGAAAATCTTCACAAAGACAGCGCTACTAAAACCGAGACCATGATTTCTGCCGGAGGGAAGATTAAATTCGTGACGTCCACATCGGAGCACCAAACCCTGGAGCCGACTGCGACAGTTGCGAGCAGCAGTACTTCTACCTTGGCGCCTGCAGCTGCAGGCGGAACTACAGCAGTAGCCTCGACTTCTTCGGCCTCCAATGGTTTATTGCGCATTTTGCTGGTGGGCTCCGTCCGCGGGAGGGTGCGGCAGTTGCACGGCATGCTGCAGAAGTTTAAAGACCCCTTCGACGTGTGCTTTTGTGTGGGCGAGTTTAGTAGCGAGGACATGGATATCGAGGGTGATTTGGAGTTCGACCGCACGCCCGTGTATTTCATTGACTGCGGCCCGGCGTGCCAAGCGCTGATCGACGAGGGCGACGAGGAGATCCTGCCGGGATTGTACTTCCTCGGGCACTCGGGCGTGACCGAGATCGAAGTGAAGAAGCAGAAGCTGAAGATCGCCTTTCTCAGCGGCCGCAGCATGATCCGCGAGGGACTGCTGAAGCACCAGGCTGCCGCTGAAGCTGCAGCAGTTGCTGACGGCGCGGCGGGCCACAACTCATCTTCTTCTAGCAGTGCAACCAGTGCAGTTGTTGGGCCACCACTTACAGGCACGAATTCCTCGTCCAGCTCCACCGTGACGGGACTGGACCAGGTTGCGGCGTATTTCACAAGCGAGGACTTGTTTATCGACGGGTGTTATTCGCAGTTGTGCGTCGAGCGGCTGCAGGAGGAGCTGGAACTGGAGACGCGTCCGCCCACCGTTATGACGGGGGGACGCCAGGAAGTCAAGCTTCCGGGCTCGCTGTCCGACAGCGCCGGACGCGGACTGGATTTCTTCCTCTGCGCCGAGGGCTGTTTTGGGCGAACGCTGCTGGACAAGAACCGTCCCTTCATCGACCTGTTTCTGCCGAAGCGGGTTAGCGGCGTGGCCGCGCCGCTGCCCGGAGCCGCGCAGTCCAGAACTCCACTTGGTGAGTACGAGGCTAGAACCACCTCCATATTACCGGGCGCGAATGCAAAAAAGGTGGGCCCCGCTGGGCCCTCCCGGCCACTGGTAATTCGTTCGATTGAGGACGTAAAGACGCGGCTCGCGGATATCCGGGAATTCGATCTGGTTGGCAACTTGGTTCAGCAGGCCGAGCCCCGATACTTCGTGTGCTCCAAACACGTCGCAGCAATGAGTGCTGCGGCAGAAGACCAGGACGCGGTAGAAGACGACGCGGACGATGATGCGGACAAAAGCGACGACAGCGACGACCAATTTGCGGCACTCCCCACTCTGCCTGAAGATGACGAACAGGTGGAGAACGACGACGGCCCCGGCAACGCGAAAATCGAACCAGCTGTCGCGGAAAAAAAAGCAGCGCCACAACCTGCCCTGGGATCATCCACCTCCGCAACAGGTTCCGCCACCAGCAAACCTTCCCCGGGCGCGCAACTGCAGCACGCGAATCCGGATGCGTACAAGTACCGGCCGCCGTGGCAGGCGGCGCAGCGCGCCATCGAGGTGAACACGGCGCAACTGGATGATCCCAGCCTGGTGAAGCTGTTGACCGAGTTGGCAGACACACAGAAAAACACGGTCAGAGTCGGGTTCACGACGAAGCTGTTCGCGCTCGACGACGTAAAATTTGCCGGAGGGGACGAAGGCGCCGATGTTGGCGCAGCGGACCACGAAGCGGCAGGAACAACAAACGCGGCCGCGAGTAAGAAAGCGGCGGTGCCGACCAAAATTCTGAATCCCAGTTTCTCCATTCACGGGCTGAGCTTCACCGGAACCGCGCACCTGGATTTGGAAAAGTTTGCCCGAGAGTTCTTCCACAACGCGACGCCGAACGCCTTCACGGGGCACGAAGTCCCCTTCAGCGAGGTGGAGAAGGCGCGCCGGCGACTCGAGCGGGACAAGCGCGAGCGGGAGCAAAAGTCGCTGGCAGAGTTCCGCGCCGCCCAGTACGCCGCGGGCGGCTTCGTAGCGCCCGAGGGGCAACTGGACAAGGAAGAAATGTACCGGTGGAAGAAGAAGTTTGGCATTACCAGCGACGATCTGGCGGCTGGGCACGAGTTCATCGACGCGAAACGACGGAAGCTGGAAGAACCGAAGGAAAAGAAAGAGTATCGCAAGAGCCTCTACCATAACCAGCGGCCAGTGGACAAAAAGAAGGAGCATATGAAGCGGGAGAAACAAAACGCACGCAAGGAACGATTCAAATAAAATGAAGTTTATTCTATGCTTCAGGCTGCTTCTTGTTCATGAAGCGCGTCGTCCTCCTTCTGTGAGAATTTATGACGAAAAAAACCCTTTCGAACAAGTATGACCAGCACGAATCGTACCTACTACGACGACATTGTTTTTCAACAATCACTGTGAAAAAAACAAAAAACTACGAGGCGGCGCACTGCTTGACTTGGATCTTCAATATCGACAGAGTGTTCGTTCCTCCCGCAAAAGATATTTCCGTTGTAAGTGAAATCAGGCTAGGCACTAATCTCGCCAAAAGCAGCTGTATGTGACACTTTTCCGTGTCGCGTTCGCAGGATGGTGGGATTCTCTTCTCTTGCTTTCGTTTTTGCAGCCTTTGCGTTTCCGTTTGCCGCGCTCAGTACAAGTACCCTTTCTGCCTCTGCAGCGGAGAACCTGGCAGAGTATCAGCTTGCCGCGGAATCGAGCAAAGCCATCGAGAGGCCACCACAGCTCTTCCGCAGGACCAGTGTCGCCCAATTAACAGACCGGGAGGCCACAGTCAGTGCCCTGGGATGGTTCCCCTTTGGCGGTCGGACGCGCGCACAGAGGGAGCGACTTTATGATGCACTCTACCCCCGTAGAGAACCGGCGCAAGCAAACGTTGGACCTCGAACTACTTCGCCTGGCACGAAAAAGGATGAGAGTAGAACTAAACACCCCCAGGTAATAATAGTACGGAAGAATGATCCGCACTTGCCGCCGGTGGTCTTCGTTCATGGAATGATTGGTTCCGGCATTATGGCCAATTTGTCCGATCGAAAGGAGCGGAAGCACTTTTTCTGTGCAAAAAACGGCGAGAACTACACCCTGTGGTTCGACCCGAAGCACAATTTGCTGCCTTTCGAATTCGATTGCTGGGCCGACAACCTGTCGTTGCACTGGAAAACACAATCCGGCAGCGCGGACCTGCGACTCGCCGACGAAGATCTGGGGCTCCACTCTTTCGTGCCGGAACGCTCTCGGCCCCTCGGTTTAGACGTCCCGCCCCTGTTGGCCGGCGGCATCGGGGCCTGGAACACGCTCTTGTGGGGCAACCTGACGGAGAAACTGGGCTACGACAACCGCCAGGCCGGGGTGGTGGCCTACGACTGGCGCAAGGGACCCGAGGAATTCGCCGCCGATGGCACCTTCGTGCGGGTACAGCAGACCATTGAGTACTACTACAAGCATAACGAAAACACGAAGGTCGCGCTGTTGTCGATCTCGATGGGTTGCCCGTTTCTGCTCTGGTTCCTGCACTGGGTCGACCGCACGCGAGGGGAAGAGGAGGGGAAACGGTGGAAGGACACATATCTGGAGGTGTGGGTGTCCCTTAGTGGCGTGTTCGCGGGAGCGCCGGAAATGGTCAGCGAGGCCCTGATGCCCACGGACCGGGATGTGTACGGGATCACGACGAAAAAACCCTTTTCGCTCTACATCACCAAACAAAAAATCCGCGACATCGTTGGCACGTGGTCCGGGCCACTGGGCATGCTGCCACAGTCGCTGGATGACCGCGTGGTGCTGTGGGTCACATCGAAACAAAAAGAAGGTGATGCGCAAAACATGACAACAAGCACGGGAGCTGCAGGAGCTTTCGCCATCGGCAACGACCACTCACTAGCGGGACCGGGAGGCAGCGACAGCCCTAAGATGCGCACTCAAGTACCAGGTTTTGCCCGCACCGAAGCGGGGCGCAGCACAAGCACTCCAGTCGCTGGTCTGAAAAATGAAGCGACCAAAGTGAAACAAACCGCCTCTCACGCAGCGCCGAAAGTAGTTCCTTATCGCGGTCGCGAGCTCCAGCGGGCTTTCGAGGACGCGGGGCGCCCGGTGTCCGCGCAGTTGTGGGCAACGCACCAAGCGAAAAACTGGACCGACCTGGGTTCCCCGGGTGTTAATCTGGAATGCATGTACGGAGTTAATGTGCCGACGGAAATCGGATGGGTATACGGACAAGGCTTCGGGAAGTCCCCCACAGAAGTTTTCATGGAAAACGAAACGCAGAGGGTGCTTTCTTCATCTACAGTCGGCACGACGGCGCGTGATCAGACTATTCCAAGAACATCGACAACTCGGACCTACGCTTCCAGTCAGCATCATCCTCATCACTCGGAGGAAAACTTCGTAGCGGCGTCGGGCGATGGTGTCGTCAATCTTTTGTCGCTCGACCACTGCCGCTACTTGTACCAGGAAAGCAGCAAGTACGTCAAGGTTACACAGTATGACGGCCTCTCCCACACGGATTTGGCCTGGGCTCCGGGTCCGTTCGACCGGATTATGCAGGTTCTGCAAAGCGCCGCAGAAAAGAACGCACAGATAACGAGCAATGTCGAGAAGACGGCAGCGGTGGCTGCTGAGAAGGCGATTATCTACATTTGAAATGTTTTAATTTCTCCCCGCAAAGATCATGAAGAAGTAGTTTACTTCTGAAGAACTGTAGACGAAACAGAAAGAGTCCCGGGACCGGTAGCAATTTTCTCAAGACAGGAATAGCAGTCCACCTTCAAGTTTCCTTCGGCACAAAGTACATTATTCAACATTTTGCTCTCAGTAAGACACAACAGGAGATAGATAAATATGAAACAAAACCGACCTATCGAAACCAAAAACGAACGCCCACCAGCAGATTCAGGATGAACTACAGTGGCGTCTGATGTCACACGTTCGCAGATGCTTCTTTGGTTCCTGACTCGGTTGAAAACGCCAAAGCCAATACAGAACCGGCGCGCGGACAATCATGCCTTTCATGCAAGAACGGAGCCCACTTTGGTATCGGTACGCGTAAGTTCTCTCCACCCCTTGGCCCGCTTCTGTCGTGTCGTACTAAACAGAACAGATGTCGGCTCAATGTTGTCCTGTCCCTGCGATGCCTCGAACTCGAAGTGCGGCTGTGTTGATGTTGAAGAACATGAACGTGAACACGCATACAATAGAGCTACGGACTTACTTTAGTTTCCGTGCCAAACAAAATCAATGCTGTCACACTCGTTGCAGATAGACGAAATTTGGTCTTCCTCATCCTTCTTCACGTGATGCTTTTATTTTTGCGGAAGCGGGGACAAAATCAAAAAGGTGGCTCATTCTGCAACTTTTGTAGATTTTACTCTGTTTATGCACTATTTGAACTGCCTCTTTTGATGGTGCTCTTGGTTGCTCAGCGTGGCTCCTCGACAGCTTCCGAAATGTTTATCACCGCCGCGAACGTGCTGGGTGCCGATGACAGAAACGTCGCAGAGAAGAAACAGGACTTGCGCGATCTGTCCTATCCCGCGCCGAAGTTTTTTCCGTTCCACCCACACCGCCTGGTGATGGAGACCGTTCCGGGAACGTGCAACCTGTTTCTGCACAGGCATCTGTGCGAAGAGTGGTCCGCCGGCAAGGCGTTTGAATTTGACCCGCACAACCGGGAAGCCATGGCCTCCGTGCTCCACGACTGCTTCTATCGGTTATATGAATCATCTCGCGCAGAAGCAGAAGCAGCCGGAGCAGGTGGAAGTACAGTGACAAGGTCTACTTCGTTGGCTCCTACTCCGTGTAGAGTGGTCGATGTGGGAAGCAATGTGGGAATGGCGACGGGTTTGGCTGCGAGCCTCGGAGCCCAGGTTCTGGCATTTGAGCCCCAAAGCGACCTGACCACCGCTCTGGAAAAAACCGTCGTCGTCAATCCCGGTTGGCAAGACCGCGTCCGCGTGTTCAGTGGGTTTGCGACTTTTGACCGAGAAAAGAAAGGCGTCGTGAAAAAGGTTCTCAAGACGAGGCACGAGACAAAAGCGACAACTCTCCGCCAAGGAAATACCGATCCCTCAACGGCATCATCCAGTCGAAGTGCGGGCACTCGCAGCGGGTCAAAATCGGATCCCATTCCTCAGTTTTCGACCGGGCAGCAGTACCGTCTGGGAGACGGAGACAACTTCGGTCTTTTCCGCGCACGAGCGGAAAATGTCACGTTTCGCGTCCTCCAGGAGGATATCCCGTGGGGTTTCGCAAGCTTGAGCGCGAAGCACAAAAATAAACCAACATTTGTTCCCAACCAGACGAGTGATCAGGCAAAGCTGTCTGAAGCGACCCCACAAACTGTAGACCCGCAAGAACCTCCGCCAGGCCGCGACGTGGAAGACGAAGTCGTTCCGAAAGAAAACTCTACTACCAAGAAACCTCCGGTTTTGGCGCTGGATTTGGTGAAGATTGATACCGACACGGTGGACGGGGAGCTTTTGCGCGGCTTCCTGGCGTACCAGAAGCGTGCCCTCTGGCGCGTAAAGAACTGGCTGTTCGAGGGTACCGGTGTCACCCCGGAGATCCTGTACGACTTTCTGCAAGCGCAGGACCTCCCGAAAGACCAACCGCCAGCCGCGACGGGCGACCACCAGGTGCATGATGGGCAGACTAGTACTAGAATTGGTACAACTGCTGGTAGAAGCGTGCAGCCCCGCCGGGCGTACTACACGATCTACCGTCTGAACATGCACAACGGGTTCCGCTTCTTCAACGCCTCCGGCCACGACGTGCTGTCCGAATTTCGCCCCCTTCCCCCGAGCTCCGAGGTGGACCAGTGGGGCCGCGAGGTTTTTTCACAGCGGCTCATCAAAAACGCGATCCGGGTCAAGGATCTTGCGGAGCTCGAAGCCTCGTGCGCAGAACGAGAGCACGGAGGAGCCGACCAACGGCAGCAGGCGGGAACAAAACAGAACTTGCAAGATCAACAGCAGACAATGGGTCGCGAAGACGAGGAGGCTAGAAGTGGTGCAGCCGGGCGGACGATCGTTAAAGCGTGTGTCCTCGAGCTGCTGGCCGGCGCCTCGTGGCCTCGACGGGACATCGCCGCGTTGACGCACTTCTTTGTAACCACCGAAGAATTCGAGGAGGCGCCGGTGATGCGGTGGGTGCACACCGGTCCGTGGTGGCCCACCGAAGAGCCCGGGTCAGCCCGGTCCCGGAATCGGTACGCGTACCCGCACCCGAAGCTCTGGGAACCAGCCGCATACGAAAAGGTGTACAAGCAGAGGAAAAACGACCCAGCTTCCCCAGAAGTAGATTTTTACTCGCATTCGCGGCCAAAGCGCGACGCCGGGTTTCTCCTTGGCGACCAACTGGTTGTAGCCACACCGGTGCGCGTCAACGGTACGATGCGGGAGCACTATCGCGGAGCGCTGCGCCGCCGGACAAGGAGCGCAGCAATTCATACGGCTCGCAAAAATGTTCATCGGATGCACTAGAAGGATGTACTTAGAAGTCTGTTAATGCGCGATGAATAGGATACACTTAATTTGTTCTCCATGCAGGCCCGCCGCCTGCAGTCCTATTGCCTTTGTACTCGTCGACCTTGCGTAGAAGAAAAATTCATTGTGTGAGGAAACTTTATTCTGCTGTTGGAGTACGTACAGACATGTAGCTGGCCGATAGAAGACCGATGAGCAACGACATTCGGAACCACAGAGCCAAATTAGCAAAGAAGCCTCGAAAGTGAACGGTTCGATTGTCGTTATCAAATTGTCGGAGCTGATCAACTAAATCTAAATCGAAATGTTTGCGTCAGAGATGTTCGAAAGAGCAAGAACCGAAGCCCTGCTGAGAAAATAAATCATTTTTTTTTTTCGAGTTTCTTTGTTCCGGTAAAAACACGAATACCGAAATATTCCTGAGCAGCTCGTGAGCATAGATAACAGATCTGAAATGCTATGCAAAATGAAAGACGGGTAGAACTAGAACCACGACCTATTGTCTTGACGTGAGCGAAGAAAGGCATTGATTTCGGTCATACCGTACTCATCCAAATGTCGTACAAGTTGAAAAAGTACGCTCGTTGAAACACTACGTACACACGTAACGACAAAAGAAGAAAAATCGACTCGTCGACATGGATCCGTACGAAATTTTGGAAGTCCCAATTATAGACGCAAAATTCATTTTCCATGAACATACAAATTCATTTACTAAAGAGAAAAACTTACGACCTGTCATTCAATATTTCCACCAGGCTACCCAGCACGAAGAACGGACCCATGATATAGATTCCCCATAGACAGAAAAATGAAAATCTCATTCGCCCGAGAAAGAAGTGCAGTTCATAATATTCTTGCGGTCATGATGTTGTCGATAGAGTTGCAAATTTCATCTTCCATAGCGTTTTTTTGGTTTCGTCTTGCTTGACGCGGTCAGCAGGACAAAGTACAGACTTGACTCACAACTAGATTTCGATTTTGATGCACAAAGAAAACTTACATGTCCTTCTCCTTCGCACCAGATCTTCGCCAGCAGCACAAGCTTCAGGGCCATAGCCTTTTTTGAGATCGCCGTGCAGTCCGTTTCCCTGGTGGAAAGCCGCGCCGCCGAGGTGCACAAGTACAGCAGGACGCGTCCTACACCTTGAGAGCAGCCTCCAAGACCGAACTTACTGCGCTTCAAAAGCAAGCGAGGAAGCTGCTGCTGCACGTACAGGACGTCGAGAAGGACCAGGAACAGAACCACGCGAAGTCCTCGTGTGTAGTTCTGTGGAGTAACTAGTAGACAAAAGCGAAGTAGTAGCTTGTGCCACCTCGTGTCTTTATCAAGTTCATATTCCAAGTCAGTAGGGTGTCGCGGATTTCGACTTCTAAAAACACCTGTCAATACAACTAGACCTTGTTGCAGCAGATCCATCGATCTTGCCGCGGACTTCCGGAGCTACTTCTTCCACAGTCGAAGTAACTTTACCCAAGCCGCTCACGACCGGAAGCAAATTTCTTTTTCACTGGACGAAAGACTTCTTCGCAACTTACGCTGTTTTTACGGATACAAAGAAAGTGAACAACGCAGAAGTTAGCTTTACTGCCTAAGTACTAGTACCGGTGATTTTCGCAGTGGAGGCTCCACCAGTCCTCGCACAGCGTGATCGTCGGAGGTGGACCATTTTTACAGTGCTGGAAAACTACTTCTACAGCAGTATCAGTAAATCATCCCTATCGTCCAAGATCGGATTCGATCCAGCCGGACCGAGAGGGGGCGCGCCTTTCGAACAGGCCGATCGCGGAAATAAACCGAAGGCCTTTTCCTCGGAAAGAAGTCTGATCAGCTCGTGAAGAACAGGGATTGTGCTCTCCTGTGTCATCAAGTTCCTACTCTAGCAATCGTTCTGTTGCAGTTTTCCATGCAGTTTCTGCATTGAAAACTGTGTCTTCTTCGTCGTCTGTTATCCGAGTATTAGGACACAGTCGGAGCAGCTGGACCACTCTACTCTCGACCAGGAACTACCGGGACTCGGGACCTGTTGTTTGAGTGTGTGCCGCACATTCGCACCGACATCCACAGTACCTACGACGAGATTGTGCAACATCATCATCTAGTTCCACGCCGCTACGCGACCAGAAACCGACTTGGCGAACCGCTCATTACGCTCAACACGACCGATTTGCAGCTCTACGACAATTACCTCGACGGAGGCACCTTCTTGCACTACTTTTCCAGGAAATAAATCGACTGCAGTTTTTACCATTCGCTTTCATCTAACACCCCAAGATTAAGCTTCTTTTCCCACTACACGAGAGCCTCCACATCCTTCGCCTGGCGACTTACGCGTATGTATTTGGTATTTCCCACTTTTTGTGCTAAAAGCCCGATCTACGAGGATCAAGCTGTGAGAACCGGTGCATGAGCCCACCCGCTTCCGTGTCTCCCCTTGGTGACCAGCACGAAGACGGCACGACTGCGGGCAAGGTTCAAATTTCCTCTTCTCTCCAAAACAAGATGACAGCTTTCGTTCCAGCAACGGCAAGCGCGCCCTCACCAGGTAATTGTTTTTTCATTTTGATCTTCTGCCGCTACATTCTTGTCATTCTTCTTCTTTGTTTCACAGCAACTTTCAATGAAAACACTGCTCTGTCTGCGATGTTGCAGTGACGAAGTGCAAATATCTACTCAAGAGACTTCTGACGCAAGACACCTGTAGTTCTGCATCAAACCTGTATAATATTGAAAAATCATTGCATCAAACCACAGGCGCGTTTGGCATGGCGGCAGGGGGCGCGACGAGCTTCGCCCCGGGCATCCAGCAAGCACCCTACCAGACCATGCAAACGTACATGGTCCGTGCGAAGATGGAATTCCAGCGGCGGGGCGTAACCGACGTGAATCTTGATCAGTATCTCAACAATTTGCAGTGGGCGTTTGGCGCCGAAATCTTCAAGCGCGACTGGCAGCTCGTTGACCTTCCGACCGAGGACCAAGTCCGCAGGAACGAGCCGGTCAAGCTGCAGGATTCCAGTCTGCTGATCCCCCCGTGTCCCGCAGCACAGCCGAAAGCGGCCGGGCGGGCGCTGGGGGCGCAACAGGTGCCGAACGCCGCCAGCGCCGCGTCCACGAATGGTGCGGATACTGCCACGCCCACAGGCGCCAGCAGCACGGCCACGGGGCCGGATGGCGACCAAGCGGGCAGCAGCGGTGACTCTGGCAATGTAACAAACGTAGGCATGAATCAGGTACCCCCACCGCCACCGCCACCACCACCAGCAAATGGCGCCACGCCGTCTGCTTCACCTCCGCAACCGCAGGCATCTAATCCCCTTATGAACAGCCTGGCTGGTGCGCCCGCGACAGCACTGACGCCACAACAAATGATGCTGGTGTACCAGCAGCAGATGATGGCTTTGCGGCAACGAGAGATGCAGATTATGCAGCAGAACGCCATGAATCCAGCCATGATGAGCTCTATGATGATGAACTCCCAAATGGGCGTTGCATCCGGCGGCTACAATAATAACATGTGGGGTGGCCAGCAGCGTGCTGGGCCGTACTCTAACAACTACGGCGGCAACAACGCCATGACCGCAAAAGCAGCTGCTATGGGCGGCGCCGGGGCCTTCAATCTAAAGGCGCTTCCTGGAGGTGCGCAATCAAAGACCGGCATCACCAGTCGTGTGGTGCCTGCTTCGCAATTTCCGCTCCGACCGGTGCTTCCAAAGGCCGGCATGACCGCAAATTCGAGCATGGGCGGCTTTTCCGGGGGAATGCGGTTCGGAAAAGCAGGTGCGCCCGTGCTACCAGTGAGCACGGGCAAAGCCGCCGGCATGATTCTGAACCCGATGCTGAAACACAGCAGCCGCACGCACTCTTCCGACAGTCGCGGGGGGCGATCACGATCGCGAAGCCGTAGCCGCGGTCGCGGCAGAGGACGGGGCCGCCGCTACTCATCGCGCGACCGCGACGGGCGCGGCAGGGGCAATAACAAGAAGCCGGGCTCCCAGCCCAGCAACCGTGGCAGCGAGGAGTGGCGACAGTGGGTCAAAGACGAATTCAAGGGACTGATGTGGGAAAAAGGGGGTCCCAGTGCCGCAAACGTCTCCTCCGACGTCATTCAGCACTTTCAGAAAACTCACGGCGTCAATGCGAAGCTCGTCAAAGACGTACTCGGCGTCCCGCCGGGCAAGTACGTGGGGCAGCTGAAGCTGCAGGCTCTGGGCAAGCGCAACCTGATCGACGGCTCGCTCACCGTCGACGAAGTCATGGAAGGCGCCGCGGCAAACAGTTACAACAACGGCAATAGCTACAACTCCAACAGTAACATCTGGGGTTGGGACGATCCCGCCGCGGCCCGGCGCAAGAAAGAGCGGGAGGACCGGTTCAAGGGATCCTCCACCTCAAACGCCGCTAGCATTTTGAAGGAGTTCGAGTTGAACTGGGACGACGATGACATGCCCTTGCGGCTGCAGTTAGACGACGAGAAGCCGCTTCTCGGCGAGCTCGACGCGCTGTGCAGCGAGAAGGAAATTCTGGACCGCGAGACGACACGGCAGCTGGACCGGTTCGAGGTCAAACCTACCAGACGCGCGTCCGCGGGGGGAACCAGCACACTGCTGTCGCCACCCGCCGCAGCCAATGGCGACAAGGCGCCGGTGGCGGATCGGTCGTTGTGCGTGAAAAAGTACCAGCGCTCGTCGGCAGACAAGCAATACTCGCCCAAGGACATCCGCACGCTGGCTGCCTGCTTTCGCAGCGTCGAGTACCTGTTCAAAGAGGTCATCGATCTGGACACCAGAACGAGGCCGACAAAATTCGTCTTCACAGAGCTGGTACACTTTCTCAAAATTGAAGTCATTTTGATGTGTATCAACGACTAGCACGATTTTTGCATGGGTTTGTTCTCTTGCTAGATCAGTACTAGTGCGATCATTTTCTTCATCTTGTAGCAAATGCAATAAAGTCTTGCTCAATAGTAGACCGCGAACCGCGGTCGATTCCTGTTCCAGACCGCTACATAACCTTCACCACCAAAAAAACTGCCAGGTTCCCTACATCCAAATCTACTCCTTCATTCGCGACCGCATCCGCGCCGTGCGGGTGGATCTGCATGTCCAGCAACCGTTGTCCACCGTGTCCAAGGAATACATCAAGACACACGAAGCGGCCTTCCGCTTTGAGCTGTTGAGCAACTTCATCATCAAGGCGGACTACGTCGCGAACCTGTTCAGCGACAAGAAGGGCATGGAGAAGTACGACGAGAAGATGGCGCAGAAGGCCATTTCGCAGACGGTCGAGCCGCTGCTGTTCGCGTACAAGAAGGCCCGCGAGGAAACCGAAGAGAACAAGAAAAAAGCGGATGAGAAACTCAAAGGCAAGAACCTCGCGGCCACGACGAAACCGAACACGAAGGAGCAGTATAACAAAGAGGACGATCTGCCCAAGATCGACCCCTATATCTCGCCGTTCGAAGCCAACATTCGGCGGTACGTGATCTTGATGCAATTGAGCAACAGCGAACAGGTGCAGGGACAATTGCAGCGGCTGGACCTCGCCGCGATGAGCGACCTCCGCGTCCAGGAGGCGCTCGACCTCTACAAGTGCTACCAGAGCGGGAACTGCGCTGCCTTCTTTGACTTCTATCGGACCTGTGATTTTCTGTCCGCAGTGAGCCTCGGAAACTTGGTACGCTCTCTTGATACGTTTTCAAGGAAGACGATTTTCGTGCGACAAGTTTTTTCATTCTTGCTTCACTTTTAGATAGAATTCTTTGTCTCAGGATCAGTGCAGCTCGTCAGGTATTGGTAGTCGTCGAGTCTGAATTCTTGCACTATTTTGCAACAAAACCGCCAAAAAAATCTTTCTATCACGATCTTCAACCTTCTCCCACCACAGGTCGACGTGATGCGGTATCGCCAGATGGTGTGCCTCGTGAAGAGCATCCACCCAACGATGGGCGACCAAGTTCCGCTTGCTGCCATGATGGACACATTGTGTTTCTGCGACCCCTTTCAAGCCACAGAGTTCCTCGAATTCGTCGGGTGCGTTGTGAAAAACGTGTCCCCCACGTCCCCTCGCCTCGCACAAGCTGCCAAGGCGCTGGGCAAGAGAGCCGCGTCCGTCCCCCAGATGGTGCATCTACCGGGCCGGGAGGCGGTGATAAAGCACAAAATGCTGCTGCAGCCTGGCGCTACCCCGGCGCTGCCGGAGGCCTTGCACAAAACCAAGGACGAAATCTTGCAGGCATTGAAGCCCTACTACAAGCGGGTAGGGGCGCGAGACTCCATGGTCATCGATAAGTACGACCGCTTGATTGCTTCCAACCTAACACGAGCCGACATCATCTTCGGCCGCACGGATTTGACAATTGAGGGCAAGCGCCGCGCTAACCGCGAGCGCATGGAGGCACGCGAGCGCGCACTGCTCGAAGAAAAGAGCCAAAGAAAAAACGGAGAGGCGACCAGCTTTCTTCCTAGTCCCACGCCGGCCTCCTCTTCTTCCCCAGATAGCGACAAGTCCTCTTAATGTTGTTCCATAAGAGAAGCTCTTTCAAAAGAAATGAACCGAGCACGACGGAGACCTCCAGCAGAAGCTTCCAGTGTGCAAGCGTGTTTTTTTAATAGACGAAACGAAGGCGTTCGAAAGTGGGCGCACCTAGCCACGGTTTTTGTTAATACCACTCCAGTACCTACCAGCCCCGGAGGTTGGGCTCTTGGAGCCAGCAAGACCGCGACAAGTGCTGAAATTTTCGGACCTTCAAGGAAACGAGTTTCCAGCTGCACGAGACTAAGCATGTCAAGCTTCCACAGGTTGCAGAAGAGCTCTCGCGCAGAGAAAGTTGCCGTCAAGTGGGCGCGCGCAGGACCGGCCGTGCATTGGTGTACGTAAGTAGTCGTGAAAGCCATCTTCGATCATCGTGTGAACGCGCTTCGCACAGGGACTACATTTTTTCAAGGCCTTCAGCCACAATTTCCACGGTTGCGCAACACCTTCGCTTCACCACCGCAAGAACCTTCTGTACTGCCGCTGCAACGAACAAGTAGACGCACCCTCGCTTGCTTTTGCACAGCCTGCTTTTCAGCCCGACACTGTCTGTCACACTGGTGCCAAAAAAATCTCGTCGCTTGCAATCGAGTGGAACACTGCCGCGCATCATCATGCTGTGTAAAAAGATGAAGTATTCAGTGCTGTTTGTGAAGAAGAAAGATCGCTCCCTTCGTGGACGGTGCGACCGCGAACAGGCACCGTAGTTGGGTACTTGTTTTTCGCGTTTTCCACCTCGCTCGCAGCTTGCGCAACCAGAGTCCCCATGCGGACCGAGTCCAGCAGGGAGAAGTGTACGACGGGCGTGCACAAAATCGCAGTAGGTATTGGCTTCGCGTAGTTTCCAGTGACAGGGAGCAGCAGTCGTGCATTCTCTATTTTCCAGCAGTGGTGGTCATTCCAACTGCGGGCTGGGCTGTCTGCGGCTCCCGATATGGTCGTCGCGCGCATGCATGGGGCGTGACCCTCCCGGGGGGAAAAAACCGCCTTCCTTGTCCTTTTCACGTGTCCGTCGTGGGCACCACTAAACCGGCGTGGTCAGCTTCCTCAAATAAAACAGGAACGTATGCATTTTGTGGTCTTCGAATAGGAATGAACGAGGAGAAAAAAGCGACCGATTGCCACGCAGTCAAGAACACCGGTGAATCTGTTGGAAACGACGGGACAACCATAGGCGGATGACCGCGACGCTCCTGAACATCAAAAAGCAATCGCTAGTGCGAGGTTCATTTCTTGCGCTGCTAGCGTCCCTTGTACTTTTTGCTCATGCCTCTCACTAACCTATGAAAACTATGACTAACGGTGCCATATCGGTACAGCACTATCATGGTATATTGGGTTAACCGTAGCCAATGTGTTGTATTCTATTGCCAACACTTTTTCAAGAAGTAAGTTTGTAAGTAGAAAGTGTACAACAAGGACTACAATACGTCATATGGGGCAAGGCCATGCCAAATTTGCTTCAATGCTTGCACGTGCTTCAGCGCGAGCCAGAGATCGATACGAATCAAAAGTTGTGAGTTTGCTGCAAACTATGTTTAACATCATCAGATTGAAGCTTAGGCTTAAATTTTTGATATTTGTAGAACTTCTTCTGTCCATGAGATTCAAGTTTGCCACTTCTCACATTTTCGTTTGTATCCGCCTCGCTTCATCGACGACCTCACAGTAGCGGTAGGGGTAGCTATAGCTTCTTTAGTTAGGCGTCAAAGTACTTAGATTAAAGCTTCTGCGCTACCTCGGGCGGGTCGCCACAGCTGTTCCGACGCGCGAGCTGTACATTCCGGGAGTGTTAAGCAGCGTTGTGTTTAGTACTCAACGGGGAACCGCAACCTCCAGCACCTGCATCGGCAAGCCTGGCATCGAGATCACTGCGAGTACGCGGGCGCCGCCGTCGCCAACCGACCGAACGCCGTAGTCGGCCCACCACGAGGAACGACCGGAAAAGATTTGCATTGCGAACAAGTCAAGGATTTGGGACCACCATCCTCAGCATGAATCTGCATGAGATTCCGAGACGGCTTCGCCTGGCGTGGCTGTTCCGGGAAGAGGCCACCGCCGTTTGCCGACCTAGTTGCGACCGTACGACACCGGTAGCGGACCAAAGGCGTTCAAGTCTGGGAGTAATATTCGCTCGGGAAAACATGCCGAGCTGCGCTCCTTCAAGCGACATCTTCACCCGAAGAAAATCTGAGCCACAAGTTGCAATGGCAAAGCGACAGAAACTACCCTGCAAAGAGCGCAAAGCGCGTGGCTTCTATTCAGACCTCCAGCGAACCAATGCAAGCACCTTCTTTTGTATTGAGAAAAGAAACATTCGCCGATAGGCAAAACTGCTCAGCCCTGTAATAGAGGGCGAGAATGGGTCACCTTTTCACTCTCCGTGTTCGAAGTTGCTCATCCAAGTCACGAACTTCGACGGCACTAGCACACGTGTAGTTGCCTCTTCCAGGAGTCGTGAGCGATGTGATAGATAGTTTCCTGATGTAATCCTCGTCAACATCCGGGAGCTGAAAGTGAAACAGCATCAGCAACGTTCAGTAATGTACTTGTTGCTTTCCTGGTGCTGGTTCTACCTCTACGAACTACCAGTCTAAAAAGAGGTGTTGATCTTCCCAGTTTTGTCTCCTGGCTCGAAGGTCCTCCTGCTAGATGGGTAATATTCTCTTTGTTTGCATCTCTTTATAACAGCGGTGGCGATGTGTTCTTGGCGATCATCCATCATACGACAGATTGATTCTTCAGGAAGAAGTACTTAAGTGCTTAGGTTTCTATCGAGAAGTTAGCGTATCTAGCACGTTGATCATCATCTTCATGTACATAAAGCGGCCTTATCTAGGTGTCACGTGGTCCCTAGATCCTTGACTGAGTCGAAGCGGTACCATGTATTCTTTGCGGTGTTTATTTCTGCAGAATATCATCTTTAGTATGTGTGATGAAACTGTATTGCAGATACAACTGCGGACGATTGGATTCTGCTACCAATCACTCTGCAGAGACGTTGTGGTGTTTTAGTTCGCGATGGTAAAACATGATAGTACTACTTTGAAACCTGCTACCTTGAGCCTTGTCTTCGCTCTGATCCTGTGAAAGGCCAAAAATGACAAATGCTACGGCGGACCTGACCTTGTACGACATTCTGGAGGTGCACCATGATGCAGACACGAAAACCATCACGCAACAGCACCGAAAGCAGGCTCTCCGGTGGCACCCGGACAAGCACCGAAAAGAAGACCGAACCACAGCCCAAAAACGCTTTCTCCGCATCCAGGAGGCCTATGAGGTAAGTACATAAGTACATGTCGCAAGAAAAAACTTGCGTCTCTAGCGACGTGATGTACGATTTCCAAGCTAAGTCTGAGTACTGTACTTTTTCTGTTGATGAAGGGAATGCATGCGCAGTTGGACGATGAGGGAAGATGCAATTTCATTATCAGGTGCTGACAAGCGACCGCCTGCGGCACCTGTATGATTCTTTTCTGGATGCGCGCTGGAGTGGCGAGGTCCCCGCCGAAATGACCTGGGGTGAATTCCGGGAGCGGACCGAAGGCAGCACGGATTTGGCCACCGGCGAGTCGGTCGCGGAGCAGCTGGTGCGCACTAAAAAGGAGCGGGACGAGCGCACCGCGGCGCCCTCGCTGGACGACTTGCGCCTGCTCGGCTACGCGACGGGTGGGTTTCTGCTGGGCAGCTATTTGGTGTACAAACTCTTCCTGGAAGAGGCGTACTGGCTCGCATCCGCCAACTTCTGGCAGAGCCTGGAGTGGGCCGAGGTGACGCTGCCCTTGTCCTTCGACCTGGGTAACATGATGGCTATGCGGCGCATCTCGGCGCAGTTGTCAGCCTTGGTGAAGTACTCCTCCACGCTCGGGGGCAACGCGGACGCGACCAACGTTCTGTTCGGGAACCTGGTGCCGCAGGACATGATCGGTCGCCTGCACGAAACCGCCACGGCTCTGCACCAGCGGTCGTCGAGAATAAACGCAAACGCGGCTTCCGCAGCGCCGTTGGTGTTCGCCGCGACAACCGCAGACACAACAGCCAGCGACGGCAGTTACAACAGCATTCTCGCGCAGGCCGGCTCCACCCCGGCGCTCACCGTGGATCTGCTGGCCCTCGGCAAGAAACTGTACTTGCCCTACCTGGGGCCTTTTCAGTCCTGGCTCCGGACTCAGGTCACTTTCGCCAATCGCGTCCTGGTCAAGAATTTCAGCACGCTTGAAGGCTATCTCTGGATGGACTAGTAAGGACGCACTGCCGGCCGCTGTAGAATTGTCAGGTCCGCGGGTGTAGGTACGCCGGTGCGACGAGAGAGACTGTTGTTCCCCCGGCGAGAGTAGCACGGCGACAAAACACCCAGTCTGGTACCCGAAAGTCAGTCAAGAGGCGGCTATACACGCGAGTGCAGGAGGCTAGAAACACGGCTGTGCGGCTTTGTCAAGCAGAAAGGGCTTGTACGTGACCGAGTCGACCCGTTTCCACGACGACGCTCGAGGCCGCAGGGCTCATTTGTCCTTCCTCTCACCGAAAAGAAGAACGTCAAAGTGCTGGGGAGAGAAATACTGCGGAGCAGCTCGCAAGTCCACGTGGCATTACGCAGCGCAGATGAGCGGAGGAGCAGTGTCGGACTTGAAGGACCACCCGCACCATGAAGCAACACCGAGCCACTGTACGATGATAGGCGACGACGAGAATTGTTGTCTGTACGACAATCAGAAAGCCGACCACAAGCTAATTTTATCGAGAGCGACAGTGCCTCCGAAATGGTTGAAAAATCATCTTTCAAATTTCGACCGAAATCTAGCGAAAGCGATTTGATTCTGAGAGCCAAAATCCTTGGTAGCTCAGCCTGCTCCGGCAACCAAAAGAATGGCAGTTTTTCAAGTATCCGAAAAAAGAAGCCCCCGTATGCCGACCTCCTTTGGCGCGATCACCGAGTGTTTTATTCTCATTCCGAACTTATGACGACTTTTTTGACCAGGACTTCTAAAAAAACCACTACGTACCACTTGTTGGCTTTACTGGCGTATGAAAGGTGCTTCATGACGCGTCTCGTGGCAAAACCAAAACCCGATGTTGAGAGGCACGGCATGTTTCAATCCTGCAGAAAAGGCAAGAACTACCCAGGCTTACTATTAAGTACTCTAGCTTCGACGACGAGCATCTGAAACCTTAAAGTACACCATGGCGGAAGAGGTTAGCTCGGAGTTTGAATGTGCGTTATGCCTTCGCCTGCTACTTGAGCCCGTCAGCGTCTCATGCGGCCACACGTTTTGCAGGTATTTTCACTTTGTCTAAACACGCTTGATCGACTTGCGGCGAGTACCCTTTTCGCACTCTTCATTGCCCCTCTTTACATCAGGCGAACACTTGCTCTTGGGAAATGATGCCAATTCGAGTTCGCGAAAAGTACCTCGGACAACACGTTTTCCTTACAGAACGTGAACCAAAACTGCTAAAACAGGTCCTGCATCGAGGCTAGTCTGGACCACCGTGCCGCCTGTCCGCTATGTCGGCAGCCCATCATCGCAGGCCGAAGCGTGAACGTCCTGATTCAAAATTTGATTCAGCAGCGGTACCCCCAGACTCTCCGGGCGCGCCAAGAGGAGCAGCTGGAGGAGATTCGGGATGATGAGCAGCAGCGCGCGGGGGCGAACACTACCGCTATCTCGCCGGACAGAGATGCGGCGGGGGCCACAGAGCGGCGGAACGTGCCGATGTTCGCGAGCTCCAGATTATACCAGACCAACGAGCTTCTATTCCCGGGGGCCGAGATGCTCTTCAAGGCAACGGAGATGCAGGACGAGCATATCCTGGATCATCTACTTGCCACCTCGCGGGAGTTTGTGATGCAGTACGAAGCATCTGCTGGTGCTGGCAGTGGCGACGATGAAGCGAGAAATGGTGGCGCATCGAACGCAGCCGGAACTGCCAATACAGCAAATTCCTCCACAACTGGCAATTCCGTAGGCTATCTCTTCCAGGTGGAGTCCGCGGAGCGGGATCCGCAGGACGAAACGCGGATGGTGCAGTGCCGGTGCAAGGAGCGGGTGTGGGTGCGAGGGATGAGATTCACGACGCGGCCGGAAACCGGGACCGGCATGCGTATCTGCGACATCGTGCCGATGAAAGACGGAGCGATAGACGTAGCCGAGCTCGTGCTGCCGACCGCCTACCAGCCACTGCGCTTAGATCCTATGACGGGCAAGCGGTTGGGTAGCACGAGCAGCACGCCTCCACAGCAAGAGGACGCACCACCTGTAGAAGCGCAAGCGGGCACGCAGCCTGCATCACCCGTAAACGCTGAGGGGCCACCAGACGAAGCCAATGGGGGTATCGAGCTCACTCCTGTCCTAAACCCAGCAACGCGACCTATTGTCGCTCCACCTGACGTGCGTTCACGGAACCTAGCGTCCATTGCGGATGAGTGTGTCATTTACCTGAACTTTCACCTGGAACGACTGGGGCCGCACGCCCGGCAGCGCTTCATTCGCCACCACGGGCCGGTGCCAATGCGAGTTGCGCGGTCGGTCATGCAATTGCGCGACATCGAGCAACTTTCGTGGTATCTTTGCCGAGTGCTGGTCGCGACAGACGACCGGAAAACGGAGTGGTATTTTCTACGCTACTTTCATCATGTCTCCTCCTGCTCAGTTTCGCGGGCAGTATCCCTTGTAGACTAGAGGACGGTCTGGAGTTGCCGTTTTATGGTTCATTCCGCTGCGTGTGCGTACTGCATGAATTCGTTCCACCATGTTCTACATAGGTGCACGTCCAGTGGAATTTTCACTATCCGAAAAATTAAAATTTGCATCTTCCAAGGTTCAAGTCGACGGATTTGAAGCTCCGTCTGTGCGATTGCTTGCAGGTGTTCCGGGAGTGTGGAAAGCCCGGGGCATGCCTCCAGATGCCAGGCTCGGCGGCCTGGATGAAGCTTGGCTCTCACTATTCGTCCCTTCTGCTGCTGGTGATTGTTCTCCTTCTTCTCTATCTCAAAGGGAGCGGCCACCTGGACGCGCTTGAGCGGTCGCGGGGGCGCGGAAAATACGTAATCGACTTCGATTCGTAGGCGACATCGCAAATTATCCGCACTGGCTCTGGGACACAGTCAGTTGGTCAGGATTGGAGGGTGGAACTCCTCTGTATCAGTTGGTCGCCCACAGCAGGCGCAGGGCAGCGCTCGTCCAGCATTATGACCAGCAAGGGAAGCGCCCTTCGCCAAACACGAGAGTCCAACACCCGGGAGCAGGATCCAATGGTGTCGCGATGAGAAGGAAACACCCAGCAAAAGGGGTAAAACCGCTGCCGTGGCGACCCGGCGGAGAATCTTTCGGCAGGCAGATATGGGCAGCGTCGCAGGGCCAAAGAGCCGGCCTTCCCACACAACGGAAGAGAAAGCACGTGGGGTCTGGAGTGCATGGAGTTTCTCTGCCAGGCAGATACAGCTGGCAGACAAAGACGCGATAAAAACACTGGAGTGCAAGACGCAAACTCGCAAAACTGCTCCGCTAGGCACGAGCGCATGAGGCTCATCCATGAGCGGATCGACCAGAAATGGAGAAAATTCTTTATCGATTCCAAGAAGGTGGAACGTAATTTACATGAAACTGGTGGCCTGCTAGCAGCTCGCCTCAGTGAAGGGGCGGTGAAACCATTTCTAGGAGTAGTTGTACGCGTGGCAACTTAAGTCGGTCAAGCATCAGTTCTCTCCGCAACACGCGTGATCCGCTGCTGTGGTCATGTGCATCAGGATTTTCTAAATTTGGATCCGTGCTCTAGTCGATTATGTCCATTGCCGTTCCGATGAGGATCATGAAGGAACATACCGAGAACGAGATCAGGATCACATCGTCAACTACAGAGCAGTACGAAACCGCAATGAAAGCAAGATCGAAAGCTAGAAAAGAACTGCAACATGCGACCACAAAAGATCTCGGCCGGGAATCGAAACGAAATCGCAAATGTTCAAATTTAGATCCTTCAAAAGCTCTCTTAAATGATTCACGCTCTGGTTTATTCCGCGACTACCGCCGAAAAACAATAAATGCGAAAAACAAGAAAGTAAACCTAAATTTCAATCACTAAAACTGTTTTCCTGTCTCTCACACCGAAACCTCTCTTCTTTATCTAAACTTTCGCACCAGGGAATCGATCGCGCTTTACGAGCTTAAAGCAACGATACAACTACATCACACAAAATGGTGCTCATCAGCCGCAAGAACCGCAAGGCGATCCTCGAGTACCTCTTCAAGGAGGGTGTGCTCACCGTGCAGAAGGATGGCATGAAGCCGAAGCACGACCAGATCGATGTGCCGAACCTGCACGTCATGATGGTCATGAAGTCCCTGACTTCCAAGGACTACGTCAAGGAGAAGTTCAACTGGCAGTGGTACGGTTTTTCACTATTCCTTCATGTTGTGTTGGTATTTATTTTCTAAATCGAAATCCAAGTTGTAGGCACTTCCAGATGTGATTTTGTTTTTGCAAAACCAACGCGAAGACGGAACTTCCCAAACAAAACTCAAATCCAGGTACTACTACTACCTGACCGATGAGGGTATCTCCCACTTGCGTGAGGTGTTGCACCTGCCCAGCACCGTCTTCCCGTCTACCCTGACCAAGCAGGTCCGCCAGAACCGCCCGGGTGGCAAGGGTGGCTACGATGACGAGGACCGACCGAAGGGCAAGGGAAAGGGCAAGGGAAAGAAGGGTATCGATAGTGTTTTTCCGTGTGGTCATTAACATCTCTTTCTTCTTGTTCGGTCGCCGGTTTCATGTTGCTCTTTCAACACTACGCGTCTGCACCAAATATCCCTCCTCTCATGAAACTCTTTAGATAGCAGGGAAAATAAGATACTTCTCTGCGCACAGCTCATCATAATTTCGTCTAAACTTGAACTTTCAGGTAAGGGCAAGGGCTGGTCCGCTGGCGGAAAGGGCGGCTATGCCGGTGAGGCTGAGCCGAAGGAATCCGAGGAGTAAACATCCACCTTTCTCCTGCGTGGTGCTGAATGAGCGCTTCTGTGATGGAGTGTTATCGAGACTGTAAATCTAACGTGAGTTCATGGCTTGCGAATCTTCGTGGCGACTTGGAGCCAAGAATATTTGTATGTCAATCTCAAACCTTTTGAAACAGCTCTCGACGTCGCTTTCTCGCGATCAAATTCAAAAAGAAAAAAGATTTTGTTTCTACGGTTGCCTGCTAGGTGCCGCACCAGCGCGAACTCTGTTCGGCTGATTCATCTTTACCTACACGAGAAGTGTTCGCGCAACAGAACTGATTTTTCTTTGTGCAGCCGCTGCGAAAGTCTGTTGCTAAGTACTGGTGCTGCTCTATTTCGGTTACAAGTCTCGGTCGCTGTCGTGCGGATTTGTGGACTCATCGTCGTGTCGATAGTGATGTTTTGTAGAGGGGATCTTTCTTTGAGCGCTTCCTGCATACAGTAAGCACAGTAAATATACAAGAATATTGATGCTTTTTTTATACAGAGAGAGCACTTTACTTTGTTTGTGGTGCTTAGCCCTATCCTTTGCGCCTGAGGACGCCCCTTGCCACTATTCAGGAAGAATCAGTGCGACCGTCGGAACAACGATGTTGATGTTCCTACGCGTGTTTGCTTCTCTCCTTTTTCTGCGCAGCCTGCCGGCCGTGGCAAGTCCCATGCCCGCTACAGACACGGTTCCGGTTCCGGACCTGCAGGGGGAGACGAAGAAATCACTTGCTAGCCAGCACAATCCGAACGCGCTTATGGACGAAGTGGACCTGGAAGTCAAGGGCGCATTGGAGAAAAGTGCAGTCGCGGTCGCGGAAGAAACCGACCAGCTGCCGCGTGAACTGCGCTGCGAGGGCCCCATGCAGGATTATTGGCAGTACGTGAAGAAAATCAGCAACGTGTATCAAGTCGCACATATTCCGGCCGAGGCACGCGACGCGGTGACGAATGAATTCCTCAGATTTGGCTTTTCCGACGAATGGCTTGCGGGCGCACGTGGCGATTGCGTGTACGGCCTGGCGTTTTTGATTTTGCTCTCCCTCCCCAAAATGGAGCAGGAGATGGGTCACGACCCCGCTGTTCTGAGGAAGTACTACAGGCTGTTTGAGGAACTCGCCCGGTCCGAGGAGGCAACGCACGGCCCCGCCGCAAGCGAGCGCTTGGGATGGTACATGCGCACGCACCAGAGTGAGTCCTACCCCATGCTGTTGGGCTTGTTACCAAGCCAGACGGAACGGGGGGAGGAGGAAACAATACAACAGGCACTCACGGACTCGAGCGACTTCGAACTCCCCCTTTCTGCTGAAGAAGCGGAGATGTTGGCATTTCACGAGGACGATTCCAGCACAATACCCGAAGATCAAGAACATGGTCGTGCAAGCACTGCTAGCTTTGCTGCAAGAGATGCTGCAGAAGCGCGATCCAGTCGGTCGATAACAGACGCAGAAGTTGCGCGATTTCTCCAAACGAACGCATCTTTGGCTGAAGACGCAGCCTCAAATTCTCTCGTTCTCTCCACGACGGGCCAGGGGTTCCGGCAGCTGTCCTCGAAAATGATAAACGACCTGCGACACCCGCCACGGTTTCAGCAGCCCATCCCGAGACTCTTCGACGTCCGAGTGTTCGTGCTGGACTTTGGAAAGTTCAACGAGTGGACGAGTCGCTCGCTCCTGTGCAGTCAGGGCATGTTCGCGACCGAAGTGTTTGTGCACCGCTGGTTGCTGCACTCCCCCTACCGCACACTCGATCCGGACGCCGCGGACTTTTTCTTCGTGCCCATCTACCCGAGCTGTATCCAGACGAAGTTCGACAAGAACATCGACGACCTCAACGAGTTCTACATCTCCGCGTTGACGCAAGAGCACCGGCCTGACGAAAACCTGCCGCACCCAACCGGGATTGACGTGAAGTATTACTTCGAGCGGAACGACGGCCGCGACTTCGTGTTTCAGTTCAGCAGCGAGTGCCTGGACTTCCCAAAGTGGAAAAAGTATCTGCTGCGTTCGCCTTTCATCAGCGTGGAAAAGACGCCGATTGAGTGCACCAAGGACTTCGGCTACGTGAATGAGCAGAACGCCGAGGAGTACGGAAAATCCTGCTACCACTGCAACCACTGCTTTTCCCCGTGGAAGGACATCTTGATTCCCGGGTTCGTGGAGAAGTGGAGCATTGATCGCATGATGTCCAAGGCCCAGCCCTACAGCGCGCGCGACAACCTGCTCTGCTACCACGGGGCGGACAGCGACGAAATCTCGCTGTACAAGTACGCCAACGCCACCGCGCGCAACGACATCCAGGACCACCTCGCCGGCACGCCGGGCACCAGCATTGGACGGCGGATTCCTATCATCATGGACTATTTCGAACGCATGGGCAGTTGCGTGTTCTGCCTGGTGCCTAAAGGGCTGGGCTACTGGAGCAACCGCTTCTTCGAAATCCTCTTTATCGGCTGCATTCCCGTAATTCTGTCGGACGAGATGGGCTTGCCGTTTTCGGACAAAATCCCGTGGCAGGAGTTCACGATCAAATGGCCCATGAAAATCGTGGACAAGCGGCTGTTGCGGTACCTGGACGATTTGATTCTGTACCACCCAGCTTTGGTGGAGAAAATGCACAACACCCTGCTGCAGTACCTCTGCTGGCTCTCCTGGCACTCGCAGGACTACGACTGCTCCCCCTACCGGGCGATTGTCGAGCAACTCGCTGCGAAAAAGAAGGGGTTCCCCTACTACACCGGCCGCTTTTGGAACACGGAACTGGATTCGCGAGAATACAGCGACCAAATGCCCTACCCCTACTACCGCGATCAAATGGAGGGTGGGCTCCCGGAACCGTCATGACGAGACACTTCGCGAGCCGGCGAAATTCCTACTGCGCCAGCGGTAAGGCAGAACGTGGGAGAATTCGTTGGTTGCGGCCACACGACTGCTAGTGCCCGAGCAACGCGTTCGGAAGTGAACGATAACCGATTCGCGGAGTGGATTTACGTTTATGGTAAAGGAGTGCCAGCATCAGTAAGTCGTATGCGCATTGAGCACGCGTGGAGTGCTCGGCGAGGGAGGACGCGGCGGGCGGCAGTACCATGAGAAGGCGGGTAGATTGATTCGGAACCCTGCGGGAGTGGCAAAAATTGCGAGCCTTCTTAAGAATACTATAACGTTTTCTTGTTGGTGGATGGTGATGGCAGGGTCCTATCTAGTCAAGAAGCGGAGCACCGCGGAGGCAACTACGCTGGTGCTATGCGGTAACGATCCGGTAAAGACGGCGCCACGTTCAGATGGTATTGTTGCTGTCTGAACGTGTACACGAAAAAAAAAAGAATCCACGCCAGACTGACAAGAGAAATGCACTTCGACGGTTCTGGAAGCACTGGACGAAGAAACATCTCGGAAGCAGTTGTAAAAAAAGTGCACAGAAGAGGAGAAGTGATTTCGATCAAATGCACGAGTCACGTAGACGGCATAATTTTCTGTATTGTATTCAACTGACATCTTGCGCCACTTCGTCTTCTATTTGAGGAAAAAGGACGTGTCTTGATGTTGCTTTTGTGAATCGCGATCTAGATCCCCAATGAGATCACGTGATGAAAACGATCCCGATGTAAGCACCTTCTTTGCTCCAGTTTTTCATTGCGACCAGTTCTTCTCAGGCACTGTTGTTGTGAGTTTGTTTCACATGACGAAGATCGTTGTTGTGCGTGAACAAATTCTTTTTCGAAATAGTGTTTTTCATAGAAATTTCCCCTATTGCCAATGGTTCTTCTTCCGTACCTGAAGTGGTGAAAGAGATGGCTCCTCCGGCTTCTCCTACCTCCTCAGTACCACCACTCGCAGTGAAAATGGCGACGGCGGTGATGACGAACGAAACAGAACTTACGGCTTCGCCGTTCAACAGTACGACCAGCACGGGCGCTGCACAGCTCGGGGCAGCCGGGCATCCGAAAAATCAAGAGAACTTCACGGCTTCTGCCTTGGATCCAAACGCGACCGCAGCATCTGCCTCAGACGACGGCAGCAGCATTGCGGAAGGGCTCGTGGAGTCCGCGACAACGTATTTGGCCACGCTAGGCACAGACGCACTGGCGTCTACGCAGGATTTCTTCACTGTCTACTTGCCGCTTTTTTTCACAGTTACTCTTCCAAAGTACTTCGCCGACGCGGCTACCAACGGATACAATTCTGTTATCCAGTTTTGCATCCAGCTGTACTACGCCTGCTGCGCGGTTTTGCAGCTGCTGCTCACCATCTCAGATTTGGTCTACCAGCTGCTTCTCGGACTGTGGCGCGTCGCGCAAACCATCGCGCATGTATGGCTTACTTACATCGGCATACTGCCGATAATAATCGCAGCCACGTGCTTGATCATATTCTTGGTCTTGGCGCGATCTGTTGCAAATCGACGATTTGCAAGACTGCGGAACCGAATTGAAGATGTGATTCTCTCCGCAAACGTCCACGCCGAGGAGAAAGATGCAAGTCCGAGTTTTATTTCCTCAAGATCTTCTACAGGAGGCAACCGGGACCTCGAGCAATTGCGTGGAGCGCTCCCGCTTTTCCCCATAGTGCATCCGGAAGGAAGACTCGTGGGAAGCAGCAGAGAAATCGTCGCCGTCGGCGATGCCGAGTACCCGAGCATGCGGACGAGACGGCTGCGTGGACAGGACAGCAGGTGCGCAGACAGTAGTGGCACGAAGACGGAGATCCTCTCGAAGGCACCGAACGTGAATCTCGTCCAGGATGACTCCAGCGGGACGGAATCGGCGAATTCTAGCACATCGGCGACGCCAAAGTCCCAGACGGAGAATTTTGCGGAAATCGTCGACTCGGCCGGGTATCCGGTGAAAACGGACTCGCGCTCGCTGCTCTTTGCCGGTGCAACAAGCTTGTCCTCTGTGCGAGCAAACGACTCTCGCAGTGATGTGCAGGAGGTGGCCGAAATAAATTCGAAACCCTGCCTGCTCTACGTGCACGCGTTTCGCGGCAGCCCGGGCGATGCCGGGTACCGGGTTTCCGCCCAGATGGCAAAAGCGCTCTCTACAGACCTGGCCACCGTGCGCTTGAGGTGGCACGGGTTTCGCGGGTCGGATAGTTTACTGCACTGGGCGTCAGCGGCGGACTACGTGCAGGACGTGATGCAGGCGTTGCGCAGGTTGGTGGTCGTTTACGGGCGAAGGAAAATTACGCTCGTCGGTCACGGTTTGGGAGCGACCATCTGCTTCATCGTACACAGGATACTGTCCACATCTTCGACCTCCGGGCGCAAACCTGGAAAGAGATCCGCCGACTCGACGACCACACAACAACAAGATCCGATCCGTGCAGCGCTGCAGGGGGCAATCTTGCTGTGTCCGCAAGTTGACTACGGGGCGGTAACACAGGAGATGCTGGATCCACACATCCAAGAGCTTCTTGCCGAGTCACCTGTGTTTGCTTCGGGCCTGGGACGCAGCACGGGAATCGATGATCCCGCAGTTTTCTACGCCGGGGTGGCCGAACTGCGGTCCGCCAACCGCCGCTACCACGTCAAGGAATTCCTCTACCGCAGCTGGCTAGTGGGCGCGGGTTGGCAGCTGCTCTCCCTATGCAAGCGCTGGGGACTAGTTGCGGCACCGGGCTTGGGAGGCGTTCCCAGTGCTGCAGACTCGAAGTCCAGAAAAAAGAAAGTTTCGACCCAAGAGCGAGCCGCTTTCGTTCAGCGAGTCTGCGACTGGTGTCTGCACGCTTTCCCAGCGAAACCGGATGCGTACGAAATGTCCCAGCTGGGTGGAGCGCCTGCCATGGCAGTCGCGGCTGGGGCGTCATCTTCACCGACGAAAAGAAGCAAAAACACGGGCTCAAGCTCTGGTACTGATGCTGGCAGTGACGCAAGCGCGCCGTCGCCGCGCACAAAGAACAAGAAGAAAAGGAAGCACGTGGAGCACGTGCCATTTGAAACGAAACGGACAGGCTTCGATATCATCGGGGCGTGCCTGGAGAAAGTTCTAATCAAAGGTGCGCTTTTTTGCTGTACATGAATGCAGTTTCTGTCTTATGGCCCTGGAGCAGGACGCATGCTGTTTCTTGATACTGGTTTCCGTGTCCTCGTGCATTTTTCTTGGTAGCAGCTGCAAAACTTCGTTAAACTACTTAGCCCTCACATCGATCATACGTCAGGTCTCTTGACTGCTCGAGACGCGCATGCCGTACGCCATGTGCAGTGGACAGAGTCGCAAAGCTGGACGTCCCGGCACGACAGTGCGGCGTTGCTCGCTCCGCTTTTGCTGGTTCGATTCGCGAGAGAACTCCTTGGTCAAGCTCCTGGAGGTAGCAGAGGTGGGGTAGAACCGGCGAAGCAAGACGCCTCCGACGACCAAACTACCAGGGAATCATCGCAAGCCGGAGGCAGATTGTTCATTCTCTCATCCTCCTCGTCTGTACCAGAGGAGGAGGACGCTGCGCTCTGGGCTGGTGCCGGCGCAGCGCACGACTCCGTGAAGCATGCGGAGGAAAAAATTCTGCTCGGCCACGACGTGGAAAAAATCGTCGACCTTGTCAAGCGGCATTTCTCGGATTCAAGTGCTCCTGCGGACCGCGCCAGTGCGGACACTTCCTAAGCACTACCTTGTCCTTGGCATGGATTTCTTAGAAAAACAAACCACGAGAATTGGCAACGGTTGTGTGGAAATATGTGTGCTTCAAGAAGATCGACGCTATGCATTATTTCCGTCTTATTTCCTACATTACGCTAGTGATGATCATTTTCGTTTTACCGCCACGGTTCTGCCGCCTCCGCTAGCAGTTCTCGCAAGTACACTCTTTTGTTCTCCTCCGCCAAGCTACACGCAAACTTTCACTACAAACATGTTGATCGCGAGAAGAGTGTCTGTGGACAAGAACGCCAGCAGCTTCATCAAAGAGGCTTTCGCACAACTGACAGTTGAGCTGGAAACGTCAAAATAGACTCAAATCGTGAAAGCATCAGAGAAGTCGGGAGAGAGAATGCGAGGCTTTACCCGTGGCCCAGCGCAATTTCTTACCAGCAAACTTTCAGATCGGGAACTTCTCATATGATCCTGTACTCGCTGAAGTAGCTGGCTAAATGTAATAGCGGTTGGTTGCGGTGCAGGACTAGATTGATGACATTAACCTCGGTAAGCCCCGAGACAAGCGTGGCTTCTGTATGCTAGCTTGGCCGCGCCGGTGACGGAGTGCTTTACAAAAGTCACGAGCCGCTGCTGCCCCGACCGAGCCGCTCCTCGCTTCCAAGAAGACGTTTGGATTTTTACAGCTGTTCTTCCAGTCCGTGGACCGGCACGCTGCGTAAGACGGTCTCCTGTCGCTTCTTCACGTCAACACCGCATAATTGAGGCCACGGCAACATCAGCGGGTTTTGTGCGACATCTGTTGGGTGCGAGTTCTAAGTTCTAAGTTTGATAAAAGATAAGTCCTCGTGTCCGTCCGTCTTGCTTCTACCGTCTTCTGCACGGCGTTTTGGATCCGTCCCGGCCCTGCACCATGGCACCCCAACTCGAGGTTCCGTCGTCCGCCTTTTTTCCGGGACAACAACAGATTACACCGATTAACGATAAATGCGACGGTGAAAACACCGAGGACGAGGACATGGACCATACGCCCGCGAAGCAACTGTCGGCCGGTATTGCCCCGCAGGTGGGGATGCGAATGGTAGGCACGATTGTGCGGGAGATCTTTCACAAGGTTAAGGACAAGGATGGCAACGTGATCCGGGTCGGGGACAGCAAGGGGTACGGATTCATTCGTCCGCATAAGCAACTCAGCCTGGAGAACTTCCTCGGGCACAAAACAGGGGGTCGCTTCACCAACTTTGTCAGTGTGTCACCGGATTTTATTGCGGAACTGTCGGAGTTGTCGAGGGAGTTCAAATCCAAGAATGACCTGTTTGTGCACAAGCGGTCCGTCGTTGAGGGCGACTGGGGTGTGGGCTGTGTGGCCGAATTCACTGTTGCACCGGGCCGGGAGGAGGGCAAGCTTGAGGCGCGCATGGTGCAAATCCTGGCCGTTGATCCCCGCTGCCCGACTCTGGATGCGCTGGCGAAGAAGGTTCAGTGGCTCGAGGGGCAGTTAAAGTTGTCCAACAAAAAATCCAACGACGCGGTGGCGACCGCTGAAGCCGCAAGGGTGACCTCGGCGCAGGCAGCGGCCAAAGTGCATCAGGTCGAAACCTCCACCAGCCAGCGCCTGGGCAAGCTCGAAGCCGGGGTAGAGGAGTCCGCACAGGTGGCGCGCGACACGAAGAGAGACGTTGAGGCGGTGAAAAAGGAGGTTGTTACCCAGCAGTCGACCCTGGCGGAGATCCTGTTGCATGTCAAGCAGAACTCCGCTGCATCGGCCCAGCCGGCGAAGCGCAATGAGGATGAGGATGAGGGTATCGCTAGCGCTCCTTCGTGCGAACAGTCTTCATCTTCGTGTTCATCTTCGTCTTCATCATCACAGCTCTGTCTCAACAACTTAAATTCCCACATCTCATCATCACAGGTCATTCCGGCGATGACAAGAGACGTAAGATGGCCGGCGCTGGAGCTGCTGAAGCGACAAACCCATAGCAGCAGAGCGGGTGATCAGGTTGCTGCACCACGGCGGCTTTTTGCTGGTGCTGCAGCCGGAGATGATGAGTTTGATGAAAATCTTGATGTGAACAATTTTGACAACGAGGATTTTGAACAACAGCAACCAGATGACAAAGAATCATCTTGTTTGTCCTGTCGACTGTCGGAACTGTCGGTAGCCGTACAGTCAGATTTTGTTGATAGCCCGCAAAACGAAAACCAAACCACGAACGGCAATCCTTACATCTGTGAAACGAGTGATTTGAGCCAGCAGCCAGCCTCTGCAATTGTTGAAAGGGCCTCTGCAGCTGGTCCGTCGCACACCAGGCAGTTGGTGTCTCACGCGTTCAACGCTTTGTGTTCACTAGGGCGTCACGACTCTGTTATCGCGGTGTCAGATACCTCTCCAAAAACACCTGATCGACGCTGGCCCGCGACATCTACCGTCCCCGCAGTGAACGAGGCACAGTGCGACCCGTTTGTGACACCGCCCCCGCGCACAAGGACTATCTGGGACCCAGGCATCAGAACAGCCGAAAAGGATACAACAGCTCGCAACTCTCGCCGGATCAGACGGAGCAGGAGGAAGGGCTTCTTCGCAAACATCATCACGGTCAACTTTCAGGGGAAACACCAGTCCAAGCAGCGCGAGCAAATACTCCAGCACTTTTCCGAAGTCCATAGCTTGGGCGGGCCCCACATCGACGCGATACTTGGGACGGAGTTCTCGTACGATGCGAATGCTGCTGATGGACCGCCCGACAGCTTCTCCACTACCCTAGACACGGACGGGAGATGGTTGACCCTGTGGATTTGTGGCGCGGCGATAATAGTATACAACAAGCAGTGGATCAAGCAGATTCTTCGTGGCAACTTCCGGGTACATTCACAGCCACGGATTATAGCACTGCGCCTCCCGTTCTTAGCCCTTTGCAGCGCGTACGCCCCAGCTGATGGAAGTAAGGCCGGCCAGGGAGTGTGTTTGGCGTTTGACATCTTCCTTGGCAACCTCGAGATTGTACTTGGCAAAATCCGTAAGCCGCTACGTACCGGATCGACCCCACTGCTCGTGAAGCTGAATACCGCAGCGAAACCCCCTGGGCTTCCAGACCCTACGTTCGACGCCTCGGCCAACTCGTCGCTCCGCTGCCCAGTTTTTGTTGGGGGTGACAATCTTGGCACCGTTGGGTCTCCGGACTCCAGGAATAGACGAGGCTATTGTGGGGGACAGACAGCCGGCCAGTTTGGGCTTGATGATACGAATGGGCGCGGCGTTGAAGTTTTGCGATTTGGCGATGACTACGGGCTTGCAAATGTCAATGTGCTTTACGACCACCGGGAATCGAAGAAATTTGTTCAGTGGCGTCCGAGTTTGCTCTGGCATGCGCAGGATCGGGCAACGCATTACTCCAAGCGGATTCTCAGGTGGCGGGAGCTCGATCAGTTCTACGTAACGAGCTGCGACGTTCCGAGCATCACTGTTTGCGCCACCGTTACGTCGCCGCTGGGTCTTGACCACCGTCACAAGTTTCTCCGCGCATTCATCGAGTTTTCTTATCAGCGGAGGAACATCGACCGTAGGGCGAAACAGGACCGGACGGAGGTTGACGCTTCTGCACCGTTGTGGCGTGCCACCCCTTCAGCAAAACACCAGTTTTCCGCCGCTGTTGTGCAGGCGTTGTGCCCAGAACCGGACTCGGCCGCAGACGTTAGCTCCCCTGTTGCCGACCCGACCCCGCAGACTCCGCTTGATATCCCCATATCCCGCATCCCAGAGGCTCTTGTTGCTGCGCGGGGTATTTTAGCGGGGTCCGCACAGCAGGAGCTGAACCGCTACAACCGGAGCCACGACTACAAGAAACGGAGACGCTTCGACCTGCGCATCAAGATCCTACGCAAGGAAGTTCGGCGCCTCGGCGCCGCCCTCGACCCAGACGATGACGCAGCGGGCGCAGTTTATCAGGAAAAGTGTGAGCTTTTAGCCAGTGTCATTGCAGAGCGTGTGGAATTCCGCAAGACCCAGTCCTCCGACTTCAACACGGACTACCACACCAGGGCGCAGCGCACGCTGAAGCGGAGGCTTGCAAAGGGTGTTGATTTCGATCCTGAGACTGCGGCGAAGCACTTCCAAGCCGTCAGTGTCTCGCCCGGGGTTCCTAACGTTGAGCTTGTTCGCAGCGCTGTGCAGCCCCTTGACGACACCAGCAGGGAAACACTTTTAAAGGAGTTCTCCATCGAGGAGTGCATGTCCGCCGCCAAGCGTCGCCGCAACAGCCTACAAGTAGACGTCGTTGGCGATTCCATTGCGCTGTACAAAGCTTTGAACGCCGGGGCCTGGGCAGTGATTGTCCGGATCCTGAACCACCACCGGCTGACCAACTTTGTGGGGCTCCTTGGCGAAAACCCGCAGGACCAGCAAGTTCTTGCCGCCACTGTCCGGCTGCTCTACAAGGGAAAAGGCGCCGAGACTAGTCTTGATAATTTTCGTGGCATCGTGAATACCTCGATTATTGTTAAAGTGCTGACGGCTGTTTTAACAGATCGGCTTGATGCCTGCCTTCGTTCCTGTGGTTTTCTTTCTGGGCGCCAGCATGGGTTTCGCAGGCACTACCAAGTGGACGAAGCGGTTTTTTTGGCGCGTCGGGCGTGTGAGGATGCCCTGCGTGTTTTCGGGAAGGGGAGCAGTGTCGGCAATTTGTCGCTGCTGCTCCTTCTTGACATCAGGAAAGCCTACCCCAGTTTCCCGTGGAAGATCTGGAAGGGAATCATCCGCGGGCTCGGTGTTGAGGACTCTTTTTTCGACTCCCTCTTCAGCATCGTCCACCGCCGAACTAGCTACCAGGTTCTCTGTGGTGACAAACCAAGCGACCCGTTTTTTTTAGACAGCGGCTTCGGAGAGGGACAGATAAGCTCTCCCAGTTCGTACTCCCTCGCCTACGAGTGTGTTCTACGTGTTGTGCGACAAGTGTTGACCGAGAGGCTTTCCAGATCTTCGTCGCTGCTTCTTTGGTCCCCGCGTGCGCCGTTTGCTTTCGTTCCAGGAGTGAAGCCGGGTACGGGGTTGCGATCGGTATTTGACCTCCTACACCCGGGGTCGGCCTCCCTTGTCGTCGACAAGATGACCGAGTGGGAATTCGCCGACGATACGCTGATCCCGGCCCTCCTTCTACATTGTCTGATAAATTTTTTCGGTTGGGAAGCAACTGCGGATGAGGCTGCTGTAGCGGCGAACCGGGGGAAGTTTGATTTTGTCCTTGCGTCAAACCCAGAAGTCTCTGCTTTCGTCCGGTATCTCGGGGCGTTTCTGGATCGCCGCGAGGATTCCTCGCGCAGAATTGGAAAGATGCTTGCGGCACTTGGCGAAGTTGACTGTGTCCCTGCCGCGGGGGACACGGTCACTGATGTGCGGATAAACATCATGTCGCGGGTGCGCAGCAGGGGGCTCTTTGCGATTGGGACGAGGGAGATTACGCAACAGGAAATAAAATCGCATCAGGTCATCGAGAATCAGGCTCTTCTGCGCCTTGCCGGCCAACCGCGTTGGTCGTTGCGCCGCTTCCACCTGCCGCTGGCCCGCCTTCGTCGGTGGTACCACATGGACCCAGCGTGCGCGATGATCCGCTACTCACAGTGTTCGCACGTCGGCCACATAGTGCGGTCCGATCCTGGTCGACTCTCTCGGAAAGCGTTTTTTGGAATGTTGACCTTCGGCCTGCCATGTCTTGAAGACCACTACTTGCACAGGCGGACCGGGCAGATTTCTCTCTGGGACAACGTGCGTGATTCCTTGAAGCTTGTATGCGGTGAGCGGTCTGACACGCAATACCTGACCCTGATGCAGTCCCGGCCGCATTTCAACGCCTTGCTTTATGAGCTTCGCATTTTTTTGACGATTGAAGACTACCTCACTGATGACGGCGTCACTGATCAGCAGCTTGCCGACGCTCGGAAGTGGTGGGCTGAGCACTTTGCGAAGCGCCAGAACTCGCTGCCGATTGATGTCAATTGCCGCTCTGGATTTTCGTGGTTTAGCCAAGACGGCCGATCATTCACCGATGAAGTGCTGGCCAAGATTCATGTCGAGACTACTGTTCCCGGCTCTACCAACTTCTCGCGGTGCAGAAGATGCAGTGTTGATGCCTGCGACAAGTGGGACACACGTTTTACCCCGAAGTTCCTGAACGACTACGCCTGCACGCCCTACATTCCTTCCCCCCGACCTGAGACACGGTGGAAGACTGCCGAGTTCCGCGATATCAGGCAAGTTGTTGGGCATGACAGTGGTGTCTCCATTCATTGCGAGAACCCGGCGCCCGCGGTTGGGGATGCCAGTGGTGCTGACCTGTCCTTCTTCCGCCGCGATGACATCGTGAACACCGTCTACGAGAAAGTGCGCGCGGTGCACGCTGAAAAGCCTCCTGACCCCCCGAAGAAGTTGCCGCCGCTCACGAAGTTAGTGCAGTCCATCGAAGTTGAGCAGTTCCGTGACGTATTGTTCCCCCCCACAGACCAGTCTGGCGACGCATCTTCCTCCAACCTCCGCTTTGCCTCAAGCACCCCTCCGGACGACCATCTGCAGCTGACGAGGTACCTTGAGGAGCAGCATGCTGCGATTTGCCGTGAGATTGAGGAGTATCCGTTTTTCATCACTCATCGCTACGACCATGGGAGTAAAGCGATCGCATCGGTTCGCTGCGTTTGCCAGGAGTGCCGCGACTTTGTCCTGCGCAAGCGAGCGAAGGGGCCACGGGGTAGAGCTGCGTCCGAGTCCTCTTCCGTTTCGATTTCGGAGTCTGCAGATGGCGATGGTGTTGACGCAGGTAACGAGTCTGATGATGAATTTGTGTTGGAGATAGGGCGTGGCGCTGGGGATGCTCTTGCTCTGTCCCCCGACCATGAGGTTCCGGAAGACGATGACGAAGACCCGACGACCCTCAAGATGCTTGTCCCCGTTGATCAGCAGCGGTTGTTCGCCAATTTGAAGACTGCGTTCCGACACATGCGATACAAGAAGCAGAAGCAGGCAGAGGCGGACTTCAGTGCATTAATTCCGGCCCCCCCCAAGAAACCCAAGGAAACTACGACCAGTGCGAAACCTGCGCGGGCCCTCGACGTTGACGCCCCTCCGCAGCGGACCAAGAAGCTGATGCCGTCGCAAGCCCTTGACTCGGAGCTGCATCCTGAGCAGCGCGTCGTCGATGTTTCTGCCGGCAGCGCCCACACTGTCGACGAGGACCCGCCCATGCAGCTCCCCAAGGGCATCACGTGGTGCACGTCCATGCCTGGAGCTGCGTCGCGTGCTTTTGGCGGGGTGCTTCTCGTTAGGGTGACGAACGCGAAGCTGCCCGATGGGTCTACGCACCACGTATCCCGACACATCGATCCAGCCGCGTACGGGAACAGTGCGTCGCTCGCGATTGAAGCGGCAATTGCACTACGAACCCAGATCACACTTGACCCTGCCCCCTTCATTGCGAAAACGAAGCGGATGCGAAAGCCGAAAAAGAAGAAAAGTGGTGGTGGTGTGGACGTTCGTAGGTAGTGTGTACGTTAGTAGCTAGCGTTGTAGCCTGGGGGAGTGCGTTTTTTAGTTAGAAGTCCGCTGATGTTTCTGCCTGTGTGCAGTTGCACTTGAAAAAACTATTTGCAGCTACAAAAATAATAAAAAACACAAAAAAAAAACCGTAACTTTCTAGTAGTGCAGTCTCTCTGCCTCTCTACAGCAAGGTAAAAGTCAAACTATCTGTGTTTGGCTTTCTTTTTTCTTTTACCTTTCTTTTTCTCAGTTGAGAGCTTTGTGAGTCCGCAACACGATGGTGTGCTGATGAGTGACGAGTGACGTCGTGTTTTGTCTCTCTTGGTAACACCGTTGTTGATGATCTTATGATGCTATTTATTACACGAATGCTTGGTTTAAAGTTTTACCTGATTTCCATTCTAAACTTGGTCGCCGGGAAGGGACCGAGGTACGTGTTAAAGGCTTCGCGCTTTGTAGTTAAAGTCTTACAAGCTCTGAGGATCCATCGTGCTCGCCTTGTCCCGATGCTATGGTGGAAAAACAGACTCACTAACGAGAGCGAAAATCCAAAAAAGCTGTTGTTTTCCATGATCTCACACGTATCGCCTTGTCCCCGTCTAAAACTGCAGTTTTGATAGTTCAGGTAGTAGAAAGTGCGTGAGTTTTTTTTCTGCGAAAAGACCAATCCTACGTAGACGGGAACGTGACGACTTCGACAAATCACGACTTGTAGCCGGTTTGAGGGTTTTCACATGACGAAGACCATTATTCTGACCTATTGCCGTGTAGTTTTTTTTTTGATTGAAATCCAAAATCTGAAAGCTTAGTTTTGTTTTAGCTCCCCCAGGCCCGCTCCTCGGAGCATAGTTTTTTCAAACCTTTCCAATGTAGCTCCTCGGAGCATAGTCTTCTCGCCCATTCCAGCTCAGCTCTTCGGAGCCTATTCTTTTAGTCCTCTCTAGTCTGCAAAAGGGTTTAGTTAATTCTGTTTCAGCTCCAAACTTCTGACAAACGCAAATCTGTTTTACGGCCGACGTGGTGGTTAGGATTGCCTGACTGCTGCGTTGAGCCCAGCTTGTGTGACGGCGTCACGTGGGCTGACACCTCTGATCTGATCTGATCATCGGCGCTTGTTTCTTTCAGGCCACTTCTGAGTACTTGTGCAGCTAGAACTGCAAAAACTCTATTCGGAGCACCTAGACACTCGGCTTGCTGCAAGTGAGGAGAACAGGAAATTAGGCAAAGGACCTGCTAAGAAGCAGCTGCGCGGTTGTGTCCCCGAATAAGTAGACTCTCGTGGGCTGCCACCGCGTCGACGAAGATGTCTTCGTTTCCTCGGAGGACAACCGGTGGGGTGCGGCGTTTCGCCGAGGATCCCAGTGCTATGGCACCGCCCGGCACGCGGCCCATTACCGTCGAGAACGCATTCCCGGTCTTCTCCAGTGCGGAAGGATTACCACTCGACCGCGTCACTGTATCTTCGAACTCATTGCTTTTTGTGTTCAAGGCAAAAAGGGGAGATTCTCAAAAAGATTAGCGGTAGATTCACAACAGAGACCGAACCATCGAGATCGGCCGAATCTTTCTTCAATCTTTTTACAAGGCCGTATCAAAAAATTCAGGTAAGCAATACGGTTTTCGAGTTTTGGAGTTACGAGCAGCTGGAGCCGCTGAGCGCCGCCGTACTTGCGCGCCGGGTTGCCGCCCTGCAGGAGAAACTCCGCGACTGTGGTTTCGTAGACCAGGGCGCGCCGCGAAGCCGCCAGACGGCTGATCTGACGCGATACCTGATCGTGAAACAGGCATTTCTCGCCTGTGAGGCCAACCAAGTGAAAGCCACCGCTCGGGAAATCGCCAAGATGCTCCGCAGGTTCGGGTGTCCCGAGGCGTTTGTGATCGCCGAGACGCGGACACCGACCCCCGGTGTGAGCCAATCACAGCAACAACTTGGAGAACTTCAAGTGCCGCAGAGCCCGCGGTCCGCAAGATCTGATTCACCCGACGGGCATCGGGAGCATTTCACACCAACGGGTAGCAAGAGCATTACTTTGTGAGGATTTATTCGTCGCACCTCTACATGGATATGGACATGCAAAAGTTGCAATTCCGTCCGAAGCGTGAGCGCAGGACAGCAGCTGTGGCTGTTTTTCTCCGGAAACGTTTTTTTCGAAAAATGCACATTAAATTCTAAATTAGGTGCTTATGGCGATCGGCGGGACGACATGAAATACGGCCACATGGAGGATACGAGGATGGAAGACGGGTTGGCGCGCGTGGTCGGCCACGGAAAGCGGCATGTTGAGGTTCCGGACCACATAAGACCCAAGGCCCGCTCCGTGGACGTGCAAGAGGAGAGAACAGGGTAAGGGCTTAGCTGGCAATCGATTGTGAATCAATTTTTCCACGAAATGCACGACTTAGAGTCCTCTCTACTTGCGTTTTTTCATACTCTTGACATTAAGTTTTTGCAGTGCGTCTGCCTCCAGTAATCGAAAAATGTATCGCATGACAGACGCCTAAGTCAAGCACTGGGGCACGACGATGACGGTGCTGCGGGCTACCCTAAACTGCGCGATCCGTCACCAAGAAACAAGCGCGCGGATCCTGTTTTGCGCAACGCCTCGCATTTCAACGGCTGCGTTCTTGATCCGGGCAGACCAGAAGATCTCATGCGATCGGTACTTGCTTTGCTTACTCAACATTTTTGTGCTTTCGAGATTATCACGCCGCGTCAATGGCAGATCTCCGGTAACACAATCTTTGTAGCTATGCCGAACACTCCATTTTTCCTGAACAGCGCATGAACTCGCAGTATGCGGACGCGCCTGAGAAAGTGTTCGGCGCGAGGCTAACCAACTCCGAGCAGCGAAAGCGCTACCACGCGCCAAGACCTAGCGACTACGTTGTCTTTCCCGCTGGAGAACCACTATCGGGAGACGTCATTACGGAGCAGTACTTGAAGTCATTTTCTCGAATGCATTTTTACGGCTGACAGTGCGTACTTTTATCTTCTCTTCCATCAACGTGCGCTCATCTTCATCAACATCATTTGTTTGGGCGGGCTTTTACTTCAGAATGTAAATTTTGTGAAGCTGCGCTCATGGATCACTGAAAGGTGCCATCGGACCGGTGAAGTGCGAACTTGGAAGGCTCCGTACGACGATCGAGTGGCCGGAACAACAAAAAAGTAGTAAGCTTTTTTTGCAGCTTCTGCAATTGCTAGCGTGCACGAATACACATCTAGTGATTTGCATGCCTACTTAGTTATCGAAATAGACACAACACTGCTTGAAGAGCACTTACTGTCTCAGTCTTCGAGCTTGCTTTTCCCATGGATACAGGCGGGTCCAGATGGACGACCACGCTCACTGCCTCGGCGTGTTTGAGACGGACGGAATAAAAAACGAGGCTATACCCGGGACCGGCCACGGACGCAAGTACATCGACCGCGTGTTGGGTCCTCAGCTCAAAACTGAGCGCGGACATCTCGCTTCCTTCCGCCCGCACCGTGGTTAACCTCGCTCGTGGAAGTAGTACTGCAACTACAGTACGACTTCTCAACGCGAAGATGACGCACGCACTCAGAGTCTAGCCTGGTGCTCGTCGTTTCCAAGAAACCAAAACAATTAGAAAGATTTTGATTATAGATTTACATAAACGCAGTGTCGTTTGGTGGATCACCAAGCTATGCTTCGCGCCTAGGTCAATCTCTCGATGTTCTTCCCCACTGTCGTGTGTGCTCTTGCCGCGAGGCGGACCAAAATAGCAACTGCACCTCAGTGTGCCGTCGGAAATCTTGTTATCCCAGTATGCTTACATCAATGAGGGGACGAGGATTTTCTAGCCAGGCGCTGAATCAAACCGCGAGAGAAAGAAAAGGCAAAGCAGGGATTCATCCAGTACAGAGCGCCTAAATCTTTGACCGGAGAAGACAAAATTGCTGAGCGATGGAGTTACATGTGAAAAATTCTCGAGGAGGGCGAGGGTTACATACCCGCGCAAGTGCGATGGCATTCTGGTTTCTCGCCAATTGACGTTGTTGCACGTGGTTGTAATACAATGACTTTCGAAAACTAAATCTTCACAAGAAGGGTGCGAACATCAAAAAGTTCGCAGCTGTATGTTGTACTTGTGACAGGAGGTTGCCTCGTCACGACAAGCAGTTTTCTTCGATGAGTTGCGATACCCCTGCGGGCCTTGGTGTCCCCGTCACCCCCGACCGCCGCTCCGGGAGTTTCACTTCGCAAGACTCGAGCATCAAACAACCGAAAACCCGGAACGCGATGGGAGGGCAGCACATCCCGTTCCTCTTCGTTCCCCCGGGAACGACTGCGCGGGCGAGAAATGGGCAACACGTTCCGCAGAGCATGGGTACTAAAAATTATGCATAAAATGCTTATTCGATAATTTTAATTTCGATATGAGAAAGCCAAAGCCCGGTCGCAAGACGCTCGTTCTATGTACTTAATATGACATTTGATTTCATCGCGCCGCGACGTCAATAGATTTGGGAGGTCACCATGATGTTCATTTTCTATTGCGTTCCATCTTCCTCGGAATTCATATTCCAATCCTTTACTCCAATCGTACGAACAGAGCGGTCGGATGCACTGATGAGTTTGACGCTGAACCTGCTAGAAACGTACCAGAATTGCAACCCGGAGTTCAAGTACAACCAGAACAAGTCGGCGCCGAAGCGGGTGTTAACCAAGCTGGCCGAGGGTGTGTACAACAATGGATACGACAACTCGAAGCACGATTACATCTGCCGGGTCCGCGACCAGCTGACCAGCCCGGACGGGCGGATCTACAGCATCGTCGAGCGGCTGGGTCACGGAACGTTCGGGCAGGTGCTCAAGGTGCAAATCCTCCAGCAGGACCGCGAGAGGTACAACGTAAATCCCGCGAAGGCGATGGCAGAAGGGGAACAGCAACACCAGGTTCCATTGAACAACAGCGCCGGTACCCCTCCGTTTTCTACTGCCGAATCTGGTGGGATGGATCAACAACTGCACAGCAATAACGCCCACAACAGCCAGCAGTTGTTGAAGGAGGGCGGGCACGTGGCGCTGAAGATCATTAAGAACAAGCCGGCCTATTTCCATCAGGCCTTGGTGGAGGTTCGCATCTTGAAGATGCTGAACGAGAAGTACGACGAGGAGAGCCGCATCGTGCGCATGCTGGACTTCTTCGTGTACCGGAAACACCTGTGCATCGCGTTCGAGATTCTCAGCGTCAACCTGTACGACGTGTTGAAGCAGAACGGGTTCCGCGGCCTGTCCACGCTGTTGATCCGGAACCTGGTGGAGCAGATCGTGCGCGCGCTGCAGTGCCTGCGGAAGGCGCGCATCATCCACTGCGACCTGAAGCCGGAGAACGTGTTGCTGTCCACCACGCGGACCACCAATATCAAGCTGATCGACTTCGGCTCCGCCTGCTTCGAGGGCCACATCGTCTACACCTACATCCAGTCGCGCTTCTACCGATCGCCCGAGGTGCTGCTCGGCCTGCCCTACTCCTCTGCCATCGACCTGTGGTCGCTGGGGTGCATCTGCGCCGAGCTTTTCATTGGGCTGCCGGTACTAAGCTGTTCTGCTTCGATGTCGTGTGATTTGCAGTTATTGATTCAGTTGGCAGGAGTTCCTGCCGACGGCGGTGTCGACGCTTTCACCACATGACCAACTCCGGTTTTGATGTCGGTGCAACGTTTCGGCACAGCTACGCCAAAAAACGCTGCCATCTTTTATCTACGCCATATCCATAAATCAAAACAGTACAGTCGATTCATTGGTGAAATACAAACTGTTCAAATGTAAGGATCCCTTGGCATGGTGACCAAAATCAAAATCAGATCTTTCCCGGTTGCAGCGAGTATGACCAAGTGAAGCGCATCACGGAGGTATGCGGCATTCCGCCTGCCCGTATGATGGAAGGAGGAAATGCGTCGAAGTATTTCGTTCCCGTGCCCGTGAATCCGGAGGTCGACAACAACCAGACCGACAACTGCTCCAGCGAGTCGGCGAGCGGCGAAGAGGAGGAGGAGGATGACGAGGATGAGGAATCCACGAGCACGTTAGCAAGCCCCACCATCCTCCAAGCGCCGAATAACCAAGCGCAGCAAACAAACGCTCAAGTAGTAGGTCAAGGGGAGCAGCCACCTGCCACAGCGACGGCTGGTGGAACTACAGCTACCGCTGCGGCAAGCAACGGCAGCGCAGCGAATTGCGCGTCGGACCAGCAGCAGCAGACTACAGCGAGCATCACGACGGAGTTGCTGCAGCGGAGCAGCGGCGCGAGCATGAACACGAAGCAAGGTCGGCAGCAGTTGATGAACGGCATGAACTTGGTCCGGAACGAGAGCCGCAACACCATGGCGCCACCACCCGGGGCAAACTCGTCGACCACGGGTAGTACCACGACCTCGAACAATAACAGCAACCTCCCGTTTCCTGGTGCACAGTCCGGTTTGAACCCCAACAGTGATCTTCAACATCGGGACCACCCCGGAAGCAATAGCGGTTCGTGTGCCAGTACGCCGTGCAGCAGCAAGCTGCCGCCGCCGCCGGTGTACGCCCCTCCGCCGCGGGCGACGAATTCCCTGTCGATCAAGACCGGGAACACGACCCCCTCCGGTTCGGCCAGCAGTACCAACGCCTCCGCGAAGGCCACGCCCACCAATTCCTCCTGCTCGTCCGACGTGAACACCGGAAACGAGTCGTGTTCCACGACGGAAAACAACAGCCAAACGTTGATCAAGGGCGGCTTTCCGGGGGAAAATGTGGTAAAAGCGGCCCCGAACTTTACCTCGTCGAAGAACGCCGCGTCGAAAAACACGCCGCCGCTGAACTACCTTCAGGCTCTGGTCGGTGGCGGCGGCAACCAACCGGTCAAGGCGGCGCACCGCGGCAAGGCCAGCCTGTTTCAGCAGAGTATGAAGGCCAGCTCAAAGTCCACGTCCATTGCGGGTTCGGCCAGCATCGGTGGAGGCAACGTGACTAATGTCAGCCCGAAAACCGCCCTGGTAAGTGGTGCTGCAACTACTGCAACCACTCCTGCAGCTCAGCAACCAAGTGTTGACAAGAGCAAGAAGAACGAGGCCACGACTGCAACTGCGGTTTGTTCGCCGACGTCCAGCGTTACGACCAAGACGAACAAAACTGATGCAGAGAAACAGCTAGTGTCGTCGAGTAGACCTGATGCTGGTGCTGGTGCGACCGGCACTGCCACATCGAAAAGTTCCTCGAACGATTCCTGTTCGCGGGAGGAGGACGCGCGAACTGAGTACACGTTGGATTTCGAAAGCGATTCGCTGCTGCCCTCCCGGGTCCCAACGGGAGATGTTGTGGTTCCAGACTCGGAGAGGATCGTCGAGACCATTGTCGGGACCGGTGTCAACTTGCACGTGTCTGACACCGTGTCAAATTCCACCGAGCTGCCCTCGAAGAAAAATTCCATTATCGGGAGTAACCAACTCTTCTCGCTCTCGGCGACGGAGGTGGATCCCACGGCCCAACGAGGTCCTGCCGCCGCCGGGTCGAAGGGAAGCTCCTTGCACAATCTGGGCGACGACAGCGTCGCGGCCAATTCCGACTGCGCAGCGGTCGCCATTCGCTCGGCGGTGAGCGGCGTGCTAGAGGCGGTGCTCGAAAACCGTCCCTTGCGGTCCTCAGGAAGCAAAAGCAAAAGCTCCAAGAACGCTTCCGGGAAGCCGACGGGGGCGGACGGAATGTCGAATAAACCTACGAAAGGGGTATGTAGACTAAAAAGTTCGGATTTTATGAAGCTTGATCATGTGCAAAAGGACAAAAATCAGTCTGGCACCGAAACGTGCAGCCGTTAAGAATGTATAGATGATTCGACGCACCGTCCTACGTACTCAAATTTATCGCAGGTGCTGACGCAGTCCTGCGAGCAGTTGAGCCTCCATTTGCTGTTAGGGAACGGCAACAACGAGCGCGTGAAGAAGGCGAAGAAGCGCGGCAAGCGCAATTTGTCCTCGCCGCTCCGCACGCGGTCGGCGCCCCCGCGGATGAAGACCACCGGCAAGCGCAAGCGGCAGACCCGGAAGCGCGCGACGACGCTGGGCTCGAATGTGAGCGCGACGACGCGGGCGGCCGCGGGCCCGACGCTGTCTCGGACCACGCGCACGAGCTCGAACACCAACGCGATCGTCGTCAACAAAACGGCGACCACTTCGACGACCGCGACGGCGGCCAACACGATTGACCACGCAGGCATGCCCGCGACCAAGCTGCACAACAAGCAGGCCAGCGCCATGGTTACGTGGCGGCTGAAAACGAAGGAGGAGTACGAGCGCAGCACGCAGAAAAAGGAAGGGCCGTCCAAAAAGTACTTCGATTTCTCCTCCCTGGAAGAGATGGTCCAATCGGTGCGGGCAAGCAAAACAACGCCGGAGGAAAAGAAACGTCGAGAGCAGCTGCTCGACTTCCTGAAGCAACTCTTCCAAATCGATCCGGCCAAACGCATGACCCCGGACGAAGCCCTGCGGCACCCGTTTTTGACCGGCCAGACCACACCTGTTGCGGCTACGGCTACTGAGGTATTAATGGAAAGAACTTACTCATCTTCATTGAAATTGAATCAAGAGCACTGGTAGAGAAATCAGTCACGGGCAACTGCAAATGTGACTTATTTACTTACTCGATAGATGTTGATTTGTGCAAAAGAGAACAAACTTTCCTTTTCCTTTCTTCCAGGGCGCCCCCTGTTTCCCGACGCCCGCGCCGGTGCACAAGCAGGATTTCAAATCGGATGCCACTGTGGATGCGGCGCAGCCGTTCCTGTTGCCGCCCATGCCCGATCTGACCGAAGAAACTTTGCGCTGCCTGGACTTACCGCCCGACCAGCCCGAATCCTACCGTCCCCCGGTGGATGCCTTACCGGACAGTTACTTCTACGGCTTTCTCCACGGGCGGTACCGCGAGCAGCGCACCACGATGCAGCAGGTGCAGGAAGGCGCGCCCGGCACCGGTGCCCCCAGCAGCAGTACCTCGACGCCCGCGTCCGGGGCCGGGGGCTCCTCTGCAACGCTGCAGCCGGTCAACCAGCACTACAGCAAAAGTGCAGGAGCCCCTGGGCAAGTTTCTGCTGCTGCGATGGCTTCTGCGCAATTGTACTCCAACGTCGCGAGCGGTGGCGCCAAGGCGGCCCCTCCGCCGGTGCCGCCCCCACTTCCTGCGACCCAGCAGCACGCGCAAGCCACCCCAACCTCTGGACAGCACTCATTGTCGATGAGTCACGGCGGAGCACCAGTGCAGGTTGGTTCTAATGTTCCAACTTTTGTCGCGACCAATGCAGCCTCTGCTTCTGCGCAGGGTGTGCCGCACGTCCAGGTGGCTGGCACGATGCACCCAGCAGGGCCCCCGCAATTCCCGCACCAGCACGCGACACCGACTTCGTCCTTCACGTCGCGCGGTGCGTTTCCGTCCCGTGGATTCGCCACCCCGCTCAGCGATGCCACGACCTCCGCGCCGTGGGCGGAAAAGAGTGACTCCTCGATGGCTGACCCGAAGGGCGTTGTTCAGCAGGGGGGTCTTCACAACAAGCAGCCGGTGCCGCAGGCCACAACGCCGCAGGACTTGCAGCACCACTCTTCTGGCGGGTCCTCGTCCACGACAGCCTCCTTGACCAACACGCCGACCACCATGCATCAGTACCACCCACCGCAGCGCGCGACCGCCGGCGGACAGTGGCCGGTGCCGCGTGCCGGGGGTCCACCGAGCCGGGATAATTCCCGAGTGGCCTACGCCAATCCACCGCAGCAGCCACCGCCGCATGTCGCCGTGGTGGGCAGCCCGGCCGGGCAGCCGCCGCACCAGCATCCAGGGAATCGCGGACGTAGTTTTCTAGTTTGTTCTCCCATGAGGCTCGTAATTTCTGTGACAACTCCTAGTGTTTTGATGCACGGTGCTGGTACTTCTCTCATGAATGTAGCGCTTTGTAATCAACAACATCAAAATTCGCTTTTCTCAAAAAAATCCATGCAGAAAACAACGCTGGTCTCCGGCTGGTGCAATACAATGCTAAGCCTCCTGCGTATCACCAGAAGCGCCGTGCAAAGTACGCCCGCCCGCATTCTTGGTCCTACGGAGCTCCAGGGATGCAGCAGCCGCACACTCCGGGAGATCGGTACGAAGTTGCTACTTTTTTATTCGATTCACAAATGTGATGTGTTGCTATCAAAAGATGCAGAGTCCGTAATCAAATACGTGACTCACGATTTCGTCGCCTATCATGGCAAACAAAAATCGATAGGTCGAGCACGGGCAACCCGGGTAATGCGAGTGGTCCGGGTTACATGGTTTCGTCGGGGGGTTCGAGCAACACGTCGGGACCGCAGCAGCTGCAGCCGCCGCCCCAGCAGCAATATTCGTATCACCCCGGTGTTGTAGGTGGATCTGCGACCAGCCAGCAGCAAACGCACGTGCACCAACATGCGACGCACCTCCAGCCACCGCCGGCGCAGCAGCCTCCCCATCACGTGCAATCCCGCGGGTCTTCGCCGTGGCACTTGCCCAGCCCCATTTCCCCGGCGTGTTCAGTGGTGTCGGAATCTTGGGCAACCAGTACCAACAACAGGCAAATCTTTTCGCCGGCGGACAGTTGGACCAGCGACGATCACGACTACTCCCGGGCAGCGCACTACTATTCGAGCTCCCCACCATCGTCTCTGGACTCTTCTCGCAACCAGCATCACTCGTCGTCCTACAACGCGTACAATGCTCATGGGGGACCGCACGGGCAGCAGCAAATGTCAGCGGGCGGCGGCGGCTGGAACAACGTTACGAAACGTGGCCAACAAGACTTCTCGAAGCAGATGATGCACAATAGGACTACATGAACAATCGATGCTCAGCTTTCATGACGCCATACCTTGGCATGCATGGGTTTTGTTTTGTCATTATCAGGATTTCCAAAAGACGTTTGACAGACTGCACTCTTTGCATCTTCCATAAAGAAATCCAACACAGTGATGACTGGGTTGATTGTTGGTGTTGCAGCACACCACCTTCGTTGTATCTTCGAGTTGTTCTTGATGACTTTCAGTTTTACAGCCGTCGGCCCGTACGCAACTGTGCCACAGCATCCTCAATTTGTCGGAGCGGAAGTTCACGCGCAGATGCCACTGGACAGTGAGATGAAGCGCTTTCACCCTCTGGCGGCGCCGAAACAAATTTCAGGCCAATCCTTTCGCGCGAAAACGGGCATGTCAGACTCTGGGCCGGTCATGGCGAGTAAGTATGGCAAATAACAAAGAGTAAAACTTACTCTCGGCAAAGGAACAAATTTTTGCAAGCGCCAAGCCAGCTTGCGAAAAGATGAAGGTGTCCGGTAGACGTTGTTAGAAGTTGTCTGCAGATATTTTTGTGCGGACTCACAAGATATGACGTTGCGGGGACGACTTATGTACCTGCGAGGAGCCCTTCTGTCACTCACATTGCTGTCAAAGAGAAACTTTTAGATATACTCCCTGAAAAACCATCGTGTGCGCTTCGTTTGAAGCGACTTGGCAGTAACGATTTTTTGAAATAATTGCAAATAGAATTTTCATGAAAAATAACTCTCTCTGCTACATGGGTGAATGACTTTTGTTGTCGCAGTTGCGAAGGTTCCACTAAGGTAAGATAAGAAACATTCGCTTTTATAACGAAGAGCTTCGCTTCGTTGGTGCCCCCGCTGCCTCTACTACCCTGAAATTTTTAAAATTTTCGGATGTTTTTTGCTAGCACTCTACTGTCGATGCAAAAATACTTTTTTTAACAACAAAGGTATAATTTGCTTGTCTAATGTCATACGACGCTTAAGACTTTTAGAGCGTTAGTACTAAACCACCACTTTCCTCCTGTACTACGTCAGCCGCGTGGCGCGCCCGTTGCAAGCGATCTTTTCGGAAGGTGCAGTGCTATATTTTTGAAGGCAACATCAACTTGCAACAGCAACACCTCGACGAATTCGGAATCTCGAAACATTTTTAGCCGACAACAAAGATAGTAGAGCGAGAGTTCCGAATTTTCCGGTTTTTCTAATGGAATTACAAGACTTTGCAGCTGAACTACTTACAACTATGTAATTTTCCACCGCCATGCATAAAGGTAAGGAACATTTGTCCCGTGTGGTGGACAAGCTACGTCTGCTTCAGAGTATTTGAAGAAGTTTTAGTTTCATCAGAAAGTTTCTGGACAATAATCTGCCGAGCGCCAGCTCTTCCAGCGATGACATTTCGCAGCGACTTTTGCATCTTTTTAAGAAAATAGGCCAGGTACAGAAGGCGCCGTCATTGTCAGGTCCCGGTTCTCTTTCTTTTCGGGCTCTGCCGATGTCACGGCGACGACTTATCTGTCGCAGTTCTGTCGTGGGCGAAAGGATTTGCTGTGGAAGCGAATTGCTCGAGAATGCATCCCTGTTTTATCGGAGGCATTAATTATCATTTTTTCGAATTCAGTTTTTGTTTGGTTTGCGACCGATTTCGACAACCTGCCTATTGTAGTTGTAGCGCCAGAAAGTTGCACTGATAATCGCAAATCAGAGCCTGGATAACCGATGCAGCTCCCCTACAACTAAATTGAAGACTCGCACACTTTTTCTAAGACAAAAAAAAAACAAGTACAAGGAACAGAGCCTTCACTATTTTCTGATGAATTTCTAATCCTGTAAAAATTGACTTTGAAATCTTAAATTTTTTGAGACATGTAAAAGACATTGAGATCGAAGATGGATGATATTTTCAGATAGCTCTAGATGATAGTTGCTACTAAGTCCTTTCGCTTTCTGCTTTTACAAAACAAGCAGAAATTTGTAAAAGTCGACTGCCTAATTACGGACTTCATCGCCACTTAGCCAACCGCAAAAGGAACAACAACAATCTGTTGATAGCCTGGACGACGCGATTATCTTGTGCTTACCTTCCCCCCACGCTTCATCATGGCGAAACTTTGACTGCCCGCCAGAGGTTGCACCTACCTATCACAAGTTGGCATCTGACCCAAGATAAATTTCCCAGAGGGGAAAGCAGTCGGGACCTGGAAATTGCAAAAAAATATCAAAACCAGTAGAGAAAAAGCAAAATTCTTCTTCGAAATAGGCGCCAAACATTGTAAAAGAGCAGTTGGAATACTTACATGTGTGTCCATGCAGCTATCCATACACCCAAAGAGTCGGTCGCACTAAGTGCTTCAAAGACCACCTACTCGGCGGGGTAGTAGAGTTTACAATCACAAATAATTGTTTCGAAGCACACCACCACAGGGTCGAAAAAATCTATGTCTCATCTTGTTTCAATAAACTAGAAAGAGTTAGGGCTGATTATATGATAGAAAAAGAAAAAGATGCCTTGTTCCGCAGCGCAGATATTGAATATCGTCGAAGCAAAAGTAAAAGATTCAAACCTCGTGCAAAAATATGATTTGAGATTCATTTCTTTAGAACGCCGTATATTGATTTCTTTGCGACAAAAAAATCTTTCTGTGCCATATTGCTTCGCGGGGTGTGTGCTAGGGCGCCGCGATTGGTCGTGATATGTTTCATGACGCCCGGTTGCAGTCCCTAGTACGACGCGCGAAAGTTACGTAGATGTTGTGTGAATTGCCGCGCGACGTAGTTCTGTCTCCACCCAAATTAGAAAGTAAAGCAGTCACAGTTTCAGATGAATCAGAATGCAACGATACCTACTTTCCTGTCGACAAATGATCCAGCCCCGACGTACGTCGCTCTTGATGACACATTCGTCCGCAAAGACAAAAATAGAAACGACGACAACGCCCTCTTTTCGTTAAGTTGCTAAGTCGTCCTTCCGGTTTCGAACGAGTGACGTTGTTCCTCGGGCATATGACGTGCCGTGTTTCGCTCTCGACCGTCGCTACCTGTAAATCATTTTGGTCGTATTCGTCGTCTGCGCCAACGCCCAATGGCTTCCTTTTAGATGAGAGTTGAGGGATCCATCCGCACAGTGATTTGTGGTTCATTAAATTTGAGGTTTACTAACTTTTATGTGGCGAGACAGACCGAAGCCGCAAAAAGTGTCCCGCTTGATAGATCGAGTCAGACGATTTTTCATAGTGCCGCGGCTAAGGGCCCAATCAATGTGCAATTTCCTGTCAACATTTGGTTGAGAGACGCAAGGCTCTTTGATCACTTCGTATCGAACCGCCTGTACATGGTGAGTCTCTCCAAGAAATGGTCGAGGAGTAGAGAAAGAAAATTTCTAAGTCTAAAAACTAAGCGGTGAAATCTCATTCAACGGTTACCAATACTACTAAGCGAGCTTGTACAGCGCAACTTTGAAAAGTTGGCTTGTTTTCGACTTCCCCTTCTACGAGGGACAAAAATGGAGATCTTTGAGAGCGAGAATAATGCCACGGCGCAAGGATACCGTGTGCACCGCTCCGGGAAGAACATCATTTACCACGGGAAAATCAGCAAGGAAGGGGCAGCGGATTTCCAGAAGGCAACCCTGGAGGCAATCCTGGAGCTGGAGAAGGAAAAAGCCAAAAAGAACAAGCCACCTCCGCCTCCGGCAAAACCTGGAGCCAATGGGACCAATGGATCCCCGCCCGCCTCACCCGAAGTCGCTGCGCCTGCTACTCCGGTCGACCCACCCAGTGGGCTTGCCGCGAAAGCTCCGTCATCGTCTTCCGGTAGCAAGGCGAAGAGCAGCTGCGCAGAAAACGTAGCAACACGAACTGCTTCCGACGGAGAGGATGTTTTCAGCCAAGAAACACTCGCAGCGGGTAGCTTTACTAGACCCACTGGCGTGTCCAATGCAGCCGGAGAGCCCGGGCCGGAGCCTGAGCCGATAGTGCAGAAAAAAGAAGCAGCAGCGCAGACATCACCTAGCCCGGGATCGAAAACCGCTGCATCTTCTTCGTCCGCTACGGTTCCCTCGGAGAAAGATGCAGCTGTGGTAGCAGATAAAAAATCGGCCGATCTGCGGTTTCACTTCTCAAGTGACGGCGGCAGTCTAGCTGCGGGCTTCGCCATGATGGATACAATCAAGGAAGCGCGCTCTCAGGGACATCTTACCGAATGCATCTCAAAAGGTACTTACTTAATGGTTCAAACTTCTTGAAGTTTTTTTTTGAAATAAACATAGCCTCGAATAAATGACGTTTTAGCTTTGTTGAGCTGCAGAACAGATATCGTAGCATTCCCACGTTCAGGCTTTGTCGGCTCTGCCGCAACCTTTCCGGCCTTTGCGTGCGAGAAAAGATTTGCGTCGGAGCATTGCCTCTTTCTGCTGCACCCGCCGTCCCGTGCCGGGGTGCAGGGACAAACGGAAGACCTGAAGATTCACGCGGACAATCTGGACCTCTGGCACGGCACGGCGCTGAAGGCGTACAACATGTTAAGTACGGTCAAGTCTGCCTTTCCCCGCATCAAGTCTATGTTTCAGGATAACCGCTACTCAACGGCCGCCGATATGCAGCAATGCGGCTTTCTGGACGACGTGTGGCCGTAGCGGCACCGTTGTCGTGAACACTTTTTTACGACATCGAACACAACTCAATTTCTACCTTCTTGAGAACAGAGCAAATAATTTACTTGCGATTCCCTGAGAGGTGCTGCAAAGATAGGCATAGCTTTTCAATTTTTGGCATGAGTCCGTGCTACTTACACAAATTACCGGGTGTTCGCCCTCGCCAGCGGTTGTTTTTATCACGTCGCGCTCGGTACGTTTTTTTGTGCTTTCGGGCTGCCCCTGCAGAAAGCAAGACCGAGAACCGCAAATGAGATGAGATATTTTTCCACTTTCTCGAGGAATTATCGCAGACCCCACCTCGTCTCACGACCTTACACATTATTTCAGATTCTTCGTTTTTAGCAGTTACGCAAGGGTGTATAGTACTTCTACGCCAGCATATTTTATTCGGCATTTTGCAAGTAGTGACCGTAAATATTTTTCTTGTCATCGTGTCTTGAGGTTCGTCTGGACCATGAGAAGCCGTCTTTCACGATTTTCTTCGATGAAGCCAGACCCACCTGTGGCAAAATGACGATGATGCCAACTACATGTTCGTCAAACGACAATTCTCGCACGAGAAGTGTCTGTGGAGCTGCTTTGCCTGCACTTCGTTGCTTTCTTCGCGACCAACTCAATGTGCGACAGCAAAAGAGTGTCGCAGCATGCAGCCCAAGCGTCTCATCTGCAACAGCAAAGAACACCACCGCACGTCAGCGCTACAAAGCCGGGAGGACGGCTTTGCTTGAACGATGTGTAAGAAGACCATCTACTCTTGGCGCACTTCCATCCCGTACGAGAAGGACAAGGAAACACTGGATGTTGAAGATAGCGGAGCGTCCGGTTGCGTTCGCTCCCCTGCGCCTGCTGCAGCAGCACCAGTGGCCTTTGGCGAACCTGATTTTATTTCTATGCGCGGTGGCTGCAGGAGCCTTCCTGTTGTTCTCTGCGGTCTGGCCAGCCGCCGCGCAACAGCAGCAGGAAGGCAACAAGGGTCGCGGTAAGGGTGATGACCAGCCGAAGTTTGATTTAGGGAACACGAAAAAATACGTGGAAGAACTTATCGGCGACGGGAAACTGGACAAGGCTATCCACATTCTGCACGGCTTGCGCACACAGGACCTTGACAGCGCCCAAAAACTGGCGAAGCTGTACATGCAAGAGCTGAAATTCGAGGAGGCGTTGAAGGTGCTACGGGAGAACATTTTGCAGCTCCAAGACGATGAGTTCAAACTCAACAAACAGGACATCCCGCCCCCACCTGTCTTCACGTCAAAGAACCCCGGAGATGAGGATGACGAAGAAGATTCCATGGAGGAAACAGAGACTGGGGCCGAAGGCGGTGGTACTGCGACGTCCGCGGCGGGTGGGGAAAAGAACGACCAAGTAGATGCACCAGGACGACCATCGTCGGTCCACGCGGATCAAGATGTACAGCATGACCGACGGGCGGCCCACATGTATCCGGAGGCCTGGAACAATATGGGCTACGCCTACGAAAAGCTGAACCAGCTGGACAAAGCGGTCGAGGCATACATCACGGCGACGCGGCTCCGCCCGATGGAGGCCGGCTACTGGTACAACCTGGGGACCTGCTTGTTGAAAACGGGTCTCGCCCAGCACCAGGCGATCAGCAGCCTGGAAAAAGCGCACCAACTCGCCCCGGAGGACGAGCTGATTACTGTGAACCTCGGGATCGCCACACAGAATCTGAACCTTCTGCAGTCCAGCAACACTGCGAAAGGCCAGCAGGTGCTCGGGCAGTTGCTGTGGCAACAGGGAAACCGTGCCGACGCGGTCACCGCCTTCCAAAAGGCGCAGAAACTGGAACCCAGTGACCCCGATATCGCGTTCCAGTGCGCCCTGGTTCGGTACCAAACGCGGAGACCGAGCGCCAACTGCGGGTTGGAAGCAGACGAGGTGGTCCGCACGGCCTGCGAGCAGCAAAAGCGGTTGGATCGCAACCAGTGGCGAAAAGAGTTCGCCCAGGCGTTATCGATTCGGAAAAGTGCCGACACGCTGCGGTATGGCGACAAGATTCTGGATGCCAGTTTTCTCACGTTCCTGATTCGCGGCACTTCCGCGAAAACCGTGCGGCGCATGCGAAAGCAGGAGACAGACAAGGTCCGTCCGAGCGTGGCGCAAAAGATCGATAAGATTCGCGAAGGCGAAAGTGACCCTGCGTGGCAGGCCCGCTTTGCCATGGAGTGCGTCGACACGTTGGGGCAAGTGTGGAACGAGGATATCAACAAGGTTGCTGCAGATGTTGGAGAAGATGACGAACTAGACGAGCAGGCGGGCAAGACGAAACGACAGTCCTCTGCTCCGTCGCCGGAGCTGTTCCCCGCCGCTTGCGGCTACGGAATCATCTGGTCCACCAGCTGGCACCGCGTGCACATGCGGCTAGAGGACGGCGCTGCTGGGGAGGACTCCGACTACCGGCACATCACGGAAAACTGGAGTGTGGTGGTGGTCGGCGGAGGGCGCGGAGGCGGGTGCGCGTATCCCTGGATTCGAAACCGTGAGTGCCTCGTCGTGGATGTTTTGTGCGACCTCTTCAAGAAGAGCGGCGAGGGCTTTTTTTGCCGCCACGCGAAAACCCCTGCTAGTCGCAGGATGCGGCACAACAACGATCGGCAGCTGCACCCGTCCGACGTACAGGACGACCGCGTTAGTACCCCGGGTTCGTCGCAACCAGCCGGCACTGGGAAATCCACGTCAAATAAAGCAAGTAACGACTCGTCCGCTGCATCCCGAACGAAGGCTCTCGAGCGGCAGGAAGACAACCTTTCTGCTTACTTGCAGTATCAAGACAGCGAGACAATCAATAAACTGACTGGCCTGGATCTCGTAGAAGTAGACCCGCGCTATTACCAATTCGTCAAGGAGAACAAGGTTGGGACTGTGATATTGGAAACCTACTTCTGGCCGGCCGCCACGGTCCGGGAGGAAGTCGAGTTCTGGGTGAAGGTTTTGCCGATCAGCGCCGACCTCTTTGTCTTTGAAAAAGACTACATGGTACCAGCGAATTGTTTGCGCATTAAGATCTTTTGCAAACGCCCGTCGCGCCCCGAATCTCTTTGCAGCGTAATCGTTTTCGAGTGTTTATGGTAGGAAGATCACTTGACAGAAAAAAAAATCCACATTGTTCACTGGGCAAGTATCATTCCACCTTCATTACAGGCAAACCGTCCGCTCCTGGACGAGCACTTCAAAGTGTTGTATCGGCACGGCATGGAGGTGTCCTGGTTGGACACCCCCGTCGAGATGCTCCAGTTGCAGAAGCGGATCGACAAGCTACGCGAGGCGTTTGACAAGCGGGCGCTGGACGACATTGCACGCATGGAAGAGCGGTGGCGGGAGGAAAAGGAAGCCGAGAAGTGGCGGATCACGGAAATGGTACGCGGTCGCGGGCGCGCAAACGCGTACAATGAGGAGGATCCATTCGCTGCGGGTAGTGGTGCAGGCACGAACAGCGAGGAAGAAGATTTAGATGACGAGTTCGACTTCGACGATCTATGAACCCTGCGTGCAATTACCCGTACTAGTTGCGCTTGTTCCCACTAAGAGTGCACGTGCATCCACGATCAATCATAAATTCACTTGGTAATACGCAATCTTCGCATAAGGACAAGTTGACGCACAACGCTCCCGAAAAAAAAACGATCTTATTGCGAGATCTCCTTGTGTCGGAGCGCATCTAGCGCTGACTGATGTTCCACCTGTTGCGACTGCAATGTCAAGACGAGCTCGTGATTACTTGATGAAGGTCTAAGTTCCTTTCCAGTTGTTTCAGTATTCACCGATCCAGCACTGTCTTTTCAAAGTGTTGCACGACTCATTGGCGCAACGGTCGTTGGTGGAAAAAAACGTGTCTTGAAAAGAACTTCTTCCCCGTTCTTGCACTAAGATCCGATGGCGCAACCAAGCCGGAGGTCGTCGACCTTACGTTTGTTATTGCATTTCGTTCCACCATTGTGCTCTCCACTGCTTGTGCATTGTTTCTCCCTGCAAGCCGCTAGACACTTCGTCACGCCGCCGGTGCTTCGCGGGGCGTTCCGGCCAAAGGCAACAATCCGGCAAGCCGCGCCAGCAGGAATCACACTTAGCAACGCACGCCCAGCAGAAGGGGAGACGCAAACAAGCTTGCCCGGTCTACATTCGCGGCGGCAGCTGCCCGACAGGAGTGCAACAAGCCGCTTATTTTCCAGACTCTCAGGAATTCCGCACACGACAAGCACCTCCCGCCACACACTCGCGAGCTGCCCATCTCGCGGATACGCGGGTGACGTCGCCGACAGTACGATGGCAGCACCGTCCGCAATGCCGACCAGTCAACAGCATGACCAAGCAGCTCCCTCGACCGATCGAGTTGCCTTCCTCGGACTCGGGCGCATGGGCGCGCCGATGGCAGCTAACATCCACAAGAAGTGGAGCGCTTCCCGAGGTGGCAAACTTGCCGTGTGGAATCGTAGTACTGAAAAGGCGGAGCAGCACGCAGCGGCGCACGGCTCCGTAATGATCAGCGATCTTGCATCCGAACTCCGGTGCCCCATCGTGTTTTGTTGTCTGCCCACCAGCGACCAAGTCCGAACCATTGCGGAAAAGCTCGTGGAAGCGAAAAAGGGCAGCGATGCGGAGGATCGTGATGCAACTTGTGATGAAAAAGCGGCACGGCAAGACCAACCGCACATCCTGGTCGATTGCACATCCGGCTCCCGGGCCAAGACCATCGAAATTGGGCGCTACCTCGCGGAACACGGCATTGCTCTCGTGGACTGCCCGGTGTCCGGCGGGCCGGCGGGCGCTGAAGCGGGGTCCTTGTCTGCCATGCTGGGAGGTGAACCCGCAGACGTCGAACGAGTTCTGCCAATCGTCAAGACCTTTGCCGCGAAGACGCAGCACGTAGGTCCGCTCGGAAGCGGGCACGCCGTCAAATCTGTCAACAACTTGCTCAACAGCTTGCATCTCATGGCGGCTACGGAGGGATTGCTTGCCTTGAAGAAAATCGGAATCGAGTACTTACATGGAACTGGAATTTTGATCGCGAAAATGACATGATATCAAATGTAGAGACTATCATAACTTCGATGCGGCAGTACCAGTGGAGCTCTGCAATCTGTTGGTCCTTTATCATCTCTGAAGTACTACTTATTTCGCTCAAAAAAACACAACACCACTTCAGTCCAACCAAGGCCCTTGAGTGCATCAATACCTCGTCTGGACGCTCGCTACAAACAGAGCAGCGGATCCCCAAGGAGGTGCTCACGGGGAACTTTAACTACGGCTTTGCCCTGAACCTGATGCAGAAGGATTGCCGGCTCGCAAGGGAGCTGGTGGCGAGCTTGTGCGACGATGCCTGGAAGACGCAGCAAAAGGAGACCTGCGACCGACATACGTATGGAGACAGCAAGAAGATTCTCCCCGTGGACCACGAGGATCTGGAGGACGAAAGCCCGACGTCTACGGGTGGCAAGGCTGCTAAAGCGCAACTCTGCTCAACGGATGCCTTTGACGTGACGAACTCGCTGTTGCTCCACGCAGCGGACCGTGTCGACGCGATCGCGGACCACTATGGAGCGACGAAGAAAGGCGGAGCCACGGACGCGGATTACACCATGCTCAGCAAGTACTTCGAGGAAAAGTTGCGTCTAACGCTGCGGAAAGACGACCCCGCGACCGAGTAGAAAAATGCGCCTGAATGCGAGTCGGAAAGTTGTAGGCACATCAGAAATTACTTAAGTAGTAAAATTTTGCTTGGATTGCCAAGTCGCAATGAGAATACAGATCATATTGTACCTTTGCCATAGCCATTCTTGTGCTCGTGTTGTCCGACTTTGTGACAAACTGTACAAGCGAAAACAAGTTACGTCCAGAGGCAAAACAAGGCAGGAGAACCTCACACCCTGGCAGGATAAGAATCTGGCAAAGATTCTATCTTGTGTTGACAAAGACCCTGGTGTGATTTTGTCGAAAGAGAAATCGCCAAGCCTATCTACAACAACTCTGGCTCCTCGCGAGAGAAGCTGCAATTCATTGACAACATACAATCGTCGACGAGATGAGGATGACTACAAGAAGGCGCCGCTAATAGACAAGCCGACAGCAAGTCTCAGATAGACGAGCCTCTCTTGCGAAAATAGTGCTGCCCTGATTTTTGAGTCATAGTGTTGCTTTACTGGAACTGCAATCAGAATTTGAAGCTACGAGCAGATGGATCACAGTGCCAGCATGGACCAAGCGGCGTGGCACCGCAATCCCGTGACTACGTGGACGCTTCGTTCCCGTGTCTTGATTCATGTGCAGCACAAGTTCTACTACGCGTTTCTGCTGTACGTGTTGACAGTGATTCTTCTCGGAGCAGTGCTGCTTTACGGAGCCGACCGGGTGTCTATCCCGATTTCCTTCTTCAATTCTGCACATACAGGTGAGGACCAGCACGTCGGTCATGGCGACGCCAGCGCGACTCGCATCCCGTTATCTTTTCCGGACGCTCTGTTCTACTCCTTTTCCTGCGTCTCCCAGGCGGGGTTGAGCGTTACCGACTGGCCGCGCAGCCAGAGACCGCTGACCCACTTCATATCGCTGCTACTCATGTTCTGCGGCTGCATGCCACTTCTGGCTTTGATCCCGCCATTGCTGCGGCGGTACGATTTTCGCAAGCAGTACCGCACGTGGAGAAAAGAACTCCGTTTGAGCGTCATAGCCCCCCAGGAAAAGCACACGACCAACCCGCAACGGGACGACCTTTTCGGAAACGCCAACGCCGGCCTGTCCACGTACTTCAACGAGGAGTCACGGCTGGAGTACCGGGCGCTTGGATTTCTGGTGTACGTTACGTTGGTCTATGTGGCCCTTTGGATTGTTGGCGGGTTTCTGGTGTTACTATGCTGCGCCAAAGACGTGCGGCCTTCCGAGCACCACCACGACGCTCACTGGACCACCGTGCTGTATGCCGCGGCTTCGGCCTTTCACAACAACGGCCTCACCCTGTCGGAGAACAGTTTTGTTGATTACCCAGAACCGTTTTTGATCGTTGCCGGCCTGATCGTGCTCGCGGGCAACACAATGTTTCCGGTTCTACTACGGTGGATTCTCGTGCTCCTGGAGCGACACGCGGAACACACGAATAATCCGCAGGCGAAAGAAGTCTACCAGTTTCTGCTTTCGCATCCGCGCCGCGTTTTCACGCACCTCTTTCCGAGCGTGCACACCTTGTGGCTGTTCCTCACCGTGTTTGTGCTCAACTTTCTGTGCACCTACTCCCTGTACCTGCTCGACGCCCGCTACGATTGGTGGTCGTGCCTGTTCCAGGCGCTGGCCACCCGCACCGCCGGATTCTCCTGCGTTCCCCTGTTTGACCTCTCTATGGCGACGAACTTCCTGCTCTGCGTGTGCATGTACATTGCCGCCAGTCCGACCATCGTGGTCATGCGAGGCACGCGAACGCGCACCCAGACTGAGGAGTTGGCGAAACGGCATAAGGTGGAGCTGCATCGCCAGTTTGTCCAGCAGCTGGCCTCGTGCGCGCCCAGTACGAACGGTGAGGTGTATTACAACTCCTCACCCGCCTCCTCGTTCCAGCCCCGGGTTCTTTTTTCTCCAGAACTGGTGCACGCACAGCAGAATCAGAAGAACGGCGATAACGCAGAAGCAAACCCAAATTCCTCCTCGACCTCTAGGTCACCCGCCGCAGCGCCGCTCCTTGATGCAGCGACGACTTCGGGTAGCGATGAGGCGACACTGACGCAAACTGGTAGTATCGCCGCAACATCCGCAACCACGTCCCTCCCCAGGACCTCGCGCAAGTTCCCGGTCGCGCTACCACCGTTCGGAAAGCAAGCCATCACTGCGGAGAGCTCGCCTGGCATACTTCCTGCAACGAGCCGGCAGTTTCTTCGCGCGGACGGTGTGACGCCAACTGACGAGACGGCGACCGGTTTGCCAAGCGATAGACCTTCACTAGCGACGACATCCGCGTCAACAGTGGCACAAACAGCAGCGTCGACATCTGCCTCTGATGAACGGAGCTCCACCACCGATTCAACACCAGAAGTCGATCAAAGCCACTGCTTTTCCCGTGCAGCAGGTGCGGCTCAAGTTCTTTTAGAAGACAGCCGTCACCTCTTCTTGCCTGGTGCATCGAATCGAAGTACGGGCTTCGAGAATGATCTGCAACAAGAGAATTTTGGGGCGCAAGAACTCATAAATGACGATTGCGTGGACATCACCGGCAACAATGGCGAGGACACCGATTTGGTGGACCAAAATAGCCTCCGCTCTCAGGCGAGGCATTACCTCGGCAAGGACGTCGCAGCGCTAGTGATCCTCACGTTCTGCATTCTCGTGGCCGAGCGTGACCGATTTCGCATTCATCCGGGTGGTGGAATGCTCGACGGTGGTGACCAAAGCGCCTTCGGCGTGAAGAATGGAGTCAACGGCAGTGAAGATTTCCATGACACCTACGAGCACAATATGTTTTTCAAGGTTCTGTACGAGATCGTCTCCGCCTATGGCACTGTCGGGCTGTCCCTAGGCGGCGGCAGTCCGGAAAACTTGGCCCGGGGTTGTAGCTTCGCGGGCTCGTGGACCGTTGAGGGCAAGATGTTGCTGTGCCTAGTCATGTTGCTCGGGAAGATGCGTGGTCTGCCGGAAAGCATCGACCCCTCCGTGGGGGCCAGGATGGTACCGCGACTTCGCAGTGCTACAGAGGGGGTCGATCCTGCGAGTCAAGCCGCGAGCAATGTTGCGAGCGAAGCACTGCTTGGCGGCCCAGAAGTGGTTGAAAATATGACAGTTTTTGCTGATGGCTCGGTGGAAAGTGAAAACTTGGACCGGCGCAAATCGAAAATGGCGGATACGCGAGATACGCCATGAGGGGAAAGAAGCCGCAACCCGGGCCCTCGTCGCTGCTTGCAGTGAAAGTTCAAGCCCTGCCAACAGGTCTCCTGTATTATAACCACAAACACTTTTTGCACTGAGATAGTGAATGCACTCTTTCGAAAAGATAAAAGAAAATGCTTGGTGCGAAAACCGAGATCGATCCTGGAAAAGGCAAGAACATTCCAAATGCATACACTCTTCGATTGAAGAAGAAAACGAAGCTGAGCACCTTAGGAGCCGATCCTTGTTGCAGAAATACGTACCTACGTGCCACATCATCTCTTCGAGTATTCAATTTACGTGTTCGGATGCTTTCTAGATCTTCCTTCCCTCCTGTGACAGTCTGATACTCCGTCTCTGGAAATATTACAAGTCGTGACCTTTAATTTACTTACTAGATAAAGCGGTAGAACGACTTCAGACTCCAATTATATGGCTGCAGGTCGTCTGTTTGCGGCTAGTACCCAAAACGAAACTACAGAACTTCTAGCGTAGTAGACACCGACCGCTCATCCTGCTGCACCAGGATACTTACTAGCACCATGTGGCTTGCGCGTGTGATTGAGAAAAACAGCCACCCTCGCGACGACAAGAAGGGCGGGGGAAAAATCCGGTCGCGACGCCGGTTCGAGCATTGGCTGCGCGACGAGCGACCTGACAGACAGGACCTGATAGCGCGGGGGTACTTGACCGAGACCAAAGCTTCTGAGGTGCTGGTGGAGGCATCACATGCCGCGACCCCGCAAACTATCTCTTTACCGGCGAACGACTTTGACAGGAAGCGTGCCGACCTCGATGTGTTTTTTCGACAGCTCCAGGCACGGAAGGCAACCGAGCTGCCGCGGTTGGTCGATGCGGTTGGGGAAGGTTCGTCGTCTTCTACCGCGACAACGGCGGCGAGCGACCTCGACGTGGTTACCTCTCCGCAAAACGACATGAGATCGGCCGGTGACGATGCTCTTGATGATGAGACTGAGAATCCAGAGAAAATACTTCGGCGACTGCAGCGCGATTTCCGAACCGAACAGGGGTCGGTCGACGAGATTTTGCGTGTAACGGACGACGACACGCGGGCCTCCTTCTTGCGGGACGCACTGGAGCGGGACTATGGAGCGGAAGCAGTGCAAGGAGCGACATCACCGTCACCGAGCGACAACTACTGGAGCCGCATGATTCGTGCTACGGAACAGGACGCGGAAGATGCGATAGCGGCAGCAGACAGCGCGCGGCAAGAGCTCGCAACGGTGATTCGAACCGAGCTAGCACTCGACGCAGATTATGTTGACGCAGGAAATGCACAATTACCTCAAGCAACAGCTACATCTGGTGCATCAAATTCTTCGCGTCTGGAAGACTTTCGCACCGTGGTCCAGAAACTTGCCACTACCGAGGTAGAGCTAGACCAGCTCTATCCGAAGGCCGAAATAGGCAAGTTGGACCAAGAGACGCGACGCAAGCAGTACTTGCAGCAGGTGCAGCAAATTCTGCACACGACTGAGCGGCTGAAAGAAATGATTTTTGAGGAGCAAAGTGGGAGCCTCGCGTTGCTGCCAGTCGTAAAAACCCTGCCGACACTGCGCGTTTTCGGCCCCCACCACCTGCCGCTGCCGAAACACGCCCAGCAGTGTTTGAAGCACCGTATCCGCTTTTTATTCGTTCCGCTGAAGGAGACACTCGTGAGCGAGGTAGCCAGCACCGTGAAAAAGTACCACCGCATTTGGCCTGTGCCCTTGTCAACGAGCGAGGCGGGGGCAGCAACACGGGACTCGACGGACAGCGCGGCAGCAACAAAGACGGGTCTCCGAGATCTGGAAGAGGGCGCCAAGATGTGGAAGGCCTTGTGGACGAGCTTCACTGTGCAGCGGAGTTTCATTGCCACCATGACGTCGGCGAACGAGGAGCCAGACAAGAGCAATGAACACCAGCTGTGCCAAATCTTGGTGGAACCGCTGGCGAAAATTTTCCACTATCACTTTCTCCGACCAGCCTCTGAGCTGGCGCGTTTAGACCAGCCAGACTGGGTGTTCCGCTACTTCCTGGAGCAGCTGAACAGCACGCTGCGCGCGCTTCTCAGTTGGAGAGACCATGCGCGTGTAAGTACAAAAAGCCACACAAATTCGAAGCAGCACGCCCCCGAAGTTGACGTACACACGTTGCGCCAACACAGTGCGGAGAGTGGTGGTGCCGCTACTGGTACCGATCAAGAAGTAGACCGACTGCTGCTCCAAGGCGTCACCTTTGAACTAACGATGGCGACGCTAGGCAGTTTCTTGCGGTCGAACTACCCCGTTTTCTTGGAAGACGCGGCCCTTTTCACAAACTTGATCAAGGAACTGAATCTGTTTCTCCCAAAACTGCAAGAGCAAGTGACGTCACTGTTGAGCACAACTACAGACGCGGGTGGGGCAATATCGACGTCATCTCCCGGCGCGGGGAGCGGGAGCGCTGCCCGGTTTGCGGGCAACTTGATCCGGGAAGCCGTGGTCCGCGATTTTTTGGAAGACCTCAATGTGGTGCTGCCGTCCGGTGTAGAATCGCGCAAGCTCCTTAGCCACTGGATCTCTACCGATCGATCGTTTTTGCTGGAGAAGTTTTCGACTGCTGCGGTAGAAATTCTCGACACCACAATGCGTGCGCCGACCCCAGCTGTGGAGGATCTCGACCAGACTCTCGCCGCCGGACCAACCTCACATGGCAAGAAAATTTTGCAGCCACTGCTGTCACACGCAAGCACATTGGAGTCCTCCGTTCCTGGGAGCGAGGACTTGGAGCAGCAGCTACAGGAGTTGCGGGACTTCTTGCGCGACCTGCTCCGCGTCGCCGCTGGTCGGTTTACCCCCATATTGGGCCAGACAGGTGGCAATAAACGGGCCCGCGCGCGCTACGTGGAGGAGTGCTTGGACGACGCGGTGCAGAAGGGCGTGTTGCGGTTTTTGAAAGAAACGTGGAACGACAAGGTGCTTATCGACTACTCCGCCACCGACCTGCCGATCCTTATGCACCAGCAGGACAGCAGCGCCTCCATGGACTATGCCACCGCGGCTGCGCTCATGCGCGTTGCACTGCTGTTTCTTCACTGCCTGCGACAAGATCCGACCTTCGCGAACCTCGACTGCGTGCGCGCGCTCGATGAGCTGAAAAACCTGATGATCGACCACGTGACTGATTTCTTTTTCCGCCTCCAGCTAGTGCCGGTACTACAGCGCATCGTTGGGGAAAACGCCAACAGCCGCGGGCACGAGGCGAGGCAAGACGTAAATTTGGTTACACAATCCGCGGTCGAGTTTCAGCTTCGCGATTTTCTGCGCTACTTCGTGTGGATGCCGGAGAGTGAGTTTCGCCTCTTCTTGCAGATTGGCTGGCAAACATTCGAGGAGCATTGTGCGAGTATTTTGGATCAGGATATCGTGCATGCGCTCAAGACGAGGTGGTCGATGCGGTGAAAGCTTTACTCCACTTGTTTCGAAGAAACGAATAGACTCACTACAACAAGCGACTTGAATTTAGTATGTGTGGTACTTCTGTTCCTCATACGCCCTGTGCACCTGCGCAGCCAGGGCTGCGCCCTCTGCTTGGGTACACAAAACTATCATAACGAACACAACATTTCTAACTCAGTAACAGTGCTGAACCAGGCACGCGCTTTCATGCTCTGCCTGATGGGTTTTTTGATGCATTCTTGTTCTGCAACGTGCGTCGTCCTGAAGATGTGAATATAGACCCGCGCTCTCCACATCGTGCAAAATCGTCTAGGTATTGTTCAGATCAGCTAGGGACTCGACTCGTTCACAGTCGTCCTGCTCGACTTCGCAGCATCGCCATCGTTCTTCTAAACAAAGGGGCTAAATAGAGGGATGGCGCTAGAGAGATAGCGTGACACCGTCCGTAACTCGTTCGCAGAGTAGAGAATGCATTTTACCGTTGTGCCGACAATGAAGTAGTCCTTCTTATTCTTTCGCAGACTCGTATAACTCGTTCGGGCTCTCATTACTTCAGTGATCGTGCATGCAGGGCGTGATGACGATGTAAACATCCCCAATCTTGTCTGCGGATTGGCAGATGCCTCAGAGGCAGAGGGCAAGGACTTTCGGTATCACATATTCGTCAATGAATCATCGCAGCAGTTCCGTTTTACAACGTCTCGAATACAACCCCTTCTCACAACTTTCGCTTAGAGTGGGTGTCCCCCAGAAAAAGCAAAACCTAGAACCGCACAACTTTCTTGTCAACGCATAAGAAAAGTTCGCGAGCCCAACTACTTTTGATTCTTCATTCCATTTATTTCGAGTTTTTAGAAGGGCCCGTACCCCGCGATCCCTTTCCTAAAAACTTCAACCACTCACTTTCGTTCCGACAAAAAAAAAACATTTTTTCGCAAGCGCAAATTTCGTAGTGCTTTTTTTACCAACGTAGAAAGGAAATAACCCATTCCTGATTTGTAAGTACTCACCTTCAACGACCACATAAGTACAATCACGCTAAAAAGAAACTAAAACAGCTCAACAAAACGCGCTTTATCAAACAAGTTTTCAGAGACTTTTGACGTTCGTTCATCGTACGGTAGTACAACGCGACGAAAAACGCGCTATCCTTCTCGTCGTTTCTGCTCTCCCACAAGCGTAAAAGACCAGAAGACCGAATTGCTCGGTGCTGGCACGGGAAGTGGAACAGGACCTCCGTTTGCTAATCTGCTGGCGGCCAGGGATTGAGCCGTCAACCGATTGCAACCATCCCGCCACCAAAAGATCGTGACGTTCGCCACAAAGAGAACTACGTGGCGCACGGTGAAAAGAAAAACTGCCTGAAGAGAGTGATCATGTCGATGATGCACTCGCAGCCTATCCCGGAGGGGGTGAGCAGCTTCGCCGCGGAAGTATGGCAGGCACTGGGTGACGCGGAAAAGACGAAGCGACTCATAATCAAGTACCAGGTGGAAGTCAGGCTTTACTTGGCAGTGCTCTTGGCTATGTACTTGGCCTACCATTTGCTCTCCGATGGCGACTTCTCCTTTCTGCTTACGCTCGGCAGCATGGTAACGAACTTTTTTTGTAAATTGTAGGAAATGCAAATTTATTGCGGGCGGGCCAAGCTCTGTAAAGATCTGCATCCGGCGCTGTTGTTAACATTCCCTGGTTGTGCGAAAAACGTCTACCGGTAGGATAATGATGATTGAATGGACGATTTCTTTCATTCTTTCCATGCCCGGGCATGGCGTCAAAAAATTCAAGGCCCTACAAGATCCAGCGCAATCTGATTTCCTCCTCACCAATGATCATTTCTCTTTGCATCATTTCTCCTCACCAATGGACGATTGCATCTGCATGATCGATGATTTATGCATCAGAATCTTCAGCTGGGTGCATGCTCCGAATCTGAAATAAAGACAAAGCAAAAACTCGAACAGATCTCCATGTGCTCCTTTTCCATGGTCGCTGCGTGGATTGAGACGCACAAGAGCTGCCAGGGTATCAGTGTGAAAATGTTGGAAGTCTACCTCCTCGTGCAATTCGGCCGGCTCGTCGCTATTGTCCCCTTCGAGGGCTACCTGCCTTTCGACGCCAGTGGAGATTGGTTGTAAGATTCCTTTTGACTACTTTCGCTGGTTTTTCTTATTCCTGTTTACTCGTGAACGACGAACATCAGAAATCAATTTGCAATTTTTACCATGGGTGTATATTTCATATGGGTGAATATTTCCTATGTGATGTTCGCAAAATACCTAAAACAGCTATCAACTTGTGGAGGCCTTGACATTTGTACTCGCTGGGACCATAGTATACCTCTGCCGGGTGCGGTATCCGACGACCTACATAGACGAGCACGATGTTTTCGACACCAGGTATAGGCTATCTAGTGTGGTACAGAAAGCAGATTTTCTATATGAAGATGAAATTCAAATTTTCATTTTTCAAAGCCACGGACACAGCACAAAAGTATCGAACCCAACAACCTGCATCTATCGAGTGCACCATGCAGCGAGCTACCAACGCATGATCCCCGAAAAAATGATCAAAAAAAACTAGGTACATCGTTTTCCCCTGCTTCGCGGTTGCGCTCGTATGGCACCCAAGTCTCAACGCCTTCATGCCCTCCGACATCATGTGGGCTTACGCGCTTTACCTGGAGGCCCTCGCTTCGTTGCCACAACTTTTCATGTTCCAGCGGGAAGGGCAGGTATCACTTTTGCGATTTTATATCTTTCCGTCAATGCAGTGCAGCAAGTCTGTTTTCGAAAGAGCGCAGATGCTGCTTTGCAATACTTGCAGGCTCTCAGTCCGTATGCACCAAAATGCGTAAATGTAAAAAGGGTTGCACTCATGAAAATAAACAGGTACACCAATGGACCGCGCACTTTCTTTTCGCGCAAGCGTGCGCGAAGGTGGCAAACTTCATTTTCTGGGTAAGTAGTTTCGGCGAGCTCCACGATCCGACTCACTACATCCGCAGCTACATAGGATACTGGGTGCTCGCCGTGCAAGGCTTCCAGCTTCTCATCATGGGCGACTTCGTTTTGCAGTACTAAAATATTCCACTTACTTGTGTTTTTGACTTCAATTGTTCTTGCGTTCCCTCTTTGGATGATTCAAATTGCTGCATACTTGGCCACACTGACGCCGACGTCCTACTTGTTCGGAAATCTTCATAGAAGATTTGCAAATAATGCTGATTAATTTTCACCCAAAACTTCGCATCCAGGTACACAAAGTGCATCGGGAAGGGGGTTTCCGTCAGCATGCTGCTCAGCGACTCGGTGTAAAAATCGAAGGAACGGCGCCATCAGTAATCCCAACGCCATTCGATTCCTTCAATTCAACCACCAGAGTAGTTCATGATCGCTTTCGCCTACCCAGAAGTTTTTGCTTCCATCTTCCCAGACCCAAACCAAAACCACCAGCGGTTCACCGCCGATCAGAAGTCCGTAGTACGACGCTACCATGCCCTGGTAGTCCCCCACCAGAGTTCATTTTTACCCGCTGACGCACCATCTTCTCTAGAACAAACCGAACCAAGTTTGGACCAGCACGCGCCGCCGCACCGAAGCCAACCCTTTGTACGATGGATGCACGAAGCCATTTTTCGCAGATCCCTGTCGCTCCAAGCTCGCAAATCAGATATCCGAGACGCTTTTGCAAAAGCGCTATTGCTCGTGAGACGGACGCGGGAGGCAACAACGTCTCTGATTTTAGTAGCAGTCGAGTGCGCGTCTACTTCCGAAAAAATGTACACCCGTTTCGCGTTTCGTTTCCAGGTTTCAAATTGGTACGCACTTTTCTGTTTTGAGCTCAAGCAGTTGAAATATGACGATAAGTGAAACTAGTGGCCGCACCGGTGCCTTGCTTGCGAATACTATAATGCGACAACGCAGCCGTAGCTGGGAGATATGCAGAGATTTTCTCGAGAATCATGTACACTATCACAAATTGTATAGCAATTTTTGTTAGAGTTGTGCATAGGGAAGGCGTTTTTCGAAAAAGCTTTGAATCTTGTTTGATCAGTTCTTGAAGATTGTTTAAGTCTTATTTCTGTTCACGCCTGAAGTAAATCAAAAAAAAATATCTCGTCTCACTTGTTCTTTCTTACTCTTACAAATGTTACCAGTGTCAGATTGCAACGTTTCTACAAAGCTTTGGTTGTGCACTTGATGTCAACAGCATAAAGTGTGACAACTAAGCACTCAAACGAAGTAAGTACGCACTATTTCTGCAAAAGAACGGCGCCATCAGCGTTCGCTCGATTCAACTTCCAGCACTAGAAATGCATGTTTGTCTGTCGATGCACGCCAACAAAATTGGAACAAATTAAATCGCTGCATGTATTAACCAGTAATTTTGTTGTCGACAGTCAGGCACGGAGTCAAAAATTAGTTGTTTCAGTACCACTTCTGTAGTTCATCTTGCCGCTTTCGAAGAATTCAAAATTAAGACAATATGTATCTTGCTACAAAAATTCGACCACATTGAAAAAAGCGTCCTTCTATTGGAGTTGAGGCGCACAAGATATTTGATCCTGTAGAAATTTAGTATTTATCCGAATTGTACATTTGTATGGTAAGAGAAGGAGCATGCGCGCCAGAGACATCACGCTGAACATCAAACTACTAACAATTCTTGTATACCAGCCACAGCAGCAAATTAAAACTTTGAATTTCGCCCACCGATAAGCAAAACCGGATGAAGCTGGAGGATGAAGAGCTTGTTCTCTGCGCGACCTTCCATCACGTTTGTTTCGTGCATTTCATGGGCTTCTGGAGCAAGTTTTGAGTTTTATTGGATGCGTGAATATGGTTGGCTTGTGAAACTGAACGGAGAGTCGTTTGGGGAGAGATTGGCAGCACCACTTTTGGGTCGTCTTTGTCGTGATCGTGACAAATCTCGAATATGAAACGGCAAACTCGTCGCAGTACCAACCGCATCAACGCAGTCAGATTGTCTACTCGTGCGCTCTCTATCCAAAACCGTTTCATTTTTGCGCAGCGTTTTTTCTTAGGGGAAAGATCTAGTAGACAGAAAAAAGTAAAACAATGGGGGACGAAGTAGAGCTTCCCTCCGCCTACTCGCTCACTCCGGCGAACGGCGACCCAGAACTTCCGCACTCATGGGGATTCACCGGCTCGGCGACAGCAAAATACACAAACGGCGACGTCTTTGTCGGTGACTATGTTGACGGGAAAAAGCAGGGGAAGGTACATTTTGAGACGAGACGCTGTGTGTCGCTATAACTACTTCACAGTTGATACACGCGGCTCGCTATTGCTTCGTATCAATCAATGCGAAAAACGCTTTTCAGGGTACCTACACACACGTAAATGGCGATGTCTTCGTTGGCGAGTACACAGACGACAAACGAACAGGGGTGGGCATGATGACATACGCAAGCGGTAAGTATGACAGGACTCTGTTTTTTGTTGACGTTGCAGAACGGCGGATAAAATGAATGAAAAACTGTTCGGAGTTTCTGCCGTGCAGCATCAAAACAGAAACTCAAGCAGCGGGATTTGGACTTTCTTCCGCTTCTTATTACATCAGGTGGGTGCTACAACGGCAACTTCGAGAACGGCGTAAGGAGCGGCGAGGGGACGTTCGTGTACCCAACAAAAGACATCTACTCCGGTCTTTGGAAAGCAGGCAAGAAATCGGGCGAGGGCTTCTACGTGTTTGCAAATTCCAAGTACTACTACCAGGGCACATGGAAAAACGGCGAGATCGTCACAGGTACTATCCGAAACGATTCAGCATGCCATGAATTTGGAATTGCATGCAGACCACCAAAAAAAGCCTTGTCCTCGTGTAGAAAAAATGTGAAGTTTGAACTCCAGACGAAACAACTTTGAATGGATTCAAGTGAGTGCACAAAAGAAACGCTTCAAACATCCACAACAGGGAAGTGGGTTCTGTCCCCAAGTCGGTATTTCGAAGGCAGCTTCACCAGACAAAAGCCTTCCGGCGACGGGAAATTCGTGTGCAGTGGCTACGAGGTACTCGATTTGAGAGTTGTTCGAATTTTCACTGCGTTTTTCTGCAACTTGTGTAGGACAAGCACATGACTTCGTCGTTGAAAACTTCATCTTTGATGTTTTCACAGGTGCATGGTTGCTATTCGCAAGAAGTCAAGCCGCTGGATAGCGGCGTGGGCGAGGCCGGAAAGCCCCCGATGGAGGTCGCGAATACCTGGGAAACCTACGCAATGACCGCGATCGAAGCGTAGGTCGAACCAAGTGAGAAGACGGAATCAACAATCACCTTAGATAGAAGAAGAACCTTATTGACTCAAATCTAAATCAAATCCAACAAACGAAAGCAGAAGCACTTGAGATTAGAAACTTGTCGAATTACCTCTTGTTTAGCACGAGAAGCAGGAGGAAAGTGAAAGCAGAAACATCGCGAACAGTTCCGCTATTGTACAAAAGAGCGAATGGAAGAAAATAGAACTGTCTTCTTGTATCAGAAAAAAAGCTCCTACTTCGTAGCTAAAAACTTCCCAGCCATATCTGTTGCGGTATGCTCACGTTTCGGGTGTTCTTCCAAATTCTTGTGAATCATTGACCGGAACTCCACCGTGGTTGGGAAACAGTTCTCTGTTTTCGCCTGTAAGATGATGTCTGATCAAGAGATCATGATCCTCTTTGCAGTAGTTGCTCGATCTCTGTGGCCCAGGATACTCCGATCGGCTTTCTGTGGATTTTGTTGACACTGATGTCACATCCTGGATTTTCAGTCGTAGAAAGGTGAGTTCCTTGATTTGATCGTCGGAACTCCATGTGGTTGGCTCTACTAGAACATTTTGGTCTGTATCACCTTGATCTCATCTATTCCATGTAGTAGCAAAAACACATCTATTCCTCCCCAATTTTTATTCAAGTAGAATTTCTGTGAAAACTTATTCCTGGCACGATCATATGATCGACCATTCCTCTCCTCCACAAACTCGAAAATAAAATTGTCGAAAGAAAAAAACAAACAATGGCGAAAGCAAAACAAAAGAAGAAAGTGGTGTCGCGCTCCGCATCCACCGCGGCACCGCAGGCGACGTCGGGAAACAGTTTGCTTCTGGAACGCAACGAGACAGGGATGCAAAATTCCCGGATGTGCTGCCGTGAGGCATGCACGTTCCAAATGGGCAAGCTATTCACCGATGTTCATTTCTTGCACATGCCGATTCCTGCCGTGCGCTCCATGCTTCAGATCCTCGGGCAGTTTGACAATGGCGAAATGCTGAAAAAACTTTTATCGTCCCTGCAGCCAGCAGAAGCGATTGCACTGATAGGTTTGGAATTTTTGGAAGAGTTTTTCAAGGCCGCTTTCTGTACCGGACATTATCCGAAAGAATCTTTAGCCGCCCTATTCGCAGCAGCGCCCAAGCAATCTCGTGAGATAGCTTGCAAAGAGGGAGTGTTGCTTTGTGCCGTCCACCACCGGCGTCAAGATCTGGTAATTCTCTTGACCCGCAACAAGATGTTCTGCCCGGGTTGCGCAGTCGACATTTCTGCAGACGCGAAGGAATGGAACGGCAAAACCGGAACGGTTCTCTCCTACAATCCAGAAAAAGATCGATTTCTAGTACAGGTGGAATCGGAGGCCGACGAAGATTTCCTCTACGTGAATGAAAGCGAACTGAGTTTCACAGATAACAAGGGTACCGAGCCGGTGTGTCTCATGGGTAAGCCTGGAACAGCGGATGCACAACATGTACGCATTGTTTCGCACGCAGGACGCGGCGCGTCACGGAGCGCCGACAAAGGAATCTGCGTCGTACGGCTGCGTGTAGCTTCCTTCAAGCCCGAGAAGCTCGATTACAATTATGCGCGGAGTGCATTTTTTTCAAGAGGCGCTGAAGTGTTTGTGAGCGGACCCGGAATACCATGCCATCTCTCAGGCACCAATTTGGAATACGACGCCGCTCGAGCGACAGCTGAATACTCTCCGGTAACCAAGCGCTGGACCCCACGCAACCCCTACAGCTTCGTCCGCAGAGGAGTCATCGAAAATTGCACCAATAGCTTTCACGGCATATCGCAAGTGCCTGGCGTGCGCTACATGGTACAAATCTTGCCCTGCGATGAGCCGGGGCATTCTAGCGCACAGCAAATACTCCAGGCCCCCGTTTGCGAGTCGTTCGTGGGGCATCAGCTCGCGCAAGTCCCCTCCACTGCCAGCAAGGTCCGTGTGAAAAACAGTGCCAATTCCGCCGACGGCTGGAGCGAGGCACTGGTCGGCAAAACAGGTCACCTCCGAACGTGCGGCACGGGTGCGCAGCTTACCGTGTATTTTCCCCCGCCGCAGCGCCAGTCCGGCAGGTCCAGCGCCGCCGATGAAAAACTGAAGGAAGCAGTTACTCACGTCTTCACGCTCGAACGCCTGGAGATTCCCGTGACGAAAAAATCAAAACTGCATGTAGACTGGGGCTATAGCAAATCTCAAGGTAACATCGCATCGGAAAAAACGGAGTACTGTCGAGCTTTATTGTCCTACCTGCGCTTGCTCGTGAATCCAGAGACCAACTCCGGCTTCAAGGAAACCGACCGGCTTCTCAAGAAATATCTTTCTGAAACAGAAACAAGCGATGGCGTGGCCCGCTGTAGCGACGATGATCAGCGACGATTTACAGTAGCCGTGCTTCGCGTCCGGCTCAGACTTTGGTGGAATGGCAGGATGGACGGTTTGGTCGAAGAGACAACTGAATTGCTGGCCAAGGTCAAAGCCCTACGTAACCGCGCGGACAAACGAGCAGAAGGTGAGTTTTACGCGAACAGATGCTTCGTGTCACTCCTGTCAAACGTGGCCGGCGCGTACTTCGATGAACAGGCCCGACTTCCCGATTCCCCTCGAATTTTAGAACTGGAGAAGGAGGTTCGGGACGAATACGACAGACTTAAAAGGCTGCTTCTACGACCAGGACATGACACCGAAGCGAACCTGCGACGTGTGGAGTATTTGGAGATGTATGTCCTGCGCAACTCACTATTTCGCGAGGGCAAAACTCGCCTTACAAAGCGGAACGACGCGTCGGACGAGACGGTGGACCTCCTGCAGCGTGTGCGCCTCATCTCGCACAGGTTCTTCAAGAAACACGGCACCAAAGACGAGACGGATCTTGCATCGCGTTTTCCAGCTCTTCCGGAGTTGGATGTTTGGGCACGTTGGTTCTTGATGAGAGCCTACCAGATGCGACAAGAGGATGATAAAATTCCTCCGCTGATTAAAGAAATCGATGCAACGCGCAATAGGCACATGAAGCGAATTTGTGAGGCTTGGTATGGCGTGGAAGTCCAAAAGAAGCCCCTGAATCAAGTCGACAAGCACCTGCTGCAGCAGTACCCCCCGGGAAAGGATATCGATGACTCGATGCCCGAAACGCTTCGCGAATTGGTGGATGCATTACACTACGCTCAGGAAAGGACCAACGGCGCTATGAGCCCCGAAGATGATCTAGCTGCACATATTACACTATTGAAGAAGCACGATATCGGACCAGCATCTGCTATAGGCGCTGCGAGGACTATTCTGACCACGATTGCAAACGCGGACCAAGGGCGATCTCAAGGTTGTGGTGCGACTGCGATTCCGGAAGACGCACGAAGTGAAGCACTTCGGCTCGTCCTTTACCCTCCGTCGCAGCTGCGGCTCCTTGCCACACACACTCACATGGACTTGCTGAGTAAAGAAAGTCGTTTTCTACACGATCGACTAGCTCTCTGTCCCAGCAAAGAAGATAGGGCAGAATACGCGGGCGGAGCGCTTCCTGGAGGCATCGATCAACACAAGAACTGCCATGTTCTTCTACGGAATTCGCAAAGGTGGAGCAGTAAGTGGGAACTCGGCCGCTCGGACAAAGGAACGCTGTCTGCAGATGTCCTTGCAGCTTTTGTCGGAGTCTGTATGCGAGCAGGAGAATCCGTCGGCGAAGCTCTTACGCCTGGTCGTGATTCAGAAGGAAAGACAGTTTCTAACACAAATGAGCCTGGCAAATCCGGAGTTCAAGAAGTTAACGCGGATGCCCGCCAAGCTGCCCGATCTGCTGGACGACGAAGAGCTCCGGCTCGACCTGTTACGTGCCGCAGACGAATCCAAATTCCTCCCAACGCTGCCGCAGGGAATTTGGCACGGAAACCTCGAGGAAACGGCCGACCTTTCCCCCGAGGAGCAGCGGAAGGTTCGCGTTCTCGCGATCCGGAAGCTGCTTGAGGACCGCGAGGCTGAAATTTTGGGGCAGAGCGCTGCCGACGAAGCAGGTGGTGGCGGCAACGGCGAATCTGATGATTGCTTTTCCCTGTTCCGCGACGACGTTCTCCAGAGACTGTTTCAGGCCGGAGCGTATTTGTCGCAGTACTATGCGCAAAAAGACACATTTCTAGCAGAAGAGAAGGTGCAAAGGCTGCGAGAGGCGAAATCGCTTCAGAAGGCAGCGGAAGTGGCGGATCAAGAATGTATGCGATGGTGTCATCCGTCACTGCCCGCAGGCTGCATCACAGAGCATGAAGCAGTTCCGCTTGTGAGAAGGGATCACGGAGTATCGGGTGGGAAGAATGGAAGTGGAGCAGCAAGAACCGCGAAGTGGTATGCCTTTCTAGGATCCGGATATCGAGACAACCCAGTTTACAAAACGGCACTAGACCAGGGGTTCGCTCGGAGATTCGATGACGGCGCAGGGGTGAAGTTGCTGCAAAATCGGTTGCTGGAGCTCAAGGTTGTCGGCAAACACTCTGGACTGAGCAGCAGCAACCGCACTTCGGCAAACTGCGACACGAGGCTGTACACGCAACAAGTGTACCACAACGAAGAAGACTGCAATTTGATTATCTTCGACAAGGAAGGAAATCACGAGAAGATAGCGCGTGAAGTTCAGCACGCGGGGCTCAAGTGGATCCCTGCATTCTCAGCAACGCCTGAACCAGAGCAAGAGGAAAGCGCGTGACGGTGCTATCAAGAACACTACACTACGAAGGGCCAGCACTTGCTCGACTTACATACGCAACCTAACGAAGAAGTCATTGGTCATCCCCGTCCCTCCATTTTTAAAACCTGAAAGATAAACAGCATTGGAAAAGTACAAGAACCCCATTCAAGCGAACAACTCATTGCCTCTTCAACGCTCTACACAGCTACATACATTCATTCTCCGTACTGATGTGGCTGCCTCGATGAAGCGGTAAATTGAGCCGCTTGTCCAGCTGAGTATCCTGTTGGATACCTGTCCTCTCACGTCTTGCACGAAATTGATGTCTTACCGTTACCTGTGCAATCTTTTAGAAGTCTTTTAGAAGCATACACAATTGAAAAGTGTCGTCATTTCGTATCCGTCTTAGTCTTTTCGTCAGCCGTACTGCATGCCAAGCCGTCTTAGTCTTTTCGTCAGCCGTACAGAGGTGTGGCCTGAGCCGACCGCTGTTTGTGAGAACGAGAGCGATTCTGAGAGCCGTACTGCGTCGTGCAGGCAAAAAAAGGTGAAGATGCAGCGGGAATAATGGTTGATTTTTTAATGAAAGAAATGAAAGAGGAGGATGAGAAGATTGTGCACCCCCTAGAGTCCAGAAGATCAGTATGTGGCGCGTCTTCGCCCAGCAGTTTGTGGACGACCGAGATGCGGTCCGCGTGGAGGATTTCGTCAGTGTATTTGGCGCTCCGTCCAGCAGCGCTGTACCAGCGCACCACACGCACGCCGAAGTTGCGTCGCGGCTCAAAACGGGCAGCATGGCGCAGACGCGAACGGCCGCGGCGAAGATTGCTGGCGGGGCCACGAAATCGAGCGGGACCCCGTCGGAGGCAGAAGCGAAGAAGGCTACGACGCTGCTAGAGGTGAGACCGAATTTTCAGCCACGACTGGTGTGATGATTTACAAGCAAATCTTCATTGCCACTTCGACTTCAGCAATCATACTTATTCCTCTGGTGCGTGGCGGCCGGACAGGCTTTCGTTATTTTGATTTTCCGCGCCATTCAAAAAAAGAAGCAAACTGAACAGGACACTGAGGACGCGCCGGATCCTGAGTTCGCGAGGAAATTGGAACTCGCACAGGAATGGGAACGCATACAGATGGAAAAACGCCAAAAGCAAGCGAAGCAGGCGCGGGAGGGCAGAACAAACAAGAAGTCCACTGGTGTTCGACCGGAAAAAAAGCAGGGTGCTATTAACCCTTCTTCAGGGGAGAGCAAAGTGGCGCAGGAACATCTCCTTGCTCTTCCGCCTGCAGGTAGTCCGGACGGCAGCAACGCATCGCAACAGCTGGTGTGTCGGAGCTCGAGCAGTATGTTGGTCAAAAGAAAGAAGATGGCCACCGCAGAAGTAGTGAGCGAAATGTCCAATTGCCGAGGCGACGGTGGACCGTGGGAAACGCGCGACGCGGAAGGGGAGAGGCCCGACTCACAGACCAAGGCTGGGGCAAACATCATGGTGGGAGAACCGGAGCACCGCCTTAGTACTATTGCCGCGACTGAAGAACCTGCATCTACAGATGCGATCATTGAGCCGACACAGGAACACGACGTTGCCTCTGGAAGCACCTTTCTGTTGACTGCTGTGCCGCTCGACAACGGGGGCGCACCTACGGCGTTGCGTGCCGGGGGCAAAGTATTTTCAACTTGCACAGACGGACATTTGTATTTGATCTGAACTTTCACCATTTATTTTTCAAATTGATCCGTGAATGGCGTCACAGAGATTCAATCATTTTTCTTTTTCACAGGGACCAGAGCAAAATCCGGACAAAAGTGTTGCTGGTATTGCCCGCGCAGCGCAGAGTGCTTCTTCATCAGCCGCTGGTAGAGAAAAGCAGTGCAGAGCGCCGCTCCCTCCTGCCGAAGTCGCCCCAGAAAAGCGAAACTTTCGAGGGAGGCGCACCTTCGCTACACGTAACAAAGCGGCCCCGGGCGGTACTACACGAAGAGGCGATCGGAGCCAAGGTGCGGCTTCCGCACCTTCCGTATCGCGGCTTGCTAGGACGCCAGCTGTTGGGTCACCGCGAAGCCAGCATCCCAAAGAACCAACGGAAGACTACGATGCTGTGCAGGAGGATCAGATTACCTCCGGCGAAGATTTCTACGCGTATTTGAAGGCGCGGTCTGCAGCAGCTGGGCTGCGGAATGCCATCGACCCAGCAAATGGCGGCACTTCTAAAGGGACGGAAATCGTGCCCGCGGCGCCGCAAGAAAGGCACAAGATGAACATGTATTCCAACCAGGTGGTTGCGCACGGCTACTTTCCGCAAGCTCCCAGTAGCACCAAGCACAAACTGCGCATGGTGCAGAAGCGAATTCTAAATCAGGCAGCAGGTGCAGTCCGGGCGTATCGACACGAAGTTCGCGAGCAGCTGCAAAAGGTGTTACGCGTTAGCGAGTTGTCCTACGACGATGACCGCAGCAAGGAAATTCTAAAGACTACGACGTTCACGCGCCAGATCCAGGAATGGAATCGAATCCGAGCCATAGGAATGAAAACGGAAAAGCGATTTCTGGTGCCGCTGGTTCGGTGATTTGGAGGTGGGACATGGGAAATCCAGGGCGCCGTAAAATCTAAAGAATTTAGTTCATCCCCAGAGAGGCTGCTTTCTCACTCGTGGAAAACGAGAGAGGCATGACCGTTTCGAATAAGTACCCTTGGATGTGGCGTGAAATTTTAATTTGTATGATATCATTGCGCGCGTGCCTCCAGTGGACGGACACATGACCTGAGCAACTTCAGCTTTAAAAAAAAATCTAAATACAGATCCCGCTTTCACTGCCATGTGAGCGCCCACGCAATCGGAAATGTGCAGGAAGAAATGAGATAGCCATTCCATCTCTTTGTTGGTTCTACACGTTCCGACTCTAAGTTTAGATCCTTAAACTGATATTTGGCTTTGATGAACCGAAGATCATCTTGAATAATTTTGCTTCCAGTATCGATCCTTGGAAATATGCAGTGTGGACTAAAGGATCTCTCGACGAGGATGGCATTAAATTAACGCTCGAAGATCATACCGTGATTGCGAGATCGTGTCAAAGATGAAAAAGATCTTGCCTGAAATTTAGATTACGCTGGTCCGGAAAAATCTTCCAAACAGAAAAAGTGGATCTGAAACACAGCTGTGGATCCTGTCAAATCGGAAGCCGATCCGTTGAGGCGCTGTCTTTGATCTGCAAAAGTGGAAGAGCTCGATGCTTGAGTTCGAACAAAAACTTGACTTTCCGATATCAACGCTCTTCTCCTCCTTTTTTTTCGCACAGGGAACCGTGAGGCTTTAGATTAGAGTCGGTTTACAGCACTGCAACACCTCTTTTGGCAAGATGGGTCTGGTCACCGTGCGCACGCGCAAGTTCAAGAACAACCCGCTCTTGGGCCGCAAGCAGTTCGTCATCGATGTTGTCCACCCGGGTGCGGCTAACGTGTCCAAGAAGGACATCACCGACAAAATCGCCACCATGTACAAGGTATCACAGGGAAGCGCTAATTTAGATTTTTTGGTTTGGTGCGATGCTTTGAAACGCCGTGGTCCCTGGAAACGTCATTGGGTTTTCATGAAGTTTTTGTTTACCTGATGTTGCGCATGACGAGTCTGCAATCTAAATCAGAAAAAAAAGTTGGTGACACCGAGAGATCTTTTTTACTTTCGAAAAACAGGTGAAGGACTCCAAGCAGATCTCCGTCTTCGGATTCCACACTGCCTTCGGCGGTGGCCGCTCCTCCGGAATGGGACTCATCTACGACTCCCTGGACAAGGTCAAGCAGTTCGAGCCGAAGTATAATCTTGTTACAACTAGGATTTTTTGATAGAGACACTTGCTCATGTTTCACACCTGCTTACGCATCTCCGTTTTGCATAGCGTCCTCTTCTAAAACCGCATCTCATCCTCTACTTAATTGTTCCAAAACCGTATCGCAGGTTCCGCTGCAAGCGTCACGGCGTCGAGAAGCCGCAGAAGCGCAAGCGCATTGGACGCCGCAACTTGAAGAAGATGAAGCTCAACCTGCTCAAGGCCCCGCGTGGCAAGAAGAAGACCGAGATCAAGAAGACCGCTGGTGCTTTGTAAGGTGTTGAACCTTCCAGAACGTCACGAACACATCCGTTGTCATTGAACTCGTGATCTGAACCCATTTGAACACGTAGCAGAGGTATTGACCGTCTCGACACGCCGACTCTAAAAAACGAAGGAAGTAGAACAATGCGACGACGCATTATGTTGTGACTGCTTGTTGTTACCAGTGTGTTCAAAAAGCTTTGACGTATTCTCGCTCGCCCATGAAAGAATGATCTGTAAAGGGATGTGCCGCACCTTCTCAATTACGAGTGCGTAGTTCTAGGGGTCTGCTTCAGTGTATCAAAATGTTTGTGCATTGGGAACTTTTTTAGAGATGAGTGCGAGAGGAGAGATACCTGGGTACAGATAGGAAAAAAGACATCTTTGGGTCGGTTTTTTCACTCTCCCCATTACTCTAGAAAACGATATTTCTCACAGATAATTACTTTGCGCCGCTCGGGGGCAACATTGATGACAACATTCCTAGTCCGCCTATACATAGTTCTCCATCTTCATTTTTCGTCATGCACGCCAGACATAAAGGCCCTTCGGTGGCATTGGGGTTCCGCAGTGGAGTCTAAATCAATTGCGTTATCGGATTTGCTTTTATCGCGTTGCGATGTCCTCACCATGTCAACATACCGAACCGTATCAATAGTGCTAGTAGCAAGCTTGTTGAGAGGACAAAGAGAGACACAGAAAGACTTTAGCCGTATAAGCTAAGCGAGAAGCCTCAAAAAATCAAAATGGGAGTCTTGAGCAAATCCGGTGCTTGGGTCAGTTCCAAGGGATTGGAGGCCAGCGTGGCCATGAAAGAGGGCGTCGTTAGCGAATTGGAACGATGCCAGAAAGCCATCGCCAGTCTGCTGAAGGTGCTTTATGGCAGCTTGCTTGGTTTTAGTTTTGCACCATGACCGAAATTTCGTGCTCATTTTCTTGCATAAAGATGCGGAATTTCTTGTGTAATCCGTTCGATGATCTCTTTTCTAGGACTCATAGACACGATTCCAGAGAATACGTCCATTTCAGGTGATGCCGTCCTTTCCGTGTGATGCCGTCGCGTCTGCTTGCGCGTCAGTGAAGGCAATATTAGACAAGATTCAGGAGATCGAGGTACTTACTAGAGTTTCATGTGCGGAATGAATGACGTAGGCATGCTGACGAGTTCTGTGCTTGTTCAACCAAATGTCTTGTTCGCCCACTCATGCTCATTCATGATCCACGCAACGTGGCACATCTTTTTTTTCCACGAATTTGGCAGGCCGTCGCGTGGTCCAAGGAGAAGCTGTACGGGCTGTACATCCTGCTGATTGGATCCATCGAAAGCATCATCGGGTAGAGTAGTGTTTGCGAATTAGTTCTATGCCTCATGTTGCATCATCCGTGTCGACAACACCGTGCAACCTAAAGACGGTAATGTGGCAGTCCCAAGTTCAGTTGTACACGAAACTGCCCAACTAGGTCCATTTCCCCGTTCGTCGTGCAGCCGATGTTGTGGGTGAAAGACCAGCTGATTGGCGTGTGCATGACCCTGACTACCTTCTGCTACACGGTGTTTGGCAAGATCGATGACTCCCTCGTGACGCCGATCGTTATGGCGGGAACCAACACGGGTTATCAAAGTGAAAAATCCCCCATCCCCATATCGGAAACGGAAGATGCGCGAACTTGTGATGCTGTATTTGAGTACACAAATCGACTTGTATTGCTAGAAGGCCAAGAGACGAAGCTGCGGCCTAAATTGCAGGCAATCTGTCATGATGTTTCCCACTTCCATTTGCCTCCTGTCATCCTGGAGCTGCAAGGCCTTCCCACGCCAACCAGCACTGCAGTCCGCATCTTTTCCCTTCTAGCATGACAAAGCTGATTTGTGGCCACAAATCTGCATCACAGATTTCCGTTTTGATATGGGGAGGGGGCATTTTTCATGGTAATGCGGGTGTGTGCTTGTACACCACCGCCAAGGACATTACCTACACGCAGTACGCAATGGTCAAGGACGGGCTCGTCATGCCAGTGGTCTCCACCGTCAACGCAGCTGTGGTAAGTTGTTTTTCGTCGTGTGCACAAAATTGGTCCACCACAGCCATTGTTTGGTTTCTACTACCTCCAAGATGCAGCTCGGCGCAGCTTGGCTTCTGTCTCGTTCTTTTCTCAGCGACAGCGTCATGGTAAACAAAAACCGCGATACTTTATTTCCCCAGGTCTCCCCAGCGTACAGTGCGGCGTCTTGCGTCGCAAAGGGTGCCACGTCAAAAGCCATCAACGTCAGTGCCTGGGTGGATTCCAAGCTCAGTCTGGTCAGCATGATGGCAGCCGTTGTGGAGAAGTCCAAGAAGTTGGATGAGTGTGTCACCTCCGGTACACGAGATAGACCTTTTTGTTTTTTATGTTGCACTTGCATACAAGCGCACGTGCGCGACAGGCCCTTCATTTTTTTCTAGACGTTCTTAGCATCGTGAAGTAGAAAGTCAGCAATAAGAACCGCATCGCAGGTGCGATTGAGAAGAAGTTGGTCCGCCCGGCGCTGGCAACTGCGACCTCCTTGGATTCCAAGTACCTCGGCGGCAGCACGCAGGACCTGATTAGCTCCACGGTGGTGCAGTTTCAGGAGGCGAAGGGCGTCCCGGTCGTCCCGGCGGTCACGGTGAAGCCAGTTGCCAACAAAACCGCCGCCGGCGCGCCTACCATCTCGCGTCCGCAGGTCGTGCGCCAGCACTAAACTATTGCATCTTCCCTGAAAATTGACTTGTGTCAAAATGTCAATCTGCAATAAACCGTTTGTAGCTAGAGTAAAATTTGTGTTTTTGACAGGACCCCCGCTTCACGATAGGTTTGTTCAGACGAGGCAAAGCAATGAATCTATCCATCCTCGGATGTTGGATCGATCTAAATTTTTTTCCGAGCAGGGTACAAGATGACCGGTCGGAGGACCACTCTATCTTGCGAAATACAGTAAGCTTGTGCAGTGGCGGTGCAGGAGATGTAGTCACTGTAATTTGATGAGAGCCCTTTTTGTCTACTGCAAACATGGGCGGCACATCTGTGAGCTGTCGCGTGTTTGTGCTGGACAATCTAACGCCTCGAGCTCAACTGGTGGGGTGTCCAGTATCCACCTCCGCGCCCGACAGCTGCATCCTCCGTGAAACGATGGTGTAGCAGGGGGGCGAGGGGAAGTCGTAAAGTACAATTTTCCTTGTGCCCAATTTGCTCTACACAAACATAGGTGAGACATGGAACGTACACTACATTTGCTTTCGATAGAAACTATTTGGCTTCATACAAAACTAACAGAGCATGGTATTGCTTCCTGACACGCAATCTTCAAATTTGACAAAAACCTAAATTAGAATCTGAACAATGCAGTACTCCTAACCTTGATACGCAAAAAAATCTCAAATAGGTGTTGTGCGATGCGTTATGTAAAAAGCTTGCATGATGCACTTGTACGAATTTCGTCGCTGCGGAGCAAGAAGCGGCCGAGAAATCGTTATGATATCGTATCTGTCGTTGTCCTAGAAGTACCGATGCTTATGAATAGCCTTCTCGCTGCGCTTCTTGGCTTTTTTTTTTTCGATACGGTTCGCGCTATCCGGGGGACCCTGACCACCCATAATGTACTTACTAGGCGAGGATCTCGATGATCCCCTGAACAGTTTTGCAGAGGAACGCGCGTGAGCTGGTGTGGCGTACGTGTCCCTCAACAAGCTACACTGCTAGTTCAGGCTATCTGGCTACCCGATAATTTTCCTCTACGCGCAGGCATTTTATTCGCAGGAATGGAAACTATTTCGAAGATCCATCGCAATTGCACTTCAAGCGCCAAAGTGGTCAAAGCGTCAGTTGTAGTGGAAGCTTCGCACGGTTACCATCTCCTCACGAAGCGAAATCTGTCGCGCCATGCTCATGATGATGTTTACGTCTGCTATGCTCAATGTTATCATATTTTTTTTACCGAAAAGAACAACTTCAATCACAATTTTCCGGCCAAAATAAATCACATCTTCGAATTTCAACACAAAAAAAGCCTTTCCTCCACTCGATTTTGAACAGAGCCTCAGCCTGCTTATCTGAGCAGACTAGCGCTGAAAGTATACTAGCAAACAAGTTTCGATTTTTTGCTATGATGATTTTCCCTAAAGAATGTTTGCATTATGCCTACAAAAGTTAGTTTCGGAGGCAGCAATGTTGTGCAAAATATCGGTCGACCGTAGAATGCAGATATGCAACATTCGCCGGGTCTGCAGGGGATGATTCTGCATGTTGGTCTTGCTTCATTCTTGCGAAGATGGGAGCTGAGTCGTGACCCTTTATTGGTAGCATTGTACAGTGCACGATACTGAAGAATGAAGACGAGAAATATAAAAATGTACGTGAAAATTTTCCTCTTCGTGCCAGTGAGGCGATGATGCTCGGTGGTCGGCACGAATTACCGTTGCACGCCAACTACACCGGTCTACGTTATGATTGGACTTTGACAGTAACGTTTCAAATAAGAAGCTGCGATTTTTTGTCCTGGTTCTGCGGGTTTGCGCTCCCAAGTCGCGGGTCTTCCGCCTTGAGACCAAGATATGTTCACAGTGGTGGTTGAAGGAAAAAGGTGTAGCTTCTCTTGTCAGCATGCGATTAGAAACCAAACGAGCAGCCCGTTTTCGTGGACTCGCATCACTTTGGAGGAGTGCTTGAGATAGCTGAGCGACAAGCAAAAAGCATTAAATTTTCCGTTCTCGAACGCTTCTTACAATTCACTAGAATATTTGTGTTGAACAAAGACATAAAGACGCGCGAACATCACCCGATGTGGCAGCGCCGATCTTCTTGAGACTTCAACATGGAGTAATGGCTAGGCGTGCATAGCTCTAAAGAACGGCTCCAGCTTCGCCCGAAATTCGATTTTGCGCGGAGCAACGAATACATTTCACACCCAAAATGAAGACGTCGTCGTCTTTGCTCCCCGAAGACTCCTCTGCATCTAGCGACGTGAAAAAGCTTCCTTCCCGCCTCAGCGTCGACATGAATGCCGCCAGGAGAGGCACCACCAAGCCTATGGCTGTCGGTCCATCGCCCTCCACGTCGTCGTCGTCCTCCTCTTCTCGGGATCTGTGCAACGGCCTCGAAGCAATGCGGGCACGAATACGGAATTTGCACCAGCAATACGGAGATTCTCTGGAGGAGGTGGAGGCAAATCTGTCGCGCATGGATTTTGCAGATGTGGAGTCGAGTCGCAGTCGCGAGCAGGGGAACCCCGGCACAGTTGCAGAAAAGGCCAACTTTTCGGCCGGCGGGTCTAGCGGAAGAGTAGCGGGTCTTGCAAATGACAAGCCTTTGGCAGCCACGCAGGCGGAGGTGGACAGGATGAACTCCCTTATCCGCGCCAGTCGCGAGAGCGATAGGAGCAGCCGAAGTGGCAACAAACCTGTAAGCGATTCTGGACACACGGATGTCGTACCGCGCAGCAGGGGCACTGGTGTCGGGCATATTACACCAGGTGCGGTCAGCGCGCAGCGGTCGTCCGGCGAGCTGCGTTTGAGTAATCAGAAGAGTGCCAGTTTTGCCAAGAGCAACGGGGACCTCCGCTCGCAAAACAACGCAGCGTCCAACGGCGTTACTTCGCTGTTATCCTACCTGGACACGGTAGACCAAGAGAACCAGCAGGACCTGGCGGCAATCGACCGTCGCAGCGATTTGCGGCAGAGCAGCGCGGCAGAGGTTGTTGCAGACCGTCTTTCGCTTCTGGAAATCGAACTGACCGATAAGCGGGAAACGGTACAGAGACTCAGACAGGCCCTGGACAGGCAAAAAAAGGACGCTGCCGAACGGGATCTCCAACTGCAAAAGGTACATCTAATCTGCATGTTCTTTACTCCTCACCTCGTCGACGGACACCTGGCATGGAAATCGCAAAGTCACTTTCCCTTACTAGAGCACTTTTCGTGAATTTGGAATAAGAGTGTTTTTTTACCAACAGGCCTCTGCAGATCAGCTCGCGGCGCAAAAGAAGGAATGCGATGAGCAGGTGGAGCGGCAGTTGGTGCTATGCGACCGCTTGCTGAAGGAGAAAACGGACTTGACAAAGCGCATTTCGAGCTTGGCCGAGGAACTCAAAACTGCAGAACGGAAATTTTCGAAAAAGGTTGAAGAGCTGCAGGAGGGTATGATTGTGTGTTTCGCTCTTCCTTCACCGGTATAGATTTCCTGATAGTGTCGATCGAAGTTAGCTCCGTGCGTCAGTGGCGAACTAGCACACAAAATCAAACAATGTCAAAGTATTCAAAAATCCTAAATTAACAGATCACGCGAAGGATGTCGCACGTCAAAAGCAGAACTGGGCAACGAGTGAGCGTTTGCGGCGGGAGAACTGGGAAAAGGAAAAGACAAAAGAGATCAAGGAGATCACTATCAAGGGATTGGAGCCCGAAATCGAGCGGATATTGAGCGCTCACAGGACGGAAAAGAAGCGCATCGAAGAGCAGCACCAAGTGGAAAAAACTGAATTGCAGTCCGATTTGGAACGAAGGTAGGTAGTGGAACCCAACAAGATTGTCCTCCTACTGTTTTTCTTTTTTACAATCTCTACAACGTGAGTATTGAGTACCACATCATCTGCCGCAAACGGGTTTCCCACGCACAGAAAACATGATCAGAAGAGAACAAGAATCGATATTCAGGTATGAGCGTCGATTGCAGGAAGCTCGCGAAGCATCGCGGCGGGAAACGGACCGGTTACTGGAAGCGGAGCAAGACCGGCAGCGGGCCAAACTGGACGAGAAGACGGGGCAAATCAGCAAGACGCACCAGGACGAGCGCAAGCGGCACCTGGAAGACGTGCGGCAGATGCAGGAAACGTGCGACAAGCGGGTAAACGAGCTCCAGCTGCATTGGGAGAAGCAGCTGCGCGAGCTGCAACAGAAGTTCCGTTCGGAGCTGGACGCAAAAGACGCGGACCTGCAACAGCTCAAGCAGAAAGCGCGACAGGAATTCGAACAGGAAGAGAAGGAATTGCGAGAAAAGCTGCGGCTCGACGGTGAGGCGACGCGAACCAAATTAGAGGAGCAGTTCACCGCACGGGTAAAACAAGCCGAAGTGGACATTCGAGCGGAGGTACAAAAAAAGCGAGACTGGGAAATCGAGCAATTGACAACGAGGCTCGGAAAGGAGCAGCTGGACCTCGAGCGGCAGTTCGCCACGAAACTAGAGACGGAGAAGACCGTATCGAGGGAGAAAAATGTGGCGTGGTCATGCTGGAACTACTAATTATTCGACGAGCGCAAATAATATTTACGACCAAACAATCTTGATCAATCTATCACCAACATCGGTAGGCGTAGTCTACCTTTGTTCCTGTTTCATTCACGCAACAATATTTTTCTCATGCATAGTCCGCATTGTGGGACAAGATGGCCGCGGAGCACGGCGCACTGTCCGCAAAGTTGACGGCCGCCATGGAGGCAACCGCCAGCGCGGAGGTCCGACTGCTGGAGGCAGAGAAGACGCGGAACGACGCCGACACGAGCAAGGACTTGGTCACGACCGAGCTGGTGGATGTCAAGGACCGACTGGCGCACGCGCTGCGCAAGGCGGACCTGGCGGAGAGCCAGAAACAGGAAGTAAACAAGCAGCAGCAAATGCAGGAAGTGCAGCATGACCGCGAGGTTCAACTCTTGACCGAGCAGTTGAAGTCGTCCCAAGCCGCTCTCGCGGACGCGGAGCAGGCCAAAGCTCTCGGCGAGAAGGCGAGCGCCGAGCGCGAGGCCGAAAGCGCACGCGTGCTGGAGGAACGGGTCCGCAGCACGCTGGCGAAAAAGGACGGCACCATCGAAGACCTGAAGCGCCGACTCAGCTCGAAGGACAACCAAATCAAGGAATGCGAATTCATGTTGCAGAAACAACGCGAGGAGCTCCTTTCTGGGTTGTGACTGCGAGAAATAAGTAGCGATTTCTGTACTTGTGCTGTTATGCAAATCGAGACAACATCTCTCAGTTGCAGTACTTACTCACACAATGTTCCACTTCTGCCACCTCTGCAATTCGATGACGATGGGGTTCCATTTATCAACGATCCTATATCATTTGCAAAACGGCGCACACACAGAATTTGAAAATTGAAAAAGCACGGCAACAGATCAGTGTTTAGAGAGCCTCGTTGTGTTCGTCAGAGATCGTCAAGCACAGAGACGGAACAATGCCTGAGCTAGAGCACATTGAAAGTGCTTGGTCGATTTCGTCTCGTCGTGCTCGCAACCTCGATTTGCTTCCGATGCTCGCACTAGCCCTTCTCGTTCTGAGCGCCTGTTCCTTGTGGTGATTGCTGATATCTATGCTTCTTGGTTGTTTAAAACGATTACGATAAAGGTGACACCTCAACATGATTACAATGATTCAATCTCTTGCTCGTTAAAGGCGGAAGTTCTTGAAGGCAAGGTTTTTTTTGAAACATAAGCCTTTGTTTCTATTGAACCAGCACGTCGCTCGTCCTAGGAATAGACAACGCTAGAATTCTACTCCGAATCAATCGGACGGGACGATAATCGAGCACCTGCTGTACTGCATAGTATCCGTCGAACCAACGACTCCCGCGAGAAACCTGCAGTGCGGCGACTTCGGTTGTGCCGAAGCGCTCATCGGGGGACTCCGCTTCCTCCAGCGGGCATAATGCGGCTGCAATCACTCTTCCCCCTGTGATTGTTTGCATGTTGAGGCATCGATAACACGCCACGAACAAGCAGGAGTTCACAAGCACAGGCGAGATGGCGGTGCAGCCCGCGGCGCACCTGAATCCGGACGTCTGCTTCGCAGTGCTCCATGAATGGGTGCGGCTGAGCATCGCCCCGAGCGCCACCTTTCAGCAGGTGAAGTCGGGAGAGCTGGCTCGCTACGTGTACAACCGACTTTCGGGGAAGAACGCGGCTAGCCTGAAGGACTTGTGCTACGAGCTCGGTGACCAGGAAAATGTGCCGCGGGAAGCCGATTCCGAGGAGGAACGCAGTGCGAAAATCTTGCAGATTTGGAGCAACACGCTGAGCCTGGTGGTCACCGATTTCGACACGGAGGACGAGAAGTATTCCACCGAGGTACAGTCGTTGGACGACGAGAAACAGATCCTGTTGATGGACATGGTGGAGCCCTACCTCGAGAAGCAGGACGAGGAGAATCAAAATTACCAGGACGAGGAAAACGGAGATAACGAAATGGGAATACCGATCCCACCACCAAAATTGCAGGCACAGGTGGTTCACACAAACACCTCCACGTCGACCACTGCTGTGGCAGACAACACGGGCAGGAATAATGGAAGAGAACCGGAGGACTTGCCCGACTTCGCGACTCCGGTGTCGGATTCCCACCGCATGCAGGTCTGCGGCGGTGCCGGGGTACTAGACAAAGAGATCAAAGCAACCGGCTTCTTTCGGGACGGCACAGAAGATCGCAAGAAGCAGCACGGCGGCGGGGGAGTGTTCAATCACGCCCCATTCGGTGATAATCAGGGAGCAGCAGGCTCTTGCCAGGACGAAGTCATGAGCGACCGCATTGGCGAGACCAATTTCGCAGGTCCGAGAACGTCTCCCAGAAGTAGGACGGCTACTTCCGGTTACAACAAGTTCCTCCAGCAACGCGACGAATTCGACGCCGGGCCACGAATGGCCGCCGGTGGCGTCCTTGTGGGAAATCAGCCGTCTGCTTCTTCGAAGTCCCCGCGAGCGCTTGTTCCCAGTCCGCATAGTACAAATTTGGCGACCGCGGAGGGCTCCGGATCCGCCACCGCACGGGAGCCGGCGCAGCAGCGGGCGAGCTTGAAGGAGAGGGACCTGCAAATCCAGTCGCTGCAAGCGGAGGTTGCGCGGCTAAAGAAGGACACCGCCGGGCGGACGCAAGCCGCCAACCTACTGATGGACGCGGAGTTTGACGGAGCCATTGAACGGCAGGAGCTAGCGCGCAATCTGCAGAGCGCCAAGGAAAAAATCAAATCCCTCGAGGACAAGTACATCGCCCTGGAAAAGGTGAACGCAACGCAGCTGGAAAAGCTGCAGGACCTTGACCGGCTGCGCGAAGTGGGCGAAGAAGCGGCTGCGAGCAAGAGAAAAGTGGAAAACTTGAACGCCAAGGTAGCGGAGCTCAATGCCGAAAGAGCGCAGTTTTTGACCGACCGACACAGGATTAAGCAGCTGGAAGTCGTATTGCATTGCTTTTTTCGTCGGCATTAACTAGTGTTTGCATCAACGTTTAAGACTTGCATTTGGGGTGCTGAGCTTTCTCCTTCATAAAAAAGATCGAAATCAGCCACAAATAAAAGAGGATCTGAACGCAATTGACATTGATAAACAGGAACTGCAAACGCTGTCGCAGGAGTATCAGAAGCTGCAGGAAAATGAAAAGATCGCGGACACCTTGCGGGAGAAAAATGCTCATTCGCAGTCTACCGTCGCGCGATTGGAGGAACAGATACGGGCACTCGAGCAAAAGGCGAGAGACGCAGCGGAAGCGGCAGACCAAATGAAGCAGATTAATGAGGAGACCACAGGAAGTACAAATAGAGCTCAATTTGTTACTTGTTGTTTCTTTTTTCGCATAGAAACGCAGCATCTCTAGCTTACGCGAACCTGAAGATGTCGTGTGAGCTTTCATATCACCTTGCAGAGACGCAGTGATGCTTTGTGAAAAATTTTCAAATTCGCCCTAGGTGTCCGCATGCTGCAATCAAGCAAGGAAGAGGAGTTGTTCGCCGCCGAAGGTCGGCGTCGCGAAGCCCTGGCGGAGCAGCGCGCGCGCTTCGAGGCGGACATCCGAAAGTTGGAGGAAAAACTGAAGACCGTCGAGAAGGAGCACGCGGAGGAGGTGCAGCGCCTCGAGCAAAGCCACGTTGGGGAGCGGGACGCACTGAAGGACCATTTGGAAAAAAAGGAGAGTCTCATTCTCGAGCGGAAGCAGGCACTGTTGGACGCCGAAAACCACCATGCGCAGGAGATTCGGCGGCTGCAGACGGAACACCTGCAAGCTTGTGATCGCCTTCGGAATGACCTAGGAAGAGACCAATCAAGCTCAGTAATTTTATACTCTTTGTTCCGCCGCACTGGCACACGTGCTTGAGAAACCTTATTTGTTCACTAGTGTACTGTATTCTGTTTCTGCATCTGCTCTGTGAGTCTGACAACCGTTAACGTATCTCTTTCCCACAGGAAACGCGACTCCGCGAAGAGCTTGAAGAACGGCATGCGAAGGCGCTGAAGATCGCGGAGGACGGATTTGCGGCCGACCGTAGCCGTTTGGAAAAGCGCATAAAAGCCTTGGAGGAAAACATTGAAGCAGTCACAGCTGATCTGCAGGCCGAGCGGCGGAACCGAGCTCGCGAGGTGGACGAATTGCGCAATGAGGGCGACAAAAGCGAAAAGGAATTGATTGCGACTTGGCAACAACGGGTTGACGATGCCAACCAGCGGCTGGAGAACGAGCAGGAGCGCATGCGGCAGGCGGAGAAAAACGTGGAACAGAAATGGAACGAACAATGCATGAACCTGCGCAACCAGTACGCGCAGGATCTAGCAACCAATATAGCCGCGGCTCGCACGGAATGGGTGGAAAAAGAACGCAGCTTCAAGACGGAGGCGCAAGAAATTGTGGCCAAGGCCGAGGCCGAGTACCGGCGCTTGAAAGACGAAAACGAGAGGACTAAAGGTGAACTCACGGCGCAGCTGACAGCCGCGCTGGCGGAGGTGGAAAAAGTAAAACAGGAGCAGCACAACGAGCGCGACAAGCTGGTACTGAAACACCAACGCGATGCGCAAGATAATCGCAGTAAAGCGGAAGAAGTGCTCAAAGATCTAAAGGAGAGGCACCAAAAGGAGCTGGAAAGCCAGAAGAAGCAGCTAGAAAGCGAGCTGGGGAACCGGCAGCGCGTCGAAGTCGAGAAAGCCCGGGATGCTGAAAACGAAAAAATGCAAGACCTCCGGAAACAGCACGAAATCGATGTTGCCGAGCTGGTGGAAACAATTCAGGGTCTGCGCACCCAGCTGACCGAGAAGGACCAGCGTCTCGTGCAAGCGGAGGTATTTCTGAACTTTTTTTCTGTTTTACTTTCTTTCAGTGCCTCGACTGCCCACACCAAAAGATTTAGATTGAAGTCGATCACTATGACTGATGGCATACATCTTTGCGCGAGTGAATTGAACCTGAAAGTAGAAACAAGAACTTACAAAACAGAAAGAGCATGCAGAGACGCGGAATTCGTTGGAGTTGCAGCAGAGCGAGGCGAGCAACAGTGCGTTTACCACGCTGCGAAGCAAGTGCGACTCTCTGAAAGAGGAGCTGAGTCAGAAGAAGGACGAAAACGCGCAACTCCAGCTGGATAACGAGGAGGCCAATCTGAAACTGAAGTGCGTCATGGAAACTAGTCAGAAGGAGAAGCAGCAGCTTCTAGCGGAAAGGGAGGACCTGGCGAGCAGACTCGCACACGCCGACGAGAAGGTTCTCCAGACCGAGGCACGGTGCCGACTGCAGCGGGAGCAGGCGCACGCGGCGAAGCACGGCATTCAAAGCATGCAGGTGTTGGACACGCTGCGCGGCCGGCAGCTCGCGGAGGCGCAAAGTGGCGCCACGGACTGGCAGGAAAAGTATCGAACCCTGCATGAGGCCTTTAAGGAGCTGTCCACTGCGTTCGAGCAAGACAAGGCCGCGCGGGAACGGCCTGCTCAGTTGGGCGACGTGGCTGCCATCAACCACGACCTGCTCGAGGAAAACATTCGGCTGAAAAAAGAAAAGAAAGATGTGGTATCGAGTGTTTTGGAAACGTGATGCGATTCACCTATTTTTCGTGGCTTCTAGTACCTTTTGATGCTTCGAAATTTTGCAACTTACACAAGACCTGGATTCCGAACCTCCGCAGCAGAAGTTTTCGAGTTTTTTGTTGCCCAAAAAATCTTCAGCTTGTGCGGCACGCCGCGCAGCTCCGGTCCCTTGGCGTGGCAGCGACAACAACTCCCGCGAGCGGAGCGAACACGCAGCTCCTTGAGGAACCGGACGACAAAACAAACCCAGCCGCCATGGATTGCGACGTTGCGGCGACCGGCTCTGCACCTGAAGGCACTTCTTCCGCTGCTCCGCGTGGTCGCAGTACTGCTGCGTCTAAAAATCTTCCCGGAAGTAGTGGATCTTCGTCCAGCGCCGGCGGAACTGGTTCCATCCTCAAAACAAACAAGGTCGTCGCGCTTTCCTCGAACACCGGCGGCGCGGACCTGCAAGAGCGAGAAATAAACAGCCACCAATACGAGTTCGAGCAGAAGGACGTGCCGAAGGTTTTGGAAGAGAAAAACTCACATAACGATATGCTCGGCTATCCGCCACGCGGCCTTCCGGTCAAGCGCGAACTCGGGGCTCACGAACGCACCGACAGTGCAGAAAAGAGGATGAAAATGACCACCGGTGCGCACAAAGAGGATGGCCAAGGACAGTGCGCGCAGCAATGACTCCTTATTCATTATCCTTTCTTCTTACCACCAAAAGTTATGCAAACTCTTACATAGACTTTACTTTTCGTTGAGAACCAAAAATGTCTTGTAATCAAAAAGCTCAAATTGATTATTCTTGTTTTTCCGAAATTGTAATTACGTGCTTCTAGAATTTAACTCAATCGTAGTCTCTCTTGTGATCATTCTAGTAAGTCTATGTTTCTGGAGTTGGTTGCTGCAGCGGACGGCCTGTCTGCCAGCAGCACTCTCCAAGCTGCAAATTTAGGTATCATTTTCTTGTTCCAAAATCAACTAAACTAAAACCTCAACGTTACTTTACTCATTAAACATTGTCAGCTTACGCCTGCCCGGTGTTAAGACCCAAAAATCAATCTAATCGCGTGTTGCAAGACTTTAATCACCATCGCATTGGTGGCCATTGGTACGTTTATTCGCGCAGACATTTTGAGTGCTCCGACCCTCCGGTACGCAGGAGGACATGCAGTATTTGCAATCGTAGATGTTGGCTTACGTAGTAGCAATCGAATCTTCTGGTTGACGTCTTCAGCGCCGTATTGTAAAGAAAAATAAGGACCAGTGAATCAATTAGCGCAGTAAAGACGAAAAAGCAACTGTTTGCATTGAAATGATTCTGTTCGCACAGAGATCCGCATGTTATTTTTCTTCGGATCACTCAAAGCGAAGGCGAACACGCTTTCGCTACTGCAGATGCAAGCTGGGGATCACGAAGTGAGTACAGTCTTGCTTGACCACAATATTAAGTTGCTGCGCGATCATTCTGTATAACACAGAGAATCTCAATCTTCCAACTCTAATGCCTTCCTTCCTTCTTAATTCTTCTCTGCTTTTCGTTCTGCATAGCAAGCTCCATTCCACAGGCAGTTTCTTACGTGCAAGGAAAACGCGATGTTTTAGATTTCTAAAAGCGATGTAGTATTTTTGTTTTTGTTTACTTCAAATGCAATTAAGATCGATCTGCACCCTGTCGGCAAACGGGGTGCAGGTTTAGGCCGGTGCTTAAGGCGATAGGTGAAGACGTACACCACCAGCAGACCGCAAGAGCCCAAACATGAAAAAACTCGCTCTCATTTTCGCTTATGCTTTTTCCTATGCAAATCTGTCACGCTATCTTGCCTCTCTGCACACAACTGACATCTCTTGCTTCTCGCTCTTGCCCTTTTTCACAATCACTTCCCGTTCCATTCCACAGGCCGAAGTTCATGAGCAAGGAGTTTTGATCTAAAAGCCGTATCAGATATAGATTAGCTATGTTTTTGTTGTTGTTTTAGTTTACTTCATATGCAGAATTGATGTATTTCTATCAAATCTCTATTCCAACTCTAAGTCGGATCCATTCAAATTTATGTTGTCGTGTAACCCTTTATTTGACTTCGGTGAGAAACATTACTAACGTTGACTTACGACTCCCATGATGCCGTCGTCTTCCTCGTCATCGTCCTCAGCCCTCATGAAGCGGCCACGCCCCCAATTCAATGACATATTTTCCGACCCATTCTTCAACGACGAGACTGCGGGCGCACCCAAGCGACACAAAACCATCGGGGAACAGCTTCGCCGCCCCGAGCGGTGGATTTTCCCGGGAAGAAGGGACCCGCGCGTGGAAACCGAAAAGGGCAGCCACGACTTCGAAGCAGCCCGGGATGGTTATCATGCGAGTGATGCCAAGGGAGAAGTGCTCGCGCGCTACGGTTTCAACCTCGCGCTACGATGCCACCCGCATCCCTGCGCCATCTCGGAGACCCGCACCACGCACGTGGCGATTCCGGAGGACTTCGAGCTGCGTGTCCCTCGGGAATTGATGGAGCGCGGGGTTTTGTCGTCCACACAGATCGAGACCATCACCCTAGCGGCGCTACGGACGGCGGACGTAAAGGCGCCCGCGAGCACTGCTGTCGTGCTGTCCAACGGGAGCGACGCGGGCAATAAAGTTATGGTTTGTGTGATGAGGAGGCAACACGGGCCTAGCGAAGCGGCCCGGGGTGCCGAGGAGGGAACACAAAGCGGATTTTTATATAAATAGTATGCTCTGCCTCCGTCTGTCGCCACGGTCCCGGGAAGACCTTAAACTCGAGGCCATTCAGTTCACATTTTCAAGCTTTCATCTAGGCCTGCTGCCGTTTCGACACTCTTCACTTCAATCTTTCAGCTCGTCCAGCCTGGCTGGCCAACAATGTACCGCCCGTTTTCATGGCTGGCCAATGTACTGGCTGGTATCGGTTTCTGCCCGTTTTTCAGGGTATCAGTTTCTGCCCGTTTCAGGGTATCAGCTCCTGCCCGTTTCAGGGTGTCAGTTTCTGCCCGTTTCAGGGTATCAGTTTGTTTCTGCCCGTTGCAGGGCATCATTTTGTTTCTGCCCGTTATCAGGGTATCAGTTTCTGCCCGTTTCCGGGTATCAGTTTCTGCCCGTTTCAGGGTGTCAGTTTCTGCCCGTTTCAGGGTATCAGTTTGTTTCTGCCCGTTGCAGGGCATCAGCTTGTTTCTGCCCGTTTCAGGGTGTGAGTTTCTACCCGTTTCGGGGTATCAGTTTCTGCCCGTTTCAGGGTGTCAGTTCCTGCCCGTTTCAGGGTATCAGTTTGCTTTTGCCCGTTGCAGGGCATCAGTATGTTTCTACCCGTTTCAGGGTATGAGTTTTCTACCCTTTTCAGGGCATTAGTTTGTTTTTGCCCGTTTCAGGGTATCAGTTTCATCTGCCCTTTTCAGGGTATAGACTTCTGCCTGCTTCAGGGTTATCACTCAGTTTCCGCTCGTCTCAGGGACCGACCTCTGCCCATTTCAGGGTATTGGCTTGTGCTCGCGTGAGGATATCTTTTTCGGCCCGTTTCTGGGGCCAGTTTTCTGCCCGAGTCAGGGTATCGTATCGGGCTTCTGTTCATCTTGTCGGGCTTGGGGAGCGCCTTCTGTTCATCTTGTCGGGCTTGCAGTAGCCGCACACAAATGCGCTACGTCTTTCAATGCCTTCCGAAGCCCCTTGCGATTGCTGACGCTGGCCTGCTGCTAGTCTGTAAATGTATCAATGGTCAAACTACCCCCCCTGCGGGCGTCTGAACTCGAGCCATTGGCAAGGCTCTACGGTACGAGTCTGCTTGCGTCTGCTCACCAGGCAGTATGAAAGACGCCTGGCGGATTCTCTTCACGTTCGATACTCGTCACGACGCCGGCCTCTGTGTGGGTCCTGTGTTTGCTGCTGCGGCACAAATACGGCGACCACCATTGGATGGTGTAGTGACAGCTCGTTCGCATTCCTCGTCTGCGCCGGCCTCAACATTTTCCACGCGGATCGTGTTGCGCAGCGAAGGTTTTTGCAGCATAGTGCAACACCTGCGCACTACATTTTGTTTCGTGTGGCCTGGGCTGTTCGATACTTTTGCCCTGAGGTTTTGAAGTTTCTTGCTTCGTGCCTGGTTCTATTGCCGTTGGTGGGCCTCGCTGCGGGCGCTTGCATCTAGTTGATGACCTTCGCGGAAATTGGGTATCTGCACCGTCTTGCCTGTTGATGTAGCGCCTGTGCGCCGTCTCTTGGAGGCCTGTTACCGACAGCATTCTTGTTGCTGTTCGTTCTATCACATTTCCTTTGGGTGTGTTTTTTTTTTTCAAGTTGTTAATGCTAGCATTCGCACACCCGTACCTGCGCTGACGCTGACCGAGGGCTTTATACACGTAGCCCGCGTCTGGTCCTGAAAAGCCCCTGTGGGTATTTCTGTCTCTCCCGTCGCCTGTGTGCAGATCATCAAATGGTCTTTCCTACCTTCATCTAGTGTCACACGGCTGCGGATGCGCTTGCCGCTTACCTGCTCCAGAGCCTGTTTCTCTTGTAAATTCTTTGGAAAGTTCCGTAGTGCGCGACGGGCCCTCAAATCTATTCCTCTTTTCTTTTTCTTTGTGCTTCTGTTGCTCCGTATTAAAGCGAAGTGATGCTTCTTTACTGCTATACATGTCGCAACCCGCGCTGTGGGCGCTCTTCGCTTTCATACTGCGCAACCTCGCACCAACGGGCCTCTCTTGCTCCGCCATCGGGGTTGTCAGCTTTTTCGGTCTGGCGACCCGCGTTCGCTAGCTCGGCCCGTTGTTGTCTCCGACAGATTATGTTATAAAGGCGCCCGCGAGCACTGCTGTCGTGCTGTCCAACGGGAGCGACGCGGGCAATAAACAAGTGGGTAAGCACAAGGGGCCGCTACAGATACAGCAAAAGTTACCTGCGACCGACACCCCGCGAGACAAAAACTACACCAAAGGCTTTTTAATTGGCGAGGGCACGGGCTGCGGTAAAGGCCGCATGATTGTCGGAGTGATGCTGCACTACTGGAATCACGGACACCGGAGGCACGTGTGGGTCAGCAAGAACCTGCCACTGTACCAGGACGCGCTTCGGGACATGAAAGACATGCAGGCCCCGGAGCAAATGCGATTGATCCCAGCGGCCGAGTTCCGACGCATCCAGCGTAATCATGACTGTGGCGATGGTGTGGTGTTTGTGAGTTACCAATGGCTCACGAAGAAGGACAACAAGGTACTCCTTTCTGAATGGTTCAACAGGAATCACAGGCACTCCGGCGGAGCTAGTGCGAAGGGGGCGCAGTCCAACCAGCCGTCTTCAAAAGCAGCTTCCGGGAGCTCCTTGCTCGACCCTTCGAAAGGCGCCCGGGAAACGATACTTCCCTCGCAAGACGAACAAGGAACTTTTTTTGGCCGCGGCGTCCTCGCCTTTGATGAGGGTCACGCAGCGAAAAACTTACGCCTTCAATACCTGGGAACAAGCGAGATAGACGAGTTGCGGAGTTCGAAGAATGGTACGGATTTCTGTCGCTGAAAAGCTCCTTTGACGAGGACACGAAAACCAAATTATTTTTTGTACGCGTATGATTCAACGACGACATGCATGATAATGCTTCATAATCATTTTCCCTAAGGTATTGCGGTGTACGAAATCCAGATGTCTCTGCTGCAGGGCGCGCGGGTGTTATACGTGTCTGCAACGGCAGCGACAGAGGTGCATGATCTGGCCTACATGCCGCGACTCGGGGCCTGGGACAACGCAGGCTTCAACACGTTGACCAACCTGCTCGACGGCCAGGGCCTGCCGGCGATGCAAGCGTTGAACTGGCAGCTTCGTGCGAGCGGCGCGGCGAGCTTCCGTCGGCTCAGCCTGGATGGAATTAACTTCGACCTCGTTGGCGCCGACGGGGCAGCGGGAACCACCTTGTCGAGAGAGTTGTATGGCAAGTGCGTGACCCTGATCGAAGACACCTGGAGCCTGTTTCTGCTGTTTTTCCAGGCGAATTCCGAGGCGTACGTGGCTAAGGCCATGCACCGCAACCCGATGCGGTTCCGGTTGCTGAAGGAGGGCTTTGCGGAGGTGCTGCTGACGGAGTACAAGGCGATGTGGGCCGGCTGCAAGCAACGGTTCTGGAAGCAGTTCGTCGTGTGCGACAAGCTGCCCACCGCGGTTGCCCTGGCAAAGAGGCTGCTTGCGGAAAAGAAGCAGGTGGTCATTTCCCTGTGGGCCACGGGGGAGGCCGCCGCTGAAACGGCGCGACAGCTGCTAGCGTCGTCTTCCTCGGGGGAGGGAGGCGCAACCGAAGACGAGGTAGATGACGACGCAGCTTCTTCGCGGCCCAGTCTACCCGCCGATGACGAGGAGGACGACGGGTTTCTGGAGGCTTTTCAAGACCCCACCCGACCCTTTTCTCTCTGCGAGGCCGCGATGTGCAACTTTCTGCGCAACCATTGCTTCGATTCCTTCGATTTGGAAACGGGAGAGTCCGGGTTGATAAACGAGCAAAACGTCCGGAGTCAGAAGGACCTGATGGAAAGGTGGCGGGCCTTACAGCTTCCGCAGAACGCACTGGACCAGATCGTCAACGAGTTCGGTCCCGACAATATAGCGGAAATCTCTGGTCGCCGGCGGCGCTTCATCAAGCAACTCGACGCGGATGGGGAGAGGATTGTGTACAGGCGCGAAGAGCGCGCCGCTCCTGACCAAGCAAACCTTAGCGGCATTAAGGAATTCCAGGATGGCACGAGGAAAATCGCAACTATCACGGATGCCGGCTCCACGGGTGTCTCTTTGCACGCAGCGGGCCGAGATGCCGCTCCGCGACACATGATCATTCTCGAATTTCCCTGGGCGGCCGATAAGTTTACGCAACAAATCGGACGCATTCACCGCTCTGGCCAGAATAGGCTGCCGTCGTACACGCTGGTGAAGTCGCAGTACGCTATCGTGGATGCGCGGTTCGTTTCGGCGCTCGCGCGGCGGGCAAAGTCGCTGGGAGCCATCACGAGGGGACAAACTGAATTCGGTCCGTCCAAGCTGGATGCGCTGCTGGAGGAGAACAACTTTGCACACGAATTTGGCGAACGCGCGGTAGAGAAGTTGGTTGAGGAGCTAAAAGGCACGTACCCGGATATGAAGCAGTCCTGCGACGTGAGATCCAAGCCGGGAAATAGGGCGAGAAGCAGGGTGACCCGATTTTTCAACATGTTGCCCTCCTACCCACTCACGGAACAGGAGGAAATTTATCAGCGCTTTCTGGCGATCCTGGCATCGCTCGAGTCCGCCCCGATGCTGAACCACGACGGCACAAAAACGCTCACGTCGCCGAAGAAATGCAAAAACCAAGTTGCGGATCTATCACCCCCGCGGCCACTGGCTGCGGCCCAGAGCAGCAGCAGTGGCGAGAGTGACCTAGAAAAGGTCCGCGCAGATCTTGCGAAAAAGAGCAAGGGCGTCCTGAAAATTAAACGACGGGAAAGAGTGGCAGAGGAACTTGCTCCATTAAGCTATGTCGCTTCAGTAGTTTGCGATGAACCCCTGCTGGAACAAGCGCCGGACTTCAAACTTGGGGGAGAACACGCCCAACAACCCGCAGAGAAGAACCCGTCCCCTGTCACACCTCCAAATAAGCCTGATGCTGCGGCCGCGCCGTCACAACTTCGCGCACCGGATCTCAGTGCGTTGATCCAGGGTGCCACGACCATTTTTACAAAAAGTGACGCGCCACACGCCTACTGGTCTGAAAGCAAGAATAACGAGACCGGGGCGACGGTGTACGAGGCAAAGTTGCTCTGCGGCTGTTTTCTTCCATTTTTCGTCGACATCTACCGCGCCCTCTGCGAAATCCCGAATTTTGAAGTGCGGTATTGCCGCTTTCGCGACACGGTCACCACCGGCGCCACGCACTGCTACGAGTACGGACTTCTGCTGCCCACCTCGTGGACCCTGGATACGGTACGAGGCGTGATGGAAACCGCAAAGAGCCGGAAGACGGGCGTGGTCGAGGAGAAGTTGGCGGGCACGCGGGCGCACCGCGCCCGGATGGACGGCGACCAGAAGCAACTGCTCTCCGCAGAGCTGGACGGCATCAAGCAGGCCGGGGGTCTATTCATTGAAGAGGACTTAGTTGAGATTCTGGAGGCGGACGGAAAAACAGTGGACTCTGCGTACGTGGGGATAACCTGCAAGGTCGTGCAGGGATCTACGCCCGGGAACTGGAGCAGTCCGATCAAGGTGCGGATTGGGAACCTGAGCGCCGATGGCTCGGTGCCGATGGCGGTGGACAAATCGCCAAAGATGCTGCGACTCTGCAGGAACGGCTTTGGCGAGAGGCTCGGGACAAGAGCAGCTGCCGCCGGTGGGAATGGCCTTACTGCCAAACAGCCGGATTTTGTGGCGAAGGCGCCGCGCGGAGTGAGTGCGGTGCTGTTCACTCCGCTGAACGTGCGCTTCTTCCGTGTGGTGCAAACGCTTTGCTACAGGGAGCAAGACCTGAAAAACAACCCACCCGTGATAACGAACCAAATCTGGAAGCAGCTGATGGAGTCTGATCAGTACTTTGAAGGCCGCACCGCGGACCAGATGCGACAGACGTGGCGGACAATCTCCAAGATAGAGGCAAAAACGAATAATTGGGAAAAATTTTGTCTGCAGAAATCCAGACCTGGACTGAAGGCCAGTATCAAAACGTGAGCGGCGAGAGCAATTACTTCTACGAAGATTTTTCGCTAGAAGACGCGACATTGAAGTACAGATCCATCGTACTTAAACAAGACTGCTAGAGAAAACATGAAATTCAAGTCTCTCGTGATGCATCAAAGTTCTTCATCGCTGTCACCAAGATAAGTGGCTGCACTACCGTTTTCCCCGCGACAAACAGCATGACGCAAATCAATTTCATATCATCGTGCCACGAACTGACACTACCACAAATTTTTCACTGCGTTTAAGCTGCGTTCCTCGGATCGCCGTGTGAGTATACCAACGATACTCCGCTTGGTTAATCAAGCGGACAAGTCTTCGTCACAACCCATTTTACGCGGAGTGCTGACAGAAAGAATTCTCTGTCGCTTTTTGCGGCGCTGTGGTGGTGTCGTCACGAGAGAAATCTGGTGTAGCCAGTATGACGAGATACGAGTCGTGAGGACGTGTGTAACACAACCTTTTCTACTGTCCCTTGCAGAGATATGAAGAGCTCATTAGCCGTCATTAATCATTCCAAAACTAGTACACACAAGATGTTCTTCTCGCCCGCTTCCTCCGCTCGCGCCGGGGTTCGGCAGTGGACAGCGTCGCGGCCGGCTGCCCGGAGTTTCCGCAACTTCCAAACCGGAGGAAGTTCATCTTCCACTGCAAGTGTGATACAGTGTCGTCCCTGTGCAGCGCATCCCGCACGCGTAGATACTGCAACGGGAGATAGAAGAAGCGTTCCATGCTCCGTACCACATGCGAAATTTTTCTCTTCCACGAGCACAACTGGACCGGGCGAGCAGAACAAGGGGCGCGGCTCGCTGAGCCTTCCCGAGGATTTCGTCCGCAAGGACTCCAAGGTGCGAACCCGGGCGCACATCGACCGGAAGGAGTTCATCCGGAAACACAGCAGCCAGCTGGATTCTGAGTATTCGTTTTCCAGCGAACTCGGTGCGGGAGGCTTTGCGAATGTGTTTCTGGTGACACACAAACTCACCGGCCAACTTCGTGCGGCCAAGCGAATTCACAAGAGCAAACTGAAAGGAAACTGGGAAATGCTGGAGAACGAGGTATTCATGAAATAATCTTTGAAACAGTTCCACTGGGTGCCGAAGCTGCAAGCGTAGCCAAATGTTATCCTTTTGTCTCGCCCCCAACTCTTGCAGGTAAAAGCGATGCAAGACCTGGATCACCCGCACATTTGCAAACTCTACGAGCATTTCGAGGAGGAGGAGTATGTTTACCTGATTCTCGAGTACCTGCAGGGCGTTGACCTCTTCGAGCACATGCTGAACGTTTTCTCCGACGAAACCCACGAGCCCCAGGGCCGCTTCAACGAATACGAGGCCGCGGTGCTGATGCGGCACATGCTCAAGGCGGTTTTCTGTTGTCACAGTTCGAACATTGTGCACCGTGACATCAAGCCCGAAAATTTCATGTTCGCGAACAAGGTTTTCTTTTGATTTTTCGCGTGATTTTGCTTCACACACAAGCAATGCATGCGTTCCTCTACCAAGTTTGTATGGCAGACACATGAGAAACAAAAAAAATCGCTGCAACCAAGGTTGATGCCACTCCAGACCTGCGGATGATCGATTTGGGCTTGTCGAAACGGGACCAGCAAGCTGGCGATGGCAACATCACTGGGGTTGAGGGAACCCTGGCCTATATGGCGCCGGAAATGCTGCGCGGAGAGCCGTACAACCGGAAGTGCGATGTGTGGCCGCTGGGTGCGATTTGCTACATCATGCTGTGCGGGGAGCCGCTGTTTACTTTAACTGACGATAACGCAGCAGTGCAGGAAATTCAGAATGGCAATTTCGTAAAGCGGAAGCTGCAGGAAAAGCGCCGGATTTTGAGTCCTGACGCCATGTCCTTTCTCAAGGCAACTCTTGCATTCGATCCGTCGAGACGTTTGTCCGCGAAACACGCCCTTTGCCACCCGTTCGTGATGAAAACTTACATGGAGGATGGTCTGGTTTCCGAACGCGATCCGGAAAAACTGAAGAAAAGTATTTTGTTAGTTGTCACACCTATTTCCTACTGATTTTTCCATAGATCTGTCCTCTCGCTCGGCCAAAACACAGTGAAAATTTTCAATTTTTTTTCCCTAACTTCGCCGCAACATGAACGTTTTCTCGGACGAAATAATCAGTTCTCTCGATGGGCGAGGTGCTGGAGCGCATGCGACGGTTTTCGGAGCTTAGCACGCTGAAGCGGTCGAGTTTGATTGTTCTGGCGCACATGATCGGCACCAGCGCCGACGAAATGGAGGCCTACCGGCTGACGTTCCGCCAGCTGGACACGGACGGAAGCGGGTCGCTCTCCCTCGAGGAGTTCAAGGAGGGCATCCAGCGGGAGTCGCTGCGCTTGGACCAGAAGCCGATCGAGTTTCCGGCGAACTTCAACGATGAGATCTGGCCGGCGGTGGACCTCAACGAGAGCGACGATATCAATTTTACCGAATTTTTAGCCGCCTGCCTCAGCTCCGACCAGTACAACGAAAGCCACTGGCGGGCGGTCTTCCAGGTGCTGGACGTTAACAAGAACGGGCACTTGAGCGCGGAAGATTTTCGAGAACTGTTTCACGACAACGAAGAGAAGGAAGTCCTGGACATCTGGCACGAAATTTGCGACAAAGACGATGGCACGCTCTCCGCCGAGCAGTACATTCATTTTATGCAAAACGAGGTACCGGCGTAACGACATTCGAAGTTCAGTTTTGAAGCGTTCAGCACAGAAACTGTCCTTCCGGACTTGTAGCTGAAATAAAAAAGATTAGCAACACAGAGGGAGAGGATGCTCTCAGTGTATCGACCTTTTATTTCACAAATGGTGCGCGGCCAAGTTTATTGGCGTAAGTACATTTTCTGTCATTTTCCAGCGTTCTTCTTTACGGCACTCCAACAAACAGAATGACTTTTGCAATTATGTCTCCCCGACGAGATTAACACCCAGAAATCGCAGCAAAAAAACTATTGCGCACTCCCGTAGAACGTTTCGCCACAAAAAGAGAACAGGTACACGTGATCAGCTCAATTTTGAAGCAAAGTACACAAGTTAGTTTAGTTTCCGTTTCAGACAAGAATTGAAGAATTTTTTTGGTGACAAGGAAGAAAGCAGTATGGAAAAATGCAGTGAGGCTGAGGAGCCGAAGTATGTACTGAATGTCTCTTTCCTACTAATTCCGGATGTAGAGTAAAACAACGCACACTGGAAACACATCGATCCGCTGCTGTTGAAGATGTAAGTAGAACTACGCACCAAAATAAGTCACCCGGCTGCTGTCGGTCTCGAAAGAAAAAACAGACACACTACTTTTCGGTTTCGTCCCATCAAGTGCGCAGATTCGGACATGAACAGAAGCAAGACTCGGTTGTCTTTTTTTCGTACGAAGCAACCAGGTCGGTCGTAGTCGTTCCGCTGTGAAAATTTTTTGCTCATCGTCCTCCGTGCAAAGAGAAACTGAGTCGTGCGTCACCTGCGTTTGTTATCCACTTGTAGTGCCGCACATACATTGTAGAAAGACCACTGTAGACGATCATCAACAGCCTCGGAAATACATCTATTCATGGATTCGAGCGAACAAATGAAACAACTTTTTCCCTCTTTCTGCCCCTCAGGTCCCCGCGAAATTGCACTATTGTGCGAGTCTTGCGGGACGACGCCAAACCTAATTGAGTAGTTGTTTCATCACTAGTAGAAGCGGAACACGCAAGTGTGTGTTTTGGTGCTGAGTACTTGTACAATCATCCACGACCCACACGACCGAAACTTTTTACACTAGTATATCACTCATTGTGATTTCTTGTACGATCACCCCCGACATCAACCCTTCGCGAAGTGAAAATTACCGACATAAGGACACACCTCCGTGGATTGAGTCGATCTGCATCAAGATTAGGCGGAATTATAAATCGGAGTAGTTCTTACTTTTTTTAATAGAGTCGATGGTGTTGTCGACGCTGCGCGCGTCGCGGAGTGCCGCGCGCCGCGTGGCGGCGCAGAACGCGCAGCCCAGCAGTTCCGCGTCCTCGAGAGCTCCTTTTCGCTCGCAAGTCAGATGTTTCTCGGAAAGCAAGGACCACCTCCCGGTGGCCGACCGGCTCGCCTTCTTCGACCGGACGAGAAGTGGGCACTTTATCCCGCTCAAGCCGGACCCGAACCTGCACGCGGAACTGGAAACCTTCGACCATCCCACGATTCCGAAGAAGAAGTTCGTGAAGGGAATTCGGCCGCCGGCGGGGCTGTACGAGGCGATGTACGGAGTTCTGAAAGACGAGCTGAAGGCCATGGAGGACATTAGTAAGTACGACCAAGGCATCAGCGAAATGTTGACCGAAACCGAACAGAAGGGCTACCTCGATTCCCTCCTTGCGAACTTACTTTTCCCAAAAGTCGTCGCACCGCGCGCACAAATGGCCACAAAAAAGACGATGTTGTTCCCCGCTTCCATCTACTCGCATATGCCAATCGGGATGGGAAACTACTGCATGCAGAAGATGGGCGGAAGTTTTGAGGAGAGTTATCGCTACGTCACCTACTATCGTTCCGGGCTCATGATGGAAGAGTACTTATTTCGTTTTGCTGAATTTTCACCGTCGAGTCAAATGAAACAAATGGGCAACATAGCTCTGCAACACAAAGAACAAAGCTATTTGCACGAGGTGGCGCTTCTGTACTCGTACACGAATTTTTCAATCTTCCATCGTAGATCTGTCACAACATCATAACTGCTTATGCTTACACATCTATCAAACAGGTTGTACCGCATTGGGTACACGCAGGACGAAGCCATCAAGATGATCTATGGCGTTCTCAAACGTTACATTCTCAACTGTTACATGGATTTGTGATGCAAGAATGGCAAAAGTCAAAGGGGTGACCTTGCGCGTCTAGCATGACAAATTTGGCACAGATTCTCAGCCTGTTTGGCTGTTCGAGAATTTGTCATGCGAAGCAGCTTGATCGTATCAATTCTAATTGTGATTTTGCATGACAAATCATGTAACAGTTGAGAATGTAACGTTTGAGAACGCCATATGATCGCGAAAGAGCACTTCATGCAGTACTGGTCCGGCGACCCCTTCGGCCCGAAGCGCGACCCGCACATCTATAACCCCTTCAAGCGGACCTTTTACCCGCCGCTGTCGCCGATCTCCGAGGGGTCCACGGATCTGGGTCGTGACCACGAGCTGGAGACCGCCCGCCTGTTCGCCGCCGGCTTCGAGGGGATGACACCGCCAGTGACCATTCTCTCGTCCGGTGACACGGGTATGTTCACCGACGGTGCCCTGAATTCCATCCAGCACCTGGTCGAGGCCTCGGAGCGCGGCTTCAAAATGCCACTGGTGTACCAGGTCTGCATGAACAATTCCGCCATCAGTACGCGGTACGACAAGGGCAGGGATTACGGTGTGGATGACTTGGATGTGTGCTTGATGAAATTGGAGAACCGCTTCGCGCAGTATGAGGGCCTGATCGACCCCGGGTTCGTCTCCCGTGCGGGCGATGTCAAGGACGGCATGGACTGCATGCGGAAAGCAGTCGACCAGGTACAAAGGGGTAGATTGTTGCTTGATGTTGCGTCAGTAGACGATACGAAAACTACTAGGCAAATCTTGTTCCGTTCGCAACAACGGAACGCACATGAGAAATGAAATTTTTCACCTCACATACGACTTCACCTTGCATACGAAATGACCAGGTGCTGGAAACCGGTCGGCCGACGTACGTGATCAGTTCCTTCCCGTTCCGTCCGGGTGGCCACGCGGCGGATGCCAACCCGTCCCCCGAGCCGATCATTCTGGATCAGTTCAAGAAGACGCGCGACATCTTCCTGAGCCAGCTGTGCGCCGCTGCGCCCAAGGGCACCACCGGCCCGCAGCTCGCGAGCATGATGGAGGAATTCCATGACAAGGTCTACGAGGAGGTGGAACTCGCGATTCGCGGCAAGAACATCCTGACCCGCGAGCAGGCCCGCGAAATTTCGCAGCCGGGGATCACCACGACCTTGGCCAACGAACCGGGTCAGATCGTAAACATCGACATTGACTACATGCTGGCCAAGAACCAAACCGAGTTCGCGGGGATGGGGTCGGATATCTACGGCCGAGCCATCAACAACCAGTTCGACAAGTGCGAAGCCGAAGGCCGGACAGTCAGGTATTGTAGTAAAGCGCCAAAGCAATAGCAAACTGCTGGTTTTGTAGCATGAGTGCATGGCTTAGGCAACACTCCACCCTTCGCCCGTGCTAGAGGTAAGCGGGTCGCTTAGGAAGACAATGTAAAGGTTGTTGCGCGCCGGCAGCATTTGCTTTTCCGGACTCGCATTATAATCTCCTAGTGTTGATATCGTACAATTATTTCCGCCTTTATTTCAGATACGTCCATCAAGAGAACCACTATGCGGGCGAGCACGATTCTCGCGGTGGCGTCTACGGCGAACTGAACGCTGTGCAGGGGAAGCACACCAAGAAGTTCGTGTCCATCTTTCCGCAGGAGGCCCAAGTGATGCAGGTCGGTATGGCCATGCGCTCCGTGCTGCCGGATAACAATCTGGTTTTCGTCAAGGGACCGCACACCATCTTCAACGAGCATGCCCGGGACATCATGAAGTACGCCGCTTTCCTGGTTTGCGATAGGGGGTTGAAGGGGAACTGCATTTACTTCTTCGATGGCGGAAGTATTGCAGATAAGGACAACTTCAAGTACAAGGACGCCGAAACTGGGGAGGAGGTATTCTGAAGTGCTTTTTTTCTCTCTTCGTTTCCACTCTGAAAGTGTCTAGTGTAGTGAAGTTCATCGAACAAAATTGATTTGAAACCACCACAAATCTCATGATCTGATCAGATCCAACGCGACTTGTGGCTCGCGGGCGTCGGTGAGCACCACAACACCCCGGAGTACTCTTCCTACGCGGCCGACGCAAACACGGTGATGGCCGTTCCCTGCGACATGAACGTGTTGTCTGCGTGCATGACCGAGATGGTCCGCCTCTACGACATGGGCCGTTTCATCACTGCGGTTGCGCCCACCAAGGCCTTCCAGGTCCTCCACCCCAAATTCGCGTGCTTGCCGGAGGGCCAGGGCTTCACGATTAACGACATCCTGAAGGTCGACTTCAAGGACAAGGGCAAGGTCGCCCCGAAGACCGGCCGTCCCCTCATCGTGCTGTCTTACGGGCCGGACGCGAAGCTCGTCGCAAAAACCATCGCGGACCACGGCGTATTAATTTTTGCCTTAAGAGCGACTAATTCCAATTTCTGTCTTCAAACTTTGTATCATCGATGAACTGCACGCAGATTTTGGTCTCATAATTGTGCTTTCGGGCGAATAATCACAGGTGCAATGCGAAATGTTCGTCTTCAACTTCAACCGCGTTCCGAACTCTTTGGTGAGCTACCTGCAATCTCGGTTGAGCGAAGACCTGGATATCCTGCTGGTTGACCAGAATTGCGACGCGGCCCTCTTTGGTCCCGTCGTCACGGATCTGAAGCAGAAGCTCGGCAACCCGCGCAACTTCTTCTTCGCGGAGTGCACCATCCCGAAAACGTTTATCCCGTACGGCTTCGGTGAGCCGCTCCTGCAAGACAAGGACATCACTGCCAGCCTCGCGGAAATCGGCGTCATCGACGGTGCTGCCGCGCCGAAGGTATGTTTTTGCTTTACTTCTTCTTTTCAGAAACAGTGGCCGCTTCTACGAAAAAGAAAATCTAGAGGCGCAGCTCCCACTTACCCCTTCAAAAAGTTATGTGTCTGATGTATCTCTGTGTTTCATTCGATTTACAACAGGCATCCGCACCGAAAGCCGCTGCGGCACCCGCAGCCGCCCCTGCTGCCGCACCCGCGGCGAGCGCCCCGTCCGGCGGTGGTGCCGCTGTCAAGGTCAATGCGCCGATGGACGGAGAGGGCGTGTACCTGACCTTCCACAAGAAGGTGGGCGATTCGGTATCCAAGGGCGACATCGTCGTCGAAGTTGAGTCCGACAAGGCCACCATCGAGGTCGCTGCCACCACTGACGGTAAAGAAAAGTTAGTTTTTTTCTATCGTCCTCGACCTGCTGCGAGGCACATTTCACTTCAATTTTGCCTGCTTGCGCCGAAGAAAATCACGCCATTTTCTTCATCAATACTTCAGGTGTGATCGCGGAGTTCTTCGCTGAGGAGCAAGAAGAGATGGACGTGGGCCCAGACACTGCGCTCTTTAGCATCGAGCCTGCTGGTGGAGCGGGTGGTGCTGCCCCCGCGGCGGCCCCGGCCGCACCCGCAGCGGCTGCCCCGGCCAGCGGTGGCGGCGAGGTGGTCAACGTGAACGCACCGATGGATGGCGAAGGTATTTTTTTGATGCTGGCCAGAATTGTTTAGCCTGCTTTTGATTGAACAAGACAACAGATCTACATCACCTTGCGGAGTACTAAATTCAGTTATCCCCTGCTCAAACCTTGACACCATTATCGCAAAACAAACCTCTCTAAAATCGCATCAGGTGTTTACCTGACCTTCCACAAGAAGGTCGGTGATTCCGTTTCCAAGGGCGACATCGTCGTCGAAGTTGAGTCCGACAAGGCGACGATCGAAGTGGCCGCGCCCGCGGACGGTGTGATCAAGGAATTTTTCGCTGAAGAGCAAGAGGAGATGGACGTGGGTCCCGATACTAAGCTGTTCTCCATGGAGAAGGGCGGCGGTGGCGGTGCTGCTCCGGCGGCGGCCGCTGCGCCCGCTGCTGCTGCTCCGGCGGCCGCCGCTGCGCCCGCAGCTGCGGGTGCTGACGGCGTGAAGGAGGTCGCCCTGTCGCGGGTGGAGCAGGCGATGGTGAAGGCTATGACGATCACGCTGGAGGATACCCGCACGTTCAGTCAGTTCGACTCGCTGGACTTCAACAAGGTCCGGGCCATCGGGAAGGAGGCCGGCGTCACCCCACCGATTGTGATGGTCAAGTACCTGGGCGAAGCCGCCAAGAAGCACAACCTGAACAAAAAGCTGTCCAAGGACCGAAAGTCCATGCTGTTCCGGGACCAGGTCGACATCGGTATCGCGGTGGATGTCGGCTCCGGGCTGCGCACGTGCGTGATCCGGGACGTGACCAACAAGACTCTGCAGCAAATCAACGCGGACGTGCAAGGCTTCGTCGCTGCGGGCGGAAAGTTGTCCCCGCAGGACACCGATTTGACTACAGTTTCCTACACCGTCACCTCCATTGGGAAGAACGCGGCGAAATTTGCAGTTTCCGTTTTGCCGCCCAAGACCGCCGGTATTCTGTCTATCGGCCGCATGGCGAAAGATGGTGAGGCCTACCTCTCCTTGGCTATGTGCCACGCGACCTTGACCGGAGTTGAGGGTATGACCTTGCTGGGTGAGGTCAGAGACAGCCTGTCCTAAGCACTTCAGTGGTCGAGTAGTTTTTTGATAGTTCTGTGGTCGAGTGGCAACCTTGTAATTCACTTGCTAGAAAATTTTCCAGACTTGGTGTCCACGAGTCACAGGCCACGATCTCGCTGTACTCTGTCAGACTACTACTGCGCCATTTCGTGACGTCGTCGCCCTAGTTATTTTCTCTCACTTTTCTGAGAGGAACGAATTAGGCAAGCGAACACAATTTTTGTTCTCTCTTGCAAAAGAGATGATGAAACTATTGCGCCAGACGTTTCTTCGTGACAGAATAGGCAATTTTTACTCGTTTCCGCATCACCTCATCTTTTTTCGGTTTCGCGTTTCTCAGATTCTATGGAAAACAAGCAGACAAGCACTTCTATTTCACTTTAGTCTTGGAATATAATCCTTGCAAAATCCTATACACGCATTTGACAGCCATTGGAAACTCAGAAACATTACATCCGTAAGATTCTTGTCGTCGATGATATGTTAAACAAAACTATGTGGCGTTGCCTCCGTCCGTCTCCGACTAGTACAGCGGACACGGCTAATGATACGTACCAAATGCAAAATATGTAGCTCCGTTCAACACCGGTGGTCTTGTACATCTGATGCACAGGACACACTGGGGAAATTAAAAAGTAAACTTTTTAACAACAACGAACTACTGGATCAATAGACGTAGTCAGGCGCGTATTGTACAAAAAAAATTGTAAATTTTCCACACAGACGAGCAACTACAATCGACATGGCTTACCATTAGCATACTCACCATAAGCGCATAGTACTCGCCAGATACATGGGTGCAAGCTAGTCACCACGACATCTGTGATCGCGCTGTTTGAACACATCAACAACACAAAGCAGCAAGGGACAACAACTGACCTCCATCAGTTCTAAGCTGCTCTTATGCGTGGCACTTGCTTCGAATAGATAAAAAAAGAAACACGACAAAAACATGAATCCGTCATCGATCTACTTTTTTTCTGGATTGCTAGGCTGTTTTAGAGTGACAAAAGAGCTCCAATCCGCGCGGCGTGTTCCCCTTGTCGCTTTCACCGAGGTCGAGATCACCCAAAAAATTGCGAAAGCTTACCCGGGTGCATAGGCCAAATCAAATATTACCCCTCCTACTATCTTCAGCCACTAGATGGTGACACCAAGGACGTAACAAGAACAACCGCCAATTGTGATATTATAGAAAAAGACTTCTGGTCTTGTTGGTTAGTGGCTTCGGTTGATTTGTTTCTTGGAAGTCGTTTCACAAAGAGGTTCAGCACCTGGAAGTCCATGTACTTACAGATCCTAAGTCTGAAATCAGTTTCGCGTTCATTTTGCACTAGTGCAAAGGATGGCAGCTGTGGCTGAAGCGGCACCCTCACCCGCACCGGACAAGCGCTTCGAGGTGAAGTCATGGAATGCTGTGGCTTTGTGGGCGTGGGACATTCTGGTCGACAACTGTGCAATTTGCCGAAATAACCTGATGGAGCCCTCGATTGAGTACCAGGCGAATCCAGCGCTAGCCGGGCCGGACCATGCTGGTCTGCAGATCGCGTTCGGGTGCTGCGGGCACGTTTTTCATTTGGATTGCATTCAGCGATGGCTCAAGACGCGAAATGTCTATCACATGGGAGATCATCGTGGGCGAAATCAAAATTTTCATGAAATGAACTAGTTCGCACCAGGTCATGACGTTTTTGCAAAATGAAGAGAGATCGAAGGATCTTTCTTGTTTCTATGCATTATTCAGCACACTGCACCCTCCAACTCTGATTTGGCTCACGATTTTCTTCCGATAGTGCCTGTCCGTTGTGCAACCGAGACTGGGAGTTTTCCAAGATAGAGTCGATCGGTCGGGGCAACTTCGACCGCCTGGGTTTCCACGCGCAGTCATAAGCGTTTCATCTCGCGCCCCTTTGCTGCAGAAGTTGAAGAAGAACCTTGTCACCGGCTATTTTTTTTAGCAAGCGGTCCCATTTTTTTGTTGTAAAAACACTACACACGCCTTCAATTGAGCTGGTTGCGAAGGTGAACTAATTTTACTGGTCTTGTATCAGAGTGGTTGGCGTTTCTCTTTCCTCGTAGACAAGAAATTGAATTCATTTGAGTGGCGTCCTGTTTCGACGATACGCAAGAACGACAGCTGTGGTACTAAATGATGACGAAATGTATGAAAAACAAGTTTGTTTTGATTGGACTGGCACTAGTGGTTGTATACAACCCGTGCATACCGCAACGCATGCTCATAGGTGGGAGTCAGTTGAAAAAAAACAAGAGCCGCGTCGAGCTCTCAGCGACGCAGGGCGGCATACGACTATTTTCGTGTTTTTCATCGTATTTCCCTTTAAAAGCGTATCCACCGTGTACCGGTAAGAGCGTGAGAGAAAGAAGAGCGACCACCGGGTACTAGGTGCAACATCGGGAGGCGACTTTTTTCCACATCACCCGAAAAGTTTTCGTTCTAGCTGCCTGACGACTCACTGACCATGCGTCCAGGAGACCCGGCCATGGACCTCACGTCGCATTGAAACCTCCTCGGCCATCGTCAGCCATGGCGATGGAGCTTGAGCACGCGATCGGGTGCAATGTGGGTTTCACGGAAATCGCGCATTGCCACCCGAACGGCTCCCACTACGTCTACGCGATCGGCGCCCAGGTCGTTGCCAGCAGCATCGAAGATCACCACGACCAAAAGTTCTTCCACGGCCACGATGATTTCGTGACGTGTGTAGCGGTAAGCCACGATGGGCGCATGATTGCGAGCGGGCAACAGGGGAAAAGCGCCGATGTGCTCCTATGGGATTTCCGCACCCCAGGGGACCAGCCACTGTTCCGCTTCCAGGAGCACGACTATGGAATTACGTACTTCGAGTTTTCATGACATTTTTGTTGAGCATTTGCATTCCTCAGTGACGAGTAGGAATAAAAGCGCAAGACATCTTACCCAAACTCCATCACAGGCGAGTTGCATTTTCCCACGACGACACGCTCCTCCTGTCTATGGGGTTTCGTGATGACGGGCGCCTTTTCGCATGGGACACACATACCGGGCTGATTGTCGCATGGGTGTCGCTGGAAACCAACCCCCTCGTTTGTACAGTTTGCTTTAAGCTTTCCTGTCGATCAAATTTTTTTTGATAGTCTTGTATAGGCATAGGAGATTGCGTCAATTGAAAACCGATCCTCACACACTGATTTTCGCACCGCTTTTTCTGAGCGGGCGCAATTATTCTGAAACAGCTTGCCTGCTGCAGGGGCAGTTCGTACGAGACATCAAGCGCAGGGACACGCCGTTGTACCAGTTTGCGTCATGCGGAGCGCAAATTGTCACTGTCTGGAACGTCGACACCGGCAACGGGGCCTTCCACCAAAATAACGTGCATGCAGCAGGTGCGATACTTCAACTTCTTCGTACTTGGAGGAGGCGGCAGAAACGAAATGAAGTCGCTTTCATATGGAAGGATCGATGTCATGCTGCGAAAGATTCTCCACAACTTGAAACGCCAGTAAGTTTGCATTGATTTTCAAAATTTTTCAGATAAGACGCGGCGCGAATACACGGCCCTGACGTTCTCGTCAGACTTCGAGTACTTGTACGCGGGCACGACGACGGGCGACATTGCGTGCATTTTGATGAAAAGCAGGGTGATCCAGAAGTACATTACGGCCGTTTCAAACGTGTCCGCAATCCGCTCCCTGGCCACGATCACCACACCCGATAGCGCGAGCGAGACTCTTTTGGTCGGCGGAACCAGTGGTGCGCTCACGCTCTTCACCGGTGCAACGTGGAGCGACCTAATCGATACGGATCAGATAAGACTGGACTCAGCTGTTTCATCCGTCCGTGCCTGTGCAAGCACATCATCTAGTAGCGCGGCCGCAGACGACGCTGTGAGCAGAGCGGACGAGGCCCTCGTGACCACCGTGACTGGGAGCATCTTCCGTGTTATCCTGAGTAAAAACGTACCCACACCAGAGTCAGGATGGGGAATCTGCTAGACAAATCAGCCAGCTTTGGTTGTTTGGCATGACAAGTTTGTCCGCGTAGTGTAGTGCTGTTTGAGCTAGTTTGGCAGCATTACAGATTGGAGCATGACAAATTTCAAAACCGCACTAGAAAATGCTTCTCATGGGGCTCCGCATGAGAAACATTTTAAGCATGCAGAGACAGATGCATGACAACTACGGTGTGGGTACGTTTTTACTCAGGATACGTGTGAAGACGAAGTCGCTAGCCTTCTCTACCTACGCGCATAACCCCGCCGGGGCGCTGACCCACGTCACTTTTCCGTTCTCGAGTTGCGATAGGATACTAACGTGTTGCGCGGACGGCAACGTCATTTTATGGGACCTGAACGACTACACGGCACAAGTGAGATGCACGGAGAGGTAAGCTAGCTGCTCCTTCGCACTAGGTGTGAAAAAGATCTTCTTTTGCCGACACAACTCGAAAGCTAAGTCAAAGCTGTGCTTGGTGTCCGTTGAGCCACTGTGTTATCAGAGAATGTGTTGCATGTTAGGCTTGAGTTTATTTTTTCCAGGAAATATAGATGACAAAAATGCGAAAACAGGGCCTCTCCGGTGCCGACGTGTGGTGTTGGGTCTGCGGACATCATTGTTGCTGGCTACGAAGACGGCAAAATAAAAGGATTCGATGCTGTGCAGGGAGCGGGGCTCTGGAAGGTGCCAGTTTGTTGCTGATAAGCGTTTCTAGTCGAAGTTTGCAAAAGCGAACCTGTTCTACATATTCCTAGATTATTGCAACCATATCTTTATCTTTTCAGTCCTTAGAGTTGCTTTTCGTAAACAGATCGACAACACGCACAAGAAGGGTGTTTCCACCTTAGCTCTCGCACGGAACATGCGGTTCGTGGTCTCTGGAGGAGTGGAAGGCGATCTGCGGGTGTGGCTATCGCACAGAAGATTACCAGGCTGGATGCCCACGTTGTTTGCGAAATGCTGAGAGTGAAAGCAAATTCAACACAAAAAAATTCTCTATCGCGCGATCTCATAATTTATTGCATAGCATGGTACGTATGGATTTCTTCTCGTATCTATTGGCTTATACCTGAGAAATGAAATCACGCATGTGTAATCTTCAGTATGATAGTAGGAAACCAAAACCAAGGAGATGATCACGCACATGAAGGAGCACGTTGGGCGCATCAATCAAACGGAGCTTTTTACCAACGACCAATACGCCATATCATGCAGGTGCCATCGTCTGTTTGCTTTCTTGACTTCGTAATGAATCCTTAATTTTCCTTTGCACAACCCGTGTTTTTCTTGCGCCGGCGAGGCAACGGTAATCAACGCCGACACCTGAAAAAAGAAAATCCACTCAACAGCCGTGATCGTTGTCTGCTCACCTGGGATCTTCGCGCCGAGCGCCGGCTGACCATGCACCGCGAGAAGCATGGAGGACTAAACGGGTTGGTCATGGCATCCGACCAAACCACGGTGGTGACGGCCGGAATGGAAAAAACCATGACATTCTGGGATCTGAGGCAACAGGACGCCTCCTACTACATCGACGTTCCGGACGAGGAGCTTCTGGCACTAGACATGAGCCACAACGAAAAATATTTGGTCACGGGAGGTAGAAGATTTCTTGACCTTTCACGTCGAATATCTCTCGGTGCAGAAGCACTTGTTCGCAGCAATGCAAATGATGCTGAAGATGCAGTACGAGGATAGAGAAGGCCGCAATCACAATGCATATCAGAATTTTACCAAATCCAAAGGTACTGGCCATACAGTGAAGCTTTGGGATCTGCGCAACGTCCAGCAGGGTCCGTTGAGCGTCGGCAGCGGACACAGCCGCGATATTGTCAGCGTGAAATTCGCGGAGGACGACAAGCAAGCGATTTCCGCCGCGAAAGACCATTCGATCCTCGTACTAAGTGGAAAAATGTCTGCAGCAAAAAAAATCAAAATTTTTGGTAGTGCAGTTTGTGCCCTTCTCTTCTCGCCCGGACTGCAGCGCGCTGGTGCGTGCCGTGGCCTCCATGCTGGGGAACTTGACCGAGGTGCTGTACTCCATTCCTGCTGCGTCGTTTGGTCGAAGCTCCCGCGCGAGCTTGAAGGCCCCCTAGTAGTCAGCCCAAGCGTTCGTCCTCATCCTTCTCGTTCTGGAAGTAAGTAGTTCCTTTGCCCATGCTCCTGTCCAGCATGCCGCAACCCTCAGCCAGGTATTTGGGCGTGAAGCCCCTCCCGCCAAAAGTGGCAATTTGTAATGCGCGTTTCGCATTACAAATGGCCATCTTTTGTGACCCGTCTTGGGCTCGCTCTCCGGGCCGGGTCACAAATCTGAGCCCCTGCATCAGCAGAATTGGGTGCTGTGAAGGTTCAGATTTGTGATGCCAAAAGAGGCTCCGCCAAAAACGTCTGCACCTCGACTATGAGGTCCCCAAGTGGAGGCGCAGACGTTTTTGGCGAGGGGGGGGGAAAGTGAGGCTGATAGCCCGCGTTTGTCTGCGCCGCCAAAAACGTCTGCACCTCCGAAATTGGCCTCCAGATGAGGTGTCTTCGGACACCTCTTCGGAGTCCTCCCGAGTCGCGGACCTTCGGGGCGACAAATTGCGGCCGCCCTTTTCGCAGGGCCCCGACCTGTATCGGGCTGAATTTGCAGGCAAAAGCCTGCGATTTGAGCTCATCCCCGAGTCGGCCTCCTCCGAGGCCGCGAGGTTTGAACCAAAAGCGAGCCTCTTGGTCAGCAAATTCAACCCATTCTCAAACAAGACATGTACGCGGTAAATCGTCAGGAATCAGGAGGGGGTGTGGGAACTTGAAGAACTACAACTGCGAACCCGGGTGGACGACGCCCACCGATACCGACGTACCTAGTCCCCCGGTGGCTGAGTTGTCTCCTCTGCTTCGTCCGCCGAGGCCTTGCCGGAATACCTGGCCTACCCATTTCCTTGATTTTGTTTCATTGTGAAAAAAAATAAACATACAAGCAGGCGCCCGAAAAGGTAGGATACAAAAATTTTGATTTTTTTAGCTGCAGACATTTTTCAGTTTAGTACCTCGTGTGGAACATTTACGACAAGTCAGCGTGAAATTCGCGGAGGACGACAAGCAAGCGATTTCCGCCGCGAAAGACCATTCCATCCTTGTTTGGAACATTTACTTCAAAAAAGAAAATTTAAGAGCAGGACGATAATTCAGTTTTTTGGGTGTGTGTCCACAGCGAGCCAGCTAGCCAAAAAAACGGGCGAGAACCCGCACCATACGCGACCAACATGCCGCGAGTCGTGCCTCCTCGCAAAGTCGCGATCGACCGACGCACAGCTCACAGTGAGGGAGGGGGGGGCGCCCATTCACCGCTTGAAGGGGCGCAAGGGGCTCCCGGTAGAGTAAGTCGCGTCGCAGTATCGTTGGCCCAAATGTGGCGAGCGTCACAGCCGGCAACTTTGATCGCGCGGCCTGCAGGTCTCGGCTCAGGACCAGGAGTCTCCTTTCACCCTTTGCCGCGCAAAGGGTGAAAAGGGACTGTGGATAGCAAGGCACGACGCAGTACCTTGAGCCAAAAGTGCTCAAGGTCTGCGTCCGCGACTTCGATCGAGTGGTCCACAAGTCTCAACTCCGGGCTTTTTCTCCCCTTTGCCTCGCGAAGGGTGAAAAGGGACTCAGGATAGGAAGTCACGACGCAGTACCTTGAGCCAAAAGCGCTCAAGGTCCACGTGTGTGACATTGGTCGATTGGCACACAAGTCTCAATTAGGAGCCTCCTTGCTTTCTTTTCCCCGCGAAGGGTGAAAAGGGACTCCAGGTAGCAAGTAGCGGCGTAGTACCTTGAGCCAATTGTGCTACGCTGCGCGACCCGCATCGTTGTGCGCTTGATCCACAAGTCTCAATTAAGTACTTTCGCAAGAAATCGTCTGCCTTCTCCAGCATTCCGTGGTGAGTAAAGTTCTACAGCTAGTATTTTGAATCAGGTGAACTAGATCTGTAGAACGTTAAACACCATGGCGCGCTGCGCCTGGCGCTTTTGCAGCGCCATCACTTGCAATAAAATCCTCGCGGTTGGCGTGGGCGCCGATCGCGATGATTTTCTGGTGACCCGTGAAATTCGCGGAGGACGACAAGCAAGCGATTTCCGCCGCGAAAGACCATTCCATCCTTGTTTGGAACATTTACGACACGTAAAGTCCGAGGCGGTCGGAATCTGGATGGCGCTCGCAGTCTCGCAACGATAATCTGTAGCTCGAAAGAGTCTTCTCAGTCTTCTTTTTCAATTCAAAAGCACGTAGTGGGTAGCTCAACAACAAAGTTTTAATCAGATCAAACTAGTATACGAAGAGATTCTTGTACTTGTAGTGGATATTTACGTAGCACATTATTACCTGGCTCGATGTAGAAGGACCAGGCGAGGACTTTCGCGTTCAGCTAGAAATGCCTGGACATCATTTTCATTTTGTTACTAGAGCCTTGCACAAGGAGCAGACTGTCTTCCTGGACCGATTCTCAAGTGCTCATCGAATAGATGAAGAAGGATGTCAGTTGTTTTTTGCACTTGCAGTTGCACGACAGACGAAAACACAATGCGCGGGAAAAGATGAGACTGCAGCACCACACAAATGTCCAACTTTTCGATTGCTATCGATCTAGTTGCGAGCCGGTCGCTGCAGGAAGGTGGTCTGGTGTTTTGATTTCTTTGCTTTTGTACAGCATGCAAGGTTCGAGCTCGCAGAGCCAGAAGCAGCGTAGCAGGTAGAGGATCACTTGGTCTTCCTGTTTCCGACGGCTTTAAAGCTGCCCGTACCATAGCAAAGCCTATTTAGCTACCCTGAGTAGAAGCAGAGTTTTTTTCCCAATTTGTTTTCATGAAAACAGAATTTTTGGTAAGTTGTTGCAGCGAAGGCACAAGAATAATGGTTCGCGGCGTGCGGTGAGCTACTTTTCATTTGCCAGACAGACCAACCGCGACATCATGCCGTCGGCGGGGGCCGTCGCTCTGCTTGGCGCACCTCGAGGCCCCATTGCAGTACGTATCTGACTAGCCTTCTAGGTCGTCATCGCCATGGAGGGCCTCAAGGACCCATGTGGTGACCGGGTGGTGAAAAGCCTGCCACCCCCACCTGCAAAGCCGCTGGACGAAGCTTTGCTTTATCCGGAAAACGGAGACAAAAAGAAACCTGATGTTGCAGTGTTGAAAAAGCACCTGCTGAGGGAGGGCAAGCTCTCCAAGCAAACGCTTTTGGATATAATAGCCCGGGTTACCGAGATCTACAGGAGCGAACCGACGTTGGTATCATTTTGGTTCCATCGACCCAGATACTTCTGCCGCTCAAGTGAACCTGGACCTGCTTCGTGTCTTTGAGCAGATCGCGTGCATGTCTTGCCTACACCCACATTGTTTTCCGATGAAGTACTTAACAAACAAACTGCAGACTCAAATTCTTTTGCCCCCAAGGTGAAAGTCCGAGACCCGATAACAGTTGTTGGGGACATTCATGGACAATTTTACGACTTTGTCAAAATGCTGGACGTTGGCGGCGATCCTATGACGACGCAGACCCAGTACCTGTTTCTCGGTACATGCCTACTAGCAGAACTGCTGTTGAAGTAGTTGAATTCATTCATTGCTTTGTTAGCATGGTTTGCCTTCCACGAAACACGCCTGGTGCCGCGGTTCAAAGCAATCCTTCTGCAAGAAAATCATCCAAAAAGGTGACTACGTCGATCGCGGTTCCTACGCAATAGAGGTGCTCATGGTGCTGTTTTGCACGAAGATTACCCACCCGAAACGAATATGGATGTTGCGGGGCAATCACGAATGCAGGCAGATGTCGGCGTTTTTCAACTTTCGGGACGAGTGCGAGTACGCTTTTTTTGCGACGATTTTATTAGTACAAAACTGTATCTTTATTATTCTATTCTTTAGAAGTTTTGCTCATGCGCATCCATAGTATCCTTTTTGCTGCAACATCGCTACCGCTACATTCAGGTCGAAGTATGACACGACCGTCTACAATGCGTTCATGGAATGTTTCGACGCCCTCCCGCTCGCGTGCTTGATAAATGGCAAGTTTCTGGGCGTGCACGGGGGGATTTCGCCCGATCTCGTTTCCCTGAAGCAGCTTGACCGCGTGGATCGGTTTGCGGAGCCGCCCAGGGAAGGAGTGCTGTGCGACTTGATTTGGGCCGACCCCATGGACGAAGCCAACGAACCGAATGCCAAGGACGTGTTTGTTAAAAACGAAGTCCGCGGCTGCAGCTGGTTCTTTACTTACGAGGCGGCCACGCAGTTCCTGTACAAAAACAGTCTGCTCAGCGTCATAAGAGCGCACGAAGCGCAGATAGAAGGGTAAGCACGTTTCACTTTCAGACGCTCGTAATAAAACCGTCTGTGCACCCTCGATGCACTTCTTGTTTTGCTGTGTCAAGCACTTCTTCTAAAGAATTGTTTTTCGTTTGCACGATTATCAGGTACAAGATGCACAAGACGAATCAAGCGACCGGCTTCCCGACGGTGATCACGATTTTCAGTGCTCCGAACTATTGCGACGTGTACAACAACAAGGGCGCTATACTGAAATTCGACAACAACACACTGAATATCCTGCAGTTCAACTTTAGCCAGCATCCGTATCACCTACCGAACTTCATGGACGTGTTCACCTGGTCGCTGCCCTTTGTGGTCGAAAAGGTCACGGAAATGCTGTACTACATGCTGCAGCCCAGTAGCGACCAGGAAGCAGAGCGCGAAATCGACGAGAAAGAGCTGCCGCCGGCGGTACACAAGATCGTGCGAGACAGCCTGTCGATGGAGCAGAACGAAGCAGTAAATATCTTTGATACTTGTTTGTCATGTGGCTCTTCCAGTGCCGCACAACTTCGAATCAAAAACAGTGTGCACCTCTAGCTCCTTGCGGCATTGCATCTCGAAAGGATAAGTTTTGAAAAAGTAGCAGTCTATCACAAAAATCTCAGATCAACCTCGCCGCGCGCCTGGCAGAGGGCCTGGAGGGCCATGACGCATCGCCAGGAGGCACGAAAAAGGCTGTCATGCCAACAAACGAGCAACTGGATGCGAGCGAAAGGCACGACCGGTTGCGCAAGAAAGTGAAGACGATAGCAAGGATGGCGAGTACGATGATTTTGTTGCACTTTTTCAACACAGAAGATCATGGACCACGAGTGATCAGATTCGTTCCTACTTGTTCATCAAAAATTTTCAACGCTTCTCCAAAAAATTATATAACAGGGATGTTCAAGACGCTACGACAGGAGAATGAGGCTGTGATTCGCTTGAAAGGCGTTTGCCCTGGGCACAGGCTGCCGCCCGGACTGCTACTGGCTGGGAAGAGCGGACTGGCGACAGAACTGGAGAGGTTCGATCACGCAAGATCGGTCGATTTGCGCAACGAACTGCGTCCTGACACCTAGAATAAGCTAACATAGAATCTCGACGTGACCGGGCCGGTCACGTCCGCCCGGCCGGCCGGGCGGCCGGACCGTGACCGGGGGTTGTCCCTGGTCAGCCCACATCCTGGAGCCAGTCGCTCGTGGGGGTAGGAGGTGACGGCACTGCACCTTGAGCCAAAGTTGTGCAGTGGTAGAATGCACCTCGCGGCACCTTGGAGCCCTAGGCCTTAATATGTAACGCGCCCGAGCGCGAGCGCATGCCCATAGAGATGGACCTGCTGCAGCAAGTAGCAGTGACTTGAAGTCTGCATCGAGGGCGCAACGCCGTGACTTGCTACCCTCCGTCCCTTTTTACCCCTCGCGCGCACGCAGAGTGAAAAGTTAGTGGGAGGATGGAGTCGCGGCACTGTGCCTTGAGCCAAAGTCGTCCAGTGGTACAGTGCGGCTCACTGAACCTCGGAGCCACGACTTCGTTCTGGGCTCAATTGCACAGCGCCGTGACTACAGGCCTCAATATGCACCTGAAAGCCACAGGTCTCAATATGCGACGCGTCGTCCGAGCTCAGGCGGATCCAAGTGGCAACGCCACGAAGTCTGCAGCGAGACACTTTTGGCCCAAGGTGCAACGCGGTGAATTGCTGGCCCCAGCTCCTTTTCTCCGTTTGCGCGCAAGCAGAGTCGGGGAAACGGACGGGGGCGCAGGAGTCGCAGCCACGTGCGTGGGGGTTGGGTTGGGGTGGGTGGGCGGGGTGTTTCGAGCGGTTGCCAGCGGTGTCTCGCTGCTGTAGCTACTGCTACTGCATAAATAAGTCCGCCCCCGCAATGCTAGCTACTTTGCAGGAGCGTGAGGCCCAGCCAGGCTTTCGATTGTAGGCACTGCGGGTGGAGCTGGAGCCGGAGCGGCTCTGCTCCGCGCACCACATAAAACTAACATCTGGCGCAGCCCGCGCCCGGATAGCAGCCGCGGGACATAGTCTACCCCCGGTCACGGTCCGGCCGGCCGGCCGGCCGGGTGGACGTGACCTCCCCGGTCACGTCGAGATTCTCTGTTAGAACCTCTCAGAACTGGAGAGGTTCGATCACGCAAGATCGGTCGATTTGCGCAACGAACTGCGTCCTGACACCTAGTCGGGAGCGGGAAGCAGCGGCGTCTGCTTCGAGTAGGAGTTCTGCGTGATATCGCTGATTTTTAGTGCCCTCAACGTGAAACCAACCACGGTGTTACGCTTTTTGATTTTACCAACCACGCAACTGAGCGTTGTTCAATATCAATTCATCTATTACTTACAAGAACAGCAAAGTAGGCTTGAAAGTCGAGTATAGTAGAGTTCTTTGTCATTTTTCCAAATATTACCAACAGAATTTTTTACTTGTATTTCGTCCAGAACAGACAAAGATGTGCTTTCCTCCTTGTCAATTGACAAGAAACATGAAGAAACAAGTCATGCTGGCCTAAGTGCCATTTCCGGCGAGCCAGTCGTGACAATATTGTGCCACATAACATCATAGGTTCTTGTTTCGTCGTGATAGCTGTTCGCCTAGTAACAGAGCTTGTGTTTGTAGTTTCGCGGTAATGTTATGTTTGCGTTTTGGCAGATAATTGTTGCCATTTTTTCAAAGTTGTCTGTGTTCAGGGAGGAGTTATTTTTTTGTCGTGTCTAGCAATGCAAATCGAGCGCGAGTGATCAGAGCGACCTTCAGCTTTTCCAGCCTTGAAGTGGGTCGTCGCAAAAGTTTCCTCATAGAGTCTGACTTTCAACTAGTATGCTCGCATCGATCCATTCATGCGTGGCAGCGCTGATGGGTGTCGGCATTTCGCTGTGAGTGGTGGTCCACACGGCAACGGGGGTGTGCAGCGGCGGCCATGGTCCGCACGGGGGCTTGTCTTGCTCGACAGCAGTGTGGTCGGACGCTTGCACGGAGAGGCAGACCACGTGGCGCAACCCTCCGTCCCCTCCGGGACGTCGCGTGAAGAGCCTATGTCCCCGCACCATCCGAGCATACTTGTGCCACCACCTGCATCGGACCCTGCTACTGGTAGCTTCGCCGTCCACCCACCCGACCTCCAAGCTATGGAGCTAGACAAGACGGGCACGCCGTCTGCAATCGGAAATGGAGATAGCACCACTCCAAGGACGGGCCTGTATTTTCACGGACGAAGGAAAACCGAGGCCGGGTTCCGCCTGACGCCGCCACCGGTCGTGGAGAAGCCGATGGCCTTCCATGGGGTGCTGCCGAGCGCATCCCGCGCTGCCAACTCGCCGCCCCTTGCTGCTCCTGCCAGTGAAAAGCGACCCGAGGCCGAGCACAACGGAACAACGCACTCAGCAGGGAGTATGCTAGAGCGGGACCAAGGAGCCAGCAATGCCTACACGACGCAGGACCGCAGCGTCGCTGCCACCGACTCGCGGGCCTCTTTGCGGAAGCGGGCGATTAATCCGTGCGTCTGCGAGAACGGCACGCCTTTTCCTTAGTATTCGCGCGAAAATGTGGGTCGAGATAAACGATGCAGCATCTAGCTGCGTTAATTTGAAAGTAGCTTTCCACAAAAATAGCATACAGCATTTTTCCATGCTGCGGACGAGTAAGACGCCACATCATTTTTTATGCCGCAGCAGATTTCTATCGATTCCTTTTTATTAGAGGTAGTAGAGCTACACTGACTGGTGATTTAGATTTTGGCCGCATACTCGATCCCTGATTTTCGTTCAATATCATCGGTGCTTGGTGCAATGGTGTGCTACCAGACGTGACGCGGTGCGCTTCCTGCAACCAAGGCTGGCATCGTCAAGATGATTTCGACAAGCCGAATTGGTTGTCCTGCCAGCCGAACACATGCGTTTGCGAAGACGGAGACGGTGCGAGCATCGGCACGCCCGCCACAGGATATTTTTGTCCCGAGAACGGCGGAAATTTCTGCTCCGCGTGCGTCACTGGGCGCCACGTGCATGACACCTTGGGCGAGAATTTTCTTAAATGCATTTGGAATGAATGCACCTGCAGCAACGGCGACGCGGCCACGAAGGCAGCGTGTACAGCGCACGGACTCGAAAGGTGCGGAGTATGTCATACCGGGTACGTTCTGGACGACGGGCTCTGCGGGAAGGAAGGTTACAAGTGCAAGTGCGACACTGGAACGACCGTTCCGAAGGGGGACGCGCGGTGTCCCAGCAACGGCGCTGTTTATTGCACCGCCTGCAACAACGGCTACTACCTGCAGGGGAACCAGTGCAAGCTCAACCACTGCACGTGCGACAACGGGGACGCAACGACCGGAACGGACTGTCCAAGCAACGGCGCCCAGCGGTGCAAAATTGACGAGTGCCACGCCGGGTACCATTTCCAAGGCGATTTTGCAGTAAAGGATCCTCCTTGGGGGACCTGCCAGCCGACAACCTGCACATGCCCACACGGGACTGGGGCAACCGGCGCCGCGTGTGTGACGCATTTGTCGCTGCAGTGCGAAACGTGTAAAAAAGGCTACAGCCTGCAGGATAAATCCTGCGTTGCCAATATCTGCAAGTGCCCGAACGGGACGCCGTTTCCGCCTGGAAGCGAGTGGTGCGGCGAACATATCATGATGATGAAAGAAAAAAGTCGCTTGGAGCGAATGCGCTCTTGCATTTTGCGGTTCGCATTGAACAGTAGTACTACCTAGTGCTGCAAATACATTACACCGAAATCCTAGTCAATGTCCGTTGTAGTTCTGTTTGCTGAAAACTGTCAAACTAAGGAATATTTGGTGAATATCTATGTGGAACCAGCAGAGACGAGAAGCAACAGTAGCAAAAACGAAATAGAGCACGAGCACCAGCACGTGCATGAACAGCAGGTGACGACAGGCATTACGCTCTGCAATATCCCACGACGGAACCTCCTGCGAGTCTTGCGAGCAGGGGTGGCACCGGCAGGACAACCCCGACGAGCCCGGATGGCTTTCCTGCGTCGAGAATGTCTGCACTTGTGCAAATGGGCAAGTCGCGACCGGGCCATTCTGTTCTGAACACGATCCAGACAACCCCAAAACCGCGTGCAGCTCTTGTAATGATGGCCTGCACGTTCATGACGTCATGGGCCCAGATTTCCTTAAATGTGTGACGAACCAGTGCACCTGTGCGCAGGGGACGCCGGCCGTGGGTACCGCCTGCCCCGTGCACCAGACCGAAAAGTGTGTCGAGCCATGCAACGGCGGCTACGTATTCGAAACTGTGAGTGGGCACGGCATGTGCAATCCCGAGGTTGGTAAGCAGTGTGTCTGCGGGAACGGAGTCCCCGTGGCCAAGGGTAGCTCGCTGTGTAAAAACGAGGGCGATGTCGTTTGCGCGTCGTGCTATCGCGGCTTCCGAGGTTTGACCTGCGAAGAGAATGTGTGCCCCTGCGCGCACGGGACGCCTTACAAGGGTAAGGACTGCAAAGACGGCGATCCCCTGGTGCTGTGTTGCGAGACAGAGGGGATCACGAGGTGTAAATCCTGCGAGAGCGGTTACCGCATTCAAGATGACTTCAACAAGCCCGACGTGTTCAGTTGCCAGCCCATGCAGTGCGAGTGCGAAAACGGTTTTGGCGCAAGTGGCCCACCGGCGTGCCTGTCGGAGGGTGATCATGCGTGCAGCATGTGCAACATCGGCTTCGAGAAGAGCTCAGAAACTTGTCATGCTGAGCCAGCATCTGTAGCCTCATCATGAGACGCCACCCAGCATCACAAGTTTCCAGACCCAGACATTTTTACATTTGATATCGCGGCAAGAACATCCTGACCCGCGAGCAGGCCCGCGAAATTTCGCAGCCTGGGATCACCACGACCTTGGCTAACGAACCGGGTCAGATCGTCAACATCGACATTGACTACATGCTGGCCAAGAACCAAACCGAGTTCGCGGGCATGGGATCTGATATCTACGGCCGAGCCATCAACAACCAGTTCGACAAGTGCGAAGCTGAAGGCCGGGCAGTCAGGTATTGTAGTAGAGCGCCAAAGCATAGGCGACTGCTGGTTTTGTAGCATAAGTGCATGGCTTAGGCAACACTCCACCCTTCGCCCGTGCTAGAGGCAAGCAGATCGTTTAGGAAGACAATGCAAAGGTTGTTGCGCGCCGGCAGCATTTGCTTGTCCGGACTCGCACATTAGAATCTCCTAGTGTTGATATCGTACAATTATTTCCGCCTTTTCAGGTACGTCCATCAAGAGAACCACTATGCGGGCGAGCACGATTCCCGTGGCGGCGTCTACGGTGAACTGAACGCTGTGCACGGGAAGCACACCAAGAAGTTCGTCTCCATCTTTCCGCAGGAAGCCCAGGTAATGCAGGTCGGTATGGCCATGCGCTCCGTGCTGCCGGATAACAATCTGGTCTTCGTCAAGGGACCGCACACCATCTTCAACGAGCATGCCCGGGATATCATGAAGTACGCCGCTTTCCTGGTTTGCGATAGGGGATTGAAGGGGAACTGCATCTACTTCTTCGATGGCGGAAGTATTGCAGATAAGGACAACTTCAAGTACAAGGACGCCGAAACTGGGGAGGAGGTATTGTTCTGAAGTGCTTTTTTTCTCTCTTCGTTTCCACCCTGAAAGTTTCTAGCGTAGTGAAGTGCATCGAACAAAATTGATGTGAAACCACCACAAATCTCATGATCTTATCAGATCCAACGCGACATGTGGCTCGCGGGCGTCGGTGAGCACCACAACACCCCGGAGTATTCTTCCTACGCGGCCGACGCGAACACGGTGATGGCCGTTCCCTGCGACATGAACGTGTTGTCCGCGTGCATGACCGAGATGGTCCGCCTCTACGACATGGGCCGTTTCATCACTGCGGTTGCGCCCACCAAGGCCTTCCAGATCCTGCACCCGAAATTCGCGGCCTTGCCGGAGGGCCAGGGCTTCACGATTAACGACATCCTGAAGGTCGACTTCAAGGACAAGGGCAAGGTCGCCCCGAAGACCGGCCGACCCCTCATCGTGCTGTCTTACGGGCCGGACTCGAAGCTCGTCGCAAAAACCATCGCGGACCACGGCGTATTGATTTAAATTTTTGCCTTGCGTGCAGCATGTGCACATCGTGCAGCAAGTCGGAGGGTGATCATGCGTGCAGCATGTGCAACATCGGCTTCAAGAAGAACTCGGACAATAGGTGCGAGCAAATGACGGAGGTGCTAGTCTGCGTGTGTCCCAACGGCACCCCATTCCCTGCCGCCAGCGAGTTCTGCCCGGCAAACGGCGCAACAGCCTGCGCCTCATGCGACGACGGGTATATGAGACAAAATGACCCCGCACTTGAGAACTGGCTTTCGTGCTTGGAAATCGTTGAATATACCTGTATATCAATCGCGAGGGAGTCTGGGTTTGAAACGCGGAGCCAATTCTGCATTTCTGAACATGGGATACTTTTCTAGAGGGAACTTATTGATCATCACAATTAATTTCGTGTTTGTGATCAACCCTCCTGTAGCATCACAGATAATAGACATTTCCGCTCTTGCAAACCAAGCAATGTTTGCAGTGCAAAATCTGTTTGCGAGAACGGGACGCCGGTGCCGCCCTCGAGCGGGTTCTGTCCAAGCGAGGGCGCCAACGTATGCGGCCCCTGCGATTCGGGATACCACAAGGACGGGTTCGTGTGTGCCGAGAATGTTTGCATCTGCCCCAAAGGCGGTCTCGGGACGAAAGGGCGGGAAAAGTTTCCAGACGGAAAGTCGAAGTGCTCGAAAGACGGTGACACTGCCTGCGCAAGCTGCACCGCGGGTAAGCACGTGCACGAAGAGTTCGATGAAAATTTTTTGCAGTGCGTTGACAACGTCTGTGTGTGCAAGACCGGCGATCCGGCTACGGGCACCGCTTGTGAAAGACACGGCGAATTCAGGTACGACAGACTAGCTGAGCTTGAGTAATTTTCCGAAATCAATAGTGCCACACCTACATAACTTCGCTCTACCTGTACTGTTTGGTGCTCTTTCTGTACAAATCAACTTAGCGCTGCAATATGACTAAGAGCGATGCTAATCTTGGTTCTGGGTCCTGTTTCCCAGTCCCAGCGAGTCGCGGACCAACAAAATCCTACGCAAAAACATCGGCGTCAGGTGTGCCGATCAGAGTGCTCCGTGCATTTGCCCAGGGGGACAGGCCGCCACCGGGAAAGATTGCTACTCGGCGGGAGCGAACGCGTGCTCCCCGCAGACGCAGTGTGCACCAACGGCCGAGTTCGTGGCAAAGGTTATGCCCCGAGGCGTGGATGGTGGTGACACGGTGACGCGCTGCGTTCGAAAATGCAGCTCGCTCGGTAGCGCTTCCTCTTATTCTTTTTTGGACGTCGGGAATAAAAAACAACAGGATCAAAGCAGCGAAAAATCCGCGGGACAAGAAAACAGAAGTCCTCTCCCACGACTAAGGCGGGAGCCGCAAACATTGCCTGAGGCGGAGGAGAGACAATTGTGGAGGCAGCACGATGAAAAATCGCGGACACAAACCAGTACCCTGGTGCGCCGTTCCTCGTCCGACCGCATTGTCCACGACGGCCGAGAAGGCAAGTCGCGCAACTCTACCTTTTCTACTTCTCGAGATGTAACACACTCCGATTTATTTCGGCGCGGCGGACAAACTCGTGCTGGGCTTGCGCTCGGGGCCAGCTCCTTCGCAGAGCGCCGACAGCGCGCAGAGGCAGAAAACATCTGCAAGATCGAGGACAATTGGATTCTTCGGGACTTCTCGGACGTACCAGACATGGACATCCCGACCTGCGCCGGGCCGGTCTGCGAAGCAAAAGTAGACAGCGAGGCTTGCTGTGCGCGACTCTGTCGCTCAATGGAGGAAGACACCTGCCAGGGCTACGAGCCGACTTCGTTCATCTCTCGTCGCTCGATAGAGAGCAGCGCCAGGGAAAATCAGGCGACTCTCACCGCCGCCGATGATACCGACGATGTTTCGACTGAGACTGGTGGAGACACTGGAGACTCTGGTAGGACCGCTACAACTACCGTCGCGGAAGATGTCTTCGACGAAATCATTCTTGATAAGTTCCGTCCGTGCGATCCGCCTCTGGAGTGCCTCAAAGAGGTTTGTTGCGTTCCTAAGAGCCAGGAAACCGCAGAACCAGAGGAGATCGCACTATCGATGACTGACGACGAAGGGGAAGAGGGGGCAACCAATGATACAAACAGCACCGTGCCGGAAGGAGGTTTCGCAATCGCAAGTGGCGTTCTTGCCGCTGCTGGTATTGCCGTCGCTGCTGTTGCCGCTAATCCGGAGCTTATGGCAGATAGAAAAGCGCGCCCATGGTTGACAAAGTTTGTTTTTCGCTCGGGGTTTGTCATGTAAGAGACGCTTGCGCATTTCTACGCGTTGCTATGGGCCACGCTTTCACCTCAGTGCAAGTTCGTGTCTTGCACTTAAAATATCTGTATGAGATGAACTGAGTCTCTTTGCTACGCGACACGGGCGCGCGTTTCCGTCGGATAGGTTTTGCGGCTGGTGTGTTGGCTGTTAGGTGACGCCGTGAATACGCTACCGAAGGCTTGGGGCGGAGGCATGGAATCTTTGTCCTATCACATGATGGGAGAAGTGCTCGACTCCGTGAAAATGCTTTCAGAGTAGGCCAGTGAGAAAAATACCGCAATACCTATGCGAAGTGCAAAGCGTTGCTTGACTTCGTTCACGTTTAGCACTGACTGTTGACTTGGTTACAGTGTCAGTCGGTCCATGTAGAGTCGATTCGAGTTCAGCGACCGCATTTCTCTGTCGTCTGTGCCGTTGCTACTTTCCGTTTTTTGAATATGGCAAACGATCTTGACAAGGTGAAGATCTCCGATCGCACGCACTTCTCTGTGGGTCTCTCTGGAATACCGGATCCGAAAATATGGCTTGCGCACACATGTCTTGACGCAGCAGCCTGAACGACATCGCTTATTCTCCTGCTTGAGCACTGAAAACCGTTCACAGGCAGCCAGCTCCGTTATGCATGCGAACCGTTCAAACGAATCGGGATCGGCGCATTATTTCCGTTCCGAGGCAACCAACGGCAATGTTCCGGATTCGTACAAATTGCTCCAGATGATCGCATTCGCTGGATCAATGAATAGGACAGTGGAGCCTCTTCAACTTCATGCTTTTTCTACGGAGTCGACTCGTTTTTTGCGTACTCTCAGGTCGCGAACCTGCAAGCAGGAGCTGTTTGTTTGTTATCTTTAGTACTTTTTCTTAGCCCTAGGTCGGTGCAGGCGAACGCACCACGAAAGATTCATATCATGCCGTCCGCAGAATCAGTTTCCGTCCAGCTTCATCTCGCGAACGGGAACCCGATCGAAAATTTGACTCTGCAAGTAGTTCCTGGTGTCACGACGGTGCACGATGTCAAATCGTCCCTTCCAGCAACGGCCTTCCCCGCAACCGTTCCTGCTCACAGCGGGCATCACGTGAAGCCACCGCTGAGTATGATCCACATCGCTTGTGGCGACCAGCTGCTCGAGGACGACAGTTTTCTTGTTGGTGAACGGAAGACAGACGGCGCTCAATCAGAAGACATAGCTTGTGAGAGCGATTTTCCCACAGTAGATGGACAGCCGATCTACTACCTGCTCAATACCTGCGGAGACGCGGACGCGCACGTCGCACCTTTCGTCGATCACTGGCTGCGTGACTGGCAAAAATTGGTCGGCGATCGGGTCAGACCACATGTGCCGATTGATCCGGGCGGCTCGGTCAGCAGCTACACACACGTGTGCAGGGGAACTTCGCCGGTTAATCTGAATTCACTCGATGCTACGCAGATCGAAGCTTCTACCATGCCGGGCCGCAGCGATGTTTGTCTTGCTACGACGAGTCTTGAACGAGAGAAATCTCGGCTGCGACTTCTCTCTCTGTTTATTTTGCGAACTTGTGTGAAGACTGGCCTGCAGAGAATGCAAACTGGAAAGAGTTCTGCGTTGTTTCGATTCGCAATAACTCTTGTAGTGCGAGAGCTTGAATTACTGCCACATTATTAGCAAGACAAGCACCATTTGCGGCGCAGGTACAGAAGCTCGGTTTACCTCGATAAATGTTGCAGAAGCCTTTGAAACCTTGATGACGGAGGAGTTGTGCGACAGTGCCTACCCCGGTGCGCGGGACGCCTTTCTTTCCTTCGCATATCTGTGCTCCCTTGAGGGCGACGCTCGAGCGGAGACTGACCATGACAGCGCGGCGTCACACGTCGCGGGCGCTGAGAGCACTGACCTCCCGCCTCGAGGGCGCATTCGGGAGAAGTATTTTGAACGGCAGCCGCGCATAGGGTCAAAAAACCTGGAACAGAAAAGCAACTACGGATCGGGACAGACGCAAGAGGCTAAAAATCAGTTCAATCATGGGCGTTGGATCGAGACAGTCGTGGATGCGTTTGGATTTGACAACGGTCCGTGGACAATAGGTCCGGATGTGTCGGTACTAGAGCTCGTCCCGCCCTCTTGGACTGAAGGGCTGCAAGACCTGTTTCCAGGCCTGGCCGAAAATCTTGAGCCGTGGTCGTGGTTGGGCCTCAGTGCTCGGACGAAAAGCAAGCGCGAAGATTACCAGGAAGCTTTGCGCGAATTGAATGAGGATTCGGACTAATGGCGCCGCGATGGCTCGCACTTTCTCCATGTGCGGTTGATGTGTATAATATTTGATGATGATGAACTGCGAAGCAGTAGTCGAAGCTGCTTCCCAGACGGGGCGTTGCAGAATAAACCCAGTAGCTTTCGCTCCACGATGTAAAATAACATATGAACAGCAAGCGTCGACGACGGTCGGCGCAGCTTTCTCTTTCTCAAAGCAAAGAACCAGGGGCCACAACTGAAATCCATTATGACGCCTCCTGCTTGGAGTAGTCTCTTCGAAAAACACAAAAAAGAACTTCTCTTGAAAAGTAGGCGTTGAAAGCGAGTGCTTTCGATAGACGCATCGGTCTGCCGCTGCGGGCCACCACTCTGGACCAAAGTCGCACGCTTCGAGATCCGCTAGAGTCTGAGTTTGCGCAAGCGTCTTCAATTCCTATTCGTTTCTTCGATTGAAATACACTCTTGCTGAATTTTAATTTTCGACGTCGGAAGCAACCTGCAGGACCAAGAAGTGGAGCAAAACTCAGCCTCCAGCCGCCTTCCAGCCGAGTCAATAAAGTCACCCGATCTTGGTGTAACCAGCAGCTACAGGAGTACCTCAAATACCACTTCGCTCTTCCTGCAGGCACAGGCCCTGTTCCGGCACGTGCAGGATGTTTTCTTTCGGAGTCGCATCAACCGTTTCACCTTCGCAGCTGACCAGCTCGCCTGGTTTCCGGGCTTTGCGCACGACAGCGGTTTCTGGGCCAGTGTATCCCCAACGGAGCAGTCCATGATTCGCCAGTTTCGCCGGGAGGGCTTCCTACAAATCGAGCACTGGGACTCCCTGCCGTGGCCGGACGGAGTAGACGCAATCTCTTTGATGGCAGAGCCACCCCCACGACGCGAAGACTCTTCCGGGCGATCGGGTGACCTGAGCAGTGCCACGGCTGAAACTGCGGCCCCTTACCGGTGTATAAAGGAATCGCTTTGCTGTCGGGAAATTTTATCGAGTAGCATAATGCATGATCCAAACGTGGTTTTCTGTAGAATAAGCATTCCATCGCCGTGTGAGCACTACATGTTTATTTTCGGTTTGTTGTTAATCTGGCAATGTCAGCATCGTCAGTGGATGAGCAAAGTTTGCACATTTTCCATTCTGAGAACGTCAAGCCGAAAAGAAAACTCGAAATGCAGGGACGATCGGGCAGACAGGTCTTCGCACGGGCAGGACACTGCAGGTGTGCGGAGGAAAACACCAAGTTCGTCCGCCGCTTCTTCTACCTCGAACGCCACGGCCCGGCACATTTCCGGCATCCTGCCGCACCGCTACCTGGTAAACCAGTTGTTGGCGCAGCCCACGTCCCTGCTGCGCAAGCTGGTGCACGGGTATCTCGGCGATGTGGATGTTTCCTACCACGGAATCCAGTGCCACCAGCTGAAAGAGGATTGGGAGCCCTCCGACTACAACAACGGGGTCTGGCACCACGACGGGTGCGGCCGCCGGCTGAAGGCCTTTATCTACCTGGAGGATGTCCCGCTCACCAGTCGGCCGACGAAGCTGTTGCGGGGATCGCATCGGCTGGACTGGTTTCCCGCGACTCACACTTTCGGCAACGCGGGCTATCTGAAAAACCTCGCGGACGGGGAAGTGGAAGCTGCTTTGGGAAAGGAAGACACTGTGCTGATGACGGGAAAGAAGTACGGAGGATTCATTTTTGACACCAACATGCTGCACGGTGCGCACATGCACGTGTTTCCGCGAAAAATCCGCAATACCCGGCGAGTCTTCATCCTGGACTTTGCATTATGAAACTGCTGTAGAGAGGACGGGTTCCGTGGACGAACGATGGTTTGCGCGTGATTTTTGTCAGAAACAGGCTATGCTCATGCGGTTTCCAACATATTCAGTTTGTGTCATTGTTTTTGGATTTTTTTTTTCATGCAGCATAGATCTCAATCGATCGGAACTTGTGCGCGCGATGTGATATGGAATCAAGGATATTTTCACAAAAAGTCAGTGGCTCAAGATCCCTTTCAAATTCTCGCCTCACCAATAAATCGGTGGGGTGGGGGGGTCTTCGAGTTTTTACTCTTACCACAGCGACACCGTGTAGAGGTAGTTGACATTTTACTGAGTGAGAGACGTAGAATTCAACCACAATTTACACCGCACTAGAAACAAGTTGGTAGATTGAGTAGGCTACGACAAACCACAATGCAAACAAAACACTTTTATTAAAAAACTACAACCATTATACTTTACTATTTAGAAACAAACAAACCTAGAAATACACTAACAAAAAAAAGCAAAAACTCAACTCATGCGCGCAATTCCAACGGGGAGAACGAGAAGCCTTGAGTCGTACCAAGACGAGCGGAACAGAGAAAGAAGCAGAAACTAAGCTGCCAGACCAGCATCTTTGGCGCTAAGAAATTGCAGACCTCGCACACGCATCTAGTTCAGAAATCCGCGACCGCTTCTTGCAACAACTTTTCTCGTGCGCTGTGCAATGACAAGAGCAGACAGTGCGAGACTTCACGAAAGGAAAAGCGAAAAGTGAGGACCGGCCACAAAGCGATCGCAACACCGGACGCATTGCGGTTGAGCTTACCTTGCGGATATTTTTCCCGAGATGTGAAGCCAGCGAGACCGAAGTAACAGTAAGAGGGGCGCGTTGATACTGAACAGAAGAAAGGCAGCTGCGAGCTACTGACTGAAGCAGGATGAGATGGCAGTAACTGGAACAATAAAAGTTCCGCCCCTTATAGTGAAGACGGACAAAAGATGCGGAGCAAATCCTCAGCAAGCCGCTTGCTACTTTGCTTAGCCCACCATAAATCATCCGGGGGCGACTTCATGAGGATTGGAGACAGCTTTGTGATATTTCATCGAGCCGCTTGCTACTTTGCTTAGCCCACCATAAATTTTCGGGGGCGACTCAATGAGAAGGACATAGCGAAAACATCTTCACTATATTTTAACCCCTTGTTGGGTATTCTATCTATCTATCTAACTTTACGTAAAAATGTAGTAACACTAGTGCAGACATTGCTGTCGATCTTTTCACTCTAGCACCAACTGAACAGATCGGTACAGGAAGTGACTAGACATCTGTGTTTTTTTTGTTGTGCTGGTGCAAGAACAATCTTCGGTCACTCTTTCTTTGTTCCTGCAATACAAGTTTTTTTTTCGTTTTTGGCGGAAGCATACGAATTCCCTTTTTCTTGCTGTCGAGGCTCCTTTTCTTCATTTCGTTCACTTGTATATGGCTGTCGCCATATACACTATGTATCTCCAGAACCAGTTTACAATGTAAAGACCACATCTAAGTAGCTGCACTTGACTGAGTTAGTTTCACAAATGTAGAAATATTTTCATCTTGTTCCTACTTACGCAAGGGCAAACGAAGCTATCCTCAAATAACACGTAGAGAAGCCATATCCAAAAGGTCCAGCTCATTTTTGGTTTGGCTTCCTTGTTCGTCCCGATCGAAGATTATGACAATTTCAAGTAATGAAGGAACAGCTTGGCATCTCTCCTTTCTGTCATCTTCAGACCCTCAGATGTACAATGTGAGCCTGCCATTGCACTGACAATGAGGCTAGTGAAATCCGATTAGGCTAGAAATTTCCCAAAAGAGCGTGTCACATCAGCGCCGAAAAGCAACTTCGCAGATTTTCAATTTCAGTTATTCCATTGTCGCACCCAGAGGACGCGTAGTGAACGGCAATGGCTTCTTCCCGTGTGGTTCGATAGAGAATGGCACACGCAGCGAAACAAGAGCCCTTGATCATACGCGGGCTTAATATTAGGAGTAGTGCTTTCGGTCGCTCCCTGTCCCTCCCAGGTAAAGTAGATAGATTACCCAGGAAGGGGCTGAATCAAGTAAAGCTAAGAGACAATTTTTGCACTACTTGCGACTAAGGATTCATGGGAACGAACGCTTTTTCTGCGTCGCTTTAACGGCCTGCTGGGATGAGAGATAGAGGGAGAGAGGTGCTAGAGCACATAGATCAAATGAAGGCGCGAAGGAGTAAGGACCTTTGGGTAAAAACCTCATGGTCAGTTACTCATCATCAAAGTACTGGGCCGTATTTTTTTCTTGAGTTGCCTTGCGGACTGGCTGCTGGAAAAGAACCTTTTGAATTGAAGAGTTTCGATGTTTCCTTGCTTCCTCATCTCCAGCACAAAGTCTAGTAGCTTTGCCCCTGCCGTGCATGCGATAGGAGCATTAAACTATTTTACGTAAAAGTGTAGTAACAGTAGTGCAGACATTGCTGTCGTTCTTTTCACTCTAGCACCAACTGAACAGATCGGTACAGGAAGTGACTAGACATCTGTGTTTTTTTTTGTTGTGCTGGTGCAAGAACAATCTTCGGTCACTCTTTCTTTGTTCCTGCAATACAAGATTTTTTTTCGTTTTTGGCGGAAGCATACGAATTCCCTTTTTCTTGCTGTCGAGGCTCCTTTTCTTCATTTCGTTCATTGCAATGAAGCACATGTGGAACAAAGATAGAGTAGTTTAGGCACGCCTGTTAGCAAATATTATTGGGATGTAGAAGCGAGAGCGACGAGACATGCGCAAAGAAATCACACAGGAGCACCTTTTCCATTTTACACCTTTTCGGCACACATAAAAGTCGCTCACTTATTCGCTTTTTGTCCAGAGGACCAGATCACAAATCACTTGCAAAAAACGGCAAAGCACAGCGAAAATGTTGAGCTCCAACCCGGCAGGTGAGATTGAGCCTACAGCCTCGCGCGCCACCTCTGTCGCAAGTGCTGCGGAGGCGCCTGCAACTTTCGGACTGGAGGTCCTGGACTTGCGTGGGAAGCAGCTATGTCTCGAACCGCGCTCGTGGATCGCTGCAACAACTACGAAGAAGCAAGTAAAGCAGGCCATTGCAAAGGCTTGGCTGCTCTCCGAACGCAATACGGAAAAGAAGCGTAGCTGTTTTTGGGGGCGCGTTTTCGTCTTCCCCACGGGCGCTGAAATGGCTCAGCAGTGCAGCGTAGGAAGTCTCGACGTAGTGCAGGACGAGGAAAACTTCGCCGATTGGTGGCAGGGCCTGCAGGAGGAGGACAAGGAAGAGCAGACGACAAAGCCATCCCTCACATTCTTCGTACGCTACCGCAAAACCTTCGGGAGCCGCGAGGAACTAGATGTTGCGCTCCGTCCTTATTTGGAGGAAGGAAACGGCGACGGAACCCGAAGTGCGGAGCAACAGGCGAAAATTGAAGAAAGCGAGCAAGTCTATGGAAAGATCATTACGTGGGACGTAAGTGGTGTGAAAAATTTGCGGGAATTGTTTCAATATCAGACCGAGTTTAATCTTGACATCC